CCATCAAGTTGCGTGGGGCGGCGCCGTCCCCGGGCAGTTCTGTCATAAAATCAATGGAGAGATCGCTAAAAAACCGGTCTGGGATAGGTAATGGTCGTAAAAGCCCCTGCTTTGCTTATCACTACACCTTCGAACGTCCACAGATATCACAATTCCGGCAGAAGCGACGAACTGTCTTATACTGTTGCGGCCAGAAGTAATCCCTCTACAAGATCTAGCCAGTGATGTGCTTCCCTGGATATCCCGTGATATGCGAATCGTGGGTCTCACGTCGCCTCTTAGCGACACAGGCGTAGATGTTTCGGTAGGTCTCATCTGTGTCGACTGCATCATCCCACAACAGCTGTAACTCCGGACTGGTGAAGATCCCTCTGCCCAGCGGTGGTGACTTCAGTGGTGTGGCAGGCGCAGACTCGGAGTCCTCCGCGTAACCCACACCTGGTGATTCGTGGGAGTTCGTTTGCACGCCTAACTCTGGTGTGGTTTCGGGTTCCGTGTTCATTTGTATGTCTGCTGCCGGGGTCAAATCGTCTGATTTTGCCTGTGATCAAGTTTGAACTGGGCTGATCAGGATCGCCGCAATAGCTGCTTCGGTTGCCGGGAACTCGCTTGTCTTAGGTGGAAGCCATTCATCTTTAAGCAGTTGGAACTCTCTGTGCTTCATCCTCTCGTTGTCTAAGCCCCTGATACGGTCTTGAGGTCTCTGCGAGAGAAAATTGGGTTTCCCAGAGTCTTTTTCTGCCCTAAAGCTGAGCTGGAAGTTATATTGGGAGAGGATTCCTGACCAGCGGACTTGCCTCTCTGACAGGCGCTGGACTGTAGCGAAATGGCGGAGATTCTTATGATCTGTCAGCACCGTGAACTTGCTGGCTACGCTACACAGCTCTCCTCGAAAGTGTCGGATAGTGTTGGAGGAGTTCCTTGTCGTAGATCTCGTAATTTGACTCGACTGGGGTCAATTTCCGTGAGAAGAAACCGACAGGGCGTAAGCGACCTTGTTCGTCAACTTGCGAGACACATCCTCCCATAGCGTATCCAGAGGAGTCTGCTTCCACCACCGTGTCCTTCTCGGGATCGAACATCACTAGTAACGGCGAGCTGATCAGGTGGTTCTTCAGTGTATCGAAAGCTTCGTGCTCGTCTCTTTCCCATCTGAACCGCGCTCCATGGCGTGTGAGGTTATTCAGAGGTGCTGCGACTGCAGCAAACGAGGGGATGAACTCCCTATAAAAGTTTGCAAAACCAAGGAAAGAACGGACGTGGGACGCATTCTCTGGGTCGACCGTGATGCCTTCTCCGCAGCGAATAATGAATCCGAGCTACTTGATCTCCTTCTGGGCGAACTCGCATTTATCAATGTCAATCTGTAGGCCTGTCTTGCCTAGGCGTTGGATAATCATCTTGACCTTGTTCATATGGTCCGCGTAGCTCCCATCGGTATAGATGATCAAGTCGTCCATGTATGCTGAGCAACAAATGTCAAGCTGGTCCTGTAGAGTCGAGTTGATATACCGCTAAAAGGTGGCTGGCCCTCCCGACAGGCCAAAAGGCAAAACAAGCCATTCAAAAGATCCGAACCTTGTTCTGAACGCTGTTTTTTATTTGTCGCCCATTCAGATCCGAAGACGATAGAAAGCAGCCCTGATATCCATCTTAGTAACCCACTTTGCCTTCGTAAGATTGCGCAAGGTCTCTCTAATCAGCGGCAATGGGTACCTGTCTGATTACGTGACGGCATTCAAGGCGCAGTAATCGATACAAAAATAGAGGCCTCTGCCTGGCTTTCTTACAAACAATACTGGCACACCTGCTAGGGAAGAACTCGCCCTGATCCAACCTTTGTCTAGGTAATTTGTGAATTGTTTCCAAAGAATAAGCAATTCTTTCTGTGACATGTCGTATAGTGGTCCCCATGGAACACGTTTTGGGCGCCCGTGGTCATCCAGCTCGATATTGATGGCGTGGTCCCATCCCGGTCTATACGGTGGTACCGAATTATCATTATCATCCATAAAGAACTTCGCTTTGTCCCGAAGTTCTGTTAGTAGCTATTCTTGTAATGCGCGTAAGGTAGGCTTATTCTTTGTCATGTTCAGCTTTTTAAGCGCCTTATTAATGTCTATAATAGTGGCGGAGCCGACCTGAATTTTCTGCTTCTCTGACCTGGCCCTCTTGATCTCTGCTGTGAAAACCCGCGCTGAAGCCATGGTCGCATCCCTGACGTGCTTGGTCCGCTGAATAATGTGCTCGTTATTCATCCAACCGCTTTCTCGCACCCGTATTCTGTTGGCTGGAGCGCCAACCCGGAGTTGTCGTTTCTGGGCGCGGTAAGTCACATCGTTCTTCTCCGCCCAGGCCTTCCCGAGAATCATTTCATAGTTGAGGCCCGGCACAATATAACCATAGACTCGCTCTGTCCTGCTATTAATGTCCATAGTGACGTAAGTGATAGAGTCGATACTGTGAGCTTTTGTCTGACGTCGGAGCCTATTTTTGACCTCTTCTTCAGCTGCGAGTTTCAACTCGTGTGACTGGATAGGTATGTGTGGGAGTTTTCTTTTGTCGTCGAATCTGCTACTAAACACGGACAGAGGCAGGCAGCCAGTATCAAACAAGGCTTGAACGTAAAATGTATTGTCAATAAGTACGTCGACCAGAAATGGTGTGCTGTCCAAGCTCTCTTTTGCTACTGCCAGCTGTTCTCGTGTAGGCAGTTGACCCAGATCTTCGCTGAAAACATCCCTTTTAGGCCTCTGTGCACGACTTTGCGCAGAGGCTACTCTTTTAACTCGTCCGCTGACGAGCTATCATCATCCACCACTACGTGGTTGAGACGCGCTCTGGATGGGTCCTGAGGAAAGCCCTTGTACCGGCAGTCCCCGAAACGGTGGGAAGGCTTGCTGCTACAACGTACGCACCTTCCAGACGACTTCCGTTCTTCGTACACAGCCATGGTAATGGCGGGTGGTCGCGGGCGGTTGTCCCTATGCCCGGCATTCTTCTTGAAACTGGCGATGAATGACTTCATCACACCGACGACGCCTGCCGTGTTGCCCATGTGGGTGTCGCCGGATGCGTCAGTCGAGCCTCCTCTGTGACCACTTCTGAGTAAGGCTCCATGGGTGAGGATGCCGACGATGCGATCCTGCAAAGCACCGGGGTACCTGGAAAAGCCGATTCGCCAGCTCTCAGGCAGCAACGGGCTCGGGGAGTCGATTAGAGGTGGGCTATTGGGGTCAAATGTCATAAAGAAGGGTTTTGTGTTGATATCTGGTTTCATTGCCGCGATCTCGCGTGTGAGGAGTAGCTGTATGACTGAAGGCACGGATTCGGGTGATAATGAGTGTTCGCCTTCAGTTGCAGCTGTAGTGACAGCGATCGGCCGTCACTTCTGTGCCTTTTTGTCGCACTCTAGCTTGGAGTGCTTGCCGCCGCAGCCTGGGTTTGCGCATTTGTGTACTCTGTTGCCAGAAGGGTTCGAACAGCCTGGACTGTTGTACTTCTTGCAGATGACTGAGGCATCGTTAGGTTTCTTTATCTTGGTGGTGCTAGGGCTTTTGGTGGTGTTGGGGCGGCTGATAGTCTGAACATGTAGCCCTCCAAAACTTCGGTTTGTTTGGACCAACGCTCAGGCACAAGACCAAATCCATTTACCATCTATCCATTTGTCCGTCCAACTCTACCGATCATGTCTCCGTACTTTCCCCAGGCTATTTTAAACCACGTTCCAATATGATCGACCTGTGGCGTGATCTCGTAAAAACAGCCTCCCCCCCAGTAATATTGATGAGGACCTGGAAGATTGTCGACAACGGCCTGGCGTGACTCTTTGGCATTGCAACCGTCCTTTGCCGCATAATGCACAGTAGCCATCACGTGTATTTGACAGCAACGGCACCAGTCTCTGTAGATGTTGATCTGGTAACCTTGAAGAACGGGTGTAACTTCGTGATTGATATAATCGATCGCGTTTTTTTTATCGATATACAGGTGGATCTTGTCGTTTTGCAAAATCGGCCTGAGGGCAATGGGTTGCGAGTACTTGAGCAGTTCAATGCGAGATTCTCGGCAAATTTGTAGCAGACGTAAGCGCTGCTTGATGAGAAGGTTGCTGCTATGGGAAGGGATGATGTCGCAACCTGATTCCGTGACGGCAACCTGGAGATGGATATCGCCTGGGACGCCCCAAGCTTCCCTCCAGATCATAAGCCTGAGCTCGACTAGGAGGCTGTTCAGGTTCCCAAACATCGTAGCCTTAGAAGTCTCGCCGTTTCCAAAGCGCGGGGAAACAGCACCGTCAGAAATGATTTGCTGGGACGGAAGAGTCATATAGTTTGAGCTTTCAAAAACACGGACTTGTGCAGCCTGATCCCGAGTAGTCAAGACAGTTGTGGCAGGTGTAGCCTTTCCTTACACGTCAGTTGGAACTGGTTTGATGGCTATCCATAGAGATCCCGACCATCAACAAAGATGAGTGTTCATAGACCCCTCGATATCATCTTCCTCTTTACCATCGACGCAGACGGTACATAGAGTAGAGAGTGGTTGGTCCCTTTAGCGGCGCAATAATGGAAGAAAGCTGGAAAGTGAGCGATATGGACACGTACCTTCTATGCAGTGCCTGGGGTTATCCGTCTTTGAATCGCTGAAACTCGACCGCACGCCGGCTCTTTGGCACGAAAGGATAAGGTGGTGGACAGAGGAGGAGATAGCTGGGTTGCCTACCAATTGTCACTCAAGACGATTTATTGTGGCGGCGTGGCAGGAGAACGGCGACGGAGTGTGTGGGTCGTTACAGGGATAGCAATGCAACTTCTTCCAGATGGCTGCACTGTCGTACACTCTGGCCATTGTGCCTAGCTGCATGGTCGCTGGGCCTCCTGTCCTTCACGAATCATTACTGACTTTCTCTTTCCTAATAGGACACGTTGAAATCTCAGAACGTGTGCCACCCACCGAGCTCCATTGGATACAAGGGACCCGAGGTCAGACCATATAATCTAGCTGATTACATTATACCGTGGGGTGGATAGACTCCAATACTCATTGCCTGCCATCTGGGACTCCAAACCCTTCAGGTGAGTCTCGAGGGCCTGGCTCGGAGATTTACCAAGAATCTCTTGAACGAGTTCGGCATATCGGAATTCCCATGCCCGAATCATTTGCCACATGACGAGCATTGTCCCATCCTCGTTTAGGCCGCACAGGTTCATCATAATGGGTACAGATGAACAGATTGCGCCAAGCTCGCGGCCATTCTGTGCGGCGAGAACTTCCTTTTCGATACCTTCAAACCGGACCCTTGCGGACCGCTCGGACATGAACGACTGGACCCATCTTATGAGAAAGTCCGGCCAGCCCTGTTCTCTCATACGGACCACCAGTCGTCCCATTAGGGCAGCGTCGAAGGCACCTTTCACATCTGATGTGACTACCGTTGCAACGAGGCCTTGGTCGAGGGCCTGCTCGATGTCGTGTATGAGTGCAGCTACCAAGCGGTATTTTACCTTCAGTGGCCAGGGAGCCGCAATTGCATCTCGCACCACGAAGGGCATGGACAGAGGCCACGGCGGTGTTATTAGCAACGGGAGGTCCCCCTCGCGAACCTCATCGGGAGCCCCCCGAGAGTCCACGCGGACAAGCTCGTGGTCTCATGCCACTTCAGCTGGCTTGCAGTGGTAGAATGGAGTGTGAACCAGCTGTAGCAGACAATTGGAATTCAACGAGTCTCGTCATCTTTCTGCGCTCGATTCCTTTGCTGAGTATCGTCTCTTCCAACTTAGCGGGAAAGATAGGTAAAATGTTATAGAAATCGTGCAGTAGCCGCTTTGCTTAAGTAAGTAGATGTGCGGCATTACTTGGACCAAGGATATATGTCCTTTCATTCTTTGGATTAAATAATAAACGAGTCCTTCTGAGAGAAGAGCCACAAGAACACCGAACTAAAGAAGCAGTCAGCTAGATATCGTCCTGATATATTGTGTGCCCCTATTTGCCAACTCACATTGCCTATGCGGATATGAGTTTGAGGTAATTGAGTGCCTAGATTGTTCGGCAATGTGGCGTAAAGTCTCTGTAGCAGGAATGATTGAGGAGATAAAGACGGCCATGGGCGCGGAGAAAAGGAGGGAAGAGCCGGCGCGGAATAATATAATGGGTTCCCGAAAGCTGACTACGTCACTCCGTTTTATCCCCGTAATCTCCATTGGAATAAGCCGATGCCTGATGGTGCTGCTAACTCCACAATCTCCATGGAATTAGGAGATCTTATCTCCGCGAGACTCTCATTGATCAAGAGGAATACATCAGGAAGATTGTGTCCAAGTACGGCGAGGAGACCACCAAATACACCGGAACACCCTGGAAGACAGACATGGTGATTCCGCCTTCCTGGGAATCAGTTTCAGACGTTCTGAAGAAGCGGTATCTCAAACAGACTGGTTCCCTCAACTACGCCTCCACTAACACACGCCCTGACATCGTGAAGACCGTCAGCACAACACTGGTTGCTCGATGGTGTTTTGGACGACGCCTCGGATTTGCTGTTGAACGATCAGACTATATTCTGCCATTACATGGCCATTGTTGACGTACCTCCACTTCGAAGATAGAAGCTAACAGATCCAAAGCTTTTATATCCTGTAGATGGAACCCGTTCTTTACAAGGCTTCTTACGCGCGGGCCAATACCCTTCCTCTCGGATGGCTTTGCAAATATTATCTGGTGACACTGACGCCATAGGGACTTATGTTATTACATTTATCAGCTATGCGAAAGGCAGTTCCGTTAAGAACGAGTATGACGAGGTGTCGATGGGAGGTAATCAGCCTCTGGCGGGGTTGAAATAAGTCGCAAATTGGTCAGGCAAGGAAAGGACATCCCCCACTTTGGGCCCGCTGGGTTCAGCCACAGTGGCAGCTGTGGGCAGGGGCCCTGCCCTGTGATGATCGTATAACCCCACTTCAAGCAGAACCCTCAGCCTTGCCAACCCTATTTTCTCCTACCCCCCATTCCATATCACCACAGTCAACTGTCTCTCTGACGACCACACCTCATCAGGCTCTAAAAATCCTTCGACACGAAGCCCACGGTACGCACTCCGATTCGACCTTACGGTCCTTCATCCCATGCCTGACACCATACGATAAGAGCTGACTCGTCATCAGGTCAACAGGGCGAAGCCTGACGCCAGAGCTCACTACGAACCATTCCTCAAGCCCGATCGCCCCGATACCTCGTTCGCCGACCGAGAGTCACCACGGCCATTCAAAGCGATCCGGAGCAAGCATGTCTCCTTTGCGGAGCGCAGCGCGGGTGGAGTGGCGGTCCGGAGCCCGGCCTACATCGCGTTCCACTGTATAGTCACGGAGCCTCGCCGAGAACGAGAGGATGGACTTGAGTCAACACGAAGAAGTTCGTTTTCTCTGAGGTCTGATATAGTTAGTAAAAGTATGTTAATCGGCAGTGGAGAGGGATGTACCGTAGACCACACGGTGGACGACCCTGGCGTACCGTGTGGACCACTTTGTAGACGTTTGTGGTAGCTAGACACCCTTCGCTCACTACTGTAGTGCCACTGGGAGCGTCCTCGAGGCAGGTTGCTCGTTGCCGTAATCTCAATGACAAAAACCTTGGTAGCGGTCAGAACTCCTTCGCCCATTACTATCGTTTCATGTCGACCAACGTAGAAGTCCATGGTAGCCGAATTCCCGGTCGGTCGCTCGCTCTCGTGGACTTACTCGGGGAAGCAGATCTACGAGAGTCTCTGTGCGACCGCAACACCTCCTATTATGTCTGATTTCCGTATGACATGCCAGCTGGTCAAGCCCCTGACGGAAAGGTCAACCAACTCGCACCCACATCCCAGAAAAGGTCGGGCATCCCGGTCAACGAGCGCATGTTCCAGGGTAGACGACTTCTAGAGTGGTCGCTGCCCCTGAGATATTGAAGAAGTGTGTCCACTGTTTAGCTGCGGTGACAACCTCGTGAACCCGGCTTGGTTTAGCGCGATATGCCGGCTCCTGGACGGTCCCTGTCTGGCTCAGGGAACGCTTTGAGATGGTGCTTATCGAGATGAAAGATCCCCGCGCAGGATCGCTTCTATAAGTTGGCTATTCCTTGCCCACTCTGCCAGAAGCGTACGCTGAGAGGTGGGAAGAGACCAATAGCTACCTCGAGAGCGTCAGCAGAGCTCGTCAAGCTCTAGGAATCCTTTGACACAAAGTCCAAGGTATGCAGTCTCATTTGACATTGCTTTCCTTCGTCCCACCCATGACGCCATGTAATACGAGCTGACTCGTTCCCAGGTCAACTGGGAAAAGATTGCTGCCCGAGCCGGCTTCAAGGATGCATTATCCGTCTCCTGTAACCACCTCATGCAACGTCGTGAAAACTCTATTCGCCTCCACCACTCCCTGGTGTCTATCGCTGACCAGTATATCGATTATCTGGAAGCAGAGCTTCTCTCAGAGCGTCGGAAATACACGCGACTGCAACAGGAACTCGCACGACTAATGCTCCGACCGAGAGGGGATCCATTGTTGAACCAGTCTGACAAGAACTGCACCGTTTGTGAACAGGGGCCTGGTTACATACAATGCACGAAGTTCAAGGCCTTGAAAGGAAACCGCTGAGCTCATTGTATTCGGCCACGGCAGCATAGCACGTGAGAGTTAGCTCCGGTGTGGCAGTGCAAACTCAACGGTCGGCAAAGGGAGAGGGCGGGGTCAAGCCCGGGATTACTTCGGATTTGACAGCCTCAAGCTCTCGGGTAACATGTAGCACAAGTATGACCTGTTGATTACAACAAGCTGAGGTTGGTACAAAGGGAGCAGTGCGAGGTTCAACCTGTCCAGAAACCATGCCCATTCTAACGCAACCAAGCTCTCTTTGGGCAGATTGTGGCAAGCTCAGCAATGATGAAATCGAGGGACTTATCATCGAAGGTCGCCATCTCACTGAATTGCTGCAAGCCGAGCTTAAGTTGCGTCAGACGACACGGGTGGAGCTAGACCTGGGAAGCGAAGTAAAGCGAAAAGCAGTGAGAATCCAGAGGGATGGACTAAGTGCGCCTGATTTAGGGCTGATGGCAGACGCTGATAATCTCGGAATGGCAGTTATGAGGGACGGTCTGAGCTCCGTCAAAGAGGGTCTGATAAAATGGGACCATATTGCATATACCGAGTTAATCTGGTTGGTATCCAGCACCACAACATCTGCGCACGCGCTTCTTCTTGTTCTTGCTGTTAGCAAGAGAAGGCTGGAGAAAATCAATCTCTATAAGAAGTCGATGCTTGTGTCCTACATCAAGCAGCACGAAGAAACGCTCTTCTGCGCCTGTCTTGAGTCCGCAGCTCGTTCACTGGTCCATGCCCGAAATAGTACGTGGCAACCAGAAATATGAAAGGCTTCGTATGGATACTGACGTACTATAGTGACAGACATGGTCCCAGTTTCGAGTAGCTTCTGTGATGCAGCCCTTTCCAACGTCGAGAAACTCGAATTAGATGTCTCGCTTGTTGTGACAGACAACGAAGTCTCTCGCGGATACAAAGACTCCCTCGCAACTGGTCCTGGGCTTCAGATGAGTACTCATAATGGCCGGATTGCCACCCCGACCAGTCAAGATGTGCTTTGGACAAGTCCAGCGTGTAATCAATCAGGGCCGCGGGTTTTGGAACGTGACAATACCAGAGCGAGCAGGCGACGCATTAACATACCTGACCCTGCACGACCATTGTCCATGGGTAATTCCGGCATTGGCCGAGTCGAAATCGTACTTAAACATATTCAACTCTACACAAACGACTGGAGCTCACGTTCCAGCGGCGGCCTCTTGGCAGGCACCATCTTGGGTCCAGACCAGGAGAAGGAAGCATTCAACGCCCTACGAGTTATGCAAGACAAGCTGATCTACGGCGTGGGCATTATGGCCCAGAAACCTACTCCCAAGGCATGGCAGCTCATAAACGAAGGTTGCCAAATGATTGATGGTGTTCTGTTGCAACAATCACGCAGTATGATCCGTCTGCTCCTCCGTATCTTCGGTGGGGAAGGGTGGGATCGCTTCCCCTAGCTTCGTGCCTGTCTATTGAGACACTTTGCGACCACCTCGGACGTGCGGCTTGGTTACGACCACCCGCTCTCCATAATCCTGTCTCTCTTGCAGGATAAAGATGTCCTTGAAAGCACGCTGGAGCAAGCCTTCTTGGTTATCATGGGCAATCTTGAGAAGGAGCTCGATGACACCGCTAACGAGATGCACTTCCTGCGCGTCGACTTGTGTTTCCTACTACTCGAACAGGATACCACCTGAAATGAGGGATCTCATTGACCGATGTACTAGGGGAAGAAGAGAGGGCCTGGCCAGCATCATCGTCCGGCAATCTAGTCGATTGGTTTTGCGGAACACACCGACCAACGACCAAAGCGCTGACGATGTCAGAACAGCCGCCAAGCGCTTCTGGACATCGGAAATCGAGGTGGCTGAGAGATTCCTGGGCATGAGGAGCTCGCACCAGGCTCTGGGTACATGGAATGACAACTACTACGACCGGCCTACACTCAGGGAAGTTATGGCCGCACTCGAGTCTTGTCGAGAAAAACTTATTGGAAACCACTGGGTTCAGTGGGAAATCTAGGGAGAGACGTAGCCGAACAGACATCATGTCTTATGATAGCAGTGGCGGCACGAGTGGCAGTATTTCCAACCGGACCAACACGGTGGCCTCGTACTCGATTCCCAAGTGGAGACCCTGCATGCAACCGGCCCGGATAGGAACCGACATTATCAACTCGAGGCGGGCTGTATGATTTCAACTGCATGTCTTCCTTGCTCGTGAATGCAACCATGCAGCCCCTGAACAGTGACGATGATGCAACAGCCCCTGCTTAGGAACGCCAACCCAACCCATGACTTACTCTCCCTAGTCAGTGCCATGTCATATTGCTCATGCGGGGGGCCCACTGCCTTCTGGGAGCTGCATTCGGCTTGTCAGTCCTCATTTGTTTATTGGGCCGCTTTTCCTTGTCTGTTAATAATGGCCTCTTGAACAGTCTCCGAGGAGCGACCGGTATATCGGCACCATGTCGCCCCTGACTTGAAGGAAGTGCGTTGGTATTGTTGGATATAAGCGGGAACCCCTATACCGAATCCAGCGGTAGATAGCCTGGAAGACCCTATTCCGCTTTCAGGGTATCTGCTTCCGTGCAGAAGGAATGGAGTGGACAAAAGGCCCCGAGCAATCAGCTGCTCAAAGGGCGCCAGTAACATCTCCCACCCCCCTGCGGACCACCCCCCCGCGGACCAGCGCGTTCTGACCCACAAACGCGTAATTCAACAACCACCAGGATTATGGTGATCCACCATCTACACCATCACTTTTGCATCTTTTTTTTCACAAAGCACACTATTTGAATCCTTATCCACTGCTGAATCTCATGATGTCATTTTATAACTGTCAAATAAAAGCTGAAGCCGCCATTTTGGCCATCCAACGCGGAGCTCCAGTCCGCTCGTCAGCCCTCAAATGGCAAATCAGTCGCTCGTACGTCAACCGACGAATCTCTGGCACCCCAACGCGGAATGAGACCAGCGCTCTCCAACAGGCTCTCTCACCGTATCTCGAACATAAGCTGGCAAGCTGGGCCCTGGGGCAAGCACGGCTAGGGTATTCTCCGGCGGTCTCTAAGTTCCGTCTCATGGCCCAGCGGATGCTCCATGCCACCGGGGATGCTCGAGAATTAGGGAAAAATTAGGCATCCAAGTTCCTGTCTTGAAACCCGGAAGTCAAGATAATGAAGTCTCGTATTATCAACTACAACCGAGTGAATGGTGCTACAGCGGCAAATATCAACATTTTTTTCGATTGGTGTGACGCCCCGGACGTGATTAACCTCATGCTAGCACGCTGGTACAATGTCGATGAAATGGGAATCGCCCAGGGGGTTGGGGACTCCCATTGGGTGGTCTCCGAGGCCTCTGGCAACGTGGCTATGAAGAAAGGGGTCGAGAAGAGTGAATGGATAACTGCCCTAGAGTGTGTGAGCGGATCTGGTGAGACCTTGCCGCCGCTGGTGATTCTCAAGGGGGTTAACGTACAAGCCCAGTGGTTTAGCAACCAAAACGAGGACAAATTCACCGACTGGAGGTTTATTACGTCGCCCAATGGATGGACCTCGAATCCCATTGCGTTAGAATGGCTTCAACGTATCTTTATTCCTTACATTCGGGAGGTCCATGGCAACACATGGGTGGTTTTGGTGTGTGATGGCCACGACTCCCACATAAATGACGAGTTCCTAGCCACCTGCTTGAGAAACAAAGTATGGTTGATCTTTTATGAACCTCACTGCTCCCATGTAGTCCAGGTGTTAGATGTGGGAGTCTTCAATTTGGTAAAGAAGAGGTTAAAGACCTTACTCCAGGAGACGCCCAGCGGCTGTCTTGGACTCAGGCCATCTAAAGAGGAGGTTTTGGAGTGCTACGAGCAGGCCCGGAAGGACATAATGACGCTCCTCAACATCAGAATTACCTGGAAAAATACTGGGATTGTTCCTCACAACAGAGCGGAGGCATTGAAGTCGAAATATGTGATTCTGGAGGACAAGGGGGTGGCCAGGGCCCGCCAGAGGGACTCTAAGGCTTCTGAGCGAGCCACAACACCAGATTTTCTCGAGATGGTAGCTAAAACCATTATCACAACACCCTCTGGAAGCCGGGCTTTGCGGGAAAGTTCTCGAAAGCTCGAAAGAAAGGACCCTTCCTTTGGGGGGCCCTCTGAACGCTTGTTGGTGCGGAAGGCTGGCAAGGCCATGGATGTTCAGGCTGTTACCATTACAAATCTACGGGCCAAATATGAGCTGCTTGAGGCTCAAGTGGCTAAAAAGGCTAATACCACTCGAAAAGCAGTCAAATCAACACCAGGGGAACGATTCGTCACAATGGTTAACATAAGGGAGGCCAAAATGGAGCTGAGGAACAGGAGGGTCTATAGGGACTCCGCTGCAGGCGAAGAGGTCCCACAAGAGGTCCCTGGTGAAGATTTAGGGTCGGAATCGGATTCTGGGAGCTGTATTATGGTTAGAACACCACGACCTTAGTGTATTTAGCAACTGTGGTTGTTGTAGATGGCTTCATCTGAATGAGAGTGGTGTGGTGTGGAGTGGTCCGTGGGGGGGTGGTCCGCATGGGGGGGTGAGATGTTACCAATCGCAACAACTTCCTGTTCAATATCGGTATTCACCCATACCACAGTGGCAGCCCCCTGTTACATACGTCTCCCTCTATCCATATACCTCTGTCCGATTTCACTGCCTTCACACACCCTGCTGCCGGGCTCGGCTCCCATCGCTAGCCTAACTTTCTAGGTAGGCGTATTTCCATTGCTACGTGTCACATTCAACAAAGCTGCCTAGGGACCCTTGGTGGTTGCCTGGATCAGAACCGGTTGGAGGTCAATATCACAGGTTGGGCAGGTCATCACACTACATGGGCAGAACGAGAAGCCTGGTCCATTTTCTTGTCCCTCCATCGGTAGTCCCGAAGGCATTCAAAGGGTATGTACTAGAACCTACAAATAACTGTACCTGTTATTTCTAGTATGCACCCCCGTGAACGGTGTGGTATCATCGGGTTCAGCTGGACCTGTCACTTGCGATGTATTCCTTCCTAGCCGTCAGATGTGCCAACCCTGATGATACGTGCCAAGTCGGCGGCCTGCACGTTTGGCCCTCATGGTGTAACTACTATCTACATCCACTGTGTACTTAGACAAAGGGGGGCAGAACAGGAGGGGCTGCGGTGAGGAACGAATCAATGACTAAAAGGAGGCTTTTTACTTCTTAGCTCATTTTCTTCTCCTGATATAACAACACGACCTGGGGCAGGCTTAGATATGAGGCCTCCTGCAGCGGATTTATACCCGATCCCCGGACCAGGGAGCGTGGACAGCTATCTCTGGCTCAGGCCGTTGGATGAAGGTTGGCACTGGAGGCTAAGAGAGCCAATCATCTCCATCACAAGCCGCTGCACGAACCAACACAGTTTCGAGTCTGAAAGCCTGGTACACGTGTCCTCGTACTGGATTGCTGGCTGACGTGCGGGCCATCACTATGTCACACACCTACACGCTTCATGATATGGCATGCTTGACATTGAGCAGAACGTATCCGCGGAAGACTCATATGCTTGTTCCCAGGACCACTGTTTGCTTACCCTCGAGCTCATCCTTGCCTGCATACTGCTTGTGCTTGGTCTAGGGTGTGGGAATTGAGCAGTGTTGTGGAGATCGCCCGTCTACAGTGGCCGGGCAGTCCAAGGCTCCCGGACGCGAGTACGTCACGACATATGCAGGCGAGACAATATGCTCCCGGTAAGCCCTTCTTCTGATGTGTCTAACCAGCTCAGAATTGCATGATCCCTTCTACGACATGCATCGACGAAGGCATTATGCAAGCAGTGATGCTTATACATGTGGCTCTGCCTGCTCCTGTTAAACGGCGTATGTTATGATTTTTCTGGTTGACAACGTGTATTCTGGTGATTCTTATTAGAGTGTGTATCTGAAGGATCTGTTGTTGTAAGCAACAGGGCCCGAAATTGCCCTGGAGGTCATGTTGGTGCACTGCCACCTCCCTGAACGCCACTGTGGCTTGCGTGCCATTTGACAGCTCCGGTCCGAAAGTCTATGCCGACCAAAGCTTACAGTACTCGCCACCTCGACGTATCAACTCCTCGTGGTTGCCCTGTTCTATAATTGTCCCCCCGGAGATAACACAGATAACGTCGGCTTTTTATATTATAAGAAGCCGATGCCTAAATATAGGTAAGAAATTAGAAAGTCACAATCAGCTGGTAGTAAGAAACTTACGCGATAATAAAGGTGGTTCGGCCTTGATAAAGAGCACGGAGTCCTTTTTGGATCTCCTGCTCCGTCACAGTATCCACAGAGCTGGTTGCCTTGTCAAGAAGCACAATAGATGGGTTCTGGAGGAATGCTCTAGCAATGGCGATACGTTGCACCTCGCCGCCAGATAGTTTCCTGTGAATATCAGCAAAATGTTATAGAGTATTTGAACTTTACTCACACTTCACGTTCCCTAACTTCCGTATCGTAACCGTCAGGAAATCTACAGATCTGCTTATGAATAGCGGCTGCCTTGCATGCGTTATAAACATCCTCGTCCGAGGCGCCAAGTCGAGCACATCTGACGTTGTTTAACACGGTACCTTCAAAGAGGAAAGGGTCTTGCGAGACTATGCCGATACATTCATGTATGCTAGGTCGTAAGATCGATCAGCCCGCGGAACAGTGCCAACGAACAGGACCTGGTAAAAGATGAGAGAACACTGAGCCATACCTGGGTAGAGTGACGTCTCGGGTATCCTGTCCATCAATTCTAACAGCCCCTTTAGTGACGTTGTAAAACCGGCTGAGAAGTCTTAGGATAGTTGACTTTCCGGCACCACTCATACCAACAAGAGCGACAATAGTGCCTCGCGAGACTGACAGGTGAAGTCCTCTCAAGACATCACGCACCCCGTCGTAGCTGAAATGGACGTTTACAAGCTCAACTTGGCCACTAACAGGTTGTAAAGGTTTGGCATCGGGCTTCTCGATCACTGTTGGTTTTGCCTGCATGATCTCCAGCAGCTTCTCAGTGTTCATCAGGATTTGACTAATCCTCCCCCCTAAGGAGGAGAAGAATGTGATAGGCGAGATAAAGCGAGTCCAGTAAGTCAGTAGCATAATAAAGTCTCCCGCAGTAGCTCGCCCATTCGTGACCTGGTACACGACTAGGAGAGCGCCGGCGAGTTGACCTGCCAGTACGGTCAAAGACCTAAGGGCGTTGGTGAGAGACACCCACCAAGAGACTGACTTAGATGCCCAAATTTGATAAGCAAATACGTAAAAGCAACCATCAAGTCAACGAGAGCAGGTAGCGTTTGACACCTCGAGCATGCCCGAGACCGTGCCGGCATTCAGAAGAGCCATGTTGAGGTCGGATGAGCTCTTGGAGTTGTGGAACGCCAAAGAAAGATTCATTATGTGTGAGTATGTCGCAACTGTCAGTGCCTCTTCCGAATAGCACTCCAAAGGCTTCCAAAGAAACTGCCGTACCAGGCGAATCCCGGCATCAGACGATAGAAATTGGAGGCCGGTAAAAACGGCGACCTGAACCCATGGGTCCTTTGCTGAAGTTCCGTTCAAGGAGTCTATTATAGCTCCGTACTGACGCGGTTGGAGAAAGTTGACTATGTTTTCGGCTAGCAGGCAAAGGCCTACCAGCGCGACTCAAAGCTGCAGGCATCGGTTGTTGGCAGGCCAAATATATGGAAATAAGATCGAGAACTTCCTGACACTGTCGAGCCAGTTCCCCTTCTCTGTGTTGCCTTCTATGCTGCTCGTATCAGATGAGCTTGCCCCGTAACCGCTGTTTGTTACTATGTTACCGCCGCCCGGCTTACGCTTTGCGTGGGAAAGTAGCGAACGTTTTGAGTCACGTTCTCCGTGTTCTATCTGACTCTCGCAGGAGAAATAAATCTTGAAGGTGCTAAGCACAAGCACGTATCGGACAACGGCGAGAAAAGCATGGCCAAAAACCGGTAACTTGTCGTAATTCGGAGAAGGGGTTTGGATCTGAGCGAGTAGCAGTACGATGTTTGCAAGATCGCAAAGAAGAGCAATCACCCATGAGCCGTAAAATCGATACCATATGACATCGGAAGCGCCTGTGAGGACATCAAGCTCTATGCCGAAAACCAGGATGCATGAGAGCAAGCTGACAATGGCATCCTCTGAAGGCCAGTGATGCCATATGATCACCTCGACGACTTCGAGTGTCCTTTCGAGACAAAAGCAACCAATGAATAGAAGAAGGCAGCAACAAATAGGAAATTTCTTAGGATGGGTTCAAATGGCACCTCCTAATGAGGGCAGGCACATCGCGATGATGGAGGTAACAGCAAAGCAGAGAAAGACTGCCAAGGGATAGGTGTAGTGCAGCACTACCAGGAGCTGTAGCGGGAAGTCGAGATTCATGATGACCGGTTATATGTAGTGCTTAGAGCAGAAGCCCGCTATCGACAATGGGATAAAAGGCAGTAAAGCTCAAGCTTGGGTTGCAAGTTACTGAGTTGATAATGGTAAGTGAGGTAGATGCAAAACGAAGGAGAGGGACGCGCTGGTCGATTTAGAAAACCCCCCCACTCGGAACCCTCTGGTGATCTGCTCCCTAATTAGCTTACACCCCTAATACAGTATAGACTCAATTTTATACTATGAGCTTCACTATTAATAACCAGGCTTGTAGGTTGCTATACTTGTATTAAAGAAACAAGTCAAGTCTGCCACTGTCTAGGGCCACTGTCTGGGAAAGTCAAGAGAATGCGAATAGTCAACCGAAGGACAATGTGACTCCACAAATAGCTAATCTGACCAGGAATTGCCTGCTTACGCAAGATCGATGAAACAAATCCCAGCTCGATGGCGTTTAAAACACCTCCCCTGCGCATAAGAATGGATAGTATCCCGAGGAAAATGTCTGGCTCAAGGTGTCATCCGTGACAGAACTGCCATTGCCCTAATGAACATGCTGTAGTTGCTGGCACAAGAACATTGCTAACAAGCACCAGCTGCGGATATGTGTCCTGCGTCAATGCCCTTGACAGTTTGAATAACACGTTGTCCTTCGGGTGACATTGCGTATTCTTGGAGTGCCGGGGATGGATGGTGTACAGATAGCCAGCAAAGGAACAGCCAGGTCTCGTTTTCTCGTGTCGTATTGGCCGATCGATTTCTTGTCTCCTTGGCGTGTATCTGGTACCCCATGATCTGGAGGTGGGACAGGTCGGTCAAAATATCTAGCGGCAAACCCTGCTACTAGTGAGTACAACCCCGAGAGACATAGGAAGGCTCATACCAAGTGTGGAAGGTTGATTAGAAGACAATGTCGTAGTTGCTTATCTCGCCGTTTAATAAGGTCTTCTGAAAGATCTTTAGCCTTGAAGACCATGCAGTCCTGGAGGAACCTACGAGCCTTCGTCAAGTCAAAAGCCTCAAAACTGGGTAGACCGTCGATACTGATCGCCGACCCAAGCAATGCTAGGTTAGATGCTGGAGTGTAATGATGGTCAAGGGACATCCGTGCTTAGAAAACATCCTGACGCCCGCCAGCAGCTGCGAAGACGTTGCAGAGTAATGTAAGCTTCTGAAGCCAGTCCTTTTTTTCTTGTTCGCTGTGAAGGCCTAGCCTGTCTGTCATGGCGGTTCGCCAGAGTGTCGTTATATCAGAATCGGTAAGCGTATAGAGATGCTCCTTATTGCCGTGGTCGAGTAGGATGCTGAGTTGTATTAGGTATTGGACGAATAGAACCCGTATGTAGGGCTTTGATTCCTGTCCTTAGTCAGCAATAGTATGCTGAGGGAAAGAAAGACTTGCTTTCATATCGTCCAGAAAGATAAGCCATTCCTAGAGCGGGGGCGCGCTTGTACTCAGTGTGGTCGCGATAGGACTCTCCCACCACTCGACCGCCCGCCTCAATGTCCACGAGTGCATTCACTTGAAACTCTTGCAATGCCTTTTTTCGCGCTTCTATGAAGCCATGAAAACGGCTCATACCACATATTGGTTTTGCCACTTCAGATCCGCCTTTCTCTTCTGGTGGAAGCAAGACGTTGTCGGAGCCCTTTGCTGGCGTTGTGGCTGCCATCGCCAGAGTGCGCAGGGAGACCAAACAGGTCGTATGTGCTATAGTGGCAGTTCTGACTGGTTAGAGACTGTAAATGGTAGATTGAAGTGTACGATTGTGTGTGTTGAGCAATGGGAGTTCGAGTTAGGAGCCAGATACTTTATATGAAGCTCGGAGCTTGGTTGCCTCCCCCTAGCTTTGATTTGGCTACGTACAAGCCCATGCTCCACTTTATCAAGCGATGTTTGAATCCCGGTCAGTTTCTCCTGAATGTGATCCAAAGGGCGTTGTAGCCTGCCATGTTAGCTGATAATCCAGATAAACCCCGGGACAGGAGGGCCGTACATAGCAACCTTGTCATCATGCTCTTCTTGGAGTTGTTCCGCTGTTTTCCGATCCATGACCTCTTCTGCGGTTGTCGACCTTTTCTGGTGGTTATTCATTGTTTAGAGGCCGTAATATAAGAACAGATTCGTTCTTTACCTGGTAAGCATTTGAACCCATTGTATACACTGACTAGCTGCATTATGCAGCGATACAGGACATGGGGAGAACTGCAGAGGCCCCAGCATAGTGGGGGCAACAGCGCAGCTGACTCTAATGCACGTGTAACCGCATATCGGGGAACTACTAGTCGGTGCCCGAAGTTTCCCTCTTTCTGTGGTAGTTATCTGACAGTTATATGTACATATCATGATTGCTTGTTTACACAGGTAAACATGCATTATCATGTGTAACGCATGTATCACATTGTACCCATGGTGGTTGATGTCTTGAATCTTGATGGCGGGGCCCGCGTTTATAGGGGTCGCTAGGATGATGTATAGGCGGTACCGCCACTCGTGATGCTTCAAGAGCTCGAGCTTCCCCTGGCATCATACTCATTCTAGATGAAGCCAAGATCTCTAGCTAGGCCAATCAAGATGTTCATGTCGGCATTCAGTGCGCTTGTAGGTTGCGCAATAGAGGCTGAGGTCCGGAAGAAGAGGACAACACAGTGGTTAAACAAAGTCGATGGACAGAACTTGAAGAACGCCAACTACGGGGCTGGACAATAGCAGAGAAGGGATGGCCATGGATTGCGCACAGGTTGAGCCGAAGCAAGGGGGCTGTCTCACAGCATTGGGCCATTATGCTAAAGGGAGGCTGAAATAGATAACGGGTGAACAGTGTCTATATGTCGAGGTCTTATGTCTCGGACAACATTCAAGTTCTGAACCTTTAGGTCTGGAGCCTTGGACTACTGGTCGTCTTTAGATACGGCTTGGCCTTTGCGATTCGGGCTTTACCTCAGACCATAGAATGCTAATCAACGGTAGCCAAAGGCGGTTCGTATAACTTTGGGTGGCACTAATTGCCATCGATTGTACGCTCTGTCTTTGTTACCATTACACGATGACGTGCAGATATCTACCAACGCAACACAATGTTCTTCTTTCAACGGTTAACGGGTAGCCTGCGGCACCACCTCGTCTCTCGTCCAGCTCAACATGTTTTTCGGTCACGAGCAAGAAGACATACTGTCCTGTTATAGGAATTGTCGAGCGCGAGCCGCAATCGATTAGACATTACTTAAGATCAAAGGCCAGGTCTCTTCTTGCCAGTATGGGACGCCAATGTCATTTTGTCAGCCTTAGGGCTACATGGCTAAATATTCTGGGGCAGTGGTATCATTCAAGGGGCTGTGAGGAGATCTTACCAGTGGAAGGATCAACTCTAGATGCAAACAACCGTGCTACCTACATCGTACCCACAGCATGTGGTGAATGGTACTGGGGTATCGACAACTATCTGAGAGCCCTTTCTGTTAATTAGTTAGCTGAGCGTCATGGGGGTAAGAATAGTTAACCTCCGTTGTATATCTCTGCTCATCCGGTGGGGAGTAACACTTTCAAGCTGTGAGAGAGCAACCTGGGCCATCTGTTGACTCACGACCTTGCTAAATGGGCCCAGACGTCATAACAAATGCTGTTACTCGAATCGTTCTAAGATACTCATGTCTTGTTCAACTACACGCCCGATACTATCCGCCTCATATAAGGCATGCTGTTAGTAGCCTCTCCGCTTAGATATGGTGTACAGTCCTAGCCCCAAGTACGTCCTGAGAGGCGGCGTACTGTGGTGAGGTCTAGTCGGAAGAGTGGATCATTGCCTCATATTATCCATACTGGTTGCACCTTCTTTTTAAAATTATTTTTCTTGGCGCCCACTGTAGTGGGTAGCCTACCCCAGCCAGCCATTACGCTAACAGACGCCTCCATCTGGCCAAAACACCAAACCCCGGATCTCACGATCCTCGCTATGGCTTACCAGCCATTAGCTGCCGCTGTCCCTGCGACTCTTCCCTTGGGGGACAGCGCAGCGCAGCGGCACCCCCCGCCTCTCAGCTCAGCCGGGTGTCTGAGATTACTCCGCACACGGAGAAATTCAACACGATGGGCCCCAATCCCAACGGTGCTCTTAAGAAGGGATAACAAAGACAAGAATGACGCTGTCTCCAAAACAGCCTCTACCCCCATCAGCCTCTTCACAAAGCCTGATGGTCTCAGTGTCTCCATACACACTACCCAGGCCCAAAGCTCGGCTCTATAAGCCCTGCACCAAGCAGTAAATGAACAACGCCGCAAGGAGAAAATTCAAACGGATATCCTAGAACTCGTCGCCAGATCCCTCGACACAGTCGGCGCGACCGTGGCAAAGGACCCAGAACAGCTGGCCTACGCCCAACAGATAGCCACCAGCTTTTCCCAGTTCCTCCGCACGAACGTACTCGCCAACAGCGAAGGACAGGAGCCGGCAGGAACAGAACCCCTGCGCAGCAAAAGAGGTGCCTAAGCACACCCCATCACAGACCCAATAAAGGCCACAAAAAACCCCGTACGACCCACGTATGCAGGGTCACTGCGAATGGCACCCAGCCCCAGGCAGCTGGAAACGGCCCTAAGAAACACGCCGGGACCAGACCGCCGACGGAGAAAAAAGACCTCCGTATATTCATAAGGCTTCCAAAAGACCAGCTCGGCTGGTCTAGAACTATCAGCACATACGCCCTTCGAAAAACTATCACCAAGGAGCTAAACCTCGTGGCTTCCAATGTGGCAGATGCACACAGAATCCCTACCGGCTTGTCTCTTTGACCAAGGGATAAAACTGCACAAGGAAGGATCCTAGCACAAAAGACAAAACTAGCTCAGCTCACAAAAGCCTCTACAGTAGAACTACCCGTCAAGTGGCACACTTATGCCCTCCCGAACTGTCCAACTAGACTTACCAACATGGAACTTGAAGACGTGGAGATCACATCAGAAATGACCCTAGATGAATGCGAATTCCAGACCGGCCGCCGCCCGGTTAATGCACGTATATCCAATCCCAGGGCCTACAGACCAATATCGCTACTGTCATGTCTTGGCAAGGGCCTAGAACGACTCATTGCGAAAAGAATTACCTGGTTTGTTGTCAAACTTGGAATTCTAGCCCCACAACATTTTGGAGCTCTACCAAAGCGCTCTGCCACTGACCTGGTAGCTGCACTCATACACGATATTGAGCAGGCCCTTGACCAAGGCCTCGTTGCAACGGTAGTCACATCAGATGTGAAAGGGGCCTTTGATGCTGCCCTAATGGGACGGCTGGTGGTTCGCATGAGAGAACAGGGCTGGCCAGGCTTTCTCATAAGATGGGTCCAGTCGTTCATGTCCGAGCGGTCCGCAAGAGTTCGGTTTGAAGGTACTGTGACCGATATAAAAGCTCTCACTTGTGGGCTCCCACAAGGTTCACCAGTCTCTCCAATCCTCTACATGCTGTATACAGAGCCAATCTGTGCCCGACTTGGCATGAAAAGAAGACGCTTTGGATATGCAGATGACCTAGCAACACTCTGCATTGGAAAGAACCTTAAAGAAACAGCTACAGAGGCTTCTGAAAACCTTCATTTGCTCAACCAATGGGGACATAACAATGCTATTGAATTTGATCCCGACAAAACCGAGATCATGCACTTCTCACGGAAAAAGAACTCAGACAATCCCCCAGTTTGCCACGGAATAATGAACAAAACAGCTAAGCATTCCATGTGATGGCTAGGTGTCCTTCTGGATAGGAAACTAAACTTCAAAGACCATGTTTCTCACTGGGCCAAGAAAGCTAGTAAGGTAACAAATCACCTTCGAGGACTATGCAACACAGTCAAAGGACTTCCAGTAAAGTCAACCAAGAGGGCTGTGAAAGCTTGTGTTATTCCTATTCTCACACATGGCCTGGAGGCCTGGTACCCAGGAATCGAGAAAGCTGGGAGTTTAGGTGAGACATCAGCATGTCGCATTAAGGGGCTTCTTGGAACAATAGATGCCGTACTACGAACGGCGATCAGGGCTATCTTGCCAGTCTGGAAAACACACCCTGGACATATCTTACACTTTGAATCGCAGATTCCCCCAGCAGAAGTTCTTGCAGAGTCAATAAGACAACGTCACGGCCTCCGACTAGGACGAATAGATCAGAGACACCCTCTGGTTGGCAGGCTCCAAATACAAGCTCGCAAGGATCCAACAAGGCTACAAAGGAGCTTCCAGCTAGTCCCTGACTTCCAGAGACCAATACTTACCAGGCCATCATGGAAGAAGCGCCCAATCCGCAAAGACAAAGACAAAGAAACAGAGCTCTTCAAGCAATGGTTACAAGAGAGAAACGTGAACACTGACCTTGTCATCTACTCAGATGGATCACAGTTGGATGACCAAGGCACAATCCGCACTGGATGGGGTTATACCATCAGGAAAGGCGGCACTACACAAGAAGTATACCGGGGAAGGGGCAGACTTCTACAAGCAGAAGTAGTAGATGCTAAAGTCCATGGTGCTCTCCAAGGTCTTGCAGCAGCCAGGGCAATTGGACACAGAAAACAGCTATATGTCTGCCTGGACAACACGTCAGTGGTAGAAGGGCTCAATGGGACTCCACCCGAGACATCACAAAACATTTTTCTACGATTTCAAGAACTTGCCACAGCACACACTCCTGGAGTGACCGTCAAATGGATTCCTGGACACAGAGATATTGATGGTAATGAAGCTGCCGACACACTAGCAAAAGAGGGTGCCATGCTGAAAACAGACACAACAAATCTTCCTACAATCTCTTGGGTCAAGAGAGATCTCAAAAGACAGGGCAAGAAAGAGTTCAACCAATGGTGGAAAGACCAATCAGAATCTAGGTATCAAGAAGTATACTCACATACAGTAACTGAAAGAGACCTTATATCTTTTAAGAGGAGTACTTTACACAGACTTCTAGCGGCCAGATCTGGACATGGCGACTTTGCCAGATACCATGAACGCTTTGGGCACACAGACTCAAATGATCACTGCAGCTGTGGTGAGAAGAAAACACCACAACACATTTTCTTTTGTAAGAGGCTGGGGAAAAATCGGCTACTGCCTAGGCATTCGCCTAGGGCAGCTTGTTTACAATACTTAGGGGAGAGGAGCACATAATGGGCAAAATTCGTGGAGAAGAGCAAGTTCTTTTCAACAATCTGCCCCCGATAGATAGCCTTCCTTGAAGGACCAGATGGATGACCCCAAGGTCATACCGCCGCAACAACGGGGATGGGCCCGTGAGCGGGACTGACTGTACTTATTATCTTGAGACCTCCACAACCCTGCGATGCAGAGGCTCTGGGAGGCGTGGTTTGCACTACTGAGGAGCTACCCCCACGTTAAATACAAAACAAACAATAATGCACGTATATCAAAAAACGGTCTCAACGAGTCCGGCCAAGTCACATGGCTAGTTTTGTTCACCGAGAAAGTAGGAGCCTTTAGAATCTTCGGCCTCTATTCAAGGTCTAGGCTTATCAAGAAGAAAAGCCCTCCCTTATAACATAACCCAGGATGCCAAGGCTGGCACCCTACATAGCGGTGTGCCCGCCCTAGCCGCTGTGAGAGATGCGGGAAACCGGAAGACGAAAGGCACATATCTCCATGCACGCTCCCCCCTCAATGTGCCAACTGCATGGGGCCCGAAATATCAACACATGCAAGCTGCCCAGCCAGACCTAAGAGAATAGGAGGCCAGTTGGTCCACCCCTCGAACCAGAAAAGGAAGAAGCTCAGGAAATCATATTTAAAGCTTTACAACGAGATAAACGCTATAAGGAACCCACCAGCTCCTCAAAGCCTAGCCCCGGTACTGGCGGCACCCTCTCAAGAAAAAACTACACCCAGCCCTAACATCCGAGCCATGGACAGCATCATAGTAGCAAGTATAAACACACCCGAAATCAACCTCACAGACGGTGAATCCACGTCAGAAGAGGGGCTAGACGAAGTCAACAACCTAGACAAGGAGGATACGGAGATGACCGGTCTACCCCTCTCCCAAAAGAATCACAGCAGGGCACAGGATCCGCGAGGCGACCTCGCTGCCAGCAAAATCAAGTCAATTATACTGGTAATAATGTCAGCTCAGCCTTCGAGTGCCACTCAGACCTCCGGGACTAGGCTCCCCCGGGTCCTTAACCAGAGACAAGGCGGTCAGGGGCACCGCAGACAGAGGATCAGTCCTTTCAGGATTGCTCAAAAAAACGTCCAGAAGATGCACGAATCACACGCGGCTCTCCTACAGAACTGTTGCGAGGCGGACATAGACGTGGTCCTGATTCAAGAACCGTGGGTCAGTATAGATGGGAAATGCCGCTATAGCTCACACCCCCAATACGACGCATACGTTCCGATAGACCATTGGGAGGGTACATCGGACAGGCCAAGAGTTCTGTCATACGTACGAAAAGACGCCGGACTCGAGACACAACAAAGCAGGCCAGCCCCTTCCAGAGACATTATCTGGCTCACAGTAAACGGAGTCACACTTGTGAACTTCTACCGCCAAGGAGAGGAAGCACTAGACCTGCTGCTTGCCTGGCCACCTCCTGCCCACTGCATAGTGGCAGGAGATTTTAATGCAAACGACCCCTCTTGGGAACCAGGAATACCAAGAAGAGCCCGAGGCAGGGAAATTACACAGTGGGCAGCAGAGAACCAGCTCTTGTACATTGGGGAACCGGGAGTCCCTACGCACGACAATGGGCACGTCCTCGACCTGACCTTCTCGAACATCCCCTTTGCAACCGCAGTAGTCAACTATGCTATACACGCAGCTGCAGATCACTGGCCACTGCAAATCACGATCCCATCCAAAGGGAGACGAAGAGTGGCTCAACAGAGATACACAGTACCAGATGACAAACTACCAGAGTTCTGTGAGATAATACGTATAGGAACCCCGCTACCAAGCCTCAGCTCCAACCCCACAACAGAAGAACTCGACAAAGCTACCTCTGCTATTATAAATCTCATCACGCTGGCCCTCAAAACCGTTGGCAACAAGCCAAGCAGTAAGAGACAAAACGCTCCTTAGTGGGACGATGAGTGCAGGAAAGCAAAAAGGACGTACAAGCTGGCAACGAAGTAATTCAGAATAAACACCCCTACGGAAGAGAAATGCGCGTATCAGGCAGTAGTACAACAGGCAAAAAAAGAATACTGGAAAGCCCACATCAAAGGCATACAGAAAGACTCAGACCTCTTCAAGATAATCAACTGGCACAAGCTAGGTCCGGACATAAAATCACCACCACTAAAAGTCGGCAACTTGACAGTAGAGGACACTACCGGAAAGGCATATGCCCTCAAGACGGCCTTACTAGACAGGCGCTCGGCCGAAGACGACCTCGTACACGACCCGTTAGAGTTTCCCATCGCCCCCCGCGCTGCATTGGAATAGGACTCTGCAATATCGCCAACCGAACTTGCTAAAATGGTTCTCACAGAAAACACAGCCCCCGGGATAGACTCTCTCTCAACCCGGCTCCTCAAAGCGGCATGGGCCCACCTAGCAGAGCCGATTCGGCTTCTATTTCAAGCCTGCCTTAAATCAGGGCACTATCCCACCCCTTTCAAGTCAGCAGAGGTAGTCATGTTCAAGAAGCCGGGGAAAAAGGACTATACCACCGCAAAATCATACAGGCCGATTGCTCTGTTATCATACCTTAGAAAGGGCCTTAAAAGGCTAGTTGCGAAACGGATGGCAACAACAGCCCTACTAAGAGGGGTGATCAGCCCAAACCAAATCGGGGCCCTCTCTAAGCGCTCTGCGGTCGACCTTACTGCAGCAGTCACACACGACATCGAGTTAGCCCTGGAATCCGGGCAAAAAGCCCTTCTTGTCACCCTGGATGTACAAGGGGCGTTTGATGCAGTACTTCGCCGGAGATTGATCCTCAGGCTCCGCCAGCAGGGCTGGGCACCAGCCCTTATAAAATGGGTAGATTCCTTCTTATCGGACAGAACTGCTCGGATTAGATTGGAAGGCGTTACTACTAAGGTATTCGGACTGAGCTGTTGGCTCCCACAAGGATCACCAGCTTCCCCGATCCTCTTCCTGCTGTATATTGCAGATATCTTTTTAGAGGATAAGCACAACAGATTCGGATATGCAGACGACGTAGGCATCCGAATAACGGGCAAAACCACTACCGAGCTAGCAGCCAAGGCAGCTAGCATGGTAGACGATATTCTACGCTGGGGCCTAGACAACAAGGTCACCTTTGAAGACTCCAAGGCTGAAGCCATCTACTTTGATACTGGGAGGAGACCTCTCACACCAGAAATAGTCACCCCCAGAGGCTTCACCATCAAACCAGCGCAGCCAGTGAAAGGGGCGGTGGTCCGCTGGCTGGGGATTTTCTTCGACAGGTCCCTGAAGTTCCGGGAGCATGTCAAAAGACGGGCAGCCAAGGGCCTCGTCATGGCCAGACATATTCGGAGTCTTGCAAACACTGTCAGAGGGCCCCTAGCAGCAGCCCTCCGCAAGGCGGTAATTGCATGCGTGATTCCTACCATGACCTATGGGGCAGAGGTCTGGGAGGCCGGGGATTACAAGAGAGCAGGAAACGGTCAGACCCGGGACGTGAGCACCCGTCAGAATGGCCATTCAGACGACCTCGAAAGAGTCCTTACAGAGGCTATCAGAGGGATTCTCCTGGTCTGGAGAACTATATCAAAAAAAGTACTCTTTAAAGAATCAGGTCTACCAACGGTACAAACCATGCTTAGCAAGATCCGGATGCGGTTCAGCCTGAGGGGTCTAGTTAGGATAACCGCAAGGACACAGCTCCAAAGGACGTATGAACTCACACCGGACTTTCTAAGACCAATCCTAACGGAACCAAGATATACAACAGACGCTGGCAAAGCTGTTGTAACAAGAAGCAAAGCCAAAGAAGCCAAAGTCTTCACAGACTGGCTAAAATCGCTTCCGCCTTCACATATAATCGCCTACTCTGATGGCTCGAAATCCCTGGAGGGGGCGGTGGGCTATAGATACGTGATCTATAGAGGCCGGACAAACGTAGCCTCGGGTTGTGACAGACTGGGCCACCTAGCTGAGGTCTTTGACAGTGAGGTCGAAGGGGCCCGCCACGCACTCAGACAGGCCCTGAGGCTCAGCAGCGGCGCCACAATCCACGTGTGCCTGGATAATACAGCAGTGATCTCCGGACTGTGGGGGGAACCAGCTCAGAGCTCCCAAGAAGCTTTCCTAGAATTCCACAAAATCTCGGACACGTACGCCGACGTACAGGTCCGGTGGGTGCCAGGGCACATGGACATCCAAGGCAATAAAGAGGCCGACAAAAAGGCAAAGAAAGGCACTACCTTGTCAATCCCTATTGGGGCCAAACCCATGCTTGTGGGCGTCTTAGGCCTTCTCAACGAAAAGACTCGAAAAGAACACCAGCGATGGTGGGACAAGAACATCACTAATAAATACAAAAGTCTCGGCCTTCAGAAAACTACACTCAAGTGCCCAGAAGAGCTCAAGCTTAACAGGCCAATGCTCCATAGGCTTATCGCATCTAGAACTGGCTACGACGACTTTAGCTGGTACCATAGGAGGTTCAAGCACGAGGAACACTACAACTGCTCTTGCGGGAGAATCAAAACGCAAGCCCACTTTGCTTTCTGCAACAGAGCCCTTGCGAAACGGTCTAGGTGGCCACGAAAAAACCGCAGACACAACGGAGAACCTGAACCAGAAGGGAGAGCCTATTAGAAATGGCTGATAACGCACCCGAAGGAATTCGGAGACTTCTGCAAATGGACAGAATTCTACACGAAAGTCTGTCCCAGGGTTACAGAACATCAATTCATCGACCGCCAGGTGTAACTGCGCCTGTTACCACATCTCTTTCCTACTTTTACCATCTTTCCTTATGTTTTTATTTTCTTCTAGTTTATAGCCTTTTAAACGCAAGGCACTAACTGTCAAAGCGAGAGGAGCTCCTCGACGCTATTCGGACCACTGACTACGAACCAGATATCACAGAGCACGAGCCCAAATGGCGGGGCCAACGGAAACTGATGGAATAACATGTGTGCCCTCGAGGTTTGATTTGCAGGTTATTGTGGGAAATAGGGAGTCATGCCCTGTTTCCCGTACAGTAAGGCTTGTATATTAGCCCCTGCGATAGTCACCTGCACGCCAAACATCCACAAGGATCTGGAGCCTAGAGCCCCTACGGCGTTAAATAAACTAAACTAAACTAATACATGGGAGCAGTGAGGTTCATAAAAGATCAACCATACTTTGTTTCTCAAGCAGGTGGCTAGGAACTCGTCATTTATGTGGGAGTCGTGGCCATCACACACCAAAACCACCCATGTGTTGCCATGGACCTCCCGAATGTAAGGAATAAAGATACGTTGAAGCCATTCTAACGCAATGGGATTCGAGGTCCATCCATTGGGCGACATAATAAACCTCCAGTCGGTGAATTTGTCCTCGTTTTGGTTGCTAAACCACTGGGCTTGTACGTTAACCCCCTTGAGAATCACCAGCGGCGGCAAGGTCTCACCAGATCCGCTCACACACTCTAGGGCAGTTATCCATTCACTCTTCTCGACCCCTTTCTTCATAGCCACGTTGCCAGAGGCCTCGGAGACCACCCAATGGGAGTCCCCAACCCCCTGGGCGATTCCCATTTCATCGACATTGTACCAGCGTGCTAGCATGAGGTTAATCACGTCCGGGGCGTCACACCAATCGAAAAAAATGTTGATATTTGCCGCTGTAGCACCATTCACTCGGTTGTAATTGATAATACGAGACTTCATTATCTTGACTTCCGGGTTTCAAGACAGGAACTTGGATGCCTAATTTTTCCCTAATTCTCGAGCATCCCCGGTGGCATGGAGCATCCGCTGGGCCATGAGACGGAACTTAGAGACCGCCGGAGAATACCCTAGCCGTGCTTGCCCCAGGGCCCAGCTTGCCAGCTTATGTTCGAGATACGGTGAGAGAGCCTGTTGGAGAGCGCTGGTCTCATTCCGCGTTGGGGTGCCAGAGATTCGTTGGTTGACGTACGAGCGACTGATTTGCCATTTGAGGGCTGACGAGCGGACTAGAGCTCCGCGTTGGATGGCCAAAATGGCGGCTTCAGCTTTTATTTGACAGTTGTAAAATGACATCATGAGATTCAGCAGTGGATAAGGATTCAAATAGTGTGCTTTGTGAAAAAAAAGATGCAAAAGTGATGGTGTAGATAGTGGATCACCATAATCCTGGTGGTTGGTGAATTACGCGTTTGTGGGTCAGAACGCGCTGGTCCGCGGGGGGTGGTCCGCAGGGGGGTGGGAGATGTTAAGGGTTACGATATGATTGCAGATGATAATGCATGGCTGATGCGTGCGGGCGATGCAGCATTCCTAACCAGCGTTGGTAAGGCTCAGCGCCAACCATTTGTAGCACGTAGGTCGTTGTTCGCGTTGAGGACTGGAAATTCTATAACTAAGAGCCAGCTGCGTCGGCGACTATGTTACGAATCAAAGTGTCCACATGCATTTCTAGAGGCAAACTCTTAGTGGCCAATGTTCCGCCTAGCAGAGAACTGAAATTAAACTGTTACTTGTTAGCCTTAATCCGTAGACAAAATCTAATCAGTATCGAATCTTGTTTTGGGGGCATCCTTGTGTAGATCCTGCCAAGGATAGCTGGCGGGACTTTTTGGGACACAGCGAAAGTCTGGGCAAACCCCAATACGTTCCCTTTTCCCAGCCGCCGTGCGTGCTGAACGGAACTCCCTTGGACGTCGTAATTCTACTCTGTACATAGCAGGCAAACCTGGTACATGACCCATTAAATAATGAAGATTTTGACACACAGAGAAGGCAGACAGGGTGTGTGGGAATATCGGGTCGAGAGAAAGGACGGCACCAAACTGTCGGTTACTGAAGGAGGTGTCGAGGAGAGGGATAAGAAAGCACTGAGCGAGTACAAGAATCAGCACAAAGAATTGCAGGACGTCAAAGACTTATATCTCAAACGAGCATCTGCCGCCATCTTGAACGCACACAAAATCCTCACGAGCCTGAGGGATGAAGCAAAACCGAGATCCCGCATGAATATCGAAGCTGGAGACTACCTCGTGGCCATAAACAGCTGCACTGTTGGACAACCAGTGACAGCCGCCTACTACACACATATAAATAATAGGAAGTGGAACAAACCGACTGATAATTTTGTCTTCTGCAGCTCGCGCGATGCCGAGGAGATCCTGAAGCGAGGCCCGCCTCTCCTCCCCAATGTTATCCCTATTGATTGGAATAATGACGCGAAGCATTCTCTCAACATTTCAGAATTCCTTGAGCAACTCACTATAGGGCCAATGCTGGAGTTCCACGGCTTTGAAAGAGAATTACCTCAACAAGGCTATGTCACACCGGTTAAGCTCGATTCCAAACTCGCTATCGATAAATTCAAGGACGATGCAAGAGGGCCCTTGAACTTTCTGAACCTCCGTGGTCGGAAACCGAATCAGGTCCCCTCGTGTCTTGCTCGGCTTCCAGAGTACCATATTATAGGACTCGGCACAGAGAACGGAAAAGAAGGCAAACCAGGCGGCGACCTCACTCGGTCTATCCGTTTCCACCTACTAGCAAGCAAAGGGGCTATTCATAGTGCGCACATAAACCGCCACGGGATGATCACAACCATATTCAACGAGGAAGGAGACAAGCTCTGGCCGTTATGGGTAAGGGCCAATGTCCGTGACTGGGCTGAGTCTCGTGCTCTCCCGACGGGACCGCTAGTCGGGCTATTACTAGCAAAAGGGTACACTTTGATCCAGCCAGGCGGCACGATTCACATGCCCTGCACGATAGGAGAGAGGGTGCTGCTTAGTGGCACCATGCATTGGCATCCCCGACAGGTGCTCCAAATTCTCCAGCAAACGCAAGTCGAGATTGAATGTCCGCATGTCACCAACGAGCCGGTCTCAGGGCAGTTCTTGGGGGAAATCAGCCTCATACTGCGACTGTGGAAAGCAAATACCCCCCTATTCGACTGGGGTTCACAAGAAGACCTAGAGGAATGCGAGAGCATATTAAAGGTAAGTGTCTCTGTACTAAAATGATATAAGCTCAAACTAATATAGATAGCGTCTGCAAGGCATGCTTTGTACTATTAAAAAGCGCAAGAGAGGGAAGTGACCGAGTGTTTCCGGGCCGGCCAGGAGATTCTTGCCGCTCTAATTCGATGCATAGAGCAAAAGCTGGCGAGGATATCGATTCTCCTCTTACTCTTTTTGTTATACCCACCGCCATCGTGCATCTCCGCAATGCCGATTTCGTTACCCGCAGCTGCCGTCTTGCCGGCGGGGAACTTGTACAGCTTGCGCAGGCATTCGATGGTGATCAGCTGCCCATACGGCAGCGAGCCCAAAGTTTCTCCATGGGGCATCTACAACTATGCTAGTCTGATAATGCGGTGCGGCTGTTCACAAGTATGAAAGTACAGGCTTTTATATTTTCCTGTTATTAATCCGTCCTGCCTTGCATCTGTAGCTGTCCCAAAATCCGACAATGATCTGGTTCCGGCGTCGCCATTAGCATCTCCGTTGTTGGCACCCATTTTCAATAATTTCGTGACGATCTGGTATCGAATTTATCTGGTGTTATTTGACTTTGTTTGATCTGATCCTATTCTGGCCTCAGGCCAACCACAGTGCACGAACCACCGTTGCGCTACACCTTGTATATGTAGCTAGCGGGCCGAGATAGCTTCACACGCCCTGAAAGCGGGTGCTACGTCCATCCAACACGATCCAATCTTTAGCTCGCAAGAGAGCTCACTAATATATTCTCTAGGGACCAAGTCGCGGCTGCTTCTAGTAGAATATATCAAGGGACTAGTCAAGCCATTCGAACGACCCCCTCTTTGCCTTCTTGGCTTTATTTGTTAGAACCGGAGCAGGAGGGGCTGATGGCGGCTCGTATACCTGTTCGATAAAGACTGGCGACGGTGCTGTCACGAATTGCGGTGGAGAATCTTCTCTGACTGAGGGAGACGGGGAGTCTCCTTTGACGGATTCAGAGACTGAGGCAGAGACCACCGGCATGCCCGACCCTTCCGGGGTCTTGTTGTTTGGTATGGCTTTTCTGTTGGATTCTGGGCTGTGTTAGCCCATCCATAGTCATCCTTCAGGATCACCATCCCCATTTGTGACTCTGTCACATACGTGGCCAATATAAGGCCACGTATCCTTTCCTTTAGTATCTGGGATATATATAGGGCCGCTCTGGCCGCTCCAGAGTAGCTGGAATTCCTCTCCTTAATAGAACACTTTGAAATCTCACACCTTGTCCTTCCAGTATGCGTTCTGAGTCGAGGATCTTCGGTACATCTCATCAAAGTCCAGGGTTGTGGAGGTATTGAAACAATTTGTACAGTCAGATCCGCTCACAAGCCCATCCCCGCTGTTGCGGTGGCATGACTTTAGGGTCACCCATCTGGTCCTTTAAAAACAGCTATCTATCGGGGGCAGATTGATGAAAAAAACTTGCTCTTCTTAACGAATCTTGCCCATTCCGCGCTCCTCTCCCCCAAGAATGTAAACAGGCTGCCCTAGCCTCCGGGTACAAGCTCGCAAGGAACCGACAAGGCTACAAAGAAGCTACCAGCTAGTTCCTGACTTCCAGAGACCGACACTCACCAAGCCATCGTGGAAGAAGCCCCCTCATCGCAAGGACTCTTTTCACAGCTGTTGACCTTCAACTGATGCATCGAAGATTCATGCACGTAGACCCGCGTCAAGTACGAAAAGCCTATGAACAAGCTCGTATCAAGCTACCAAAATCCAGCCTTGAAGACTTTCTGTGTGTGGAGAACAAATCGTTCGGATAGCCAGCCCAGAAAGACGAAGTGCGAGTTAGGGATGGTGCCAATCTTTCCAGTGATGAAGGTGGATGGACTGGGGTGGACAGACAGCTGATTGACATGAAAGAACTTGGAGCTGGTAAACGAGGGATGAACGCCTACAGGAGCTGTGGAGTGCAACTTCGAAATTTTTAGAATCGAGGGACGTTGTCGAGCTGCCTGAGGCGTCAAGCTAATTCCCAGGTAGTATTGGAAAAACTGGCTCTGTCAATCCAACGAAGCCAGATTGAACCGTTGCAGCTTGGAAATAATGCACGACAGCGCGAAAGTACCTACCAAGCACCGGTTTTGATTTCATGGGTAGGCCATGAGTCCCTGCGCAGTGAAGGTTGGGTTAAGTCTGGAGGTGGAGTGGCAGCAACAGGTCGAGGAGAATTACTTGGGGTACATCACACCGTGCACCTACAGAACCAGCACTCCGCTGGCGGTTGACACTTCGATTATTAGTGATCTGCCGCGGTGATGTGGATGACGGACCTTACCTCTTTTCTATCGGGCAGGTGACTTTGCAGAAGGGCGTCAGAAATGACGGTGGAGAAAGTTCCGTGACACGTCCTAAGCCATGCTCTCAAGTCTATCTCCTTCCGTAGCCTCAACGCCGCCCACTGGAATTTTTGTCTGTCTGCCCACAACGAGACTCCAGCCCAGTCACTTAACCCATGCCAATCAGATCCTTTGGCAATTCGAGCGCCGCTGGACTTGATGCCCGTTTCGATCTGGCCTTGAAATTATATTGAGCGAGCTCACTGTCTCTTCTCGGTATCTTTTGTTGGCGCGAATACTTTCCATCCAAGTGAGCATCGAGTAGACTAAATCGCAGGTGATGCCAAGTAGGAAATCTATCTGTACCTTGGCTGGCCTACATGTACATGTAGGCTCACCTGCTAATCGTACTGTCGTGGCTTCCCCTATTCAACTATACTCATGTATCCCACGGCCATCTAGCCAGTTAGAGAGGCTGTAGTCGTATATATCCAAGTAGGAGCGACATGAGAAGCATTAAAACCAGCAGATGCTTTAGCCCCGAGGTGTGTGGAACAGCCAGTGTGAGTAGCAGGAAGCATTGGAATACAAGAGCAGACTTGCGTCGCAGTCTTGACAACAATCGGTGATGTGGGATTTGAAGTAGGTCATTGTTTTAATGCATGTCATTCTTAGGTCGTTATGAGGGTGACCCGAGACTTTAGGTAGATGAAGGGGAAGACCATAGGAGGGAATATGGGGGCAAGGGTAGAATCCAAGAGGTTACAGCTGGCAGAACATTGATGTTGAGTTGAAGTTGAATTTGACGTTGACGTTGAAGTTGAAGTTAGCTTCAAGCCTGGAACCAATCGAAAGCGTCTGTGGCAAGGGGCACACGGGATATAGCAGGTAACTGCAGGGCCATCCAGGGGCTGAAGCCACGCGACGTCCACCACGGGTCCCCGGCCACTAGCACGTGCTAGAGTCAGCCCTGTAGCCCCTGTGGATCGCTAAGGGGCAGACGGGCTGACCAGTCTGCCAGTGACGGGCTGAAGCTTGACGGGATGCAGCCTTGTGTTCTCGAAGTTTCGCCTTACAAATGGATGGGCGCAAGCAGTGACTACTATCTAGGTACATGTACTTGGGTGCCAATTATTGCTCAAAGAGCCTCGACGTGCCTTCTTGGGGGTATCCAGGCACCCCTCTTTTTGACCAATATTCTTCCAATCGCATTGTGTTGTGTCGCTGCCTCAGCAGCTTCCAGCCGGCCAACCAGCTAGCTCCCTGCGCGTTGTCAAGAAGGCCCTCGAGGAAGTTCAACATCTTTTCCTCTTGAACACTACCGCCCGACAATTTGCTGCTCCTGGTATATGCGGAGGTCTGGAGTGGAATTCATCACATGCGTACAGGCCGGGCCACAGTGTGTTGGACACCGTCATCATGCCGAACGACGCTGCCAGGGCCGCCCAGCTGAAGGGCCAGGGCAATGAGCTCTTCCAGTCTGGCAACTTCATCGGTGCCGAAAGCCTCTACTCGAAAGCGTTAGTGTGTGCCAGAAGAACGTGGGGTGTCTGTGCCTGGGGCCTGGGCTGACCTGATACCTTGCCGCAGCATCATCGCAGACGACACGAACCCCTTCTTATATACCAACCGCGCTATGGCCAGGATACGACTCGGCATGCACGACTCGGCCATATCCGACTGTCAGGCTTGCCTCAAACTCGACGCCGACAACACAAAAGGTCACTTCTGTCTATCCCAAGCCCAACTGGCCATACACGATTACGAGGCGTCCCTCGACAGTGCCCTCCGCGCCCACCGTCTGTGTGCCGAGACGAACGACAAGTCGTTGGCCGCCGTTACAAACCAAGTGCTACGCTGTAAGAAGGACCGCTGGGACGAGATGGAGAAGCAGAGAGTCCGCGAGGGCCAAGAGCTCCAAGCTGAAGTCGTCGCCCTGATGGAACGAGAGCGATATGATATGGTCAACTCTTGCATGCTCGACTCGGACAGGAAGGAAGTCGGGGACGAGTGGGGCCAGAAGATCAGTCTGCTCAAGGCGACGTTCGAGAAGGCCCGGGATGCGTCGGACAAGAGGCGCGACGTGCCGGACTGGGCCATCGATGACATTAGTTTCGGCATCATGGTCGATCCTGTCATGGTAAGATGCCTTCCACCCTGCAGACGTATACATCTACTTGTCAGTATCGACTTGCTAATGCGCGGGCCCTACAGACCAAGACAGGCAAGTCGTACGAGAGAGCGTCCATCATGGAACACCTACGGAGGCATCCTACTGATCCACTGACGCGGGAGCCTCTGCAGCCCGGTGAGCTGCGCCCTAACTTGGGCCTCAAACAGGCCTGTGAAGAGTTCCTGGATCAGAATGGATGGGCGGTTGGTTGGTGAGTGGTGTATGGTGAAGAACGCCATCCACAGTGGGAGCACCACGGTACAAAAGACTCGTAGCCTTCCCGCATGGCCACCACATGCACAACCCGACATACCTCACGGACGCATAGTCGTACTCTCACTGTCAAGCATCGGCAGTATTCGTTGGCAGCATGTTTCCTCTAGGGCTTTGCATCAGGCGGCGTTAAGGATAGCCTTGGTCACAGTGGCAGGATTGCTTTTTCATAGTTTTCATCATGCAGGATACCTCTCGGGAGCGGGTGACGAACGATGGTTTCAAGGTTCAAGATTCAAGATTCCCTTCCTCGCTTGGTCTATAACTGACCGTTTATTTCTTTCAATGCCGCCGTTGTGGCTTCGGTGGACATGTACCGCTTTTATTCGCCTCGTCCTCGATTTGTTCGACGGTGAAGTTACAGCACTGTTTGAGCATCTTACCCGTTCAGGAAGGTAGCTCACGTACAGCCTGCTGCGTGCGGGTTGTCCGTCCTCTGGTGCACCGGGGCGTGCCGTGGACGGGCGGTCACATACAGTCTCGGGTAATAGCATCCGATCTTGGCTACGTCGGAGCCCAGTGGTGCAAGCGCATAGCCGGGCGGAGTCCACCATAGTGCGGGTGACACAATCTATCTCCATGGTACGTACACCTAAACTACGGCAAGATGACGATCAAATACCCCCAACAGCAAACAATGGCCTGGAGCGCTGTGCACTGGCACCTCGATAGTGTCTTTGACACTGGATTCCTTCGAGTCAATGCCCTAGGCATTATTCCTAAAGGAATTGAAGTAGACTGCATTTAAAGCTCGGGCCTCTGACGCACGCCGGGCGCGCCGCGCGGCCCGTGCGGCGTGCTCTTCCCTGTAGGCTGCATTTTCCTGACATTGAGTAGACTGTTTTTATGACCGCGACTTAGAAAAGAACATGCAATACGCTCCGGCATAGAGCTTGATCCGGCGATTCCAACAGTACCGCTAGCGACCCGGTGCAGCGACGAGAAAGGCGTGCACCAGCCAGATCAAGACAAGTGAGGATAAGTGAGGGTGAGTTGGGGTAAGAGGCCCCCCGACTGGGATACGCGACGCCAGACAGGGGCACACACAGGCTAGCAGTTATAGCGCAAATAGGTAGGTAATACATAAAAATAAAATAAAAAAACTTGTTTCGTATTTTACTTGCTCTATTCATTATATGACACATATTATAACTTTCGCTATGGAACCGTTCATCTATCCTACCCAGCTTCGGGTACTAATTTGTAAGGAATGCGGCTTCGGCTGTATTGCTAACGAAGTACAGTCCCATTTCAAAGCAGCTGGACACGCGTCAAGAACGGCGCAGCAGCGGAAATCGGTCGCGGAGGCCGCACAGCAGCTAGACGGCATTATACGCTCTCAGCAGCAGCTCCAAGAGATGTTTACGTTCCCGGAGCCGGACTGGGCGGCGAACCCGTTCTTGCAGCCACCGGCCGAGGACGGGTTGGCTTGCCAGTCGTGTTGGTACGTCTGCCGGGCCGAGAAGCTGATGAAAGAGCACTATCAAAAAGAGCATTTGTGGGTTAATCCGCATAACCAGGGGAGACCGGCCGGCTCTTTTCAAGGCCCGGCCCAGTAGCCACAAAAAGGAAAGAAGGAGGACAAGGGGATAACACAGGTCTGCCGTGGCGTACGCAGGTCCGCTGCCAGCGCTTGTTTTCCGGGCGGGCGGCAAGCGGCTGGTTTGAGGTGGAGTGGTCATCGAGCAAGCAGATCGCGGCCGCAGAAATGGATATAGGAACAGGCAGCAGCAGCAGCATTGATAGTACTGGCACTAACAGCGATACGTGGCAGCTCATGCTAGCAGCATACGATGCCAAACTGGCAGCAGAAGAGAAGGAGCGGCGACAGAAGGCGGACGGGCCCGGCGGAATCGATGCGGACTCGGCTTGGGTACGGGAGATGGGGTGGGCCAGGCATCTCGAAGGCAAGGATCTGCTAGTATTGCACGACGCTAGCTTGGGCCCGCTGTCAAGGGCCGCACTAGAGAGGCTGCGTGATACGGCATTAAAAGACGAGCAGCAGCAGCTGACACGGCTCGCCGAGAGCTTCGACCGGGAGGTGGCGCGGTGCACGGCACGTGAGCATTGACCTGGACAAGCCGGCCGGGCGGCCGTTCGGCGTCAAAGAACACACCAGCTCAATGGACCGGTACAAGGGGTACTGGAAGCGATATCTTTGTTACTACTTGCTGGTGTGGCGGCTGGGGCAGGAAGAGGCGGCGGCGCAACACAGGGTGCGGTTTTCTGACGCATAGTGGGACCGGCTGGAGGCGGTCGTGCAGCTGTTAGATAACATTACTAGCGACGTTACTAACGACGCTACTAATGACGTTGGTGCTGCTGCCGACATGGAGGAAGAGGAGGAGGACGACGACGACAAAACCGAGAGGCAGGCGCATACGCTAGACCGGCTGGTCTTTCTTTTCTGTATTGGCTTGCTTGAACAGAAGGTGGCGTTCGATGTATATGTCAACCCGCTGCTTCACTTTGCTGCTGTACTAGGGATCGACGGGCCGCGGCGGGCGTGGAAACAGGCAAAGGACTACACGGGCCAGCTCGCCGGGATCATGTGGTGCGGGCGGCTGCTCATGCTGGAGCACGTGTTCGAGGGCCAGCCGGAAGACCCGGGCGAGATGGACGCCGAGGTGGCCGAGCAGTTCAAAGAGGCGTACCGGCAATGGCTGGCGGACAGATCAAACAGCCCATTCAGCACGATGATCCGGTGGATGTCGTATGGCAAGGGACACCGGCGGAAGGAGGGCAGCACGGCACGGATCGCATGGGAAGAGGGCGGGCAAGTACTGCGATATCTAGGGCAGCGGATCACAGTGCAGGAGTTCAGGGGTACGGCACAGGCCAGAGCGTGCAAAGCCGAGGGGCTGCTAGATGGGCTGTTCTTTGGACAGTGGGCAGAGATACGGGCGTCTATGGACACGAGCCGGATCGTCGATAACATGGTGTATGAGGGGCCGGGATTGTGACGGCCTGCACAGACCTTCCCACATGACAAGCGGATACTTCCCAATAGGGGAAGGATCTGACCAGAGGATCCCCTTAAAGGGGCAACCTCCCACTGTACCTATCTCTCTCTCTCTTCCTTTCCTCTCTAGTCTTGATATTCTCGTCAATAGAGTAATAGCTGTTTGCTGCCGGCCATGTCCCAGCTCCTCAGTACGCTCGCCGTGACAAGTAAGGCGAAGTTAATATATAATAGCGAAATGTTATTAATAACCCTTTTTAATGCTTTTAAAAAAAGGAAAGGAAAGGAAAGGAAAGGAAAGGAAAGGAAAGGAAAGGAATAAAAAGTCGGCTGCGACAAATTAATAAGAATACACTAAACGAAAATGCCGTCCTGGCTCGGCTACTGTCATATCATCGCCTTGTAAAGAAGCAAAGGATCAACCAGCAGACTGATACTATAGAAACTAGAATGAAATGGTAAGCTAAGAAAGGAAAGTCGCCCGATTTTTGGTCACGTCGCAGCAGTACTTGATGGAGGGGAGCTTGTACCTGCTCGCAAACACGTAGTACGATTTTCATAAACACACTTCTATCGGGGCATCCACAACTAGCACAAACAAGTCGCCGGCGCCATGGCTTGGTCGCACCACCATGTCATTCGTTCGTGGTCACGGGAAAGTTACAAAGCTATTTGAAGCTATCGCCTGTCGCGGGCAGCTTTGATACTACAAAGATCTCGATATCAGCGCGGCAATTTGGCTATTCGGGGCTGTAAGCGGTCGACTCGCTGGTGTGTGTCCACTCGGGGCCAGTCATCCTTCTAAACCGCCTAGAAAGAGTCATCTCAGCTTCAACTTCTACAAAACAGAGAATAATACATCTAAATGGGCAGCAATATACCAATACATTTCCTGATTGTTTCATTTCTTTTTCGTGACTCTTCAATCAAATAAGCGCCTCTGTCACCCAGCCCCTGAGACAAACGAGGAGGGGAATATGACAAGGCGTGGGTACAGTGTCTGGATCTCTCGCACATGGTAATCTTACATCCGCTTTTATTTCTGCCTCCGTCACCTACCTACCTACCTCACACATCTAGAGCCCACGGTTCTCTCGGCCACCTGCAACTCTTATAGTCTTAGGTACCCAGCGTATTCAAGAGACGAGACCCTCATTATTCGACTCCAAAGACTTCACAGAGTTAATAGTAACCAAGTCACCATGGTTGCTTCGACGCGACACTGGCTGGACAAGGTCTACCTCGTTTACTTCCTCATTTATATACCAGTCCTTTTCTGTGAGTCTCGCATTTCATCCCCTTATTCAACTTCAGGCCTGTCACGATCTCTCGTTCGTAAGCCCCGACGGGATTATGGTCGTGAACGCTTGAAGACTCGCTCAGCCGGATATCCCATAGCCAAGCGGCGTGAAGAACAGCTAGGTCCCGCCCAGCTCGATGAGCAGAGGCGAGCATCGATTCTAGCATCGGTTCTTGAACGGCAGGATTGCATTGTTCCATCATGACCTTTCTTCAAACACAAGCCATGTGTAGTGTGAAATCATACATCTGCCAACGACACCTCACCACCATCCTACAGCTTCTCATAACTAACCAGGAACCCCAGGCGTCGACCTCGTGCCGCTATACCCCCAATCCCTCTGGGTCCCAGCAAACTCACCCCTGCACGTCCTTTACGACCTGCGGGTCTATTACATCACGACCTACAACGACCAATTCTTCGCGCCGCCCCCCGCGGCCATCCCAAGCTTCTTCCCCCTATTCGCCTTTCTGGAGCTGACCTTCCACCTGCCCGTGTCACTATGGGCCGTGGGCCAGTTGCTGGGGCGAGACGGGAGGGGGCTGAGCGGTAGAGCCGAGCTGCTGCTGCTTGTGTATGGCGTCGAGACGGCGCTGACGACGGCGACTTGCATGTATGAGGCCTACCTGTGGGACCCGGCCATCGTGAGCGCGCAGCAGAAGGTTGTGCTGCTTGGGGGTCTGTACGGAGGGTATCTGGCGGTTGGTAAGTCTCCACGATCAAGGCGAAGCCAGGCTGGGACCACGACCGGACATGCTGACCTCGATAGCGGTTTTGCTGACGGCGGACATGTACGCACGGCTGCTCAAGCGCGTGGACGCCGTCGATGGAAGGAAGAAAGTGCAGTAAATTCCCATTCCGGCGAGTAAGCGGACCACAATGTGAGGAGAGTGGTGGTATCAAGATGTATATTAGGCTATGCGAAGTCTCCCAAACAATGGCATCCCCTAGCCGTAGCTCATTTCCATTTTGAACCCAAGGCCGTGAACTCCTGTTGATACAGCCAACATGCCCCCTTGATGCCGAAGATGATTCCTTGTCTGTCAAGCAAGTATTTACATGAAACATCCCGGGCGTCCCAGCCCGTGCCGACCGAGTGCAGTGCTCAGTCAATCCTCTTCGAGTAGCCCCATCCATTGCCCACGCCATTCATGCCGTACCCCAGGGGCGTGGCGCCGCCGAGTCCTCTCCCCTTCAGCCTCTTAGGCAGAATGATGCCAAAAAAGTACACGGCAGAGCCCAAGACGCCGGCGATGAAGGACACAAGGGAGTAGAAGATGGTGCTGGCGTAGACGTGCCCGCCCATGCCTGCCCACTCGACCTTGCCCTCCGTCTTGGGCAGTGCCGGGGTCGGGAACCAGCGCACGCTGAAGCTCAAGGGCAGGGGGTCGCCAATGATGAGCTTTCGCGTGGAGAGCCCGTCCATATGGCTCAGCGGACTCGTGCTGTACGCGGCGCCACTGTCCAGAACTCCGCTATCGTGGGGGTGGATATGGTGCTTCGGCGTGCTGTGGAGCAGGACGTTGAGGTGGGTGCTGATGTGCAGGTGGCTGAGCTGCAGAGTGCCGGCCAGCGCAAAGACCAGCGGTATGTACTCTTGCTCGTACGGCTTGTCACCGACCATCTCGACGTGCGCGGGTGGTCTCGAGGGCAGGCGACAGGCCAGGGGGGCGTCGCTGTGGATGTAGAACTCGAGAAGATGGAAGAAGGGGTCGTCGATCATGGGAATGGTGCAGTTGAGCTCCGTCTCGATGCCGTAGTGGAATTCGAGCGGATTGCCGGTCTCGTTGCAGGCGGGGAAGGGTATCCATTGTATCTCGTGTTCTGGGTTCTCGATGTGCTCGCCGGTCTCTCTGCACAGTTGGGATGAGAAGGTCAGTCGGTGCTCAGACACGGGTACGAGTAGCCAGGAGATACGATGGAAGGACGGTTGACTCACACACTCCGGTTCATGCACTCGACACCAATGGGGGCGCCGTAGTGGTAGGACGGCAATGCGCCCTCTTGGAAGGTGGCCTTCGCCGTCGCCGTCGCGGGTCGGATGCGGGCCAGGAATGTGGCCAGGACCAGGACCAGGTGGGCGACTGAAGGCATAGTTCAACCACCAGATGTGCTCTGGGTATGCCTCGGTATCGGTGCTATGGCCACAGCCGGGACATGTCTCGTCATCCAGAGGATCGGATGCTGAGGCCAATTGGCTGGGTCCAGTGCTATCGAGTCGTTGTTTTGTTGGTATCAATCGACACTTGTTTAGAGGCTGATAGACAGACAGCATAAAAAAGGGTCACAGACATATGTCAGGTACCTTTGTGGCTCTTCAACCCCATTTCCAGCCACAATGACGGATGGGTCACGGACCAGGTACAAGGTACCTTGGAACCCAACTGGTACCCGTTTGTACCAGATTCGTACCCAACTGGGATGATAGCTACTTCTAGGATGGGGACACCACCCATCCTTTCCTTCAATAAGCAACTTCCAGAATCCAGACCAATTGCCACCATTAGTGACTTGGTCCTGATTCTGGAACCACTACCCACAAGGCACAACTTACCTGACATGTGCGAAATATGCGAGATATGTACGGCAATATGCGAGATATGCATGCGACGGCCAAGGAATGTGTGCATGCATATCCCGCATGCCCCATAGTTCAGATTCAGGGGTCCAATTCGGCCACTTCCAGCCTTTCAGGGGCTCGAGGGATTGGCCTTTGCCTTCCTAGGGGCTTTAAGGGGCTCCAAGAGGTCTTGTTGCAATACATCTAGATTCTTGTCGCCATAAGATGATTGTTGTACACTCCAGAATCATCTGTCCAAGCATTCCGCTCTCCCATGCTGCTGGCACAGTTAAACTCGATGTCGCCTCGACACTTGTGAGACGTATTACCAGGCGGGTTCCCGGCCTTGATAGCTACCTCTTCCCACTCCATCCTTGCCCTATGCTCGGTATCTTATTGAATGGATCAGCTGGATCAAGACACACTTGGTCTCAAGTTACTCGTTGCTTGGAGGGTGTGTTGATTGGTTCGTCTAGACTAACACGCGGGAGAAAGAAGGTACTGTGACAATCAGGCCTGCAGCTGCGCTGGTCAGGGCTGATGGGATGAAATATCTAGATTCAACGATATCTAAGGAAGAAGAGGCAAGGTCGGAAGAGAAGGGGGAAGCTAGAGGTATATATGTACATAAATATGTGGAGGTATTATGTAATACCGTAACAGGTACCTACTCCAGGCCGTATCCCTCTGGTGTCAAATGCTGAAGACTCGTCGTCGCTAGTCCTGCGGAATGCCTCTCTGTCTAGCATTTGTGTTGAGCGAGCTCAGGGAGCACATTTGATACGGGGGCGACGGCTCCGGAAGGTCTCCAAACGGGTGGTCCGTTCGTTCGACCTCATGGTATTTGCACGGCAGTTCACTAGGATCATAACACGACGTCTAATATTCAAAGATTCAATTTCAAGTCTACCCAGTACATAATCGGCTAGGTTTAAGCCCAAGCACACTCAACTATTCAATCGAAACAATTCTACTTCCTCGCGCCATTGATCTCTGTGAGATTTAATAATGGTCTGTTTTGGAAGGAAAGAAGGATAGAAGGATAGCTGACGGCGGTACCATCCTACTTAAACAGGTGGAAAAGGGACCTCTGACAGCTATCCAGTCAGGTGATCCCACATGATGACACATATACGTGCTCACGCTAGATAAGCCACTGAGCAGGCATTCTGACAGTTTCTTCACGCAACGCCCGGCTGCTCTTTGCCTCCAAGGTGTCACCCATGTTCGCCTTCAGATCGACGAACTCTCGATAAAACCCCACAACGTTGCGGAAGAAGCCGCCGACGCTCTTCTTGATCCCGGCGTTGGCCCCTCCGTGTCGGTCATGGAGCTCATCCACGTCCACATCCGAATCCGAGTCTAGAGCCGTCTCATCCTCCCGTCTGCGCTGGGTCGAGGCCATCTGGTTGTCTTCGACGTCCGAGTCATCGATGACCTTCCGAAGCGGGAACGGCGAAGGTGGCCGTCTAAAAAAGCTTCGGCGGCCTCGACGAGTGGCGGGCTTTCTCTCCCTTGGCCGGCCGGTGCGCACATCTGCGGCAAAATACGGGCAGCGCTCCTCGGCGATGGTGCTCAGCACCTCGGGACATGGCGACGGGGCCTTGCTGCGCAGACCTTCCAGCTCGGGCGGCGATGAAGGAGAGGCGCTTTTGCGGGCGAATCGGTGGTCCTGCTTCTGATTTGTTGGCGGTGGCATTGTGGGGGATACTGTGGCTTTTCCACGGTGCTGCTCCTGATCCTCTTTCTCTTCTGATGAGCTAGATGACGACGAACTTCGCGACGGTGTTCTTTTGCTGGGCCGGAAGTCTCTCATGTTTGGGAAGGTCTCCTCGATAGAAGGTCTGCGCCGGTGAAGGCTCGTCTCGTAGGAGGACATTCCTTGCATCACAGAGCCTCTGGCACGCGACGACGGCTGGCAGACAGGACTATGGTGAGACATGGCGACTGCTACTGACAGTGTTTCAGTGTGGTTGATTCGAGAGTTGTCGTTGTGAAGAAGTTGATGAATTGTGATCGCGTGTTATGACAGATGATATACTGTTTTCGTCTTATTGATGGTGTATGGGAATCGCAACGAAATGTACGAGAGCAGCGAGGCATACAGCAGAGGCTTTTGTACTTCGAAGAGTTGCCATCGGAGATAGGTTCATGAACCTTAGCTAAGTAAGTTTGTCATGGCTGATGTTAAGCCACGGTTGACAGTGGTGGTCCCGTAGTGTGTCGAAAGCTTATTTCCAATTCCAAGCCTTATTGAGAGTTTTAATCAAAACTGCACTTCTCAAGGACGTGTTGTGGAAATGCTTGCGTAGAGCAACGTAGCTCCAGCCATAGTATCACAGGTGTATGTAGGTGAGATTAGGCTTCAAGCACGAGTTTACACCTCGAGTTCCCATACAAGAGACGGCGTCTTTCAAGCAGGCCCAAATCCTTGGACTGTCTCCCACCTCGTATCAAATTCCGGTCGCGCCTATCATCCAGAGTGCTTTATAAAAGGGGTGGAATATCAGTGATCAATATGAGCCATGGTGGCCTCGACGCTACCTCCTGACTTACTGCAGTCGTGCGAAGTCCTAGCCCATTGAGACTTTGCGGGATATATGGGGAATGGGATAATGATAACAGGGGAGACCCCGTGTCCCTCCAGTTTTCAACACGACAGCGAGGCCAATATACACGGTTCCTGGTCAAATATAATCAGACTTGCCGCTGTAACCATGTCGGACGAGCTCCCGAGGGCATCGATCTATCGGTACGACGCTGCCAGATACCTACTTGCACCTGTGTGGGTACTGAACTGTTTTAAGGACCGCAAAGTCAGACATAGTTCATGGTGGAAGCGGCAAGCCTGGCACATGTAATGGCAGGGGTCGATGACATTCTCTCTGACAGCCAGGTACCTCACTTGATCGCACGTGCGTCGGCAAGACTCCTTGCCTATATCTATGTAGGTGGTATACATGCAATTAATCGCTACCTAGGTACCCACGAACTATTGGTCTCACGCCAAAAGGATTGCGAGCGACTATCGTTGAATGTTCCCGCTCTTCAAAAACATCTTCGCAGTCACCACTACTCTGGTGTGGTATATCAAGATCGTCGTAAGTTGAGACCGTCCACTTTGGATACATCTGTACAAAAAAGGTTCGGACTCCGCGCAGGAATCTCTGCTCGAAATCGCCCTTGAGTCTGCCTATCATGAAACCCTGCTCGGTAACACGCGGCCTCTCAAAAGAATCCCATACTGCGATTCCCCATCCGTGCGACTACCAGTCCGTCCACGATCCTCCTCACATCCTTCACGCTTCTCGCTAAATCTCGGGGATCCGCGCCGCCTTCGTTGCTACCGCGCACATTGGCCGATGTCCACGTATCACATTCGACCATCAGATCCCCAACCCAGGGCTCCAGTCTGGCTTCTGGACGACCATGCCTGCTGAGGTCACGAACCCACTGACTGACGGCAAAACAGATCCATTCGACAACCCTCGCTCTGCTGGCGCCACGGAAGGGGACCTCCTGCGCCTCAAACATGGTCTCAAGGACGCGGACAACCAGGTCGTGGCTCACACCGAGCTGGAGGAAGACGATCACCGGCCAGTTGACATCGGCACCAATCCGTCCATCCTGCCCGTTCTCCAGAGCGTACCGACATATATCGGGCAGGAGAGTAGGGACGGGAAAGATGAAGGAGTCATTGCTGGACCGATGGCAAATGTCTTGAATCTGGCCTACGAGCTTTTCGTAGGGCTGAGGCGGCGGGTCTCCAGGTTGCGATCCTCGTTGGAGACGCTCCTCGTTGTATGAGGCCCATTGCTCTACAACCTCGTCGTGGGTTTGTTGGATGAGATTGCTCCATGTTTGGGTAATAGTGGTCGAGTTCCTAAAGTCGGCGACATGGTAGATGATCAGACAGAGGTCATAGTACCCTGCTTGATCGGCGTAGTTGTTGAAAAGCTGTGGTCAAGTCAGTCCTGGTTCTGTAGTTGCAGAGGATGACAGAACACCGCCCGGGTCTCGTGCATGGCTACTTACTTCAGATAGAGGTTGGATCTGTCCATCCAAAACTTTCTGGATCTCGGGTAACCGCTCAGCGGGTATTCTACCGTCCGACTTTAGTCTTTCCAGCAGATCGTCCTGGATGTGCGCGACATCCAGCAGTTCGCTGACGTCGTGGTTGAGAAGCTGCTGTTCTTGGCGGCTGACTCCAGTGGTCATAACACTGGCGTTGGTCTTGGCCTTACTTAGCAGCATGAGGCGGTCCTTGATGCTTATGTCAAAGTCGGATTGGGCGAGGTCGAACTGAACTTTGGCAGCGTTGAAGTACATGCTGCGCATGGTGTAGAATCTGCAAAGGAGATCGGCATGCTCGACATCCTGAGAGGCCAGCCTTCGCAGGAAAGTGGTAACATATGGGGATTCTATTCCCAGCAGGCGGTCTGTCCATCCTTGCGTTATGTACCAATCATAGAGGTCGAGGTGGAAGACCTCGTCTGTTGAGCCGTTCACGACTTCGTACGCCTCCGCGCGCTTGGTGGTGATCAGCGTCGGCTTGCCATCCATCGACTCTGGCTCTCGGCTCGACGCGATATCCAAATCTTGCAGCACGCGATGAATCAGGTTATAGCATATCTTCCGTTCGTCAAAGGCTTTCGATCTGGGATCACCGCCAGGCCTCCCGTCGTTGATCCAGGAGAGTGCCGCCTTCCCCCGATCTTTTGCGTCGGCCACGACCAGACACAGTTGGATGGCTCCGGCATAATATCTCAGGTTGACATATTGCTCGATGGCTGACTCGAGGTTGGCTTGCGTGAGACTGCTCGCGACCTTCTGAAAGTGCTTCAGACTCTCGTGGAGAAGCGTGCGGGAATTTGTCGGGTTCAGGGACGGCTCTGAAGCCCGTTTCAACTGCTCCTGTGCTTTGAATATGACAACATCGTCAGAACTGCAGAAGCTGCCGCACTTCCGTCGAAGCGCATCAGCCACTGTCTCGACGTTAGATCCGTTCTCTATGTTCCGATTCACGATCGCTTTTACGAGAACCTTGGCGAGCTCCTTGCCAGCCGACTGCGAAAACAGGCACTCGTAACTCAAATCTTGAAGCTGCTGCCGCGATTCGTCATCCAGTCGTTCATAGATATCCGAGACCCGCTCATCAAACAGTGTCCTGACAAATGATATGCCTTCTGTGACATCGGTCATCAGGACCTCCACCGCGTGCATCGCCTGATGTTCGCCCTGGAAAGCTAGCTCTTCTTGTTTGCTGGCAGCTCTCCGCAGATCCGACGGCCCAGATAGACCCTGGATGAATGACCGGTTTTCGCTGAGAAATTTGCGCAGGCCCTCGATGCTTTCCTGGACCGCCTGCAGCTTAGCAACCGGGATGGCACTGCTCACATCAGGACGGCCGTTGGGCTGGAATTTGACAGAGACGACTCGCGAGTTCCACATTGACCGAACGAGCCTACTTAGATAGAGGGTCAGGGCGGCATGACGAGACGATGGCCTCACCATGGACACGTTGGCAGGCTGTCCATCTTGCTCAGGTAGCATCGGATTGCCGCCAAAGTTGATGAACACCTGCTTCGCGCGATCGATGGTCGATTGGTCAATGGCACTACGTCCAACTGCGAAACGACCGTTCTCACCTTGGCGGCAGGCCACAGCCAGCGCAGCCGTGATGGTCTCGACTCGACCGTAGGCGCTCTGGAACTTATTGACCTCGGCCTTCAGTCCTTCTTCTCCGACAGTAGTCCTAATAGCCGAAGCGAAGATATCGACCAGTCTCCTCCGCCTGACGACATAAACACCGTCATTCGTGAGGATAGCAAATTCGCTGCCGCTGGGCTCGTCAAACTGGACAGCGAGTTCATTTGCGAATCCCCTTGGCTGGTTGGCTGCACGGAATGGCTTAGTGATCAGACCGATGTCCTCGGCCCGGCTGGCAAGGTCGATCCAGTTGGCATGTTCGTATAGTCTGGGGTTGATCTGACTTCGACCGCTGTTCTTAATGCGTCCGCTATCAGGTGCCGACACGAACAGCACATCCCGAGTCGGTTGGTCTGCCTTGCTGACAATATCGATAAAGTAGCCGGGAGGAAACCGGACTCCTCGTCGACTCATCTGGAGCGATGTGGAATGAACATTGACCGCGTCGGCATACGGGTCGGCCCTTGTTGATCTCCGCTGGGTCGCCGCATCAGGTGGCGGGAACTTGATGGTCTGGAGTTGCATGCTTTGCGGAGCCTGACGAGATGCGCTCGTCATGTATGTGGTGGCACTGGTCGCACTCATGAAGAGACGGCATCCCGTGTTGGTGAGGGCCATGAGATGGACCTTGTGATCTTCAACCGCAGAGATGGGGCTGATGGATACAATGTCCATGTTTGGTGTGAGTAGCGGTGACACACCTGCACCGATGTGGTGGCCAATATCCTGCAGAAAGTCACCCTTAGTCTTCTCGATGACCTTGGTAAGCTTGTCCTTGTCTTGGATATGGTAAGTCCGCACGGTAGAGGTGTTGGAGAGGGAGTAGAGCAGGCTTCTGCTGTCGTCTACAACTAGTTCCACGATGTACTCGTTCGCACCCTTGCCCCAGAACTGCGATGGTTTGGGGACCACAGCACTCCAGCCAGGGTATGTGTGGTTTATCTTGCCAGTCCTGCTTGTGAACCACCCCTCGTCTTCCTGGTAGAAAAATTCGTATATGTCGCTGTCAGACTGCCCGGCGAAGAAGATGCGCCCGTTGGCGGAACCAGCAATGACGCGCGCCTCGCTGCCTCGTAGTGGCAGCGAGATCTTTGTCTGATACAGCTCAACACTCTTTGCACCGGTGCCAGCGTCGCTCACCCCGACTCCAAGAAGAACCATCTCCGACGTGGTGGCGACTACTAGAATGTGGCTAATGACAGAGTTGAAGACACCAAGTTTCGGGGCCACGAGCTTGACCGCGGTAATGCTCTGGGGGCTGTCTTCGTAGCCCTTGAGTTCGGGGTTCGGGTGCGTGTAATCCCAGATGTATAGGCAGTTGTCGATTGTCACCCAGGCGTGGTTGAGTTCGGCGAACAGGCCCATCATGGTGGAAACCTGGGCTCCATTGTAATGCTGGAGGACTTCCTGTGGTATCTGGTACGTGTGGGTGTGTTGGAAGGGCGCCCATGCTGAGTCGATGTGGGTGAGGTCGTAATCGGACGATGGTTCTGGAAAGGCATCAGCGAGTCAAACATTTGAAGTGCACGGTAGAGGCACGTCTGGGGATGGACATACGTTTGCAGTATGTGTCGAGCTCGGGATATTGCTCATCCTCTCTGAGGACGTGGCTGATGAAGCCCGCAGCCTTGGACAGTGGAGATGGGGCGGGCATGGAAGCGTCCTGTATTCCTCCTCGCATCATCTGGTCCTGGATGGGGTTGGTGGGCGCATTGAGACCAGGCCCGGCAACCTGTGCAAATCTAGGCGCTTGACTATTCGAAGACGTCGAGCGCTGTGGGAAGAGTTGCCGGCGGATGGGGTCTTGGTGGGCATTGAATTTCGATGCGACAGCCGGGGTGTTGAGAAAAGCGCCGGGCAGTTGGCGCATCGGCGTCTGAGGGAAAGACATGGTGTTTGTGGATGCGCGTGCGCGCTGGCCGGATCTTGACGTCTTTAAGCTCGTGATGTGCTTCCTGAGGTCCTAGGGTGTCTGTCGAGCCGAGTGTTGCTGCATCAGACCCGGTCACCGGTCGCTGGTCGCTGGTCGCTGGTCGCGAGGGAAGGAATGTCAAAAAGAAAGGAAAGGCACGCCGCTGCGGCAGCAAGGCACCAAACGCTATCGGGACATCAATGGCGGCGTGAAATAGACGAGACGACGGCGGGAAGCTGCAGGAAGAAGCCAGCGACACGGAAAAGCATGCGAGAAGCTGCCGTCAGGTGTCGAGTCGCCCGAGAGGTGAAGGTCGGGTTGCGGGTTCGTGATGTAGGTGTGTCGGTCGACGGTAGGTATGCACGTATCGATGGATTTGGAGAGGCTGGAATTTTTTAGATTCTGCAGGAGCTTTGACGCATTGACACGCGCTCAACGCTCAGGCAGCATCTTTTCGCGACGAACTTGCACTAATCCCGTATAAGCATTTCGCAGGGTCAGATCTCAATTGATAGACTCAGCCGCTCCCCTCTGTTGAACTTGTATCCGAGTCTACCTATCTTGACCATTTCATCGTGGATGTTCGAACACCACTCATATATAGTGCTGACTAGATCAATCCTAGACTACTACAACTTACAAGCATATGGTCGTATTACGTCTCCGCCTAGAACACGAATCTGCTAGCTCTACGATATCCGTCTGCTTCTAGTGATCCCATGTATATATTATATATCTAGGTGACTATCAACTGGGTTCTCTAACCTTACGGCCTCACATTCAGGTCGCACAGAAGGGGCTGATAGAATCCAGGGCCATCCATCTTTACTTCACTGCGCATCTTTTCGCCGTCTTTCGGTCACTTCTCAAAGCGAGAGGTGTCATTCCAAGTCTGGCCCTCCTAGTTTTTCTTGGCATCCCGGGCTGCCTTCTTCAAGGCTCGGTTGCGGATATCGATGTGCATCTTGCGGTTGAAACTCAGACCAACAGAGCTACCAATTCCAATCGTGTTCTCAACGACCCAAGCCATCAGGGCATGGCTCCAGTAAGGCGTGTAGGTGTATGAGGTGTTCTGCCAGCTTCCCACTCCGACCTTGCCCAGTGCCGCTCGCACGAATTGCTTGGGGTTGGGGATCAACATGCTGGGACGGCGGATTTTGCTCATGGCTGTCGTGACGAGGTAGCTGAGGCACAGCTGCACATCTACATTGTCCGGCTTGAGCTCGGCGGCTAGGGCAGTCGACCAGAACTGCAGGAAAGCTTTGCTGCCCGAGTAGGTAGCCAGGTACGGCATGGGCATCCAGCCTCCGAAGCTACCCATGGTGAGGATCAGACCGCGCTTCCGGGTCTGCATGGCAGGGGCGACGATGCGGGTGGTCTTGAGGGTACCCATGCAATTGATGGTGACGATGCTCTCCATCTCCACCTTGTCGGTGAGGGTGAAGGGAACAGGGATGCTATGGCTCTGGCCAACGTTGTTGAGAAGGATGCCGACGTCAAGGCCGTCGATCAAGTTGGCCAGACGTTCATAGTCGGCGTCGTTGTTGGCCTGGAAGTCCATGGCCAGCACCTTTATCTGCTGGCCCGAGTATTTCCCCTCCAGCTCCCGGGAAAGCGTCTCGAGTTTGGACAGGGTTCGAGACACGAGGACGAGGTTGAAGCCCTTGGCGGCGAGCTGGGTGGCGTATTCTTTGCCCAGGCCATCGGATGCGCCTGTCACCACGGCCCAGGTGCCTTTCTTGCCATATTTCCGCAGCTGGACGATGCCGAAGCCCGGTCAGTCAATGCTGCCACAGTACGCGTCCCTGCGGACAATGTTGTAAACGGGATGGACTCACGTTGGTGCCGCTCAACACAAACATGCTCAAGACCAGGCGGAGGAAGCTGAGGACCTTGGAGCCCACGAACAGAGCTCCAACACCGGCGAGACCCAATTGGACACCTCGCGGCACAGCGGCCACGGCATTGTGTATTGACTCCATGATGTGTTGAGGGGTCGTGTCCGCAGTGAGAGTCTCGGATGAGTGCGGTGTTGCAAATAGTACGGACTGAGGTTGTTTAAGGGGGCAGATGTCTCCTCACTCTACCATGTTCCAACTTCAATGTTGCCCGACCTGCCGAGACGGCGCCAAAGAAAGTTTGCGAAATTCGGGGCGGCCAGCGCAGATCGTCATTGGAGCAGGAAACTCCCGAGGTCCTAGGGCAGGCTGGAGCTTGCCCTGGTTTGCCCTGAGTTTCTTATTGGCCAATGCCCAGCCACCCCGGCCTGTCAGCCCTGAGCCAGTCATGCTTCTGCTCCCCGCTCAGCTCGACCCGCTATCAGCATCGGCCCTGTCTCTGCCGCTTACATACATACTTATGTGCCTTGTGGTAGCGGTATCCAGAATAAGGACCAGGGTCACGATAGGTGGCTATTGGTCTGTATTCTGGAAGTTGCTTGATTGAAAGAAGGGATGGGTGGTGTCCCCATCCCAGAAGTAGCTATCATCCCAGTTGGGTACAAATCAGGTACAAACGGGTACCCATTGGGCTCCAAGGTACCTTGTATCCTGGTCCTGACCCATCCGTTATTGTGGCTGGAAAATGGGTTGAGGAGCCACACTTATATCCTTCCATGCAATGCACTTACCCCTGACCATCCTGGGCATGATAAGGTTCGATGTTTTCTCGCGCGGCTGGCTGACTGGTAAAGATTGTCGTCGGCTTCCTCTTCTTTCGCCTGCTATTTCTCGAGTCTTTGGTTTATTGAACGCCAACAACATCGTCGACGTCCGTCTCGCCATATCTGCCAACCGGTGAAGTGCTACAATGGACGCACTCAAAGCCTACCTCCCGCCAACAAAGGGCTATTTGCCCTATTACATGTTTGTCGTGAGTCTCGTCGTCGGTATCCTCAGCTTCGGGTTCCCAAGCTAATGCCAGACCGTGTAGACGTCGATTCTCGCCGTCGGCAACTCGCTACAGAACTACCTCACACTGCACTACTCGCGACGTTTCTACAACGGCCAGTTCGTCCCCAACGCCTCTCTGCCCCCCAAGACGGCCGCCTTCAACCCGGAAGACTCGACCCAGAAGCTCGTGCCCGCTTCGCCCGCCAGCGCCAAGGAGGGCCGTACCCAGGACCAGGTGACTCCTCTCGCCGCGCGACTCTTCGCCACCTACACTCTCATCTCAGCTATTGTGCGCATCTACGCGAGCCACAACCTGCACGTGGCACCCGTCTACAACATCACGCTGTGGACCTACGTCGTTGCGCTGTTTCACTTCGGCTCCGAATTCGCAGTGTACAGGACAGCCTATCTCGGTCCGCCCATCCTCTTTCCCTTCTTCTTCGCCACGGTCGGCATTACATGGATGGTCAGCCAATACAGTTTCTACGTCGAATCGTGAGCTGGGAGCCCGCGGCTGTAGCAGATAGGGGCAGCTGGGTCGACTCCGATCATGCTCGCTACGCAGGGCCGTAGTAACTCGGTGTATATTAGTACTTGCGCTCGCTATTTCCTATGTGCGCTAGAGGCACCCCAAATACCCAATCAATGACCGAGGCATCGGCTATTGGAGCGTCTTGCGATACAGCTCTCCTCCGCAATCCCTCAGTTTGACGGCGGCTTGCTCAGGAGTGATGTCCCTCTGCGGCTCGGCCATCAGCTCGTATCCGACCAGGAACTTCCGCACCGTGGCCGACCGAAGCAAGGGCGGATAGAAGTGCATATGAAAGTAGCTGTTCTCGATTTCCTCGTCGGTCCCGTCCAGCGGTGCTTGGTGTATGCCAGAGCTGTATGGGAAACTAGTCTCGAACAGGTTGTCGTATCTCCGTGTCACCTCTTGTATGGCTTCGGCGAAGTGCAATCGCTCTTGCTCCGTCAGATCAACGAGGGCTCGAACGTGCCTCTTGGTAATAATCATAACCTCGAAAGGCCAGATGGCCCACCACGGACACACGACCAAAAACGACTCGTTCTGGTGTACGATGCGTTCCTGCTTTTCCATTTCCAGTTTGACGTAGTCCTGCAGCAGATGTCGTCCACTGTGCTCAGTCCGGTACTTGGCCATCTGTATGGTCTCAGCCGCTGGTTCTTCTGGCAGCGTGCTCGTCGTCCAAATCTGACAGTGCGGGTGCGGATTGGAACACCCCATTGCAGCTCCCTTGTTTTCGAAAATCTGCATATATCGCAGTTGTTGCGACGGCGGGGGAACAAGGCTCTCGGGCGGCGCTTCGCGTCTCATCAGATCTAGGTTTGCCGCGACCTGTGCAAGCGGATTCGTTGGGGCGAGGTGGGCAGCGTAGATTCGCGTCCACGTCTCGATGATGGGGATCGTCTCGCTGGCGGGCATGTCGGCGAGAGTGAGGTGATGTTTGGGCGAGAAGGTGAGGACGAAGCACTTGCCCTTGACGCCCTCGGCGCGAAGTAGAAGCGAAGATAGATCTGCCTAGATTAGCTAGCTGGAGATGGGTGTGATTCCAGGACTTTTTACCATCGCTTGAGGGTTCTGCTTCGTAGTCTTGTTGTTGTTCTTTAACAGCGCTGTAATCGTTCACGAAGACGAAGGTCTGGCTGTAGTCGGGATTGCTCTCGCCTTGGGCTCGTGGGTTTCGTGGACAGAGATAACACTGGTCTGGTTAAAGCCCGCCAGGTACGGCAATGTACAGACGGGACGATTCACCTTGGGGTCGTAATCAGGCAGCTTGTTGACTCCTGGTTCCTCTTTCTGACCTCTAGGCAGAGTGATGTAAGCCGCCGTCGGCGCTGTCAGCCTGGATGCTGTGAACTTACTGCCACGGTCTCTTCGTTCGGTGCGGTGACACGAGAAGCCACGACCCCTTGAGGGGATTGTAGCGCCTGTGCGAGATTTCGTCAAGAATCTTATCAGGCATGGCGAAGGAGTTGAAGCTAGGACAGGATGACAGAGAATCGAGCGCTTGCACTGCTTTTCAGGATTGGCGGAGGCGGTACAGTCCCAAGTCACGGATGCAGGATGAAGTGAAGGGCAGGCAACGTTCGAATAGTGTTACAAGGAACCAGTAATCATTTGGCTGAATCAAATTGATGGCGGGTAGCTGCGGTACATGTAGACTGCCCACATGGAAATCGATGCCATCGCGAGAGTTATTCGGAACATACCCCGCCAGTCTGCACTCTGGACTCTGCCTGCCCCTCGTCTGCTATGATGCAATTGGGCAGATCATATATGCCCCCTGGAACTTCGGGCGGTTCATCGGCCGAATTACTCCAGAGGCCAGGGGAACATCGAGATATCTCCCACGACATCGATGGCGGGTTTTGGAATGGAAATTCAACAGCCATTTATGGTGGGATAGATCCTTTCATTATTGTAGTCAAGCCATCAAGCAAGAAGTACTGCAATGCTACGAAAGGATCATCGAGCGCTCCAAGGTGATCGGTTGCGCATGGAGATATCCGATCGATATTGTACCTTTGTTATTGACATCACGTGAATGCCCCGTGTATGCAAGTACGCATGGACGCATGGACCACCATGCGAGCCACAGTAGCGGCTCCACGGCTACACTGGACCCACTTTCACCTGGGGCAGTCCGCGGCATTGGACCGCCTGCAAGCTAGCGCCTAGCTTATCCCTATCGCCGAGGAGCTTCATCGCCCCGGCCCCCGTGTCCATCGTCCATCACAACAACCTACGAGGCATTCAGCCATCCACCACAAAACACACGCCATACCTTCCATCGAACCGACAGTGTCACCGTGCTTGGCTGGCTCATGCGACGCTGGTACACCTTCCAAATGCCCCGAACCCCGACTTCAAGCCACACCCACGCCGACTGCGTCCTTACTCCCTTGCGCCCACCATCTCTACCGATTGCCTAGCACCCGAGTTGCAAGCTGGACGATATGGGCGTCATTCGCAAGAAGACCGCCACAAGAGGCGGCGAAGGCGGTGTGAAATACGTTTGCGACGTGTGCTCTGCAGATATCACCTCTACTGTACGTACTCGGTCGGCCCTTGTTTCCACGCGCGCAGTCGCGCCGGCCCAGCCCTACGAAGCCCCTCCACCCCACACCCATACTGTCCTCGAAGTGGCTTTTCTTCTGACATGAATGCATCCATCTAGGTTCGCATAAGATGCGCCCATAGTGTCTGCAACGAATACGACCTCTGTGTCCAGTGCTTCTCGAGCGGCTCCTCCAGCGGTTCACACCAGCCCGCTACCCACCCCTACAGAGTTATCGAGCAAAACTCTATACCAATATTTGACCGCGATTGGGGAGCTGACGAGGAGCTTCTGTTGTTGGAGGGCTGCGAGATCTATGGCTTGGGATCATGGGCCGACATTGCAGACCATATCGGCGGTTACCGTCACAAGGACGAGGTCCGCGACCACTACCTAAAGGTCTACGTCGACTCGCCCTGCTTCCCGCTGCCGAAGCGATGCCGCCCTGCCGATATGGAGCTGGCGCAGGAAATCTCGCGCGAGGACTTCCAGGCGCGTAAGAAGCGGAGGATCGAAGAGCGCCGCGAAGCACAGAAGAATGCACCACTCATGCCGCCCAAGACCAAGCCAACCGCCAGTGTGCCGTCGTGTCACGAGATTCAAGGATACATGCCCGGCCGCCTGGAGTTCGAGACGGAGCATGCCAACGAAGCGGAAGAGGCGGTCCAACTGATGCAATTCGACCCCGGCGATGGAATCAATCCTCGGACGCAGGAGCTCGAGCCCGAGATGGAACTCAAACTCACCGTAATGGACATCTACAACTGCCGGCTGACCCAGCGTGTGGATCGCAAGAAGGTGATATTCGAGCACAATTTACTGGACTATAGGGAGAACCAGAAACTTGAAAAGAAGAGGACCAAAGAGGAACGTGATCTTCTAAACAAGGCAAAGCCGTTTGCGCGGATGATGAACCGTGACGACTTCGAATCGCTGTGTCAAGGCCTTGTCGACGAGCTCAACCTACGACAAGCCATCACGCAACTGCAAGAGTGGAGGAACTTGCGGATCGGGGACCTCCGCAGTGGAGAGAAGTACGAGCAAGAGAAGTCCCAGCGTATCCAGAAGGCTATTCCTATGGGATCCATGGACCGCGACCGACTGGCTTCAGCGCAACGGTCTAAGCAGATCGTTCAGCCGGAGCCCCCGTGCGGCGCCGCCAGCTTGGTCGCGCCGGAGCTTCCATTCCGACCGGCATCGAACGGGGCGGCGTCTCAAGAGTCTCACGATGCTACGACCAACGGCGAGCCGAAGCCGCTCACCAATGGTCATACGAACGGGGTCACGAATGGGGTAGTCACCAACGGTGCCTCAACACCGGCAAGGCAAAAGTTCATCTCACAGCCCATCTCGGGTGTGCAGCCGCTTGCGCTCAGTCAGGACAATGCCCCTGACATGCATCTCCTCACGCCAGAAGAGGCGGAGCTTTGCAAGGTTTCGAGGCTACAGCCCAAACCATACTTGATGATCAAGGAGCAGGTGCTCAAGGAAGCCCTCAAGGGCAACGGGAGCCTTAAGAAGAAGCAGGTCAAGGAGATTTGCCGGCTTGACTCGCAGAAGGGTGGCAGAATATTCGACTTCTTCATCAATTCTGGATGGATTGGCAAGGCATAGCGTCGGCCCGACTCTACCTGCTGGTTGCCGGCTGAGGGAGGTTTGGTCATCAAAGCTACGGTATTATGAATCATGCTGTGTTGGAAGCATTCTATATAGAGAAGGCTGTGCCCTTGTGTAGTAGCAGAGCGAACGAGATGACAAGACAGCCAGGAAATGTCGATGATTATCCCTTCTTTGACAAACCTGTGATAAAATGGGTGGATGATGCTTTGCTCGAGACTTTCTATTGCTTGTAGCGTCACGATTGGCGGTGATGGGTCACACAGACAAGTGGATGACCACAAGAGCACAGGCACGACGCGAGTAAGCGTGGGATCGCACAGATGTTATTCCAGCTTTGGGGTCGCGCCCGAGTGCACTGGAGTGATTGGTTGGATAGGTGCGACTATAGGATAAATATAAGACACTGGATATCTCCTCTCGTCTTGCCCCGTTCCTAGAGCCGGTAGGTATGGAGGTTTTGGGGCATTGGGATTTGTTTGGCATATCGAAGCGCACACGCACCTAGACACGCATGCGCCCTTGTGGAACGTAACATGAAGCCCTCATCTGATAGGAGCTGGCGAGAGATTATCTTGCGTCGAGGTCTTTCCCGTCTGCCACCTCTCCCTGGGACGCAAACTCGACCATACATGAGTGAGTGTGGCGCCTGTCTTCCTGATGAATCCATGAATGCGTCCTTCAACTGTCTCCAACGGTCATTCATTATAAGTACCTCTCCAAAATTGTTCTCCCTCGCTTTGGAAGTAATTTTCTTTTCGGTCAGTTCAGTCGCATCCCTTGGAACAGGTAGCCACGCACCATTCTTTGAAGCCTATTCTGCTCATCAAAGACTAGACCAGGCAATATATTCATTCATTCATTCCATGCCTTCCTGGGTACACGAATGGGGAATCCGAGCTGTCCAGAGTGTCTGTACGCTGTTCCATTGTAGTTGCGCCACTACATCTCTTAAGCTCTTCTCCGGCTCATTCCTCCTCCACCCCCCCTATTCCCCAAGGTAGGGCCGTCGAAGACGCCCTAGGAGCCCCTAAATCCTCTTGGTAGCCCCCTAGCCTAGTCGGCTAAGCCCAATCGATTCAAGCCAAGACCGGGCCCAGGGCAGCTGGAACAGGCTGAAGGGCCACAGTATTCGGGCATTCTACCTCCATGCGTAATAGTCTGACCTACTACGCCGCACTACCACCTCCCCCTCCCCCCCTCCCCTACCAGTCCCACCCAACCACCCGACACTGACCTGCATCAAGTGGGCATACCGGGGACAGCATATCGATACATCATAAATAGATTGGCTGCAGTGCAACGCCTGCCTTCGCCCTCTCTCCATGATGGCCTATGGCCATCAGACCCTCCTATCAGGCTTAATGCCTCGTCGAAACATCCTCCTGCCGGCGCTCTGCATCGTCCTGCTCATCGCCGTATGGACCTTCCGCCTCCCCAACCCCAGCCTCGGCTGGTTCAACGCCCCGTCGTCGGCGACCTCGCTCGGCCCCCCGTCCCCCGCCCAGCGCGGCAATGAGATCGACCTGTCCGACCCCGAAGCGCCCTTCATCGGTTGGCCGCTGCAGCGCCTGTGTAGCGAGACCACCTGGGTTGACGGCCTCGTCTACATCTGCGACAACAACTCCGGCGGCATCGGTAATATCAGAAATTATATCCAGCTCTGTCTGCGGTACGGCCTCGAGGCTGGCGCCACCGGCCTCGTTATCCCCAAGATCCGCAAGCGCAACGAAAACGACCTGTCCGACCTCTTCACCGAGTTCCTGCCCTTCTCGTACATGTTCGACGAGAAGCGCTTCCGCGACGCCTTCAACGTCAACTGTCCCCAGATCACCCTCTACGACGAGGTCGCCGACATCCCAGGCGCCGGCGAGAAGCCCAACATCGAGGAAATCAACCCAAAGGACTATGGCAATCGCGAGGACTGCCACTGGCAGGATCAGAACAGGCACACCGACCGCTTTGGCGATACGTTCCGCAAATGGCTCCACGACGGCAAGAACGGCGCTGCGCCCTCGGCCACCCAGCCTCGTCTGATTCGCTTCAAGTGGGGGATCCTGTTTGACTGGCAAGTCTACCGTGATGGTCCCGAGTTCTTCGCCACCTTTGGTAGCATCCTGAAGTTCAATGACCAACTGATACGCCTGGGCAAGGCAACACGAAAAAGCATGCAGGCCTTTGCTCGGTCGGCCGGAGCAAAGAACGGTCGATTCCTGGGCGTGCACCTGAGAACCGAAAGTGACGCCCTGGGTTTCTGGCCTGCCTACGACATGCAGTCGGAGGCTTACCTGAAACAGGCCCGCAAGCGAGGCTTCGAGGCGGCCTATCTGGCAACAGGAAATGCAAGCGAGGCGCAGAAGTTCTCTGACGGGGCCATCGAGATGGCGCAGATGAAGGTCGTCACCAAGGCGGATCTCCTCAAGGGAAAGGATCTCGAGGAGCTGGAGTCATTGACATGGGATCAGCAGGGCCTGGTCGACTGCGTGGTACTACTGGGGAGCGACTTCTTTGTCGGCACCATGCCAAGCAGCTTTTCGGTCTACACGGCCATGAAACGACACTTGAGGACGGGAGGCCTGTATACGAGACCGTACAAGGTGGGTACAGAAGGAGACGGCCTGTCGTACCTTGTTGGCAACTACGAGAAGTACTGGGCGGGCTGGCTCTTCATGTGGGATGGCATGTGGCCCTAGCCAAATCGTGTCCAGGGGCGTTCAGGGGCATTCTGTGTACATGTACAACCAGCACTGTGACGAGTATGATTAGAAACAGGCCCTCGGCCGTCGAAGAGACAACAAATCTGTGAACCGCATGACCCAAGTCCAGGTTTGTGATGTGGACTATGATCGTGTTCATGTTGACCCCCTAATGCATATAATCGCACTTATGCACCTAACGCCAACAACGCCGGCCAATGTTCAATCGTTCAATTGAGGTGCCGCGCCCTGGAGGTTCATAAAAGACTTCAACATCAACACTGGCATTGTTGAACTGTCGCAACGTCCACCACAAAGCCCCTTTTGCCACAAATAACCTACTGGTGACTACTACAAGAGAAGGACAACCATCACCCGCAAGGATGTCGCTGGTGACGATATCGAGCGTGGAGCGCATGACGGCGAAGAACCTAGCAGACATGCTCCTCGCCGCCGGCGCCAGTCAGCAGCAGTCTCCCGACCCCAGCATCGCCATCATAGACGTGCGCGACGACGGTAAGCTGTTCTCTACTTGTTTGTCTCGTCTCAAACACCCCTTTATTGTACCAAGCTGGGACCATCTGCTAAGCAAACAATCGCTCCACAACAAAACTGGATCGTCGTTGCTCACACGTTTGCCAGACTACATAGGGGGCCACATCAAGTCGTCCATGCACTTTCCCAGCCGCAGCCTCGACGCCATGCTGCCCACGCTCCTGCGTAAGCTGGAGGACAAGCAGACGGTGGTGTTCCACTGCGCCCTGAGTCAGCAGCGTGGCCCCAGCGCGGCGTTGCAGTATCTCCGGGCAAAGGAGGAGGCTGCCTCGCCGCAAAAGGGGGACGGCAAAGGTGAGGTTGAGGACGCGGGCAAGCCACGGCAGAAAGTCTACGTTCTTGACCGGGGCTTTGTGGGCTGGCAAGAGGTGTATGGTCCAGATGAACGCCTGACGGAGGGCTACCGGAAGGAGTTGTGGGAGGAAGGATATTAGGCGAGGGAATGGTTAGATGGTGTGTTGCGTTGTCCAAGTCACACATGCATGTACGGCTGCGGAGGAAGTTATTTCAAGGTGATGGATCCGCATTCCCCAGCAGCCTGAAAGACAAGACCATATACCACTCGAGATGATAGAGCATCCAGGATCCGTTGGGCTTGACCGGCATAATAGACTACGTAGGTACCTAACCTACCTGCCCAGGTGTATTGAGGAATTCCCCCATTCCCGTCCAGAAGCATACTGCCCGGCATTGCCCGGGGTGCATTCGCTCCTGCTTTGTCTTTGGTATGACATGACTAACTCTTACCATACCTCTTTCCACTTGTAACATGTGGTTGTACTGGAAGAACACACGGCAACTCCGTCATCACAGCTAGTCGGGACTGCGAGCGTCGTCAATGGTCTGCTTCTCGAACCCGATTGTATTCGAGACTGGTTCCATGCCTCAACTAGAGTATATCATATGTGGCTAGAGTCATTCTTTTGGCGGGTTTGCCATATCTTCTGCAGCATCGTTTAGACACTACAGCTTCATCTCTAGGACCCTTCGATCGCCTTCAACGACCACTACCACGAAGGTCCGCCAGACTCTGCCGATGCCAGACCGCTGCCTACACTGCGCCGTCGTCACTCAGACCAATCGACTCTATCCGACCACGTGTCTCCCCGACTGCTCTAATGCCTCCCTTCTCACTCCTGTCGCCGTCCATGCCGGGTTTCCCGGGTGCCATTCTACCGGACCATACGTGCGCCCAATATTGTAACACGTCAGCAGTAGATGGCATGGCAGTTTACGAAGGCACTGAAGAAATGGCAACCGATTGCAAACCCTTCTGCGAGAGGTACGTATCGCATATGACCTCGCAGTCCACGCCGCACTCAAGGGCCGAGGGCCAAGGCTTACTCGCGTACAGCAGATATCTCACCATCGACTGCACTATCCATCGCACACACGGTCCTCCTCTGGACAGCTGGAATCGAAGCACAACCGAGAAATGGGAAGACGAGCATTTCAAATGCATATACGCACACATCGCCGAGGCTGGAGGAAACGAAACGAGAGGGGGCGATGAAGAGAAGACAGACACGCGGCCGACACTCAATCTGAAAAGGGGTGCCATCCCGTTGCTGCTCCTGGCCATATTTGTGTTCGTCGGCATCTGTCATATCATGTGTCGGTGAGCTGAGGGAGGACCGAGTCTCGCACCAGATAGGGGCAAGACACTTTACTGTCGTCGCCACGCAAGAAGCGGAGCTGAGAGTCGAACAGATGATGAATTTGGGCTGGTTTTCTCTCAGGGGTAGTGGAACGTGGTGCAGCAGGGCCGAGTTCTGTACGAGAGGGGCCTTGCTCAGAAGTACGTCTGAGCCGGGGAGGCCAAACCCCTTAATCAATAATTTCCTATGACATCTCTCAGCCTGCAATGAGACCTGCGAGGCATTCCTTTTGTTGTGAGACCGGCCATCCTGCCGCACTGTTAATCAACGTGTGTTGTGGAATATCTCGGTCGACAGAAGAACCATAGGTGGTCTGCGTCTATCTGTGCTCAAGTAGGGAGACAGGGCTGTCTGCGATACGGCATGAGCACCTACGTGAGGGTCCAAGAGCAACGGAGCCATAGTGTTAGAGGTCGTCGGGCATGATACATGGTGCGAACGGCCAACGTGTAAGGAGAGGCGCGAGGAGGGGCGTGAGGAGAGGCGTGATGAGATTTTGGTGGTCCAATGAGCGGTTCGCCATAGTGTAGCCTTCGCTCACAAGCGTTGGAGGCTATACGTTATCCCTTGAGATATTCCAAGCGCAATGCAAACTGGACTAGACGCTGGACTCGTAGCTCAGCCCCATCGCTTGAACCTAAAACTCAAGGAAAACGTAGAGAAATAATAGGGGCTGGGCGCTGGCGATCTGCTTCAAGTCTCAATCGGAAATCTATGGATCAACTGACAGCCACTGTAGACGATGGTGCGGTGAGCAGTCATGTATGAGCGCGTTAGTACGAGATGCACCCAGGGAGAAATGTGCGGCATCTGCGAGGTCCGCAGTCATCTACTGGTCATATATTGGGTATTAAAGCCGAAATGGAAGCGGATAGAAGATGAAAGTAATGGTGGCCTACAGTATCACGACCTCTAAGCTCTCTCTATCTACCTCCGCGGATAATCTTAGAGTTGAGAGTCTAAACAAAATGGACCATTTCGGTACAGGGCAGCGTACCAAAATGCTCAGAGGCTCGGAAACGTACACCGCATACATGACCCTGAACCAGCTGACATCGTGGTCAAGGAATCGATAGCTGCATCAATCGAAAGGACTATGTGAAGACAGTGGATTTATGCATTCAGTTGACGCGACGTGACAAAGAGAGCAGCGAACACACACAATTAATGACTATTGTTCATGTGTACAGGCCGCGAGTACGACCCAGTACACCAGGGCGCTGTGAAAAGATCATTCGTGGATCAATACCCATTCCACTGAGATGAAACTCCGGTGAAGGAGCCAGTCTATATCATGGAAATATTCAGCCAACTCTCAAGACCAAGATGATGGTGCAGACAGGTACGTAACGTGCCCATTTGCAACCTCACAACCCGATTTCGCAATAGATAGGTAAGTATGTGTGGATGGAGGGCAAGGGAGAGGGGCCTCCTAGCTGATGAACTTCCCTCCGCAGCTCCCGCACAGCACTGACGAGATCTCTTCGGTGATGATCGACTCGAGCTGGGGAGCCATGAGTATGAGCTGCTCCGTCTTCATGCATTTGAAGCCGCAGACGCCGCATGTGTTGGTGGTACCAGGTGCGAGGATGGGAACGCCCGTAGTGGCGCAGTTTTCTGCAGCATTGTGAGTTGAGAGACTGCAGGTAACGGAGAGGCTAGGTTGGGCAGGGAGAGCATCAGCCAACTTACCGAAGAAATGACCCTTGCTACAACGAGACGACTTGCCGTGGAAGTCGAGCCGCGAATCGCAGAACACGCAAACTTGTATGCGGCCGATCAGCTCGAAGTGATCCTTCAAGGCCTGGCGTCCATCGCTACGATCGACAGACGGGATGTGGATGCCCGGCACGGGAGGGCCACGGCCGTACATCCATTCCCACATTCTTGCCTCGGTGCTGAGCTTCTTCACGGGGACGATGGTATCGTCTTCGTCAAGGGCGCCCCGATTGTTCGTGCCAAACAGAACACGACAGTCCAGACCAGCAAACGTGTCTCTTTCCGGCTTGACCGTGCTGTGCTGGGTGACGAAGACGGCGCTGGTTCCCCCGCCAGGGCTGATGGCCATGCCCCAAATGCGTATCCTGTTGACATGTACCTGATCTTCGGTGTCCATATTGCCTAGACCGAGAAGATTGCTCTTATCGTCTTCGTCGGAGTTGTAGTCAGAGCCGTCTCCCAAGTCACTTTCGAAATCATCGTCACCGCCCATCTCAGATCCATCGCTGTCATTACCTGACATGATGGGCCGGCCGGCAAGCGCCCTGGGAAGCTGGTGCTCAATGATCTGGGAGATATCCGTGGCCCATTGGGGCTTGATATTTCCCGGGTCTTCGGGATTGGACGGAAGGGGGAGGTTGGTCTGATGCCAGCCGTTGTTCAGATGTGTTGCGGATAGGCGCACAAGACTGTATGAGGGGGTGCTCGTGAACATGGACAGAGAAGGCGGGTGAATTATAAGGCCTAGCAAGAGTCAACACCCAAAATGCAGACCGGGTGATCATGGCTTACCGGTGATGGGGTTCTGGCCTAGGGAACTGTCTTCTGTGGATGGGTAGTTGCTGTTACACTCGCCCAGCGGATGCTTGTTCGCGGAAGAGACGGCATCGAAGGGCAGTTGGAATGCTTGCGCCTTGGCAGGGGTTGCAATAATGCCTCGGCAGACCTTTTCTCTATCAATTGTCCATATCTGATGGTAGGTTAGACACGAGAGAAGTAATAATACCTGACCGACAGCTCACCAGATCCTCCCAGACGACAAAGGCATCTGGGGCGAGATAGAGACACACCCAGCTGGCATCCACTTGGCCAACTTGCACCTTCGGGCTGTCAATCTCTCCTTGCGATCCTCGGACGGTGACCTGTCTGAATCCAACATACCCTTTGGCGATGTAAGAAAGCATGCAGGTCTTCAAGTTGTCTCTGCCCAGCCAGGGACTCCAGCTTAGGGAAAACGAGGAGCCCTGATGTATATGATCCGGGTCGGTTGGCTATAAACGAGGTCAGCAAATTCCAGCTGACAGCATGGCCCCATCACCTACAGCCGTCTTTGGATGAGGTCCTTCGGCAAGGAAACGGGCGACTTCTTGTACCCTCCATTCACCAGGATGCCCAGACGTGGCAATGGGGGTGTGCTTGGCCTGGATCGTGAGTATGACGATCTCGTCGTCGTCGTTGGCGTACGCCAGGACCGCGCCGTCGCCGTCCATATCTCTTGCCCACGAGAATGCCGTCACATATTCTTTACTATGTGGCGCTTCATGTCCGTCTGCCGCGGGCACAAGCATACCTCCACCGACGCTCCAGGCTGCCACCCATGGTGCTAGGCTCCTGACAGTCCCGGCTCCGGATTTGGATGACGGTATACCGTCGGAGGCACCTTGGCAGTACACGGTGAGGATACCCGTGCCGGTCAAAACGGCGAGAACAGACCGGGTCACGCGACCTAGGCCGCACGGCGACCATTCCAATGCCACGACGTGGTTGATGGAACTGCCCTGGCTGGTGACAACGCCCGAGCCGCCTCCAATAAAGTATTCGTACTCGGGGAACTTCTGCTCGAGGGCATTGAATAGGTGGCGGTTCAGTTCGGGGCCCCTGATAGTGGAGACGGGGAACTGGAGGGCTGTTTCGTTGTACTGGCGAGGGGCGTCGTATCCGGGGCGCGCGGCCTTCGGGCTTGTTGGCGACGAGAACTCGGGTACGTAGATGAAGACACCATCGTCGCAGCCCACAGCCAGTTCGGCATCCGGGGACCACGCGATATTGTGCGTAGTCCTCGGGATGACCCTGAGGCTGATTGACTCCAGTGGCAGGGCATTGCTGCGGTCTCCGGACGACATCGCAATCCCGAGATTGAAGAAGTCAGCTGCAGGAGTCTAGGTACCTGTGAAATACCAAGTATGATAAAGTGCGATCTTGTGTGTTGTCGCCCCTCGAGCTCGTGCGTAAACTAGGTGATCATGGTCGTGCTGGAAGCAAAAGTTGCATCACGGCCGAGGACTTTGTCAACGACGAGAATCGATTGCGTAAAAGACCACGACCGCGCAAAAACCCTCAAACAACCTTCAACTCTGATCAAGTTGCCGGATTGATCATGAGACTTAGTGCGAAGGCCCAGCGCAAACCGCGCGTGCAAGACGATCGTAGGTTGAGATTGTGATTGTGATTGTGATTGTGGTCATGAGTGGTGCCGATGGGGCCCACGATACTCTCGATAATTATAATTCTAGTCTACTCATTCAAGCCAGCTCAAAAATACATTCGCATCCCCACAGGGAAAATTCACATTCAGGGTGTATGACTTTATGCTGTTGTATTACATTATTCATACGACTATATTGTACCTACTTGACTGGTAATCAATTCCTTGGAGCCTCTAAATATGACCCCAGAGCCCACAGCGCTGTGCATCCCGCCAACGCCGTCGCACCAACGAGCTTCTTGGTCCACCAATTCTCGTCGGTCAGGGGCTTGGCCAGCTGAATCTTCTTCTGCGAGCGAGTTGGCTCGCTCTTGGCTGGCTGGGAGGCATTGCTGGCCGCCGCTTCTTCCTCTGCGGCAATCTCCCTCAGCTGCGCAATCGTCTTGCTAAGCGCGAGCATCTCCTCGTCCATGGTCGTATTCTTCGCACCGTCAACTTCAACATTCTGTATGTTCCCAAAGAAATCGGTCAGCAGTCGACTGCGAGCGGCGTCGGTACCACCCCTGAACAGATCGTATCGCACGCCGGCATGCGAATGGATCTTCTCGTAGGTATAGCTGTCAAACAGCTCCCCGACTGTCTTCTTACTGCTTAGGTCCTGGACTTCCGACTCCAAGAACTCCAGATTGTAGTAGGTGTATCGATCGATGACGGCGACCCCGACGTCGTTGTCGGCATGATGGGAGTAGGACGACTGGTCCAGCTCGGAGGAGCCGGTGGCGATGATGTTAGGCGAGTAAATCTTGCTGTACATGGTGTTCGCCTGGCAGGTGTCGATCATGAAGAGGATCTCGTGATACCTGTAGTCATTCCCGTCGTTAGCTGCGTGCCTCTGAAGTGTACACATAGTCTGTTGTAGTCTTCCCGTACTCACCTCCTCTTCTCCCACATCTGCTCGAAAGCATCTGCCAGATCAAAAGCGCCAATCTCCTCGGCATCCTGGAACTTCAAGAACTCGTTCCCGCCGTGGCCAGTCATGTACACAAAGATGTTGCTCCGGTCGTCGGTCAACAGCCTCTTGCTCCTGGGCATCTCGTCGCCGACACGGTCGGTCAACAGGCGGATAAAGTTCTCGACGGTCACCTCGTAGCCCCTGTAATCGACCTCGATGTTGTCTCCGTACAGGTCCACGGCGCGGTCCGAGTTGCTGTACACTGTGCCTGGGAAGGCATTGCGCGGGTTGCAGGCCATGTCATCGGGCAGCATGAGGATGATCTGGGAGTCGGGGATGCCCAGTCGCTTGACGGTGCGGTACATGGACAGTACATTGGACAGATGGCGGTAGTTGAACCAGAACCTCGAGGTGCCAACCAGGACGGCCCAATTACTGGTGTGTTCGGCCGCGACATGGGGTATGGGTGCCAGTAGAGATGATGCCAGCAGCACAGGCAGCTGTAATATGCTAGAGAGCCTCATGATGGACGTCGGTTCGGCAATTTGACCTCGCCGTTGGGATATGGAGATCGCAGTGGTGATATCGACGGGATGGTCTATGCAAGGAACAACATTGAAGCCGGGATGCTTCACGCGCTCCCCCCTTTAGCGGCGCAATGGCATTTGGACAGGCAGACAGGCTGACAGGGCAGCATTTGTCAGCCCCACTTCCTCTACAGTGGTTGGCGCTAGGCAGTTTGCTTGGCGCTGCAAAGGCATGACCGGGGTCCGGCTAGCATGCCCCGATGCGGTAAGTACTTTACACATGTCAGAAATGGAAGTCGAGACCCGCCCGCCTGCCGGTGAAATCTGAATGCGGGCAGTCGCCGGTGACGCAGAGGCTGCAACCTGCAAGCCTGCAGCTCTCTGCCCCGCACTAGCGGTGCAAGCGGGGAGCGACTGACTGGACGGCAGCTGCAGCGAATCGTTGATCGTCAACGCGAACAGAACCGTTTATAGACGGGGCGGGGAGCGCAAACTTTTGAGACTTTTTGGGACTTTTGAGACCATTGAGACCATCATCACCAGCCGGAGATCCGAACAACAGCCCAAACTGACTGACTGCCGGACTGGGGAACATCGTACAGCAGTCTTTGAGAGGTCGCGACAGTTCGACGTGCGCTCTTCTCTGGTGTACCTCCTCGACACCTACCTATCTCCCCTGCCTTAGTAATCATTACTATCCATCTCATGTCCTTTCTGCAAACGGAGTGAGCCAGCCAACTTAGCTACCTCCTAGCTTCACAGCTGACAACCAGACGAGAACCCTTGCGAAACTTCCCAAGCTCGCTTTGGAGCTCGTGCGGTCACTCCTCTCTGCTCCTGCACATGCTGCTCTCACGTCACTCAGCACTGAACGAACCTCAACCTGCCAACGATAGAGCCGCTTCCCAGCAACCTAGAGCTAGACCTCTATAGCCCGAAGCCGTAACTCTGCTTGGTCAAGCCACCAGTTCACCCTCTTGCCCGCAGGACCAGGGCCCTTTTCTAAACGTACCTGCGGAGGCCATGGGCCGCCCTCCAGCCTACATCTTCGTTGTTAGGTTTGTACCTTGCATGGAGCCGTCCCCTCACCCTCTCAGCCAAACGCTAATGCCCTCGACACAGGCATGGGAAGCGCCTCGATGCTGCCGACAAGCAATGGCATCTTACCTCGCCAACCCCCTACGATCCCCCCCTGACCTACGGAGGCTGGATGCAGTCCAGGACCGTCGGGGCACGCATTGCCTCCATACTGCGGGAACGCGAGGCTGAAGACGCCTTTGCCGCCGAGGCTGCCGCCCACGACCGCGTCATCACGACGTCGGTACATCCAAGGAAGAAGCGGCGGTATAGGGTCGTCTTGCACAGCTCCCCCTTCCTGCGCTGCGTACAGACCTCCATTGCCATCAGCGCCGGCATCGCCTCGAACCCTCCATCCTCCGCCGCCCCCGCTGAGATTCTCCCGCCTCCGACGACACTACCACAGACCCGGGCCTCCACCTCTTCCAACCCAGCTCCTACGCCGTCACAGCCGTCCATCCCGACACCGGACTGTCTCGCCCACCCCTCGTCCGATCTGAACCAGCACATCCATAAGTGCGTCCTGCGCCTTGACCCATTCCTTGGAGAATGGCTCTCCCCTGATTACTTCGAGCATATCACGCCCCCTCCCAAGTCTGGTCTCATGCTCGCGACTGCCAAGGCCGAGCTGCTGCGCCGTGAGAACTATAATGACTATCCGCATTTCCATGCTAGGCATGTGCCTCATTTGTCGACTCAGCTCTGGAACGCTTCCCCTCGGCGCGGCAGCGCTTTGGCCGTGTCGATGACTCCTGACTCTATACCAGCTTCGGGTGTCAACGCTACACCTAGCCTTACAGATGGTGTGCCGGGACACAAGGACAGTTCCAACGGTGTCTTGGAAGGAAGACGGTTGCAAGCCGCATCCGAGGACCATTCGTCAAGTCCAGGCTACACTGGCCCAGTCCCATCGTACGCGCTCTCTTCCTCTGAACCCATACCCAAAGGATATGTCGCGCATGCTCGGGATGCATGCGTCGATGTGGACTACCAGTGGGACTCAACACGGGATTACCTTGGCTGGGGAAATGGCGGAGTCCTGCCTGAAGAGTGGGCAGCAATGCACCAAAGATTCAGGAGAGGATTGAGGCGTATGGTCGACTGGTACGGCACCACGGAAAACCCTGGAGAAATGGTGACCAAGACGCCGATGAGTCCCTCCTCTGAGAACCCTCCAAACGAGTCTAGGAGGAAAAGCGAGCAGGATAACTCGGCTGTTGAGGACGCTGAGGACGTGGAAGATGTTGAGATTGAGGATGTCGTCATCCTTGTGTCGCACGGTGCCGGCTGCAACGCCCTCGTGGGTGCCATCACACAGCAGCCGGTTCTTGCTGACGTGGCCATGTCGTCTCTGTCAATGGCCAGACGGCGCACAGCATTTGATCATGCCGATCTTAGTCAGGAGATATCTGCTTTGTCTCTGGATGAGGCCTTGCCAAGGAACTGCAGCTCCATGCCGGACATGTACGAGCTCAAGCTATTTGCCAGCACGGAGCACCTACGCACTGTAATCACGCCACCCACCATTAGCCGGTCTTCGTCGATTGCCGGTGCCACTCCGCGCGGCCGCCCAAGCACTGGATACTCATCGGCGCTCAAGGAGATCAGGTTCGGCGCGGCTTATGGGGAGACGCCTGTGGGTAGTCGCAGCAACTCGGCCAATGCCTCCTTGGGCAGTATGAGGAGATCATCTGGGGGGCCGGCGTTAGTGTTACGACCGTCCTTGCCCAATAATGCTAATAAAGGGGGCATTACCGTCGGCAGCGGCGTCTCCAGCTTTTCACCAACTCGGCCCAACCGCTCGGGGTTATGGGGCCTTTGGACTCCAAATGGAGATGAAGGTGAGGCAGAGAACGAGCCGGAGCCACCAATGCTGCTTGACTTCAGCCACGAAGTGGACGCGAAGCAGAGGGTAGATGGGGCACATACAAAGGATGACGCCAAAAAGTCCAACAGCGGCGTGCCAGAACCCCCCACGCCTCCAAAGCCGACTGACCAGAAGCATGGCTCCGAGGTATCCCATGACGAAGAACATGACACTTTTGATGAAGACTCAGTTCCGCATCTTTGGGCTGGCACCGGTAATGGAGGTCTCTGGGGAGCACCGCGGCCTCCGGGAGAAGCCGAAAGACTACGTGATTTCAGCGCTTCGAAGAGGCGATGGACTGTCACCGAGCGCTGATTCCATAATACGGGAAGCCTATATCACTCCATCATTGGCATGGCCACTTCATGTCGTCTCCAGTCGCTTCATGCGTTGACATGGACGGCGTTATTTCCATTAAGATTAGCATTTTCACAAGCATTTACGGATCTGGCGAAAAAGGTCAGTTGCATTTTTGGAGTTGATTGTAAGATACCTCTTGGTCGGGATTTGCATGCTCTCGGAACGGGGCAAAGGCAGGAAGAAGACTGTTTAGCGTTTAGACCGCGTCCCGCTATTTCATAGACAGGCTGATGATGATGCTCACTTCAGGAAGAGCCGGGGGTGAAAAGAGGTCGCACCAACTCTCGTGCAGGCGATATGTGGAATTGGCTGCCGATGATCTCTTTCGGTCAAGTGTCTCAACTCCTCTATAAAACTGAACATGACAGTCTGCTTGACAACTCCAGGCATATGCAGTGGTGCATGGTCTATGTACAGGTCTTTGCGTAAGAAGGGTTTCTACTTTTTTCCGAAGCCCTTGACGACGAAAGCCCTCTTTTATATCAGCCTTCATTTCCTCACGGTGATACTGATCACCGGGTAATAACTCTGCTGGAGCTTTTTCGCCAACCATTGGCTCTCCTCCCGCTCTGCCCCGTACGCATGGCTCCCTCGCGGCTTATCCAAACGTCTTTCGCATAGCCTGATGCGCCAGCTCTACGCCCAAGAAGGTGGCGGCATTCGCAGGCACCGCTCTCGCCAGCGCGGGGCCAAAGCCCGGGAAGAAGGCCTTGACACCACCCTTGCCGTACAGCTCGCGCACGACACCACCAATGCTGACATTGCCCTCGGCGGTCTGCAGGCGGCTCTTGACGGTGTCGACGGGGAACACGGGGATCCACATGGCCACACCGGCGGCGCCTCCCGCGCACGTCACGGCCATGAGGCTGAGGTCGCCCTGGGGCTTGCCCGTGACGGGATCCCGCGGCGTGAGGCGGCGCTTCATGTACTCGTAGGCGGCGAAGTAGGCGGCCGAACCGGGGCCGTCGCGGGCGAGGGTGGCGGTGCTGCCGCGGAAGACAGACCTTAAACCGCCCTCGCGGTAGAGCTGGCGCACGACGTCGACGCCGCCCTTGTACTTGGGCTCCTCGCCGGGTTTCAGGCGCTGGCCCTGGACTTGTAGGATGACTTTGACGCGCTCGAAGGGCGCCGTGATGGCGGTCATGGGCACGGCGCTGAAGAAGCCGGCGGTGGAGATCTGGGCGATGGAGAGGCCGCCGTCGGGGCTCGGTGGGGAGAAGGAGGTTACGATTTGCTTGCCGAGATCGTAGCCCCAGAAGGAGACGGCGACTGCGCGCGGGGTGACTTGTCAGCGCTGCCCTCGCGCGTCCGGATTTCAAGTTGGCCGAGAATTGGATGATAGGGGCTCGACTTACACATAGGCGTAACACCGACCAGCGGCGCACTGACACCGGCATACAGACCTCTCCGCAGCCCATCCCTTGCTATGCTCTTCCTGACGACGTCGATCGCGGACGAGTAGACGCCCTTCTCGGCAGTCTGCATGCGCACCTTGACGAGATCGAAGGGGTGGCCGACGACGACGGCGCAGATGCCGCCGAAGCCGCCGGCGGCAAAGGACCGGATCTGCGAGGCGAAACTACCGGCTGCCGCCTTCGCCTCGGCTTTGAGTTCCGTCTTTAGCTCGTCTTTGGACTCGGGAATGTGCGGGAGGCGTTCGGCGACAGGGTTGGGGAGGTTCGACTGCATCTTTTGGTTGATGGTGCCGCCATTGTCCTTGGACGGCGGCGCGGACATGGTGGCTGACGGGATTGACTGGACGATGGGCGCTGGACGCTGCCCTTGAGAGGAGAGAGGCAGCTGGTGTGTCTGTCTTGTGCGTCGTGAATGCCGAAGCTGGGCGGGCGAGAGTCTTCAGAAGCTCCGCGGGGGGTCGTGTCGTCCGCCGCCTGTAGCTGTCCCCTCTGGTGCCGCGTCCAACAAGACCTTGAATGTAGCTGAGGTTGGCGGAAGTCCGTGATTGAAGAAGCTGGACGATGCTTTGGGCGACGAATAATAAGCTTCCAAACAAAACGTTGTGTTGCGTTCCAAGTGCGAGCTCGACGGCTGTCTCTGCTCGGGAATTCGGAGGTGGAGCGAGCGCGACGTCAGTGCCTCGGCAAGTTGGCGACTACTAAATACTAACACTTCAGGGGTGGGAGTCCGCTTGCTTCGTGTTAGTGCCTCTCATATGATAATCATCAACCAGCATACCTAGGTATATTTAAGTGCTTTAAATGTATGCCATCTTGACGCTTATTCTGTATCATCTGACCTGCGGCTATTGATACTGCCTACCAAATTCAGTGCGTCGTTTTCCACAATTTACGTAGCATACATAACGGCCTCCGTTCTCGCTACCTCGGCCAAGTCGGGTCAAAGGGAGAGGGGACCTCGGGATATACTCCATACTTACACATATCAACCCGGGGCCCCGGCTTCCTAATTGACTAGCCCAACTGCTAGATACCTAGTCGAGGGCTCCACGAGCACCGCCGGCCGTACGGATATCATGAACTGCCAGTCGTCGTCAGATGCTAACCGACATACAACATAACAGGTATGCCACTTCAATTACAGAGCCTCCGGGTATAGACACGTTGTAACCAACATCTGATCGAATCGTCTCTCATGTGTGTATTGCTTCTATGCGACAAGTATATACAAGAATTAGCTCCATAACATATGGGTATCGTTTCCTGTCTTCCTCTGTTCCAATGCCATGCGCGCCAAAATGCTAGATGCATTGAGCATAGCTGCTCTCCAAACACATATCTACTCACACAGCAAGCCGTATCGCTGGGACATCCCTACCGGCTGCTGCTGCTGTTACGCCGCTCGCGAATATGCATAAAACGGGCTCGTGGTCCGGGCATAAAGTCTGCTGCTGTATGCATGTCTGGCCACATGTTCAAAAGGGTTTCGGCGAAAGGGGCGAAAGGGCGCTGTTGACTCGACCCATCCCGCACCAGCAAGTCGTGTCGCTTTCCCTTTCCATCTGTATCGTGAGTTCAATCCCGTGTTTGCCGAGATATTGCTTCACCCTGTCTCGAACCTCCTCCATGTCTGCACCACGCATGGCTGCTACGTGTATTACTCCGAGCAGCTTGCCACCCGACTCGTTGCTCGCTCCGTCATTAGCCCAGAACTTGGGCACTGAATAGGAAGCCACGCCTCGCTGATTGGTTATCTCGGACAGAGTGTTGCGAAGGTTGTATTCCGCATCAGCAGGAATGGTCAGTAATAGTCGTCGAGCTGAAGACTTCACCAGCGGTGTTGCTGTTATGAGGATCAGGTAGGCGATCAGCAAGGACGCCAAAGGATCCCACCCCGACCATGGGATCAGGTACGTCAGAATTGTCGAGAATATCACTGATGCGCTGCCCAACGTGTCGGCGAGAATATGGAGGTAGATGCCATGCATGTTCTCGTTATCGTGCGAGTGGGAATGAGCGTGTCCATGGGCGTGTCCCTGGGTGTGTCCATGTTCATGCTTTTGGTGGGAGTCGCAGTCATGGTCATGGCCATGGTCATGGTCGTGGTCATTCCCGTGCGAGTGAGAGTGGCCGTGCCCATGACTGGGGCTGGGCGAATGGCTAAGCGAATGGACATGGTCGTGAGAGTGGCCGTGACCGTGATCGTGGCCATGGTGGCCATGAGAACCAAAGGCAAATATGCCCAGGAGATTGACAATCAAGCCCAGAGTACTGACGATGAAGAGCTCCCGCAGCCTCTTCGTTTCGCGCCCCTCGAGCAATCTCTCGAACCCCTCAAACATGATCTCAACACTAATCAGACTGGAATGCGTTAGTTGGCTACCACATGGGGGCGAACGGAAGACATACACTAGAAAGATGCCATTGGCGAAGCCGCTCAAAGTCTCGATCTTCCCGAAGCCGTACGGAAACCTCTCGCTAGGCGGCCACTTGCCCATAACCGAGGCGAAAAGTCCCACCGCCAGAGCCACGCAGTCGAAGAACATGTGTATGCTATCACTTAGAAGGCCCAGCGAGTCCGTCAGGTAACCGTAGACCGCCTGGACACCCATGAATGTAAAGTTCACCCTGTTACCCCGGCGCATTAGCAGGAGTCCAAGCTGTAGACAGCGGCTAACCCATGTACCTACCCCATGAAGTAGAAGATGCGACGCGAGTCCTTGTCCGTCATGATGGCATGGATCAGCGGCCACTTGGAGGTATACGGGAGAAGCATGGCCGTAAACTTGGAATGTCGCGGACCATGTCCATGTGCATGATGGTCATGGTCATGATCGTGAGGATGCGCGTGTGGAACCGCCGAGAGAGGCGCTTCGTACTCGGTGGCTTGCGGTACCTCCCCAACCATCTTCCCTCCGGAGCCCAAAAGTAGCTCTCCTGTACTTTGCCTCAGCGGCGAAGGCCTGTTCTCGCGTTTTAGCAGAGGTGCAAGCGAGTTTGCGCGGTGGTGGGATATGTTTTGCTGGGCCCGCGCTTGGGCGTCTTCGTCGATATGGCTGTGGCTTTGGGTTTGGCTCTGGCTATTGTTGTAGGACCGCATGGCACCGCTGTTGGACGGGCTGGACGGGTTCGACGGGTTCGAGCGCGAAGATCTAGAGTGGCCGAAGGACGGCGGTGAATGCGAGTGCGAGTGTGAATGGTCGAGCGAGCCGTGGTGACCATGGCCGTGGCTGTGACCGTGACCGTGACCGTGACCATGACCGTGGTTGTGCGGCAAGGGCGGCTGCGGAAGAGCGTAGGAAGATGCCATTATATCGACGACGCCGAAGCTGGTTCCTTCGTAGACGGTGGATGTCTGTCCCTGGAGTCGGATGACCCCGTCGTCCCAAGTCCTTATCGCATGGAGATGTGGATGTGGATGCGCTGGGACTGGGGTTTAGAGTCGGGTGTCAATTGAGACCAAGTGACAGGTTCTCGGACCTCGAGGTTGGATCAGAGAGGGTTCGAACAGGCTGGAATTGGTAGAGTTCGTAGACACGGAATTGGATACGAGTCAGGCGGAACAGTATTCAATCTTGCTACTTACTGCACAGCTTCCACAATTTGAAATTGTTCTCTCGGCGCGACGAGACAGAAAGAGAGCAGGGAAGAAAGAGCATAAACAAGAGCTAGCGACAAGACACAATGCAGAACAGGGAAACGAGGCAACAGAGGCAGCAAGAACTAGGCAGTCCAAAGATTGGACTTGAGACTTGGACCGGGACAGAAGACGGGTATGTTCTAGATGTGGTTTCTTTGTTGTCGCAACCTCCCCCTGGCAGCCCTGGCAGACTGCCCAATGGTGTCTCTCCTTCCGCTCTCGTCAAAGTCAATTCACCCCCTATTACCTGTGAAACAGGCGCCGGCAGGCTGTGGCTGCCAGCCTAAACTCGTGCTGGAAGGCGCTAAACCTCCGCCCGTTGATCTACTGCCTTGCCTGGTACCTAGCGGGCCACTGCGAGCTCGGCGAGGGGCGATGTCCAGGTCGGTGTGGATCGCTCATTGGGTCGCTAATCGAGCCCAGTAATCGCCATGCCTGCCGCCCTGCGTTTAGGGGCACCGTTAAGGTTGACTGCTGCAGGGTCGCTGCATCGGATGAGATCATAACGTGCAGGTGGCCAATAAGGTAACCCACGTTACAAAGATAGTCCCATGAAGTGCATAATGAGTTTGGCGAACGATGTGTCGGGAATCAGTGCCGAAAACAATGGACACGACGGATGCAAGGCTACGTCTCTTGCCTCACGCCTCACCACTACACACATACAAATTGGCCAAGTCAGCCTCAGTCTCAACTCCAGCCAGACAGGCTGTTCGGGATGTCATATTTGGGTCATACAACCTCACCAGCCCGTACGACATGTGTTCGACGCGATCGCTGTGATTCGTCCTGAAAAACGTCGGGTCGAGTCCACATCAAGACTCAGTCAACAGCAGCGGTAGATCGATACTGGTCCCGTGCCGCGTATGAAAGTAAAGTATACATCGACTTGGAGGCAGCTTGTGAACAGCGGGTAAAGTTGGGACAGCTGTGTCATTGAGGCCAGAGAATCCTTCTAATCTGAGTCATCTGACCTGCCGCTCATTCCATTGCCATACCGCAAACGTCACTCCTAATTCCTTCAGCATGGTATACCTCGCCATAGTCTTGTGGTCGACCATCGGGGGTCTACTGACTGCATTGGCTGTGGCTTTGACGATGCTCCCCTCCCGATATGTCAAGCAATCACCCGCCTCCAACCAATCTGTATCCGTCCAAATCTTAGTGCTTGGAGACATTGGACGCAGTCCACGCATGCAGTACCATGCCCTGAGTGTTGCAAGACATGGCGGAAAGGTTGACATCATTGGTTATCACGGTATGTTCTCTCTCATCTCACCTCAAGAGGAGCGTTTTCTCATCGTCCAGCAGAGTCAGCACCATACCCGGGTCTCCTCTCCGACCCTCGGGTCAAGATACATCCCCTGGCACCCCCTCCCGGTGTGCTCAAGTCCAAGTCTATTCCATTCGTCATATCTGGACCTTTGAAGGTATTGTGGCAGATCTGGACCTTGGTACGAGTCCTTGGCTACACCGCACCGCCTGCGAGATGGCTTTTGGTCCAGGTAATATCTACGAAGTGCCTCCTTGCGTCCGGATTTACTGACTGAACTTTCAGAACCCCCCTTCGATTCCCACTCTTGCCATCTCTCTACTGGTGTCTGTTCTGCGCAACACCCACCTCATGATTGACTGGCACAACTATGGCTGGACAATCCTTGCGGGAACCAAGGGACGGAATCATCCATTCGTGGAGATATCTAAAGCATACGAATGCGCTTTGGGCCAAGCAGCGCCGACTGCAAACATCACTGTCACCCATGCAATGGAAAGACAATTGAAGGAGGAGCCTTATAACATTAAAACGCCGATCTTTACCCTTCACGATCGGCCCGCTGCAATCTTCCAGCCCCTGGAATCACTCCCGGATCGAAGAGACTTCCTCGAGAGATTGCCTGAGACGAAGGACTTTGCGGCCAATATCATGGCTGGCGAAACCAAGCTCATCGTCAGCAGCACTTCGTGGACACCGGATGAAGACTTCTCTTTACTGCTTGAAGCGCTGGTCTCTTATGCGCGGGAAGCTTCTGCCCCTCCTATCATCGCGATCATCACGGGTCGTGGGCCTCAGAAGTCATACTACGAAGAACAGATCGAGGAGTTGCAGAAAATGGGGCGACTACCGAATATCCGCATACTCACGGCCTGGCTCTCCATGGAGGATTATGCGACACTCCTAAGTTGTGCTGACCTTGGCGTATGTCTTCACATGTCTAGCTCAGGGGTAGATCTGCCTATGAAGGTAGTTGACATGTTCGGATCGGGACTCCCCGTTGCCGCTTACTCGGGCTATGAGAGCTTTGGCGAGTTGGTCAAGGAGGGAGTCAACGGATGCGGATTCGAGACTGCAGACGAGCTCTCATTACTTCTACAGAGACTATTCAGTGACGAAGGGGCCGACGAGCTGAGAACCCTGCGCCAGGGAGCGACAAAGGAGAGCGCTCTACGATGGGACGAAGAATGGGATCGAGTTCTTGGTCGTGTTTTCGGACTCATGGGTTGAGACAAGACAACCTTGACCTGTATCTCTATACGTCTCATGCGGTAGGCAAGTCTGGTGGATTGGGAAAGTTATCTGCGCCAGGAACACCTGACCAAGGGAACATACATCGTTGCTAACTCCGAAACCATGTCAAGTCGCACACAAAAGCAGTATAAGACGCTTCGAAACAACCCCTATGCCGTTCTTTATCGCTATGCCCTTGTGGGAAAAGACAGTAAGCATACCTTCTGATGCTATCTCCCTCCCCTCGCTTGGCTCCGATCCCCGGCCTTCAGTCCTCCCCCACGCTCTCCCGCACACATTTCCGTACTCTCTTCCGGAACTCCTTGGGTCCACCCTCCTTCTCTTGGCGCAGAAGCTTGGCGGCGTCGAGATTGGCAGGACTATCCTCGTTGGGCTCGCTGAACAGGCTGATGACGCTCAACAGTATCGTCTCGGGCGTCTGCACTGGGCTCCACCGCTCGGAGGCATTCTCGTAACCGTACTTGTCGTCCTCGGGCGGGTGCAAGATGGAAATGCACAGCTCGCCGTTGGGGTAAATGTTGGGGTGGAAGGGGATGGGCGTCTGGAAGACCATCTTGGGCGGGAGATGGGGATATTCGGGCGGAAAGGTCAGGTGCGCGCGGAAGATGGCTCCTTTCCATATTGTCAGCAACGAATGTGAGCGGTTCGAGGTACCCGAGGTATGTAAGTCGTCGAGGGGGTGCGAGGGGGGGCTTGAAGTTGTCTGGAGCAGGGTTGCGTGAACGAACCACCATAGTATTTCAAGTCATGGTCGAGCATGAGGATCACCTCCCAGTTGAAGACATTGTCCCTGAGCAGGCCAACGGATATGCCCGGCACATCTTTAGCATTGGTGATCTCCTTAAGCTGGCGTTGCAGCAGTGATGCGGCGGCGGCCGAGGACTGCGATGATGATGACGCCATGGTCTTCTGCTTCCCGATACTCGGTGTCGAGCCGGTCCGTCGTCGTACGTGTGCGATAGAATGGTTTCACCCGCGCGTGGATTTCCTCCAATACCGGCTATCGTGATGTGTCACGGCATCCAAAACAATAATGGAGTTAAGTAAGTGGTGAACAGCGAAAGAGCCCAACGTGCCGGGTCTGTGTGAAGAATGTGCTGGTTCGAATCGAGGGCCTCGGGTCAATGTCAGTTGGCGGGGTTTTGAAGGTCCCTGATTATTCACGTTGCGGGGTGGATCTCGTAGGTGCAAGCAGTTGCTACCTCCTACCTACATCTGAAGACTTGCCAGCTTAACTTGGAGAAGGGGTGGGAGGTAGGAACTCTGTAAAAATATATACCGTGCTCTTTCCGAAATGCGTGATGATGACTCGAGGATAGATAAAATACAACCGAAGCCGAGAGAGCGGCAATGGCGGGAAGCTGCAGGTACCCAAATTGTGGCGGATGCATGTAGGCGGTCAACTGTGCGGCGGCCGAGTCTGCTCAGACAGTCCAGATGATTTGCAAAAGAGAATGGAGAACCATTGCAAGTTTTAAGGTGCTTCTTCATGCGTTGTAGCCCAGAAGAAATCTGTCTGGAAAGGAGCAGGATATGTTATAGACAGGTTCGGAGCACAGGAGGGTCATGCAACGGGGAGTCAACACCAACCAACAAGTTTACCTACTTTCGAAACGACGACACAGTTTCGGTACGAACCGTACATCGCGCATTGCAATGTGTTGGGAGCCACTTGTAAGGCAAAGGTATTATTGCAATAAAGCCCGGAATAACATGTGAAGCACGACAAATGTATAATTCAACCCAAGTGAACGCCAGATTGCCATGCGAATATTCCTCTGACACCATACGCCACGATCCCTGAGCCAGCTCGATCGGCTTCAACCACCCCCCCTATTACTTTTTCGACGTGCCGAAACCCGTGATACCCATAGCCGCCATCATATCCTCCTCGTCGTGTTCGCCCTCGACGCGGACATCCTCGCCGTACTCGACCTTGACCTTCTCGGCGTCCTCCTTCGCGGCCTTCTTCTTGGCCAGCTCCTCGAGCCTCTTCGCGCGCCTCGCCTCCCTCTCCCTCGCCTCCTCCTCCTCGCGGACCTCGAGGCGCTCCTTCAGCGTCGTCGTGGCCGCGCGTTTCTGCTCCTGCAGCCGCTCCCACACCTCGGCGATGCGCTCGTGCACGTCGGCGGCGCTCGCCTTCTTCACCTCGCCCGTCTCGCCAATGGCGCGCAGGTGCTGCATGCTGTTGACGTGCTCGACCCACTGGATGTTGTCCTTGAACGTGAGGTCGCAGGCCGCGCAGTAGAAGCCCGCACCCCGGCCCCTCTTGCCCTGGCCCGCGCCAGCCGGCACCAGCGTCGTCTTGCCCACGTTGGCCTCGAGGTCGATGATCTGCCGCCGCGCCCGCGTGTGTGTCTCGTCGCCTGTCGCCGGCTTGTAGTACTTCTTGCCTGCCATCTTGGCCTCGTACCGCGCTTTGGCCTCTTCGCGCTCGGCGCCCTCGCGCACCTTGGCCTTTTCGGCATATTCGTCGAGATCGTAGTTGCGCCTGAAGGACGTGTCCGAGGCTGGGGTGCCATAGGCAGACCCCTTGTCGCCCGCCATGTTGCGAGTCTGTTTGCCGTGCGATTCGTAGGACTGGTTATGGGAGATCGAGGTGTGCGGCCGTAATCACACTGGCACAGGCGGGAAGGTCGTGGTAGTTGTTGGGCTTGGTTGTAGACGAAACGGACGATCTCGTCGACTACTGTATCTGGAATTGGAGGTGGATTGGAGACCATCTTGTTGGAGCTACCCCGCCAATTATGCACAAGCAAAAGTATTGGTATATCGAATAGCTCCCCTCCAAAAATCTGGGATCGTCGTCCCGTCGACTTTCGTTTTCTATTGTCAGCCTCCTCGCTGCTTCGGTCTGTATTACGCCGCAAAGATGCTTTACCTCGTGGGCTTGGGTCTTTCCGACGAGACAGACATCACCGTGAAAGGACTCGAGATCGTCAAGAAGGCAGCGCGGGTCTACCTCGAGGCCTACACAAGTATCCTCCTGGTAGACCAGTCGGTCCTGGTATTTCAACCCCTCCCCAGAATCTGCTTTTCGCACGACGGCTAACGCTAATAATACAGTAGGAGAGCTACTATGGCCGATCCATCGTAGTCGCTGATCGCGAGATGGTCGAATCGAATAGCGACGAGATCCTCCGCGATGCCCAGACTGAAGATGTCGCATTCTGCGTGGTGGGCGACCCCTTTGGGTATGTAGGAGATCTACCCGATTCCCATCCCTTGCACCCCTCGACTCAAGCTTCTAACCTTGCCGAATGTAGCGCAACCACCCATACCGACCTTATCCTTCGCGCTCGCGAGCTCTCCATACCCGTCCAGGCGGTCCCGAACGCCTCCATCATGTCTGGCATCGGCGCATCAGGCCTCCAGCTGTACAACTTCGGCCAGACGGTATCCATGGTATTCTTCCTCGACAACTGGCGGCCAGCTTCGTTCTACGACCGCATCAAAGAGAACCGTGATATCGGACTGCACACGCTGGTGCTGCTGGACATCAAGGTCAAGGAGCAGAGCCTGGAGAACATGGCCCGAGGGATCAAGATCTACGAGCCTCCCCGGTACATGACGGTGGGACAATGCGCACAGCAGATGCTCGAGGTCGAGGAGGACAAGAAGGAGGGTGTGTACGGCCCGGATAGCCTGGCTATTGGCGCCGCAAGGGTTGGCGGGCGCACCGAGAAGTTTGTCGCCGGGACCCTGAAGCAGCTTTGCGACGCCGACGATGTCTTGGGACCGCCGCTTCACAGTCTAGTGTTGCTAGGCAAACGGGCACACGAACTCGAGAGGGACTATGCACGCGAATTTGCATTGGATAAGGACACGTGGGACAAGGTCTGGGCCGCAAATTATGGTAAGCAGTAGGGAATTGTCAATTGAAAACCTAACAACCCGCTCTCATCCCTGCCGTGGTGCCTTTACGGCTCGTGAAACCATGAATCAGAAGTGTCATGCAAGCAGAAGTCTCAAATCAGTGTACCGATCTCCACGTCTGAACCTCGGCCGCGTCGATCTCCCGGAGCTTGTTGACGCTGGCTGTTTGTCCCGTTACGCTTCCCTTAGCCACCTCTGCCATGCGACCCACAAGGTTCTTGTCCGTGATGGCGTAGGTCGCCGTCTCCATCTTGACACGGATGATGCCAATTCGGGGGTCCTTCTCGGATCCGTCGTGAGTGCCATCGCCCAGGTCGCCAACCCAGGCCTTCAGGGAAGAGCTGTAGTGCTTCTTAATCAGGCTGCGGTCCGTCTCGATGGTAGCGGTGCCCGAGATGGAGGCCCACTGGCCGGAGCTGTCGAGGAAGGAGATGTTGACATGGGGGTCACCCTTCAGCTCGTCCGTCTTGTGTGATTCGGTGTTGGTGAAGAAGAGGTGGTCCAGGGTGCCGGTTTCCTACAGTCGACCCGTTAGACAGTGCTCAGACGGGCGTGAGGGCCAGGTCTGATGGTTGCTCACCTTGGCAGTGACGGCCATGCATCGGGATACCAGCTTGCCGGACTTATCATCCCGGGTGGTCATCATGCCGAACTTGCACGAGCTGACGAACTTGTCGAGAGCCTCGATCTTTTCCTGGGTGGTTGCGCCGCCATCGACGTTGGCGGTCTTGTAGGGGTCAGCGGGCTTGCTGCCGGTGTCTGTGTTGGAGAACGACATGGTTGGTGGGTTGGTATTGCTGAGTTGGTGAAGTAGGTAAAAGTTGGTGTGATGTTTTGCTGCGAGTATGTTGTTTGTAGACGAGTCAGGTTGCGGTCATGAGCTTATGAGGAGTGGGGGAGGAGATGACACAAGTCTAAAAACACAGAAGACATACGACCCCGCCACGTACATATCACAGCACGACCTCGAGCATCCGCTTCAATGTTTGCATTATTATTAGGTAAATTCCTCCCTGACTAGGTAGGTACTGCTACGGGCGGCGGGCGGCAGGCGGCAGGTAACAGTGCCCTGGGAGTGTCGTTCGATTTGGCGGGGTGGGTGTGACCCAACGCATCGAATTTCATCATAGATATCTCATCGAGAGGGCTGGGCCGCGTTTTGGCGTCATGACGTCAACCTTGAAGCCATGACGGGAACCTACCTTACCTTAGTCATCTAGGTGCGACCTGCCTGCCTGCCGGTTGAGACGTCGGTGAAACGACTTGTTGAATGACAACGATAAAACTGTCACGATGTGATGCTTCCCAATTGACCAGTTGCTGCCTTACCGTATATCACGTTGGTGTCTTGACGTCTCAATACATATCTCCTCATACATATTGATACTGGTCAGAGCACTGAAGCGGTCAAAATATCCATTGTCAGATGCAAGTGAGTTCAGAGTATGCAGGTAGAGACTCTATTGTAGCCACTTCTGTCCTAATCGTAGGCGATGCGAGCCCGCTTAATTTCCTCTGCAAGTCATCTATGGCCATTGGTCTAGCTTAGTTATATTCGACCCAATGGAGATGATATCTCAGTCCAATATACAGTCCCATGCCGAGAAACCATGATTCCGATACCCTCCCAGAACCTTTCAGGGCCATTCCCTATTAAGTCGGAGTGACCGCCTTGACCTCGCGTTGGTGCTGGTTCGACCACGTTCTCTACTTCGCCAGCAACCCCTATGATCTGATCAACGGGACACCTCGGATGAGGCAATCCCTCGCGATCACATCGGACCTCCATGTCGCGAGTTCAATTCCCATCTTGTTCGTCCCTCTCGCCCCAGTCCTAGCCTTGACCTATTCCCTGAAGACGCCCCGTCCACCAAGCAACACACTCAGAATCCGCCCACTTGGCCAGCCGCCGCAACGACTGCAACAGGACATAGCAGTCGGACATCTGGTCAGTCGAGCCCATCGCAAGGTCCGAAGAGACCAGATCCCGGTCCACATCCAGGACGGCAAAGTTAATGCGCCAGGATGGTCCGTGGACCTCGATCAACGGCAGCATCAGCGCACTACCAGTGGGTTTGACCGGGCCTGAAGACTGTGGTTCTGTCCCAGAACCTCCACTGCTACCGATATTCTGCTTTGAAGCGGGGAACAGGTATCGGCACAACCGATAGTGGGCACGCGCAAAGTTGGCGAGCTGGCTGGGTGCGTTGGCATCGCCGCCGCGCGAACGTTTCGTTTCGATGGCGATAGCCAGGGGTCGGTCCACTTCGAAGCTTTCGAGGGCATTAAGCTGCGTGAAGGAGCGGCTACTGTTTATGAATGAAAAGATCTGGTCTTCGAGGGAAGAAGCGGCGGGTGGCGCGAGGAAAATGCCGTAGTCGACCATGTTGTCTCTAAGGAGGGCGCTTCGATCGCGGAATGGGATGGCAATACGGGCGTCGGTCCTGTCAACTGTAGTCAGCGAATGAAACAGTTGGCGAGATGAATAGAAAGTGTGGCTGACGAAGGAACAAGCGGAGGTCGGGAAGGTCATTTAGAATGAAAGTCCGTCTGCTTACACGTTGCGGAAGACCAGCGATTCGCTTGCGTCCGAGTCCGACTCGTTAAGAGCCAGCTCCAGTATAGACGAGTGAACCTTGTCATTCCATTCTGCCTCGTGAACCGGCCGCGCAGGATTATTGCAATCAACGGTGGATTTGCAGATTCGGAGAAGACGCCGGTGTTGGTACTCGAGGTCCTTCTCGGAGGTGTTGGAGCTGCTGGCGAACATGGCATCGTTCAAGGGATCTGCGATTTTCTTCTGGGATTCGAACAGCGTCTGCACAAAAACGCAATAAGTTAGACACCAATTTCAAACTTGGACGAGGCGCCCATAGGCCAACAGGAGGAGGTAGTGAAAACAACACGTACCTTAAGTTCACCTGGCAGAATACCAATCTTCTGGCGGATGGCGGAAAGGTCTTCAACCAGCGAGATTGTCGCCCGCTCTACAGAAAGCAAAGCGGCAAGTTCATCCAGGGATATACGTTGTAAACGCAATTCGTTCGCGCTCCGCATAGCAGCCTCTCTCTTAGTAGGACTGCTCCGGCCGGAGCGCTTCGACATGGACGACGTGTCCGAGAATACGTCCCTGTCTCTGCCATCGCCGATGCTGGTGGAGGCCTTGTCGGAAGAGGTCGGTGTATATAGCAGTTCGGATCGGGTACGTTCAGGGAGGAGTCGGTTCGGTCGTGGAGTCGCAGCGTTGTCGGGGGTATCCAGGACCGCCTCTTTGGTCACTACCATTGGATCCCTCGCCATCTTCCGGGCCATCTTCCGGACCATCTTCCTGGATGCGACGTCGCTTGGTCGGGCTCGGTGTGCGACGTGGGTACGGAGGAGAGGACATTCTGACGGCGGCGCGTTTCCGATTGATGCCACAATGCGTCTGTTTTCGATAGCTGCTGGGTGTGTTCTGCTCGTCGCGATCCGCGTCGAGGAGTGTTTGGAGCCAGTCTTCGATCAATTGGGAGTTGGCTTCTTCTCTGGAAGATGCAAGCAAAGTGTGACAGCGACTCATCGCTCGCTCATATGTGTATGCGCTTGCGTCTGTTCGCAATGTGTCGATCTTGATGGTCGTGGTTGTGGTTGTGGTTGTGGTTGTCGTGATGGAGATTCAAAAGCAGAGGGAAGGAGAATCACGGTGTTCCATTGTTTGGTTGGAGGGGAAGACTGTCGGACCAGCAACTGAAACTCGATTGGTGGCTGATAGGCCTATATGCATATTGTCTGTCTTCTGCTTATGCAATAATCTAACATGAATACTAGTGTGCCTTGTGGATAGCGGTTCCAGAATCAGGACCAGGGTCACGATAGGTGGCTATTGGTCTGTATTCTGGAAGTTGCTTGATTGAAAGAAGGGATGGGTGGTGTCCCCATCCCAGAAGTAGCTATCATCCCAGTTGGGTACAAATCAGGTACAAACGGGTACCCGTTGGGCTCCAAGGTACCTTGTATCCTGGTCCATGACCCATCCGTCATTGTGGCTGGAAAATGGGTTGAGGAGCCACACTAGGCATCTGGCGAAGCTCTCTCGTGGTTCTTGGTTCCAGGCTGTGGGGACTTGCCGATCTGGGAACGTCTGCGCCGGGCAGCAAGCGAGCCGAATTAGAACTACTCGAGGCATGGTCCAACACATGGTATAAGAATTCCTCATTTAGCACAACCGGTGGCTTCAAAATGGACTAGCAAGCACTGCAAATAAAGTTGTGTTCCTCGACCCTAGGTTGTGAACTAGTTACAGTAACATCGTCTAGCAACCTACTGGCAAGATGAGGAAACAAAGCTTGGAACTACATGAAACACTCCGGCATAGTGTTCTTCTTAAGCCAGCAGTACCAGTCTCTCATGTACGCTTCCCTTGCCTCGGTACTCCATTGAGTTTTTTACTGGCCGTTGGACTCTCGTGGCTCGCTGATGTTTCTCTACGCAAGTGAGTGTTCATATGGTAGGGCCCAGCAAGGTAAGAATGTGCTTGCAAGCAGAATAAGTAATTTTGTATGTTGCAGCTCGTGATCAGAGGACTCGCTCAGCAACATTCAGCACTCATCTAGACAACCCAACGCGCATTATATGAACAGTTTCATTGTTCTGGATGCACTCACAGTTCCAGCCATAGCCACGGCTGATAGCTGCCGAGTGAGATCAACCTCCCTGCTACCAGAACACGTCGGGCATCACTATCAAGATGCAATCCATAACGCCCATACATGTCAACCCAGACCCCTTTTTTCAGTTCAACAACAAATTACTCCTCCCAAATGCCGAAAGCAATGCAAAGTGGTATCATGTGTCTCTGGTGTGAAGTCGTTCGTGGTAGTCGTATAAGGCCTTGCGCGCCGGCCCAAAGCCTCTCAGCGTCTCAGCCCAGGTCGTCGTAGAGATCCATCAGCTCGTCCGGGAGAAGGGCACCGGGGTGAACCTCGCCACAGTTCTCGCATGTAATGCCTTCCTCGTCGTCGTCGATCATGTCAAACATGGTCGCCTCTTCCTGAATGTCCTCCCAAGGCATCCCGCTGACCCTATCGAACAGTTCCCACTTGCGCTCGTCGTTCCCATCCAACTTCTTGGGCACCTTCTTCCAGATCGTTCGGCAAGAATGGAACTCGGAAAGGGGCGGCTCGCCCTCGTCCTTGGGTGCGGGAGGGAAGTCCAGGCCAGCATAACGATGATCATCGTCAAAGTGATGGTGATGGTAGTCGCTCACCGTGCGCATGGCTCTGACAACCTTGGACGAATAGTGACACTGGTCCGCGTCGCACTGCAGCATACGGAGATTGTTCTTGACCGCAACCATGGTGGGGGCGTGGTCGATGAGCAGGCCTTCATCTCTCAACAGCCCCGAAAGTTCGGTGCTCACTCGCAATCCGCACTCATCAGTAGGGACACCGGTCAGAACTACCTCATTCAGAATACATCCCAACTGGTGAGAAGCCAGATCGTGTAGCTGAGGAGGTGGGTACTGGAAGAGGTCCTCTCCAAAGTTGACAAAGTCGATCCGGAGTTTCTCCAGCGATGGGAGCAGCCGCGGGCGTGGGGCGGGTCTCACCAAGCTCGAAGCCGGAACCAGCGCAGGGTCGAAGGGAGGCAATAAGGCATCGAGAAAGTCGATGAGCTGGTACCAAGCATAGGCCCGGAAGCCACGTCGAGCCAGGTTGTTCTCCTTGGGCCGCTTGTGCACCGTCAGCTTGACTGCATGTGTGAGATCGGGATGGTGGGCGCGCGGAATTCGATGGTTGCGGTTCTCGTCATCGTAGAACTTGGCAATGAGGCGGAAGGTCACCTGCTGCACCTTCATGCGGTAGACAGCGTTGAGCTCTGCAAAGTTTCGGAGTGCCTCGGGAGACGTGAAGACGAAAGTATTGTTGGTCCACAGGAACTTGGTGCCTTCGACCCGGTAGGCTTTGCAGGTGGCCAAAAAGTGAATGGCGATGTAGTGAGGCTGAGCCTTCTCCTGAAGGAGCAGACGTTCCGGCTTGACCTTGCAGAGAGGGTCAACGATGGGGTGCGGGCTGGTGACAGCGTACGAGAGCACTCTCAGCTGCAGCTCAACAGGAAGATGAGGGAGATTTTGGCGCTGGACCTTGGAAGAGCGGGTGACACGGGCGAATGGGTTCGGGGGAGAGGCAGACTTGGGCTGCATCTGCCACGGAATGCCATTCTCGCGGAGCAGTCGCTTCAGGGCCATGTTCTCATCTTCCAGACGTTTGTTCTTGATGCGGAGGGGCTGGTTGTAGAAAAGCTCGGCCTGATCCGTCTGATCACGGCACTCCCACGCGTGCATGGCGGGATTCTGAGTAGCAGGGTCAGCAGGACTAATCGAAATGAAGGAGGCAGAGGGGCGTCAGAGTAAGTTGGTGTGTTGCCGGTGTGTCTTACCATGATGATTGGGAGGAGTATGTACACAACTTCTTAGAGATCATGCCCAGGTGACAGGCGCAGGGCAGTCATTCGCTGCTTACCGTCCCCGTTACATGCAGTGTTGTGATTCCGAGTGTGCTGCCGACGCCGCGGATGGAAAACCTTGTTGACGGGCGAGATGGGTGGTTGATCCAAGCCTGGAGGCTATAGGTGTTACAGTTCAGAAATTACAACCGACGTAGGAGGCAGTTGAGCAGTGGAGTGGACTTGGAGGGGCAGTTGAGCAGTTGAGCTTGTCCAGAGCTGCATGTGTGATTGGGGAAGCTATGGAGCTTGGACCACCCGATACTGCAGCTGGACCCCTGTTTAACGGTCAAGCCCAGCACGCTGGCACGTGTCTCTCCTTCCCGGCCCCGCGTTGTTACCTTTGAATCCGAATTTAGGTGGGGCAACGAGGATGCCTTTCCCTTAGACCTCACGACAAAGTACACTGAACCCTTCCAATATAAGTCTCCGTACACCCCTCATTCACCAAGTGAAAGGTGCGTTTATGATAAATGGGATAAGCACGCTGGAATAAGCATCAGAGGTGACTTCTTGGATTAGAGCTGCTTATTCCAGGGTGCTTATTCCATTAACATGGATAGCGTTGATATCTAGGAGTTGAAAGATGCACGCCGTACGGAGACTTATGGGGGGTGACTGTATCTCAGCAACGAGTAGACCTGTCCCCACAGGTAACGCGTATTATAGGTATATATGTAAGACTTAACCACAGACATCTTGTGAGCGTTGAAGATATGGAGTATATCAAAAGGTTAGTGTCTGTTGATAACTGTTCGTGAAGTATACTGTTGACAGTTTGAAAGTCCATTAAGCCGGGTCTATTCCGATATATTCCTGCGTCCGCGTAGGACTTTACTAATCAGTGTGGATCGGCTAAGATCGCGTAGGGGGTTGCGTATGCTATCGGCTCCCCTATGTGTCTCTCGCACAACCATCGAGACGGCCATCGCAGGCTCCACGCACCCCCTTGAGGATCCTCACGCGCTGCTCCTCATCAGCTCGGCCAGGTTCGTTGTCAATATCATGCTTTGAGATGCTGCTCTCCCCCGGTTCCGAAAGGCGTCTCCGTGACGCTCACAATGAATTAGAAAAAAACAGGCAGGTCGTCATCTCGCTCGCTTGCATTTTCACCTCGGTCCGTATTCTGCGCGTAAGACGGTAGTCAGACGCAAAATGGTACACTGAACCCTCATAAGTCTCCATACACCATCCGTCCAGCAACCAACGGTATATCTACCTTCGAATCGGAATAAGCACAGTGGAATAGGGATTAGAAATACCATATCAAACTAGAGCTGTTTATTCCTTTGCTTATTCCTGTATGCTTATTCCAATATTTTGAGATTTCCACGGGTGGTGTGAAATCTTATTTATATGGCGCGTACGGAGACTTATGAGGGCTGAGTGTAGCATCCTTTCTCCCAGGTGATCATTTCTTTACATCGTCGCCGGCCCGGGCGCCATCACCTTCCTTGAGTCGTCCCTCGGCGCCGAGGACGCCTTGCCAGATATCACGGCTTGACACGTGACGCACCATCGATCGGTGTTACGTCTTCTAAGCTGCTTCGACGTAGCTGGCAATGTTGCTGCTGACGACACACCCCGGTGGTATCTGTATCAGAGGCTGCCGTGGACCGTCGTGTGTGCCAGGTCAGGTATCTGGACGGGGCGGGACATAGAATTGCCATAGACTACTGTTTGGCTGGAGCCTTTTCTTCAGTGTTGTGCACATGCTGTATCTTTGGACTTGGAGGCTTTGGATAGGTAGGATGAAGGTCGAGAGGTTTGGGGGTTCTGGTGCTGTTCTCTTGTCGGTCTGTACCGTAGATTCGTGGATGATGCATTTTCCTTAACTCTTCCACAGATGGGCGGCATGTGTGGCTACTCGCCGGCCCCAGACCCCTTTCGAGAAATGCATGGTAGGGAAACCGGTTGCATGACCCGAGCTTGTGAAATCTCCAGAGTACACCTGCCAGAAATGGTTGCTGGTGAAGCCCTCATCGTGTGTCAAGCTCGATTGAGACGCATTGATCATGAGCGGTAGTCAACTTCTGACTTTTACTTCTCGGTGCAAGTACATGTACTTTGTTTTGTACAGCCTGCCAAGTAGTTCTTCCGAACCCTCCAAGGTCGGCTTGCCCATGGCATTTCCTGAAGTTGCCATAATTCCGACTGGATTTGTCTGGCGTCAGGCGCTCTGTACGAAGCTGTAAGACTTGCATGGGTAGGAGGTTGCGAAATCTCGCTGAACTTTTTCGTGGTGGTCATGAGATCATGGGTACGGGCATCACCTCGATAGTTGATCAGAAAGGCTTATCACCCTCCTCCCCCCCTTTTAAAATTTTGGGAGCCTGCCACCTCAGTCGGCGGTTCACTACCTTCTTGATTCGACCTCGCTAATTCATTGTGACACTCGGGGGCGGCCGCAAGACTGGGCAGTCTATTAAGGGATGGTTGAATTGGCCATGGTTTCCAAAGATATGGGCCAAAGTATGCGTGCCGGGACCGACTTGTCCCTACTAACAAGAAGTAGAATAATCTAGTCCACTACACGGTTCTGCAGAAGTGGATTGAGGGTTCAACAGGGTCAACACCACACTGTCAGAGGAAGAGGTTGCTCATATCATATGCAAGCAGAGCTTGTCTGGATACGATTGCAGCGCAGCTACCGACAGCGACTTTCGAAAGGCCTAGGCAGATGGTGAAGAGTCACGGACGAGGCGACCTGACATGCAGGGGGTTTGGTGCTTTAGTCTGTATTTATCAGCGTCAGCCCCGAACTCCTGCTCGAACTTGACCAAGTGGCTTCTCAGCCGAACGTGAGCTGACTGGTTTGATACACGTAGCATGAGAACAATGGATAAGTGGGCATATATCATGGCTCACGCACACATCGTGATATGAAAGGATTGAGAGAAATCTCGTCAGATAACATGCAGCCTGCTATTCATTGCCTGGCTGGGATGCCCCCACAACATCGTGCCAGAATAACAGCGGCTACTCTAGATGCCCACCGAGTGTTGTCCGCTTTTGACCTTTTAACTCCTATAACAGCACAAGATGACCAGGGTACTTCTGGATCCATCATTCCTCCCCAATCGTTGAAGTGTAAGAGCAAGATCGCGATATGGAGCACTACTCCTCTTCCGTCTCGGGCTCGGGATCGGCCTCGGGCTCAGCCTCGACCTCTGCACCTGCGCCGCCGTCTGGAGCTCCGTCATCAGCACCGCCATCTTGCTCCAACCGTAGCCACTCCTCCCACTCTGGGAAAAGCTCGTCGTCCTCTGTTGGAACGCCGATCATCTTGGCTACGCGTCCCTTCTTGCTCTTCTCCAAGCTATCCTTCCAGCCCTTGACCGCTTCGCCCGTCAAGCTTGGCTTGTATGTCTGAGAGAACATGACCGCCTCGGCCAGTCTGTTGGTCTTGGTAAGTATATCCACACAGCCTGCAGTGTCACCTAGTAACCAATTGCACGTGAAGGCGACATTGTGGGCGGCAGACTCCTGAGCCTGGGTTGCCAGCGCTTTCAGCCCTTCCTGGTCTGACGTGCTGGAGTAGATCAGGAGTAATGAACCCAGATCACACGCGTGGGTAAAGCATTCTGTCGCAAGAGCAACATCCCATCCTGCTAGTGCTGCGTCACCCACAGTCTTCCACTTGTGGTCAATGTCCGCTTGCCGCGCGAGGTCCAGAGCGATGTCAAGCTGGTTCAACGCAAGCGCCAGCTCGAACTTGTGCTCGGGATCGGTGGCGACTTCAAGGGCCAACTCCTTGTGTCCTTGTCCCTCGAGGAACCTCGCAATCTTGTTGAGCTGGTCAGCCGGGATGCTGGGCAGCAACTCGGCCGCAGTCTCCATGTCACCTCGCAATACGAGAGTCTGGTATTCGAGAACAGGAAGAGACAGGGCGAAAGACGTGATGTTCACATCTTTGTCAGCCAGGTATATCCGCGAATCCCTCTGGATGTAGCCAAGAGAGTACATAGGCTGGTCAAAGTGAGATACGGTATAGGTTTGGTCACCGACCAGGTAGTTCAGCCGGTTTGTGCTGTTGGTGTAGATGAAGCAGTCACCGACCCATTCTCCCGTTCGTACACTACAAAGAGTTAGCGACCAGCAAAAATACCAAATGATGGGTCAGGACGGTGCTTACCTCTCAGCAATATCAGTGATGACCTCGAAAGCGGCCTCAACTCCGTCCTCATCGACTTCTCCCGCCTGGGTAGCTTCGATGTAGTTCTCACGGGAGAACCTCAGGACATAAAATGTATCTTCACAAGCCAGAGCTACCAACTCGCCACTGTCAGACCAGTAGACTTGTCTCGGATCCACCTCGATCCGTCTGACAAGACTACCGCTCGCCCAGTCGTAGAAGGATACACCGCCCTGGCCCTTTACACCAAGTAAAATACCACCCGTCAAGCCATCGACTTGGAAGGGGATGTCCAGCCCACCGGTCTTCTCAACGAAGTTCTTGTAGAGTTTGACACTAGTAGAAGATTCGCGAATAGCGAAGTCGTTGCTGTTCTCCTTTGAAGCCCATACGAAGTCCAAAGCAGAGCCAAAAGCCTTGTTGCGCCATGCTAACGCGGTATATATGATGTATTCTCCATCACCGCAGACCGCAACAAATCGACCGTTGGGTGAGTGAAGGAGTGTTTGGGGATATACTTCGCAGGTGCCGAGGTCTTTCGTGGTGAGAGTGATTTGGACATTGTCCTTGATGGACGGATCTGTCACCTCAGTCAGTATCGTCATTGACCCCAAAACGTTGGAGGTTGCACATACCGCCACCCTTGATGATTGACGATACGACTTCGTTATGCCGGGCCCAGATCAGTTTGCCGGAGCCGTCCATGGACACGGCGGGCTCTTCGCGACCCAACTTGACCACCACAGCACCATCGTCAAACCCGACGGCAACTCCTTGCTTGCCGCGTTGATATGACACACACCAACACCGCTCGAGACCGTAGTTGAGGGACTGCTCAAAGCGGTAGGTGTTGGCATGCCACATTCGAATGGTGCCATCCTCGGAACCTGAGATGATGATAGGCAGTTCAGGGTGGTAGCAGGCGAAAGAGACATTGTTAGTGTGACCCTCGAGGCTGGCTATCAAGCTCTTTGTCGTGTAGTCCCAGATCTTCACTGTTCTATCGTCACTCGTCGTGAGCAGGTACGGCTTGTCGGAGTGTGGGTAGTAGTCGACATGGTTCACGCCCTTGGTTTCGTGGGCTTCGAGGGTGAAGTTTGCCGTCGATGAACCCAACGACCAAATCTTGACTGTCCGGTCCAAGCATGCAGAAGCAAATGTGTTCGTATCTTTCGGGTTAATGGCAAGGCCCATGACATAGTGACTGTGGCCCTCGAAGACTTGTACGCATTTCCAACCTCGCTCCCAATCCCACTGTGCCAAATATTAGCATCTCTCTACACGAGAAAGACACGGAGGAAGCCTCCGGGTAACAGCGTCGAGCGAGAGGAAAGGCATCTTACGAGCTTGATGGTCATGTCGTCACTCGCGGTGAGAACGAAGGGCTGGGTCGGGTGCACTGCAATGGCCCTGATATAATCGGGGTGGGCTTCGAACGCGGCAACTTTCTCGGACGTATTATAGTTGTAGACTCTGAGTTGGAAGTCGTCGGAACCGCAGACGATCCAGTTCTTCCTCGCGACGAACCGGCCAGCTCGGACGGGGACATCGGTTAGCTCGAAGGTCTTGACGATCTGCTGCGTTTCGTAGGACCATATGTAGACATGACCTGTACCCGAGGGGAGTCAGCCGGAGCCCGATAAGATCTGGCAGGGCGCCCAGGGACGAGCTTACCGCTATACAGTGTTGTCAGAATCCATGGTTCTTGCGGGTGGAAGTCGATGCCCTTCACACGCTCGCTGCGTGCGAACAACTGTCGCTTTACGTTGAATGACATATTAGCATATGCGCCAACGATATAAATGATGTAGTAGAGCTGCAACGAGAGACTGGGTGGTGGTAGTTGGTGTCTGGCGCTGTGTTCTCCTTCTCCTGGTGGCTAGGAAAGGCTACGTTTCGGGCTCGGCGCAATGTCTCGAAGCGCGAGGACAAGGGTGAGACCAGCAGAGACATTGTACACACCTTCACGTCCAGCCTCATATTGTAACAGCCCCTTGGTAGACAATCGACGAATGTGGATGAATGGTTCGAGGCGGGGTCCTTGATGGCGGGCTGTTCGCAGTTACATAGGGAGGCTCGCGAATACGGTCCGGTCGAATGGCCTGCTCAGGCACGGGAAAGGGACAATGGCTGGATTCGTAGTAGTAGGAAGAAGCACCACCGAGTCTGCGAGTCTGCTGGCGGGATCGAAGGATTGGCTCGACGTGGTGCAATTGAGAGGCGTTGCCAGCCTGGGAACTACTACTGTAAAGTGAGCTTGACCCTATTTCCACATTTCCCAACTTCAACTGTGGTCACTTCTGGTCGGTCTGTTGGTGGACGCACCCGTGTGGCTGTGCACTGTGGCTTGCCTGCTCAACATCCACCCAGTACCCCTGTCTAGAATGCACGAGCCACAACAGCGATACTGCATATTTAAAGCACTCATCCTTCATTTTCGAGTCTACGAGAAGTCGTAATTCTTAATGGGGCAGTATATCCGGTTTGGTTGACGGCCGACACATATCAGGTGTGGTTGATGGTCATCTACTTTTATTTCTTCTTGCAGCCAAACGCAGCCAGTTCCTTGGTCCCCAGGAAGTCTCATGTCCCGAACGATTACACCTCACATTCAACAATAAACTGGTCCAGGCAGGTGGCAGGTGTTACCAAAATGGTGTTCTGATTCACCATCCCATCATATAGATGAGAGGTCGGCTCCTAACGAGCACTCTTCTTTTGTTTATCTACAGCAGCGTGGTGAAGGCCAGATGAAGGCTGGCCAATTGTAAGCGAGATCTCGCGCCAGTCGCCTATATTTCCCCTTTCCGGTATCATTCATGAACGCCAGTATTCCGTGTCAATTCCCTGAACCCAAGCGCTCGCTCCCATGTCGTAAACGTGCTAAAATCAAATGCAGACGCAGAAGATCAAAGTCGTGAGACGAGTCAGGCTTTGCTGTCTGCCTGCACCTTCTCAACAATCGCCTTGACCTTGGGATACAGCTTGTCCTTGGTAGTCAGGCCACACACCTGGCTGACCACATCATCGGCACTCTTCTCCTGGAGGATCTTGGCGAGCTCCGCGCTCTCGTCGTCACCCTCGACGTTCTGGAAGCGGAAGGCCATCTCGGCACCCTCCAACAGAGCGTCGCACTTCATGTCCAGCTCGGCCAATTCGGCAGCAGGGCCGATGAAGCGTTCCTTGCGGCCTAGCTTTCGCAGGGGAGCACGTCCGACACGTTCCACGGCGTCTTTCAGCTCAGGATTGCTGATTCTGCCAACGATCTTCTTCTTGTAATCATCCTGCTCCTGGGCATCGATGTTGTGCTTCTTGACAATGAGTGCGGCGGTCTCGGTAATAGCAGCGGCAACCTTGGCGTTGATCTCCTTGTTGCGCATGGCATCATCGACGTTCTTCTCTCCTCTGTTGTATCCGAAGTAGGCGGCGGTCGCGTGGGAAGTGTTGACGGTGAAGAGCTTGCGCTCGATGAAGGGCTCCAGGTTCTCTACCCACTTGATGCCTTCAATTGAAGGTTGCTCGCCGTTGAAAGGGGTACTCTCCACAACCCACTCGTAGAACTTCTCGAGCACGACATTCAAGCCGGCGTTCTCGGGCTGGGCAGGGACGATACGGTCAATTGCCGAGTTGGCGTACGCGGCTCTCTCGTGGTGGTCGGCAAGACCGTCGGCAGGGGTGTTCTTGGGGTCCTTGATGAAACCGGCGAGGGCGTCAGTGGCACCGATCATGTTCTCGCACGCAATGACAGCCAGGGGCTTCTGGTCCTTCGATCGCTTGTCGATACCCTTGGCAATGGGTGGGGCAATGAACTTGAGGATGTTGGGGCCAACGGAGCAGGTGACGACGTCGGCAGAGGCGATCTCGTCAACGAGCTCGTCCAAGTTGTACTTGGAGTTGATGGCACGATAGTTCTTGATGGTCTTCTCGTCCTTGCCTTCAACTCCCACCTCGGTGACTGTGTAGGAGGGTGTGGCGTTCAGGCTGTTGACCAGCTCGTCAGCAACATCGGCAAAGACGACGTCGTAGCCGGACTCATGGAGGAAGCAGGCAACGAAGCCTCGGCCAATGTTGCCGGAACCGAAGTGAACAGCTTTCTTGCCAGCCATTGTGATGGTATTGGGTGGTTGGTTGTGGTGTAGAAGAGTAGTGAAGTGCGTGTGAAGACGAACGGATGAAGAGATCCGGGTCTGACAGATGAGATGGAAGAGTGGTGTTTGTTTGTTTGTTGCGGGATGGTGGGATGGTGGGATGCCTTATTAATAGCGGCGTTTGTTGGGTCTTGGGTGTAGACTGGAGCGGTGAGAGAATAGATATGAGGTATAACTGGGAAGTGGCAGAGAAAGAGGGGGAAGACGGGCTGCCCAGCTTTATATGTATCGGGTATCACAGGTTGGGACCTTGGGAGGGCAGGAAGCAGCGGGCGTCACTGCCTCAGAAGCCACGACCCGGGACGATTTGACGAGGCATATGCGGTGCCCCTCCATGGCAACACCAAATCGGGCTAGTCAATAATCAGGAGCCGTCTCCATGCATGTGGTCAGATGGGGGCGGGCCTCACCCCACTTGTACCGTTTTTGAGATTGAAGGAGCGACTCCGTTATGGTGGACCAGGAGAGACGGAGGGATATCGTGAGCTTCTTCACACCCACCCGTCAATGTCTTTTTTAGATATCAGCCTCGCCAGATTGACCTCAAGACGTCAGGTATTCACCTATTCACCAATTCACATATATAAACGATTGCATGCACTGCTGAGCTGGACTGGGTTAGTCAATGTTGATGCTTCCATTTGGCGGACTATTTGCTTTTGCTGCAAGCCCGCAACTACCTTAGCGAGCATCAAGCCAAGACTGTAACATTGCTTTCACAATATGTGCCAGCCTGTATCGTTACCTGAGGTATTTTAGACACAAAAGAAAACAACAGCACCGTTGTGTATTCGGGTCCACCTCCCTTTTCTGCATTTATTTCACAGCATACTGCTCAATGGGCTGGAATATGGTGCGTGAATAATACCAACCCCCTCTGCGTTCCTCATTGGTGTCCCTGGCAGCACGGCACCCAGATCCCACCTTGTCCTGCAACCCAAGCCAACAACCGTCTCGAGGCCTGGACAACCATAATAGCTCATGGGAGGCTCCCCGTCAGCTTCTTGGGTGTTGTCTAGGTAGGTAGTCCTTCGGATCTGCAACCATGCTCATCCCCCAGACTGGCTCCATAAGACATCTCGAATCCGGGGAATCATGGTGGAGTATGTATGTACCTTCCCCAGACTCTTCCACAACACAGCTGGCGATAGTCTGGGGAAGGACCTGTAGGCTGTGAGCCCTGTCTCGCCTTGCTCTTCCTTTTGGCTCCTACGGTTTTATCGTGATAATATCTTCCTGGGCGGTGTAAGCTTTGGGGAAGTGGTTCGAATTTGCGGGCCGAGCGTCCCAACTTCCAAGTGCGAGCTGAACATAGGAGAACTAGCAGAACAGGTGCATATCTCAACTAAGTTGCGATTATATTTGTGCTCATGGATCCCAAAGCCCTTAACGGACGTGTATCAATTCATTGTATTATTAGACGCAATGAGGGACTTGATGACCGTCGACGAAGCACCGAGGCCAGCTGGTGTCATGGTCACCGTTTCTGCAACCGTTTTGGACGGCGTCGGTAAGGTGCGTAATTGCCCAATTGACGGCCGCTGGCTTGGGAGATAGACCGACCGATTTTAACCCCTGTCGATGACTTCACCGGCTTCATCATCTCACCACCTCCATGCGCTGATGTCAACTCTCATCACTCTGTCACTTCACTGCGGTACCTGTTGGGTCAACTGGGCTTGGACGACAACGTCAGGTGGGGTCCCTCCAGCCGCGAAACCGCCAGCCGGTCCACCCCAACATCATCGTGAACCATCTTTTCCCTTCCACTGTCCAGTACTTGTTGGCGGAGTGGCTGAGTGGATAGTTGCAGGTACCAGCCAGACTCGATCGATCTACGGGACCAACACATCCATCACTGGCAATGGAACAAGCGCCGACAGGTCACCAGCCGCCGCCCACAGCCTCCAGGATCTGTAGGCTCTCCTTGCTGTGTTCCTGTCAGCCGGGCTGTGTCGTTTCTTCTGCAGACCGTTCTAGTATCTATTGGGAGGGAATTCCCATTCCCATTCCTGCCACTCCTCCTATTATGTTCGCTCCGTCTGATGCATTGATGCTGACAGCTGGCCTCTCCACCTGCTTACGCTACGATCCCCCAACCTTGAGGATTCGACTTCTGACAACCATGATCACCTGGGGAATCCCGGACTTCGTAAAAGCTTCAATGAGGCTCGTCGAGGACGGGAGCATCGGGAGCCGATCCTGTCCAATCATGACTGTCGCTCTCCTGTCGATCCATGATGCCCTCAAAATAGACTTTCGTGCCGTCCACTCAACAGCTCGATTGGCCTCATCAATCCTTTCACATGCCCGGCCTCGTTCTTATATCTCAAACTTGGATAAGGCTCCCAACAAGCCAGCCATCAGCCATCAGCCATCCTGTTGATACCTGCCAGCCCAAGTTGCCAGAGCAGGACTCGATGAGGACGCGTTCTCACGGATTCTGCACGGTTCCCACGTGGGTCCCAGTTTCGATACCACCGTCCTCTAGGCTCTGGGGCCTGGGCGGATCTTCCCCATGGAGCATTTCACGGCATCGCAACTTCGCAAGTCCGCTAGCAGCTGTTGAGCCTGGGCCCTGGGGCTGCTGGGGTCCAGAATTATTTTGGGCCCGCCTTCGGATACATTCGGCCGGTTTGGCAATGAGAAAGACCGATTGATGAACCACCTCCAACCCACCAGCTCACGTGTTATGATCTCTGCCTTCTTCCCACATGCAGCACGGCATGTCCTCGTAACGGTGTCATATACAAACCGGTCTTTTCACCGTGTCGGCATCTTTGGGCATCAATCCATAGCTCTAGGGAATTGGTAGTCCGGAACGCGCGGTTCGCAAGGTAGAGATTCTATCCGGCCGACTTGAGTCTTGGCCGTCTCGTTGCAATGCGCGGCGCCAATGAGCTTCACGATGCTAATCCGGCTGTGCAAAACATGTCGTTATCTGAAGATTGATTGTCATGTGGACAGACTAGCGCTCCTCCACCTTGATGTGCATCTCGATTCTTGTGTCCACTGTCTGGACCTTTTCAGGCCGGCCAGATATCCACACACGCGCACACATCATGGTCATGACATGTCGTTGGATTATGGATAGTCACAAGCGGCTCCATCTCAAGGGGGAAGCATCACTCTCCATCAACCCCATTGGCTGCGCTGTAGCACAAGCAGCAAGGCTCGCGCTTAGGTTGATTCCCGTCGGGTCATCTCTGGATCGAAACGGTCCCACGATCACGATGATAAGGACGGTGCCTTTCGATGTTCGATGTCTCAGGGGCCCAAAAGTCAAGCGACCGAAAGATGGTGGTGAGGCTTCCTGCATCCGACTTGCATCGTGATATTAGCCGTCTTTCGCCAAACACTGCCCAGATGCAGTCTATAGTAGAGGTGAGCTCTTCAGGGGTTGCGGGCCGGTATTGCAGCAAGCGACGATTCCATTTCAGACTCATTCCGAAGATGCATGCAGCAACTCGTCAGGGGGTCGCTGATCCGTTCAAGTTGGCTACCAACAGACATGTTACCACATCCACATCTTCTTATTGCCGTTGCAGGTCTTCTTCCCCGACTTGGACATCACGATCAGCTGATCACGATCTGTGTCGCATGCAACACTTTGTGCCATCTGGCTCCATATCGGAGACCGAGACGTCGGTCATCGCCCGACGGTGGGTCCCGATTTGTCCCGAGCCCCTTAACCGCCCGCAACGTTGCGAGTTCGTGAGTATCGTGGGCCGCCCACCTCCGCCCTCTCATTGTTGAGTCTCTCGTGACCTCCGCATGGCCAGCAGCACGATTTTCTTCCTCTTTTTCAATCGTACGCTGGTCTGATGTGATTCCACTTATGTCGGCGATAATGTGGCCTGGTCTCACGGCTACCACCATCAACAGCTTGGTTGTTGGTACCAGAGACGGAATACAGCTTAGTTTGAGCCGTACATCACGAGGAGCTTGTCTACCTTTATCACTGCAACTCTATCTTGCACTCTCAAGCCTGGACTGCTTATTATGGGGGCAACAGTGTATGCCTCACGACCGCTAGCAATAGTATCCACGAGGCGTATTCCTGTCAACCCTGTGGTATACACTCTCGGCGGTCTTGATCGTTCCATGGAGGGATGTAGTCTTCGTGTCCAAGTTCATATGGCTCAACGAGCCGCGACTCCACTCAAGATTCAAGCACCGTCGCTCCATGGCTAGGCGTACGGTATGAGGATTGGCCTTGAGTCGAGTGAAATTTATCCTTGGGCTTCCTCTGCATTACTCGATATCCTTGTCGTAATTCGTATGCTGTCCGTCAAGCTCAGGGGTGATTTGTGGATTGATTCAGGAGTTACGATATGTCCCATTCGACAACGAGGCACATGAGAGACGGAATGGCAGACTACTTCTCGAACAGTAAATAAGTTCACCTGCTGGTACGTCTGCTGACTCAATACAGGACGTGAAATCAAATCCGCTTTGCGTCGGTACTATGCACTTACCAACTTGTGTAAACCGAATGCAACCAAACCCGGCCCTCTTCCCTTCTGCGCTTTGCCAGTCCCGGACGAGGAAGCAGCTCATCATCGCCAACAAAACGCCAACAGAATGACGCAAGCAGACGAGCCCACCGTGGCGAGCGTGGGAAAGGCGACGACCAAGATCGAGTCGGCCGAGATACTGCTCCCGTCCAGGGGAATAGCCGAGGACATCGGGTTCTGGACGTCTGCCGACCCGGGCCTGGGTTTCCGCATGGTGCAGATCTACCCGGCCGACGACCCGCAGGTCGTGACGCTGTCCGGCCATGGGCTTCGGATGCGTCTCGATACGGCAGCGGCGGACAATGCCGTCCCGGGCACGATCCGTCTGCTCTGTGGCGACGCGAGCTTTTTACCGCGCGAGCTTGTGTCGCCGTCTGGCACGCGGGTCGAGCTCGTCCCGGCCGCCGTGTCGATGGTGCAGCCCCCGGCGAGGCACGCCTTCATCACACGACGACTAAAAGACAACGCGCCGTGGGTCGTCGGCCGCGCGGGGATGCACTACCGTGACCTGATCCCCGGGCGCCTCGGGGGCGCCATCATCGCGTCGCACATCCGCATCCCCGAGGCCGGGCCTGGTACGTATAGATACATCCCATCACAATATCCTAAGCCTTTTTGTCGAAAGCAAGCTTTGTTGTTCCCTTACCTTCTTCATCTAGAAAATGGCCGTACGGGTTTAAAGACAGTATGTTAACGTACACGCAGTGGCCGACAAGGTGCACTACCACACTGTCGGCTTCCAACTCATCCACTGCCACGCCGGCTGGGTGCGTCTGGTGTACGAGGACCAGGGTCCGCCCTTCATACTACACGCGGGCGACAGCGTCATTCAGCCGCCGGGCATCCGGCACCGCGTGCTCGAGGCATCGGCGGGGCTCGAGGTTGTCGAGGTCGGTCTGCCCGCCGAGCACCTCACCACCATCGACCACGAAATGGAGCTCCCAACGCCCAGGCACCACCCGGACCGCGAGTGGGAGGGCCAGCGATTCGTGCACAGCCGCACCGCCGACGCCGTCTGGGCGCCGTGGCGCGTGCCGGGCTTCGAGGCCCGCGACACGGGCATCGGGGACGGCACGCGCGGCGTCGCTGGCGTGCGGGTGGCCCGCCCCGTCGCCGGTGCGGAGCCGGGAGGCTGCACCACCAGCCACGACTCGGATATCTTGTTTACTTGTAGGTCCGTGGCGTGGGGGACGGGGCGGCTGTGTAGCGGCGCTGATGTTGGTGGTGTGCTGACGTGCTTGCAACTCGCGCAGTTGTCCTCTCCGGCTCGTGTACACTCCGCGGGCAGGGCCAGGAAGCCCAGAGTCTGGCAGCTGGAGACGCATACACGCTCCCGCCCGGTTACAAGACGAGCCTGACTGATAGCTCGACTGATCTGAGCCTCCTGGAGGTGTCGTTGCCGGCCAAGTTCAATACGGCGGTGCATCCTTGAGTGACCGCCCTGGCTGAGTGGACAGCTCCTATGAATGCAGGCTATGGGGCGTGGCTCACCCATGTTATCACTCCGGCCGCGTAGCCCTCTGACATATGGCAGTTGGGAGCTCAAGCTGGATTGCTGGTGGGAGTTGGCAGGTCTTTTGCTCGAAAGAGTAGATGTTTTGGTCGTGTTATGTCGAAGTGGCAGGTGAAGCTCAAGTAGTGTCCGGAACCATACATACGAGACCCTCGTGTGCTGTGAGTGAGCTCTCGGGTGGCACGGAGGAAAGACACGACAAGTAAGATGTGTACGTGTAGAGGAAATTCCTGGAGGTGGAGAGAGAGTGGCATGGATTCTCATGGGGGACATGTGCCGGAGCAGGTCGCTCTCGTAATAGGTCTGGAACACGTCAAACGTATTGACCATGCCCCTAACGTTCAACTCAGCTTCAGGAGAGGACTGCAACGTGGACTGTGACGAACCGGGTATTGAGTACAGGGTGCAAGACCCGAGCACTTGCAACTATGCTTGTAGTCCTCCATCGGAAACTTCATCCTTGGGAGTAGTGTCCAGGATTGATGCCCCTTTCTCCCATCGTAGTGCGTGGGTATCATCACCTACCGAGACTGCTTATTGGATCGCATTTTAAGTCTGCATACCTGAGGACGCTATTTAAGCAGGTAAAACGGAGAGGAATAGGCAAGACGATGGAGAAGCAAGCTCGAGAGTATGAGTGGGGTGAAGTGTTCGCGTTCTTGACGCACCGGGTGAAAAGGGGTTGCCGCCGGGCTTACAGACCCGGCCACGGCCCCGATTCCACTCAAAGCTGTTGTCGGCCTCGCCATGCAAGCCGATTAACAATACTATAGTTAATATAATCACTGTGTCTATTACGTTTCCAGTGTGGAAATCTGCATGGTAGTCCAGACAGTTGCTGGCAACGTCTACCCTCATTCTCTCCTTCGCCCCTCTGGTTATCACTTCATTCACCTGCAATAAGATACCGCCGGCTCGAGGAGTCATGTCCAGTAGTGACTTCAGGTACTCTACCGAAGCTCTGCAGTCCAATCAGCAACTGGGCATGATTATCGGTCATGATCTAGGGCCATTGTTGGCACAGGCTGAACACGTGTGTCATTAGGTCTGGTAGGTACCTTTCGGTAGATGGTGTATGAATCAGCATCTGAGCTTTCCTCTCGTTCGACTCCATTTTTAGACAGCTACAGCATCGCGAAAGCTAGCCTATGGGAGCTATGAGAGCTATGCGGCAAGCAGCGTGAGTGTAAGATGCATACTTCTGTAGTAGCTTGTCCTCAGCAGGTTGGCTACCGCCCGACTAGACATCCTTCCATATGCCCAGCGCTATGTAGGGGTGTTGGTGTGTCCGGCTAACCACCATTGACCGCTTTCAGTACATTCTCGAGCATCGGTAATCGCTGAAGAACGTGTGGTGGTGAGAGTCAACCTTTTGGTGACGTCGAAAAATATCCTCCCACGTATGCTCCTCGTGAATCCACGAATGACGCCAGCTCCAGTAGCCATGCCCCTCGCAACGACTAGACTTGTCGCCGACGTGCCGTCTACTCTCGTGGCCCAGATGTCTTGACATGAGTTCCTCCCTTTCGCAGCCAGATGTCTTGACATCACGTCTCCACCTTGGTAACGCAGATATCTTGAGATGTAGTCCGGGTGTAGCTCTGTTTGACTGGAGTGCCACATACAGTCAAGGCACAGCCCCTGAAACAAGCCTGCAATCTCTCCGGCCAGGTGTTTGGTGGCACCGGAAACCCAGGGACCGCATACGCAATCCTTTGCTCCTTCCGGTGCAAAGTACTCGAATGTCTTCAGCTTTTCCAGCATCCAAGCCAGTGAATAGGCTTCAACGTTCTCGAATGGATATATTCCGGTGGCCTCAAGTGCCTGAATGAAATTCCATTGTCCACTGATGCGGCAGGGGCACATGGACTTGGTGAAATCGGAGAGATGCTTGTAGATCTCGTCACATAGTCGATTTCGAAGGAAGCTTCGTGCTACACGCACTTGGCCTAGGGAAGGGGGTTAGTTGATATGCATGTGACCAAACAGCACTCAAGATTGACTTACGGATAACGGCTTTGGGCATGCGCATGCGATTGACATAACTGGGCGCCTCTCCTTCTCTTGCAACGAGAGCATTGCGCTCCATGAGGTGGCCTGTTCCGTTGTATGCCAGCCATTTCGTCACGCGACGAAACGTATCTACGTTGTCATTGCCGATTATGAGGGCAGGGAAGAGCAGGTGTTCGTACTGTTTCTGCCTCTTCTCCCTGAATCTCTCACCCGGGATTTCGTTGCCCGCTCCCAGAAGTGCATTGGAATAGCGTTTGATCATGTAGGCCTTCACCCACTTGTTGAACCACGAGGAGAGTAGTTCGGCGGGGATTTTGTGCGCGCCATCAGTGAACAGCGAATCAAATGCGGGAACATCACGTCGGCTGATAGCCGCGCGTCAACATCCCAGTTCAGTTTCTACACGCGTCACATTGCTATTAACCGCGCGTCAGCCCCCTTACCAGCCCAGAACTTATAAGTGTACCTTACGCAGCATGCAAGTCAGCCTGGGTCACCACCAGTGCAAGGAGACGCGAACCAGGGCATTGGCTTCTGTCAGCCCGACTTGTAACATCCGGCCCCTCATGGCCCGCAACCCACATATCTTGGCCGGCGTCCCGCTGCCTGGGAGTGGCCAACATGTCTCACAGTGATGGTATTGGCCCAAGAAAACTGCATGTTGGCCCTCGCGGATGGCCCATATTGGCCGTCCCGCTGCCATCACTGAGTACATGCCGCTGTGCCGCGTCCCAGTATCTCCTATAACAAAGCGAGGTCGCCATGTCGCATAGTTGCAGCACTTGGCTTTTGGGGTTCACAAGACGACTCGCTACCACGTTATCCTTGTGATACCTCATTGAAATCGACGCCGAGAACGCACAAGATATACGACAGGCAATGGGTCTATTTGGCAGTTCAAAGAAGGACACTGTTCCCCGGCCGCGAGCGCCTGCTCCACCACCTCCTCCACCACCGCCTCCACCCTCGGCATCAGGTCGGGGAAGAGCACCTCCTGTCGCGCATCATACCGCCCAGCCAGTCCATTCGATCTCTCTTGGAAGCATAGGCATTGGTATCGAGACGGAATTCCTCCTCAGCGCGCGTAATCCAGCCGCTCAATCCAACCAGTCTCTTCGCCTTTTTGCCAGGAAGATGTGCGACCAATACAACAAGACTGTCGGATAGGCACCCAAGGATGTTTAGTCTCGTCCAGAACTTGTTTGATGGACCGCCTCATCTGCATTGGTGCTTGGTCAACGATTCTACCTGCGAAACTTCCAGGGATCCATGTGAGTAGCCATCTACATCAGCCTGAATGTCAGAGCCTGAAAACGTTGAAACGGACGGTTTGACATAGGGGGTGTAGATCTGGTCTCCCCCATATTACGGGTCTATCCAGGGTCTGCCTGGCGAGAACACGTCAAGTAAACGTGGAGTTTCATCAGGACTTTCTATGCTGTCAGCATCGATCGGAATTGCAGCACGCACATTCACCTTTCCCTGGCTGATGGATACACTGTGTCTCGACTCAAGAGGTTGGCGCAAGCTGTTATCCATTTCGAGCCAGCGATCGAAGCTCTTGTACCTCCCGAGCGACGTGGAAACGAGTACGCTCGGAGCAATTGGATTGACAACAGTCACTTCGGCTACCGGAAGCTGACACGAGAGCAATCCATAACGATGATCGACAAGTGCGTGGCACTCGACGAAGTTATCAATCTCATGAACCCCAACCAGTCGAGGTACTTTGGCTGGAATTTCCTCGCCATGAAGAAGTATAAGACGGTTGAGTTCAGGCGTGGTTCAGGGAGCCGCTCGGAGGATGATGTGTTCATGTGGGCCGAGTTCGCCTTGTCGTTTCTTCAAGCTTCTGTGAGACTCCAGTCTGCCAGTAGCCTGAAAGACTATCCTGCATCGGTCGGGGGCCTGAGTATGTTCATTTCGTTTGTGCAGTTGCCTGACAAGCCTGGGATGAACGATTCCGTTCACCTCGGCCGACTCTTTGCTGGGAAACGCCCGGACGAAAAGGTCTCGCCTGTCCCTGTTGGCAAATTGAGCCCAGAGAAGCAGAAGAAGCTGGAGAAGAAGCTCAAAGCCGATGCTTTGAGTAACCCAATGCTCACAAAGGTATACTACGCTCAATCAGCTGGAATCATCTGAAGCTGGGCTGCGATCATCTCGGTTGTGAAGTGGGTTGAGTCTGTGGTTGCTGGTTTGCGCTGGGATTGGGTTGTCACTCGGAGTCGAGGGCATAGCTGGAACATGTATACTCATAATGGCACCGGCGGTACCGTGTTATATATTCGAAAGAAGCCTCATCTCGTCTTACTATATGATTGCATACTGACTCAAGTCAGTCAACCATTGTATCATTCGCTTTTTAGGCACCTAGCCCTAGACCACCTGAGGCTGTTCGAACCCCAAGTACTCGCAAGCCGACAAACTAGGTGGACATGCGAGCCTTACTTCCAATCGTCATTCCCATCGTCATCGCCTCAGAATCTAGACAGCTAAGGTATGGTCTTGATTTTACATCCATACGTAAGGTACCGTCCACCTTTGACCTATGTGCCGGTGAATTAGGCAGCCGCGTTCGGACCCAGTCAACAGGTTGCACCTGACGTTGGCCCCTTTTCGTGACCGCGTGCTGCGCCCCTTGCAAGACCCTACTGTCCACATTCGCTAAGGCAGTACTCGTATGTAATTGGGACCCGGGCTCCATTGGCAAAATTAATTACCTTGTTGGAACGTTACCTATGTAGGCTTTCCAGGCCACTACCACACGCGGCAAACCACGTCAAAAATCCCAATATCGCACTCGATACGTTGCTATCCTCACAAGACCCTAACCGAGAACAACCTTCGCGTGTATATCCCTGGCCATGGCAACCGCTGGCAGTCCCGGTGGGGGCAACCCGACCCTAGATGCGCTGATGGCGGCAATACGCGAGGACAAGGAAATGTACTTCTTCTACGGCTCGCTGATGGACGCCGGCATCCTGCAACGCGTCACCGGTCTTCGAGAGAAACCAACACTGACACCCGCGCGGATCGAGGGCTACCGCATCAAGATGTGGGTTCAATATCCGGCTCTGCTTGATGGGGATCCCGGCAGCATGGTCCACGGCATGGCGTGCGTGGTGGAGGGCGCACAGGCGAAGGATAGACTGGAGCAGTACGAGACTGTCAACTACAAGAAGGTCTGGTGCACGATTCAAATGGGAAACGGCACATATGTCTCTGGGACAACATTTATGTGGGCTGGTGACAAGAGCGATCTGAAGGAGGGCACCTTTGATTTGAAGGACTGGCAGATGGAGCACGTGCTGGATGGCCTATAGCCTCATCACTCTATACCATCAGGATTGCACTCGGAGCTCGCAACCTTTCCCAACGCCATCAGTGATATCACGTAGCGGGGCGCAATATAGGACATGCTACTTGTACGTGTCTCATGACAACTCAAGAATGGCTGAAATGTGCCTTGCTGACATGATGTATATGAGTTTCCAAATAGCACGCCAAAATTCCACACCCGTTGTGTAGGTAAGAAACGTTCATGGGTCATTGTCACTGTCTACACTAAACCATCGCTCCGTTTTGATAACTCCTGGGGTCTTATAGCCTTGCTTTCCGTACGGCTTGGTTGGACCCTCCCAACCTTCAGTTACCGGCAAACTTCTTGAAAGCTCCGATCAGGCTGCTGGTGCTCGAGTCGTGGTTTTTGCCGTTGCCAGGCTCGTCCAGCTCCGAGAGGATCTTCTTGGCCAATGACTTACCCAACTCGACACCCCACTGGTCGAACGAGTTGATGTCCCAGATGGCGCCTTCGGTGAAGGTTAGGTGCTCGTAGTAGACGATCAGCGCACCCAGCTCGGCAGGCCCAATGGTGTCGCCCACCAGGATGCTGGTAGTAGGCCGGTTGCCCAAGAACACCTTGTGTGGCACTAGCTCATCCGGCGTTCCCTCGCTCTTAACCTGTTCGGGTGTCTTGCCGATCATGAGGGCCTCAGCCTGGGCGAAGTAGTTGGATGCCAGCATCTTCTGGTGTAGGTTGTTAGAGATGGGGTTGTGCGACTTGGCCGCGAGGATGAAGTCGGTCGGGATCAGCTTGGTGCCCTGGTGCACGAGCTGGAAGAACGAGTGCTGCGCATTGGTGCAGGGCTCGCCAAAGAGGATGGGCCCGGTGGTGTACTTGGCAGGAGAGCCGTCCGAGGTGATGGTCTTTCCGTTCGACTCCATCGACAGCTGCTGGAGGTAGGCAGGGAAACGGTGCAGGTACTGGTCAAAGCTACAGCATGGGTTTCGTCAGCATGATGACCTTCATGTTTGGCTCCATTGCGACTGGGATTTTACTTACGGAGCGACCAGGTGCGTCTGCGCAGCGAAGAAGTCGCTGTACCATACACTCAGGAGACCACCAAGAACGGGAATATTGTCCTTCAGCGGGGTCTCACGGAAGTGCTTGTCCATCTCGTGGGCACCGGCCAAGAACTTGTGGAAGTTGTCGTAGCCGACGTACAGCGCTACACTGAGACCGATCGCACTCCAGACCGAGTAACGGCCACCGACCCAGCTCTCGAAGCCGAACATGTTCTTGGCATCAATACCGAACTTTGTCACCTCAGACTCGTTGGTGGAGAGGGCAACGAAGTGCTTGGCTATTTCGCCCTTTCCTCCGGTCTTCTCGAGGAACCATGACTTGGCTGTGTTGGCATTGGTGCAGGTCTCGGCGGTCGTGAAGGTCTTGGAAGCAACGAGGACGAGCGTAGTCTCGGGATCCGAGTTGGCGAGGGCTTCAGCCATGTGCGTACCATCGATGTTGGACACAAAGTGGAGGGTCATGTCCTTGGCGCCGTAGTACTTCAGGGCCTCGGTGACCATGACCGGGCCACTGCACAGGTGTTAGTCGATCGTGCGCTCTCAAGCGTGTGAACGTACGAGCTCACTGAGAAGCTGGACTTACAGGTCGGAACCACCAATGCCAATGTTGATTATGGTGGTCAGCTTCTTGCCGGTGTAGCCCTTCCACTCGCCACTTCTGACCTGCTCCGAGAACTCCTTCATGTGCTGCAGGACATCGTTGACGCCGCCCTTGGTTTTCATGACGTCCTGGCCCTCGACCTTCATCTCCCAACCGCCAACATTGCGTAGGGCGGTGTGGTAGACGGCTCGCTGCTCGGTGAAGTTGATCTTCTCGCCGGCGAACATGGCATCGCGCTTCTTCTCGACGCCGGCTTCCTCGGCAAGCTTGACCAGCAAGTCAATGGTATCCTCGGTGATCAGGTTCTTGCTAAAGTCGAACAGGATGTCGGTTCCGGAGGGAGAGTTGTGGAAGGTCTTGCTGAACTTGTCGAACCGCGCCGGGTCGGACTTGAAAGCTTCTTTCAGGACGAAGGTCTTGCCGACGGACTTGTAGTGCTCCTCTAGGGAGGTCCAGGACGGGTGGGAGGTTGCTTGAGGCATTTTGAATGTGTCTACAGGTGGTATTGCTGGAAGGAGGGAAAATGATTGTCAAAGCTCTGCGTCAAGCAGTCAGTCAGTTAGCCAGCCAGTCCAGTCCAGTGGTCGATGGGCGAATGCAGAGGATATATATATATTTGGCGGAGCTGCAGGAAGGATGCAGGATGCAGGATGAAAGATGGTGAAGGATGACGGATGACGGATGACAGCGGCAGGTGTTGGATAGGTACTGTAGGTACGGGGTGGAAGAGGAGGCTGAAGAGAGGCAGAGGATAGCAACATGAATTAAATGGCTCGCGCGGCGTTGGCAGTTGGTGGGGTTCCTTCCAGTTCAGCAGGCTAGGAAGTCCGGCCTCGGGCTTTACACCCGTGATGTATGATATTTGTAGGGGTAGTAAGCATAGGTAAGCAAGCATAACTCGAGGCCGTGTTTCACCCACCTGGAGATTTATCGGTGTCCCAGCAGAACGGGGAGCGCTTCGGAAAGACGGGTGGATAGGATATTGTAGGAGGGTATCTCGTGGCGACGCAGGTAAAATAAGCTGGGTGAGTTGGAATCGAGTACGATACTGTGATACTGTTGGCGATGGAGTTTGTTTTGGTGTTTTGCGGCGGGGGCGGCCCAGGACCAAATCCTCCAGCTCTCCCGGGCCTACTCCCACCTACCCCGCGCCGGTGACGTCGATATCATGCCGACACTTATGCAGGCAGGCCCACTGGAACTTTATGTAGGGTGCTTAGGTTACAGTAGCACCGGTAGGACCGGACATGGAGACTGGGAGACCACCACGGAGGTATACCGGTAGAGCCCGAGCGGATTCAATTGACCGCGCTATAACATCCCACATCGTGAGGATGACTACCTAGGTAGGTAGCCGTACTTCCAACAAGTCTGTCGTTCAAAGCGTCTACCGCTCTATCTACAAAGTCGTCATCACTCCCCCTTGAGATCGTGCCAGAATAATGCAGTTCGAGGTTGCCGTAAAACGCAACGAGGCCAGACTCCATACGAAAGGGGCTTTTCATGTGCTCAGGGACCCGTAGCCTAACATGGGCCAGTAGTAATGCACCATCTCCCCATCTCCCCATCCGGCTGGCTTGCTCATCCGCAATGGCCGGACGACTTGTCTTTTCCAACCCCCCACGCTTCCCTCGGAGCATCTCAGCCCAATTCATGGGCTCATCAGGGACGAGAATATGTCAAGGCTGCCTCCTGGAACCGTTGCACCACCAGCACGCACGGCACACACCTCGTCCTTACCTTATCTATCGAGCCGTTGGGTTACTCTAACAACGATGCAGCACCAGAGCAGTCTATCGTCGATCTTGGATACTGCCCACGAACGAGGGATCTTTCACACTGCCACCAGCGTCGCCCAGACCCGCGATCGGTCGGTTATAACTGAATCCTGCAAACTGGTTCTGCATGGTTTGAGACAGCATGGGCCCATCGACATACGAATCTTGCGGTGCCTCCGACGTAAACTCTTGGTCAAAGTTGGCCGTATCAAGAGCGTTTGCCTGCACGTTTCCTGTCAGTCATGATAGCTTGGCCCAAGGGCGAGAGGATTGGTTGGATACTCACCACGCTGGGCTTGAATGTCGGCTCGTACTTGCGCTGTAGGAGCTTCCGCCAATCTATGGCGTGGAAAAAGGGATGCGCCTTGATCTCGGCACTACCTCCCGCTCCCAGTCGCTCCTCCGGCTTGCGGTTGAGTAGTTTGGAGAGGAGGTCCTTGGCAGCAGGCGGCACCACATCTGCACCGGGGAAATGTAGCGGCTCCGACAAGATCTTGCGATACATCTCATTAGTATTCTCGTCGTAGAACGGCGGAAGCCCCGTTAGCATTTCGTAGAGAAGAACCCCCAAAGTCCACCAGTCCACCGTCTTGTTGTATCCCTGACCCATCAGAAGCTCTGGCGCAAGATACTCTGGCGTGCCACAGAATGTGTTCGTTCGGTCCTCGTCTTTCATGTCAAGCTTGCACAGGCCGAAGTCGCAAAGCGCGATGTGGCCTTGGTAATCGAGCAGGATATTTTCGGGCTTCAGGTCGCGGTAGATGACGTTGAATCCGTGTAGGCATTCCAATGCGCACAGGAGCTCGGCCGTGTAGAAGCGTGCCCGGTTCACGTCGAATCGCTGCTCCTTCTGCAGGTGGTGGAATAGCTCTCCACCATTGACAAAAGCCAGCACGAAGTAGAGCTTCTCGGGCGACTGGAAGGTGAACTTGAGCGGCACGATGAAGGGGTTGTTGATCTGCGCAAGCACCGACCTCTCTGCCAGAGTGTGAGCGACTTCAGATCGGGAGATAATGTGTGCCTTGCGGATAGTCTTGAGCGCATAGATCCGGTTGGTATCCTTCTTTCGAACCTGCATGACCTTGCCGAAGCTGCCCTTTCCGACGACCTTGAGGAGCTCAAAATCCTCGATCTTAAGCTTACCCGCACGGTTCTCGACATATTCCACGCCGATCTTCAGCTTGCCGGTGCCATATTGCACATCGACCCATTCCATACCGCTGTGGCCCAGACCACGTTCTCTATGGGAGAATTCCGCTGCCGCCTTCTCGCGATCCTTCTTGCTCGCTTTCGGGTCCTCGATAAAGGTATGCTTCTCGTCGAATCTCGGGTTGATGCGTACGACTCCGATGAAGATATCCTGACTCCGTCCTGACCCGGGCGGCGCGTTGGGGTTCCGCATATAGAGGTGTACGTTCAGCTCCGTCACTCGGGAAACATCAAACTTGTACTGCGTGTTGTCGCCGGCCCACAAGGGATTTTCAGGATTGCCTGAGACTGAGTTGACAAAGACTTGAACCTTGTCAAAATCCAGGAGGGCGTACGGCAACCACTTGCTCGAGATACGGCCGTGGTTGGAAGGAATGCCGGAAAACCCGCCTGCCGAGGTCTGTGGTCTACCTGAGCCGTTCATGAACGACCCCGCGGCAGTTCTCTGGGAAGAACCAGGTCGCACCGAGCCACTCAAGGCGTTCCCTGTCGAATGGGAGCCCTGTCCATGTTGGGAGAAGACGTTGCGATGTTGCTCGGGGAGGGAAAAGTTCTGGCCTTCGTGAAGGGTAACTACGAGGATACCGGGCTTCGGGGGCTTGACGACAGGCTCTTGTACCATGGATTCTGAAGCGGCTGGGAAATAAGGTGAGCACGGCCATTTCTGCGTACCGAGGGTATCATGAGGGCCACAAACCAATTGCATTATCGTGAGGGACGGGAGTGTTGGACGTGGGAAGCGGCGGCTTTTCGTCCTTGTCTGTGATGGTTGAAGTCGACGGGTTCCGGGAGAAGGTGTTCGCCAGGGGCCCCAGATGGGTCTCTTTCAACTCTGTTTGAGACAAATGTTGTCAGTCAAGCCATAAACAAGCTGTATTTCGTGGTATATAAGGCGAATACCACGAGCGGGAGAACTAAAGGGCCAGCGGAAGTGTCTAGGATAGGGGCAACCAGATCTTACTCTTGGTGAGCTTCCACGACATTTTCTGCGAGCTCACGAGCAGACACGAGACGGGTTGTGGTCGAACACCTGCTAGCTATCAGGTGTTGGTGTTGTGTGGTTGTGGTTGTGGTCGTGTTGGGTTGAGAGAGGGGAAGGATTGTGGCTGTCGCAAATCCAGGGTTGGGGATTCGAAGGCGACCAGCGATATATTCTAGGGATGGTCAGAGGCAGATGATTCCGTTGATAGATGGGGTGAGGGAGAGTAGGAGGAAGAGGATCAACGAGCAACGAGGGGACGTCTGGAGAAGAGGGGGAGAAAGAGTAAGAAGAAGAAGCAATGATGTCGAATTTCTTAGGATGATTGATCGATCGATAGATTGCCCGTAATTGAGATTGATAGGGAGGGCAGCGGGTTGATCACCACACAGTCCAAGTCCAGTCAACCAGTCAATCCGCAGTCATTCACCTGCAATCAGAGGGAGGGTAGGAGGGGGAGGAAACCGGATAGCGGGCGCGCTCTGAGATTCAGGTGGCCCGTATCTGGGACGAAGGCCCCGACGGCCACTACCCGTGCTGCATCCCACTTGGCGCCTCGCTGGGGGGGACTCAGCTGAATGTAGGTAGGCTGGTAGGGCACCTACGGGGGAGGCTAATAACCCCTCACCAAGCGTGGCTGTGTGGCTGAGCTAGGTACATAACTGTCTGCATCAAGTTTCCCATGTAAAACAGCATTCCCGGGTCCGAACGGGCTGTCGTATCATTGATCTATCAGCTATCAGCTATTACCTATCATCGATATTGATACCTTATTAGACCATCGTGCAATGAACCGACAGTTGTGCGCTCACGATGCTCTCAGAGCCCCTTTGCAAGTCGACATCTTCTTGAGGTCAATCAAATCAGATTGTGATCACCTCTGCCTCCTGGCCTTGAGGAGCCAAATACTCCGTCAACCCAATTTCATCAGCCCCGACGGACGGTGAACTGCCTGGGCCTCAGAGGAAGGTTGCTCATCACCTTGAGATGAGTCGAGGGACTGTGTCCGGTATGAGGAGTGTTTGACACAGCCCCAGCTGCCAATGTCTCAGCCAGATCCAGATCCAGATCCACTCACTCGGGTGCTGTCTGGAGTCCGAAGTGACGAAGACCATGCGCGAGCCGGCGAGTTATTATTAGCGCCTCTGGGAGATCCTAAGCAAGAGCTTCCGATCAAAAGACAATACGTCGTGACGGACTCTCTCTCCTATGCCGCGGTTTCCTGCGACAGAGACTGCTCGGGACTCTCCTTCAAACGGCACCTAGTCTTGGTCAACCCGGTACCCCCGGGGCTGCCGAGCGAAGAGTTGAAGTGGTGGAAAACAAAGAGAGCGACCAAATCAAGACGAGTCGCCCTACACCCGTCAGGGACATATACTACCTGCTTACCCATGGCCTGTTTGAAGCATGCTGAGCGTGTGGTCGAAATATAGTTAACCGTTACCGATCTACTCAAGTTTGCAAGGTAGAGCTTGCGACGGGAGGCAAACAGGTACGACGGCGGTCAACACCGTAAACTCATACACCACTTGGTTACCTACCGTTGAGTCCTGACGGGTTCTGACTCTTGCAATAAGTGAGTATTGCGTCCCACTTACCGAGGTAAGCGACCCCAGCCCATATGATGCAGATATCGTATACGAGCTCGAGCCACCACTGAGATCTGTGTCTTGCAGCGTCCATGGGATGCTGTGTGTGCCCTGCGGCACCCTTGTAAACTGGTGAGATAGGTGTCCAATGGCCCTGTAAAATTCCCGTGAAATGCCTTCACCGCTGAGAATCGAATCCTTATTGTCAGGAAAGTCTCGTTACCCGTCACAGAGCATGTGTCACGATGTCTTCAAGCGCAAATCCAAGGGAGAATCCGACCACCACGGCCCTCGAGCTTAACAGTCATGCCAATACCGGTTTCATCATTGGTCCGACGCGGGCAGGTGAAGAAGGCAACAACATCGAACCAGCACATTCGGCCGCCGCGGATGAGCCCGAGCAAGCTGTCCCGCGTGAATACCTGGAAGGCTGGAGACTGTACATACTGGCTTTTGCGTACGATCTCTCCTATTGCCACGGCTGTCTTCGTCCAGTCTTAGCTTACCGTACTCCAGATTATGTCTCTCTATCTTTTTATCCACGCTGGAGTAGACGATAGTCAGCACTTCCCTGATCTCCATAACCAATGCTTTAGGGGGCTTCGAGCAGCGGGATTGGGTGGTAACCGCATACCTCATCACATACACAGGCTTCATGATCATTTATGCCAAATCCAGTGACATCCTTGGACGCAAGTTGATGGTGCTCATTGCTCTGGGGTTCTTCACCATCTTTTCGATTGTTTGCGGCTCTATTTCAAACATGATTCAGCTGTAGGTTGGAATGGTTGATGTTATTGCCGCTGTAGATACTGACCAACTGTAGCATCGTCTTCAGGTCCCTACAAGGCATAGGGGCTTCCGGAATCTATGCGATGGTGACCATCAGCCAGACAGAGATGGTTCCGCCAGAGAGATGGGGGAACTTCGCTTTTGCCTTCGCCATTGTTTTCGTCCTCAGTTCTGTCCTTGGCCCTATACTTGGCGGCGTGATCAACGATCACTCGTCCTGGCGTTGGGTATTCCTCTTGAAGTAAGTCCGAATTTTGAGAGCTCAATTATGGTTGGAAAGTATTGACACTGAGGCTGCTAGTGCTCCTGCTGGTGTCATAGCAACTGGTCTAATTGCGTTCTTCATGCCGGTTCATTTTCCCATCGTCAACGCATCGGCAGCCGCAACAAGTTTGCGCGCGAAGCTGACCCGATCGTCCCTTTCTCGCCTTGACGTTGTCGGTGCTGTACTCTTACTGTTCGCTTCTGTGCTACTCGTATTCGCATTAGAAGAGGCTGGCTCTAAGCAGTCATGGGACAGTCCGGCAATCCTGAGCAGCCTCGTCGTCGGGGTTTGCCTCTTCATGGCGTTCGTCGTGTGGGAGAAGCTCGTCGGTCGCAATGGCTCGGCTCGAGAACCCATATTTTCCCTTCGGTTGATGAAGGATCGTCTTTTCAGCGGCCTTGTACTGTAAGTTCAGTCTTAGATTGGAATCGCAGGTTTCCATCATCTAACGTGGCGCAGTGTTGCATTTTTCACCGGGTTTCCCTTCATGACTGTTTTGATCAACTTGCCGCAGCGATTTCAGGCAGTAGACGGGGCATCCCCTTTTCAAGCCGGCATTCATCTTCTTCCCCTGCTACTTGCCTCTCCTGTCGTCACCGCAATCTGTGGACAGCTCGCGGGGAAATTCAAGGTCCCGCCGTTTTATCTTCTTTTGTTTGGAACAACAATGCAAATACTCGGTATAGGGCTTGCCAGCTCGGTGTCTTTCAAGAGTGGCAATGCTATGTACGGCTACGAAGTCATCATGGGCTTCGGATTTGGGATGGGGCTTGTCACGTTGTTAGTCTTTACGCCTATGGTTGTGACTCGCAGCGATATGGGTAGGTCAGAAGCACCCTCGAGCCGTGGACATCTATTTTACTAATCCATTTGGGAAGCTGTTGCAATGGGCGCCGTAACTCAAGTCCGAGTGCTTGGTGGGACTTTAGGTCTGGCGATCAGGTATGAAGCCCTTCACAAACTCCCTAGGGTATTAAACCAACAATCAGCAGCTCTACAGTCTTGAACAACCACCTCTCGTCCAATCTGCCTCTTCTCCTTCCGCCAGAAGACATCAAGCAGATATCGGACTCGGTGCAGTTCATCAACACACTTCCAGAAACCACTCGGGATGCGGTTCGTCGGGTGTTTGCCGATGGGTATAACGCACAATTGCGAGTCATGACATACTTCAGCGCTGCTGTATGGATATGCGCATTACTGCTCTGGGAAAACAGGCCAAGGAGTGCTGCGACTATCTAGGGCTACTGATTTCTATTTAGTATCTTCTTGCCATGATAAACCCACGGCACACCTGGGACCCGAGGAGGCGCATTGAGACACGCTGAAGGAACCCGGCTGCTAGAGTTGCCCTGTCGATGTTGTCTTGAACCTCGACTTGCTTATAGCTTGGACGACGAGATGAATGTATCTGACCGCTTTGGCGACCTGCATTAGGTAGTCTAGCACGGCAATGCTCCTAGTATGATTTGGGGATGTCCTCTCGGGTCAGCTGATCGTCCCGATGAGCGGGAACTTTTCTTTGTCGCTGGGTACGCAAGCTAGATCGAACGTTAAAGATGAGCCGTATGCCTGAGTGCCTAACCGAGCTGCCACTCTGTTCGTTCTATAGCCCAGAAAGATCCGAGGATAACAGGAAGGATGGCGAGCAGAATCCACCACAGCTCAATGGTGAGCGGGGACCGCAATCGTCTCTTGCATCGCTCCATGAAGCTCCGCCTGTGTGAGCAAGTGCTTGTGCCGAACACCAGACACCCCAAGCCCGGGCGCGACTCGCACTCCATGTGCTCACGCCGGCGTTCCATCAGCAGCCTAGGTAGTTACCACGTCAGCTTGTGGCGATTCAGCGAAAGATAGACACCCAGACGTGACGAACTGAGAAATCCACAGTCCGACTCCCACTTACTTGACACTTCCACGACAGAACTGCAAGTCGGTCCGCAGGTCACAGCGACGGTCGTTCGGACATTCGAGATGCAGACTTCGGCGCTCCATCAGCCATGCGACCTTCAGTCTCACGCCCGTGTCGACCAGGTGGAAGAAGTAGCGGCACGTATGCTTGAGGGATAGGGCATCTGGGTAGATGAGCTGCTTGCTGATTAGGAGGTGCACTTCTGGTGGCAGGTCGTTCAGAGTCGCTCTTTGCGGGTGGTGGCCTTGCTGGGTAAGAGTTGGGCTGGCTTTCAAAGCTTTCATCGAAGCCCGCCGTCCCGAGGGGAGCATGGAGTTGATCGTGACCATGTTAGCCCAGGCTTCTGGATGAAGGACTGTGATATGGTGCGATACTCTCAAGACGCGGCGACAATGCGGGATGGGTTCCTGTTGAATTCAATGGATAGCAGAGAGAAAGATTCAAGTGGCTGCAGTTGTGAGTGAGAGAAAATCCAGCTTTATACATATATGTCTTGTTGCTGCATTCCTCTCAGATAAAGCACTCCTGGGCCTCGATGTCCACAAACGTGGCCGCGAGGATGGACGTCTGCCAGGCACCAGCATGAAAGCATAGAATGACTCCACTGAAAGGCGTGGCAGATAATGGCGTCAACATTAGATCAGGCTCAGCAGGCCGTCGAATACACAACATCCTACCTATATAGACCACGAATAATCATGCGATGCCTCTTACAATCCAGTACAAGTAATGCCTCTCATACCAACCAGAGTTTAAACTGAATCGAGAATGCCTACCCGTCAAAATCACTGTAACAGGAAGGCGGGGCAGGCGCAGCGCAGTCTCGTGAAATGCATCGAATCCTCTATATGCATCGAATCTCCTACAAGCATCGTTAATAACAATGATGATTGATACGGCAGATATAAAGATACGCGACATGGATGCGCGCCCGTCGCCCGTCGCCCGTCGCGCCGTGACCTCTCTAATTAACCACACAATGGATGCACCGATGCAGGTGGCAACATTGAAGGTGGATGACGAGCCGAGCCGAACAATACACCCGCGTGCTCTCGTTTCTCTACTAACTTAGGTACCTACTTAGGTATCAACTTACCGATCATGACTCGACTGATGATTCCTAGACCTGCATTTACATCCGCGCCCCCAGCTGTCGGCCTTACTTAGAGCCCCTTTGATTCCACGCCTCGAGCTCGAGCCGCTACGCACTTGCTCTATATAGAGATGGACGGATCATCACGCATGGCCCTCGATGACAGCGACTACGGATCCGATTTCTCGGTAGGGGAGGAGGGCATCGTACACCAACTTCTCGAGAATCTAGGGAATGCGAATGTGAATGCGGATGCGAATGCGACAGTGTCAAAGAGCACCGACTCTGCTGCAGACACCGCCGATGCTTCTCTCGAAGCTGATATTCGCGCTGCCGTCGCGGCTGGCCTATTCATGTCATCGCCTGTTGGACAAGACCCCCAGAACCATGTACCGTCTCCAGCGCCCAAGCCCAGCATCATGCTGTCCGCCCATGCAAAGACTCCCGCACCAGCTCGCGGGAAGAGCCACAGCGATGCCGTCACGCGCCAATCCCTGCTCGGTCAGCAGTCTTTGCCAATGGATGGCATCCAGTACCCGGATTGTGAGTGGTCGCTTGTAGCGGACGCAGTGCTTCACACCTCGAAACACCTCTGACTGACTGGTAGCGTCTAGTAAGCCGCGCCTTGAACACTATAGAACCCAAGGCCGCCTCCATACCAGAGCCCCCGAACGAAGCGGATGATACACGGTCGCCCCTGGAGCGCTTTCGGTCCTTTCCAAAAAAGCCATTCAGTGTGTCTGATCTGTCTTCTGGCGCCTGGTGTGAGCTGCAATATTGGTACACATTGACCCTCCTCCCTGGCGGGAAGAAGACGAGAACTGCGGCAATGCGAGGGGGCTCCCGCGTTCATCAGACCCTAGAAGATGAAGTTCACACTACCGTTCCCGTCAACATAACGACAAAGGAGGAAGCATTCGCGCTGCGGCTGTGGAACGTCGTCCAGGGTGTACGCACTCTGCGAGAAACTGGCACAACAAGAGAATTGGAAGTATGGGGGGAAATCGACGGGGAAATCATTAATGGGATTATCGACCATCTGAGCTACGAAAGCCCAAATGCGGGTTTCGAGGAAGAGCTCGATCTACCCGACACTCCACAGGGGAAACTCAGGATCAAGCCGAAAAATCAGTCGTCCATCACAGACTATCTGGGGTCAGGTAACAGTAGCAGGAGAGTCTACTTGACCGACGTCAAAACTCGAGGCTCAACCAGGCTCCCAAGTGGCGCAGCCCTCAGACCAGCACGAGTACAATTATTCTTATACCACCGACTACTGGGTAATATGGTGTCCGGCAAGGTCGATTTTCCAGCCATCCTCAATCGCTATGGTCTTAATGCCGAGGCTCGATTCTCCGACGCTTTCATGGCTCAGATAGGTGACCTTTATGATGAGGTGTTTTACGACGCTGACTCCGAGGTGGAAGCAATGCCTTCAAACGAAGCCGGTGGTGCATACCCGGACGCATCACCCGATGTGTCAGCACGCATGTCGCCTCCATCGGATTTGATTCGGTACCGGTCGATTCAGCAGATACTGCCACTGCTCGAAACAGAGCTGAAGGATACTTTCCCCCAGGGCGCCGGCTCTCTCGGTGAATTGCTTGCCGTGCAGTATCGCCACCGCGAGGACGGTCGCATCATCGGAAACAATTCATTCCCTAATGATCCTGAAGTGCTGGATGGTTACATGAAGAGAAATCTCAATTGGTGGCGCGGACAGAGAGAAGCTGAGGGTGTTTCTATCGAAGAGACCTACAAATGCCGCTTTTGCGATTTCGCCGAGAGCTGCCAATGGCTCAAGGACAAAGAGACCGAGTTCACCCAGAAGAAGCGGGCCAAGGTACAAGCAGCAGTCCACGACACGAATCCGCAAAGTGCTGTGGCAATATAGTAGCTTCGTCCAGCATCTGTGCTTGTGGTCCGTCAAACAACATTAGCCGAAACACCTTCGGTTTACAACAACAGTTGCACAACTGCCGACTTGACCGGGGCCGTGGCACGTCATTACCAGAAGCCGCGACTACGGCTGAATCAACGAGGAAAATGAGCAGGTTGTGACGATTGTGTCGCGCGTATACGATCATACAGCCCTTGTCACGTTCTCCAAGCTGCTTCAACACCTAGTTACGAGGTCGTGGTTTCCAGGCGCTTGATAAGGCCAAAGGAGGTGGTTGGTTATAGATTCAGGCGGGTCTGGAAACCGCTAGTCACAAAACCTGGGCACCTACTGTAGGCGAAGGCATGACACGGCCCGATGCCGCTTGACAACAGTCTATACGGGTATGGCGGTTGCTTCCTTGAGCTAACGTCCCAACCGCCCTGAGTCGCCGGCACAGAAGACCGTCAGGCTGGTTCAGAACCGTCATTACACACTCGATGTTACGTGAATGTCATCAATCTTACTCTACGGTCGCTTATGCGGCTTCGAAATATGCGGATTTTATACAACTGCCTGTGCTTCAAGATAGTGCTCCCGCAGCTAGTTCCCGAGGCTTCTTTCAGACGCGATGGTAGAAGTCCGCATCATCCTCTAGCATCACCATGACTACCTGCGGGCGGACCCTGACTGGTCCATCAGCCGAGACCCTGCCAGCCTGACAGATTAGAGGGTCTTGCTAACCTCCATCGTATCTGGATATTGTCATAGAGCAGTATTCATAAGTTATTACTGAGAGGCTAGACCGCGTCTGTCATAGGCTCAGAGATCCGGCTATCGTTTACCTTGATTCTGTTCTCTAGTCTGCCATCGATAGCTCGATCTTGCTCAGCTCCTCTTCCCAGCCCCTCGGGTCGAAACACACTGGTTCCATGTGGCGATCCAGGTTATCATTCAACCCACATCTCTCGATCTGGTATCGCTTCTCGTTAGAGGCGCAACTTTAGCGAATACGTATTGGACGGGCACGAACGGCGAGTCATAGCGCAACCATCCGGCTGGCACTAATCGATCTGGGCCGCCCTCATCTGATGATCAGCGGATGTAGATCCGATCCTCCAGGATAGTTGTTCCTCCTCAGAGAAGTTGGCTTTGTATCCTTTCAGTCCCCCTTTTGCCCTTGGGTTCGCCGACTTCCTCAGCGTTCATGCTTCTGTGAGTGGTCAAAGAGGTCGGACAGGGGTGTCTACGATGCTGCGTTCCTCACGTCTTGTTCTGATGGACAACATTCGCGCCCGCGCTCTTTTCCCCTCCCTTCACTTTTACAAGGACGGAAACGCAGAGGCCCGCGCTAGAATCTTCCAACGCCATGGGAGGATATCAGGAGTATGATCATCGTAGGAGGAGCTCGCCAATACCAACAAACGGAAGCTCCCTGCCTACCGCACCACCTATCCCCCGCGTCACCTCTCCACCTCCTAGACTTCGAAGTCCACTGCCTCGTGCGGACAAATTATCTATGCGCCTACGAAGCAACTCGGGCCTCGCACTACATACGAACGAGGCCGCACTCAGCCAGTATATCGACTACAAGAAGAACGGGTCGACGCGACCAAATTCGTTTAGCCCGTCCATTCATAGTGTACCATTAGAAGAAGAGGAAGATGTCGACGCCCCGAGGAGCTGGTTCGCCAGCTCAGGCAGAAGTAGGTCCTGGACGGGACCCAATGCCTCGTTTCTTCCCTTCATGGACTTCCTAGGCCGTGATGCCTTTCAGATGGCCCTGGACACCCCGGGAGTGATCCGCGACCTCATGGGTTATTGCAAAGAGAGGCGTTGCGAAGAAGATCTTGAATTCTTACTAGCGGTCAGTACAGTCACCCCTTTCGCTTGGTGAATGAGGGATGTACGGAGACTTCTGGAGGTTCAGTGTAGCACTTCCTAGAGACCAGCACGTGCACCAGTTCTAAGCCCAGCTAATCCGCGTCTGCCTGCAGATTCGTGAATATACGCAGTCCACCGACGAGATGACGTCGATTCTGACGGCCATATCAGCGGCATACATCGCGCCAGGTGCCATGCGGTCATTGAAATTGCCGACAATGGTATCCAGATCACTCAATGCCGATATCAAGCGCATCGCAAACGCGACTCTACCCAGCTTGGAAGCTGTATTCTTGGAATCCAGATCTCACATCGAGCGGCGTATGGCGGCCAACGTCTTTCCAGGCTTTGTCAAAACCCAGCTTACCCGGTGTACTGCAGCCGCCCTTTCCACGGGGGCCTCTGCCATCTCTTCGTCCAAGTTGGAGTATCCAGGCCTTGGCGAGAGCTTCTGCCTCACGAACGCATCGGGCCCAGGCAATGCCATCACGGCAATCACCGACGGCTTCCTCATGATTACCGGCTATCCTCTTCAGGAAGTTATGTCTCAAGACTGCATATTTCTAGAAGGCCCGTACACCGACCAAGATGCCATCCATCGCATTCAGACAGCTGTGAAAGAGGGTCGGGAGGCTGTTGAGCTCATTCTCAATTATCGCAAGGACGCCACGCCATTTTGGAATCTCCTTTTTGTCTACCCTCTGAAGAATCAGTCGGGACGACTAGAAATGTGGCTCGAAGCTCAGATCAATGTCTCCGATTGCGTCGGAAGCCGGAAAGATTTGTTGCGAGTAATGGGTGGTGGTGAATATTCCGAGACAATCTCTGACGGCAGTTCAGATGATAAAAGTGAACTGTCTCCTTATAATAGACTTCGAGGAGGCGGCAAGCAGGAAATTGAACCAAGCGTTCATAGTCGGACAGGATCACGAGGCTCAACTTCCAGCAGTTGCTTTCTCCAGCAGTTTCGAAAAGGGACACAAGTCACTTCCCCCCTAGCGTTCGCCGATAATCCTTCCGACTACTTCTTCGGCAAGGGTACCCAGACATCGCAAAAGGTTCACTTCTTAAACCAGAGGTTTCAGCCTCGAGCTGCGCCATCAACACCGCCGACAACCTACTCGCGCCACATACTACTGAGGTGTCACCCTGTATGCGTGCCACCCAGTTGGCAAAGGGCACCCACGCCATCGGGTTCGCGAAAGAAACATAGCACGAAACTGCACATTGCTTACTATTCGGACGAGGTCGCTGAGCTTTTGTGCCTTCGCGGAGACGTCACACACCAGGATATCTTCCATGTCTTGACAGATAAAGCAAACTCACCATCTGTCACAAAGTCATTCAAGTCCTTGGTCAGAGAGAGGATAGAGTGCGGGAAGTCGACCAGCGCCGAGCTCATGGTTGATACAAACCGCGGTCTGAAGGGATGGCGTAAAGGAAGCACCACCAGCACGGGGCCAGGCACGGCAAATTCTGACGGCCTGAACACCGACAGTAACATCAAGCCAGATAAGAAGTGGGCCAAGAACAGCAAGCAGGAGAGGGTCATGAGCCATTGGACTCCCATGAGAAACGGGGAGGGAAACTTGGAATGGGTTATTCTCATTCTGGCGCAGGCGACCTGACCTGAGATTATTACGATTTGAAAGATGACATGATATAAGCGTGGATGACCTTCGGTCGAGAAAGATTAGCGAGATTGCGGCTTGCACTATCAGGTCACGTAGACCGTCACGTAGACCAACATATAATGACCGACCGATCAATATACCCTCCCATTGTTCTTTAACGTACGGCCGCACTTTACACTGTGAGCTTGTGTGCATCGTGCTACCGGTGACAGCCAGACCGGAAATACAACAACTGCCTGTGGTTCAAGAGCTCGTCATACTCTAGTCCTCTGATTTTCTCTTCGAATGATGTTTAGGTGATCACGCAGGCTTTGCTGCCAGCGAGTGAGTGTATTCGTGGTGCCTGGCTCTTGAGACGCCCCTTTTTGCGGGGGAACGCCTGCGAAATCAATTACCATCGAAATCCCAGAACGGGATGACAGCTTGAATGAGATCCGGTAAATTGATCAGAGTACCATGACTGCGCTAGTGGTATACCATTAACAAGGGCAGCGAAGCCTATACCAATGTCCAGGCCCACGCGGGGAACTCTCCCAGGTCTGACAGGCGGAGGCAGTCGCCCGTCGGGTATGGACATATGTATGAGCCGAGAAAGCTTTAAATCGACCTCGAGAGAAACTTGGTCTACCATTACTTAAGCCAAACTCAAGGTCCTCATAATGCCTCTCTCACTCCTGACAATCGCCAGCATCCTCTTCGCAGGGACCAACGCGTCCGCCCTGACCGCTCGAGAGGCAGCCGCGACAGTGACCATCAACCACGACCAGAGATACCAGATGATGGACGGATTCGGCTGCTCAGATGCCTTCCAGCGGGCGGTGCAGCTGTCCAAGGTCACCGAGGCCCAAGAGCTGTATGCGCTCGACCTGCTCTTCGGCACGACCAAGGGCGCCGGCCTCTCGATCCTCCGCAACGGCATCGGCTCCTCGCCCGATATGAGCGCTGGTTATATGGTATCGATCCAGCCCACGTCGCCGGGCGGTCCCACCAGCGCGCCGAAGTATGTCTGGGACGGGTCGGATAATGAGCAGCTCTGAGTGTCGCAGGAGGGCTTACGCAGACTACTTGGGGCAATCTGTACAACACTACCAAGAAGCCAACGTGACGATCACGCATCTTGGGTTCGTCAATGAGCCCGATCTCACGTCAGTATATCCTCCAAGTTGGAGACGCCGCGAGTTAGTACCGAATGTAGCTAACGGACGTTCCGTCTGAATCGAGCTACGCGTCAATGCGCTTCTCAGGGACCCAAGCAGCAGACTTCATCAAGGTGCTCGGCCCGACCCCCCAAAAGGCCAACCTGAGCGTCGGCATCAACTGCTGCGACGCCGAGGGATGGAGCAGCCAGTCGGGCATGCTGGGGCACGCTCCGTCGACCAGTACCTCTCGACCATCACGGCGCACTCGGACACGTCATCGCACGGCTCGCCGTTGAACACGCGCCTCCGGGTGTGGCAGACCGAGGCCGCCGCCCTCAACGGCAACTGGCAGGCCGCGTGGTACAGCAGTGGTGGCACAACATCTGCCAGGCCGCGGTCGGCGCCAACGCGTCGGCCTAGCTCCGTCGGGCGTTCCCACGGCGGCTTTCCTGAACGTGGATGGGTCGGTTGTGGTGCTAGTTATCAACGGCGGCTGCTCGGCTAGTAGTGTCCAGGTCAAGGTCAGCGGAGGAGGCGGCTTGAATGCGAGCGTTGCGACTGCGTTTCTGACCGACGACACGCACGACTTTAACAACACGGCCGTGTCGGTCAGCGGGGGTGTCGCCAGCGCCAGCGCGCCGGGACGAGCAACGGTCTCTATCGTGCTTAGACATAATGGATCCGATTGCTCATACTGGCACGCTGTGAAGTACTTGCCAGTCTAATAGTTGAATATAATCAGCAAGACCACCGAAGCCCGGAGCAAGCAACGATTTGGCACATCGGCAGAGGCCGACGCCTTGAAGCTGTCCTATACACTGTATGGTGATAGACATGCTGGCATGATGTAATGGTTTAGATCACATCTAGCTTGTTGGTAAAGTCCTCTTCTCGACCTCAACTTTAAAATAGGTAGGAATTTCACTGATCACCAGCTATTTCGTAGCTTCTTAATGCGCTGCGCGCATTTTACGGGTAGGGCTAACGCATTACATGGGGAAGGCTCGACGATAGTACTTGCTATTGCACTTAACATATATCTAACCTAAGGTATTTTTATCTCCCTGGTCCATTTACTTGGTCCATTTAGTGTAGCTTACGTATGACTGTTGGTCTAGCTGTGCCTAGCTGGCGGCAGGCGACGCCGTAAGCGGCTCTGCTGCTATTGATAGGGGATTTTAAGCGGGGGCCAGGCCACGTGACGCAGGCACGGCGCCATAACACCACGCACGGCTTGTAATCACTACTTATAACTAATATTACGAACGGCAACGATAATAAAAAGATTAATAATTTAAAAGGTTGTATGCATTAAAGTATTGCGGTTCGAATGATTTAGGTTTCGATAGATTACATATAAAAGCAAAAGAACTGCAAAAGAAAAAGACGATTTAAGCGGGGCGAAATCTATTGTTTAATTAGTCGGCAAAATCGTAGCGTCACTTGTTGAATGGGAGCCGTAGATAGACACCGGAAGATCTCCAGTGGGGCAGAGACGCACAGGGCATCTGACCCACCAAGAAGACAGATGATCAATCTCTGCACGCAGAAGAAGAACACAATCAATAAAATCAATCAACATCCGTGTATTCAACACTTGACGCAGAATGTGAAGAGTACATGACTCTAGATACCGATATCATATCGCCGACCAGCCCCGTCCGTCGGGTCGGACATGTCGGCGATCCACTCAGGGCTGGCCCAGAATTCCAGGTGCCAGTATCCTGGATATGGTACTGGTCACGACTCACGCCTGGTGCCCTGCCTGGTCCGGCCTGACGCAGTGACACCTGACACATACCGTACAGTAGGATCGGTTGCGTCTAACGTTATTGTAAAGTGTATCGGAAGCGGCAGCTAATTCGGGAACTAGTAGTTGGCCCTTTTAAGTTTTCCGTGATAATTATATCATCGTCATTTCGTCAATGGAAGTGGCTAATCCGAACTGTCAACTGTCATCTGTCACCATCCCTTATGTGAGTTTCGTATAATAATACTGCCTCCAGCCCCTTTTCGCGTCCACTTCTCAGTTCTCAAACACATATTGGCTGCGGGAGGTGCTGAATCCTGATTACTTCTTGGCGTACAGATCCGCATTGACGAAGCTACGCTGACTGGCTGGCTGGCTGACTGGCTGGCTGGCTGACTGGCTGACTGGCTGACTCGCTGAGAGCCTGAGCCCCTTCTCGTGCCCTGGACCCTGGTTCTCATCCCTGTCCCCCAGCCGCGCCCTGTTTTACAAGTTGTACAGATGCTGCCTGCAAAAAGGTCAGCTCTCATGTTATTACTGGCCCAGACCGGCGAGCCTGCGCCCGCCATGCGCTGTATGCGCCGCCAATGGGCACCCTTTTCCATGTCAGCTGTCAGTCCTAGGCGTAAGCAGACGGATGGATACCTACCTTCACTCCCATCGTGCTTTTTTTCTGCTCGACGTCTGTTGCTTGTGCTGGACTTGTGCCTTCAGTTCCTTGCGTCAGACGATCCCATCATGTGGCGCGCTCGCCCAGAGTTCTATACAATCAGTTGAAGAAAGCCCTCGTAGCTGGCTGGCGTCGTAATGTTCAACGGCCAGCGTCTTCGCCAGTGGCTGTCGGGCCTGCCAGGCCATCGTGTATGTTCCATGAAATGGCAGTCGTTGCTTCGCTATGCTGCCATCACCTTCGCCGTCACCTTGACCCTGTCCGGCGTCTTCCTCTTCCGACGGCCAGAGGGATTCCTCAGCGGTACCACGTCGCATTACTTCGAATACTTCTGGAACCGCACCGAGACCCACCCCATTGAGCACCTGGTTTCCGAAGCGCACTTGTTCCACGAGAACCTGCTCAAGGAGCAAAGCTTCGACGTGCCCGCGGCGGCTGCTCGATATCGCGCACGACGAGGGCGACACCCGCCTCCAGGCTTCGATGCCTGGCTCGCCTACGCCGTGGAGCACGACGCCATCGTCGTCGAATCGTACTTCGATCGGATATATGCCGACCTCGCGCCCTTTTGGGGCCTCGACCCCCAGACAATCGCCGAGAGAGCCGCGTCGTGGGAGCATGTCGTTCAAGTGCGCAATGGTACTGTCAACCCCAAGGGTAGCACCGAAAACCGAGTCCCATGGCTCCAGCTCTGGTCTGGCCTTGTCGCGGAAGCGGCACCGTTCCTACCGGATGTCGATATGCCGATCAACTACATGGACGAGTCGCGGTTGGCCGCGTCGTGGGAGGACATAACCAGTTACGTCGAGATAGAGCAGGCGAGTCGCACGGTCAAACCGGTGGAAGAGGTGGTGACGGCGTTCAGCGGCTTGGATAAGGTTGACGCCAGAGGAACCGACACCGAACCTTACCAGCCCGAGTGGCTTCACAGCAACTACTGGGATCTGATGCGCGTGGGCTGTGCGCCGGATTCTGCATCTCGCAACGCCACGCCGATGGTGAACTTCACAGGCCCCGCCGAGTTCCCTCAGGACTGGAGTCCTAATTATGCATACGATGGTTTCGTCCGAAACTTCACGGCGTCCAGCGACCCGTGCAGCCAGCCCCATCTGCGCGGCATGCATGGAACCTTTGTGGAGCCTCTCACGCTGTCGACGAGCAAGGAGCTCATCCCGCTCTTTAGCGGGTGTAAATTGCCTATGAACAATGACATACTCATCCCGGGGGCCATGTACCTAACGGACGATGTCATGTACTCCGGAGGCGACACGCATGGACCGGCTTGGAGGCAGAAGGTCGACGGGACGGTCTGGCGCGGTGTCGCGTCTGGAGGCCGGCATCACGCCGAGAACTGGTCGCACTTCCAGCGCCTCCGGCTCGTCGAGATGCTAAACAGCACTACCGTCTCGGCAGTGGAGGCGAGCGGGTCGCGCGCCATGACGTTCGAGATGCCCTCCGCGAAGCTGTACGACTTCCCCCGAAGGCGTGAGGGCACCATTGGCAAGTGGCTGAAGAAGTTCTCCAACGTCGGTGTCACCATGCTTCTGTGTCACCCCGCCGAGTCGGAGTGCGACTACCTCTTGCCGCATATATCCGGGGTCGAGGGCGTCCCTATGAAGGAGCAGTACAAGTACAAGTTCATGCCCGACGTTGATGGTAACAGCTTCAGCGCCCGGTTCAGGGGCTTTCTCCTGTCGACCTCGCTGCCCATCAAGTCTACCATCTACGCTGAATGGCACGATGACCGGCTCGTTCCTTGGCTGCATTTCGTCCCGATGGACAATACCTTTCAGGACTTGTACGCGATTCTGGACTACTTCTCCTACGACAAGAAAGGAGACAGGGCGGCGCAGTTCATTGCCGGAGAAGGCAGTGCATGGGGCAATAAGGTCCTCAGGAGGGAGGACATGCTTTTGTACGTTTGGAGGCTTCTCCTGGAGTTTGCCCGGGTGTGTGACGAGAAACGAGAGTTACTTGGATATGTAGACGACTTATAACCAGCGTAATGAGTGTAATGAATAGGAAATGGGCATTTTGGATACGTACCGTACCATTGTGTAAGGCACTCTAGTGCTACACCGATTGATATGCTGTCGAGTCCGTACCCTGCCCCTATCAACGCTGTCTTTACATCAAGAGATCAAAGGCCCCATCCTTCAATAAGAAAGACTTCCATCCCTCGAAGAACCTGCGGTTGAGAATAGGCCTCCGACATCACAAACTACCCTTCCACCTGCCCCAGACACCCCTCTGGTTGAGTTCGCGGTACACGCAGCTTTGCCAGTGACGCCCGGTTTCAACCGTTCAAATTCTCCCAGATGCCACCGCGGGAGGAGTCTCCGTCCCAGCATCGAGGCCATACCGCGCATGAGTTTTGCTAGACGCACGGAGCCGCTCGACAACCTCATCTAAGCTGCTGCGCGTCTCCTCGACAGCAGATTGAGACGAGGGAGTTGGTGGTGTCAGCCGTGTTGGCGGTTCTGGCTGTGGAGTCTTCTCAGCAGCCTCCTGTTGCGCTTGAAGCTGACGGAGCTGACGCAGCTGATGGAGCTGGTGGGTTCGGCAGTATATCGACGCGACCATGGCCACGAGCAGAAAGGCGCCGAGTATGGCTATCATGGTGATGAGATTGGTGGTGATGCAGTCGATGTACCGAGATGGGATTACGATCCACATGCCCAAGACCGATATGTAGATCCAGGGATTCGGGTCAGGATGATTATTAGGGCTCAGAGTAGAAAGCCTGCCATCTCTGGGGCATCCTGATAAGTGCGTCGGTTCTTGAGTGTCATGGCTGATGTTCCATTCGCTATGCAGGATGGTAGGGTTGTTGATGATGTGGCTGCCGTTGTAGTAGCCCTTTTGCACTTCGATGGTTGGTACGACCTTCATCTTGCCGTAGTGGGAACTAAACTTGACGAGGATTTGCGTGCTATCAGGGGAATTTGTATATTCGCCTGCAGACAGTTGTTGTGACAGTGCTTGATGATCCTTATCGTATAGGGGTATGCAAGACTTCGACTGGGTCTCTCGGTTCTCGCATATGTTGCCGACGATACGTTTGATGGCTATTGGGGGTTTATTGGGGTGCACGAGATTACCACCGACGGGTTCCGTGTCTGACGCGTATAAGAATTTGCCCTTTTCCACATATACTCTGGCTGCTCTCTTGGTAAAGTCAGGCGTTCGGACTGAACTCTGCTCTGGGAAGAGAAGGTAGCAAAGGTAGCCAACCACAGCAGCAAGCCTGATAATGCCATTTGGGGGTCTAGTTAGTCGTTTCCAAGTATCTGTGTCTTGATGTTGCTGATAGGACGGGAAAAGAGGAAAGAGGGATATGATTTCGGTGTTTCTCCTTTCTCCTTTCAGATTTGATTTCATGGAAAGAGAAAGTTTGTCCCAGGTATAAGGTGCCAAACTTAAAACAACGCCGCCAGATACGACCACGCCTCAAAGTGCCTTCAGAGCTCCTGTCAGAAAGCCCTCGAGCCACAGACAGGCAAGTACACATGAATGTCACATGAATGTCACAGGAATTTCATTTGAATCTTCATGCTCCCTGAACTACCAGCACTGGAGTGACTTATGGCGTCAGTGGCTACTCCAATCAACTGCCGCTGAACGACCAACCAGCAAGGTAGTCATGCCAGTCCATATTCCAGCCACTTGCCATCTCATACGGGCCTAAACTCACCTATCGCTTCCCGGTGTTCGGCGTTCCGCGTCGAAACACGTACACGTACAGTTTGTGACTGAGGGTATTAGAGCTGTTTTCATGGACTCTGGTCTTGTCAAAATACGTGCTCAGCGCTTATTATGAGCAGTATAGTGGTCACCCTGGGATCACATGTCAGCTCTTGGAGGTACCTTTCACGGTTATCCAGGTAGGCTGGTACCCCCATCAGCTACCATCATTCCTCTTCTAGTACAGACCATTCTGGAATCTCACAGATCTCGAGTGGTTTGCCTACTGGCACTCTGAGGGCATTTTGGAGGGTTTGAAGACGAGTTTGTTTCAACCTCTAGTTCCTATTTGAGAGACGGCGTCCTTCGAACAGGCGCGGCTCTTTACACATACAGTTCCTCCAACCGCTTTACCATTTTGTCGCCTCCATCGTCTGCATCTCCGTCATACCCCGGATTCCTTGTCTTGGGCAGTTTCGTCCACCTGCAGTTGAGACTCATCAGCAAATCCATACTTCCGTCATGACGTACTCGCGCTATCTTCGCACCTACGTATCTCCCATGGGAGATCGACTTCATCATCCTCATAACTCTCACCCACGGATCTGTAGAAGCTGGCGGTTCCGTAGTAGGTTCGAAACCATAAAAAGTCCGAGTCCCAGGAGGCCGAGTGAGGCGTAGAAGCCGAAGACGACATATGAGTAGAGGAAGGGCTTGAGGTACCGGAACGGAATTATTATGCGTATGCCCATGGCCAAAACAGAGACACCATCTGCCAAGCGCAATGGTGCTGGCTGGCGAACAATGTTCCACTCGCTACGCAGGATGGCTCGGTTCCCGATGAGATGGCTGCCATTATAATAGCCCTTCTGCACTTCGGTGGTAGGTATAATTCTCGTCTTGCCGTCGTGGGGTTCGAAACCTAAGAGGGAGTTGCATGGCATCGGGTGATTCCCAACCGGCGTCGAGTCTAAGTCCCAACGCGCGATTGTTGGAGTCGTATAGGGCGTGACAAGGATACGAGTTCGCCTTTCGCATCTCGCAGAATACTTCCCAAATGTCTTCGATGTTTGGTGGGGCAAAGTTGGGGTGGATTGTGATCACCGCCGACGGGTTTTGTGTCAGTTCCGTGTAAGATCTTGCCCGTTCCAATACTTCTGATGACAGCTCTCGTGAAGCTGCCGGCCCTTCGAATAGGAGCGACAAATCGGATCTGGTGAGACAGTCGGACTGACCCTTATACGGGGAAGAGGCAGTAGCGAAAAGATTTGCAAGCGACAGGTGCAAGAACTGCATTGTGAGCAGGAAGGGGTATAGGTTATTAAAACAGGGAAGCTCAAGTGGTAGCAGATTTCAGGCACCGTTCGTGTGCAAGGTAGGAAGAGAGGTATTCAAACTACCTGCCATGGGAAACGCCATTCTTTATATTTGTGATCTCGAGTAACGGAGCTGTGGCTGTGAAAACTGATTTTAGGGGGCATTGTATAAAGTTTGCCTAACAATGTTGTGGTTGTGGCCGTGGCCGTGGCGGGAATGGCTTGACTTTAGGCTGTTAGGTACTGTAACTTACATGGGATGTAAGAGGTTCACAGCCAGCCCATTTTCTGCCTCATTGACACCGAAAAGGCCGCACGATGGTCATAGGCAGTTAACACCCTGGGGACGCACAGCCGGCCACGAATGACGCAGTGGTGGTGAGCATGCCCCCATGGTTAGCTGCCTACATATGAGGCAAAGGCGCCAATGCCCGCATGCCATCTTCAAGGGTCTCACTCTAATTCATACTGAGACGTACCAAGAACCTTATCCGACCTGTTACTCTGCCTACAAATGCTATCGAGTCAGTTACATCTACCTTGCAGAGGAACGCGTCCAACTCAGTCGCCTTCTTCCCGCTCGTCACGACGCGACGAAGGCTATGGTATTACGTCTCGAGATACATTTGGTCTTCCGGCGCTACATACAAATCCACCCCTACACGGAATCACTTACCAAACTTCAAAAGATATAGTCAGCCCTCATAACTCTCCGTACGCTTATGTTGTCAAGATTCCAGATCACCTGTGGGATAATTAGAAATACTGGAATAAGTATACAGGAATAAGCAGCTTTAGTTTGATTTACCACTTTTAATGCTTATTCCCCTGTGCTCACTCCAATGTGCTTATTCAAATTGGATAACTTGCCGTTGTTTGCTGAGACGGGCGGTATACGGATACTTATGAGGGTTCAGTGTAGCTGGTGTAGGCTAGGGATCGACAATGACTTTGAGGGCCACGCAGGGAGTTGAGCAGGTATTGGAATGAGAGATAGCATGAAGCAGTAGTGGTGCGAACGTGGCCCCATGCGCGCGAGAGGCGACGCATGAGTACATTGCATCGTTCAGCTTAGGCCTCATATCGACGGACGGCACGGTCTCCAGAAGGATCAGAAGACATTGCAAAATGGAGAGACAGCGGTGGCTTTAATTTATACATTCACTCACATCACAGTCAGCGTAGCTGATAACGTTATGATAGACTACAATAGGTAAGGTAAGGAGGATAGATCACAAAACCCCTTCCATGAAGCCTTCAACCCTCCATCATCTAAGCACTCGGCTCGCTGTACGTGGTGCCAGACGTAGAAGGAGTACCGAAGTTAGGCGACCCATCGCTGTTCGTTCCCAGCTGCTGTATACTAGTGTACCGACTATCATCGCAAGCACCCGCGCTGTTGCTCGTAGCGTGGTACGCAAGCCAGATCTCCGTGCCGTCCGGGCTGGTAAAGAAGCTGATGTGTCCAGTGCCGTAGTTGCCGTTGGCGCTGGAGAAGACGCAGCCACTACTCTTAGACCACGCCGCCGCCTGGCTCGGGTCTGTCGTACCGTCCCAGGTGAGGAGGCCGAGGCAGTACGACGGCGACCAGCAGTACGAGGCCGAGTAGGCGAGGTAGGTAGCGCCGCCGTAGTACAGCGCGGCGGGCCCCTCGTTGACGGGGACCGAGACCGTCTCCCAGGCTTCGGTCGGCTGCGAGATGACGGACATGGAGCCCGCGAGGCTGACGTAGTCGCTGTTGAGCTTCTGGATGCAGAGGGACTGGTAGGTCGCCCCATGAAAGCAGGAGAAGACCAGGTAGTCACCCCAGGTGCCGAAACGGAGGGTCGACGCGTCGATGGTCCACTCGGAGGTCATCACTCCCGAGTACGTGAAGTCGTCCCATGGCGTGCCACCACCTGTCATATGGTTATTATGAAGTCCTCAAGGGGGTGAAAGCTTCGTACACACCTTTGAGCGCATGCAGTCGCTGTCCGTCCAGGTCGTCGCAGTCTCCAGCGGCGAAGTATACGTACTAGGCGCTGCCGAAGTAGTGGACTTCGGGTGCCCAGACATTGCAGGAGCGCGAGGCATCGGTGCTGGTGTATATGACCTTCTTCGTTGCCGTCTTCAAGCCGTCGACGGTAGTCGAGCGGGCGATCTCGACGTCGGTCCAGGTGGTTGTCAGGATGTAGTAGTAGCCACCGCTGTAGGTGACGAAAGGGTCACTGCCGCCTGGCGTGCGGACGGGGTTGGTGAAAGCGGTGGTGAGGTTGAAGAGACTTAAGAGACTCAGCAGGGTCGCGAACGACTTGCGGAGGCCCATCGTGGACAGCATACTGCACGGAAGCGACTGAGAGACTCACTCACTTGGAACGATCAGCAGAGGACAGTCCATTCTCTCCACTGTACAAGGTGACCACCAGCTGTTTTATACAAAACTGTCGGCGGACAATACTCCCTCAGTTCTCTCCGTACGGGGAAGGAGGACGAGCGGGTACTGTAGGTACACTCAGACATCGTCTATTTGAGACGCCGTGCCATCGTCCCCGAAAAGGCCGGCATCGTCACCAAGCCCCGAGAGAACGAAGAGCCAATATAGATCGGGCAGCTCCCCCTGATTAGTGGATTAAAATCCGGGGTGTAGCAGCCAACCAGCGGAAGGTCGAATGCGATGCTGAAAAGGAGGACTGGCCCCGAGTAGTGTCTCTGCATGACCGGGGTGGGGTGCCCGGCATTTGGCTCCATCGGGCCTGGATAGAGGCGCGATGGCGATATCGAGCTCAACGTCGGCTGGCGACAGAATAGTCGCATATGTCGGAACTTGACCAGCACACAGTCAGGGGCAGTAATTCTCCTGAATAAGCACTGGTATAATCGGCAATTGGTAGCTTATGACGATGTTTCGTGCTTATTCCAGACACGATTATTACCCCTGAGCGGTGAGAGCAGTGTTTGGGCGGACATACAGCACGCCACTGATATATCGAAGTCATCAGCAGGGTCGTAATTATGATATCTGAAGAAATGGACAGCTGATCAATCCATATTCTGCGGGTAAGAAATCAATGTCAACTGATAACTCAACTGGCGGTTGATGAGTGACATGGTAAAATCTCTCGGGAAATTACCCTGCTCGTTGAAGGCAGGTGCCTTACTGCATTTTCCTAACATCATTGATGGGTAACATGTTAAGGATAACAATGCGAGCCCAGGGCACGGCCGTGTGAACACTCTTGTCGGTCTCCGCGTCATCCACAGACAACTTTTCTCTCTTTGGGTCCAAGAGTGCTGGTACGTCGTCGAATTTGCCTTCGTCACAGCATTGACTGGTGCATTCAAGGACTCCAAATTCAGTGATCTGCAGGCCATACGGTCATGCGTCCCTCTTGGCGTGGGACTCATCCACTGGTATGTAATGGAAGCACCGCACAGGCAACCTCGCAAACAACAAGCATCGTATTACGGCACGAAAACCGGCGACACCGTGGACAGGGTTCACTGGGCCGGTTGGATTACCTGAATAGCCCCAAAGAGTGAAGGGCATGTGTAATATGAATCTAGTACCCAGGGGTAAAGGTTCTACTGCATAGTTCGAGTCTGGTTGCCGTCACCGCATCATCCTATGATTTTTTTCCACTTGTTGAAGAAAGAGGAAAAAAAGCCAAAAACAGGTATGAATGAAGATTTAGCCAAGTACTCCAAGTTTGATTTAGTGAAGCAAACCAGCCGACGTACGATTATCGCATTGCCCGTGAGAGGGGGGCGGCAACGGTAAATGACAGAGGGCATCATAGAAATACCCAACAGTGGCAGTGTGGCACCGGCAATGGCAAACCGGAAGGCTCACAGTAGACTCAAACATGTACAGAGGAGAAGCAGAAATATAAACCCAGCCGAGAGAGCGGCCTAATGGTGGCCTGGACATACAAGTCTAGGTTGTAGGTAGAGCGGAATCATGGAAATGTCATGGTGGTGCAGTGCACAATTCAACATGCAACCCCCTTTTCCATATTGCCCCACATGCACATAAACTGTAAGCTCTTGGTTGCAGGGCAACGGAATGTTTGCTATATGGTCCAGATTAAATTTGAAATCTATCGACAGCTATGGCTCGTGGCACAGCGGAGGAGAGGCGACGACCTCAATGATAACCATGCCAGAGACCTCAGAAATTCGATCCCCAGCGTAAGCGACGGCAGCTGGGATAAGATAGCAAATTAATACCCAAAGGGAAGCTAGGGCGCGGCTGGAGAGTTTCCATTCACCTTGGTAAATATCAGGAAAAAGTCCAGAGCGAAGCAGACGGGAGTTAATTCTTTTGTCATTGTGGGGTTTTTTGGGTTTGCCTCCTCGTGGGATCTTCTAAGGTAAATGCTCTAGCAGCCTTGTGTAGGTATTTTTTGACGGTAATCTAAGCATATTTAACGGTGTACTTCTTGCGGTGGGGGATAATTCGTGTATTGGCATGTCTTGCTGTTAACTCTGGGTATATACCTACCATCCCCTTTTCCCTTCAACCCCGCCGTATCATCCAAGGCCATTCGCATGGCAAGATTCTAACAGGATAATTCCCAGGGCTGGAACACTGGACTGATTTTGTGCATGCACACTTAGATGATAAGTGCCTGAGGAGACAGGTGGTACAAATACCAAAACTCGCAGTCATGGCGGACCTGCGTGCTCCCTGGACCTTCCTCGAACAAAAACACACTTGTACCCAAAACCAACTCCGCCACCTGAAGGTTCCGTTCTGACGGCGTCTCCTGTCCCGCCCTCAACAACACAACCTCTCACTGCGCGGCAGCAGCAACAGCAACTGCACAAACGACGTTAGCACCACCGGCAGCAACGACAGGAACCAGTTCTTCCCCTCCTGCGCCCAGCATGTCACGATACTCGAAAAACGACTTCGGCAGTACAAGAAGCAGCTGTACGAAGATGCCTACAACGGCAATTGGGTAGACGAACTGTGCGACGATGTGAGGCATATCCTGGAGGATCGACCGGCCCGCGACAACGCGCACCTCGTCTCCCTGGAATGGCTCCAGTACTGTGTCCTCGCGCCCCTATCGCAAAAGAGTAAGTTTCCACCCCAGCCACGATACATTCACCGCTGACCCCGGCCCTGGCAGTGACTACAGGTTCATCATGATTGGAGTCAAGTCCCCTTCACTGATCAGAGAGCCAGACGAGGCGCCCGTCGACGTGGCCGCCATACGTCGTCTGCTGAAAGACCCCCACGTCGTTTCGCTGGAGATCTTCGATCGCCTTGACAGAGATGATACGGTCATCGAAGATGGTACCGGCATCGCAACGCAATCGCCCCAGGGGTACACCACCAGTCTATGCTGCCGTCCTCAACGCCAAGCCGAAGTCTACAGCCCCCAAGCCATCTCACAGTCCACGGACTTCGGCGACCAATACCACAGCAGAACCCACCTTTGAGACTCTCACGCCACCTCAGTCCTCACTGGTCCCCGTTTCCAAAGCACCGGAAGAGCCTCAACACCCCTTGACGGCAATGCCCACCAAGATGATGCGCCGTCCCCCTGCTCGCGGCATTGAGGTCCACCAGGAGAAGCCCCTAGCCGTAGATGCGCTTCGGCCGGGAGTAGAGCGCAACGCCGTGCTAGTCCCCGCCTCCATAGACCTAGAAACGCACTTCGAGCCGTACCGAATCCGCCTGCAACTCTCGCTGAGCGTCTGGCTCCGAGCCGTGGACAACCCCCCGCGGATCGTCATCATCCGGAACGAGAACCGACACGCCGAAGCCCGCCACCCGGAGTTCTTCAGCATGATCGATGACTTCTTCGGCACCTTCACGCACTGGGTCCTTACCTCGTGGGTGGGCGATGCTGTCCACCGCGGGGTCGCAGCCAACATCCTGGACTACGTGCACGGCAAGTGGCCTGAGGCCATGGCCGACATGCAGCAGAAGGATCGCAACGTATCCATCAGCAGTATGCGGCGCTTCCCGGACATCACCAATGCCCCGGTCGACCCGCCCTGGGCCGGACTCAGCCGAATTGAGAGGGCGGATCGCCATGCCGGCAGCGAGCGAGCGAGAAGAGGTGCAGCACGCAACGCGGATCAGCCGTTGCGGAAAGTCACGGGCAATGTCACAGGCAATGATTGGGTTATTGACATTCCGGACAGATGGTAGACTGGGAGCATCACAGTTGAGTACATCTAGCAAAGACGAACATGATGGGATTATGCTGTCGGCAGTATAGTTGATACCCCGCTGCAAAAGGGTCACTGATGAAGGTCATTGATGTCCCTAAACGATGGCAGCTACATACTGTATACGTCTACTCGAGAGGCACGCATATCTTGCTACCGTGGGAAACCTGTTGCAATACCACTCTTCTGTCTATACATTCTCCCGAGTACGGATTTCTCAGATGCCTTTTAAGATCTCACTTGGGGGTCGTAGGGAATAAGCCACGTAGAGACCACGCACTGCTGTAATCTCGACGGACCCTTGAGTACCAACTCTGCTATGACCGAGATAGTCTGCAACGGAATGGGTTATCTGACGCCGAACCCATACGGTCAACATCGGGTTAAATGAAGGCTTGCCAGCGGTGTCGTGAGCACGCCGGCATATAATCATGATTTGCAGTGGAATAAGCAGCGATGGGTGATTATTCAAGTCAATTGCTGCCGGAATAAATGCTTATGCCAGGTTATTATACAGCATAATGTTTCAACCACTTGCCAGGAGCTTCCCAGCATACAACATGCGGGCACGTCACTTTCATATTGGAGAGCCACAAGAGGCTGTACTTCTCGAAAGGGGCGTCAATGACACGACTATGTACTATCAAATCAATATACCACACAGAGCAAGACATGGCGCGATATGAACTCCCGCAGCAACCAGAGTCAACCCCAGATCTCCGCGAATCGTATCGCCTCACACCCAATCAACCAATACAGATCCCCGAGTCTGAAACCCGATTAGTATATGCGCTTGGTGCATATGCATGCGCCTGCGGCGACTAGACCCCAAGATATGTCTTTTTATGTAAACAGCCCTTTGTTCCACCCAACCCAATGTATCCCGAATGCCTTTTGGCTGTATGCATTATAATATATGTAGGTGGTGAGATATATGACCAGCCAGATAGATGCAGAATGTTAAAGAGAGGCGGGCGAGCAGCACGTTGTTCACAACTGACCCGACAACAGCGCTTCGGTTGCTGATGATAGCGTTAGCAAGTATTCAGTCATGTGGCATGGAAACACATACCGTTATTGATGTATGCCCGCCTCGAGTCAAGAGGCACGTTGAACCGTCTCTCCAACTCTTGCTTGATACCCTTCTTAGTGACGGTCATCAAATCAGCTGTCCGCAAGATCTCACGGATCTCGGCAAGCAGGGCGTCGTCGCTGGGCATGCCCGTCAGGCTAGTCATCTCGACCTCTCCCTGGTTTCCGAAGAACTGGGATCCGCCAAACTGGCTCATCCTGTTCTCGGTGGGAGCGAATGACATACGGCTGAAGTTGCCAGGTCCCGTGGTGTCATACGGCGGAACAACGCCAACAGTTGAGCCGGCACGTGATGGCGAGTAGTACTCGGATACGGCGACGTTCATGCCCGGCTTCGTCGCGTAACTGTAGCCGCTTATCTCAGAGTGGGTATCCTCTTTGGAAGTTTGAGCATCCCACAGCTCGGTCTGGTACTCCTCCCACTTCTTGCGCGGTATCGATGCAGGATCAAACTTGCCCTCGTCCGAGACAACAACCTTCTTGCCCCTCTCGCCGGCAACCACACGGGTGTTGCCCCAGTTGAAGTCGTCCATGTGCCAGAAAGAGTAAAGAGGCAGGCCGAAGGAGAAGACGGGAATGGCTATGATATACAGGATCATCCAGCCCACCATCTCCCACTTCCTACGCACGATGAAGATGATGGCCTGGAGCCCATAAATGGCACCAAGCATGATGAAAGACGTGACTGGTACCACTGTGGCTGCTGTGCTGACGAGCACGATGAGGTATATGATGTACGCAATCACGACGGGTTGCACGACAGTCGACAACAAGTCGACGAACACAATGAAGCGCATGCTGAAGCAGCAGAAACCGCAGAGCTGCTCCATCGGGACGAGTTCGATGAGGTTGTGTACTGTAGAGTTGATCCATCGACGACGCTGCGACATGAACACGGCCCACGTATCTGGTGCGATGGTGAACGCATGAGCACGGAACAGATATTTCGTCTTGTACTTGTTGTGGTACTTGAGGAGGAGTGTCGTCAGGTAACGATCCTCTCCCAAGTGGAGCAAGTTCTTCATGTGCAAGGTGTCGACACGAATGGTCGAGTAGTCGTCCACAATCTCACGACTGACGAAGAGCGGCTTGCCCGAGTCGGCGGCGCGAAGACGGTACATGGAGAAACATCCGGGTAAACAGGTGACACTACCAAACAAGCTCTCGAAAGCCTTGACCAGGTTGTGCGAGATGTAGTACTCGTACACCTGAATCATGGTAATGAACGAAGACTTGGAGTTGGTCAAGGCTGTCTCACCACAGCAGGCGATCAGCCGCGTGTCGTCGATGAACGCAGAGACCATGCGTGTGGCCGAGTCCGCAGCAACGACCGTGTCAGCGTCGATCTGCAGCATAAATTCGTAGAAGGTCGGATTGACACCAATGATGTTCCGGATTTGGTGATACATTTCCAGCTCGAGGGGACTCATAGCCAGGTTGTAGTGTACACGGTTGAGGAAGCGCATGGTGACCATCTGGGAATCTCGCTTGCCACGGTTGCCAGGACGGGAGACTTCAGACGGCTTACCGACCTTGACCACGACCATGAAGGGGACGATGTGACCTTGAACCTCGTACAGACCGGAGTAGACCTTGCCCATGTTGTGTTGCTTGAGACCCTCACCCAGAGATTCGAAGCTGAGCGGCTCGGGGTCAACAGTCTCTGATACACCGAGAATATCAAGAACAATGCGTGGCGTTGGTCGATCGTTACCCTGTCCGATGATCATACCATCACAGATAATGACGAGCAGTTTGCGCTTGTCGTCATATCGCATTCGGGCGGCTGAGTCAATGGCACGGCGAAGGGAATCCTCGTCCTCGGTATACGCTGGGATCTGACACATGATGAACTTGTCGATGTTCTCCGGAACATTCTTGCCTCCAAACTGAAGAGCAGCAAGGAACTTGACACCGATGATGGTGACAAGGATGATAGAGACGGCAAGAATGAGGTATTGAGAGAACTGACACCTCACCGAGTTGCGCGTGTCGACGTCGCCAACATAGAAGAGATTGTCCAGACAGAGTTGCATACGCTGGCGCAGGCCAGAGTCCATGGCAAGAGCATTCCACAGCTTGGTCACGTCCGACCCAGCCTTCATGGTGAAGAGGTTCACAACGAGATCATCCATGAAGTTTGTGACGTCGGGGTCAGTCGGTTCAGCTACACCCTCGGGGGTACGGACATGGCGGCCGCCAAGGTTGTACTTGGTCATGTCGTAGACACGACCATTGAGAATAGCGATCTGGTTCTTCTTGTCGCCGAGGGTGGCGACATATTCTGGCGAGTATCCTACGTTTCCCTTCTTCCAGCTGCTCTTGAGTTCCTCCATCTTCTCATAGAACCAATCAGGCTGAGGCTTCGTGGTGAAGTAGCGGAAGTCGTGGTAGACAGAGTTGGTATCCTGGCTGCTGACAACACTGGCCGAACCAGTGACGTTTGTCGACTTGTAGTCCAGCGTGACGGCGGGATCGACCTGCCCGTTCTTGCCCTGGCAGAGAGCCGATACCTGGACGGGGAACAAGGCCGTGATATCCAGCCCGGCATACTGCGTAATTGACTTGGTGGGCAAGTACGGTGGGTAATGGACAGAAGCAAACTCTCCAATGTCGAAGACCTGGCCGCGAATTGAGGCATAGGACGAAGCTCCGTCTTTGCCATTGTAGGATGTCAGCTCCGCTGAACTGAAGACGTATTGTTTGGGACATATGACCATTGGAAAGCCTACGATGAAGAAGGCCGCGAACAGACAAAAAAACCAGATGATGAAATTGATGGCCAGCTTCTCCCGCCAGGCCTGTCGTATATCCTTGCGAGGCATGCGGCCCAACCACCGGATCAAGAAGTCGGGAACGAACCAAGTCAGGAGCATTGTGATAAAAACCCAACGTTTGCGGCTCGAACTGTCCCGGTATTCCTCGACCTCGACTAGTGATTTTTCGTTTCCACGCTCGGCCATTTGTTCCCGAGTGTCGAGATTTTTGAACATATCACCAGCACCAAAGGCGGAGACCCCGGCTTCAGAGCGTGCATCAGCATCCCCAGCACCGAAATACCCCAATCGGGCTTTGTCGCTGTACTGAGGAGTGTTGCCAAGTGAACTGAGGTGCTCTCTAGAAGCGAAGGGGTTCTCGCCAGCGGGCGTGAGGCCGTCCCCAACGTCCGAGTTGTACCGTCCAGATATTGAGGTACCAGCACCTAGCGAGGAGATCTCCATCCAACACCGCTCACTCAGGAAGACACCCGTGGAGCCGATATGAACCTCGTTGGATGGCCACTGTTTGCTCTGGATAAGGGCTTCGGCTTTCTCTCGCTCGCTTCCAACGATGAGTGCTTCAGCATCCGCAAGACCTAGAAACTCGCCAAATGGCAGGAACAGACTGAAGTCGGCTGATCTCAATCGTTGACTTATCTCTGCAATACCAAAGGTTTGCACCTGTGATCGAACGCATTTACTGTCAAATTGGTTCGCGATCCGTCTGTCGTTGGGTTTCAGACAGAAAACGAAATAATTGTTGGTGTTGGGGGCAGTGATCGCTTGCTTGACATTCTCCAAGGCAGACAAGAACTGGCCGGATGCGCCCTGCTCAGATTGACGCGAGCTCTTCCTGGGTTCATCTGATGAGCGGCCCTTTTCATGCAGGTCTCCAGCATCACTAGCAAAGTCATCAACAGATTCTTGGTGACGGGGCCTTCGGGAGCGAGCCGTGCGTCCGTTCTTTCTCGACATTACACTGGGTGCTCTCATAGGCTTCGAGCTGACGGAAGCTTGCATCACGGTAGTTTTCTCTTGCGGGTGCATGACAGCCTGCAGGGCTTCTTGACCGAAAAGGCGCGTGACGAATTCGCTCTTGCTGGAGTTGATCAGGTTCATGAGATCACCTGATATGACCTCGCCATTCTCCTCCACAAGCCCCTTCGTGGGATAGTCGACCTCGCCAGCGAAGTGCTTGACGGTGAAGGTGGCTGCCGTGTTCTCAGACAAGAAGTTACTGCCGGGAAGTCGGGCTGTTGCCGAACCAACATTAATGGCAGGGTTCTTGCCTTCGAACCGCTTCCTCAGGCTCTCCAAAAGCTGTGGATCGCTTCGATGGCGCCGAGTCTGATCGTCGAGGATGCTGAGCAAACCATTGCCGGGCTTCAACAACCCCTTCACAGCGTCGGAATTGTCGAAGTAGCTGGTAGCAGGGACAGCAACTTCTTCATTGTCCAACAGATCAGCTTTTCGGTCAAAGAAGTTCTGCAATGTCATGTTATACAGAGTTTCAGTGGCAGCGTTATTGAGGAGTTGGTCAAGAGCGGACCCGGTCGAAGACTGCTGTGAGAAACCGGGAAAGTCGATGATGTTGATGGTGTTGGCAATGGACTCTTCCGGAGCACATATCTTCTGGTTGATGTTTTCGATCATGTACGCCACGAGAAGCGAGTATAATGTTCTTGCTAGTTCATCGGCATTGGCGCGAGCTCCTTTGGGATCCAGCATGACGGTGACCCTCTCGCGGTGGATCATCTTCGTCTTGTAACCCATTGTGGTCTGAAGGTCTTGCGAGCTGACCCCCAAGAAGGCGGCGATTATACCCAGTACATCCTTGTTCTTGGCAGCCGTGATGGTCTGGCCGCCTTCGTGAGAGAACCCACCGCTATCATCTCCAGTAGACAACGTTTGGGAAGTGGTCTCGAATTCCAGCTGCCCGATATGAAGAATGCAAGCCAGGATTTGGCAAATCTCGGCGATCTCACCTCGAGGAAACTCGAGCTTTCGCAGGGCGGTCTTGAACAACTGGAAACCTTCGGCATCGTTCATTCCGACCTTGAGCTGCGTAGGATGACCCAAATATTTCCAGCGTCTCTGTCCGGCGTCATCCTTGGGCGTATCAATGCCCAGATGAGTCTTCTCAGCCTCGCTGGTTCCCGCGAGCAGGTAGTAGAGCACATGGAAGTTACGCTCTCCTGTGGGTACATCTGCTATTCTGCTTCTCTCCAACCGATGGTCCAGTAACTTTCCACCGATCAACAAGGGGTTTGTGGTCGACGCAGTGTCGTATTGAAGTTCGTAAAAGAGACCAGCCTTCGAAGCGGTCGGTGTCGTTGCCGTCTTCGTCGTGGTCAGAGAATCAAAAACGTAGGCGCCCAGAGAGACCTTGGTGGATAGCGGCGTCGAGGACTTGTTCAGGAGCGACGTCAGGAGATGTGATCGAATGGTTGTCTTTCCAGAGCCAGATTCACCCCTGCAAAATGCAAGTCAGTTTCTTCTCTGGCACAACAAGTGGTCAACGTCACATCAACTTACAAGAAGATGACGGCCTGGTTTTCTGAACGGTGTCCTAATCGCAGGAAGGCCCTCTCGGCCATGTCTTCGGCGCCAGCCATGGCGCTGCCTTCCTTGCCCCCATCCAAGCCCTTGGACGAAGATGTATAGGTGTTGAGGGAAACGAGGGCATGGGACGAGAGGCGGGCGGTGGGAATGGACACATGGAAACGACTGGCCAGGTGTGCGGTCAGGTGAGTGTCGGATTGAAGATGGGCTGGCAGCGATGGCAACGAAGGCTGGGTATGGGCGCCTCCGCCGCCTCCCATCGGGGGGAGGTTTAGAGCCATGTTGAGGAGCAAGCCAACAGGCTCGGTATCTCGAAAGACGACTCAATCAGGGCTGGCTTGATTCGTATATACAGGATTGGAGAGCGATTTCGGGTTGAGTCAAGTCGAGCAATTCCTCGATGGGATGGCGGTTGTTCAGGTCCGACCCCTGACTGTGATGCTGATGCTGATGGAGATGGTGATAGTCTGACGGTCACTCGTCCAGTCTAGAATTAAGCGGACGATGCCGCAGCGAATGTACACGAGATAGATACAGAAACGAACGTAACGATAGATGCAATGAAAACGGGAGGAGGGAAAGCGAGCGAGCGAAGCAGAAAGGCTAAAGCGAGGCTTTCTCGACGGTTGTATCGAACAGGTGTGCTGGGTCCGTAAGGTGTAGCAGCTGGGGGAGAATAGGGACCCGGGACCGCAGTCGGGTGCTCTCTGCCAGCCCGTGGATGGGGTTTACTGGGTTTGCTTGGGGGTTTATTTTTGATCCCGTCGTTCGGGTAGGTATAGGTACCTACTCGCATGGGGTCCGCACCCGCCGTGATGAGCCACACACCCGACAGTCTGCTCGCCCTCCAGCACATACAAAATCCGCTATTGGAGTCGGCTTGTGCTTTTAGGGCCACCCGGCAGCGAGGATCCATCCCCATCAAGTTAGTAAGTACCTGCATACTTGTACTGTAGGTAGTGAATAAATCAATCATCATGGACCACTCGGGATTTTGATATTCATGCGGATGGGCGGGTGGGTCATGGCTAGCAGCCTATCATCGATGCTCCCAATGCTCTCCCATCCCGTCAGCTCGTGTCCAGTACTATCCCACTGTGTACGGTACCGATCAAGGGTACACGAGAAGGACACAAACCCATGGATTCTCCTACACAGCGGCAGAGGCGGTCGATTGAAGAGAAAATCCCTACCTCGTATCCCGGGACAGCTGTCCGGATGTAATAAGACTACTACATTTATGATCTGGAGATTCAACCCAAGAGTCAAGACTCACAGACACCAACCAATGCGTGCACACACCCTACCCTGGACAACGACAGCAGCATGCGCTCAGGGGTTGACAAATGATCGTCCATGCAGCCCGTACAGCCCGTATTCATAATGGCGCCTCGCAATAGGTAAGTAAACAACACATCTGTTGCTACCGTGCTTCCCGTAGCTGTGGTAATCAACGCGAGTGTTTCGATCATCCAGAGAGAGAGAGAGGGACACCTCCTATTTCATTTTATGCACATATCGCACATTGATTTGCATTCTGGCGAATAGATTTTCGACGCCATCGCCTTGAACAGGCAAAGGGCTGACAACTTATCGTCGATCGGCGGAGGCGAAAACGACGGTTGGTTGCTTTTGATTGCAGATCCGGCTTGCATGGTGACAATCGGACCCAGCTGCCACTGTGTGAGCCATCGTTCATGGTGGTTTCGTTTGCCAGTGATGAGCTGTAGCTGTAGCTGTAGCTGTAGCTGTAGCTGTGGCTGGCGGCTGTGGCTGGCGGCTGGCCTGATCGATGCATCCAGCACAGCACTGGATGGAAGATACAGAGTTTTCTGGGCTCTACCAGTATGTCTGTTGTGTCTTCACTTGAAGCCACACTGCCACAGTATGTACTAGGTTGGGTAGTAGGCTCAGGGGCGGTTCAATGTTGGTGTGACTTAGCAACGGGGAGGCTGCAGAAACCTAACCTAGGTAGGTAGTTGCTGACGGGAGACATCCTGAATCCATGTGGCTACACGAGAAAACGGAAGATGGAAGATGGAAGATGGAAGATGACCGAGAGCTGCAGCGAATGGTGTTGCCATCGAGTTAATGTTGTCGGCGACTCACATGCATGTTGGTCCCGTCCTGTTGAGTTTTGACATCCATGATTGGAGTGACAGAGGGACCACGGCTGCCGGGCTTTGGTCCTCCCTAAAAATAGAGTTACACAGGAGCCGAGGGCTGCATCCCATTCCCTGCTGCCCTGATCCCGAGTGCGGGTTGTGCAACTTGTGCTGCGTCGTGCGAGCCTCCAAGCAGGGAAATGGCTGTCGACAACAAGGGTTCACCACCTTTATGTGCTACAACCGGATACAACACACTGTGATAGAATAATCTTCAGTTCTCAGCTGTAGGTGGTCGCATGATAGATATTAGAGATGCTCTCGTATTAAATGGCTGACACTAATAGCAGCCCGGTGGTGCCGTCGTGGGGGGCGTGGCAGTGATACCGCGGCTGGAGCAGGGCGTAAATACTAAAAAGGGGAGGAGTGGCGCAGTCAAGGTTGGTGTACTCAAAGGCCGTCGACCGGACCATCGACCACCGGCCACAGCGCTTGGGAGCTAGCGCTGAGACGGCTCCAAGCCGAGATCCAAGTCCCCACTGTCCCACTGTCTCGATGCTGAGGTCTCCATTTCGCCTTTCGCCGCTTCGTATTCCTGTCCTCCTTCCTCTCCGTGCTCCTTGCACGCGCCGGATATAGTACTCGTCTCGTGTTGATTTGAAGGGCAGCTTGAAAATCACATTGCACACATGGATGCATTCACGATCATGGTCAGGTCACCCCATAGAAGTAATATCCCTTCAGAGTCGCGGAACCACCAAGGAATATCAACATGCTGATATTCGAAAGAAGTCCCCTGGATTTGATTAGGTACAATGTACCGACACAGATCTCATATGAAAAGGGTCGCCCTGTTTTTACTAGGACCAAGTGGTGATAACTTCAAGGGTCGGCACCGCCCTGTAGGCTGTGAGGAGTGCTAGAGTCATGGATCTCAGCATGAAATTTCGCGCACAGTCAGGGGCGAGAAAAAAGCAGATCGAGACTAAGCCAGGTCGGGGCATGGACATTGTAGCCATGCTCATGCATAACAGCCCCTTCGGGATAGTCATTGTCGTGTCTGCTTTCTCCCGCCTGTGGCGGCATTGGCCCGGCCTGGTGCGACTCGACGATCACTCTCTGCTTCTCATCCTCTCCGGCTTCTTGTCTCACCTCCAATATTTCCTATCTTTCTAATTCACAGCCGCCTCACTCGCTTTGGTGGTCTCTAATTCTCTATCGTTTTCTTAATCAGCAGGCGGTATCTTCTTGCACCACATCTTGGATAGAGGATAGGAGGTGGATGAAGGACAGTAGAACCCGTCGACTTGCCCTCTAAATTGTCTTCGAAACCTTACCATCACTGTACATATCCGATACACGATCGCTCTCTGTCCAAGTCGCGCCCGCCTGCAACCGACGGTCCGATCGTAGGGAATATTCGACTCGACCATCCCGTCCGAGCCTGTCAACACCAACGCTCTGGTGTTTCCTCTGGAGAAGGAACCGAGCAGAGGCTCGTCCACCGTCGTGATTGTCCGAAAGGACACCACGCTTCTATCGAATTCATCATGGCGAACCAACAAGCTCGAATGTCCATGTACTCGGTGGCCTCCGAATCTTTCAACGGCCCTCGGGGTGCTGGACAACAAGCATCCCAAGTCTCAACCACAACGCTCCTGAATGGGATACATAACATCTATCTATCATCGCAACCCTATCAATTAGATGCCGGGACCAGCCTCGCCGTCAACACATGGCTCACGGCTACCCAGGCCGGCCCCGATGGTAGGTTGGGAGGAACAGTAGATGCTGCTCTGGCCGCCCGAGCTTGGGAGCATGCCCGGCGCCGAGCAGAAGATGGATGCATTATTCTAGGGTAAGCCGACCTGTCCGTGACCGCGCAATTAAGGGACGTGATGTTGACCGTGATAGATCTCTGCACACGTCGACACCTTCTCTCCTCGCCCCATTCCTCTCATCCATACCTCTCTCGATCCCTTCGACACTGCTCACCGCCCTCGAGGTGATCAAGCCCTTCGTTCAATGTGTGACGCCATACAACCCGGCTACACCACGTCAAGCTGCTCTTGGAGTGACCCTGACGCTTAACCTTGCCGGGAACCTGACGGCCGCGAAGCTGGCCTTGTCACAAGGAGGAATTGACACGGAAAAGGGACTGCTCAATATCCCAGCCGAAGCTGGGTACCGTGCGTTCGACGTATTCTATTACCTCCTGACCTCCGCTTCAACACCAGCGGAGCGCGAGTTCTTGAGCCTCATGTCTGCAGCCAACTATTCGTTGTTGGCCAGATCCGGCACCTACGATCCTCCTTCCTACCTACCCACCGCTGACGATGCCGCATCGGCCGATGACTTCAGAAAAGCTTTGAAAGAAATCGGCATCAAGGGTTCGTCTCACCGAAACTTTATATCGACACTTGCTGGTCTCCTGAAGCTTGGCAACACATTGGATTACGATGTCGACGGTGACACCTTGGACGATACCTGTGAGGATGTGGGCGGACTCCTTGGGCTTGATCCCGAGGTTCTCGCAAGGCAATGCACCACCGAAGACCGACAGACCTTGGTCGGCGGGCTTTATGAGGCCCTTGTTGACTGGGTCATCACCAAAGCCAACCAGTCAATCTCAGCTCAGATGTCGCGCATTCGGGAGGGAGAGGAGTCACTCGACGGGTACAGAACCCCGACGGCAAGCGAAGATGCTGGCGACACTGTGTGCATTACCGTCGTTGAAGTACCCGAACCGAACCTTGGCAAGGCTCTGGCAATGCGTGGCATCTTCGACGATAGTCTGGGAATCAACGCTGAAATGATAGAGGACGGTGTGGACGTTGTCGCTGTGGGAAGTTCAGTCCAGCGGGAGCTGCAAAATGCCGTGGCGGAAGCTGCACCTGACCTGGGCATAATGACTGGCCCAGTTGCTCGAGCGCAGCAGCACGAACTCGAGAAGAGGGAGGTTGTTCTGGAAAGGATCGGCTTCGCCGGGGAGGACGATGGGTTCCTGAAGAAACTACTTTTTCCTATTCAGGGTGAGGGTATCAACCTGGGCCGGAACGCAAGGATGGACCTCCCCTCGATTCTCAGCACCAGCCGCGTCTGGTACCACTTGTCGCTCCATCCGACGGACGAGTCCCCAGCTAGTCTTGCAGCTTTGCCTTCAGTAACCTCGGCGTGGTCAGCCGGCACCGTGTCTCGCCAGTTGCGTACCTGGCGATTGCCGGAATGGGCCAACCGACGCAACAAGAACCTGGACTTCACAGCTGATTTCGATCTTGATGAGTTCACGCAGCGTTTCGCGCCGCTTGGCTGTGGCGAAGGCCGGGATGGAATTGAGTCCTGGCTACTCGAGCGAGGTTGGAGCAACGGTGAAGTCGTGGTAGGCAAAGAGCGAGTTTGGATGCGGGAGACTGCCTGGTGGGAAGCCGAGAGCATGCTTGATATCAAACCTGAACAAGGCAACACCACCGGCATTAACAACCCATTTGCAACCCCCGGTCGCGAATCAGCCTACGTCCACAACGGCAGCGGTTTCTTCGCTCCCCAGTTCCCTGACCAGGGGTCGAATAACAGCCGGGAGACACTCATGAACCACCAACGCAATCAGAGCCAACTCACCTTCGCCCAGAGTCAAGCCAGGGCACCTTCAATGAGCCCCTCCGCGATGCGTAAAATGCAAACGGGTGACTATGGATTGGGCCACAAGGGAGACACCCATCGCGACCAAGTTTACTACACTAGCGAGGGCGACTTCATCAACAATCTGGATGCCGACGACGCCCAAGGCAAACATGTCGAGACTCAAGAGGTCGAGTTCAGCCGCCGTCTGTGGGTTGCCATCGTCTGGACTCTGACTTTCTGGATTCCTTCTTTCGCTCTCCGCTACATCGGCAGGATGAAGCGTCCAGATGTGCGGATGGCCTGGCGAGAAAAGTTCGTGCTGGTGTTCTTCATTTTTCTCATCAACGCTTTCATCATCTTCTGGATCATCTTCTTCGGGCGGCTGCTCTGCCCCAATTTCGACAAGGCATGGGCACAGGACGAAGTCAGCACGCACATGGGTGAAAACGACTATTGGGTCAGCATCCACGGCAAGGTTTACGACCTGACGAAATTCTGGAGGATTCAGCACAGCGACACTGATACCGAGACTACCAACGATCTGATGATCCAATACGCCGGCATGAACCTAGACGAGTACTTTGTGCCTCCTCTGGTAATCTCATGTCCCGGTCTCGTTACCGACAAGACCCTTCAGCTGCAGAAAAACAATACTCCCACGTTGCCCGAAGGCGTGCACACCTCGGGATACTGGACCGTTGACCCGACTTCTGCGATGGCCTCTGAAACCTGGTATAGTGATACTTTCCAGCCGAAGATCAAGGAGTACTATCATGGAGACCTCGTCTGGGACAAATCGGATGTCGAATCCGACGGGCAGGACAACCAACACATGTGGGTCATCTACGATGGCAAGATATACGACCTCACCGACTACTTCACCACTATAGACTACATGAAGAACATTGCCCTCTACAACTTTCTCGACGACACCATAGTGGATATCGTCAAGGAGAACGCCGGACTAGACGTCACGTCTAAATGGAACGACCACCTGTCAGACACCAGGAGCAACACCACAGCATTTGCTACGGCCTCAAACAGTCTCAACTGCATCCAGCAGACCTTCTACGTCGGCATACCAGATTTTCGCTACTCCGCAAGGTGCCAGACCAATAACTACTTCTTGCTGGCGTTCACCATCATCATCGCCTCGGTCATCGTCGTTAAATTTCTGTCAGCTTTGCAATTCGGCTCCAAGCGACGTCCCGCTCCGCAGGACAAGTTCGTGATTTGTCAAGTCCCGGCCTACACCGAAGGAGAAGATTCGCTTAGAAAAGCACTGGATTCTCTCACTGCTCTGCAATACGACAACAAGAGAAAGCTGATTTGTGTCATCTGTGATGGCATCATCGTCGGTGGTGGTAACGACCGGCCCACCCCCAAGATCGTCCTCGACATCCTAGGGGTTGATCCCAAGGTCGACCCTCCAGCCTTGCCTTTCAAGTCCGTCGGAACCGGCAGTGAGCAGCTCAACTACGGCAAAGTTTATTCTGGTTTATATGAGTTCGAAGGCAACGTCGTGCCTTACCTCGTCGTGGTCAAATGTGGCAAGGAGTCTGAGGCGACCAAGTCGAAGCCTGGTAACCGCGGCAAGCGTGACTCTCAGATCCTGCTGATGAGCTTCCTCAACCGCGTACACCACCGTGCTCCAATGAATCCTCTCGAGCTCGAGATGTTCCATCAGATTAACAACATTATCGGCGTGGACCCTGAGCTGTACGAATATCTCTTCATGGTCGATGCCGATACTTGCGTGCGAGAAGATTCTCTCAATCGTCTTGTTGCTGCCTGTGCCAATAACTCCAAGATTGCCGGAATCTGCGGTGAAACTGCGCTGCAGAACGAGGAACGATCGTGGTGGAGTATGATACAGGTCTACGAGTACTATATCTCCCATCACCTGGCCAAGGCTTTCGAATCGCTATTTGGCAGTGTCACGTGTCTTCCTGGATGGTAAGCTTCATAAAACACCCTCACGACCACCTTTGACCCTCGACTAACATGAAATAGTTTCACGATGTACCGTCTACGAACTTCGGACCGCGGCAAGCCCCTGATTATATCCGACGGGGTCATCAAAGACTACAGTATCTGCAACGTCGACACCCTTCACAAGAAGAATCTGCTGGCACTCGGTGAAGATCGATTCCTGACCACCCTGATGACCAAGTACTTCCCCACCATGTCCTTCAAGTTCATTCCAGACGCGTACTGCCAAACAGCGGCTCCCGAAGAATGGAGCGTCTTGTTGTCCCAGCGAAGAAGATGGATCAACTCGACGGTCCACAACTTGTTCGAGTTGATGATGCTCAAGGACATGTGTGGGTTCTGCTGTTTCTCCATGCGCTTCGTGGTCTTTATCGATCTATTCGGAACGATCATCCTGCCTTCTACGACCATCTATCTTGGCTACATTATCTACCTTCTGGCGAGCCACACTGGTGCAACGCCATGGATCTCACTCGCCATCTTGGCTGGAGTCTACGGTCTGCAGGCGCTCATCTTCATTATCAAGCGGCAATGGCAACACATCGGCTGGATGATTATCTACCTGCTCGCATTGCCCGTCTACTCGTTCATTCTCCCCATCTACTCCTTCTGGAATCAGGACAATTTCACCTGGGGTAACACCCGTATCGTCATTGGAGAGAAGGGTAACAAGCAAGTCGTTGCTGTCGATGACGAGGGCTTTGACCCGCGCTCCATTCCGCTACAACGCTGGGACGACTATGCATCACTGAACAATCTCCCTGGTCGTCGCGGCTACCAGGCTGAAAAGGGCCACGAAGTCTACGACGAGACCTATGAGATGGATGACATGAAATCGGTCTATTCGTCGGTTCGACAACCCTCTGTCCTTACTGGTCTCCAAGGTCATGGTGGATACATGCCACCCCAATCCCCCGCCCCCTTCCAGACCATGACACGGCAGTCTACATACGGGCCCTACACCGACAATCCCATGCACCGACAATCCACCGCCTCATTCGGCGATATCCAACGCATGAACTCGCCTTACTTAGACTCGCCTAATGTTGGTTATAAATCAAGCATGAGCAACTTGCGTGGGGTATCAAACAACTCACCGCACCGCGACATGCACCGGGCCTCCAACACTACGCTTGGTTATTCTGGCGGTGCTCGTCCGGCGTTGGGTCAGGGACACCAATCCACCACTTCCTTTGACTTTCAGAGGGGTAACGTGGGACCTGACGACGGCATGATCATCGAGGCTATCCAAGCTGTGCTTCAAGAAGTCGACCTTGACACGGTAACCAAGAAGCAGGTCCGCGCCCTCGTTGAGCAAAGGCTACAGACAGAGCTTGTGGGCGAGAAGCGAACATTTATGGATCGCCAGATCGATAACGAGCTGGCGAACATGTGATCACATTTCTCGCGTGCTGTCCGGGCTAGAATTTTGGGTGTATATATGCAAGCATCTTCGGATGGGAAGAGGGCTCGGACTAGGGGGGTTTCTGGGCCACAGAAAATATTTCTCTCTTTTAGGCGTTCAACAGATGGACTGGTTGATCATCTGACGGGAATTACCGACCAATCGATGTCCACTCATCGAGTGTGATGCGAGGGGGTATATGTTCGAGGATATAATGCTGCATATTTTCGAGCACCTTTTGGATAAGAGGCTCAAACATTTACCTACCTACCACGTCTGGAGCGGGCATTTTACTATTCACTTTTGGTCTACGGGTATCGTCATCAGTCTCTCCTTTTGCATAGTGCCACCACGTTACATATCACATTATGATAATACAGCGTTTTAACGTAACCGACTCTCGTCTTGCTATGCATTTTATCGTGAATGATGTCTGCTGATGCGATGTATAAAACATACTAATAAAGCACGTGTTAGATAATACATCGAGTGCCTAACAGTCTTCCAATGGTCAACTTGAAAGATTTAGGGGGCCATCATCTCCGCCTCGCCGGCCTAGATGCAAGAAAAATGACTCGGCTTATTGGATGTATTTATGTTTATTTCATACGGCTTTAGCCCTGTCTACACCTCTCTACACGATAACGACAGGGGAGTGCCTTCACTTCAGACATATATAAAGACAGACGCCTTGATTCATTACCAACCAATCCCAGACACCAATGCGCCAATGCGAACCATAAGCCAAAGATCCGCTCTCGCAGAAAGGGGGCAGCAGACACGCTCAAGGCAGAACCAAATCATCAACCCCGCTCACTCGTGCACTTCACCGGATGTTACCCACGCCCTTGAGTCGCAGGTACACATCCGTCCCCCAGCCATAGAGGCTTTGCACGGCAATGCCACCCCCAAAGTACTCGGCGTACGCGCGACTGAGCGGCAGCCCGTATCCCAAACCAGCGATGGAGCTACCGCCCCCGCTGGCCGCCGATATGACGCCCAGAGCATCCTGTCCGCCAGCACTTCCTCCACCACCCCCAGATGACATGGACATCATGTCGTCCATGTCGTCGTCGCTGAACGTGGTGAAGCTATAACTCCAAATGTGAGGCAGAACCTCTGGGGCGATGCCGCCGCCGCGGTCACGGATCCGTATCGTCACCCCCGGGGCGTTATCGTCGAGGGGCTTGATAGCATCACCGCGGAAAGCGCCCATGTTCTCTGCGGGTGGGTTGAGAGTGAGACGAGGAGGGCCGACATCGGGAGGTTCCGGCGCAATGGTGATAACGATGGGCTCGCGGCTTTCGTAATCGTCATTATAGGAGCCGCGGGTATATGTGTTCTCCACAGTGGCGCGGAAGGCGTTCTTGAGGAGCTCCGTGACGATGTACTCGAGATGCATGGGCACAAAGGCAAATGTGGTCAAGGGCTCGCCGTCGATGATCCACCGCGGACGCACGCCGTACTTAAGCTCGCAGATGTCGGCCACGAAGCCTGCGCAAGAGTCAACAATGGCAGCAGGCGAGAGCGCCGTGTCGATAACGCCGATATAGCTCGGGTGTTCGGGACACGGCGTCGGCGAGGCGCCTGGGTCGAAGTGCGGTATGCTACTGTAGTGCAGGGCGATGTGCTGCTCGGCGATCAGGCGGGTTCCAATACGCGTGCGCAGGTGCGTGTCCAGGAAACGCGTCACCTCGGCCGGGCTGATATACCGGCGGCACTCGAGGAAGCCCTTGGCAAGAATGGGGATCGTATCCTGGTGTGTAGCTACCAGCTCGGCCAGGACTGATGTAAAGCGGATCTCGGCGTCGATGTTCGAGATGGTGCGGTGCTTCCAAGGGAGCAGGGTCGACAGCGAGTGCAGGTAGTTGTTGTAGATCTTGCTGATGTTTGGATTCGAGACCACGATGAAGGGCAGGTTGCGCAGCGCTTGGATGCGGTGAGCTAGCCGGATGGGCAACAGCGAGAGGGTGAAGTTCGCCGAGGTGAAGAGGGCTTCCTCGGGGAGCGGCGGACGGCCGTGCCTGCAAGCAATTGACCGCTGTTAGTCCATTGAAGGGTATTTGTCTAGGAATCTGGCTGCATGGCGGTGGGCCTCAAAAGTTCGCGGTTGCACTGGCAATGTTCGGAAGGGGAACAGGTGGAATTACTTGACAAGATCAGCCAGATTCAGCGCATATTGGGGCTTGTTGGTGAGGTCCGCGATCTCTTCATCCGTCACCGTGGCCGTGCTGGGCGGATGGGACCATTTCTGGCTGGGTGAAGAGCTGTCCGACTCAGCAAGCGACGAGGAGAGCGTCCTTCTCTGGGCAATACATCTCGTAGATATAGATGTAGACAGGGGAAGGCGAGCAACTGAGGCGATTGAGGCGATTGAGCGAGCATTGGGCGTGTACAAACACCGCAATGGGCTGTGTATTCTTCTCATGGCGGCATCGTGTGGTGTTCTGGCGGTGAAGAGGAACGTGGGACGAGCAAGACTGGCCAGAGGACGAATTGGAGTCATACGTTTTTCTGCTTGGAGTCACGAGCTCACAACCACAAATATGCAGTTGGTGTTGGAGCTGGTCGCGCTGTCTACGGGATAACATCTTATCGGAGCTAAATGGGCAGTTCGTGGAGCCGATTCTAGACTGTTTAACTGCATAGTCGGAAACTTATTGCTGTATGCAGTACTACAAACAGCCTTATCTCTGTAGCTAGGCGTAGCTGGTCCGCCGGGGTTCCGTGCTGCTTTCAATGTTCGGTTACCTAAGAGATGGAGGGAGGTCGACTCAAGAAGACGACCTATCTTAAAGATGCGAACGCAAGAGGAGAGGTTAGATTCGGACTTCATAAATTGAGAGAAAGCTCCATGGGACAACTGGACAGGTCGTGTCCGAGTCCAAGATGTCTAAGTCGGCTCTCCGCCTGTGCTTCTGACAGCCCCGCAATGCCATTCTACCCCTCATCACGACCGTCCACCCTGAGGTAGGCAGGCCGTGATAATGCAACTACTGTATCGTGTCATCTGTATTGGAACGGTCTATTGCGTCTTCATCTCCTTGTCCTCCTCGACTGCCTCGACGTGCTCATGCGACTCCATCGTGCTGACAGAATCCTTGGGAAATGATACACTGGTGGTGGACACGTACAGTGAGCGGGGTACAGTCGTGGTGGAGGCAGAGCCGAGGGGCAGCTCGCCGGCGAGACGTCGACTTACGAGAAGCCCTTGATCAGCTTGTATTCGTGGCCGATCTTGCCACCCTGGTCCTCAGCGTGCTTCTTCGCCGCGGCCACCTGGTCGTCGGTGGCATCCTTCTTGCAGGTAACCTGGTTTATCATACAATCAGCGTCCTACACTGGAGTGATGGTGGCATACGGGGAGGATCGTACGATGTAGGAAGGCATTCTGATGGAGAGTGTGGTTTGGAATAGACGTCTAGATGGTCTTTGGCTGTAGGTACGAAGGAGGGATTCTCGAGAGTGGTTGTTGTAGATTAGACAAGTAGTAGAACGTCCGAGTTGGTGGAGAGGATTGGGAGAGGACATGTGAATTTAAAGAGCAGATTCCCGTCATGAAACACAAGGTTGCGGCCAGCCTACCAAACTATCGCAGCTGACCTTACCATAGGCAGTTACTCACTAGCCTTCCAGCGCAACGGAACGAGAGATAGGCGTCGGGTGTTGGGTGTTTGTTTGGAGATGGGAGTACGTCATGTCCAGCCGCAGGAGACGCCATTCCACTCAACTCATTGGATTATCCCCATCGCCCATCTGCGTGTGACCTGCTTGTATGCCCACAGCCCACTTCTCGCGGTCTAGCGTCTCGGAGTATTCGATAACAGACATCCAGAACATCTAGAACAATCAAGTTTCTTGATTCACCACCTTGGAAGTTACGTATGCCCGGCTCGCACCGAACTGTCCATGGATGTGATGACATCCCAGCCTGCCGTATCAGCAGCCAAATACCTAACGGTACCTCGTCGTAAAGCCGCTGCTAACCTCCACATTCCGCGGCCTACCTATCTGCATCTGCAATCAGCCGTGCCCATCTGTCTGTGAGCTAGCCTAGGCAGGTAGAGGCCAGGTGGCAGGGGGCGTTCGTTGCCCCATCTTATACCCCACTTTGTGAATGCTCCCCACATGTTGATGCTGTGCCTTGTGGTAGCGGTATTCAGAATAAGGACCAGGGTCACGATAGGTGGCTATTGGTCTGTATTCTGGAAGTTGCTTGATTGAAAGAAGGGATGGGTGGTGTCCCCATCCCAGAAGTAGCTATCATCCCAGTTGGGTACGAATCTGGTACAAACGGGTACCAGTTGGGCTCCAAGGTACCTTGTACCCTGGTCCGTGACCCATCCGTCATTGTGGCTGGAAAATGGGTTGAGGAGCCACAATGCCACCCCACTCACTGCATGTGGCGCGCTACTGCTTATCAACGTTATCGATAAAGAATATTGTCTAAATCTCGCCTTACTTTTTTCTGATGGCCGCGAGAAGAAGTCGACAACAGCTGCTCTCGGTACGGCAGCCTGTACATACGGATTAGCATTATCTGCCATCATGGAGGAACAGTCGCATAAACCTCATCGCAAGTCCAAGGAGAAGAAGAAGCAGGTCGGCGGTATGTTGAGTCCTCGCCCGACAGTTCCAGCCTCTCCAACTAACTGACCTAACCAGATCGCAATCCCAAAGCGTTCGGCTTTGCGTCTGCTGGAAAGCTCCAGAGAGCCGCAGCCAGATCTTCTGATGTACGTTCACCTCGCTTGGTGGCATGCAGGACCCGTCTCTGACATTGCTGTGGTTTTAGATCCGCGAAAAACGATTGCACGTCCCATTAGCCGATCGAAGTCCCGATGTCGAACCTCCTCCAAGATTGGTCACCATTGTGTAGGCAACATGGCAACGCTTTGCTTTGGAACCTATTGGCTTACATACGATAGAGGCCCACCTGGCGTCGGAAAGACAACCCTCATGAAGTCTCTCATTCGTCGATATACCAAGGAGAGCATCACAGATCCTCAGGGCCCAATTACCGTCGTAACATCTCGCAAGCAGAGACTCACCTTCTTGGAATGTCCCAATGAGCTCGAGGCCATGGTGGATATCGCCAAGGTGGCTGACATAGTCCTCCTCATGATCGATGGAAACTACGGATTCGAGGTACGAGCATCTGGATCATCTCGTATTAGCCATCTGCTAACTCTTTGACTGGAAATAGATGGAGACGATGGAATTGTAAAGACACCCCCCCTATTGATGGAATGTTGTGCTGACAAGCCTTCCAGTCTTAATATCCTCAGCGCTACTGGCATGCCGGGTAATGTCTTTGGAATATTGACACATCTGGACTTCATTCGCAAGCCACAGGTGCGTATTCACCTTTGAAACATAGTCGGCCTTTCCGCATACTAACCCATGCCCAGCAACTGAAAGATGCCAAGAAACGGTTAAAACACAGGCTCTGGAGTGAACTCTACCAAGGCGCGCATCTCTTCTACCTTTCTGGAGTGATGAACGGACGCTATCCAGACCGCGAGATACACAACTTGTCCCGGTTCTTATCGGTGATGAAGAGTCCAAGACCTCTTATTTGGAGGAACACGCACCCCTATGCGGTCGTCGACAGCTTCCGAGATATCACACACCCCACGAAGATCGAGGAAGATGAGAACTGTGATCGATCAATTGTGTTGATGGGCTATCTCAGAGGCACAAATCTCTCGGAAAATCAACGCTGCCATGTTCCCGGCCTCGGAGACTTCAACGTCAAACATATCGAAGTCCTCCCGGACCCCTGTCCCAGCCCTTCGCAACAGGCGCAATTAGATAAGGCCGCCGGGAAGACCGGGAGGAAGAGACTGGACGAGTAAGTCTTACTTCGAGATACTCCTCACATCATGGGCAGAAGACAACTAACACGAACCCAGAAAAGAAAAGAAACTATATGCACCAATGTCTGATCGTAGCGGTTTGAAGATAGACGGAGATACCATTTTCATCACGCGTGAGAAAGGGTTCACCTTCAACAAAGATGTAGACTATGGAGAGCGAGGCATCGGCGAAGAACTCATGATCGGTCTGCAAGCGGAGAGGCGACTGCTTGGTCAGACTGACGATGGCATTGAGCTATTCCGTGGAGGAGACAAGTTGACAAGTGCGCCGGAAGAAGAAGATACGGGACGAAAAAGTCAGCGAAAGGCTAGGGTCGCCGAAAGAGACGAGGGTGAAGATGAAGTGCCGGATGATGAAGGTTTCGTCAGTGGCGACGAAGACCCGAACTCCGACGAAGAAACCGAGTTCAACGAACAAAAGCTCGGTAAAATGTTTCAGGAGGAATCGGACGAGAATCAAGCCGATGGCGACGTTGCATTTGCTGACAGCGACTCGGATTTCGGATCCATATCAGGCGACGAGCCTAATGATGACGAGGATGACTCCGAGGATGATTACGACGACGATGAAGAAGAGGCAGCTATGAAATGGAAAGAAAACCTGACGGAAAAGGCCCAGAAGCTTCATGGCAACCGCCCATCCTATCGAACCGCCGATCTCGCGCGGCTCATGTATGACGAGAAACTGACTGCGGACGAGGTTCTGCGGAGATGGCAAGGGGATATTGAGGCAGCCATCGAAGAAGAAAATATCGAGGATAATTCTGGAGATGAAGATTTCTTCAACAAAGCGAAACAGGAGGAGGAAGACGCGTCGGAGGACCGCTCGATACCTGCATACGACTATGACCAGTTAGCTACCAAGTGGTCCTTGGATGACAACATTGAGCTACTGCGTCAACGCTTTACGACGGCTACATTAAACGGATCCGGCGGCGGCGGCGACGATGATGACGGTTTTGATGGTTTCGATAACGATGATGATGAGGGTGACGGCGAATTCGAAGACCTCGAAACAGGGGAGAAGCACGAGAAGCACGAGAAGCCCACGGCAAAAGAACAGGCAGAAAGCCTCGAAGCGGAACGTGAAAAGAATGCTCGGCGAAAAGAAGAGCTCAAACTCCGGTTCGAGGAAGAAGATCGTGAGGGGTTCGCCAATCCGAAGGCCGCTGCTAGACGCGAAGCAGGAGAAGACGAGGAGTTTGGCGAAGACGACTGGTATGAGGCTCAGAAATCGCTTCTCCAGAAGCAGAAGGACATCAACAACGCCGAGTTCGAGGGTCTAGATGAGCGGCAGAGGATCGCAGTCGAAGGGTTCAAAGCCGGGAAATACGCCAAGATAACCATTGAAGGAGGTCAGTTGTCAGAGTGATCCATCTGCTTCCTGGCTCCATCATTAACCTCAATCCTAATATAGTGCCTGCGGAATTTGTCAACAACTTCAGGACAAGAATACCAATCATTGTCGGTGGACTAGCTGCAACCGAGGATAGGTTTGGTTTCGTCCAAGTCCGCATCAAACGGCATCGTTGGCACAAGAAGATTTTGAAAACCAACGATCCCCTCATATTTTCATTGTACGGAACCTCCCTCGCTCTCCAATCCACGTTAGGCATAACTGACTAGAAATAGGGGGTGGAGGCGCTACCAGACTCTTCCGATCTACAGTATATCCGATTCTCGGACGAGAAATCGCATGTTGAAATATACCCCCGAGCATAGTAAGTCAAGTATTGTCCCCTGTCGACTGTCTCGGTCGGCTTCTGTTAGGGTTGGCTGTGCCAGGTTGTATTGGAGCTCTCAAAGGGGCCTTCGAAATACCATCCATTCACGAACTCGTAGCTAACTGATGACGCTACAGTGCATTGCTTTGCCACCATATTCTCCCCTCTTGTTGCTCCTAACACTGGTTTCACATGTTTCAACTCATTTTCCTCATCTAACCCTGGATTTCGTATCGCTGCCACCGGGACCGTACTTAGCGTCGACGAGTCGGTAGACATCAACAAGAAGTTGAAACTGACCGGAGTACCATACAAGATCTTGTGAGAGACATACAAACTCACCGAGACTGCAACTGAAGCTAACTCTGAAAAGCAAAAACACGGCTTTCATCAAGGACATGTTCAATACCTCTCTTGAGATCGCAAAATTCGAGGTCAGTATACGTCCAGACCCCCCGCCTCTTTGGCCCACTGACCAAGAAATCAGGGTGCTTCGATCAAGACTGTGAGCGGAATTCGTGGACAGATCAAACGTGCCTTGTCGAAGCCCGAGGGTCATTTCCGAGCCACATTTGAGGACAAGATCCTCATGAGTGACCTTGTCTTCCTAAGGGCCTGGTACCCGATCAAGCCTCACCGGTTTTACAACCCTGTCACCAATCTACTAGGGAACTGGCAGCCCATGCGGCTGACTGGTGAAGTCCGTCGTGACCAGAACATCGCCACCCCCCAGGACCGCGATAGCAAATATCATAAGATCGAGCGACCGACTCGGCACTTCAACCCCCTCAAGGTGCCACGCGCTCTCGCCGCGGAGCTACCCTTCAAATCGCAGATCGTCCGAATGAAGCCCCAGAAGCACAAGACGTACATGCAGAAGCGTGCAGTCGTGTTGGGTGGAGAAGAGAAGAAGGCACGGGACCTCATGCAGAAGCTGACGACGATCCGGAAGGAGACGGTGGCCAAGAGGCGGGCTAAGAAAGACGAGAACCGTGCCGCCTACAAGAAGAAGATGGAGGACCAGGGTGAAAAGAAGGAGGCTAGAGAACGCCGGGAGAAGCAGGAGTACTGGCGCAAGGAAGGGAAGAAGAGAAAGGGTGATGGCGAAGGCGGTGGTGGTGGCAAGAGACGGAGGTAGTAAAGCTACCAGCGTCCTACGGGGGTTCGGTTTTTGTGGGTCTATTACCCCTTTTCCCAATTCCCATTTGATGTGGATATGGGAACCATCTGATGATACTTTCAACGGACTGTATAGCGAACCCTGTCAAGACGTCAGACTCGCCGTTGTGCCGGCAGATATTTCTTGTTTCGATTGGTCGATCTCTGGTGATTTGCAGAATCAATGCTGTGACTCGCATGCCCGAAACCGAGATGTCCAAATGTGGGAACCTTCCGATTCGCTGTCGTGGCAGCCGTTCACCAGGAACGGCCAGCCACAGACCAACTACGCAAACGCCGTCCTCACGCCACAGTTCGCTCACATGGGAAGGCAGCGTTAATGACATATCCACGCCATCACATGTACCGTCCCGGCTATTCGCCCCTGTCCAGAGCCTCTTGGTCTGCCTCGCACTGCATTGAGCTGGGCTTGATAGCCCTGCTTCCCGAGCGGGGTCGGATCCGGAGAAGTGCATGGACGAGCGCGAGCATGATGCCCATATCGCCGTTCACTGCAAACGCGCAATGTACTTTACCACAGGACAGTTTGTATGTAAAAGTCGACAGGTCATATCTTCTGCTGATTACCCAGCCGCACGATACCCCTGTCTTTCGTACCGGTGAAGACGCCCTACGAATTAGATTGCTACATCACATGTCATATTCTCAGATCTCGCAGTGGCCCCTTCCCGAGCTTCCATCATCGATCCGACAAAGGGGAATGTGACCTCGACATCGACGCTCTGCAGGCTGTGCGCAGTGGACAGCAGCAGAACGCGGTCCCGGCATCCCACAGCCCGGATCTCAGCCTCCAACCAGCGAGGTTTGATTCGCCAGACGGATGTCCAGAGTGCAGCAAACGGCACGCTGGCCACTCAGGAGACACTACGTTTCATGAATGGAGCAGGAAGCCGAAGGTCAGATTTTCCGGTCACTGTCAGCCAATGACTGGGCGTTGGACAGAAGAATGGTCGATGTTCCCCAACACCGGTACTGTGACTTCTCATGTATCGGTGTCCAAGTAGCAGAGTAGCATAGTTGTGTAGCACGTGGCCTGACTCTATCTGGCAAGCACCAGGCTTCTCAATGACATTGTTTCGAGGAATAGAGATACAGGAATTTAGCTGCTCATAGAACGTCTAGTTGAGTCTATGTAGCAGGTTACATCAGTTGAGTGATGCATCTGCGTGGTCGGCTTGATGTCGACTGCTTCGTGTGCATTTACACCCTATATTCATGCTTTGATAGTCTTATCGAAGTGACACGCATGCACGTCCTTCTACCTCATACCCAAGGCTGAGGCTCTGCTGAGTCGAGAAAGTGACTGCTCACCCGTCATGTACATGGGTTTCAAGAGGACGAAGACACCCACTCAGACAACTGCTTTATTATTCCACTTGTCTTCCGCCCAGGCACTGAGGGACACGGCCAATAACGTCGATACACCAGTTCAGCAGCTGTGGCAATGCCAATCTATCCGAAAGCCACTTCCGCGTTTTCCTTCGGGCCTCTAAACCCGAGGCGGCAGCAGACATGTACCTCCTGCGAGCTCACCGGTTATATCACCGGTGTGGACGATAGGAGCCGTTTGACTCCATTGAGTCCTGGAGGTGGAGATGGAGGTGGAGATGGAGGTGGTTTGGAAGTGGTCTGGATATCAACTGTCTGAGACCGTATAAAGACCGGATCGGCCCTCGAGTGATCATGACAGACCATAACAATTGCCGAAGTTCCTCGTTCAATATCAGACTTTCGTCGGTGCGCTCCACTCATCATTCTCCCGAGGGAATATCGAAAGGCTTTTGAATGCCTAGCTGAAGTTTACCAGGATCACCTTCATTCAATCTCGACGTCCTCTTCCTATTCCCATTCTACACCACGTGAGTTAAGTTCATCTCTCATTTCCATGATCTCGTGCTCGTTGGATATAATAGCACAAGATTTCTTTGTAGACTGATGAGTAGCAGCATTTAGTTTTTCGACGAGTTATCCACCCCTTAGCCGTCGAATCTCCCCTATTACTCCCCACGCACAAGTCCCGATGTCTCGAGTTCCAGACGCACTGTTTATGTGTAAGCATATTTTACCTCTTGTCACTACACGCGTTCTGCCTGCAACATAGGGCACTTGTTCGTGCTGGATCTTAACAGTCATCCAACGACCCGGCTACGAAATGTTTACTAAACCAATGCCTGCCTTGTCTAGCTCGACAATGCCCTTCAGGCATTCCAAACGCTCCATCGATCGATACTACCAGCGCCATGTCTATATACTGCTCGTCGGTCTCTCAGGACAGCTCAGCTCGGCTTCAAGCTCTCTTAGCTCAACAGCAGGTGACTGCAAACGATGACATCAGAGTGGCCGATGATATAACCACCTCAATCACCCCCGCATATCAGTACCAAGAAGAAAATGCTGGGTTCTATCAATATGTTCTGTTCCTCGGTATTGGTGCACACCTCGCTGGTGTATCTATACATCACTACTCGGGCAACAGTCTGGACCTTCTGCACGACAATAAGTCCGGATATCATGGGAGTACATATGAGTCAGTCGCTAGTGCGTTCGAGGACCCTGGGACCATCCTCGCAGCTAATGATGGTCACACCATCTCGTCGATGAGTGTACCTGGAGGCCCGGGGTTAGACACAACGCTGCGGCAGATACAACTCACCTCTGGCACTCACCAAGGGTCTACCACCGAAGACCCTGATCCAACTTCCGGTGTCTTGCTTCTCTGTATTAAGAACCAATTTCATCAGAGAATGTTGGTTCGGCTCCTCATCCTTATCTTGGGCCACCTCCTCGGGGTCGCCATTACGCTCTCAGTGGCAGTAACGCCAGCTCGTCCTCTGAATGCTCTCCCCTCCATCGGGGATGACAGCAGCCCTATCATGTTCGGACAGCTCGCCGCTTCCTTCATCTCGCCATTGCTCTTCACCATCATATCGACTGCAGAGGCGCCGGCTTCCCTTCGAACACGAATGCTCTCTTTCCACTTCGACCTGCTGGTACTTGGTGTCCTGATTTCGATGGTTTCTCTGATCCTCCACGTCCGCTGGCCTGGCGAGTACAGAGCTGCCGATATTACGACCATCGTGAGTGTGATGTTGACCGTCTTGGGTGGGTGGCAGTTTCTGGAGAAATCATGGAAAGAAGTTGATGAGAAGGGACGAAGAACCAGTGATGTTGAGCTCAGAACGTGGGAGGAATGAAGTTCGGCTCGGCGGTCCATCGCGACGATTTAGGCGGAAGGTGGATTGTGCAAGGGCGAAGGGGGCTGTCCTTCTTTTGCCCAACAAGATGGATATCCTTCGATCCGGCAAGATGGTTCTTTTTCGGTTTCTTTACTGTGCAGGAAACAGTGGCGGACCGGAACGCCAGCCACCAGTGTGAGGACCAGGCGGGGAATTTTGGTCCTGGTGGCCCTTCGCTAAGGTGAGGAGTCGGAAAGTACGGGGAAGAAATTGTTGTCGACAGGTAGCCGACGGCGCAGTGCTTGGTGGCCACTCGACCGGCTCCCGACGAATTGTGATATACGTTGATAGATCTCGACATGGTTCTCTCGTTCGATGCTCGATATTGAAAAGGCTCAATAGCTCCCTCTTGAGATGAGAGACTGTACTGAGAATTGCCGTCGGTAGGCGGGTGAGATTGTCAGCTTTGAAGCTTGCGGTGATGTGGTCAAAGTACGGATATCTCGAATAGGGGCAAGACCCACCCTTTACCATGGGCGCGCAAAACCTCACGGTGAAGATCACTTCGGCATTGGCTTTCAGAATGTGAAAATACGCAGACACCATGATCCAAAACGTCACCTTCGACCCAAATGGCACAAGTCCATCACGCACTACTTTCGCATTGTGACCAAGCAGTCAGTAGGCGAACCTAAACAACCACTGATACAGCAATGACCTTACATTCACACTGTCAGAAATGATACCTGAGGCCTCGAGTATACTAGATTCAAAAACAGGTATATCCAACCTCAAGCTCAAAAAGGTTCACCCTCTACATCTTCAAATTTGGCAATGCAAAACCCAAGCTCCTAAACCCCCTCAAGTCGCAGCCGCCTTGACAGCAGGAACCTCGTCATCCAAAGGCAGGATATCCGGCAGCGGGCCAACGGGGGCGATGGAATGGGGGTTGATCTGCGTGTGGCTCTTCGTGTAATGGTTCTTGATGTGCAGGAAGTTCGTCGTCTCCTTGAAGGCCGAGTGGTTCCAGTACAGGTTGCGCATCCACTTGTGCAGCAGCGGGTAGCCCGAGCGGATGTCCCGAATGTTGCACTTGAAGTGCTGTACGTAGACCGGGTCGAAGCGGATGATGGTGCAGAAGCTGCGTTGTGTCAGTGTATGCTCGTACCTTCCGACTTGCACTCCTCCGGTGGTTGGACACGCTGGTCGACGAAGGGGCGGGCAGGGAAAAGGGGCATGAGGAGCACTCACAGTCTGACATCCGTCTCCGTCAGCACGTCCCCAAAGAAAAAGGGGCCGCCGCTCTCCTTGAACTGCTTCTCTGCCCTATCCAGTGCCTCAAATAGGGTGATGACGTTCTTCTCATATGCCTCTTGGGTTGTCGCGAACCCGCTCTTATAGACGCCGTTGTTGATCTGGTCGTAAGTCCACTCGCCAGCCTCATCAATCTTCGACCTCAGGGCTTCCGGGTAGAGGTCGATCTTGGCGTACTTCTCCGGCAACTGATCATTAAAGACAGTGCCAAACATCCGCAGGATCTCACTGCTCTCGTTGTTGACGATGGTGTCGGTCTTCTTATCGAAGAGCACGGGCACCGTGAATCGTCCACCGTAGTTCGGGTCCACCGCGAAGTAGATATCGCGCAGGTGCGTGTTCTTCTCGTGGCCCGGCACTGGGTCCGGAACCACATTCTCTCCCGCAGCATCCTTGTCCTCAGGGGTAGGGAAACGCCAGCCTATCGAAGCATGATCAACGTGGTTGTTCGGACACACAAATCAGAACACCAGGTAGAGTAAGACGTACCCGTCTCCCCCATATGCCAATGTACAACCGAGAACGAGACGAACTCCTCCAGCCCCTTCAGCTTGCGCGCAATGAGCGCCCGGCATGCCTACCCATCCCTCGAGTCAGTAACGTACGCGCACACCTACATTCACAACTTTTGTTCCAAACCTGCGTTCCAAATCAAGGACACATCACAAAAAAGGAACGGGATGTCAATACGTACCCACGGACAAGCATAGCTGACATAAAGGTGGTACCGGCCCTTCTCGGGCGGGAAGCGCGCGCCGGGCTCAGACGAGATGGCATCACGGAACGCGCTGGCCTGCCGCTTAAACTCGCCACTCTTGTCGCCGGGCTTGACCCACTCGGTGATCTTGGAGGCCTGTGTGTCCGATTTTCTTGAGTCAGTTCGCTTCTTTCTAATTTGCGTGCGGCCGCAAGTGTGGAATGTCCTCGCTCGCAGGATTAGGTTCGTTGCTCCCAACGCCGGCAGCCATCGGATCGCAACATCGCCGCGACCATATCGTGCTGCCAAGGCCCAATCGCCCACCCAAGCAGCCGACCACCAGATCGTCGGGACACGGGACGCCGGGCTGGGCCGGGACCTGCATAACACCGCAACACCCACAGACCCAAGAACAGAAACAAGTGAGGGAAGCAGGCGCAAACTCACCATCCTAACCTGCGTCTTCAATACCCGCGGGAGCGAAGCCTGAACGTGTCGTCGTCCCTGTACCTGCAGTGTCGAAGACGAGAAGAAGGCTCTGTCGTTACCCCGAATCAATAACACAGTTCCGATATTCGCGCGGGCTCTGTTGTTCAAAAGCGGATTCGCAGATACCAATGCCGATGCCGATGTAGAGTTGTTGAAGACAGTCAGACTACTCGAAGCACGCGATGCAAAAGCCCTCGAGTACATATGCGGTCTAGTTGCGGATGTTGCTGACTGACTCTCGACCTAGATGCGGGGGCGGCGATGCTCTTATAGGTAGGTACGTACCTATGCACCTATGCACCGGGAGTTACTATATGAGGTGGCGTGATCTCAAGACACAACAGCGAGTCCGTTCCTGATCGTTGAACCGTAGTCAATAAGAACCTTGAAGAGGTCGTATCAAAGTGCTGCCGGCTTTTTCACGATTACAGATGGTGACGTAAACATGCTAGCGTTCTTATATGCACGTAATACATCACGAATCGGATTTTAATAGTGGAGACAACGCGCCGGATAAGCGTCTGGAATAGTGTATGGAATAGGCGCAGTGGAAGAAGCCGTGATTGGGTTCTCATTCCAGTCAGTTGCCACCGGAACACATGCTTATGCCAGGTGATGTTGCCATTTTCTCTTTTCAGCCGCTTTGTTTTGGTTCACGTGGGCAGCTTCGGCAGAGGTAGAGGGCTGCTGGAAAAGTAGTCTATTGTGGGACTATGCCTCTTAATGCGAGACCTAAGTCGCTAGTCCTTACACACACGCATAGCCGCCCAGGGACTCCATCTTGAACAGTCTCATCTCTCAATGCTCCGTCCACTTTTTCACAACATCTACCTGATGCGTACCTTGACGTACGGCACCTCAACATCTTCCTCGGCCGAATCCTCGGCAACCACTTCAAAGATGACCTCCTTCTGGTGCTCGGGGATCGGCTTCTTGGAGATGGTCTCCACGAGCTGGCTCAGCTTCATCGTGTATCGGTCCTTCAGCTTCGACGGAGGAAAGAAGGCTGCATACAGCAAGCTCACCCCCGAGCTCAGCATGGTAACACTAAGACCCTTCTTCTTGAAGTATTCAATGAACTCCTTCAACGTCATGTCGTCGATCTCGAATCTATCCCATATCTGGTCCAACACCACCTTGCCGTCTGGCCCCTGATACGTCACCTTGGGACTGGCGATCGGCTCGCTGAACCCAAAGAACGGTAGAGCGAGGTTGATGAACCCGTTCTTGTACTGCTCAATGTCGTCCTTTCCGTCAATGATCTTGTACAGCTCCAGGATCACTAGACCTGTCACCAGCGCCGTCGTCGTAGCAATAGCTGGAATGATCTTGCCAGCGATGAACTTTGTTCTGTGTCTGTCCGCCTGCTCGATCTTGTAGTTGTCGGCACGCAGGTTGCTGGCCGACGTGATGAAGTCGATGTGGTGGTTTGTGTCGTCGTCCTTCTCAAACTCCACAGGTGTCAGCTTGAACCCAGCCATCTTGCTAGCCGGCGGAAGACTGTCCGTGATCTTTTGCAGTTCGGCGTTGTCATCGAATGCCGTGTTGTTGTTGGAGTTGGGGTCCTTTCCCGCACTGTTAGCCATCGTCTTATATCTCGCCCTTCACGGGTCTACTCACAGGTTCTTTCTCGTCCGCCTGGATCTTGACACCGGGATCGGGTGAGAAATCAGGCACTATCATGTTATCTAAGACCCTGAAGTATAGATCCTTGTCGATCCCCTTGGTATTGATGTTGTAGTTGAATGCGTGAAGGTTGGCAGCCGCCACGATGAAGCCAAAGTGCGTAGGGTTCTTCGCGCTGAACTTCAGCGCATCAGGGGCACGCTTCGGACCGGACCAGAACGGCGTGCCGGTTGACGAGGTCGAGTCCTTCGGAAAGTTGTACAGGAGCTGTTGAATAGCGTTGTTATACTGCTTTTCGAACAGCATGCGGGCCCAGACAATGCAATCCTCAAAGCTCAGCGGCTTGTCCGTCACCAGGTAGTCCCGGATGGTTTCCAGCGTCCCCTTCTCGTTACCACCCTGCTTCAGTGTAGTCTCCAGATAGTCAGGCTGGGACAAGTAAAGGTTAACGGTTTCGGCTGACTTGACGAATGAGGTCTCGAAAAGCTCGCGTGCCCACGCAATTGTGTGTTCAATCTTGTTCGGGAAACTGCGCAGTGTACACATCGGGAACGACACCTCCGGCGGATCCTGAGAAGACGAGTACGACTCGGTCAATCTAGGGAGTACAACCTGAGTGTTGCCTTTGGTACCCAAGGTTCCACTCTCAAGCAGGGGCTTGTGGAAGAAGACACATCGTCGATCGACGTAGGTTCTCGCCTCGACGTTGTCAAGAGCATTTGTGACACCATCCAAGCCCTGCCAGAACTCTTCGTTGAATATGTGCTCAGTGTCGGGACTAACGCGATCTTTCAGACACTGAATCTTGCCCTCCAGCTCGGGGTTCATAGCTGCTACAGCCTTGGCAGCACAGTCGCTCTTCATTCGGCCAACGTCCTTGGGGCGGAATAAGAACTGGCGATTCAGGTTGCTCTTCTCGATAGAGTCCATATCGGTGATGATGACCTTGCCCTGTGGGCCGACACCAAGTCCAATCATGGCCCAATTCTTGAGCATTTCGCAACCAATAGCACCCGCACCGACCAGGAACTGTTTGACGTTTGCAATCTTCTCTTGGTATTCCTTACCGAAGACTGCAATTTGGCCATCGTATCGGGAATTGATGGGTTGGCAGAGCGCTTCGGTTCGGGCGAAACTCGTAGGGAGCGACTCTAACGAGTCAAAGTAGAACCACTGCTTCATCGGGTGGAACTTTCCAGACACAGCCTTGAGGACTTCTTGCGCCGTGAGTCCACCAAACAGGGCAGCCATAGGGTTCAAATCACCCTGAGCCTGGTAACTGAGCTCCTTGATGAGCTTCTTGTCGACCTCGATGTCCAACTTCTCCTTCTCGACGAAAGTCTTTGTTGCAGCGATTACGACAGTGGCATCCTCCTCGTTCATAGGTCGAGGCAAGCGGCCCTGAGCTTGGACAAATGCATGCAAGGCCTCGAATCCAACGTGCAGCAGCTGTGGGCGGTCAAACTTGGCGAAGTCGGACATAACGAATTCGGGCTCGCGCATAGCTTCTGAGATGGTCTTGAAGTCTATGGTTTTCGGCATCTTGACCTGTTGGTACAGGCCACCGCGCTTGTATTGGCCCAGCCCAGAGACATCGCCGATGGAGAATGTGTACGGGCCCTTGACAGTAACCTTTCGCGGTGCTGCGCTGTTGAGACCTTCCATGCCCTCAACCTCAGTAAAGGTCACATAATCTCCATCCTCGAGACCATGTCGAGTCTCGTCTAAAGCGGAGACCACACCCTCTTCGTCAATGCCAGCAACTATGCCATTAACTGGGTTCTCGCCGGTGGCATCCAGACATTGAAACTTGTTGCCAAAGTCACAGAATATAGAACCGAATAAACCGTAGGTGTTGGCGCATACAACATATATGCCCTTCGAGTGGCAGTAATCACCGATGGCGAGCTGGAGGTTTAGAGGTTGATTTGTCAGGACGACGACCTGGTACTTGTCGAACTGGGAGAAGTTCTTGTCGAGGCTGGATGTTCAGTAGTTAGAGCATGGACGGATTGCTAGGAGCGATGATCGGACATACCCAGACGACTCGTGGATGTTGACAGGTGTGTAGGCGTTCAGCTCGGCAACGCGGGGGACGGTGGCGGCATCTCTCGGCTTGCCAACATCTTCGGGGTGGAGGAAGAACTGTGACGAGAGGTCGGACATGGCGGCGGGTGTCGGGTCGTAGAGGGTCAGGCTCTTGACGCCAGCAAGAGCAATGTTCTTGGCGATTTCGACACCCAGGCCCTTCAGGCCAACAATCAGGATGTTGGAAGCACCCATGCGCTTCATAGCCTCGTGGCCAAGCACGTAGAGCTGTCGGCTGTAGAGAGACTCGTCGATTTCGGTGGTCCCCGAGATGGTGGCATCGTCGACCTGGAGCCGGGTGACCAGGTCGACCTCGCCGCCCGAGGTCATTTTGGTGTCCTGCATGGGATCGGAAGATGTCAGCGCCGAGGGTTACTTGTTAAGGAGAAGCAAACAGCGAAGTCAAGAGTTTGACGCAAACGGGCAGTTTGCGCAAAGGTAGAAGGTAGGCGACCAGGGCTGGCGGGCCAGAACCTCGGGACTGACTGTTGACTTACGGTCATGGTTCTCTTGGAGGAGGAAGGCCGGTCTCCGTTCGAGAGTTTGCGCTTCCCCAGCTTGCCGTCTTTGCCTGCGTCGGAAGTAATGTTTGCGACTTTGACGTGGCGATTGGGAAGAAGTTGTTGTGGTTGGCGTCTGGGAGGAGTACAGAGAAAGAAGAAGGATGAACCCCACCACCAGCTCGAGGCAGAGAGCAGAGAGCAGAGAGCAGAGAGCAGAGAGCAGAGAGCAGAGCTGCAGACTGGAGAGAGCGGGCAGCTTCAGGTCAACAACTAAATATGACGTAGTCCGAGTTCAGGAACGATGACTGTGTCGGCGAGCACAGAAAGACCAGCTTTATTTATAAGTTAAGGCTCCAAGATGACGGGATGCCTGCTTTGTGGGAAACGGGAAGATTCAAGAGACGTGCAGATGTGAGATGTGTGTGAGGTGTGTTTCTCATCAGCCATCAAATGATTGACGGGTGTTGCTTTGGAGCTGTGGCGCCACCTCGCAGAATCATGCACTCATGCACTGCCTTGCCCCACCAGCTGCAGCCAGATGGCGTAGCGGGGTTCCAGTCTGAGTGCCTTCCCCTGCTGCATGTGATGCTTAGCAAGCAGATCAAGTGGCGACACTACCCGCAGCACTTGCCAGCTGCCACTGTTTCGAAGGGTTTCGCTCTAATAGGTACGGCAGGTTAACGTCCTTTCATGCAAGAGCAAAACCTCTTTTGGACTACTTTCACCTTGTTGACAGGGAGAAAGGAGATACAGACTCAGGTGAAGTAATGCCATCCTGGATGAGACCCTGCCTGCAACCCTGCCTACATATGTCAACAAGTACCATCTTGACACGTTGAGGGTGTTTTGATTGTTGAGCCTTGGGTCTTTTGATTAGAGTTCCTACCAGAGGGACGCCATCTCTAGGATGGGCACAAACCTCAAGTACCATTTTGATACAGTCTGTAGATGAATGAGATGGCTGACTGAGCCGGCATAAGGAGTGAATCTGCCCTTAGTTATCGCTGTTACACTCAGCATGTAAGAACTGGTGGCTTGGTGGTCACGTCTGGCCAAAGGGTCAAAAGGGAACAGGATGGATGCAAGAAGGAAATCTACCCCTATTCCGCACGTACCAAGATTCCCGACACCACCCATAGAAATTTCGAAAAATAGGAATAAGCAGCTCTAGTCCAATATGCTATGTTCAATGCTTATTCCAGTGTGCTTGTTGCGACTTGATATATTCACCGTTGTACTCTAGACGGGTGATATACGGAGAACTATAAGAGTTCAGTGTACCTTGCCATGAAGGCGTAGCATGGCAATTTTCACCGTTGTTACATGCGCAAAGTTGGAAGATTGAGTGTGAATACTTTCAATATTCAAATCCCATCAGGTCGAGGTGGCGAGTAGGCATTCAGGGCCGCCTCCTCGCTACGTTCGTCTACATGGCTCAATCAATACCCATCCAAGTTCGTCCAGCCGCCCCCGGGCCTGACCCTGATAATATCAACAATGAAGATTTGCGTATATACCAACTCTGACGTGCCCTCTCTTTCATCCCAAAGTGAACCCATTTTGTTTCAGGTAGCTCCGTAGAGCTGACCTGGTGGAGCTTATGCGCAGAAGGCTCCTGCTCTCCTCTTCCTCGTTCCAGCATGATGGTGTGGCAGACTCTCTCTTCATACATCGTAAAGAACGTGATCGTGCCCCGGGGTATCATATCCTCCAACAGGATCCAATCCAACTTGGACGCTATCCGAAATCGTCCCTTGAAATGCCGTATTATGTCCACGGGCATAAACTGCCAACTATACTCCACCTTTGATTGTAAATGAGTGTGGGAGTGAGCCTTCCAGCACACCATGCCATGCCATGCCATGCCATGCCATACCACCCCAATAGATGCGATACGTAGAAGGAGTGATGCTGAAGAGGATGATAAAGGCTTAAAGCTCGTGTGTGTCGTGAAGGATTGACATGAAATATGTTTTAAGTAATAGAATTCAAACATTAAGGCGTTGTTTCCTCATAATTAGAAGAAGAACATAATCGACACAAGCGTGAAGAGGAACGAGGCTGCGGCTGAAGTCACATCGCGGCCCAACATGGGTTGCGCAGCGCCTGCTGTGACTACAGGGGGCGACGTGAAGGTCCCCGAGCTTGAAGGAGTGCTTGTGACTGTAGCGGGTGGTGTCGTCGTAGGAGAACCTACGACTGTTGACGTAGCAGACAGGGTCGTCGGAGAGGAGGTTGACGGGGAGGATGCTGGCGAGGAAGAGGTCGACAGGGAGGGGCTTGTCTGAGTTGGAGCTGCGCTGGTGTCTTCGGTGGCGCTCGTTGGCGACGCTGAGGACGCAGTGCCACTCTCTGTAACAGAGGTGGCGCTTGCTGACAAGCTAGTTGTCGAGGTAATGATCTCGACAGAGGAACTAGTGCTGCTGCTCTGCGCCGAAGAAGCAGAAGAAGAAGAAGACGAGACTGTCGAGGTAGTAGAAGTAGCTGAAGAAGACGATGTTGTTGTTGTTGAGGTGGTGGAAGTAACTAAAGAAGTGGAAGTAGAAGTAGATGACACTGACGATGACGTCGATATCGGAATCGCGATCGTCGACGTATCTGCCGGTGCTCCCGTGTGTGTCGACAGTCCTCCTGCAGTCGTCGATACTCCCTCAGGAGTGGTAGCAGTGTCGCTGGGAAGCAAGACGGGTGGGTGCGCTGCGCAATATTGCACAAATTGGTCCAACTCTGAACCGACATACTCGCGAGTCGATAACTGGTCGCCATCGCTGTTACTAGTGATGCAGACTTGACATGCACCCCAAGCATCCATAAACCGGCCCATTGGGTCGCACAGCCTGGAGTCCTTTCCTGTGGCTTCAGCTATGACAAGAGCATTCGAACAGCTAACATAACAGACACCTGGGGCAACAGCCGCACGCTTAGAGAGGCGGAGAGATCGCTCTGGTAGTGGGCTGGGCCTTTCGTAATACGTTGTCGTGGTTGTAGTCGTAGTAGTCGTGGTCAGACCATCAGAAGCCGCTGTGGGCGATGTGGGCGTGTACACGGTGGTACCAGTAGACGACGAGGGTGGATACGCCGTCAAGTCTGTTTGCGATCCCCAGTTCCCAGTACTGCTGATGAATGTGTGGGTACCTGAAGCGTCCGTCACCGTCACCGGAAGGTATCCGATCGCAAAAATGTCGTAACTCAATCCAAAGGCTGGAGGTGCGAGGTAATAGTAATCGGGGACAGTGGGATAAAAGTCGGTAGTGTTCGCATCCCACTCGACGATAGGGTAAGATGGAGACGAAACACACCAAGCTGTGTTTTCGCATACATACTCCTTCGCCGGCGGACCAACATAAACATTGCACCCGGCCGGTTTTGGTACAGAACAAATTGTCCCAGGCGGACATCCCCATGTAAGATCTGAGGCCTCATCATAGGCAGGAACAACGAAACCCGGTGAGTTTGTTGGTGCTGGGCATGTGCTCACGTCTATGATGATTGAGGTGTAGATGACTGTGGTTGTGGCCGGAGGGATGATGACTGTAGCTGGAGGAGCTGTGACCGTGGCAGGAAGAGCTGTGACCGTGTCTCCGGGAGCTGTGACAGTGGCCGTGCCTCCGGGAGCTGTGACAGTAGCCGTGCCTCCGGGAACTGTGACAGTGTCTGTACCTCCGGGAGCTGTAACAGTGGCCGGAGGTATTATGATCGTGCTTGGGGGCAAAGTGACCGTCGTCGCCGACACGCTGGTGATCTCCTGGGTAGTCGTGAATGTGGTTGTGCTGGTCACTGAGTCGGTGATCAATATCTCAGATACTGTTACGAACGTAGTCGTTGAGACCGAGGTGATCAGCGATACTGTTACCTCGGAAGTTGTCAAGTAGGCCGTGTCTGTGTCTGTCAAGGTAGCCGTGACGGTGGCCGTCTCAGTAGCAGTTTCCGTGATAGGAGAGAGAGATACTACTGTGGTTGGAGAGACAGATATTTCTGTAGTTGGCGAGATGATGACGGAAATATCTGTGGTGGTCGAAACGTCAGTGACTGTATCAGTGACTGTTCCCAGAACGTTAGTTGTATATGTGACTTCAGTTGTATAAGTCGACGTGCTGTACTCGGTGGCTGTCACGGTACGGTCAGAAATATAGGTGATCGGTACCACGGTCGTGCTCGTGGTGATAGAAATGATAGTCGTTGGTACCAAAGTCGTATAGGTAGTTGGAGAGGTATAAGTCGTGACAGAGATGTCAGTGGTGGTCGAAAGATCAGTGACTGTATCAGTCACTGTTTCCAAAACGCTCGTTGTATATGTGACTTCAGTTGTATAAGTTGATGTGCTATACTCTGTGGTTGTCACAGTCTGGTTGACGATGTAGGTAGTCGGTACCACTATCGTGCTCGTGATGATATCAGTAGTAGTTGTCGGTACTAAAGTCGTATAGGTAGTAGCAGAGATATCAGTTGTGGTGGTAACGTCGGTCGTGGTGGTAACGTCGGTCGTGGTGGCGACGTCAGTTGTGACAGAGATATCAGTAGTGGTGGTAACGTCAGTTGTTACTTCTGTTGTAGTAACCTCCTCGGTGGTAGTGAACGTGCTTGTCAGAGTAGTCGTGGACCAAACAGTGGTCGTAACGCAATGATCGCCCCATATAGTTTCTGTGCAGCTGCAGGGTAGCGTGGTTGTATAGCAAGCTGTAGATGACACAGGGTACGACTAGGCAGTGATATATTAGCTCCAAGACTGGCGCGAGAGGGGTGGGCATTGTGACGAACCCTAGTTATAACATCAGTTATAGTCTTGGTGGTGAATTTGGTCGTAGTTTCCTCGTCAGTGACCGTGGTGGTGTCTTCATCTGTGACCGTGTATCCGTAGCTGATCGTCGTAAAGACAGTGGTCACGCCGCTGTATTGAGCTGTTAGTGTCACGGCATGAGGCAATTGCTAATCCGGATAACGTACTAGTATGTTTTTGTCTTTGTCTCCGTCTCAGTCTCCGTGACAGTCGTGCCGGGGTACGTCGGGTAATCAATGCTAATGCTGCATGCCTCCGTCCAGGAGACTGAGATGCTGCATGACTCCGTCTCAGTCTCCGTGACAGTCGTCCCGGGACATTCTGCGTACGTTGGATAAGCAGAATCAGTGCTATCTTGTCGTCGGAGCAAGTCTTGGGCCCTTGTGAGAGAAGCGAGTGCGAAGGCTGACCAGGCCCAAAGGCGCTGCGTTTGAACCATTGCGATCCAATTGCGTTTGAAGAGAGCTCTTGTCGATACTTCGCAGGACTGATTTGCCCTCAGACTTTAAAGAGTGGTGCTGCAAAACGAGCGTCCGTGAGGGAGGTGCTTGAGTACGGATCGCACTGGCGAGCTAGAGTGAAAGCGAATGACTATGCCACCCGGAACTCCGAGCTCGTAATGTATAGGCGGAGGGCAGGCTTGTCCTGGGGAGGGCCCTTAGCTTCCGTCAGCTAGATCGTCCTACTAGTAGTAAACAGTCAGATTGGATGCGGTAAATGGCGAAGAACCTGGCTCACTTAGGTGAAGAATCTTGTCATAATATCAGTTCTCTGGAAATTTGCCAGCCTAGCCACGAAGACAAGTAATACTACTGCGCTAGCTGAGATCCAGACTCGTCCTAGTTGCCGATACTGACAACGCCAGCGAGCACCTATACAGAGCAAAGTGAGAGATTCCACGGAGGCAGAGAAGTCGGACGAGGAGGCTAGGTACTAGGTAGCTTGACAAGAGGAAAGTCGGGTGGATGAGGCTGAGGATAAGGACGGACAACAACTAGCACTGACAACACGAGCTATGGCACAACAGGCACGAACCGGGGTTGCAGCTCCAGCAACGGAATACGCCCACCTTGCATGTTACCGGCATCTGCGAGCAGATGTAACCATTGATCCCTGTGTGGAAGAATCTGCCTGTTGAACACCCCGGAAGTATCGTGCATGATGGGGGGAACCACGGAGGTACACCAGTGCGGCCCGTCCTGCTTCTCCATCACGGTTCCAGGCGGCTGAAGAAGCCGAGGACCCAAGGCTCAAGAGTCAAGACCTCACTGGAGCTTGACCGAGGCTGAGCCCAATGTTACTTGCAACGCTTATGGCAAGTGAGGTACAAAGACCAATGTCACGAACCTGTCAGACATGACCTGGCGCCACTTGTCCCAGCCCTTGAGCGTGAGATAAGCTCGAGATGGAGTATGGTGGGAGGTTGGTCCGAGGTAGGCTGGAGGCAGACTGGCAAGCGTAGGACGAACGGAAACAATGCAGAATTGCCCGCAATGGCCTCTTGGCTTTGAAAGCAGCCGCGAGGTTCGAAGAGCAGAAGCCGACAGACGAGCAGATGGGGATATTGCCGAATAGAGACGAGAGCTTAGTTGAAGGGTGGGACTCAGTATACGACGGCAGGGGGGTGAACTTGTCGTCACACAGCAGCCAGCCTCGAGAAGAGCGGTGGCCAAGCATCGAATCACACAGTGATATGCGGGCCGCACAGTCTATTGACGCATAAGCAAGGATAGGGGTGGACGTGAGTGGTTGAAGTAACTTCTGTTGGTGATGGAGTGTTGTCGTCGATTCTAGAGTCCCAGTGACGGTGCATAAATGCGGCACAGAGTGCCACGTCGGTGCGAGTACGTACCCAAGAAGGTACTTGATGGCGACTCTTCGGCTTCCCATAGCACAAGGTCTGTCCAGAAACTGCACTTGTACTTGTAGAAGAGGCCAGACCTTGATGGTTCACCAATGATGGCTCTGGGCTGGTAAGCCGATGTCCTTTCGTACCGTGACAAGCATCGAAATTTGCTTAAGAGGCAGAGAAGGCTGTACACTACATTGATGGTGTGATGATGAGTCTTCTGGCACAGTCAGACGCACCGGACATATCTGGAAGGTGATATAAGCACTGGGAGTCTCTTTCCCGGGCCTGGAATGACCATGGACCCAGATGCTGGGTCTGAGAGGGGAACATGGGAAAGTGGTTTGCAACATGAGAGTGGCGGAAGTGCAGAAGATACCTTATGTTCGAGACTGAACGCGATCCACACCGTTTCTTGACATGCCGAGTCGTCTACCAGCATCGAATTTAGACTGCTGAGCGCTGGTGGTAACGTAGACTGTAATGACGGTATTCATCCAGAAGATATCAAGTGATATGCAGCCCAATAATGTTGACACTATTGAGAGGCTGGTGAGCCGTGGCTGCGAGGCCTCAGAACAGGAGAGAGAGGAGTTGGACGATGTTCAGCGGAGTTGAAGTTGGATGCTGCCGTGCCGGGGTTGGAGACGCCACATCAATGGCACCTTGGGGTGGCATCCATCAGAAGATGATCCATGAATGATCCATGAGGGGAAGAGATCGAAGCGGGGTAGCTACACCCCGGCAGCAAGTTGCAAGTTGCAACAGTACAGCCTCGTCCAATGTTGGCAAAGGGCTCACCGTGCCAAAAGCCCGCAGCTGAAGAGAATGGACCCCATGGTGTTTGTTGCCTCTGCTGACGATGCTTGATGATGAAGACTCGGGAGTTGAACTGGGGCTTGCAGGTGGAGGTGGCTGGGACTCACTGCCCGGCACAAGACCGCACCAGCTGGCAGCAGTCTGACCGGGCCGAAGCCGAAAGCTCATGTGGGGCATCGTTGCGAGCCCTACCGGCTTACCTGAGCCTGTATGTGCTTACCTGGGCCCCTTGTCGCCTGTTGGCCAACACCCCGGAATGGCAGAATGGCTGTTGACCACGGGAACGGATCGGTGATTGGGTCCCACCTCGAACGCATTGCAGATCCCGAGTAGGCTGCTGGCATTATCGACTTCAAGTCTTCCTTTGGTGTTACCTCAGGGCGGGCGGAGCGGGGAGACTACCCGAACTGTCGTCCTCCACCCCCCCGATCCATCCCAAGCTGCCGACTTCATTGCCTTGTGACACCGACAGCTCACGACTCAGTAGGGAACAGGTAGGCGGCTATGCCAGGGGCGGAAGCCTTTGAAATTGATTTCTCACACCATCTCGACCATCTCGATTGACTCCAGCTGGACCTGCGCCATTTCTCATGAGGAGTGGGAGTGGCGTGGTGGTCCCAGACTACCGGAGCCTCGACTCCAACATGCAGACCATAATCCTCTCCAATCTCACCTAAGTACCTTCAGCTCCCCTCCGTGGGCATGATATTACATCCGTGAGCCAGAAAGGAGAGTCTGGCATCTGACCTTCCTGTTGACGTCGAATCGTAGGAGAACGAGCCCTCGAGGAACCTGCCCTACAAAGGTGCCTGATGTAAGGACCTAGGTACGGTAGGCATGGCCACACAACCCGACCTCTTCTGAGCCTCATCGGGGCCGCACATATTGCCCGGTCAGGCCTGGCCGGCCCTCATCGCGCAACCGGGACTCCTCGATGGCGCACTCACCAACAGCCAACAACCAACAGCCAACACTCAAACCCAGACCACCATGTCAGCAGTTGTTCCACTACAAGCTTCCTCTGCATATGCTCCAATGCGGACACCCAAAAAGTGTCTACCGGGGAGAGGCATTCCAATGGAATGAGTTTGTCTTGCAGGGGTCTGCTAGGGTGGTGTGCCTGCTAATCTACATTGTCTCCTCGATTGGGCAACCATCCCTTGTTCCGTCCACCAATAGCCAAGTCCACTGCTTCCGCCCGTTGCTACCGTGTCTGGTCTGTCGGCCTCTTCGAGTCTGCCTGCATCCCACCGTGACATTGTTTTCTCGGCCGCATTCAGGTCAGATTGTCAGTCACCGCCCTAACCATCTTGATACGAGGAATACTGCTGTCTTCGAGCCTGCGAGCGGGCTCGTGTACCGGTAGTGTGCATTCTCAAGTGATGAACCTGTGCAGTTGCCATCTATCAAGAAATTGGACATTGTCGATGGCTAATAAATGGCACTCGAACCTGTAGGTAGGTAGGTGAATAGCTGGTGGTGACGAGGCTCGACCCTATCTGCTCGAGAATGCAGTGGCATTTGAGCATCTGGCTACCTAATCCGGCCGGACCAAGACACCCTCTGCGAACATGTGAGTGTTGGAGAGCCGTCTCACCCACCCATTCTTTCTGCTCGTTGTCTAGCCATGTGGACGGGAGGCGAACTGTTTCCTTTCATCCCGTCTCTTCAGTGGTCTATCTGAACTGACCTGCATTGATCAGCGCCCTGGGTAGCATCTGCTATTTCTCACCTCACTGGATTGGCCTGCCGTCACTTGACTGGCTTGACCTCGCCGGTTGAGCCTGAACCCGAGCGTCCCTTCTCTAATCCTTTTGTTCTTCCTCCCCCTTGCCACACTCTGCCGTTGTTCGATGCGGGGCCGCCGTGTAAACCTCTTATCCTCGTCAAAGAAACTTTCCACCACATTGCCAGATCCGTCTTGTGCTCTGGTTTCGTCAATCCATCATGAGCCTCTTGCCGCGGCGCCTCTGACAAATCGGAACCGAGTTGCCATTGACAAGACATTCCAAATGCTGCTTGGATTATCTTTGTTGCTGTGACCTTGCCTCTGCCGTCTGCCGGACACCAAATCCTTGCCCTACTACCCATATCATGAAATGAGCCTCATCCTGCCCCGTTTCCCACCTCTTACTCAATTTCTGTGGCCGTTCGCTATAGTCGGCATACACACCCTCTAGATAAACCATGTATTGGTCCAGCATAGCCGGGCTAGCACTTGCTGCTAGCCTTGCCTCAACAGTCCACGGCCAGCAGTCGGGATGGCAACAAAATCAGGTCAACGCGACCATGTGCACGTGGAGTGCACTTCGAGGTCAGTCTTCCACTCGGCTTGCGGCTTCGTTCAAGTCGACTTGCACATGACTTGACTCTACCTACTGACTGCCGAACAGTGGCAGTACTGAAGGACACCGTCTATATGGATGGCGGTTATATATTTTGGTTGCCTGGGATGGCTGATGGGACGTACGGGAGCCCCATGCAGGACGGTTAGTCGTAACACCGCGAGTTGGCTCTTACATCTCCTGACATTCGTTATAGGCAACCCACTGGGGCTGATATACACGTTGAATTTCAGTACCCCGTTCAACACAAGCACAAATGTCAGCTTGATACTGCAAACATTATCGAAAGCTCCGAACGGCGGTGCTGCGAATAACTTCGCGCCAAACTATTACGATGGAGCCCTGCTTGGCAACAGCGACGAGATATTTCTGTACGGAGGCTTGCTAACGCCCCTCGACACTTACTCTGAACCGGATGGGGACCAGGTGCTTTCCTACCAGGCCTCCATGTACGGACCGGACCACACCTTCCATGCCGGGTTCCTGAATGCCAAGTTACCTGACGGCGTCACTCGATACGTCACCTACGGAGGCGCCGCCAATGCCCCATCAGAGAACAAGGCTTGGTATTTCGGAGGATATCGATCACCTTCGTGGGGAGAGATCTACTACCCGAGTACGACGAATGCGTCCGTACTCCCCACCAATGTCTCCGACACCCTCATCACGCTCGATATGGCGGAACAGGGACATGAGACATGGTCGAACAAGACTCTCCCTACCGGAACTCCAAGTCGAGCAAACCCTTCCGTTGTCTGGGTGCCAGTTGGCGCGCAGGGAATTCTGGTGGTACTGGGTGGAGTCTCGTATCCGAATTATGACAGCCCTACGTTCACGTCGCAGAATGAAGCACAAAGTGTAGGTTCGATTCTTTGCAGCTCGGGGACTGGTGCTAATGATGAGACAGGCTCGTGATGGTACTTCTTATATGTCGAATATCGACGTCTACGACATTGCCAACGACGTGTGGTACCAGCAACCAACGATTGCCGCGCCGCCACCGCTTGCCCTGGGATGTGCAGTAGTCGTGCCTGCTCAAGACTACTCGAGCTACAACATCTACTACTACGGTGGCTACGACGGCGTCCATCAAGACGCAGACTTCAACGACGATGTATGGATCCTGACCTTGCCATCATTCATGTGGATGAAGATCTCGTCGGGAACTGCAGGACACGGGCGAGCGGGACACCAATGTGTTATGCCGTACTCCGATCAAATGGTGACCATTGGTGGCTCTATTTCCTCGAAGGGCGGCGGCACCAGCTGTCTCGATGGCGGACTTCTCGATGTCTTCAACCTGACTTCTGGAAAATGGCAGGACTCATACGACCCAGACAGCTGGAATGAGTATGGAGTTCCGGAGATGATCCATCTGATGATTGGGGGCGACTTTACGGGTGGCGCGACCATGACCACCCCAACTCCGACCGGCTGGGCGAAAACAGAACTTGCCAGCGTCTTTGCTACGACTTACCCGACGTCAAAAATGACAACGTACTACCCATACGGCACTCAGGGGGCGGGCGGTGCCTCGCGAGGTGCGGCGAGCAGCGGTGGTGGAGGAATGCCGTCTTGGGTTGCGCCTGTCCTAGGCACGGTCCTCGGTCTCGTCTTCGTCACAGCGGTCGTCGTCGCCATCCTGCTGTACAGACGACGAAAGCTCTTGCAGAATAGAAACGGCGGAGGCGATAATCCCACCGACGAGAACCAAAGCCGGATCTTGTCATGGGTCCGCGGCCAGGAAGGTAAGGCGCCGACCGTGACGTCTGGAGACCCGTCCACCTTCGGCGACATGGAAAGTCGCAATGTCACACCTATGCATGCTTTGGGTCACCCAGGTGGACACGGGCAGCAAGAGATCAAGATGGAAGCTCAGGAGATGGCAGACACAGCACTTGTAGAACTGATGGGTAAGCAGTAATCGATAGCCCTGTCGTCTTAACGATCCAGAAACTAACAAGCTCCAGACACATCCCCTCGCGCCGAATTAGGCGACACGGCCCTCACACCTGTAGACATAATCAACAAGCACACACACTTTGGTGACAACCCCAGCACGCCGCACGCGCTCTCGACGCCGACGAACCCCTCCGTCTTCACGGGCTCCCGCGACTACGCGAGCAGCATCAGCTTCGCCAACAACGCCGGGCCGCTGCCGCCGCCTCCCACCCACCAGGAGCGGCCCGACTCGCCCTCCCTGGGCGGCGGGCCCCCGAGATCCCAACCGGGATCGGCAGCGGGCGGCGCAGCACAGCCGGGCACGCCGCTGCGGACGCCGATCGTCAGCGGCGTCTCGGGCATCAGCGACCGCGAGGCGACGCACCTGCGCAACATAAGCGACCCGAGCGTCATGAGCAGCAGCCCGCCGAGCACGCCGCCGCCCGCCCACGTGGGCGGCTTCCACCACCAGGCCGGGAACCCGCAGCACTACAACACGTACCACAACGAGCACCACAACAACAACAACAGCGTGGGCAACCTCCAACACGCGGGGGCGCCGCTGTCAAGCCCGAGCCCGCCGACCCCCACGACCGCGGATGCGCCCGATTACGTCAGCATGCACAGTGCCGCGAACGCCTCCCCCCTCGCGCGCAACCTGACGGGCTACGGCGGTAGTGTGAGGAGTGCGAACAGCCCGCTGCGGCGGAGCGTGTTCCGCGAGAGCACCGACGACCTGGGTGATAAGGGGCACAGGTGATGACGGCTGGGGGCGGGGCAAACAAAGGGTGAGTAAAGGACACGGGGGTGGGAGCGGGAGTAATGATAACCATATTTTGCTATTTATGCGACGTTTTTTCTTCTGAATCTGGGAGGGATTTGATAGTCAGATACCATATAGCCGGGGAGCAGGCGGGCGCGCAATGCTTTGGGATCAGGGCCGGGGCGTGGATCAGGATCAGGATCAGGCGAAATGGAGAGAGAGAGCCAGGGGATAGGGGAGTGCATGTGCTATAGTATTCTTCCCCGTACATAGATTTATGCTGGTGGGCGCATCATCATCGTCACTATCACCATCATCACCGTCATCCGTCACATCTACCGATTGCACGACCGAGTGTATCATGAGGAGGGCGAAGCAAGAGCGGGAGATGGGAAGGGGACGACTGGACCTTATTACATAGCTGGAAGCATGTATCATCGGCCGTTAGTCCACCTAGGTGTCGTGAAGTCAAAAAGGCATCTTAATCCAGATCATCATCCTGGCATTCATCATCCCCTACTGCAGACATAATTGTCCAGTCGACAAGCTAGCCGACTGGTAGGTGTCAAGACGACATCTCGCAGTACCGCGCACCTACGTTGGCCGCCCGTTCAACGGACAACATAAGCAAGCAAAATATAGGGAATGAACACGACTCTGGATTGTATGGGGTATCTCTGACGTAGAAAAATGCAGCAATGCGACCTCCACCCGAAAGCCACTGTCAAGTGACAGGAAATACACCTCTTGCCCCACCCAACCTGACAAAAGAACCCCTGAGCCTAACCATGCATGCACGTGCACATTTAAACAGCTTCCACCCAACCTCCCTGGCTGCCCTCAGCCACTGACAGTAAGAAATATGTCCTGGTACCATTTGAGCGTAGGACGTCCAATCTGAAACATATCCAGATGCGACCATGCCGCCGAAAGGTGTGATAAAGAAAATGTGGCTCTGACCACCGACTTTGGAGAAACGCCGAAGCTAGATCAAGCTTCAACGACTGCGAATCTACTCCCCAGTAAAGGAGGAAATCGAGTATTTCGGAACCAATTGGTGTTTCGAAGAATGGCGAAGCAGAGACTAGGCTCCATTTCGTTCTCTTCGTCGAGGGACGATTAGCAGCTTAAGCCTTCTTCCGGCTAGCCTTGCCCCGACCTCGCCCGCGGCCTCGACCTCGAGCAGCAGTTCCTCGGCCACGGGTAGCCGGAGCTTCTTTCTCCTCCTCCTCTTCATCTTCGCTGTCCTCATCTTCTTCCTCCTCCTCGTCATCATCGGCTTCTTCCTCATCCTCTTCATCGTCCAAGTCCGCGTCACCCTTGACTTTAGCCTTCGTAGCAGCGCGCTTTCGACTTCTGGCACCTCTCGCGCTCTTTCCCACGGGGCTACTGGGGAAAGGGGTTTCCTGATCGGTGTCATCGACCGTGCTAGATCGTCGCGTCTTGGTGGTGCTACTACCGGCAACGCTCGATCCGTCGGCGGCACTGGTATTGCCTCGCTTGCGCTTGCTGCCCGCTTTCTTCGCCGTGCCTTTTACCCCTGCGGCGGAGTCGCTTTGTTCGCTCTGCTCGTCCGGTTTGTTGGGGTCGGCCATGGCACGTGCCCACATCAAGTCGTGGAAGTCGTCGGGAGGGAGGTCAAAGGATTTGTAGACGTCTTCAGCCGCTTCGTCTCCACCGTCCTCCTTAAGGTAGTCAAATGCATTGTCCCGCTCGTCTATCTTTTCCATGTTAAAGAACTCAGCCAGTTTCTTCCTGATTCCGGGAATGCGGGTATGGGGCTCGGCATCGGGGTCGATGCCGTGGTTTCGCAAGTGTTCGGAAATAGCGATCATTCGGAAATGCTTGTGAATACCTGTATATCATGATTAGAAGGAGTGGTAATAGATTCCGGGTAATAGATTCCGGGTAATAGATTCCGGGTAATAGGCTGTGAGAACTGACCGGTAGGCTTCCATATGATGATGGCCTTCAACAGTGATGATATCTGGTCTTCAGTCCAGGGGTCGTTGAGCACTTCCAAGGTGGTCGGCAGGTTGGACTTTGTGACTGTAGGGGTCTCAGCAGCTCGAGGCGTCTCGGCGGCCTGAGGGGTGTCGATTTCCATGGCATCATCGCCTGGCGCAGGCGCAGCGGACGTCTTGGGGGTTCCGACCTCTGCCAGATTGGCCTTGGACTTGCGCTTCGGCGGCATCTTGTACAGGCTGGAAGTTTAAGCTGATTTGACGTATGTGTATTAGGGTAGTCGGCGTGTGATATTGACGAATTGATGATCGGTGATTTGCTGGAAGATGCTACGGAGGGATATCGCACGGGCATGCATTGACCTAATAAGAGAGTCGGCGAGGTAGTTGACGATGGTGATGATGGGGAATTAGGCGATGCAAGAGTAGACCAAAAGTTCCAATGGCCGACTCCTAGAAAATAAGTAGCCAATTGCACAGAAACTGCTGCTGACTATGTCCGGAGGATATGGGCGAGTGGACTACACTAGAGCCCACGATGTTTTTGTGATGAATGTTGAAGATGGAGCTCCAAGCTTGGTGACCGGCAAGGTGGAAGGTGGGATGCATGTGAACGGCGAGCTTGAGAAGCTTGGAGAGCTTGGACCTGACGGAACATTGACTGTGGCTCAGCAAGTCGCGGGGCAGACGCGTTCTGCAACAGCTCCCTAATTGATGTGGCTTGCACCCATCATACAGCGCGTTTCGTTATCACAACCTCCAGTCCCAGCCAGCACTTGCCATGAACCTTCCAACGACTTGTCCTTCCTTCTCGGGTCAAGTTCAACACTGCCTAAGGTAGTACCTACCTGGGTTCAAACCCTCCTCCACACTGGGTTTAGGAAGGGGACGGCTGCCCAGGGGCGCTCTCTGACCTAGACGCCAATGAGGCCACTTCACGAACTAAGTGGAAAGATCAATAATGGCAGAAGAAGATCCCGCCGATGTCTTTGCCTTCCCGGACTTCGGCCAGACTTCCCAATGGCTGAAGCTGTCACCCGGTCCTAATGACCACTTCTTCAATGCCAAGATTGATGCTTCAGAGCAACCATTCTACAAAACCATCAACAGAGCTGCAGCCGGATTCTTCAAGTTGCCTGCCTCCTTAGGCTTTGACAACCTCAATGGACACGACTCCAAAAACGATGGCAGTGCTTTCATCCCTGAACCGCTTCACGATATCAAACTACCGGACCTCGATATATTCGATGAGATATGGCAACATAGCGACGTACCACCGGCTACCAGCGCCGAATTCAAGACCTGGGATGCGTTTACCATGCCGGAGATCCCTCCGGCCTCGCCTCTGTTCATTACCGAAACTGGCCCTGTCGTATACGATGCTGCCATCGTCTCAGACGAAGACCCCCTTGGCATTGGCAATAAGAAGCATAGTATCGTCCAAAGCAGTCCATATACCACAGCCCTGTTGGCCCTTGCTCTTGGCAGAGGCTCAGCATTCTTCACGTGGAGCACTGAAAAGAGATGCTTCACCCCGGACTTGGAGAGCATGAGGATATCCGGTTATTCTGCAGAGGTCCTACAAGGCCTTCAGGCGTGTTGCCTCGAGTGCGGAAAGACGACACGGTTCCTGTCGAGTTATGTTCAGCTTACATACAAGACCCACCCCAGTGCTGTCAGGGTCGCGCTGGCAAAGGCAGTTGATGTTCTCCTCCTAGCTGTACAGCGCCAACTTGGAGAGCGTGGAAGACAAGTGCGATCACTGTTACAATTACAATCTCTGGTTCAACCAGTTCGGTCTGTCTTGACCTATTTCAAATCTATGATCGCGAAGGTGTCGAGGAGCAGGACGGACGAGGCCATGCTATCGTTGATCTTCGACGAGACACAGAACCTAGAACACGGGGATGCGTTGCTCAGCGAAATCATGCGAGAGGTCCTGTCGCGAGCGTCAGAGCCCTGGACCGACTTTGCTGAGAAGTGGGTAGGGGTCAAAGCCGAAGAAGGTATTCCGATAACGAAAGAGGGACCTGGCAAGAGTTTTGTCAGGGTCGATAATATCGCCATGATGGATGACTTTGGGTTTGAAGCAGAAGATCCTGACTACATCCTCGATGAAACCCGCATGCCGGGTTTTGTACCCGGAGAAGTCGCTCTGGTATTGTTTGAGACAGGCAGAAACCTGCGGCTTTTACGTACCCACCACCCGGAGCACCCGCTCTGCCATATAAAGCTCATCATGTCGAGCAAACCACCTCCCCTCGAATGGTGTTTCGACTGGAAAACTATCGGTCAGCTTCAGGATGAAGTGTGGGATTACGCCAAATCCGTGGCGGAGAAGATTCAGGATGAGACGGCGAATATAAGTTCAATACATGACGACGCCGAAGGTAGAGGCCTTCACTCAGCCCATGGCGACGGAGGGTTGCAATGCTTCGGACACGATGGTGAGCAGCTTGAAGGACGCTTATTGGCATCGATCAAAGCGCTGAACCAGCCACCGTCAGCGGTCTTCGAGGAAGATGGCCTGTCGAGTTTGCTGCGAAAGCGTCTATTCAATGATGACGAGTCATCCCAGCAGGCCGTGGCTGACTTCACTCCGCATTGGTCACTGATACCACTACATTCGTTTGGTCCACTCGTTACGGTGCAAGCAAGGATAGTAAACCGAGAGTACATGAAACTGCTTTTTGGTGCTCACAACCTACGTGAGCACCTTGGCGTACAGAAGCAATTTCAGCTCTTGGGGAACGGCCTCTTCTGTAGCCGACTCTCGCATGCACTGTTTGACCCCGATCTCGAGACAGCTGAGCGGCAGGCTGGCGTGGCTCGGAACGGTGGTGTCATGGGCCTCCGACTGAACGGGAGGGATAGCTGGCCTCCCGCTAGTTCGGAGCTTCGGCTCGCTTTGATGGGTGTTCTTAACGAGAGCTATCCATCCTCGGCGCCGCCAGAGTCACGATATGCTGGCCCAGAGAGCAACAAGCTTCCTGGCGACCTCAGTTTTGCTGTACGCGACCTTTCACCCGAGGAGATCGATAGGTGCCTGGACCCGAGTTCGCTCGAGGCGCTGGACTTCCTACGGCTATCCTACAAGGCTCCTGCGCCGCTCTCGCCGATCATTCCGCCCGTGGTTCTGGTCAAGTACGACAAGATCTTCAAGTTGTTACTTCGCGTGCTCCGAATGCTCTATGTTGTGGGCCAACTCTTCCGAGATACATCGACAAGACTGAACCAGAACCATGATGTGGACGAGACATGGTTGCGTTTCCGCTTTGAAGCGCAACATTTCGTCTCGAGCATAAGTACCTACTTCTTCGATACAGGAGTGGAGAGACCATGGCGGAGGTTTGAAAGCTGGCTTGATCGAGTTCAGTCGGATCTCCTGAAAGACGACATTGACTCTAGAGAGGCCCGGGTACTAAGCCCGGACGAGGTTCGCGAAGAACACGAGCAGATGCTGGATCGCATGATGCAGACATTGCTGTTGAGGAAGAGGCAGCAACCGGTGTTGAAGTTGGTCGAGGAGATATTCTCACTGATCCTCAGGTTCTCGAGGCAGGCTCAGCTGGAAGTGTCCGGAAAAGTGGAAGGTGACGCTACCAAAATGCTGCTCCAGAACCTTTATGCTACCTTCAAGACGAAGGTGGAGGTTTTTATCACGGTATGTCGAGGCCTCGGTGAAAAGGAGGCCGCCACAAAAAAAGCGACGAAGCACGATTTGACGACTGATGACACCAAGCGAGGTGAAGACTTGAGGGAGGAGAATACTATTGATAGACTTTTGGCCAAGTTGCAGATTTCGGGCTACTACTCTCAGGCGAGGCCCGGACTGTGATATTTAGAGATACCCCCAATGCAGACAAAACTGATGCTCTTGAGCTCATCCTACACCTACACCATGGTTATATGAAATATGGCAGTGGCCGGATGTGACATATTCCAATCTACCTCTTAGTCGTAACGCTGGTAACGGCTGCCCCTCATCGCGTCCACCAAGACGCGCCTTGACCTTTACTTTGAGGCTTTGCCCACAGAACCCCGCCAAACCCTGAAATACCTCCATCCCGAAAACAACACAGCTGGGCACCTCAACCTACCTGCTCTAACACACATTGCAATCATGTCTCGACCAGGGACGTCGTCGTCGGGCAGGAACCTGACCTTGACCGAAGAATTGGAGAAGCTAGAGCAGTCAATCACTCTTACCCTGCAAGGTAGGAAGACCGCATCAGACCCGGGCATAGCTCAGACAAGCGACTAATCCCAAGCCTACAGAGATCGATCACAACTTCAGCAAGGCCCACCGCATTGTAACCTCGAGCATATTGCCTCTCGTCGAGCAGTATGGCGAGCACTCCAAGAACGTGTGGGAAGCCTCGAAGGTGCGTACAGCAGTAATCCAGAGCCGAAACGCTAGAAAACTTACTAATGTCGACTTCACCGCAGTTCTGGAAGCAATTCTTCGAGGCCTCCGCCAACGTCTCGCTATCCGGTTACGAAGACCTAGCAGGCGATGACAACGAGACCACGCGCGCCGAAGAGACAGCCCTCGACGAATCGACCTCAGACTACAACAACACAACACAGGGGGACACGACAGTCGAGCAGTCCGGGTACGAACACCAACACCAGCAGCGCAACGTCGAAGACTCGCTCCTCGACGACGCCGAGATGACCGGCAGCACGCCGCGGCCCCCGTCTTCCAAGTCCAAGTCCATAGCGCGCCCACAGTTCGCCGGCTTCGGCTCCCCCTACGAGGCCCTGCGGCGCGAGCTCAAGGGCGACGGCGGAGTCTTTAAGGACGACGAAGCCGACGCGGTCTCCGACGCCGGGTACAACGACAACGACGACGATGACGAGACCACGGAGCTGCCCGCCAAGCGCACACGCACCAATACCGCCTCCACGCGCCTGCCCGACATGTCGATGACGCCACGCTCCTCGTCGTTCATGCTCGAGGAGCCGACGCTGCATCAGCAGCAGATGTTTGACGACGAACAGTCGGCCATGGCCCGCAAGCCGAAGGACCTACTGCTGCACCGCGTGCTGGACAAGAACTACCGCCTGCAGGCGACGCCGCACAAGGGCGTGCCGGTGCTGAAGCCTCGCGGGCGCTCACGGTCGCCGGAGAAGAACGGTCACGGCGGCGGCGAGGGGACGGCGGAAGACCGCACGCGGCGCGCGCTGTGGGCCGACAGCCCCATGAGCTCGCCCGAGATGGCGGTCCCGAAGCTGCGCAGCGACCTGTACATGTCGCCCGTGCGGCTGCGGCGGAAGAGCGGAGGCGGGTACGGGCCTCGGACGCCGGGCGTCAGCGTGCAGACGCCCGCCACGACCAAGAAGCGCGACATCTTCGCCGAGGCGCGGGGTGGTGGTGATGACAAGGGAAAAGGCAAGGGACTGGCGCTGGGGAGGAGGGATCCGGACGAGATTACGTGGGAGAGCGACGAGGATGACGATGATACCGGGGGTGGGCTGTTTGGGGGCATGAGCCCGCCCAAGACGATCCAGTTCGCGCTGCCGGCGAGCAAGCTTATGCAGACGCCTGGTAAGTGGCTTCCCTTGTCTTCTTTTCCCTGTTCAGGGGGTTGAGACCAGGTCTTGGTGGTCCCAGCTGACAACGTGATCCATAGCACGAGAAGCGAGCAGGAGGATCGTGGACGACATCCTGATCACGGCTGGCGCGGCGCCCGAGGACCCGAACGAATACAGTCCTACCATGGTCCACATGAACCAAGACATTTTGGACGATACGTTCTAGGTGAAGTCGAACAACGGAAGATTTGGCACGGATTCATCATAAAATGTATGAACAGATTGCCTGCAGCAAGAGGTTGCACGAGATATACTCCCTGCTTGCTGAGGACGACATAAACAAAACCAACAGATGGCGTAAGTAGACAGACGAGCATACAGACAGGAAGACAGTATCAAGATACCCCCTATTTCATCAAATTTTGTGCTGGTGAAGTGCTGATTGACTACACTCGCGTTGGAAATCCTAGTATTCAGCGCTCCGATCTCCTCACACGAACCAAGCATATGAGGCATTGCGTGCCCCTATTCTACCCAAGAGCACTTTGCAAGAGCACTCTACCCCTTTCCCCTCGTCTGTGCACACAGCGAGACCCCAGTCCGTCTACCAACTGCATCACGCCAACTCATCACCGCCCTACTCGCGCAGGGCGTAGGTCAAGTCATGTAACGCTCAGCTCTCACTTAATTACCACTCCACTGTCATGGCCTGCGTCGGGGTCTCAGTCACCTAGCTCTCCGACCCCCTTTCTTACTTGTTGTCTGCCTTGTCGTCTGTCCTGTCGTCCTTCTTGGCAGCATCAGACCGCGTGAACTTGTCCTTCAGCAGCGCCTTGGTGCTGCCGATTGTGCTGGTCGACAGGATGGAGACGGAGTCGTCGGCTGGCTTCGAGGTGCTTGGGGATGTCTCTAGGTAGGGAATGGTCAGACAGTACTGTTGTCTGGGGTGGTGAATCATACTGCTCTGCTGTTGCCCCCCATGCTGTGCCTTTTCACCCTCGAGGATCGATTTCAGCAGCGAAGCTGAGTGCTTCCGGTCTTGGGTGTAGTTCTGGCTCATGATGGGCAGATATCGATATCGATATCATGGTGTTTGGGAGTATGACTGGAATGGACCTGATGGGGAAGGGGCCAATGGATCTGGTTGTTGTCTCGATCTTTGAATGATTCTTGTCTGTTGGCTATCTTCAGGGAGTATAGTCACAGCCGAGGCTGCATTCCTCGTATAACCACCACGATCTTACTGCATATAATTAATTACTCCCGTCTAAACTAGGAACTGTTGTCCAATCCGACTCATCGCAACCAAGTACAAGTGGTCCAACCAGGAATTTTCGCAGCCAATAGGAAAGGGGTGCCGACGAGGCTTACTCGACGTGCATGGTCGCGGCGAGTGAGTCAGATGCGCATGTAGATCCGTCCTTACATGTAGTCTGCCATCTAGGAATCTTTGACGCGTACTCAACGATAAGAGTATGGCTCACTGGTCCATGTATACCGCTTGTATCAGTTCTTGGTGTGACGAATTCCTGCCTACTTGTGTATCCTATCTGTCTTGCATGGAGTGAAGCACTAGCCAGATGACAATTGGTCTGCCTATGGACAAGCAGCGTCCCGATGTACGCGGTCTATAGCGTCAGCCTGGGATGCGGGCACACTTATGCCAGAGCGCGGCGTCGCATCAGACAAAGCGGCATCTTATCATTCTGACTTTATGACTCGAGAGGTCGGTGGTTCCAGCTTGTGGGTAATCTACTTAAGTATACATCGTTTTGAACTCAGACTTCTCTTCGCAAACATATGTAGGATGTGCCGGGACTCTGTACAGTAGCAAGCGTACACGGCCTTGCAGGCGTGCTGTTTCATCTAGCTCTAGCTCTATTGTGTAGTCTAATGTATGCGCATAACCGTAATCATCGTGCCGTCGCCTATGCCTTTTTGTGCTCCTTCTGCCACTCGACCGAAAATGGGTAGTCGGTATAGCCTTCTGGGGACTTCGGGTTGTAGAACTTCTCGCGATCGTACTGCTGGAATTCAATTCCATGCTGCAGTCTGTACACCAGATCTGGTGTCGAGATGAAAAACCGGCCGAACACAATAGCGACATCCTTGTCATTGTACTCCTCATCTATAGCCCGGCGGGCAGAGTCTGGCTTGAAACCTCCAGCAATGAGTATCGGGGAGGTGCCAGTCCAGATGTCGATGAAAGGGTCGATCTTCTCAGTCGTCTCGACATCGGCGTTGCCTGCTATCCTGCTCTCGACGAGGTGGACGTAGGCGAGCTTCAGCTTCTTCAATTCTTGCATAAGGTGAGAGAACTGCGGAACGGGGTCTTCCATTCTCATCCCCTGGAACGTCGACCACGGTGACAAACGGATGCCGGTCTTCTCAGCGCCTACAGCCTCGACGACTGCTTTCGAGACCTCGATGCCGAAGCGTGATCGGTTCTCGACACTGCCTCCCCACTTGTCTGTCCGCTTATTCGCAGTATCTTGTGTGAACTGATCGATCAAATATCCATTGGCACCGTGGATTTCCACGCCGTCGAAACCAGCGCCCTCCACAGCGTTCTTGGCAGCAGTGGCATAGTCTTTGATCATCTCTTGGATCTCATCCTCTGTCATCGACCTTGGCTTCGGCGAGTTATCGCTCATGGCAACATCACTCGAGCTGACAAGTTCGCCCGTACCTTCCTTCTCCTTCTGCTTCGCATCTGCTGTCCGGCCGAGTGCCCATAGCTGCATGAAAATAACACCACCAGCCTTGTGCACGCTGTCCACAACCTCCTTCCACGCCTTTATCTGGGCATCGGTGTAGATGCCTGGGACATTCGCATAGGCGCCTGCTTTGGGCGACACGATGGTGGCCTCTGTGATGATCAACGTTCCCGGGACGCAGGAGCGCTGGGTGTAGTAGTCCTTGACGAAGGGTAGCTGCACATGGTCGTCCTCGGCGCGGAAACGGGTCAGGGGTGCCATTACGACTCTGTTGGAGAGCTTGTAAGGCCCAACCTGGAGAGGCTGGAAGAGCTTCGATTGTTGCGGTGCTGAGCCCATGCTTGCGGTAATGTATTGGTTTTCTGTGGGAGAGTACGGGCGGATTCGAGGATTGATTCAGGGGAAGTGGTATGCACGGAGAGGAAGTGAATGAAAGGACTTAATATACTTACAATCTTCCAATGGCACCATCGTCATAGCTCACAAACCTTTGCCCACTTGCATTTATCAGCATTCCACCTGCCTTAGCACGCCGTAGGCGCAGAAGTGGCCCACAGTCATGCGTGTGGCCGGGAGATTTCTCGGCTTTCGCCACCAACACCACTCGGTCGAATGATGTGTAATCATCCCTTGACACACGTGACACCACCAGCATCGATGCCTTCCTCGCCATGGAAGCGGATGTTCAGCTGAGAAGGAAAAGGAATGGAAGCCTTGCTTGCTCATCATATCGACAGATGTGCTTGGGGATTTCAGCCAAACAGCAACGCGAAGCATCATCGTCAGTAGTAGCGCGCCCAAACCTTACGGGAATGCGGCAGCGGACACTTTACCTCTTGAGACCTAGCTTACTAATACCCTCATGATACACCTCCCACTACACGCAAACCGCGACGCACAACATGAGCGCCGCTTGCCTCGGCCGTCCAGACAACGGGTGTGTCCTCATTCCACTCGCTCACTCAGCACACCCTTGAATCGTGCATACTACTCTAATACAGTAATTATAATCAAGCATATCCATCAGCCACCTAAAAACGATTTTCTCGAGAGGTATGCAGCATTTTGAAACGAGCCGAGGTATTTCAAAAGTGAATAGTAAGCAATATTTAACGCGTAACGAGCAACAAGCAACGCTGTTATGTTATGCTGATGACTGATCGATGCTACATGTAACGTCAAGTCACGCAGGAGACGACGCATTGCGGAGGACGCCCATGTTTTGACCCCCGCATGTTGTCAACTTCTCTGGACGTCCCTATGCTCGTTCCGTATAAATTGCCGAGCCCATTCCCATGCTCGACAGCTGCGATGACATTGCAACTTTTAGATTAGCTCTGTTGACTCGGCAGCTGTTCGATGTGGCAGTTAGTGCCTCGTGCCGCAGAGAGGTACATGCTATCGTACGCTGGACGAGGGTCAGCAAGGCAAGAAAGATAACGATGTCCGTCTTTTGTTTCGATGAAGGGTTTTCATGAAGCTCGATCTTTGCCTCATGCTATGAAGAACATATCTTTTAGTAGGCCGAAAGACTGGTCGACTGCAGGATCTCGTGTTGTCACGAGGAGGTTTCTCAGGACCTAGACTTGTGACTCTTCATCTTAGAAAGGGGAGTTCCGCCGATATTGGGTGGTTCGAACCTGTCAGAATCCCTCGTCTTCCAGCTTCTAGGCTTTAGCAAAGAGGTTCCAACTCAAAAGGCGTTGCTCAACTACCATCGCCTATTGAGCAGTGCCACGACACTTGCTGCTTGAGGATGACTACGTCTCACAATACCACGATGCATTGCCGGGTATGATACTTGCAGTTGATCTAGGTTCTACCATAGTTTCTTTGGAAAACATTTAAGTCGTTAGACGCAGCGCAACTACAGTCCCGGTGACTCATCCCTCATAAGTCTGAGATTTCAAAGTGTTCTGTATTAGTAGAAGAAGACGGATAGCTGAAGGGGGTACCTTCCTACTTGGATAACCGTGAAAGTGACCTCCCGCAGCTACCTAATCAGGTCATACCACAGGATGACCAATATACTGCATGTGCTCAGGCTAGTGCGCCACTGAGCACGTATTATGATAATAAGTTTCCGGCCGGCATGCTCCTTGTTACGAACCAACAAAACCACGGGCCCGTTGGCAGGCCTGAAGGGAAAAGGATGACCTATGAGGGAAGAACGGGGACACAATACAGAACAGCGCAGGGCATCCAAGCACGTGATCCAGGAAGTCAGGATCACGTGACTAGAGTTGCTCACGTCTGCTCACGCGAGCAACGGTGAGCAAGGGAAGGTTGCTTACTTCTGATCACGCGAGCAACAGCGAGCACATCTCATCAGTGAGAGAGAGACTGGATATATAAGGATAGACATTTCCTAGCTAGACAGATAGACAGTCTCTACCTCAGTGATCAATCTAAGCATCTTAGCCAACCTTAAGGTGGGAGAAATCTCCTGACGACTCGACTATACAGTGATCCTCTGGATCAGACCAAGCCCCAGCATCTGAGTGTCTTCTAGTTGACTCCTTTGTGTTGACTTACCTCAGAACATAAACCCTATAGAACCCTTTAGCCTTATAGGTTAGACGGCTCGTCACACTCCTGTCAACTCTAAAATATTAGTACTACATTCGTACTAATAGAATAAGCACCCCGGTATCAGCAGGTCTAAATCCAATTAGCAATATTTGATGCTTATTCTAGACTGTTTGTTTATGTTATGATAAACACACCTTCCGCTTGGTGAACAAAGGTGTATAGAGACTTTTAAAGGTTCAGCACATGATGATTTACTTCTGGTCCATGGGTTTGTTTCTCTTATATAGCGCGTCAACCACGTCCACGAGGCGCACTTAGAGTTCAGACCATTTCTGGAAGCTCGAGCTGTTAAATAAATAAATAAATAAATATGTTTGTTTGTTTGTTTTGTATTTAACGTGGGGGTAGCTCCTCAGTAGTGCAAACCACGCCTCCCAGAGCCTCTGCATCGCAGGGTTGTGGAGGTCTCAAGATAATAAGTACAGTCAGTCCCGAAAAAATAAATAAATAAAATCATTTTCCGTCACATGCTCACACATGCCGTCAAAGCCCGCACAAAATCACATCAAGAAGCTTCACCCATCGCTTCATTTGACACAGAATACTTTGGGAGGCTCGAGCTGTTAAATATCTGCACCATGCTTGATCATTCTCAAATCATTAGCAAATCCCTTCTTTACTTTGTCGCGAAGCAAACCCAGACCTCGACTCACCTCATCTGATCTTCGGCTCGGCACTGCTCTGACTTCCATAATGTCGCATCCTCACCCACGACACCAGCTGCTCCAGTTTGGCGACATGCCTCCCATACGTGTCCCTCTGGAGCCAGCCCACCCTAAACAGCCAGCGGGTCCCATCCAATACCGGCTACTGGCACTACCGCTGAACCTGCGAGACGAGATATTGTTACGGTATTACGTAATACCTCCACATATTCATGTACATATATACCCCTAGCTTCCCCGTTCTCTTCCGACCTTGCCTCTTCTTCCTTAGATATTGTTGAATCTAGATATTTCATACCATCAGCCCTGACCAGCGCAGCTGCAGGCCTGATTGTCACAGATATATCGGTATCTGTTCTCCTCGACTAGACTATCAGTCGGTTATTACGGGGCGTATGGAATCAAGAAGCGCTTGAGACCTCACTGACACTCTCTGGCCCTTCTTCGCTGTTGCCACCAAGTCCACGCGGAAATCGGCTCGTCTTGGCTCGGTTGGGTGCTGTTCAGTTTCGAACGTATGGACCAAATGCTGAACCACCGTAAGTGATACTTTAGTTTGATTCTACCGCTTCTCAGACTCGCCACTTCTCCGGTTCTGTGACCACCCCCTACGAGGGTTTCCTGGCATGAGTCAAGACTGGATGGAGTCTGAAAGCTATTGAGGGTGCAATGAAAGATTTGTTAATTTACAGTCTGCACGCTTCCGCGCCAAACTCTCGCTCAGGTTCGCCACCTTCGCGTCAGGATCAGCATGTATAACTGCACAAAATGGTTGAAGGACTGTGTCAAGCATCCCTGGGATTTGGAATATTTCAACGCGTTTCGCTACCGTCTGAAATCGCTTGCTCACTACTGTTACAGTATTACATAATACCTCCACATATTTATGTACATATATATCCCTAGCTTCCCCTTTCTCTTCCGACATTGCCTCTTCTTCCTTAGATATCGTTGAATCTAGATATTTCAACCCATCAGCCCTGACCAGCGCAGCTGCAGGCCTGATTGTCACAACTACCTACAACTACTACCTGGACTCCGTCTCGATTGCCTTACAGTCCTCGGCGAGAACTACTTCTCCGGCAACTGCGAGAACATCCAACACCTGATACTGCTCGGTAAGGGGATCAAGAAGGTTCAATTTATACTGCCCAACTTCAATGTGCTCGGTCCCGGCGGAGATCCCGCGGAGTCGCCCGAACGTCTTGCCAGCTACCTCAAGTACGGGAAAGTCCAGTCGCAGCCGAAGAGTTAGAGAAAGCTTCTTCTTGCTTGCGACGGTGCTGAATCCGGCTCTACGGTCAACTTATACCATGGCCTGAGATATCGAGGTCGTGATGCCAACATTCTCGACCCTTCGAACCGCGTGGCCCACAGGTATATTTTCAAGAAGCGCTCGGTCCGGTACCTATCCGACGATCTATCTGAGCTGGGCTGTTTGCAGCACGGCGATGAACTACTCGTGGTCGTAGAGCGTGGCGGCTCTGCAAACGACAAAGACAGTACCGCGGGCGCGAGCACGCATGATCCCTTATTGGAAAGTCAAGATGGGGAAACTGGCCTCGGGGCAATTCATCTCCGACATGCGTGGATGATGAGCACGGCGAAGTCCATGCCTGATGTGAGTGGAGATGACGCGGTCGAAGACACGTATCACGACGTCGACGAGTACGACTGGCAAGACTGGTTGTAGTTGCACGCGCTTCACGTTGACGATAGGTAACAACCTTATTCAGTACTCTCAGTAACGGCGGGGACCTAGATGTGGGACAGCCCCCCATGTGGGACAGTTTCCACACCAAAAGGCCACACTTGCACCCACGGATAACTCTGTCCGAATTAAAGCTATATATAATGCAAGTGCATCATTAAAACCGCCTTTTCTTGGAATTTTCAGCAATACTAATTGTTCTCGCGGTATCGTGCGGGCTGGCGGATTGCGCGGCGCGAAGAACGCACCACAATCGGCTCGTCATCTTCATCATCCGGGTTACTACCCTCTTTATCCACAGTAACACCCTCGTCCTCAGAGGGCTCCAATTCCTCCAATTCTTCTGATTCTGACTCCTCAGAGTCCTCAGAGAGAGATCTCTCTGATTTGTCAGTGTTCAGGTTCTGTAAATCAGCCAAAATTCGTCGTCTTTCCTCCCGACGCTCGATTACAGCCCTTCCGGCTGCTGTAGCCTCGATTTGCTCAGCAATAACGTCCCCAACCTTTCATAGCCGTTGATCAGGCTCTTCTTGAGGGGCCTGATACGAGCAGTATGGGGGGTCATTTATTGTGTGTGCCAGGGTCAATTCTTTTAGCTAGTAAGGCGAGGGCTGCACACACTTAAGGTGTGGCAGCCTCCCTTATCTTATCTAAGGCTAGCTTATGTCATCAACTAGGGCACTCACCTAGTGTGGGGCTCCTTGTTGCCACGCATCAGGGCCTTATGGCGTTGTTTCGGCTGCAATCGGAGTATTTCGTTGTTGAATACACGGATGTTGATTGATGCTATTGATTGTTCTGCTCTGTGTGCAGAGATTGATTATCTGTCTTCTTGGTGGGTCAGATGCCCTGTGCGTCTCTGCCCCACTGGAGATCTTCCGGTGTCTATCTCCGGCTCCCATTCAACACACCCCCCCAGGAACAACTCCTTCCATTGGGGTTGTTCCTGAGCATTCAGTCTGTTGCTCTTCCTGTTCAAGGTTATCTTTAAGTTTTTGTAGCTTGCCGGCTGCAAGTCTCTCATGGATATCTGTCAGCCTCACTTGCTCCCTGAATGTCTTGAACTTTGGTGCCGGCAGTGCCTTGGTCAGGCCGTCTGCAAGTATCATTCCACTCCGGACGTACTTGACGTCTATCTTCCCATTGCGTTGAGCTTCCCTTAGCCAGTGATTATGGATATCGACGTGCTTGAGCTTTGTTTGAAGTGTTTGGAGGTTCTTCCGCACTAACTTGATGGTCTGTTGGTTGTCACACCAGATCCGGAGAGTTGGACAGTCCAAGGATACGCCAATTTCTCTAAGGAGCCGTGAGACAAATATCACTTCTTTGGCTGCTTGGGCAAGGGATAACAGTTCTGCCTCTGTTGTTGAGGTTGTCACTGTGTTCTGTTTGTTTGCTCTCCAGCCAATGATGCCTCCAAATAACTTCATGGCATATGCTTGTGAGCTCTTTCAGTCAAGGCAGTTGTCGGCAAACGATGCATCGCTCCATATTTCCAGCAGATCTTTACCCCCCAACTGAAGAGCAAAAGACCTGGTGCCCTTCAGGTACTCTAATAAATACTCTGTAGCAACAGCATGTAAATTGTTTGGGTTGGTATTAAAGCGTGAAAGCCGAGAGGCAGCAAAGGAGATATCAAGTCGTGTGATCACTGCTGCGTACAGAATTGATCCGATCTTCTTTTGGTATCTGTTGATTGAGGCTGGCGAGGCAAGCTCGTCACTTGGGAGAAGTTCTTGAGACTTTATGGGGATCTCTGGGCACTTCTTGTTGTGGTCGATATGGCTTGTAATTTTGTCGATATATGAGGCTTGAGACAGCCAGATGAGCCGCTGTTTTCGGTCCCTGATGATCTCTATCCCCAAGAACCACTGTAGTGGCTCTCCTCCTGTCAAATTATAGGTAGCTTTGAGCTTCTTTGTGACCGCCTCAATAGCGTTCTGATGGTGTCCTTTGAAAGCTATCACGATATCATCCACATAGAAGAAGATGATCATGCCATCCTTTGTGAAGAGCCGTTTCGCCGTTGCCGATTAATAATAATAGTAAAACATGTGAACGACGGGAGTCTTGGCAAATCTCATAAGGGGTGGAGGTGTGCCGAGAGACTCGGACATTGCCGGACTTTGGCCGTCGTATTCGTATTTCTCCAATGCGACAGGCATGATAGGATCAAGGAGCGGTGAGTGGGACACAGGGACGCAGCTCTGCTGATTGGCCGATTCGGCATTTGCATTGCAGATGGATCCCCGTGAGTCTGTGACTGTCTGACACCGTCGGGCAGCACTGATTCACTGAACACACACTTCCTTGAGTCGACGAGGTGAGCCCCGCGCAAAGGACGAGGGAAGTCATGAATCACTGATCTCTGGTCTCTGGGTGGTATCTGGTCTCGATATTCCGTCAACACATCGTCGTCACCGAGGGATGGGTTCAAGACAGACAGGGATGGATCCAAGACTTGTAATACGTTATGCAATTGTCGAAGCCCCACGGAACGTTCGATGAGACCGTTTGATACAAGTGTAATTACCGAGGCTTCGAGTCATCATGGATAAAATGGGCTGCTTTCTTCAACTCGGATGCAGAATCGGCCGACTCTCCCCGCGCCCTACCTAATTAGGTAATCGACATGTGCAGATATGCAGGTGTGGTGGTGGTGTGGTGATGGTTCGCTGTGTGGCCGTAGTCTAGTGGGGGATGCCAGATCTCGGGACTGCCAAACCTTCGAATCTCAGAATCTGCAAGGGCCCCTCTGCTCGGATTCGTCCAAAGAAGAGGTCAAGCTATAACACCGTGGAAACACCAGCTGTCTTTTTAAAAAGAATCTGAAGAGAGGTTCAATGTTCACATCTATCAACATATCTCAGGTTTATTAGCAAGTGCGAGCGCATTCGACAATCCCGGTGAACACCCCCACTAACCTGGGAACACTGCTTACAGCGGTAACGCGCCTCGGATAGGGCTTAAGTTGCGGCGAGACAGGAAGGAACAGGGGCCCGCCCCAAGGGTTCAGATAGATGCGGCCACTAGCTAATCAGATAATTTCTGTCGTTCTTTCGATCCACTCCTCTGCTTCTAGTTCTGCTTCCCTGTCACCCTGTCTAGCCTGTCACCCTTTCCCTTTCCCTTTCCCTCGCGTCTTTCCTCCCGAGCCGACCTGCTAGGGTGCTAGGAACCCTTAAGGGTAGTCCTTCCTGTCTTTTTATCATCTCCTTCTCTTCGCTCCTTACTCACTTGCCTGGGCGCTCTGGTTGTAGTGCATTTCTCCTCGCTTCCCAGCTTCGTCGCGGGGTCTACCACAACAACAACAATATAACAATAACAAGAAGCATTGTCGTTGCGCCGTCGCCCCTCCCGCTTCCCCCGACGAAAACAACAAAACGGTATATCGCGAGAAGCGCCAACAGCAGCCATGGCTACCAACGCCACCGGCTTCACCTCGGTTCTGGTCGACGGCAAGCTGGCCGCCGGAAACCTGCCGCCGCAAATCGACTATCTCGTCGACACCATCGCGAACGCCAGTGTCATGACATGGATATTTACCATTGTCGCCTTGGCTGTCGCATACGACCAGAGTACGTCTCAGACACGCCGCAAGATAGTTCCCGACTCCTGCTGGGCCCCGGCTGACCGCAACTCACAATATAGTTAGCTACTTGCTGCAAAAGGGCAACATCGTTGGGCCAATGTTCAAGGAGCCTTTCATGGGCCCTTTCCTCCAGTCCTTAAACCCCAAGATGGAGGAATACATCGGGAAGTGGGAGAGCGGCCCTCTCAGCTGCGTCTCGGTCTTCCACAAGTACGCCTCACGTCCTTTGTCCACCTTGGTCTTGCACACCAATACCGACTGACACGTCCTCTAGGTTCGTCGTGATCGCATCCACCCGCGACCTAGCCCGCAAGATTTTCAATGCCCCAGCATACGTCAAGCCCTGCGTCGTCGATATCGCTACCAAGATTCTCGGAGAGGATAGCTGGGTCTTTATGGACGGGAAGACCCACGTTGACTACCGCAAGGGTTTGAACGGTCTCTTTACCCGCAAGGCTCTTGAGTCCTACTTGCCCGGCCAGGAGGCCGAATACAAGCGATACTTTGCCCGATTCCTCAAGATCACCAAGGATGCCGGTGGCGAGCCTGTCCCTTTCATGCACGAATTCCGCGAGCTCATGTGCGCCGTTTCGCTCCGCACCTTTGCCGGCTACTACATGGCCGACTCTGCCATCAAGAAGATCGCTGATGATTACTACCTCGTTACCGCCGCTCTCGATCTTGTCAACTTTCCCATCATCGTCCCCTATACCCGAACCTGGTACGGCAAACGGGCTGCGCAGATGACCATGGACGAGTTCGCCAAGTGCGCCGCCAAATCCAAGGTCCGCATGGCCGCTGGTGGTGATGTCACCTGCATCATGGACGCCTGGGTCAAGGACATGATAGATTCCAAAAGGTGGCGCGAGGCCAGCGAGAAGGGTCTTTCCACCGAGGGCCTTGTCAAGCCTGCTCCTCTGATCCGCGACTTCTCGGACATGGAAATCTCCCGTACTATCTTCACTTTCCTCTTCGCTTCTCAGGATGCCACCAGCAGCGCCGCCATCAACTTGTTCCAAGTGTGCGCGCAGCGACCTGAAGTTTTGGACAAGGTTCGCGAGGAGAACTATCGTGTGCGTAACGGCGATGTGCATGCTCCTGTCTCTATGGATCAGCTTGAATCAATGACCTACACCCGCGCGGTCGTGCGCGAGCTCTTGCGATGGAAGCCCCCTGTCATCATGGTCCCGTACAAGGCCAAGAAGGCCTTCCCAATCACACCGGAATACACGGTGCCCAAGGGTGCCATGATCATACCCACCACCTACATGGCACTTCGTGACCCTGAGGTTTACCAGAACCCGGATGAGTTCGACCCGGAGCGTTACTACTCGGGGGATGCCGAGGAGAAGGGTGCCAAGAACTACCTCGTCTTCGGCACTGGTCCTCACTACTGCCTCGGTCAGCAGTATGCTCAGCTTAATCTTGTACTTTTCCTCGGAAAGGCGTCCCTGCTTATGGACTGGAAGCACCACGCGACGCCCGACTCGGAGAAAATCAAGGTTTTCGCCACTATCTTCCCCAAGGTGAGCCATGATATTCCATGACCATTAGATGGATAGTACTAACGTGCATTAGGATGACTGCCCCTTGACCTTTGAGGAGAGGAAGTGGTAGAGACTGTGGCCAGGAGGCTGAGTCTTGGGCGCAGAAGAGGATGACTTAATGACCAGACAGGGAGGCCCTCCAATCATGACCACCAACCGGATTACCACCCCTGTTGGGGGAGGAGCAGATATCAAGCGTTAGCATTGATTTTCCAAAGAACGAAGAACAAACTAAGCTTAGAATAATTGTAATCAAGGTCTTGTACATAGTTTTATATCCAAGGCGAGGACATACGTGATGGTCAGCGATGGCCCAGTGTCCAGCAGCCTGGGTGGGAGGAAGATATATACCACTCTATGCCAGTCGGCTCTATCAAGTCACTCAGATGGAATATAACCTCGTGGTGCATGTAGTAGAATGTCCAGAGAAGGATGCAGAGGGTACACACAATTCGAAACTGGCCATCAGGATGGATGGAAAAGGAGCTGTAGCTGAAAGAAAGGTCCAACTTTGGTACCTCGCACCAACAGATAATGGACGACGCAAATAGACTTTTGGGGTACGCCGAGCCAGCATCCGGTGCCTTGCGTCTGTCGTGTGATGCCGTAATGCTGTAAGCCGACGTCCGTCCGGCCCATCCCGTCCTGGCTAGGCGCGGGCCCCAACTCAATGGAACTAATGGAAGTCTTGGAACTCTAACGTGACATCACAGATCTAGACGTGGGCTGTGCGGCATTGGAGGTAGCAGAGGATCCTCGAGAAGCAACGTTCCATGTACACTGAACTCTCATAAGTCTCCGTACACCCCTGATTCATCAAGCGAAAGGTGCGTTCATTACAAATGGAATAAGCATCGAAGGTGACTTTATAGCTATGAGCTGCTTGTTCCTGTCCGTTTCCTCCAGTATTTCCAAGTTTTCACGTGTGATATGTGATTCTTCTAACTTGGTGTGTGGTGGATAATATTGGGAAATTGAGAATATGTCTGTGTATATAGGGGTTTGAAGGATGCCAACACGAAATAGTAATGCAGTGCAATCATGAAGTGTGACGGTCTGGCGAAGACAGACCGTCACCGTTGTGTACCAAATTGGATACGTTCCAGAAAGGGAACCACGAGTAGTTTGCGGCTCCGTAATGACCATGTGTCCCTCAACGGCTACTCATCTCCTCAAGCCAGCTTTACGACAACTTCTCACTCGACAAACCTCACAACCGCTCCGGGCTCCGTCTCGACAGTGAACTTGCAATCGCGAATCGGATAGCTATACAGCCACCCCTCACGATAAAGCCTCTCCACCTCCGCAGGATCGTCGGCTTTGAGTCCGTGGAACCCGTTCTCGTCCGGCAGGATGCCCTCCGCGAACCGCTTGCCCTCCGCCTCGTCCTTAAATGTCCACCACTGAGGTGGCAGGCTGCCGTTGGGCACCTCGAAGCGGTACTCGGAGCCGGGCTGGATATCGGATGGCTGCTCGGATCAGTCAGTCAGTCAGTTCGTGAGTCGGTTAAGCGTCGAGGATATATGGACGGGAGAGTGCTGAGTGCTGGGTCGAATTCACCTTCATCCCACTATACTCGAAAATTCTCCCCACGGTGACCTTTTGCTCGACCTCCACCCCACCCCTCCTCATCCCCGGCACCACGAGGAAGCGCTCCATCTCGCTCCGCCGCAGGTCCAGCTCCACGGGCGGTCGCGCCCCGGAGATCCGCACAGCGGGACTTAGAGGGATGAACGACTCTGGCTCCCGCACGCTGCGCAGCCGCAGCGGGTATCGGTACGCTGTGAGACGGTCGTCCAGGATGGTCCAGCGCGCGTTGACGATGATGCCGACGGCCGGCTTGCTGGAGGAGAGGGTTGTGGCGGTTACTTTTATGGTGAGCGGTTCGTCGGGGTGCGAGAGGGAGAGGGTGGGTGTGGAGAGGGTGAGGGTGAGGGAGATGTGGGCTTCGGGTTTGGGGGACATGGTGGGTGGATGGGTGGATGGGTGGCTGGCTTTGGGTATGGGTTCCTAGGGATGTTTGATGGTTGAGGATGGATGAGTGAAAGAAGAGTGAAACCCTGGAAGGAAGGTTGTTCGAGGTGAACTGGATGGGGACGACTGATGTTTGCGATTAACTTGGAGTCTGGCGAGTCAACAACATACACACCTCATGCTCATGGCGGTCCTTGCAACCTAGCACGATTTTCCTCGGGCCAAGAGCACGTGAGAACTGACGTAAGTGGTTGCGCCGCAAATAGTTGCTTGCCGGCTAACAGCAGCTGAGCTGGTGGTGTTGTGTCACCTCAGAAAGGGGGCTGGCATTATGCGTAAGCAGCCTCCATCCTCCACGCCGCTCGAAATAACCATATCATATCATACATCAAGTGGTGACGCCAAATCGTCATCTGCAATCCCGTAGAGCTATAAAGATCTTCGGGAGGGTAAAAATAGCAGCTCGGACATAGTCAAGGTCAATGTGCCTCGTGCTCTTCACATGATGCAGCACATGAGGCTGGAATTCGCCCACCTAGCCTGGGCCAGTGTACAGTATCCTTGTCCACTTGGACTCTCAGCCAATAGTGGTTCTGATTTCTCCCTCTCTGCTAACTCCGCCCCCTATCCTCCTATCTGCCTCTTCACTTTGCGCATCCAGGCAGGCCTGCTATACCACGTAGTCTGGGTCCCAGGAAGGAAGGGGCGTGGTGGATGGTTGTCAACCACCATCGACGCTAGCAGAGAGGTCTGTACGCACCGCTCCGATGTCGATCGCCTTCACAACACCGTAGCCAAGCTGATGGCGATCAGCCTCACGGAGGAGCAAGCCACTTGCTCACCAGTATCGAGAAGCAGTGTAGGACTTCAATAGATGATGATGTCGGGGGCCTCACAGCTCCGATCTAAGCTGCGACTGTTGCTCCAGCTGTGAGGGCCATGGACTTTGAGGATGGAATGTAGGAGTATAAAGTCTCGAGATGAGCCGAGTGTGATTCTGTTCTTGTTGTTTGTACTTCAGCAACCATCCCAAGACCAGCCCTATCAGACTGTCAATTCTCCTACAAATCCCAGCCATGCGTCATGACGTCCAACTCCTGCCTTTTGGCCTCCTTATCCTAAGGAGTGTCTCTGCCGCACCGGCCACCCTCTCGTCCGCGATACTAGCCAGAGACTACACTGGCTATGATCAATGCAGCGATGACCAGAAAAACAAGATCAACCAGGCTCTCTCAGATGCCGCTGTGATGGCCAGACAGCACACTGTCGACAGGACGAAGGACGGCGGGGACACCGAGACGTACCGCTCGTCTTCCGCGTGAGTTGCCACCCGCCAGGTGCAACGATTGCATGTTCAATGTTGACACGATATTGACCCGTAACCAGCTACACGTACTACTTCCAAGACGACGAGTTCGACACGGGCGTCGACAAGATGCTCAACGCCATCGGGCAGCAGTCGCAGCCGCCGGCGCCGGACTCGGGCAAGCCCGGCGCGGGCGACCCGATCACGCTGAACCAGTTCACCGTGCACATAACCTGCGAGGACAGCCCGCTGTGCGCCGACGCCGGGGCCGGCACCAAGTCGCTGATGATCACCGACGTCAAGGCGGCGGGCGACGGCTTCACGCCCTCGATGCGCTTCTGCCCGCAGTTCTTCAAGGCCGACGAGCCGCGCACCAAGAATAACCTCGACGCCCTGCCCTACACGAAGAACCCCAGCCGCCGCCAGTCGAGCTGGTGCAAGCCCGGGATGAAGTTCAGCTCGTTCGAGGTCGCCGGCACGACGGTGCTGCACGAGCTCACGCACCTGAACGAGGCTGGGAACCGTGCGGGCCTGGCGTCCAACCCTGATGGGTGAGTTCTTTCTTCTGCCGTATCCAACCCCCCGCTGAGTAAGGTACGTGGGCTGACGTAGACCATCCCCAGGGGCAACACTGGTGGACAGACGCAGGGCACCGCTGATATCTACGGAACCAACGGCTATTCCGTCGACCCGGAGACGGCAGCGCGCCAGCTCCATACCAACTGGAAGAACGTAATCGACAATAACCTGCCGCAGGATCAGTGGCCGTCGTATGTCGAGAAGCTGAACGCCGAGAGCTATGCTGCGTCGGCTACTGAGTGGTGGTTCATGTCCACGTGCGCCTTTGACAGCATCATTGGGAACTAGGCACCTAGGTAGTCCAATATTTTGGCCGGTATCTTGTTTTGGGTGCGTTTTATCTGCTTCGGTATAAGTGAGCAACTGCGGCGTTTCGGTGGTACAGGTTGCTTGGGTATAAGGGGTAGGACGGAGGCACGCGCTGGTCGCTGGAGCACGGTTGACATACAAGGACATCTTTCGAATGGTTATATACGTACATGAATATGTCTCAGTGAGAACCAATGTCAGGGGAGTGGCTGGATTGTCCAACAATTACCTGGCCTGACGAGCTGCTGAGATGACCCCCCTTTCCCTTACGTCACCCCGCCCCTCCGCCCCCTTACTCTGGATATGGCAGTAAGATAGAGCCCTTTGATCACATCTGGGACCAAGCAGCTACACTGCACACTGAGCAGTCTCCGTAGACCCCGTAATCAAGGTTCTGGATACTCAGGATATTTTTTATGTGTGGAATAACCACTCCGGTACAAGCGTTTAACCCGGCTCGTGAGAACATAACTGCTTATTCCAGGGTGCTTATTCCACTGTTTGTGTCCTGTCAGGGAAGAACAGACTCGATTGCGAGGACGGAGACTCACGAGTGGTGACTGTAGGTACCTTCACAGCATTTGGCGACGCCTCTGCGTATCAGTATCCGTGTATCGAACAGTGCGAACGGACGTCCAGCAGCTTCTCCCTCACGACACCTACCGACATTCCCACTTTCGTATCATCCATCCCCTATCCTCGAACGTCGACTCGGTTCATGCGATGGATGGGCGACAGGGAGGGGCTCGACCTTTCCAGGATATTGATAGTAGTCCTCTTGACGCTTGTCGACGAGTATTCCGCGAGGTAGAGAACTACTCCGTCCTTCATCTCCAACTTTGAACAGGACAGCGCTCCTTTTTGTGTCTTGTTAAAAAGGTCTTCCGGCTCTGCGAGGAGACAAGAAAGGCAATAGAGAGTATCGGGAACAGAGCGTACCTACTTACAACCCTCTGGAATCTGACAGTCTTTGCGGGAGGCCTTCACATATATGAAAGAAACCAAGCTTACAGCAAAATGAGAATCCCAATTTAGGAACGGGTCTCATCAGGGGCAGTATTTGCCATGGGTTCGAAGACCCTGTCGATGTTGTGTCAAGACTGCAGACATGAAGATGTGACAAGAGCTTCCGTCAACTCCCCCCTAAAAGCTCAGGTGGACCCCTCGGCTTGGCGGGCGAGCTATAGCGACAGGGGTATCTTCTCGGATTATGACGCTATGCTGTGCTGTCGCAATATCTCCAACACCAAACATCAACCACACTCACCACAAACCAACCTACATACTCACTCAGGAACTCGACTGGAACAATGGCCCCCGCAATGTCATCACGACACCTCGCGCTAAGCTCCGCGCTGCGCACCTGCTCCCGTGCTCCAGCTTCAACTTCAGTCAAAGCTCCCCTCCGAACAGCCCGCCTCAGCACCGCCTCGCGTACAGCTGTAGCTTCGCGAAGCTTGGCTTACACGCAAACATCGCCCGCAACATCCACGGGACCGAAGCGACCGCAAGCCACGATATCGCGAACTACAACTGTCACACACAGTGCGACGGCGGGGGTCCGGTGGTCGTCGGAGTCGGCAACGGGGAGCACGATCTGGACCTTCGAGGAGGTATGTGACTGCGCCATCACTTGCCATACTGCCCTACTTGTCACGGCGTTTATGATGAGAGGGGTAGAGAATGGAAGCATGGCGAGCATATGACTACGGACGAGCTCAGTTCCATCCTCTCTCCTTTCATCAGCACACCACCACCTCCAACACCAACCTCATCACTTCTGCTGCTTCTCTTCCTTAACCCCTTACAAGACCAACCAGCTGACGCCTCACACCCCCAACAGATCCAAGACCTAACCAACTCCCCCTCCTCCACCAACAAACCCCAAGCAAAAGCAATCCTAATCGACACGCGCGAGCCCGGCGAACTAAAACAGACGGGCCGGATCCCGGGCAGCGTCAACGTCCCGATCACGACGTCGCCGGACAGCTTCCACATCCCGGCCGACGAGTTCGAGGACCGGTTCGGGTTTGAGCGGCCCGCGCCCGGGACCGACGTTGAGCTCGTCTTCTACTGCAAGGCCGGCGTGCGCAGCCGGGCCGCCGCCGCCATCGCGCGCGACGCCGGCTGGAAGCGCGTCGGCGAGTACCCCGGGAGCTGGGTCGAGTGGAGTGGGAAGGGGGGCAAGGTCGAGCGGTGAGGCGTGTCCCGGAAGGAGGGGGATGGATGTGACACGCTACGATATGGCGAGGCGGTGATAATGGGGTGCTCCTCTCGTGTGTCATCAGCTCGGTCATCCCAGGGAGGGGTATATCACGCTTAAAGCAGTACACAAACAACGTATTTGAAGCATGAACGAATCCTCGCCATGACTGAAATGAGGTGTACAGATACACCCAGCTAGTATACAGTGCACAGTATAAGCTTGATAAACGCCAAATAATGCCACCCAATCATACACCATCTGCTCTCTGTTCATTCCAGTCCATAATCCCTGTTCCCTAGAAGAACCTCGGAGGGTCAGTCGGCTTATCCCCAGCAGGCGGAGTGTCTCCGCCCGCTCCCGCATCAGGCTTCTTGTCGGCAACAGGACTGCCATGCGCAAAGAATAGAATCTTGATCGCGATGGCGAGGCCCATGTGCAAGGCGACGACGAGTACCAGCAAGACCTTGCTGGTCTGGCGATCGGTGGCGCTGAGCACGGGGTATAGGTTGCGTAGCAGGAATGCAACCGACAAGCCCCAGCCGATGCCGACGAAGACCCAGTTGAGGATGGTGACGGGTGACCAACTGATCAGCGCCACGGGGATCCAGATCAGGTTCGAGTAGCCATATAGCGCCCAGCACTCTAGGAGGTTAGCCGATTCGGAGCCGAAGTATCGCAGGGCGCCGAAGAGGAGGATCGGGATCACGAGCGTGTAGCCGTAGACGAGACCAGCCGCACCTGTATTGAATATGTCAGTTTTGCGGTCTCTAGCGCAAAACAAGGAGGTATGGATGAAGCCAGCAAGTCGGCGGTTCTCGCAAGTCACCCACGACCTAGGGGCCGCATCCAACACCCCAACAAGACGAAAAGGTAGATCGAACTCACCACTCAAAAGCTCGAAATCGTACGCAAACGGCCCGTCCCCGATCTTAGCTAGGTACTGGCTAATAGTCCCACCAAGGAACAGGATAAGCACGACGGTAGTCGCGATCCAGAACGGGCCGTACAGGTCGGGGTTGCCCTCGAGGACGTCGAGGAAGTTGGCGCGCGGGTACAGCGCGGCCCAGCACCGCGACAGCACCGACGACGTGTCGACGTCGAAGAACTGCGCGTAGAACGACAGCGACCACAGGTAGCGCTTCGATGAGCCGGACGAGGAGGACGCCGTCGCGGGCGGTGGGAGACCTGAGGCCGCGGAGTGGGTGCCTTTGCGCGCCCCGGCGTTGTCCTGGAAGTTCGAGTTGTGGAATTCGAGGTCCTCTTGGAGGTCGGTGTGGCCGAGGTCGCCCTGGTAGTGATGAGATGTTTAGTAAGTTATCGTCTGGCAAGCAGCTGGGAGCTTGAAGCTGGGAGCTGCGGACAGGACGAAGGGGACGTAGCTTACCTCGTCGTCGACGTCTACGACGGCATCGTAGCCCGCGCCCGACATCTTCGTATATCCACGAGGGGGCGAAGAATCGTCGGGAGCTTCAGGAGAATCGAGAGCCGACAGTCAAGGGGTGACGATAAGGCTATGGTCGCAAGTTCGTGGAAGCTGTCAACGACGAGATGTTACCCCAGTCTCTGGTACAGGGAGGTAGGTATGATTAAAGGCCACGGAAGCAGGCCGAGCTTTAGCCGCATTGCGCAGTATGCCAGTCAGCTGCAAGTGTGGCGGCCACTTGCGCCTATTGGCGGGCAGAGAAGCCCCCCCTGCAACATCGCACTGTCCTCCTGTCAAAAGAGACGGTCGTATCATGCACGTTCTCCCGTCCCTCACAATGGCATGACAGACATTACAATGTCTATATCAAACAACCAGTGCACATGATGCTTCGCATTTCAGCTGGCTGGAGCGAACTGGCGGAACGATCACCGAGCCGCTGTACTTATTACACTGCAAAATACCATCTCTCAGCTTGTCAGGCAGGCTATGTGCAATTTATTCCGTGAGATGCCTCTGTGACCAAGTCACAGCGGCGTGTACTCGAGGGCCCAAAAACGACTTGCTTGCACAAGCTAGTAGAGATATCGCAACCAGGACACGCAACCCCTTCCATCTTGCTAGCCCTTGGCATGAGAGGACGAAAGCAAAAAGACAAGCAGCAGCAGCCGCCCACCTCCATCTTCTCATGCCGATGAACGATGGCAATGTGGGCGTCGGTCGTAACTTATCATTCACTGGATGCACTTGCACGTGAGGATGCTGTAGAGCGAAGGGCGATCAGACATAATCTTCTGCCATTACATGTTGGAGCGTATGAGGGCTCAGCATGGTCCTAGACCCGTGTAGGAGCCCCAGATGACGCTTCCCTGGCTGTGATTTGAGCGAGAATGAACTGTACATATTGGAAGTTAGAACCTAAGACAGCGCATCTAGCGGACTCGTTTTGAGGTGTAGTAGATTGTTGCGGCGACTCCTGGGTTCGTTCGGAAAGAGGTCGACCGCAATGGAGCAGATATTGGTAACGAGGAATAGGAGACACAGATGGCCATAGAGTCGTCCTGCGGAGGGCGGTATGCTTCACTTTCATTCTTGATATCAGAGCCACAGCAATCCCCATCATGGGCAGTGATTGTTGCACGTGTTTCATAGCTCGATTGCAACTGGACTAGACTACTGCTATTTCCGCAGCAGAAAACAAGCCACCCGAGCACAGGAATCGGTCGAGATATCTTCTACCCATCCGACCATTTCTCCCTGATGATGTGATGCCCAAACCAGACGCCGAGGAGGATGAACCGTTGTGGGTCGAATTGTCTACTTCAGCTTCTTCTTGGGGCGGAGCTGGTTGGTGTGTCCGCACTTCTTCTTGCGGCAGTTGGTGGCACGAGGAGGGAGACGGGCCTATTTACAATGTCAGCAACCAACACACCGTGGTCGGGAGAGCGGGAAAGTATGCAAACTCACGTAGCACTTGCGGCAGATCATCTTGTCTGTTGGGCCGGACGTCAGTAACTGCCAGGCAATTTTGCCATCGAGAAGCGCAATGTAGGGTCAAGACGAACCGCAGTTGAACTTGGAGGCCAGGGCCTTCAGCGAAGGCTCGATGATACCACCGCGCAGACGCAGGACCAGGTGCAGAGTCGACTCCTATAGTTGTAATCCCCAGTCAGCCTCCGAACTTCACCACAGCCGCGCCGGCGCACAAAACCCGGTAACTCGTCTCAAATCGGGTATGTTGTATTCCCACGCACCTTCTGGATGTTGTAGTCTGAGAGGGTTCGGCCATCCTCGAGTTGCTTTCCGGCGAAGATCAGGCGCTGTTGGTCCGGGGGAATGCCCTCCTTGTCCTGGATCTTGCTCTTGACATTGTCGATAGTGTCGGACGACTCCACCTCGAGGGTGATGGTCTTGCCCGTCAGGGTCTTCACGAAGATCTGCACTGTAGAAGAAGCATGGTGGTTAGCACAGGATGATTCGTACGGTCGAGTCGCAGTCGAAATCGGTGCTGGCTGGCTTACTTGTGGCGATCCTTTCGTGAAGTGTGGTGTTGGGTGTGTTGTCGATGGGAAGATGTGAAGATGATGTCTGCCACTTGCCACTGGGCTTGATTAATTTTGGTGGGGGAATCGAAAATTCCAACCGAGCCCCAAGAAAGATCCCACAATGTTCTGCCAGCTGCACGCCAAGTGTGCGCCTCACTCAGTCGGACTGACCCACCTACCACCACCTCTTATCGATAAAGCCTGGGGAGATGCGCCACCAACTGGTCTGTAGACACTCCGGAACTTTCCCCTCTGTTGACCATATGACCGCGAACACCGTGGAAGGCAAAGCGCATTGCAACGCCAACTATTTCGTTCTCAATCGAGGGGTATCTCTCAAATGCTAACATCATCAACCATCATATTGTCGTATTCCGAACCTGCGCCGGTCTCAATTGCCTTGCCCTTGCCCTTTCCTCTATCCCGCCTCTCCTTCCCCTTCTCGACGCACCAGACCTCCAGACGCCTTTCGACCTGCGAAGCGCATCGTATAAGGGTATCCAACGGTATAGCCGCAAGGTCCGCAGCTTTGATGAATAGCATTCTCGCGGCGTCCGGCAGATCCTCCTCGCTTCGCCATATTGGACATAAATCTCGAGGTTGCTTCTTGTGGTCCCCCGGCACCTCGACAACCGGCTCGATACTCCCTTCGTAGCCTCCCAGGGCCCTGTATTTCCCCCTGATCCGCTCGCCATTCACATCGGGTTCGAGTTCCGCTGGCCGTCTAGGCTCAGAAGGGCGCTGCTGACCTTGAAACGGCTCGCGTATTCTCTCCGTTGCTAGCAGCTTGATCAGTATGAAGGCCACAGCAGACAGAATATAGTAGGTAGCGTAGATATGTGGCTTACTCTTGGAATCGCCGTTTCCAACCCACGTCTTCTCGAACCAGTCCATGAAATCGTCAAGTTTCGTCTCGTCTATGCTAAGAACGTCATTGGGCGTGACCTTGTACTCCTCGCCGTGTGTCAGATTGGAACGCTCCTCCACGGGCGTATCTGCCATGACTCTCTGCCACTGTGACCAGTCGACCTTGGTGCTTCTCGGATCATGGTAGCCGATCGGGGGCCGTTCGATGCCGTCCAGTGGGTATAGTAACTTCGTAGATAGGACGACCAGTGCGATCAGAAGTACTTCGGGATTGTCCATGGTGCGCATCTTCTTGCCGCCCATTGGATACGAATAATCCGTGTGTACAATCTCTGCAATACACTTGACTGTCATGTATACCTCCACTAGAAAGTGTCAGTACACCTGCGCTATACAGCAACGAGAGTGGTCCTGATCTTACTTGGCAATGCCAGCTCGGTGATATATCCAACAAGTACAGGAACGTAGTTGAGCGGAGGAAACACCGTATCGAAACTCATCTTAAACGAGATGACTAGATCCTGCACCGCGGTCTGTAGCCGGCCAGGCTGTAGATGGTCTCTAACCTGCAGAGCACTGTGGTATGCCGCGGGCAAGCGATCCCGAACATTGCGAGGGATATTGTTGAACTAGGTAAAGCCATGTCAGTAAGCCAGCGAGCCTTGGAAGGTCTAGTAGATAAGATGCCATACCGCTGCGAGAAAGTCCATATCCCCATTTTGCACCCATCGATACAAGTCCCCCGTCGAAACCGGCACACGTCGAACCAGACACCCCAGATAGCACAGGGCCAGCGTATCAATGAGCCTCGGCAGCTTCCACCGCCTGGCCGCGTCGGGCGCCCATGTAGCAGCCGTCGTCGCATCCGAGAGGTCCACGTCCGACGACTCGCCCATCTCGCTCTGGGACGCGAACAACGAAGACGCGCCATCATCGTCCCGCCCAGCAACAACACGTCTGCCCCCCCTCTCCCTCAGCGGCAGATTGCGCACGCGCAGCGCCCAAAGCGCCCTGACCACCTCGGCCAGATCCTCAGGCAGGCCGCGCCCCGCGACGAGCCAGCGGACCTGGCGCACGAGCAGGAGCTGCAGGACCTCGAGATACAACTCGCGGCCCTCGTCGCCGGTGAGCTTGACGGCGACCTTGCGCCGGGGCTCCTTCTTGACGCGCGAGACGCGGCCCTGGGTGCCGAAGGCGTCCTCGTCGGCCTCGTGCGCGGCGAAGCCCTCGAGCCGGTGGCCGTTGCGGCAGTACCGCAGCGCGTCCTGGGCGTACCACTGCCGCGCGCCGCACTCGTCGCACCGCTCGCCGCCGCGGAACTTGTGGTACTTGGTCGGGGCCATGCTTATTTCGTGTGCGGTCCTTTGGGTTCTGGTTCTGCTGGGACTGCTTGTTGCTGTAAAGCTGCAGCGATGATAAAACAACTACAGGTGCAGGTCGGTTGACGGCAGAAGTTGTAAATGTTACGGCTAAACTTGACAGGCGAGCTTGTGAGGAACCCAGGGCCTGTCGGTAAGTTCTCAAAGATGCAGCATACAGTAGCTGGATTGGAGGTGTTTTCAGTGACAGAATATGGTGTACAAAAAAATAGTATTACTCCGTGTATTTAGGTAGGTTTATCTCATCGAGGGTTGGACGATTACATGCTAAGAGGCAAGGCCAGTCCAACGATCTTCACGACCGTACAGGCAGGCAACTCGGTTTGTCCCCGTTCCTACCTACCTACCTATCCAAGACCTTATGCTTGGCTACCATCTTCCTCCTTCTCGGCGCCCTTTTTGACTTACAAGTTACAAGGACCGAAACCGATCCTAGTCGCAAGGATGGCGGGATCTTTTGACTTTCCTTAGCACTGTTTAGTGATGCCACCAAGGCGAGGTTACTAGCAAACCGTTCACGGTAACGACGAGTGCGAGCAGAATGGTGGAAACCCAGCCTGTGTCACAGGTTGCGCTTGCGGTTTGCGAGATCCACGGACAGATCTCAGTATCACGGTCACGGCAGATGGGCTTGGAGCTTTGGTGCATGGAGGAATATATGGGACTGTTCTGTAGAAAGGCAATAAATGACCCTATCTTCGCGGTTCATCTGCCTTGATCTCAGCCAAGATACGATATGGCTAAACTGGGGCGAAACCAGAACCGCAAAGAAAACGAGACCAGTGAAATCGTTTCGTTTCCCAGTCTTCGTGAACAGCTACGCCCAGATAAACTCCTTCTGCCGTGTCGAGATGCACAATTCCCAGCGCCGCCCGATTAAACACGGCAGGATCAGGCTAAGTGGAAGTTTTCGTCGAAAATTCCGCCCAACTAAACGTCCTTGAGATCGCACTTGGTGCAGTGCTGCTCGCCCATAGCGGAGGTGATGGTAGCGGCTGTGACCATTAGCCAAGGTCCTATGAGCAAGGATATTACGAGAACTTACTGGCTTCAACGTTACCGGCCTCAATGTCGGCCGCGGCATCCTTGATCTTCTGGCCAACCTCGTTGTCGGGGACTCGAATGTGCTCGGTGGTAGCTCCGGTGCTCTCGTCCATGAGGTTAAGGTAACCGTCCTCGGAAACGCTCATCTACAAGACAATCATACAGTCAGCTTAGGTCTTTCGGACGGATACGAGTGTTGGGGTCGGGCGCGGAAGTACTCACAAGCATGTACTGGTCGGTCTTGACGATGGGGACATCCATGTTGTGGGTGGAAGGGCAGAGATCCTCGAGCTTCTTGGCGGTGAAGATGTCGATAGCAACAAGATGGACCTTGGCGTGGCCGTGCTTGCCAGTCTTGGAGGTGGACATGTCGACGATCTTGCAGGGACGGCTCTTGATGCAAACGTATCCGTTTTTTCTCAGAGCCGAACACTGCATGGGGGTGACCAGCGACGCGCCGGCGTCGGTCGAGTCGAAGGTGTGCTCATGCTGCAGAAAATAAAGTCAGCAATAGGAAGACGTCGCAAGCGTCGGGGGTACGAGGTAAGCACGACTGCCGCGCGGAATCGGCACTTTGGTGGTGAAGGTGAAGGTGATGGTGCTGGCTGGACGGCGGGGATCGTCTCGACTGATGATGGAGGTCCACGGGTGCGGGGTGAAATAGACGGCGGGGGAACGCATCACAGATGGGCGCGTGTAGCTGGCTACTCACCTGGGCGTCGTCAGACATCTTGAGGGATGATGGAGATGAGCGAGTCGGTTGGGAAAGGAAGGTCGGCGATGGATGCACAAGACGAAACGACGTGTTGTGGTGGTGCAGGTGTAGAAGATATAGGTGGAAGAGAGGGTTTCTCCGTTAGGTTGCGATTTCCCAAAAGGAGGGGAGAAAATAAAAATGGGCAGAGAGGCAAGGACGGGATTTTTTGCTTGGCTTTTCCAGACCGTGCCGACCGTGCAGACCGTGTTCATCTGCTTGTGATTGGACCAGGATATTTTTCGCGAAGAAGACGGCAGCAGCTTTTATGGTTGTGGGTGCGCTGAGCCGAACAGTGAATGGCTGATGAGTGGGCAGAGTGGGGCCATTAAGGTTCACCAGAATCCAGCGCAGCCAGCATCGTAGCTGTCCCCACCTGTGATCACAGTGGGCTTAGCGGACATTTCCAGGGCACCTCCCTCGCTCCAGGCCGTAGCTTAGCGTCTGAGGGTACCTAAGTACACGTGCTATCTGACACCTTACAGACCCACATATTTCAACATTGAATTCAGACTTCGGGTTGCACCTTCGTACAATTGCATACAGGGGCTCTGCATATCCCCGTACCTATTCCTCGACCTCAACATCAGCCACTGGCTCAAAGGCATATTAACCATCTATGCTGATTGCCATGCACTGTAGGTGGATGGATATGGTATTTGCATGCCTCACGTCCTGAACTCAAACTTCAATTCCATTTGAAGCAATTGACCCAATGGCTGCCGGTGTATTGATTGAAGCCCAGGCAATGGTAGCGCAATGTTGACCGATCAGGCTAACCCCGGTCGGCTTTAGTGAATAGCTAGTAGCCATTCAGGACCCAGCCAATCATCGCTCAAGTTCTGGAGTGAAACAATGAGTGCAGGTGCAGGTGGCAGAAGGGAAGGCTGTCGCATGGCCTAAGCCTTGCGCTTCAGGAGGCCCCTCGAACAACCACATTCACCAGACACATCTGACATATCTGACACATCCAGGCCAGAGAGAGTACCTAACCTCAATTGCTGAATGCTGCTAACGTGCTGCTTCTGAACAATTTACCAGACCGAAATCTTACAACGATCTGATTGCACTGCTGCCGAACTCCAGTCCCCATAATCCCGAATCGACTCGACAAATCCGCCATGACCCGTTCGAACCCGTGATCGGCTGTGTGTCCCCCATCTAGAACATGTGGCTCGATCGACTTGCTGGACAGTCGGTGTCGCCAGGTTCTTCCCAGCCGGGCAGTCGCGCCTATTCTCCCGCCCCTCGGAGATCGACCAGCGGCGTCGGACCTTACATCACATCTCAGCAACGCCCGGGCCTGACACCGAGATCGTCTTCCATCTCGTTGGCATCTAACGATTCCTCCACCTCGTCCCTGCTGGCGTCTTCGCGCAGAGCCAATAGCTCGGCCCTCAAGCAATCAACCACCGTATATGCTGGACCAGATCCGGTCGAAGTTTTGGGTACCTTGCTCAAGGATGGCGCGGGACATGATACCACGCTCGATAATACACCGGCTGCCCCGATATCACCACGAGATCTTGATCTCCAATTCGACTTTAGCAGGTCTTCTCTGCGAGAGCTAGCATTGTCGGACGATCCGGTCGTGGAGGCGGTAGATACCAGCATCTCGCAATCAGTGGAGGAATGTATGTTGCCCCGTGTACCTGACCTGGGTGCCAACCTGCTAATTCTAGCCTCTAGACGAGCGGGAGAAAGCGAAATTTGAGGATCTACACCGATCAATCCGAGCATGCGATGAGATACTCGGTTCGGTCGAGACAAACCTTACAAGCTTCCGTAACGACCTTGCCACGGTGGCCGCAGACATCGAAACATTACAAGCGCGCTCGACTTCTCTCAACGTGAGACTGGAAAATCGAAAAGCGGTCGAAAAGGGGCTTGGGCCAGCAGTGGAAGAGACCAGTGTTTCACCCGTGGTCGTATCGAGGATAGTAGATGGGCATATTGATGAGTCCTGGGTCAAGGTCCTGGCTGACATCGACAAAAGGGCCACAGCATACAAGAAAGGCGCGTCGAGCTCCGACCCCAGTAGGGGTTTGCAAGATCTTGGACCCCTGTTGGAGAAACTGATACTGAAGGCCATCGAACGCATCAGAGACTTTCTTGTTTCCCAGGTCAAGGCCCTCCGATCACCGCATATCAACGCCCAAGTCATACAACAACAGAACTTCTTAAAGTTCAAGGACCTATTCTCTTTCCTTCACCGACATCACGCCACCCTCGCGAATGAGATCTGCCTCGCATACATGAATACGATGAGGTGGTACTATGTCAACCAATTTACTCGTTACGAGACTGCTCTCAAGCGGATCAAGCTCCACATCCTGGACAAGACAGACGTATTGGGCAACGAAGATACATCTCGTAAAGGCACGGTTCTCTCAAGCTCCAAGATCGCCGGGCCGCCTCATGATGCATTCAACATTGGTCGGCGCATCGATGTCCTCCGCACCACTAATCAAATCGCGCTGCCTTCTTACTTGGCCGAAGAAGACCAGTCAACCCACTACCTCGAGGTCCTCTTTCGCAACTTCAATCTAGCCCTCATTGACAATGCGACGGCAGAATACACCTTCCTCGCGTCCTTCTTCTCGCCGGCTCTGAGTTATTCCACCATATCCCGCCACTTTACCTACATATTTGACCCAACATTTCAGCTTGGGCAGGCTTTGACCAAAGCGCTTGCGACCGATACGTACGACGCCATTGGGCTTCTATTATCTGTCCGTCTCAATCAACACTTCCAATTTGAACTGCAGCGGCGCAAGGTACCTGCAGCCGATGGATACATCAATGGAACCGCCATGCTCCTTTGGCCACGACTTCAATATGTCATGAATGCACATTGTGAGTCTGTCCGCGCCCTCACTACCGCGCTTCCAAACCGCCTGCCATCGAAGGCGGAGCAAGCAAAGTTGTCTGCCGCGCCGCATGTTGCGACGCAGCGGTTCGGGCAGCTCGTACACGGTATTCTGTCGCTGAGCACCGATGCCGGTGATGATGAGCCTGTAGTCACCAGTTTGAGGAGACTTAGGAGCGAAATGGAGGCTTTCTTAACGAAATATAGTGCAGGATTCGGCAATGATAAGAGAAAGAGAGAGAGGTTTTTGTATAATAACTATAGTCTGATACTAACGATCATCAGCGATGTTGGTGGCAAGCTTGCTGGCGAAGAGCAGGAGCACTTTGAAGGCTTCAAGACAGCGTTTCAAGAGGCTGCATGAAATCCACAATGATACCAAGCCAAATAAATGAACATATCCGGTGTCCATTGCGTTAGCTGAATGTTGCTGAGGCGGTGCGGCTGAAAGGACAGAACGTTTCATGCGGAAGCCATCCCGACCAAGTCGTCAACAGACGCGAGTCCATGTGGTATAGTTCATGTAGTATTGGAACTGGACAAAGCATGTAGCAACCGCCTTGAAGTGGATATGTAAAAAGCTAGTACATGCAAATAGTACAGTCAAGCCTCCCTGGATCTCTTTGACGTGACACTTCTACGATCCGCCCAGCCTCGTTGGCCACCAAGGGACGATAACCGACCACATCGACGTTCTCCGCAGATAGAAAGCACCGACGCCGACTGCGATGGTCAGTATAACCCCCCTGTTTGTCCACACTGTCTGCAGCACCTCCTTTTGCCTATCAGCCCACTCGAGCTCCCGGACCTGCCTGTCGAAGAAGCGGTGCCCGTCCTCGAGGCTCTGGCCGGCGCACGCGCGCACGTCCCGTGTGGTCTTGAGGGCGCTGGCGCTGGAGATGGACCGCCAGGCGCGCAGCGACTCGGGCGGGTGTTCGGCGAAGAGGCGCGCGGCGTCGCGGATGACGACCTCGAGGTCGAGGTCCTGGGGCAGCTTGGACAGCGTGAAGTGCAGCATGTCGGGCTCGTCGTGGCCGAAGAGCTCGGCGCGGCGCACGAGCACGATCTGCGTGAAGACGTACAAACCAAAGACCTGCTCGCGCGCCAGCAGCACGTCGAACAGGCGCGCGATGTCGCTGTAGCGCTGCACGTTGTGCGCGAACATGGTCAGCGTGTCTGACAGCGCGAAGTACGGCTCGTTGCGCGACAGGTGCGCGCACAGCTCCGGGTCGACGGCGTCGAGGATCGAGGGGATCAGCCGTAGTTGTGAGAGCGCCGGGTTGAGGGTCGGCAGCATGAAGTCCCGGATGCGCAGGGCCGAGAGCCGCGCCACGGCTGGTGCGCGTGCGGCTGGGGGCAGCACCAGGAGGAAGACCTGGCAGATGTCGTGATAGCCCTGAAAGTAGCACAGGTACGGCTGCCGCCGGAGGACCTCGGTGATGAGGTCCGAGAGTTCGGTTCTCTTGAGGTCCAGCTCTGCCTGCGAGTTATCTAGGAGCAGAAATTAGTGTCCGTGTTTGGAATGATACGGAGTTCTAAGCGCGTACCGTTAGGGTAGTAGACGAAGCTCCTGTCAACGTCCAGCTTGACCTGATCTTCGTCTTTGTGCCGTTCCATATCCCTCCACGACGGGGGTTTCTCGGTGGTGTCACCGGTACCCTCCGGGTCGAATCCAAGCAATATTGGCCCTGCCGACCACTATCAGCTTCCTAAACCAAAGGGTTGAGAAGGAGACAGAGCGAGAGTACCTACATGATTGGCTGCGTAAGGCGTCCGACAGTAAACCGCCGGGTGACACGGCTAGGGTCTTGAGAGCGTCGATGTCCATCTGCTCGCATGCGTCCAGGATGCGGGCTTTCGCATGGGCCGTGGCGGGTGTGTCGTGGTCCGCGGCGGCGTCAATATCGACAACATGCTTGGACTCAGCTTCCGAGGCCATTTGCATGGGGTCCAGTCGGACTGTGATAGACGACTGCAGTTCCGGTTGCCTCACCGGTTGCCTCGTGGTATACGGACAGCACGCGGCAGGTGAGACAGGGGTGCGAGTGGCATCGACGGTGTCAATGAAGGTGCCGATCTCTAGCACTCATCGGGCGGGCTGCTTGAGTGATGACGATGTCGGATATCCGGTAGAACACCTAGGTTTCTTTTTACTCGGGCTGCTCGTTGATCGTCTAGCAACGACACGGCATCGACTTGTCCTGAACCACAGTTTCCGGACGCCTCTAGCTCAGAGTTCAGCTACCGCCTAACCTGAAGCAGATGAAGGGAGGTTTGCGAGGCGTTTAAGCAACGGATGACAGCGCAGTTGTCTGGCGAGCAGGGTGTAGCAAGAAGCCTCGGTACGGTCATCTGGTCTCCCTTCTGAAGGCAGGCAGGACGAGGACGGGTTGAGATGCGTGGTCGGAGGTGCATGTGGTTTGCCTCGTGCATTCATGTAGTGACAATCTCAAGGCAACGCGCGGACCACCATCTTCCTGCTCTCAAATGAAGTATCGTTTATACACATATTGCATTACGGGGCTTTCAGCCCCGCACTGGGCGACAGAGACTCATACCGTTGACCTTACTTAAGGTACCTAGGTAGATACTTTTAGATGATCTCGAAAACGTTGTAGAACAACTCGCATGAGTGTAACGTATCAGCTGATATGACTTGGAAATTTGCTGGTGTTACTTGCGCCTGTGAAGTCTACCGACTCGTCGTAAAATGATGAAGGCTGCTGTTCGAATATGCAATGGTTCAGGTTCCATCCTGGATCCATGCAGCAGCTACCCGACCCTCAGCCAAAAACGACATGTCATTATGTGACAATGTTATTGTTCCAGACAAGACGGATAAGGGCAGTCACAAGGCCCCAGCCTCTTGCTTCAATTGGGATCACTTCATGATAGGAGGCAGGCGACATATTGCCTCCTGCAACCACCCAGTCTGCCAGTCTGCCAGTCTGCCAGCAACCAGTCTGCCAGTCTGCCAGCAACCAGTCTGCCAGTCTGCCAGCAACCAGTCTGCCAGTCTGCCAGCAACCAGTCTGCCAGTGCAGGAGGTGTCGCACTAATCTGCGATATGCATAATGGCGATTGCCTCAAACTGCCTGAAAACTTGTATGCACCTACCCGGTTACACTCAGCTCCTGCAGATGAAGGCAACCTCTCTACACTGCTACACTATCACATGCCTGCGTCATGCCCTTGCACACGTCGCCTCGAATCCGATGAACGATATCTTCTCTCTTCACAGCTACTTATTTTCAACTTTCCCAACTTTCCCGACCGTTCCTTTAGGTAGGCGCGATCGCACCGCTTCGTCGGTCTTGTGCAGCTGGTTCTCCACCTTGCGCCAGCCCGTGATCACCAAGGCACCGTCAACTGTTTCGCCCTGAATCTCCTATCACCAAGCCGTTCTCACGTCACGGCGTTTACGGTGACGATGGCTACGCTTCAGAATCATCACTTTGTCAACGGCCAGTGGGTGTCCGAGGAGATTCCCGTGCACGACCTTGCGAAACCAAGCGTCCGTCCACAGCCGAGACTCGAAAGACAACCGGCTCCGAAGCCACCTGTTTGTGGTGTGCTCACCAAAACAATAATCGAGAGTCCTATCATTCGATGGGCGTTGCCAGTTCAGCTGCGGTCTTCTCGCCACATCGATGTTGCCTTGGTGGGGGTACGTCAGTCTTGCTTTTCCCCTGCCAAATCATCGCATGCTCGTCGGTGCCGATGCTGATATCCAAACAGGATCACGGCGTGCAGATATGCGAGCTTGGTCGGTATAGGCAACTTCACGAAGTTGCCTGGAAGAATGACTTTGGCTCCCGGATACGTAATGCTCTGGTTATGGGCAATCCTCTTTACCCATTCGGGCTCCAGAAAGGAACTGAAGACAGCACACAGCCGACACAAGAGAATAGCGACACAGAGATGATGAATTCCGGCAATCCAATATCCGAGTTCAAAAGCGAGGAAACCCAGTTTCAGCAGCTGCTGGTACTCGTGCTCGAAAGCGGCCAGGTGGTCTTTCTCTTCATGCAACCAACATCTGCCGGCAGTTGGGAGTTTGTCTCCACAATCCATACCATAAAGGGTCAACGTCTAGTAAATCCGGGTTACCATATGGCTATCGATCCTTCCAGTCGCTATTTGACCCTTGCGTGCTCCGAGAACCTCTTCATCATGTACCAGCTGGAGCAGGTGAAAACACTACGTCTCCAGCACTCTCGAGAGCAGCCACTGCAGCCCATCATGACGACCCAGGCTCGAGCTGTCAAGGGAATAATCCACAAAATCGAGTTCCTTCATCCCCTTCCGCACAACGACGGCCAAGTCATACTGCTTATCATCATGATACAAGCAGAGGTCTCCAAACTGGCCATATATGAATGGGGTTCTACAGAGTCCCTTAGTGACGTCTTTGCCGCCGAGAAGTCGGGACATCGGCTCGATGATACGTTTCGACTGCCCTCACTAATTGTGCCTCTGACTGTCAGTAGCACCTTTCTCATCATCTCGGAGCAGAGCATGGCAATCTGCTCGGACGTTCTTGCTGGGCCACCTAACTTTATCCATTTCGAGCTCGACAGCACACAGCATCACAGTACCCCCCCGGCGGTCTGGACAGCCTGGACTCGAGGTATACGCATTGCCGCGTATCACGCAGAGTACAAGGATGTCATCTACCTAGCCAGGGAAGACGGGGCTGTCAAATACCTCGAGATTGAGGGAGAATCTGGTGGTGAGCCAGACATTGTGACGGATACTGCTATGACGCTTCAGTGCAACATCGACACAGCCTTCGCATCTCTATTCGACCCCGAAAGTGACGTTGTGTCAGAGGGTAAATCTGGTGGAGATGTTATAGTAACTGGCGGAGATTCTGGTTCTGGTGTTCTCTCTATTGTGCGATGTGCTCTGCTCCCTTCCCCTGGGTTTCATACTGATGTTATCTAGGCGCTACCAAGGGAGACGCTGCAGCCCATTGGCACAATCCCGAACTGGTCTCCCACGGTAGACTTCGTGGTGACCCCTGGTCCGTTCACTGGGGCAAATGAAGAGCTTACGAGAAGTCGTGGGTCCACGTCTTCAACCAGGAAAGTCACGAGACCAGATAGAGTATTTGCCTGCTCCGGGCGAGGAACTTCGGGAGCCATCATCGAATTGCGATATGGTATTGAGGCTAAAATCGGCTTGGACCTCACATATATTTCACCCATCAAACAGTGCTGGGCGCTACCTACCTGCTACGATGACACCTTGGACGACGGGTTCTTCATGCTGTTAGGTCTGCCAGATAGCTCTGCGATTTTGCATGTCTCTCAAGACCTATCTGATGTTTCTGAACGAGCTCAGAGCGCAGTGAAGCTTGATCTTTCTTCAGCGACTCTGGCAGCCTACGAGGGCGATGGCATAGTGGTTCAGATTACGACGGCACGTGTGACGATATTGACGCCCACTGCATAGTAAGTTCTACTGGCCGGGGTTATTCCAATGCTAATCTGGTTAGTTATCAGCACGTGACGAGTGATATTGTGGCAGACCCTGCAGCGGTTGTCGTAAATGCTGCAGTGGGTAACGGTATTTTCAGTCTGGCCGTGTACCGTGAGTCTTCATTCAAAATCATGGTCTACAATTATGATAGTACCAGCGTCTCCTTACCCCAAGAGTTCGAGGTGGAGGGGGAAGTAACTTGCCTCTCGGTCGAAGACATGGCTGGGAAGCTCTTCGTCTTCGCTGGGCTCTGGCAAGGTGAAAGTCCAGTCATGACGATATGCCCAACTACATCCTCACAGCATATCCTCGCTAGTCCAATCTCGTTCAATCTCCAGGAAGGTACGTGAAACTCCACCTTTGTATTCCTTGGTAATTCACTGACTCGCCGTACATAGTGACCGCCGATGATAGTCTGAACGAAATTGTCATCAGTGAACACGAAACCCTCGGGGCCATCACGGGTATTGTCTCTTCAAGCGAGCACCTCGGCCAAACAGCGGTATTTGTGAGCACCAGAAACGGCAATGTGCTCACACTTCGACTTGACCCTACGCGATTGGAGAAAGGTGGTGACGTTGAATCAGACCGCACCATATTTGGGACCTCGCCGTCCCACGTCTACATGGGCACCGGTCTAGACGACTCCCCTTCGATCCTAATTTGCAATGATGCAGGGCTTGCCATCTTGACAGGGTTCGCGACATGCCACCAACAGGACTACGATAAGGAGATACACCGAGTTTGGCCAACCAATGCAGTTGAGCCTGGAATGCTTTCGCCCTCTGTTAATTCCGTGGCAAGGATGCATCGAATACCAGGCTATGGGAATTCTACGTTGGCGATAATAGCGGGTCCCCGGATTCTAGTTACTGAGCTGCAGTCTCGAGCCAAGCCACTCCCGCGATCAATACCTGTGGAAGGCACGCCTATGAAGATCGTGTACTCCCCACGACTCGAGAAACTCATCACCATCGTTATGAAGGAAGGTCTGCCCTCGTTGCATTTCTTCGACCCTGAGACGGGAGCCGATATATCTAAGCCAGCCATAGAATCGAAACCTGACCCACCGGATTCCGACTATATCGTGGGCCTGGGTAACGAGGACTCGAAGGTCGTCTCTCTGACGGAGTGGCGATTCACACACAATGCGAAACTGTATGAGTTTATCGTCGTATCCATCAATATTGGACAAAAGCAGGGCTGCATCCTGCTCGTGTCGACCAGAAGTGATAAAGTAGAGACAGAAGCAGGCACTTCTACTCGAATACGTTTCTGGACCAAGCAGAAGATCAAGACCAAAGATGCACTCAAGGCAACGACAACAGACGACCACGGTATCTTCATATGCGCTGGGAGTCATCTGGAATACCACACTATACAGGATAAGGTCATCAAGGTCAAGGTTACCCGGAAGCACGAGTTACCCTCTCCAGCTACATGGATGCAGGTAGTGGACGGGAGACTTCATGTCCTCACCGCCAAGCACTCGCTCATAGTCCTTGACTACACTACCAACCTCGAGAGCGACCAGATGCTTCATCTACACACAGATGATATCTGCCGAATTGGCCTACATTCGATCAAGGCGGACCACCGTATAACCATGGTGTCAGATCCAATGTGTGGTGTCTATGGGATGTGGTTACCACCTCAGGCCGATATGTCTCTCAAGGTAGTTTGTTGCGCTGAACTTCCAGCATCAGTTAGACGATTTGCTCGAGGTGATACACGGCCGCCGTGGGCGTTTTCCCGCAGTGGCGCGCCATGGTTCGGATCCATGCACTCTGGACAGGATGGGTCCGAGATCCTGGGGTTGAGTATCGACGGATCACTGCAATACTTCTCGCTCCTGAGTGAGGATGTGTGGCGACTGCTGAAATACATACAGAACCTGGCCATGTCGTCGAGGGAATTCTGCCCGTTTGTATCGGTCCATGAGGCTCTTACGACTTTCGATCCGGAACCCAAGCTCGAGCCGAAGTCGTGCATGCACGTCAATGGAGACATCCTACAAATATGTCTAGACAGACATGCGCTGGAGGCGCTTTTCACTGCAGAGCCAGAGCACTTCGAGCGGTTCCGCGAACTTCTTCAAACCGCCGCGGGCGACATCGATACAATTCCCTTCAAGGGTTCGGCTGAAGGGCTTTACTACAGACTTGCGTACCAGGTTCTGAGGGACTATCTCTCGGCTGGGCTGTGAGGCCGCCTGTCTTGGAGAAAGGTGTCACAGGTCTCGTATGAAGCTATGAATCACGAAGGACTAACAGGAGTAGAAGGCCTACATCCTTTTGCTCAGGGGGGATAATAAGTTTAAAAAAATTTAAAAAAAAAAAAAGGAAAGTAGTATGTAGTGTGTTCGAAGTCAAAGGACGAAGACCTCGTATCTGTAGAGTCAGTTCTGATGGAACACATGTTTGAGTGACTGTTCGAGTGTGAATCAGCTCCTAGGTACACTCAGCCGTCATAAGTCTACGTACGCACCATGTTGGGGGTAATCCAGATCACACGTGCAAAATGGAAGTGATGGAATAAGCAGACAGGAATAAGAAACTCTACTTAAATAGGCCACTTCCAAGGCTTATTCCATTGTGCTTATTCCGATTCAATGATTACCGTTGTTTGCTGCACTTATGAGGGTTGAGTGTTGTCGATATTGATATTCCGGATAGAGAGATATGCCTTTTGCAGTATCCTCTACCCCTCTATCTGCCGTCCGTCATTATCGATACGGGGCTTATCGTCTCCCCTAGCAAGTTATTAGCTTGACAAGCCAGGTCACAAAAATCAATCCCTGCCCGATCGTGTCATCCACCCCGCCCTATGTACATCTCCAGAATAACGGTATATCGGTAAAGCATTCCAGCGAGCAGGTGGCGGCAGGCACCTGAGACGAGCAGCCAGCAGTGCCCCGTTAAGGGCTGAATGCAGATTTGTGGTCGTGATATTCTCGAATTGAGGCAACCGGAATTAAGAGCTCGCCTCTCTCGCCATGGTTCCACAATAATTCACCCCACTTCCTTCTCAACCACATCCCACATCCACACATCCAACATACCTTACATACACCCATTCACTCGACACCAACCGGCTTGCGGTCGCTGTCCTCCTACACTCTCTGGATATCGGAAGCGCCAGACAGTTCACAAGACACTCAACACCACCGACACAGCCCACCTCCCTATCTACATCTACAAAAGCTGTCTCGATGCCGCCCAAGAAGAACAAGAAGGCAGCCGACGACTGGGAGGCCGACCTAGGCGAGTCGATTGCACCCGCCAACGGCGACGCCGCCCCTGCCGATGCCCCCGATGGCCAGGAAGAGGAAGAAGCGCCCGCCGGCGGCCTGATGGCCATGATGAAGAAAAACCGAGAAAAGCGCAAAAAGAAGGGTTTGTCGGACAACTTCGCTGATGGAGAGTCTGCCGAGCCCGAGAGTGCACCCAAGGCGCCCGTGGAGGCCACCATGGAGGACGAGTTTGCATTGCCCGAGAAGAAGGGTAAGGGTGGGAAGCAGAACAAACAGCAACCTGCGGCCAAGACCGCTGCTGCCGGCGCCGGTGGCGACGAGGTGGGCGAGGATGGGAAGATGCTCACCAAGGCCGAGAAAGAGAAGCTGAAGAAGGAGAGAGAAAAGCAAAGGAAGAAGGAACAGGTGAGAAAGACTTGAAGGGTTTGCCAGTGGACTATCGCCTAATTGTCTCAATCTAGGCTGCGAAGAAGAAGACCACGCCTGCACCCGCTACGAAAGCTGCCGAACCCACAAAACCTGCGCCCGAAGAGAAGAAGGATACACCCGCAGAAGCACCAGTGTCCGATGCTGGTGCCAAGAAAGGGAAGAAGCTCCCCCCACATCTGGCAGCCCTACAAAAACAACAAGAAGACCTGCGACGGCGACGCGAGGAGGCGGAACGCGCCTCGGCTGAAGAGCAGGCTCGTGTCGCGGAGCTAGAGCGTCTCGAGGCTGAAGAAGCCAAGCGCAAAGAGGAAGAGAAGGCCCGCAAGAAGCAGAAAGAAAAGGAGAAGATTGAGCAGCTCAAGAAGGAGGGAAAGTTCCTCACCAAGGCACAGAAGGAAGAAAAAGCACGCAATGAGAGAAAGTTGCAGCAGATGCTCGACGCCGGGATCAAGGTTGGACCCTCAGATGAAGGTGGCGAAGACAAGACGAAGAAGGACAGCAAGAAGCGTGGTGGCAAGAGACAAGAGCAAAAGGTCACTCGCCTCCCCTGACATTACCTCCTGGATTGTCTCGACTAACGCTTCGACAGATTGACGAGGAGAAGGCTCTCGCCGACGCTGCTGAGAGAGCGAGACTACAAGCGGAAGCTGCAGCGAAGGCCAAGGCCAAGGCCGCTGAAGAGGCGGCTGCTGCTGAGGCTGCCGCGAAAGCTGCGAAGGGCGCAGAGAGTGATCTTGATGAGGATTGGGAGGCTGCCGCAGCTTCTGAAGAGGATGTCAAAGATGAGTGGGACGCCGATTCGGAAGAGGAGGCCGAGAAGGCCAAGGCCAAGAAGGCCGCGACGGCTGCTGCAGCCCTGCCTTCTAGACCTAAGCACGGGTCTGAAGAGTCTGATTCTGAGGACGAATCTTCTGAAGACGAGGATGTATCAGCTGCGAAAGCGGCCGAAGCTCAGCGAAAGAAAGAAGCTGCCGACCGACGACAAAAGGCCCATCAAGCCGCGTTGGCTGCACGGTCCAAGGACAACTTGCGCTCTCCGATCTGCTGTATTTTGGGCCACGTAGATACAGGCAAGACGAAGCTGTTGGACAAGATCCGACAAACAAATGTCCAAGAAGGCGAGGCAGGAGGTATCACGCAACAGATTGGTGCCACTTACTTCCCCGTCGACGCAATCAAGACCAAGACTGCTGTGGTCAATCCAGACGGAAAGTTCGAGTTCAAGGTACCCGGTCTGTTGATCATCGACACGCCCGGTCACGAGTCCTTCTCCAATTTACGCTCAAGAGGTTCCTCACTCTGCAACATTGCTATCCTGGTGGTCGATATCATGCATGGTCTGGAACCGCAAACCCTGGAGTCGATGAAGCTGCTTCGCGACCGGAAAACACCCTTCATCGTGGCCCTCAACAAGATTGATCGTCTGTACGGCTGGAAGATGATAGCGAACAACGGATTCCAGGAGAGCTTGGCGCTACAGAACAAAGCTGTGCAGAGCGAATTCAAAAACCGACTGGATCAGACAAAAGTTGCCTTTGCCGAGCAAGGGTTCAATGCTGAGCTCTACTACGAGAACAAATCGATGGCCAAATTCGTTTCGTTGGTCCCGACCTCGGCCCACACCGGAGAGGGTATCCCGGATATGCTGAAGCTGATTCTGCAGTTGACGCAGGAGAGAATGACCAACTCGCTGATGTACCTTTCAGAAGTTCAGGCCACTGTGCTCGAAGTGAAGTCGATCGAGGGTTTCGGCATGACCATCGATGTCATCCTGTCCAACGGTATCCTTCGGGAAGGTGACCGGATCGTGGTCTGCGGTGTTGAAGGAGCGATCACCACCAACATTCGTGCTCTTCTCACGCCGGCCGTCATGAAAGAACTGCGTGTCAAGTCGCAATACGTGCACAATAAGGAAGTCAAGGCCGCCATGGGAGTGAAGATCAGCGCACCTGGCCTCGAAGGTGCCATTGCCGGGTCTCGATTGCTTGTGGTCGGCCCCGATGACGACGAAGAGGACTTGGAAGAGGAAGTGGAATCAGATTTGAACAAGCTGTTCAGCCGAGTTGCGACCTCGGGACGTGGCGTCAGTGTGCAGGCGTCGACTCTCGGTTCGCTTGAGGCCTTGCTCGATTTCCTCAAGGACAGCAAGATTCCTGTGGCCAACGTTGGTATCGGCCCCGTATTCAAGCGCGACGTAACGCAGTGCGGGACGATGCTGGAAAAGTCTCCAGACTACGCTGTCATGCTTTGCTTCGATGTCAAGATTGACAAGGACGCACAGGCATACGCTGACCAGGAGGGCATCAAGATCTTTACGGCCGACATCATCTACCACCTATTCGATGCGTTCACAGCGCACATGGGCGAGCAGCTCGCAAAGAAGAAGGAAGACACGAAGATGTTGGCCGTCTTCCCATGCGTACTGAACACTGTGCAGGTCTTCAACAAGACGGGCCCCATTGTCGTGGGGGTCGACGTGGTGGATGGCAACCTCAAGATCAATACTCCTATTTGTGCTGTGAAGCAGAATCCCACAACGGGGGCCAAGGAGATAATAAGCCTAGGCAGGGTGTAAGTTCACCTGTTCCAACCCCGAGAGTGAATGAGTCGGGGCAGCTAGCTAATGTGTCACAGAACATCGATCGAGCGGGAGCACAAACAGATTCCAGTCTGCAAGAAGGGTCAACCCTCTGTGGCCGTCAAAATTGAGATGGGCAGCAGTCAGCCCACTTATGGCCGTCAACTCGAGGACAAAGACGTCCTATACAGTTTGATCTCTCGTGCCAGCATTGACACCCTCAAAGAGTTCTACCGCACCGAGGTCTCAAAGGAGGAGTGGGCGCTGATCATCAAGCTCAAGCCACTGCTTGACGTCAACTAGGTCAGCACGACCACTAGTCATGATGTGTATGTATTATTGGCGCTACGAAGAAAATAGTAAAGCATGGGTTGTTTTCGTCTTTCATTCCAATATTGAGACAACAAAACGGTGTCAGGTGTCTTCGAAGGGCACTGGAAATGCTCGGCGCAAGTCCTGGAGTCGAGAGCACAAGGGCTGATGTATATGATCTTGCAATACTGAAGTACAGCTTCATTTCGAGAGCATGAACGATGGTTGATATCTGAAGGACCTTGACTGCTTGGGCTTCTTGCTTCTGATGATTCTCGTGCTACGGGTACACATTATCGTAGCAATGACCCCACCCATGTGCTATACGGTAAGCTCCATATTTGCAGCACTTAGTCGTCAGAGGTCCACATGTGGGATAAACACGAAATAATTTTACACGATAATTACCACATCGGCTCGGGTAAGCATCGCTTACTTGGATATGTCTAAGCAACTCAGCAGCCCATGCACCATGGTCGAGTAGTGTAATGGTTATCACATTCGGTTCTGATCAGTGCATGTTCCTCCGATTAATCTGGGTTCGATTCCCAGCTTGACCTGACTCACCTTTGAATTCCTCATATGTGTATTTTCTTTTTTTGCCGTTTTGTTCTCGTAAGGTTGCTTCTTGCTCCCTATTTTTTCACCGCACGGCAAGTTTTGTCTAGCCAAGATGTGGCGGTGAGGGGCAGAGTGCAAGTCCGTTCAATTAGGGTTTTTTGCCGGCTGTCCGCGGCTAGCAGTGGGGAATAGGTACTAGCGCGCAGACGTAGCCCGCACCTAGGATAGGATAGGGGTCACCCCTTTTTTCCAGTGCTGTATAGCTAGGATGGATAGGTCAATGAACGAGTTGTCCTCCGTGATGGGAGTGCCTTTCAGCGCTTGGACTCTTATGGACCGAGATTGGTGGTACCGGTACCAAAGTATCGGGCTCGGTCGATGCGGGTTTCTTCTACCGAGGCCACATCAATCAGCACCCGGAGATCACTCAGCCCTCACAAGTATCCGTACGCTTATATTGACCATGAGATCTTCTCAAACACCGGAATAAGCATACAGGAATAAGCAGCACTGTTTAGATACGTCACTTTCGATGCTTATTCTAGTGTGTTTATCCAAATCTGATAAATTTACCTTGTATGCTGGACAGGTGGTGTACGGAGACTTATCAGGGTCCAGTGTATTCAACTCCCGCTAGCCCAACTTCTTCCACGAATCCATCCGCTGGAGCCAGCTTGAGCTTCGGACACCCGATGACGGTGCCTGGAGGAGGTAGGGTGACTGTCTGTGTCTGGGTCTTCTTCTGACCCTTGAGACGCGAGGACGAACTTGTTATCACCACCTGCTTCGTGGCCTGAGGAGGGTGATCCGGCACGACCCAGCCCACGACCCGGGCCAGCAGGTTGGCCGAGACATCCCACACTGACTTCATCTTCCACGTCTTCACGTTCTTGCCGCACATCTTCCACAAGGCCGAGAATTCTTCGTGTGCGAAGAATGGTGTGGCTTACTACACAGTTTTCGCCGTCGCGGCTGGTCTTGTGCTTGCTATTCTATTGGAGAGCATCATTGTGGAGATTCCTCTCGATCATTTTGGCTTCACCGATTCGTAGCAGCGTTGCAGAGGCCGCACGACGTTCGCGGCAAAGTCGGCTCGCCACTTGTTGTCTTGCGGATCGGTTGGCGCCTCTTTTAAGGTCCACTTGATAGCTTGATGGAAGTCCGGACCTGCTTCGCCAGCGACATCCCTCAACCATTCGCCTGCTACAGCTTGTCTCAAGATAGGGCTCGCTTGATTTTGGGCGAATCCGGGCTGTTGCCAGAGTGCGTGCAACTCGAGATTGGTTCCGAAGCAGAGCTCAAGAAGCAGTACTATCAGGTTGGTGAAGTTAGAATCAGTCTGTGGCACTGCGCTAGCTTTTTTATATTGTGGCTCGAAGTGTGCCAGTACAAATGCCTTGTCACCGAGAGTCCGTCCAGTTACAGTTGTATAAAGCGGAAAGAAGACGTTTTGGACTAACCATTGCTGCTCTAGCCAAGGTGTCGAATGGTACCAGAGGTGGGCGGAAACAAGGGCAGCTGCCACGGCGTAGCGGTGGGCGCGGCTAAAGGTATAGATATATTCTTTCCGAAGAATGGCTTCTAAGGATATGCTCAAGCCCAGATGTTGAGCATCAGTGGTTGGCTGTATCTCATATTGAACGCCATTGTCATCATTCACCAGAGTAGCGAGGGATACGGCATTGGAGCTCTCTGTGATGGCTTTGCAGAGGCCATTGTCTCTCGGGCTCGATAGGACAATGCAAACTGAAGCAGGTAGGGATTGCGGTGCCGAGGAAATGGCTTGACTCGGGTATGCCTTCGAGATAGAAGTCATGCTGGCCGACATGCTAGTACTACCATTTATCAGCCTATCTATCATGCTTCAACGTCACGAAGTACGTTACTGGCGTACCTGGCGGAGTGTACCGATGCACTGTGCATCTGCACAGAGATCACGGGAACACCTTGGCTTCCAGCACTTCTTGTCCGAATCGGAATGGTATCGAGCTTGGGCCGGGAGCGCAGAGCCATGCTTTGCCCTGATGCTTTGGCTCAAGTGACGCGCATTGACTGAACAACCCAGTGCTGTGGAAATCCCATTAACCTGCTTTCATGACTGAACTTAAGAAGCATCGGTATGTCAACATTAGCCGTCGCCCGAGGCTCAAGCCAAAGATATGCACAGTATATACGGCAATAACGGCATCGCTATGCATCTTTTATCAGTCGAAACATGCAGTCTGTCTGTCTCCAGTATTACAAAAGCTTTGAGCTAACACGTCTAGACGTTAGCTTTCCATGTGGCTGGAATAAGGCCGAGACTCGATTGTCCTTTGTCAACAGCTTGTTGAGGGTTGTGATGCATTGTTTAACTTTAGCTAAAATGTCGTCCCGGCAAGTTCCGCAGAAGCTATATTGCACTCATTTCGCTTGCAAAGCCGCATGCGTACGTAGTTTCAACAAGCTCTGCGCCTTATCCTTTGGCGTTGTACTCTTGGCCTGGCAGAGGGTTAGCAGGCTAATTGAGTCATATTACTCGCCCCTTGTTTACATCCTGTACCTGCAAAAGCTCTTAGAATTAAGGATCATCCACTTTGAAAGCCTTGCTCAGTTCTGCCATGAGATCGACCATCTCGCCCAGCACTTCCATGTAGTGGTAGTAGCTCTCGGCCAAACGCCGCGAAAAAGCCTCCTCCACTGCCTCGTGATCTCGCCAACCCGGGCCCCCAGGATTAGCGAGTAATTGCTCATATTCCGGCTGTTATATAACTTCGTTTATTAACAAAGGTATGAGCAATTCTTTCAGGTTGAGCTTGAAACCTAGCTCGCAATTCATCACCTATAAAAGGTCAGTCCACCTCCCTCACTTGCGCCTCTTATACGCAGAGATTGCGAAGTGTGATATGTTCGAGTCTCTGAGATCTTACCCTTCCTTGATCCTTTTGATGAGCTCGCCTGATCTTTTAGAAAATGTTTTCAGCTTTTCTGATCCCTTCATAATACTCCATAGTGGTCACTAAAAGAGGAAAAGCACCCAGGATAAGGCCTGCCATTTCAATACCGCTCATAGCGAACTCGGTATAGAGAACTAATTGGTAAGTTGTCGGGCAGTCGCTCAAAGAACAGGATGGACTAGGATAGGCCTAAGTATCAGTTTATGCCGCAAGACTTGCGTTTATAATGGTAGGAAGCAGGACGATAAGCCTGCAGCCTTACGCAGCTTCAAGCCAGTGCGACCCTCTGTATATAGTACCACCCCATAGGTCGGATAGGACAAGTGATGTGAGGGGTAGGTTGCATCGCCGCAGACTTGCAGCTGCAGACTCAGCCGCATTCTTTATTCATCAAGAGGGGGCTCTCATCTTGCTGTACCTTGAGGCAAGCCTTCTGTCTGTCTTATAATGAGTGAGGGTTTCGATGAGAAATGGAAATATGGAAAGCCAGACGGGACCACGAAATCAAGAGACGACATCTCCCGAGGCCACACCGGAGTTTTCCAGCTCCGCCAACGCCGAAGAATACAGAACAGGATTGCTCAGCGAAACTACCGTATGTCGCTATAGCTTCACTTGCTTCAACTCGGGTTCGTAAGGCTGATAATTCCCGCAGGCAAAAACTTAAAAGGACGTCTGGAAGACCTGGAAAAACGTGCCGGCTCGTCGGATGAGGCACCGTTACTCACACGCACAACCGAGAACCAAACCCTGTCCAGCAGCCGGAGCCCCAAGAAGACATCATTCTTCAAGGCTTCGAAGTCAGCATCTGTGTACTAGTACCAGAACCCTGACGTCCCTCCAACATCGTCTCCAATCTCCAGCTTGACCAGGTCCATCTTCCAGCGATTTGCGAGTCTGGTATCTGTGTTGAGTACAGAGGGGTCGGAAGGCCATGCCGAGCATGCCGAGCATGCGGCTCGCGTGGTCGACGATACTACGAGATTCAGAATCTGGGCCGACAACATCGGAGCTCATCATCCAGCATTAGACGCTAGGTCCACCGAAGCCAGACTGAAGGACGCCCCAGAGGTTGCAGAGCGTATCTGTGATATACTGGCCGAGCTTCGCGATAATCGTGATAATGCGTATGAAGCGTGCACCATCTCGGAACAGGACGACGCACTACGTGGTGAGGCTACATCTGATCATGCCAGTGGCTCCTCAAATGAAGCTACATCAGAGTTGAGAGAAATTATAAGATCACTCACAGATCTGATCACAAACCTAATAAAGATGTCAATAATCATCCATAAGGCCACAACCAGAAACCTATATATGAAGGCCGCATCCTTCTGCGATGATTCTTTCTTGCCTGAGTTTGAAATTCTTCATGTTGCCGACAAATTCCCCGAGCTCCGTGACATCATTTGGCTGCAAGAACGACTCAGTAGGGCTATCACCCAGCGCCGTCAGTACTTGTGATACACTAAACACCACCATAGCCGGCTCTCTAGCCAGACACAGGCTCTCGACATGAGCAACCCCTTTCGTGCAGACGACAGGGAGCTTGAAGTCGTCAAAGTTTTGATTCTAGGTGTCGCACCTTCGGCATACAGCAGACCCTCACTGGCCCCAACCAAGGCCTCGACTGTGGATCCGGGCAACGTATCGAGCACCTGACTTGCAGACCTTGGAATTGGAATATAACGATGATACTATGTCCCAAACTATTTCACTCGTCTCGTCCGGTGCCCAAGCGGACGCTTCCTAGACACTGGATGCCATCCCTTTGAGGTCGCTATCGAAAGACGGGGAGCCTTTTGAGTGCCTATATTATCGAGAGTTTGTCCAGGTTAAGCAGCAATGCACGTGGAGGTCCGTATGTTCCTGATATTTGACCGCTCCCTTGCATGCCACCAGCATTGTAGCTTCATAATCCCCCACATACTGTCTGTCCTGTGCCTGAACAACAACGATGCCTGCTTCGCTTGGGCTGCTGTGACTGACTATTCTCTCTTTGTACAGAAAGCATGTTATGAGCGATCTCTGCGCCTATATGTGTACCTTCGAGCACTGCACTGCGGGAATGTTCGAAGACCGGCACGCGTGGTTTCAGCACGAACGCGAGGCTCATCGGCGTTCGTGGATCTGCCAATTATGTTCGTCTATCGGTCGTTCACGGAGCTTTGACGATCAGAATGCGTTGGAGTCTCACCTTCGGCGCTCACATCCTTAACTGGCGCTCAGAGAGCTGTCTATGGCTGCCATCATCGAAGCAGGCTCACGTCCCGTATCACATGTCAAGGCCGCCGACGCTTGCCCTCTCTGCAAGGACAAATGGCACAAGCAACTGAAAAAGGACGCGACTCAAAAGGGAGTTCCTGCAAATGACATACTTTTAGTGTCTCTGCCCGACCTTGAGCGACATCTCGGCGCCCATCAGGAACAGCTTGCACTCTTTGCAGTCCCAATAGAAACTGGGGAGCAAAACGCAAAATCTACCAGTGGATCGGCTTTACCTAGTAACTCCTCTTAGGGCGGGTAGAAAAGGTCGGTTCTGACTTGATCAATGGGATCAAGCAACACACGGACTCGATAGTGAACCCAGAAGACCGAGTGTCGGAGCATGATGACGACCAAAGGGCCACAAACATGGCGGACCATACGACACCATACACCAGCAAGCCTGATATATATCATCCTGTGCCGGTCCAAACCGAAGCGTATCATCGCCTGCCATGCGAGTTTGTTGGTTTGGCTTCTTGCGATTATAGTTTCGACTACGACGATACCGCGGTTTGGATCGAACATACGATCCAAGTACATCTTAGCGACGAACTTCCGAATAAGGTCCTTTGTTGGTTTTGTGACGAATATAGTTTTGATGCTAGCCACCCAGACATTGAAGGCAATCGCCGCACTAACTTTTATCAACGCATACGGCATATCCGCGACCACTTTTTGAACGAAGGGAAGACAGTTGAACAGATACGGCCGGACTTCCACATGCTAGAACACCTTAATCGCCACGGGCTGATCACCAAGGCGGCGTATACCAAAGCCAGGAGGTATTGTGAAGTGCCTCGAGTGAGCGGGATATATGCACCTGGCTATGTGCCCGAGGAGAGGTGGGTAAGACGATGGAGGTCGCGCGGTCGCGGGGAACAAAATGACTCGAGCATCAGAGAGCACCCAGAGCAAGATCTACATACATCTGTCTTCGAGGCGGACACTCCAGAGTACGGCGCTGAGGTGGATGTACAGCTCGCACAGCAGTCGTTGACGGAACACCGCTCTCTTCTGGTGAAGGTCTTGGACGCTCTCGTAGAGCAGGTGGACACATTGGACTACAATCACTCCAAGGGTGCCGCCAAACCACGGCCCATGCCTTCCCACAAGCTCTTTTCTGCCGACGAAGATGCGGCGGACACAGTGGACGACACTCTTGCTGGGATTGCCGCCAAATCACAGCCCTCTTCTGCCGTCTCAGGGTCTTATAAAATTCGTCCACAAATACAAGTCAAATACCAAGGCTATCCTATCGGTCCACCGTCTCCAGACGGTGCACCTGGAGCTACACATCGTGATCGCAAAGGGGCGATTGCTGATACAAGGTGTATAGTTGAGGATGCACTTGATCTGTGCGACGCTGCTTTGGGGATCGAGAGGTCAGTCAGTAGTCGAAGATTCCGAGAATGATGCCCGAATTCAGCGGGTTGAGCAGTGGAAGGCGCCTAGATCTGTGACGGTAGAGAAGGGAACGGGTCTATCTTTGCTCTGGGATGAGACTGAGCAACTCGCTCGCTCGAAAGCGAACGCCGCGATCCATTTTCATACGATAACGAAGGGATCGAAGGGATCTGAGCGTGCTACGTCAGGAGTCGAGTCGAAACCCGTTTATTGGGATTTGGACGACCCTAACATTGGAAGCGATGGACATCACACGAGTATGCCTATGTATTAGCGGTAAGCCGAGTACCGGTAACTTGGTCGTAACGATGGCCTCTAGATTTTCGGCTAGATTTTGGTAGGTCTACCAACCTTTAGGTAATATGCCGCATTCTAGCCAGTGCTGCGTACAGGCTCGGCATAGGGAGACGTATGACTCCCAAATAACTACCGACATAGGTATCTGATCAGCTGCCCAAGTGTAGTAAACCCCTAGTAACATTGATAGTCTGCAATATATGATCCGTTCTGTCCGTTACCGTGTCCCACATCGCATCTGATACCGCGTTGTAGCTTCCTGTTCTCAAAGCTCCCCCTAGCTGTTCCCACAGCTGCGAAGAGAGCATCGTGATCATGGACATGTATACTGACGAAGTGACCGCCGGGATCTGCGAATCGATATCAACTTGCAGTTGTGGCGAGGCAAAGGATCCCATCTTCAGTTGCGGGAGGATGACGGCCCAGTCGCGGCCGGGCTGTGGCACTCGGGAGTGCTCGATGCATGCCCGCATCATCTGGAAGATAGACATGTATATCTCCACTAGCCGGCAGTGGCAAGACATGACCATGAGGAAACTTGCTTCGTCAGTGCGCGAGCAAGGCCCTTCAGCTGGTCTGATATCGGCCTCGGCGAGCAACAGGTCCGCTTCCGAACGTTGGTGGCTACGCATGCTCGGCGATAGCTCCCACAAGGTCGGTGGCTTTTCCGGCGTCGGTGTGGACGGAGGGTTGATCCTCTCGTATCCTACGAGAAAGAGACTCTGCACCAGGGCGGTGAACTCAGAGGTCAGGCGGAAGATGTCGTCAATGGCGAGGATTACGGTTTTCCTAGGGCTGCGCACATCACGAGTCCCGGTGTTTCCGCGACTCTTATCCGTTGAGGGAAGCTTGGCCTCGCATTCGTACAGCGCGACGTTCAGGTTTGCCAGTCTGGCCACAGCTGGTAAGGGGACTGTCTCTGAACTACTGTCTGCTCCCTTGCCACCTATCGTCGTTTCCCAGCCCGATGCATCAGATAAGGTGAAACCAGCCCAGCCGTTGGTAATGATTCCAGGTATGGACTCGAGACCCAGGCTAGCCGGGCTGACACCAAGGGGCAGGTCGACAACCTCCGAAGGGGCGCCACCTCCAGCAATGTATGGGTACCGAATAGTATCCGGATCGTCAGGGTTTGGAAAACAAGGATCACACTGCGGCAATACTAGGTGTCAGATGCGTGTCAGTTTCTCTGATTTTGAACACGAGGAGGCTGACGGGACAAGCTAACATTGCCCTGGATCGATCCCAATCCCCTCTTCTGGAGAGAAAGGCCAGTTTCCCGCGTGGAAAAACAAGGCGTCGGAATTCAGCTCCGAACCGGACGCATACGCTGGCGTAGGTAGAGGTTGATGGTGATCATGTGGGACAGGGCCTGGATTCCGTCCTCGAGGACCAAAGCGGCAGCACGTCTTGAACTTCAGGCACCGATCGCACGTGCCCTTTCCCGCTTGCCTGACACACCGGAGTTTCTGAGAGCGGCAGCGATTGCAAGCTGACCGGAGCTTCCCAGGAGCTTGATTTGACTCGTTCGTGGAAGACATTGGGGCCGCGGAAGCCGAAGTGGCAGATGGCGGCGTGCGAAGGTCCATTCGGACTGAGTGGATGGGTGACTCGCTAAAAGACTCGAGGCTGTCACACATACACGGCACGGTAGGGGTCAGATGAGGTCAGATGAGGGTAATGGGTCGCATTGCTGCTGTGCCTCGCATACGGCGTATTGTTGTGTTGAAAGAAAGGAAAGGCCTGGAGATGACCAACAACGGCAGACGAACATGCTTCCGCTGTGGGGGCCCGGCTTCTGTGGAGCTTCCGGTCGTGCGTTCGGCGTTCGCAATGCACGTTCGGCGGTTTTATGCGGGGCCAGCAGGTCCCCCCTATTTCAGCTGTCACCAATAATGGTACAGGTAATCGTGCATACGAGTAACGGTGTATATATGTAAAGTAGTTTCCCGAAACAAGATGATGAGTTTCAGGAAAAGACACACCTGATCCGCGTAGTCGACGAGGTCTGTCGGGGGATCATGGCGAAGGAGAAGGTTGTCAATCTACTATTCCTCAGCCAAGGAGTTGCAAGCCTGGATCGCAGTGGTATGTGTGGCGCGAGATTTTCCCAATGCGCCCCCGAGTGCCCGTAACCCATCTTGAGACACGCAGGGGATACCGTAAGGCAAACAACATTAATGCATATCAGAAACAACCGAGCACGTACACCTCCTCGCGGCACTGAACTACTATTCCCGCATCCGCTTCATCACCAACCTGCTCCCCCTCATCCGGGGCTCCCGCACCCTACGCCGCGTCGTCAGCGTGGGCGGGGGCGGCCACGAAGGGCCTATCGACGCGAGCGACCTCCCCGCCCTCCGCGTGCCGCTCCCCGAGCTCCGCGGACACCTCACCACGCTGGTCACCCTCGGGCTGGAGGCCGTGGCGGCTTCTGCTCCCGAGGTTAGCTTCGTCCACGACTACCCGGGCACGGTGCGGACGCGGATCACGAGCCACCTCCCCGAGGAGGTCTTGAAGACTCTCGTCTTCGTGCCCATCGATGAGGTCGGCGACAGGCACTTGTACCTGGCGACGAGTGCGCGATACCCATCGGCGACGGGCGAAGGCGATGCTGTACCCCTGGGCGAACAGGTCGGCGTGGCGCTCGGCACAGATGGGGTCGCTGGTGGTGGACTCTACTCAGTCGCTTCAGATTGCGAGGGAACGGCGCAAGGCGTGCGGGACCTGCTGGCTGGATTGAAGGACAGGAGGCTGGTGGACGTGGTCTGGGCTCACACCGAGACCGAGTTCAAACGCATCACGGGTGATTAGAGATGTATCATCCCTGTGCAACGGCTTTCCTCTTGTGTTTGTTTTGGTTATGTACTCAGTCTTAGACTATTCGCGACAGAACAAGAGTGGTAAACAGACGAATAAAGGCAGAGTTGCTCTTGATCGTTGGATGGAAGGGGTGCGAGAACTGCAAGCTGCTGGGCCTTCGCGGTCGCGTCCTGCGTTTCACACAAATCAAACAAGTCAAGTATGACCCCCCTATTTGGCTTGACTTGATATTACTAAGCAAATCAAGTCAAATCGGGATTAGTATTTGATCTACTTGTGTTGGATGGAGTGGTGCAGGTGGTGTGGCTGCAGGTGGTCCGCGCACGGATCAGGTGGATTGGGGTGGTCCGAGCGCCCTGGGAACGGTCGACTAGCGACGTTGCCCCACAGCTCTAGCGCTACGGCAGGCAGGCGCGTTACACCTCTATTTAGGTGTGAATTCGTCCGTACCAAAGTAGATACAGAACCACGAACGAATGAACCAATATTTCCGCATACGAATTCTCACAACTTGCAAATATGGGGGAAATATGGGTCTCAGAGCCCTAGCACCGGCTTCCGGACCAATAAAAGCTTAAAAATCTCTTTTAAACCTATATATCTTAGTGAATATTATAATTATAAAATTACATTAACTTATTAAAATATCTGTTAATCTTATAATTTACCGATCTTTTATATTTATAACTTATATTTATACCCTATGCCGTTTTTTAACCTTAATCTTTTTAATATTATTAAATATTATATTACTTCATTAATTGTAACGGCTGTGGCGGCCTGCACAGACCTTCCCACATGACAAGTGGATACCTCCCAATAGGGGAAGGATCTGACCAGAGAATCCCCTTAAAGGGGCAACCTCCCACTGTATCTATCTCTCTCTCTCTCTTCCTTTCCTTTCTAGTCTTGATATTCTCGTCAATAGAGTAATAGCTGCTTGCTGCCGGCCATGTCCCAGCTCCTCAGTACGCTCGTCGTGACATAATATCAAGACTCCTCCATACCAGATCAGAAGCCTTGTCTTCAGATCACCACTGCAAGGAGTTTTGTCTCTAGTAGTGACAGGTACAGTGTCTCCGAACACCCACCTACCCCAAGACTTTATTATACACCTATCATTATCACTGATTCCGTCCAACACACCGTGACGATGAGTACCATTATCATTCCAGAATATCAGGATAGTTCTGAAGGGACTGAAAGACCAGCCCAACCTACCCAAATATCCTACAACACCAATAACCTTCCGCCAAAGAAAGAACCAAAGAAACAGAGAACCAAGGCATAAGGGGGCCAGAGCAAGCCAAACACGCGATCAAAGGCCGCTTTAACCCACAACAAATCTCCCTCAAACTCTTCATCGGCTCCATCTTCCTCCAGGACCACATTCCAGGACCCACAGACCCAGCCCATGGCACCAATCATGAGCGGTGATCTGGGCCGATCAGACGACCCCTTGCTTTTCAACCTGGATACGCTTACGGCAGAGCAGCTAGCCAGACTGCAAACCGAACTACACATCCGGATCCTGAGGTCTGAGCCACCAAGGCCCACAACAGAACGACAGTCTGTGCATTTCAGCACACCACGAGAAGAACGAGCCTTTCCTTCCTTGGAAACAGGTTCTCCACACACAACAACCCCTAGGTGGGACTCCTCAGCTTCTATGGCATCAACCTCAAATGCCATGCGACATTCCATCAAACTGGCAGACCCTGCAAAGCTGAGTGACGGTCAAAACCCAACCTTTGAACAGTGGAAGAACAGTACCCAACGCAAGCTACGGACCAACTGGTGGCTCTTCCCTACAAAAGAATCAAAGTTTGATTGGCTTTGTACACTAATAGAAGGTGATGCCGCTATAGCATTGGAACCATTCATTTCTGAAGAGAACACCGAGTCACTTACTATCATTGAAGAGGTGTATGACCTTCTCCGGTCCTCTTACAGCAATACCGATGCAGCTGCTCAAGCCAGGGATCAGCTCCATGATCTATGGATGGAACCAGCGAAAGACTTCTACTCCTTTTGTTCCACATGGGTTCTCTTAGCCAGCAAGGCAGGCCTGTCCCGGACAGAATGGAAGTATGAACTGAACCGAAAGCTGACACCACCCCTGAGGATACAAGTGATGGCTTCTTACCTTGACTCTAACGTTTCTTTCAACCAATTTTGGAACATCTGTTCTAGCAATGCTCAACAACTTGCAGAGATTGAACGGGTCAAGAAGCAGCACCAAAGCTTCTTAAAAGCTTCCTCCCGCCATACCATCACTGCGGCACCTGGACACCAACAGTTCATCAGAAGCCTACCAACCCAAGCTTTGTCCAACCAAGCTGTTTGTTTGTTTGTTTTGTATTTAACGTGGGGGGTAGCTCCTCAGTAGTGCAAACCACGCCTCCCAGAGCCATTGCATCGCAAGGTTGTAGAGGTGTCAAATTAGATACATTCAGATCCGCGCACGAGCCTATCCTCGCTGTAGCGGTACCAATCTGGAGTGTTCGGATGGTTTTAGTCAATACCCAAGCACGATTCCGTCAGAAAAACCTCCTATCTAGTGACAAAGCGACCCAGTGAACCTCAGTTCTCTGGTGTACATATCGTTCCAGTAGCCGTTCGATATATGTCGCATTGGTGGGTGGAGTAGGTGTTTGTTATCTGCTGGCGAGGGAAACCACAAGGGGGAAAACCTCGCAGGAGTGGGTATTGTGGAGACAAGCTGCTTGGCTATCGGGCTCTGCGATAAAATGGGGCCTCTCCACTGTCGTGTGCTGGTTATCGACTCGCACAAGCCGGGTCAGAAAGGGGGCCATAGCAGGATTCGAACCCACTTGTTCTCGTCGCCCACCGCACAAACGAGAACACAACCAGGCGCATTTGACCATTGCGCCATACGGCCAAAAGTATTAGTCCAACCAAGCGATTGACACTACCTTCCAACCAGCAAGAGCATCACCTGATCAGAAGACTCCCCGTCTCTCTGCAGTCCCTGAAAGGAAGCACATTCACCAATCACACACACCCCACAAGGCAGAAAGTGTCACATGCTACTTGTGTGGCAAAGAGGGTCATATTGCTCCCAAGTGTCCAGACAAAAGAACTCCTTATGTACATTTTCTAGAAGAAGACAATGAGACCTCTTCTGGTCTGACCCAGGATGTTACTTCTGACAGCGGGTCGGAAAACTCAAGGGCCTAGGGAAAGTCTCCCACCTAGGCCTCCAATGTACTATCAATCAACTGGCTCACCACTCCCTTGAAATTCCATCACTTCAATCAGACCTCACTGGCTTGATAGGCGGCAGTACCTTTGTGATGACTGCAACCATCTGGTGGAATGGAATTGCAGTGCGTGTAAAAGTTTTGATTGATACCGGAGCAGAGGTTTATCTTTTAGGCAGCCGTTCAATCATGAGACCCTTGGCTCAACGATAGGAACTCCCTCAAAGACATTTTGATGAGCCTGCCACCCTGAATGGCTTTGGCAAGGGGCATTCACAGGTTGTTAACACAGTGGTTGCAGCAAATTTCCAGATTCAGGGAAGAACCTTCCGGGAAGCCCCTATCTTAGAAGCAGAGTTTGGACCCAGCAAGAACTTTGACCTTATTATTGGCAAGCGGTTTTTGGCTGTTCACAACCTCTTACCAGACTGTCGGCGGAACCGTCTATATTTCCCACCAGAACTACCTTTCCTTACCAACTGAAAGACCGACATCACTAACCCAGCTCGCCAGTGGTTAAGACAACGGGCTATCAATCCTCAGGCCCAGCAAGACATGCTCCATAGGGATTCACAGTGGGAAGAGCAAGAGAAACGCCTACAGAAGATACTACAACGCCCTCAAGTACTGGCTACATGGGTAAGAGACCATCATCAGTCCTTGCAGGCTATGAAAGACCAGCTAGCAGGACGGGACCGCCCGGTATCCTTGCAAAAGACTTCGCTACGCCAGGCTGTTCATCCCAAGGTTAGCAAAGACGCAATAATGAACGTTCTGGGCGCGGATATCTTCTTAGTCTCAGGAAGTACCTTTTTTAGACAGGCTAGTCACCGTCAGAAGGGGCAACATCAATGACACAGCTACGGAAATGTGTTCTCCTTTTCGGTATATGAGCTTGATCAAGCTATTGATTACTTTATTGATAAAGAGGACTTAGAGACTCAGCACCTGCTACGCAGCAGGCTTCCCCCAGAGGCACAAGATTTTATGGATATGTTTTCTAAGACAGAAAGCAACGAGCTACCCCTTTTCCGCAAGGATATTGACCACAAGATCGAGCTCAAGCCAGGGGCTAAGACTCTTCGTCTGCACCCCTTATATAGCATGAAGGCCGACCACCTTATTGCCTTCAAGCAATATCTGACGGAACACTTGTGCAAGGAATGGATTGTTCCCAGTGGAGCAGAGTATGGGTCCCCTGTTCTCTTTGCCAAAAAGCCAAATAGAGGCTTGCGTTTCTGTGTTGACTACCGCGAGCTCAATGCTCAGTCAAAAAAGGACCGCTACCCACTGCCATTAATCAGCGAAACTTTGGAACGTCTATCTAGCGCTAAGCTGTTCACCAAGCTGGATATCAGGGCGGCTTTCCACCGAATCCGCATGGATCCAGCCTCTGAAGATCTCACGACCTTCCGCACGCGCTTTGGTCAGTACAAGTACAAAATGCTCCCTTTTGGACTTTGTAACGGCCCAAGTACCTTCCAGCGATATATCAACAAGGCCTTGTTCCTATATCTGGACGAGTTCTGTACAGCCTATGTGGACGATATCCTGATCTTCTCTGCAGACCCATTGGAACACTGGGACCATGTTCACAAGGTCCTCCAGAAGCTCCGGGAAGCTGGCCTCCAGGCTGACATCAAGAAGAGCGAGTTTGCTATCACATCAACAAAATTCCTGGGATATATAATATCAATCAGTGGCATATCAGTTGATCAAGCCAAGATTGCCGCCGTGAGGGACTGGGAAGAGCCTAAGACTGTTAAAGAATTACAGTCTTTCTTGGGATTCTGTAACTTCTATTGGCAATTCATAGACGGTTTTAGCAGGATAGCTAAACCTCTTTACCGTCTCACTGTGGCAACCAAGTACCTATGGACCAAGGAATAGCAGAGAGCCTTTGACAACCTAAAGGCTGCCTTATGCTCAGCTCCCTTGCTCTCACATTTCAAGGAAGCAGCTTCTACCAAGCTGGAAACAGACGCTTTAGATGGTGTAATCTCAGCAGCCCTTTTCCAACAGGATGAGCAAGACAACTGGCATCCAGTGGCCTATTTGTCGCGAACTATAAATGCAATAGAGTGCAACTATCCCATCCATGACAAGGAACTACTGGCAATTATTTATGCCATGCGAGAATAGAACCACATGCTCACTGCCCTTTAGCATCCCTTTCCTGTTTTTATAGATCATCAGGCACTCCAGTACTTTGTCACTAAGCGACAGCTCAATGCTTGACAAGCAGCCTGGAGTGAGGATATCTCGGGCCTGGACTTCACCATCTCTTTCCGTCCAGGTAGGGAGAACCTGATAGCTGATACTCTATCACGGAAAGCTGTAGATCTGGCTACACAAAAGGCCATCAAGGATAAAAGTCGCCGCCAGATCCTCCTACCTGTTGAAAGGTTCAATGGACCCGTTGACCTGCCTGTGACCGACTCGTCATCTAGTCCAGAAGACAACCTGGTATGTGCCATTGTGGCCACCTTGAAAGCCAACAACCAGGACCCAGACGGTTCTCTAGAGGGTGTTCAGCTTATTGATGCCATCTTGACAGCCAACCGCTCTTCAGAGACCCTACTCCTTGAGCAGGAAAAAGCCAAACACAGTCAGCAGGGTTATAGACTTGTTGATGGCTTATTGTTGAAAGAGGGACGCCTTGTGGTGCCTGATGAGGGGCACCTACACACACAACTTTGTGATGAGATTCACAGACTACCTTCCCATGCACACCCTGGTCGGAACAAGATGCGTGCCTTAGTAGCAGAGCGTTATTCCTAGCCTGGTATGGGTGCTTTCATAGACCGCTATTGCGCTCATTGCCCAGAATGTGGCAGAGGCCGCAATTCCCGTCTTAAGCCAGCCGGCTTGCTATAGCCTCTGCCTATACCAGATCGTCCTTGGCAACATGTCTCTATGGACTTCAAGACCATACCAAAAGACAAGCTAGGCTATGACACAATCTATGTGATGATAGACCGACTAGGCAAACGCCCCTGGTCTATTCCAACATATAAGACATGTACAGCCAAGGACCTTGCCACCTTATACTTCAATGGACCTTGGAGGGTCTATGGCACCCCTGAGACTGTAACTTCAGACCGTGGTCCCCAGTTCATTGCTGCCTTTTTGGATGAACTAGCCAAGCTTACAGGAATGGACCTACGCCGCTCTACTGCAGAGCACCCTCAGACGGATGGTCAGACAGAGATCATTAACCAGTTCCTTCAGACCAAGCTCTGACCCTTTATAAGCCATTTTTAGGATAACTGGTCTCAATTGCTGCCCTGTCTGGATTTTACTTACGCCACACAACCTCATGCAAGTACTGGCTTATCTCCAATTGAGGTTGAAATGGGGTTTCTTCCAGTCATGACGTTTGACTGGGATAAACGCAGTCCTCTCTCAAGAAAGACGCCTATTACAGAGCAGCTGAGTCGTTCAGACGCTTAAGAGTTTGCTGAACGCCAGGCATAGGCTGTGGCATGGGCCAAAACCAACCTCTTCAAGGCACAAACATAGTACAAGAAACAGGCTGACAAATCCTGACGACCAATCGACTGGAAGCCAGAAGATATGGTATATGTCCGCAAAGGAGCATGGCGCACTGACCGCCCACATGATGGGTTGGACAACCCCTATATGGGACCATATCAGGTTATCAAACAGGTCAATAAGAATGCCTTTGAGATTGACTTACCCCCTGGGATAAACGCTCATCGGGTTATCAATGCAAGCCGCTTAGTACGGTCACCAAATAACCCTGTCCCAGGTCAGGTGATCCCTCCACCGCCTCCCGTCAACGTGGATGGGGTTCCTGAGTGGGAAGTTAACAAAATTCTGTCCTCCCGCCAAACCCGGGGCAAGCTGGAGTACCAGGCTGAATGGACAGGTCATGATCCTGACCCGATGTGGTACCCAGCAGCTAACTTCAGAGGCTCAGCTGTACGCGTCAAAGAGTTCCATGAGGCAAATCCCAAGGCGTCAGGTCCACCTCAAAGGTTACAGCAATGGATAGAGGCTGCTGCTGATGATCAGGACCTAACTGATCATGAGGAAGACAACTTGCCTGTAAGGGGCTCTGCACAAGGAGTAAGAAGAACTCGTAAGAAATCATCGTCGTAAACCGACTTTGATAAGGGGGGGAATAGTGTGACGGCTGTGGCGGCCTGTACAGACCTTCCCACATGACAAGTGGATACCTCCCAATAGGGGAAGGATCTGACCAGAGGATCCCCTTAAAGGGGCAACCTCCCACTGTACCTATCTCTCTCTCTCTCTTCCTTTCCTCTCTAGTCTTGATATTCTCGTCAATAGAGTAATAGCTGCTTGCTGCCGGCCATGTCCCAGCTCCTCAGTACGCTCGCCGTGACATTAATTACGTATGTATTTAATCGTTCCAAACGTCTTTATATCCTTTTAAAAGCGTTACAATGAAAAGATTAACTTATATACCAAAAAAACGCGCTCGTATTTAGCTAATATTAAAAGTGTCACGATGCCTTTGGCGTTGTGTTGCAATCTGGTAGATTGACGAAAATAACAAGGTGATAAAGGAAGGAATCCAGGTGTGGGCTAGCCGAATGGTAGCAACACATATGGTCCCTTCCTCTTTATCTAATCTACACGTGACTGAAGGTCACCTGACCAGGTGTCATACTTGTGGACCATCACAAAAAGTATATTTATTAAGTTTACCGCTATTTAATATACGTAAGGATAAATAGGCTTATAATTTTATTATTATAAAAAGGGATTATTATAGGAACAGGCTTGAACGATCAATCATAATACTCGAGTATTGGGTCAAGGTCATGATGTTGCTGATGGTTGGATTGGGAAGTCTAGCTGGACCTGCAGGTCTGGCTAAGTGACCTCACAATCCGGTATCTAATCTCTTATCTAATCATATATGTGGGTTCTGTATGGATGGTTTGACTGTAGAATCACATGGATCCAACAATTATTAAATAAGTTATTTTTATTATATTTAAATAATAAGTAATTTTATCGTCATTAATCTCGTTCGTTTCTTCATATAAATCTATTAGTTATAAGTATTAATTAAACGAGTTATTAAATACTACGAGTTTATCTAATAATGAGCCAATATTTTTACCGGTTTATTAATATTAAATTAACCTTGTTTATTTATTTAAAAACCCTTTAAACTTTACCCCATAACGTATAGCTTAATTAAGCTAGTCTGAATAAATTTAATAAATTTCATATTCAAGGTTTAAAATGTAAGGTAAATAGTATATAAGACTATTTTTTAAATAAATCTTTCACTTTATATAGTGTCAAACCTAGCCGCCGCAGTAGTTTTTAAAGCCTTGAGCTATACTTTAAGTGTGTCGTTATTATTTCCTTTGACCAACGATTCCCGCTGAAGGCGAAGACGATGAAGTTTCGCAAGGGTCTTAGAAGACTCCTAGTGGAGACAATCAAGACATTTAAAAGTCTCTTTTTCCTCGCGACAAAGGTGTTGCGACTCTTAAACCACGCGATTCAAGGAGGATATTGGCACACCAGAACCATCACAAGAGCGAGCACGTCGAACACACTCATTACACTGAGACACACCATCCATCATCTGACAACGCCAGCCACGCTTGAAACAGAGAGAGCAAGGCATAACGTCGAAACCAAGTTCCTTGATGGTAGCAACAAGCTTTAGGCGCTGATCGGATTTCGAGAGGGGTTGAGGTTTCCGGACACGACCTGACATGACGAAATTAGAGACATGACAAGAAAAGAACAAAAAAAAACAAAAAGGGAAACCAACCAGAAGGAAGAACCCATACTATTTATCTTTGAGGGCGAAGACCTGAGAGGAGGGGGATAATATTACGAACCAACGAATAGTGCGGCCTGATAGCAGGCCCAGAGGGGACGATTGGAAACAGGTTGACCAGTGAGTGCTGTGCTGATCAGTGGAGAGATCGGAGCAACGGAGCAACGGTACACAGATCACGTGACCAGCAGGACCTGGGTCACGTGACTAAGAATTTGGATCACTGGATCACCATGGTGATCCAGTGAGCAGGATCACCTTGGATCACCGGTGATCCAGGGTGAGCCACCTAATCAGTGAGGGAGAGATTGGATATATAAGGATGGATGTTTCCTAGCTAGACAGATAGACAGTCTCTACCTCAGTGATCAATCTAAGCATCTTAGCCAACCCTAAGGTGGGAGAAATCTCCTGACGAATCGAATATTCAGTGATTCCCCAGATCAGACCAAGCCCCAGCATCTGAGTGTCTTCTAGTTGACAGAAGCCTCTATCGTCCTTTGTGTTGACTTACCTCAGAACATAAACCCTATAGAACCCTTTAGCCTTATAGGTTAGACGGCTCATCACAGAAAATTTAAAAGATTATAATAGATTTTAAACCTAAGTAGCTATATATATAAACGAGTAAGTACTTAATAACTTAAATATCGGATCATCAGAGTCAGAACATGGGGGTGATGATCGGTCTAGTGCGTTGCATTTTATCCATGGGTCTGGGGGACCAATCTAGTACTAAATACACACCAAAATACAAAGATGTACCCATCCATTGATCCTCCAGCCAAAGATCCCTTGTCTATCACCAATGAAAGCCACCTTTCCTGGTGCTTCCATCCCTTTATTCTGCCAAGGTGCCTGCCTGACCCCTTGTCAGCTGGCAGCCTCCCTGACTGCCACCATACTGCCACCACAATCCTCACAGTAAATACCTTATTAATAAGTGTCAGATGTTGGATCCCAGATATGGTGCCCTTAGGTGCAGTACCCACTAGGGGGCTGTCAAGGGAACAGTGGATCCACCCTGGCATGGTGCAGTATAGTATTTAGCTGTAGATTAGCCCTGCCAAGCATACTTGAGAATGACAACAACGTTTGCAGCGACTGCTCTCACCCCCAAGGCTTGTGACCCTTCTAGAATCTCACACTAAGGGTAAAAAAAATCCTAATCTTAATCGATACCTCGCGCGGACGGACCTCTCTAGCCCTGGTTGTTTTTTTTACCCCTGGTCGACTACGACGTCGTTCTGTAGCGGGCGGCCCGTTTCATCCTGCAGCTTTCTGTCAACCAACAAGCAGCTTTGCGACCAATGACAAGTCGTGGAGGGTGTGATGCTGCACATTTGGGCGACCGCCACCATGTAGGCACCCGGCACGAAGCATGCCCTACCAATCAACAGCCGTCTGCTGTCGGTGGTGACATCAGCGGTGCGTCGAGGTAACATCCAACCGAGAATTCCTCAGCAAGTCGACCATGAAGCCGCCCAGTGGTTGTCTGTACTTAAGGCCCCGGGTTGTCGGAGGATCGACTGACGTTGATGGCGGGGGATGGCCCGATGTCTGTTCTCTCTTCCCCCATGGCACCTCTGTTGATCTGTGCGCCGCCGCCAAAGCCAATCCCCGAAGTCGAGGGGAGATGCGAATTTTGCGACTCGCTATCACTGGCGCGGTTAAAAGCTGGCGACCTTTGCTTCCACCCCGATCTCCGGTCTCTGAAAGAATCTGCTGAAGGCGGATGCGACTTTTGCCACATCTGTTGGACCTCTCTTCAAGATTACGGCTGGCCCCACGAACCAATCTACGATTTATGGGAGGTCGGGGAAGTCTTGAAAGGAGCTCGCCCTCTCTTGAATGGTGAGTATTTCCCTGAGATATGGCTCTCCGCATCCAAGGAAAACGAAAACCAAGTGATAATACACCGTGGATCGCCATGGCCCTTTGGTACCACGGGACGGAAAGCTGTCTTGAACATTTGTGCGGATCCAGGTCGGTTCAGTTACTTCCTAGTTGAGCCCAATGTTTCTGAATTTCACCTAGGAATGCCTGCTGCCTTACACTTTCGCGGGAGGTTGGCTACGGCCGACCGGAACCCCGAATATCATGTCGAACTGGCACGAAGCTGGGTCGGTCACTGTCAGAGTCACCACAAGCTGTGTGCTTCCCAACAGCGGTTGGAGATGCCGACACGCGTCATCGATCTCGGCCTGCCTCAGCTAAACCAGCCGGCCAAGCTGATCTTAACGGATGGACTGCGGCAGTCCTATCTGGCGCTATCCTACTGTTGGGGAGAAGGCACGAAACACTGTACCGAGCTTCGTCGTGAGAATATCGCCACCCTGATGGTATCTATAGACGAGAGAGAGTTGTCCAAGACCCACCGGGACGCTTTCCAGCTTGCTCGTAGCCTACACTACCGGTATATATGGATCGACGCGTTGTGTATAGTGCAACAGGAGATTGCAGACTGGGAGTTCGAATCGAGAAGAATGGCGGACGTATACGGCAACGCGGCACTCACCATTGTGGCTGGAAGGGCACGCGACAGCCGAGATGGATTTCTCGAGAATCCGTGGACGCCGGCCTCGGGGCCATGCGCCATACCGTACAGCAAACGAACCCCATCGGACTGCGGGGAGGGCACGCAAAACAGAGCCATGGGAAACGTTCTGGTGAGCCTCCGTCGCTCGAGGGAGACTGGACCAACAGACAGCCGCGGCTGGTGCTTCCAAGAAGCTGTCCTGAGTACGTGTCTTATTGTGTATGGGAAGGAGCAGATGTACTTTCAGTGCCAGAAGGGGAGAATTTGGGAGGATGGCGCCGAAGAAGATGGTGATCGGTTCAGCGTCCGGTCCAGCCTGCGGGCTTGGCCCAGCTCACTGGTGTCGACTTCAGCCGTCGACAGCATCTCTGATGAACAGACAAGCAACTCCGACACGGCGAAACCGGCAGGGAACTTGCGAGGTCATGTGCTGAACCAGTGGTATCAAAATGTCGTCAGCCCCTTCTCTCGGAGACAGTTGACGATGCCCCACGATTGTTTCGCCGCTATCGCTAGTCTTGCGAAGTTAGTGCAGATTCAAGTCCACTCTCGTTACCTTGCGGGCTTGTGGGAGGATAATATTGTCAGTGGTCTATTGGTGAGTACTACTTGCAGACATATCCTACATTTACAATCATCCCTCATATGTCTCCGCATACGCCTTGACATTGCCCTAATTGAAAAGGCTCATAAGGAGATTTCTGAGCGTCCAGTGTAGCTCAATACTATCATTGATGCTTGGCTAGCACCCGTGTTATGGATCAGCAGACCAGTCACTGATTTTTTTTTGGGGGGGGGGGCGTAGTGGACAGCGGAAAGATCCCGGCCGAGGGAGAGCAGAATCTCGCGGCCAGGAGCACCTGGAAGAACATGTCAGTGACTAAGTCTCCTCCTCACCTCCTTTCAGCCTTCTTTCGGGGGCAAACTGCCCTCGAAATATCACATGGAACGGCCTTAGCTACACCCAATCTCACACTTTGGCCACATCAAACCCATCCAAAGATCTAGTGGGCTGATATAACTCATGGTGCGGAATAGTGATTAGAGCACCATCCTGGTCATGGGCTGCTGTGCAGGGAGATGTAAAATTTCCTGGCCTATTGAAACCAGCGGACCTTCTTGTCCGGCCGAAATATACGGATCCGATCAGGTGGACGAAAGACGAAGCATGCTCGGTTGATGCTCTCTTCATGCCCATTTGTGAGCTCGAATTTTTGGGTCGCCCCAGAAGGGTCTGCATAGAAAACAACAGAAAGGTTGACACAGAAGGGCCAAATTGTTATCCGTGGCCACGAGTTGAGGCGGGGGATCCCGATCGTGACTTTTTCATCGGAAGGTATGTTGCCTTCGATGTCTTGGAGGAGGCAGTCGCGGAATGCTGGTGTGTGGCCCTGACAAGGCATGAGGGCCTACTGCTAGCCCAGATTGCCGAGAACAAGTTCCGCCGTCTTGGTCATTTTGTTGTGGCATGCGAATGGTGGATATTGGAAGGTGAGGAGCAGGAGCTCACGCTGGTATAAACAATATACACAACATTCGAGGTTGGTAGATCTAGCTGGGTCTTAATCCTTACCTATTTTCCTGATATAGTCACCCTCTATAAGTCTCCGTTAGGCATGATTTTATTGAGATGTCTTAAGGAAGTTCTACTTATCAATGCCATATTCATACCAATGGCATAAGCGTCTTAGGATAAGCAGCTTTAATCTAAGTGGCTATTTCCAATCCTTATTCCAGAGTGCTTATGCCATATCATAGTTATAACCCTCGCTTGTTCATGTTGAACTATCGATGTACGGAGATTTTTGGACGCTCAGTATATCAGTGTCCTCGTTGGCCGTGATATCAGCTTTGTGAACTCTGCCGGACGGACCCAATATTGGCACCTAAATAAACATCATACTCTTAAGCCTGAGTTATGTTTTTTTATCATATTTCAAGGAAGTGTGCAACCCTGCGGTGCTGCTTCTCAACGGCAAGCTAGAGTCCGTAGGCCAGATTGTTTGGCCCCAAATTGAGAAATGGCTGCTGCAGGCCCCAACCCACGGCTCCTTGGCCACGCACTGGCATCGAAGGCGCCCTGGAGTCCACAGCCCCAGGGATCGGGTTCGGCATGTGATGAGGTAGGTGGAGAGGCAAGTGCATCGAGTCTGCCGACAAGCCCGCATCCATTTCCGTCACTTTGGCGTTCTGCACGAGATCACTCAAGATTACCTCCGCGCCATTCAGGGCCGACCCAGTCATCGGCTCTTGCAGCTTCGATTCCATCTCATCGCGCAAGGTCTTGACCGTCTGCTTCATAACTCTCCACAGCTCGTACTTATCGAGGTCGTCATCGTCGTCCAGGCTTCCGCTGGTCGAGTGAGCGGCACTATCTTCGTCTTCATCGTCGCCGCCGTCCCGACGATGAGCCATCTCCAGCAGCGTAGTCACGAACGCCTCCTGGATGTAGGCAAAACTGAAGCCGTGAGTAATATCCGCAATGGGCACAACGAGCTCCTCTGGGAACTCCATGTCCCCCTTCGCGATCAGCTTCTGCCGCCAGTAGTGCACATATTGCACGCGTTCGTCCTTGCTGGGCTCGGGGAAAAGGTACTTGCGATCAAAGCGACTAGGCCGCTTCGACAGCCCCGGATCGAGCTGGTCGATGTGATTCGTGCTGGCCACCATGAAGATGCCGTCGTTGTTCTCCAGCCCGTCGACCTCTCCAGAAAACACGAGTCAGCGAGTACGCTTGCTACAGTGTCAAGTGGGTGGGAAACCGCGGTCGTGTCTCGGAAGCACGGAGAACACAATACTAGCCCGTATACGAAACCTGCTCCCAGGGGACGACCAAAAGGGGGAATAAATGACTTTTGGATCTTACGTACCGTTGAAGAAGTAGCTGCGCGTCGCCTTTGTGACAATGGTATCGATGTCCTCGAGCACGAGCAAGCAGGGGCTCATCTGCCGCGCCATGGCGAACACAGCCCGAATATGGCCCGTCGCCGGCGCCGCCTTGACGTACAGCGTCGGCACCGGCGGGTCGCGCCGCCCCAGCGTGTGCATGAGGGCCTTGATGCTGACGGTCTTGCCGTTGCCCACGGGCCCGTAGAAGATGATGCCGCGCTTCCACGGGACGCCCAGGTCCTCGTAGACGTCCCTGCTGTCGAAGAAGCGGCCTCTGACGCGCCTGAGCTCCCTCTTCATGTCCGGGTCGAGGATCACGCGGTACCACGACGCCTTCTGCACCTGGTCGTACAGCGCGCGGTCCAGGTACCAGTAGCGGTCGTAGACGTAGATGCCCTTGCGCTCCTGGTACTGCCACTTGCCGACCTCGGCGAGGAGCGCGTCCGTGGCGCCGAGTGCGAGAGCTGGCCCTCGTCGGCGGCGCGCTCTTTCAGGACGAACTGCGCCGCCGAGAGGCCGATGGCCACGACGTACATGATGAACGCCTCGCGGCCCCAGCTGTAGCGGTACTTGGCGAAGGTCAGCGCGTCGCCGAGGTGCCCGATGCTGCCGCGCTGGGCCGGCTGCAGCCAGTACCGCATGCGGAACACCGAGTCGGTGTCCGTGTTGATGGTGGCGGTCGCGTTGCCCACGGCCGCAAAGGCCATGAGGTTGAGGTTGGCCGGGTTCGTGTAAGTGACGACGTACTCCGGGAACTCGGACCGGAGCTTGACGAGAAGCTGCATGAAGGGGCCCGCGATCTTGGCTGAGGTCAGGGCGCTGAACTCGTCAAAGAGGCGCGGCTGCTGCCCATCATCGTCGGCGGCCTCCACGGAGCGCTCGATGAACGTGAACGGATCTACTGCTGAAGCCATGATGATGAGTTCTCAGATGGCGCCTAGTGACCCGGATGGGTATTATTTTTGACAAGACTAGTAAGAGAAGATGAATGCTCAGCCGACACATGTGTTTTCCGAGCCCATCCGCATGAATGGTGGCGAACAAACGGCTGCTGCGCCACGTCCTTCTCGCAACATGCAGTCTGTCCAGGGGGGTACGGGGAAGGATCTACAGTGTAACTCAGCAGTATTCACCCATTCCGGGTGGCACTGGCCCGGTGTACTGATCGCTGCCGAGCCATATGCACTCCGCACATAAGGTGCGGGGCCTCCCATTGCTGCTACGAGCCTAGTACACATTCTACACACGTTGCTTGCCGGTAAACTACCTACAGTTCCCCAAACTAACCGCGATCAACAGTTTCGTATATGGCCATTTGATGGTCATGAAATGCTCTCAATTCCAGATCTATCTAGTCTGCAAGCCGGAGTCATCGTCTCCATCCGGACCACACGTCTATGAATCCCCTCCTCACCAGGACAGACGTAAAAATTAGTCCGAAGTCCCCGACATGAGCAACACGACTCACGCCAAACACTTGTGACTTCTATGATCAGAACTTTTGCTCTTGTTCGTCACCGTCATCGCGTTGCAACGCTTTCCCGTAACCTCACGCCCATCCGGGAATAACGCATGGGTCAGACGGCGCTTGCTGATATTCCACAGCTGTTCACATTACCCTACGACTTGAGGCTCCTCGACCTCAGGTTTCGGGGCCTCGGCGTCGGTCATCTCCTCGTCCTTGTTCACCTCCGCCGCCTTTTGTACCCCCTTAGCGGCGTTGCTCTTCTCTTCAGCCGTCTCTCTGTAACGACGTTCCAGAATTCTACCAATGTTATTGATATCGATGAGCGAGGACTGGTACTGCGCCAATGTGGGCTCAGGTCTGTTTTCATAACCCCCTTCTGCAAATAGCCAGTTCTTTCATGTGTTAGCTAGGAGGTTCCACATCCGCTAAAATTACCAGTAAGAAGCTCACCTTGCGATCTTCGAGTATTTTCCCCAGCTTCTCTTTCTCGGCAACAACCAACTTGGGATCGGGGTTATCGCGGTTGAAGAGTCTAGGGTCGAAGGCTTCATCGTGAGCCCACTCCTCGTCCAATTTGCTCAGCAACTCGTAGATGCGTCCCTCCAGCTTGTTCATCTCATCTTCGGTTCTGGCAACCAACACGTCATCGCTGATCATGAGCTTCTCGTAAACGGTCGCAGACGTTCTAGTTTTGGCATCGATAGATTCGGTCTCAGCAACGATCTCGAGGTCGCCCTTCCGGACTTGCTTCTTGACCTTGCGGGTCCTGGGCTTGCTTTCATCCTTCTTGTCATCGGTTTCCATGGCCTTTAGGCATGTTAGATAGGTGTACATCTAAAGCGTAAATGGCGAGCGTGGATGGGAGATGGAAAATCAGATAGCTATCCGATCCGCCGGGTGCAGCGCGCAAGCAATGGGAGAGTTTAACTTACATCCGGGTCTTTCTTCTCGCCATCCTCCTTTATCTCCTCTTCGACTTCTTCATCCTCGACGTAGTAGCCGCTCTCGACATTCAATATACCATGGATGTTGACTCGAGCTTTGAGCTTGCATATCATAAACTCCGACTTGGGACCGGCCTTGACACCCTTGACAGAGAACTTGCCAATAGTCTTGGATGTTCCGCCCGGAAGATCCTTGGAATCGCAAGCGTATTCAGCTGTCAATGTGAAGTCTTGTTTGCGGTAGAATGTCAGAATCTTTGTCGAAGGGAGCACATTGCCCTTATTGAAGACCGTGAGACTCGTGTCCTCATCAGGAATATCGTCGTCCTTCTCCCACGAGAACTTGATCGGGTAGTTGACTATATCCTGGACGGAAAAGTCACGGACCTTGAAGACGGGGGAGAGGATGGCGCAACTGAAGGCAGAGCCTCGGGCAATGGCTTCATCCTGATTCAGGGTGAAGGACAGGGGCTTGCCGAAGAATGCCTGGATCTCGGCCTTGATCGCAGGGACCCGAGAACTACCACCGACCAGTTCGATGAACTCTATATCATCCTTAGTCAGCTTGGCATCGGCAAGGGCCTGCTCCAGAGGCACGGTGACTCGGTTCAACAGAGGCGCAATGAGTTTCTCAAACTGTTCGCGGTTGACCATTTCGTGCACATCGACATCGTTCATGAGCGACTCGATATTCAACGGGGCCTGCTGGTTGGCAGACAGGATCTTCTTGAGCTTCTCAGCGCCGGCCTCGACACGGGACAAGGCTTTGGGATTCGTGAAGATGTCGATCTTGTGCTTGGCCAGGAACTCCTTCTGGAAGTGCCTGACCAAAGCCATGTTGAACTCCCGACCACCAAAGTGGCGATCGTAGGCAGTGGCCTTGACGGCAAGCTCACCCTTCTTAAACTCGACGATAGAAGCGGAGTAGTTGCTGTGGCCAATATCGATAAAGGCGACTCGGCGCGGCTTCTCATCTGCTGCCGGAAGGTCGAGCTTGGTAATACCGTAGCCGAGGGCTGCAGCGGTGGTGTCGTTCATCAATCGGAGGATCTTCAAACCAGCAACCTCAGCAGCATCAAGCATACTTCTGCGCTGTCCATCCGTAAACCAGGGGGGCACGCTCACGACGATGTCGGAGACAGGCAGTTTCAGTTCAAGATGGGCAGTCTCTTTGATCTTGCTCAAGAACATAGCGAGTAGTTGGGTGGCTGCAAACGGCGTCTTCTTGCCCCGGTAAGTAACTTCGGTGCCCACCTCGGTCTTGTATGGGATCTCGAAAGGCTCTCTCACTATTCTGATCGCCTTCTCCCCCTTCTCGTTGGTGTATTCTTCTTCTACGTCCTTGGCAAGGGCCAGACCGTTGCATTGAACGAGACGAGCGGAGACGAAATTTTGCTCGATCTGAACATCGGGGTCTGAGAGGCTTCGTCCGACGAGACGCTTCAAGGAGGAGACAGTATTCTTGAGGTTGGAGATCTCCTGGTTCTTTGCACCTTCGCCGGTGTATCGAGCCTCGGGGCCGAATCCCACCAGGGAGCTGGGAGACAAGATCAGCATCCATGTGTACAATGCTTGAGACAGTTTGGAGACTCCAGAGAGGGAACTTACGGTGTCGCACGGTTGGAGACTTCATTGGTGATCTAACAATGGGTCAGCCTGGTGGGTGGGAGGGATGTGCAAGAGCCGGCATGGTACGTACAACGTCAACACCGCGGTTTCTTGCGACAGCAATGACAGTGTTGAGCGTTCCGAGGTCAACGCCTAGAGAGGTGGGCAGTCAGTAATTAGAACTATCGGCACGGAGGAAAGGGTTTGCGCTGGCGGGGGACAGAGCAAACGTACCGACGACGCTCATCTTGGCGGTGGTGGGTGAACGGACGAACAGCAATGGTGGGATCGAGGGTTAGAAGGGTGCGAAGGCGTGATGGCCAAAGACAATACGAGACGAGACGAGAGAGAGGGAAGGCGAGGTTCTCGTGCGGGCGGTCTGTTGGGAGAATGAGACCTAGACGTGGGTTGAAGTTGTTTGTGTCTGGCGGCGGAGGATGGAGGATGTGAGGATGCGGTGGCAGAAAAAAAGGCTGCCCGACAACAACTGCGAGTCTGCGAGGTGCGAGGGGAGGGTGGGGGGGTCGGCGAAGTGGGAGGTCGCAAAAAAAAGAGTCTTCTAGTCGGGCCTCAGCTGGCGGCAGCCAGCCTGTCCGCCTGCAGCCCACCTACCCCTCCTTAGCTACACACCCCGGGGGGTCTACCATCATCACCACAGAGACCGCCCACGAAACTTCTAGACGGCCCAGGAAGCTGCTGGATGTTTATGTCTACGATAGAATTGGCCGCCAGATGGGAGTCGTGGTCCTTTGGTGCCAGCCGCGCGATTCGCACGGGATAATTGGACGACAGCGACCATGTCAGGGATGCCCAGGTTCCAAGGTTATTATTACAGTAGTGATGCCCAGGGTTCAGACACGTGTGAGGTATCACTCACGGGTCATATCGAGATCGTTGCATTGTCATTGTGCGCCTGCCTGAGCGTCCTCCGGTTCCCAAGTCGTTATTACCTTACGGATACTTGTTTGATGTTGCTGGCCTCATCCCTCATCCATCGTCTCCCGGTAGATTCTGATGGCGATCCAGCCTCATACTTTGCGTTGATAAGTAGGTAAGTAGGTAGGCAGGTAGGGCAAGATGTAGGATGTCCGGCGCTACAAGCACGCCCAGGAAGCCGCCAAGGGCACCCCTCTCAATATTGTCATCAATCAGCAGCGATAGTGGGGTTTCGCACTCGTCCTGGGTGCTGACCGCCCCGCGATTTCAGCACAGCAACCATTCGTTCATGATTCTTACATAATTTGCTGTCTATGACTTATTAGTACTAGGTAGAACAAATACTCAATGGGTGATGCTCGTAAGATGGCGACGCCATGTGATGACAGCATTGCTGGATGCTGGACGCTGGACAAGTTCAAGTTGACGTGTTCTTGGGGTTTGGTGGGCGTGTGGGTATCGTGACGACATTGGGAGGTCAGTGTTCAATGGAGTATGCACACTGAACCCTCATAAGTATCCGTGAACCACCTGTCCTTGCAAACAACGGTATTCATCGAATCGGAATAAGCATCATGGAATGAGCATTTAAATTGGCGTATTAAACCAAAACTGCTTATTTATGTATGGTTATTTCATTATTTCCAACTTTCTGCCTGTGATCTGGATTCTTAACTACCGACATGCGCGTACGGAGACTTATGAAGGCTGAGTGTATGTTATCCAGTGTAGAGATCACAGGTCATTGTAGATATAAGCCATCAAGCACATTGACTCGTGGTCTTGTTTCGGCGGCTACTCTACTTAGTCAACAATGTGCTTCTTGTCCGCCCACGAAGGCTCTACACCACGGCAGACACTCTCGTAGTCCCTGAATTTCCGCTCATCCAACGCCAGCTCCGGCGTCGTCCAGAACATGGTCCAGTTCATGTCCTTGAACTTGAGCGAGCCCCGGGACCGTTCGAAATACCATTTGTTGACCGGGTTATCCTTCCTGCTCCTCCAACAGACCCCTTCCGGGAAGCAGTCTCTCACCATGGCGTTGAACACGATATCTGCCACACCGCCCGCTCCCTGGCTCTTGCGGAGGACCGCGAACTTGTCCAGGTATGGTATTAGTCGGTTGCTATTTCTCGCCTCCGTGTCCTCCATGCCCGCAGGCTTCTCCCACGTCAATAGTGCCCCGCCCTCGTATTCGCCGGCGATGATAATGCCCGCGAGGTTGTCATCCACTCGTCTCAAGTAGTCGTCGACGTCAAGCTTTCTGCCGAACGAGTCTTCAATCAGCTTCACCAACCGCGGGAGGTCGATACACGGATCGGTAAGCTTGAGGCTTTTCTGCCCTGGTTGCGGTGCTTTCCAAGGCGTCACCCGAGGGTCGGGAAATATGGTCAGAGGCATACCGCGCTTTGCCAATGTTGTCAGGGACCCAATCTGTGATGTTCCCGTAGAAGATGTGACGGGTCTGAAGCGCTCAGATGGCAAGGACGATGACTGAACAGGTTTGTCCGTCAGGAGACTGTGTATCAGCGGATTCTGCCCCCTCCTGGTCTCGACGAGCGGCGCCCACTCCTTTTCAAGTTGCTCCTTTGCCACCTCTTGTGGTGTAGTGATGACGGCTGAAGATGTCGGGGGAAGCAAAGATAAGATATTCTTCACCAGTTCGGCGTTCTCCAGATGCTGCAGATTGTCCCGGTGTTTCCCGTCTACGGTGTCGTACGTCCAAGGTAGTGATGCCTCTAAGTCCTTCTTGACCTCCTCAAATTCCTGCTCAAGGTTCAAGAACAAATGTCGCCCAGTAGCTCTATTCGTGGCTGGGATCCCGCCCAAGGGGTCCAGTACGACGATGCGATATACCTCAGCGGCCCTTGACAGGCGTGTGGTTCGCGCGTCGTCGGGGGTAGCTTGATCCAAAAATTGAAGACCCGACAACTGCCTTGTAAGGGCCAGCATGATATCGTCTGCCTTGACCGGTTTGATGGTGCACGTATCCGCGGTATAACCGAAAGAAGGAATGATGGGGATAACCTCATCTTGCAGAGTAGTCATTAGATCGCTAGGATTGGCGATATATAGGTCTCGGGTGACGAAGGGCGAGGCGGCCGGATTGACTGGATTCCCTATCATGATTGGGGAGTCGATGACCCGTGCTCCTAGAGCATCAAAATTGTCGACGGCCATCGAGATACGGTTCGCTTGCATGCTGGCGGCCTGGCGTTGCGTAGCCACGTCTTCTCGAGTACTCTCACAATCGACGACCACGATGCTGATCAAGCCAAGCTTCCGCAGCTGACTGAGAGTCTTGCCCACCCCATTCATCGTGGCATCGTTCACCATCTCAGGGGCGCGGAATTTGACCAGAGCGACGTACTCCTGGATAGCGAGCTCCTCCTCTGTCTCAGGACCACTGGTAGTCTTTTTGTTTAACGCGACATGATTGATGGTGTCTTTGAGCCCCATACTCTCGGGCGCAATGCTGTTGGTGTCCTGGAGGGGTTGAGCGGCGCGTTGCTTGAAGTCGGTCGCCCCTTTCTTCTCCAAAAGCGGAACAAATTTATTCATATAAGCTTTGGCATCGCGCTTTGTGACTGAGGTCTCGAGAACCGAGACGAAGAAATCCTAAGGTAGAGTCAATTAGCCGTTAACATGAAAGGGTTCAGACATTGATCACACCCTATCAAGACTTTTCTTCTGTTGCTGTGACCCGGACGTCGAGCCATACGAGGATGCGAATATCACCGGTGTGCCACCGCCATTTGCAGGTGTTGCACACCGGAGCGACGCTGTGCGTGGGCCATGGGATTGGTCAAGCGAGAGTTTTGAGTTCAGGTCCTTGCCCAGTGGTGTCTAATAATGACTTGTCAATGCACCGATACACATCGTGAGTTTGACGCGGAACGAAGACGGCATTCCGGTCTGCGGTTGTCGGCGGGCACGGAGGGCAACGGAGGGCAACAAACTTACGTTGAAGCCTGAAGACGCCTTCCTCCAGGCCGCGAGTCGCATACTCATATCGCAGGAAGCATTCTGGTCCCCAACACAGCTGACGATAGCGACGGTGTCATGAGCACATGTTGAAGAAGCAGAGAAGAGAATCAAGGAGTATTCAGCATGGCCAACGAAGGATTATAATGAGTGCCCAATCACCTTTTCCTCACTGCTCCCGTCTTGATTGAAACTCTGACGTCTGGTCTCACTGAACAAATTGCAGTGACTCAAAAACCCAGCTGGGTACGATAAGCAGCTGATAAGCCCCGGAATAGAACCCAGACCATACCGCTATCGGCCAAGCTTCCCCCCAACATTCCCCACTGCCCACTTTCTGTCCCGCAAAACCCAAAAGCCAATTCCTTTTTCTCTTGTAACATCCTCCACGACATGCTGCCGTTCAACTCGAACGAACTCCAAGGCGTCCCGGCAGTTGAGCAGCTTCCTTTCGCGGTCCCGAATGTGACAACTCCTCTGCACCTCTTACTTGTCTTGAGTGCGACTGCTCCAAGGCATGACGCAAACAACAGGGTGTGCACGACCCAACGAGCATGGTACGGGCCGGTGTCGCTCGAAATCGAATGGTTCATTTTTCATGACAGCCGAGGGGCGCCTATCGACAATTAAAACCTAGGTGACCGAGTGGTGCGTGCATCGTCAAACATGTTCTCCATGCTTCTCGCAACCGTCAAATGCTTTTTGGTAGGATCGGAATATCGACCACTACTGTCAGCTGCAGCTTTGCAGGTTCATCGAGGAATGATACCTCCCACATAGCCCAAAGACGTTTGAACAGCCCATGCCTAGTCGCAGTCTCACCGCCAGATGTAAGTAGGTGGTGGCGGTGATGGCGGGGGAAGATGAGGGGGCCAGGCCTTGAAATGCGGATTCTCCATGCGCGGACGATACTCGGACAGATCTACCAACATCGCCCAGAGCATGACAAAATTCGTTCACACGTGGTTTGCAGCATCAGCTTGTTACTTGGGTTGCGTCTGGAAATGAGGAACATCGTTAGCTGCTAGCTCAAACCTGACTGTGGACTGACATCAATGAGGGTATTTCTACCTATCATCCGCATGTAGTATCGTCGACTACAACCCTCATGTTTCAGTTTCAACTCGGTGAAGAGGCGGGGCAACCTAGATGCAGGCAGGCCATCCGTTGATTCTAGTAAAAATAGTCAGTCGAGATCCTGGAGAAATCCCAGAACATTATACCGGCCTCGAGGTATCGAGCACGAAGTTTAGATGAGATCCGCGAGTAACTCATCCCTCATCTTGCGCAAGTATCTGGCCATGATTTATCAAGTGGGGATTTATAAGATACCATGTTGACTGGATGACTTGTATTTTCTTGCTTCGTTGACCCTCGTACGGACCCTTGCTTTCGCAATGTCTTGAAAAGGAATCTCCCTCGGACTCCCACCGGCCGTTAAGAAAATGATGACTCTGAAGCGTAGCTATTATCACTGCAAACGCCGTGACGTGGGAACGGCTTGGTGATGGGAGATTCAGGGCGAAAGAGTGACGATGCCTTGCTGATCACGGGTCGGCCTCTTGACCGTGAATCATGGGTAGGTCTACAAGTTGCCAGGGCTTGATGGATATTGTTAGCTTAGATGTAGTAACACCTCTCGAGGCTTGACGTTGTTCGCTTCTAAGTGCTCGATTCTCGTGCTATCGTCGATTGATTGATTGATGGTCTTCAACTCAGACTCGAACGCATGAAGTACCAGACTCCCCGGCGCCGACAGCGCACCGCGAAATCGTGAAGTGTCAGGCTTCCCGGGCCCGAACTTGGAGTCAGACACGGCAACTGGCTCGATCCTTGTCTCATGGACCATCAAACGTAGTGACCGAAAGACTGGAGGCTGCTTCGGGTTATGAAGGGTGGCTCTGTAGTCCAGGTGGACTTGTCGGTGTTTAGCGTACATAACACGTACGGTGCATCGAACTTCTGCGTTCGTATGCCTGTATGGCGTGATGAGGTCTGGCTGAAGTTATTGGATGCGTGTCTTATCCGGGGTAAGGGCACAGGTACGACAGGTGGGCTTTATGTGAATATGTACGTCATATGCCAGCCATGGGAAGAGAGTGTAAACGCGCACTTAAGATGAGGTGTTCGATGAACCGGTACTGAGTATCGCTGTCAGGTCGAGATTGGTTGTGGGTAGGTTGGAGCTGCTGATGACGAGGTCGACTTTCGTGACCCTTCTTGTGGTGGTCCGCTTCGATGTTGTGAGATTGGACTATTGTGTCTGCCCCGGGCCGTGGATGAGTTGGTAGATTCTTAGTAGATGCTTGCGATTTGTGCTTCTGCTGTTGCCATACTTGCCTGCACCGCTAACCCATGAAGTGTCCGACTCCCCGAGTGCCGAACCCATGAAGTGTGAGGCTCCCGGTGCCGAACACATGAATTGTCAGACACGCCGATCCCGGCCCTTCCCCCCTCCCCGAATGAAGTGTGAGACTCCCCATATTTGTCCTGTTGACACTCGCAGAGCATAACCGATGTCGGACAGGTTGAGGTGGCGCGATGTGGTGAATTGAGTCAAAGCGCATGATCGGGGTTGTTTGCAGTCACGGCAAGCCAAAAAGCTAGCACCGTAGAATGTCAGGGAACTCGAAGCCCAATCGAAGGAAGCTTAGCTGAGCCATGTTACCCATCGAGTTTCCCTGAGACAGATCGACAGAGTGGTCTACTGCGACTGCTCTCTGCTCGACTGGGAGTCCATGGAGGCCAAGATCGAATAGTGGAAAATGTGACCAACACTTAGAGGCCAGGCATGGCTGTGGTGGAACTGTAACCGAGAGCAGGCCGCAAGTTGAGGGTAGAGGAGTGGGAAGAAAAGGGGTGCACACAGCCCTCATAAGTTTCCGTGCGCGCGATGCAGATGAAATTCCAGATCGCATGTGGAGATCTGGAAGTACTGGAATAATCATACAGGATAAGCAGCTTTGGTTTCATATGCCACTTCCAATGCTTTCTTCATTATGCTCATTTTGATTCGATGGACACCGTTGTTTGCTGGACAGGTGGTGTATGAAGGGACTCGGCCCTCATAAGTCTCCGTACGCGCATGTTGATAAGATTCCAGATCACCCACTTGTAAAGAGTTGAAACACTGGAATAAGCATACAGGAATAAGCAGCTCTGAGGTCATACGCTACTTTTGACTCTCATGCCAGTGTGCCTACTCTTCTCACCTGGCGGTGTGCGGAGACTGATCAGGGTTTAGTGAAGCAGATGCTCAAGTCGATCAGTCTATGGAAGTCGTGAAGGGCAGAGGCCTCGCAGAACACACCAAAAGGATATATTTCTCTGGGTCATCTACTCCCCTGATTCCGAACGTGCTTGTGACGAGCCGTCTAACCTATAAGGCTAAAGAGTTCTATAGGGTTTATGTTCTGAGGTAAGTCAACACAAAGGACGATAGAGGCTTCTGTCAACTAGAAGACACTCAGATGCTGGGGCTTGGTCTGATCCGGGGGATCACTGAATAGTCGAGTCATCAGGAGATTTTTTTCACCTTAGGGTTGATTAAAATGCTTAGATTTATCACTAAGGTAGAGACTGTCTATCTGTCTAGCCAGGAAATGTCTATCCTTATATATCCAATCTCTCTTTCACTAATGAGGTGTGCTCACCGTTGCTCGCGTGAGCAGACGTGAGCAACTCTAGTCACGTGATCTTGGCTCCCTGGATCACGTGCCTGGATGCCCTGCCTGTTCTGTATTGTGTCCCCGTTCTAATTGGGTTCCCTCATAGGTCATCCTTTTCCCTTCAGGCCTGCCCACGGGCCCGTGGTATTGTTGGTTCGTGACAGTGCTCTCCTGCTATCTCACACAGTGGAGGCTCTTGAGGCTCGTACTCGCCATGCCTCTTCAACTCGGCGAACATGGTATGTGGCTCATCGCTAATAAATGTTTCTCCTAGATCGATCAGCAGGAGCAGTACAACGCACCGTGACGAACAGGCACTCGAGGATGTGGTTCAGCACAATATCAGGAACACCGTCCAGGTCGCTTGACGGTCTCAGACAGCATCAATCAGACTCTAACATTGTGAGATGATCAGGTCGAAACAGATCGGTCTGCATACAGGGAGATACATAAGCAGTCGAAAGGTGAAAGGGTAGACGTTGCTCTTCACCACTAGAGTCAGCTAACGACCGTGGTGGCCGCTTGTTCCGAGCAGGACGCCGAGTAGCAACGCAGATTGCTACTCGGGCTGGTGGGTGAGCCCCCATCCAAGAACTTGATGCGTCTTGTGGTGCCGATAATGGTATCTTATGACTACAGCATGGACAGGTATCGAGATGATAAGTAGTCCTAGCCACTGTAATAACGAGCGCTTGAACTGTGACCTCGGGTGTTACAAGCTGTCTTAATTATCCCCGTCGCAGAACGACAAGAGCTTTCGTTGAAAGACATTGACATCAATTTTGGAGCTCGGCCAGATGATGTGAGCCCCAAATATGCATGGGTTTGAAACCCCAAGTACGGTAGGAAGTTGAAGGTTCTGCGCTGAGGGCATGTCGTGAAAAGGGGATGCGGCTCCAAGGTATGACATGGCGAGTCTATTTAATACTTCTGTGCTCACATTGAAATACTTGCGGCTGCACACATGAGAGAAAGGATACCGGCGTGAGGCAGTGAATCATGGCATGAGACATGCGAATTTCAGATTGCATGAGGGCCACAGTCATCGAAATCACAAAATGGTCGGGGTGCCTCCGGGGAATCGCCAATTTACAACGCTCGGTTGAACATGGACTTCGACTCAAAAGCTAGTCTGCTACAAAAGCGGACTACAATCTGCTCCATTTGTTTGCATCGATGCCGGAGTTGGTAGGGCTGGATATGTGTGGGACTTTTACCTCCCTACCTCGCATGCGAGTACGCGCTGTGTTTACTCGCATCCTCAACACGCAGCTCCCGAGACCTGCACAAACGCGCACTTGCACCTCGCAAAATCATCTCAATTCTGACCACGCGTCTCATCGTATTGATTTCCATGCACTAGCTCCTCGAACTCGCTTCTGATCGCCTTTCTTTCCAGAGTCTCGGTACTTGCTGGGGACAGGCAGCGCACGCCCACCCAATGGCACTCCCCGTCGCTCTCGTACTGGCCGCCTGCTATTTCCTGTCGTCTGTCTCGGGTATTCTGATCCAGACGGATACTCCTTCGCTACCGCTCGCAGACAGATATGACTATGTTGTTGTCGGCGCTGGAATCGGCGGATTGGTCGTCGCTAATCGGTTGTCCGAGAACCCGTCCGGTGAGTGGAATTTTCGTTTGCGATTGATTAGCACGTGGATGGATTTTATTACCACATGGAAGAATCAGGGATAGGCGTTGAGTGGCCCCCATACCACCTGGGTACGACGTGGGATATCCAAATGAGTTCGTCATTTATCCCACAAAGGCCCGGATGGAACACGCGATGAAGAACCCCTTACCCCCTGCACATTGATCCACTGTCCATCAGAGCTTACCAATCTTTAGTATCCGTGTTAGTGATAGAAGCTGGAGATCTGGACGACCAGGCGGAAGATGTCACTGTGCCGGGCAACGTTGGCGAGGAAGATCCCCACAGGTACGAATGGGTCGTGACCACGGGCGCTCAAGAATTTCTGGACAATACCCCTCGTAGCTTCACTCAGGGTAAGGTCGTCGGGGGCAGCACCATCACCAACGGCCTCTGTTGGACCAGGGGCTCCACGGCCGACTACGATGCTTGGGTCAACCTCGGCAACCCTGGCTGGGGATGGGCAGATCTCCTACCCTATTTCGTGAAGGTCAGTCGAACTCGGCCCATAGTGTCCTATCTACGAATCTTAGCTCACACTATTCAGTCCGAAACGTACACCGCACAGCACGACGCATCGCTGGAGCCTACGGCAGGGGCTTCGCAGCGAACGGACCCTGTGGTTAGCAAACACGGCTATCAAGGGCCGATCGAAGTTGGCTTCCCACGTTACATCTATAATCAGACATGTATGTACAAGACCAGAACCGCTGGAATCGAAACACGTACTAAGTCAACATAGACAACTTCCTCGATGGCATCCAGGAGCTTGGCATTCCGATCAACGACGACCTCAATAGCGGCTATGCCACCGGCGCAAATCTCATCCCGAGCAGCATCACAGCCGAGAACCAATCTCGAGCAGATGCTCGCACCTCGTACCTCGATCCTGTGTTATCTCGTCCGAACCTGGCACTCGTGACTGGCCACACTGTCACGCGCATACTGCATAGAGGCGACAATGGTACTGCTCCGAATCCAGGTCCTAAGGTAGGGGTACCCGGAAGGATCATCACTGGAGTTGAGGTAAGTACAGTCGTCTTTCCGTCCTTACTTGTCGCATCGTTAAGATCCCGATTTCTAGTTTGCCGCAAACTCAACCTCCCAGCGATATAACGTTTCCTGCCGAAGGGAGGTCATCCTCGCAGCTGGCGCCATCCTCTCACCCGTGCTATTACAAATCTCCGGCTTCGGACCTGCGGACCTGCTGACGAGCCTGGGTGTCGAAGTTGCAGTCGATCTGCCCGGCGTCGGTAGCAACCTCCAGGATCACCCGATGCTACAGCCTGTGTATGCGTGTAAGGACCACCCACATCTTCTTACTCGGTTTTGGATTTTGGCTAAGGGGCCTCTAGTCGATGCACCAGATGTCTTCACAGCCTGGGATATCGTAGGCAGAACGAGGGATGCTGTCCGGGAGGAATATCTGGCGAACCGAATTGGTAAGTCTGAACCACGAGCAATGGGATGGGCTAGCTTGGAGCGTTGGCCCTGTTGAAGTTTCGTGGACAATCATAACCCCTGAGTGTCTAACCCCCCAGTCTTCACGATACTGACAGACATCATATAGGGCCGTGGACAGCGCCCATGGTCAACACGGTGGCCTTCCCCGCGCTCGAATGGGTGCAAGACGACGCGCCGCAGTTCCTCACGCGCATATCCAACGCGACGAGCCACCTGCCACCGACCTACGACGCCACCCTCCTTGCAGGCTACACAGCACAGCAAACCGAGCTAACAGCGCTGCTCTCCCGCACCGATACGCCCGCCTATGAGCTCATGTCAACGTCGTGGGGTCAGCTCGCCGTCAGCGCCATGCACACCTTCTCACGTGGCACGGTCCAGGCACGCTCCGTCTCCGTCTTCGACAAGGACAACCCGCCGCTCGTGGACCCGCGCTTCTGCTCGCACCACTTCGACTGCGATGTACTGCTCGCGGCGCTGGAGCTTAACGACCGCCTTATCGCGACGGCGCCCATGGCGGCGCTGCAGCCCGTACCGCAGGCCGGATTCGCGCCCGCCGACGCGCGCAACCGCACCGCGCTGGACGAGGCCATGCGCGCCCTGATACGCACCGAGTTCCACCTCTCCGGGTCGTGCTCGATGCTGCCGCGGGACCTGGGCGGCGTGGTGGATCCGGCGCTGCGCGTGTATGGGACCCGGGGGCTGAGGGTCGTGGATGCGAGTGTTCTGCCCCTGGTTCCGGGCGCGCATATACAGGCTCCTGTTTATGCTGTTGCTGAGAAGGTATGTTGACTCTAGGTACCACTTCGTTGGAAATCATGGTCGAGAATGCTGACGTTTGGTGATGTGTTCAGGCTGCCGATATCATCAGACTCGACAATGGCGATGTTGCGGGCGTACACCCGTTGCCGAAGGAAGTGCGGCCCACGCCTCCTCATTGTGCTCATCATGCTCACCGTGCTCACCGTGCTCACCGCTACTGGTGAACTAACCATATCATCTGGATATACGCTCTTGCCGGGATAGGCAATGCCTGAGTTTGATAGAGGTTCATGAGTTCATAGATACTGGCGTTGGAGTTGGGCACTGGATACGTGCTGTTTGTAAGAGTATAATACCTGAAGGGATACCCAGAGTCCTCCATGTCAATACTCAAGTGATCTTCGTGCTTCGTTTTTCGGAAACGTAGAATCGTAGGTAAAAGCTCAGGCTCGTACACTGAACCTACGAAAGTTTCCATACACCCCTTGTTCGGCAACCAAAGGGCACATTCATTAAAAGTGGCATAAATCGTTCTGGAATAAGCATCGGAATGGCTTATTAGATTAAACATGCTTATTCTAGGCTGCTTATTCCATTAACATGGATGGTCGGGAATCCTCGTACGTGCGGAATAGGGGTAGATTCCCTCCTTACTAGCATCTCATTGACGGCTTGAGTTGGCCTAGTCAGAGCCTGGAGATCAACAGAGAGGCCCAGCTGACGGCTGTTGCTACGGCGCGTGCCTGGAGCTGGTTTTGTAAGCATCACGCCGCCTTCGGCTTCGTGAGGGAGCGTTGACGAGGGCGCTGACGAGGGCGCTGACGAGGGCGCCGAGCAGAAGGAAGACGGCTTCAGAGCGCGTCCTCCAGGGCGCCAAAAGACTGAGTACTCTCCTTCCGCGAATATCTCACACCTCAAGTCCACGGAGCAGACCACGGCCCGTGGCACTGCAAGAGGGCGCCAACGAGGGAAAAGCGGCTTGAGAGCTCGTCATCCCCCAGGGCGCCAGCTGAGCGGGTGAGTGTTCTCTCCACGAATACCTCACAACCCAGGTCCACGGCGCAGATCACGGCACGCGTGGCCGGCGATCCTGAGGGCATCACCAGACGGCTCCAATAGAGCGTGTCAGCAAGGTCGCCATCACGAGCACCTCAATCCCCTAAAGACTATGGCGATCGCAGCAGTCATCTGCAGCGCGTGACACCACCGCTAGAGTATGGCGAGTGGAACAGCGAGCTTGAGGGCGTTGCCAGCGGGGATGGCTTCAAAGCGCGTCATCCAGAGCGCCAGAAAACCAGAGTGATCAGCCTGAAGCCCACGGCGCTCGTAGCAATCTCTGCGGCGCGAAGCAACGCGTTGATCGAGCCCCCGCGATCATCACCTTGAAGACCACCGCGCAGATCAGTGCGTGGCATGTCATCGAAGAGAGCCTTCCTCAGCAGCCTAATCGTTCGCGAATGAGGGTGAGGAATGAGCGAAACCGAATCGCCTGGCAGTCGTACAACGGCGAGTACCGACCCGAGCCCTAGCCCTCTCAAGCGAGGCGCAAGTCTTCCGATCGGAGGGAGCACCGAATCGCGTGGTAGTCACACCACGGCGAGCACCGAACCGAAGCCTTCTAGCAGCCGAAGACAGAAGCAAGCGCAGAGCTCTCCGTGATCCACTCAGAATGGCCAGAGGGATTGGTATCACCACTGCAGCAGGTGATGACCAGTTGGCTGCCGGCGAACCGCGGCAGAAGGGTCGTACTGATGGGCATGCTGCCGTATCAAACTTGATACGGAGGAACACAAGTATCGGGAGTCTTCAACGATGAAGGCACGCACGGCGTTATCTTCAAGGAATGCCTTGGAGGGCTCCCGTGTTTCTCTTCCTGCTGCTCCATGGCTTCAAATCCCCACGTCCTGTGCTGCTCGCACGGATGACCTTGTTGCCATCATTTGGCCCCGTGCCTATGTCATTGTGGCCAGCGGGATTCTCGTGCTCGCTTTTTTCGCCGGGACCAACTGGCGAGCATATTCATAGAGCTGCTGCCCAACGTCGACATGGCTCTTTAAGTCGCGATTGCTACTTCGCTCACCACCACAGATTGCCTGGGGATCACATGTTATGCCAGAGGCGAAGGGGCTTGAGTGGAGGAAGTTGATATGAATTAAGGTTATTCCAGTCTAGACTGGTCTGCGGAGGTATAGCGCTGTTGCTTGCCTGTGAGTGGCCGAGTTGAGGGGGCTGGTGCCGGATTAGGTATATCCAGCAACAGAGCCTCAACCTTATCTCCCGCCGTGGAGGCTCCACTTGGGTTGCTGGGACAATGGAGGTCCCATTGTGCTGTCAACAGATCAGGATGAATAGATCTCCCATTCACCGACCACCTGCACGGCTGAAGGACACCTTGGGAAAATGCCATATTAGGCTTAGTGGTGGAATGGCTGAGTGGCAGAATTGCAATCAGCCAGCCCTCTCCCCCGTCCCCATTTTCTTATATATATCTGTCCTCCCTCCCTCCCTCTCTCTTGTCTTTTCTTTCTTCTTCATACTTACCTTGGAACGAGGGGAGGAGCTCAAAACCCCCTCCCCTCAGGGCAGGAAGCCTGCATTGCACATCGCGGCGCGGACTGCCCTGTATTATCCTTTGGGATCGTACGTTCCGCAATTTTTGCTCTCGACTTCCTTTTCGTTGTGAGCGGTGCCTTGAGCACCGCCATGAGGAAGAATAGCCCGTTGACTTCCTACCATATCTCTTAAGTTGTGCGTGGACTGGCCCGTCGGAATCTTTGATTTCAAATGCCCAACTTCCTTGAGCACCATTGTATGTGGTGCCATGAGGAAGAAGTAGAACGACGAATTGCGTTGGTCACGTAGATGCCACTGCTGTTAAATGTATGTGACATGTCCACCCTCGCGAAACCTGCAGTGGCCAACGCGTAGTGGTGCCAAAAGGCAGCTTACTACCGATACGAACCCCAAGGATAATACAGGGCAATCAGCGCCGCGATGTGCAATGCAGGCTTCCTGCCCTGAGGGGAGGGGGTTTTGAGCTCCCAAAAATTTCGTGCCACAGGCACGAAATAACCAACCGCAAGATAAGCTGGTGGCTTACTCTGACTGTGTTGACGGCCCTGTTGAGCTCTACCACGAGTAATACCGCCTTTTCCAGGCAACACTTTAATACTCCTCACGGACCACTTGCTGGCAATGTTGCCTGGAAAAGGCGGTAATGATTGTCTTTGGCGCGACTGCACGAGTGAGTGACTTTTATCAGATCGTGGCCTGCCTCCCGTTGCTGGGCTACGCAACAGATACATGCGCGATTCACCACTCGTTTACAGCAACTCCGGCGACTGCTGTCCAGCGAATCATTGCTTGCTTGCCTGAGGTGGCATTCTGCATTGCCGGCGTACGATGACACAGGACGGGGCGCGGGGTTTGGTGGAAGCGATGTCCCTCGACCCGGAAATGCTATCATCATTGCAGGCTGCGTTCATCACCTGTAGTCTCTTGCGCGGCAAAGCCGAGGTTCTCGTGGTCAAATGCAGGCTGTCCTCCCTCGTCTCCTCCCCTCACAGGCTACAACAACAAGAGGGTGATTTGTTTTACTGATAAACTTAGGTACTGCAGCATAGCCACACGATGCATGCATCCCGGACCAAGATCGTGACCAGCTGATGATCTTAAGACCAGTAATAAACCGTCGGCTCTTTGGAACGTTCCAACCAACACAAGTCCCCTTCTCCCGGTCCTCTGTTTGCTTGGAGCAGCTCCCTACATCCGTAAACATGCACACATACGTACGTACACAGGACGGGCTCGCTCAATAAGCGGTGAAGACATCCCCAGCTGCAGCAGCACAAGTGAGCAGCCACCCAGGCATCCATCCAACCATCCAGCTTGCAGACGCAAGGTTGTGCATTTCGAAAGAATCTTCCCCCTCACGCGATCATATGGCGCATTCGAGAGAGGTACGCCACGAAACCCGCGAGACTTCATTGACTAGCCGATACGGCCACACCATGTCACCATCACGATGGTAGCAATAGAGTTCAAGCTAACTCTAACTGCCATAGAGCCAAAAAAGAAAAAGGAGAAGAAAGGCTAATAGCTGTTCCTCTATCAGCTTATCGCAGAGTGGCCCGGGGATCAGACGCTGGGCCTGTTTCGTGTCAGCAAGCTCCGGCTCGGCTGGCAAAATCGAGATCCGCCGTTTCTACTGATGAAACCCCTTATCTCTCTCAGGTCCAAGTCTATCGTCATTCACACGCGAGTACACAGACTGCCATGCGGATGATGGAAGCTGTCCGTCGATGCAATTGGAGATGGAGAGCACATGACCCATGCCTGACTGATGAGGATTGGAACCCCTCCACCGGGAAAAGCCATGGCGGTATTGCTGCAGCCAGCCAGCGCTCGTTACACAGGTGTCCGTCCTATCAGTGACGCACACCCAAGCGAACGGGAATGGGAATGTTGTTTACTATCGCCCTCGAAGGCAAGGCAGAGAGATCCGAAAGTTCGAAACTCGGTGGCATCAATCCGAGAGAATGCGGACACGGCAGCCCCAGTCCTCCTCTACAATGGCTTTCTCCGCGCAGTGTCCTGTTGGCTGAGGCTCGAACCGCCCGCCCGCGTGTTTTCATCCACCTCCAGTCATCCATCCGTGGTGACACTGTGTCAGGGGTGGGTCGATACCGGCTGGTTACAAGACTTGTCGTTGCATTGTGACCAGGCTCCCTCTGCCGTTGCTTCGTCATGACATAAATTCTTCTCCCTCATATTGCAACACCCATCACGGGCAGCAGACATAGCATCGTCGGCACATTGGTGAAGCTATCTACCGCCTATTATCTGCCTACCCTACTGTGTGCTCCGACCTGCTACCTCTGCATACCTACCTAGGTACCGTACCTAACCTTGCTCACGAGTCTCACGCCGTCTCTGCTGAGATTTGCTACCACCATACAACCTCCCACAATGTACGTCCCTAGCACGATGCTCGCTCACTTCCAGATTGGCCACACCGATATCGCATCGCTTGCTTGCAACGACGGCGACCTCAAGAATACAGAAGGCAGCCAGAGTAGCTCGAGACGAAGACTGTACCGTTCAGCAAGACCATAGTCGCCAGTCCATTCCCCTTGTCCGAGTCGCTTGCCTGGCTGCAGATAACCTACCTACATACCTTATGATGGCATCTCACCGTACTCCAGGTGATCGCCGGGGCCGGAAACGGTGGTGTCCGCTGGTCGGATCCAGAGTGTCCCAATTGCAGCCTTGGTGCCGCTACTCAGCTGCTAGACGCCTGGGATGTCCAATGTTGCGGAATGTCAGACATCGAACAAAGTGCGGCCGGCAACGGTGGAATGGAGTCACACCGGAATGAGGGGCTCCCTGCCACATTGAAGACAAGGATCCAACTGCAGCTGAACACGGCGTTTGATTGGCAGACTTGGTGCGCCCTTGGGATCCGCCACTCTCCTCGGGGTCTAGCGCCCTTTCCGGCTGCATTGTGACTCTTGTGACTCTGTGAGTGGCTTTCTCTCTCTCTCTCTCTCGCGTCAACTCCAGCCCTCTTTCGCTTTACCACATGCAACTCTCCTGCCCTCCAGCTCCCGTCCCCCCTTTCCACTCGCCGGACGTTCGCCTCTCTCCTGCTCTCGCCTCTCCTCTGCCAGGTGGCCTGCAGGAGCCAGCAAGGAGGCGGGCGCCCTTTGTTTTTCCCTCGCACGCTTTGCTCCTCCCGCCTCTCCCCAACCAAATCAACATGAACTCGGTTGATGGTACTGCCTCTTTCCCATGTGTTTGTTTTTCATTATCATTCTCGCTGTCATGGTATTATCTGTTATTATCACTCATCTCCAAGCTGAGAATGTACGACATCGTCATCAACTCCAATAGACTATGCATCTATCTATTCCAGTCATCATTCATTTTCTCTCTTTCTCGTTTTGTCGGCTGACACCACATCTCCTTCATTTTGCTTTGAGCTAATCCCAAGGATGGTGGTGATTGATCTTGATGATGAAGGTGGGTGAACCTCTCTCTGTTACCTTATCCCCCCTCCCCCCTCTTCCCCGCCTGGCCCGAGGGTTCCAATCCCGCCACGGCTAGGCTGCTTCTAGCGGACGACAGCGAGTACAAGCTCTGGGACACCCCGTACCTACAGGGCCTGTACTGGCTGGCTGTCCCCTGTGCTGCCCTGTGCTGCGCTGCCACTGCGCTGCAGCTCTCTCCCACCTGCCTGCACCCATTTGCTTCCCTCAATTCCATCACCTCTGGTCCTCTCACCCGTCCCATGGCAACTTGACATGGACTGGCCGTGGACCATGACCAACCTGGTGCCGATGCACGCACGTACCACCTCTCACCTCTTCAAGCTCAAGAGACTTGGCAGCAGAGGGCGGGGGCGACGGGTCTGGCAATGAATACAGGCGTTGCTGCAGTCAGCTGCACGCACCCACCCAGTTGCCCAGGCGCGCTCTCTCACTGGGCTGCCCTCTCTGCCCTCTGTGCCCACTCTCAATGCTCACCCAGCACCCTCCAGGCGTGCCAGGGCTCTCCGCCCGTCACCCAGCTAGTCCCTACTAGGCAATCTCGTCTCGATTGCTGTTTTGCTTGGTGCGCATTGCTCTTTCCCTTCCTCTCCCTCTCTCCTCACCCATCCACCCATTCACCCATTCTCGCCATTCTCTCCCATCCCTCAAGTCCTCCTTTCCCAACGAGACGCTCGACACTCGACACCGACGAAGACCATTCCCTCCCGTCCAGACGCCTCGACGCCTTCGAACCACCCACCAACGTCAATCTTACGACAATACAGGCCCGCCTCTATCATTCGATCCGCTTCAATTCCATTCTTCCCCGAGGCGCATTATTCCACCTCGCACACCGAAAAGCTCGAATTTGTTGTTTCCTGTCTGTCGCCACGACGCTCTTAGCCAACTGTCACAATATCTTCCCGCATCTTTACCCAACACTCGCCATCGTGGCACGTCGTTTTCTTGTAACTCATACTTTCACGACCGCGTTCTCTTGTCGGTCCTGTTGACGATCGCGAGTTCTCTATTGTCCCCACCTCGTTCTTTGTGTCCACGACACCGCGCATCTCGAGTCCCACCTCTTCAATAATCATACCGTTCTCACCACCACCATCTGATGCGATACTGCGACCGCGACGCATGACCCTCCCGCGGTATAGTCTGGCATCTTACAACACTCCGGAAGCAGGCTGCAGGCGCGTCGGTCACGATTCGCCGTCATGCCATTCGGGCCCTTACAATAAAACCCTTCACCTGCCTGGCTCCCATTCTACATCTCACCTCGTGAGGTGTACTTCAGATTATGACAGAAAAGCTTCCCTCGCTCCTAACGCAGACATTGACTCCGAGTCAGAAGGCCGTCTTCAGTCCCAACACCACACCTGCCCATCTACATCATGGTCCCAGCAAACCCCAGGCGCCGGTCGAGGAGGAACCATATACCATCAAGTGTATATGCGACTTCACTGACGATGACGGGAATACAATATACTGCGAGATATGCGACTCGTGGCAACACATCGAGTGCTACTATCCATATAACGTCGAGGAGGCTTTGCGAGAGGATTTCGCTCATTCCTGTGTCGACTGCAAACCGCGACCGCTTGATCGTCAGCGTGCCATGGAGCGGCAGCAAAGGTTACGGCAGAACAGAGTCCATCCAACCGAGGTACCGGAGAGGAAAACTAAGAGACCCCTCCCCAAGGGCCAGAAGAAGAAGACTACCAAGCCCAACGACCTAGCCTTAAATGGCCACAGTAGCTCCGACTCCAATACGAAACAACCGCACGAATCCGCCCCTGCACATCAACACAAGAAGTCCAAAAGTTCACACCGGCCGAGCCAATCCATCAGCGCACATAACCCAAAGCAGAGTCCCTCCTACGGCCAAAAGATGGGCAATCCCCACGGTCATCCGCCCAGTCCTGCCAATACACCTCCAGATGTTCCCTACGAAATCGAGATTCACAATTACTCCAGTGGCTTTCTCAATCTTTACAAGGAGGATCATAACGTGGCAATTGTCCAGTCGAATTCGTTTGCCAATCTGATCATTTCTAACGTCTTGTCTCTCTGGTTGCGGGATCGTGATAAGTTGCGACGGGATGCTGATTGCGAATTTGCTGACGTCTTCCAATCTCTGCCGTCTAATATCGATTCGATCAAAGCTGTCCCAGAAGTTGAATTCAAGAAGCTTCAAGTCGGACCAGAGACAGTCGTTCACTACCGACATCTGACAACACGAAATGCGATTGACAAGGACACCCCGTTGATTGAACTCAACGGTCAGATCGGCATCCAGAAGAACTACTGCGAGGACCCCAATAATCATTGGCAGGACGTTAGTTCACCTCTGCCATTTGTCTTCTTTCACCCCGTACTACCAATATATATCGACACCCGGAAGGAGGGATCATTGGCTCGATACGTACGGAGGAGCTGTAAGCCCAACGCGGAGTTGGCCACATTCCTATCGGACGGCTCTGAATACCACTTTTGGCTTGTGAGCGACCGTCGGATAGCACCCCACGAGCAAATAACAATCCCTTGGACTTTCAGACTCCAGAAGGATGTCGGGCCCCAATGGCACCAACTACTTGGCCTGAGTGACGAGTCTGACGCACAACCGGAATACAACGACAGGGAAATCGAGACTTACCAGAGCATTGCCTCTTGGGTCCACACTATTCTTTCTGAATACGGTGGCTGTGGTTGCGATCTTGGACCCGAGTGTGCATTTGCTCGCTTCCATCGAACGTATATCGTCAGGTCACACGCCAAGGAAAGGAATCCCAAGCAGAAGAGGTCCCGCAAACAGAAGGCCAACACCTCACCAACAAGCACTGGCCATGCGACAAATAGTCGCGCACCTAGTGAGGGTCATGCAGAGGATGGTCTTGATAATGACTCTGGGTCCTCTCGAAGTAAACCACCAAGTCGTGATGAAACTCCCGGTACTGGACGCCAGGGCTCGCTCGATACACTCGGCATACTGACACAGCCCACGGACCGAGACAAGCGAAAAGTGCAAATGGTCGAAGACTCTTTTCGTCGCATGGAACAGCAGCCGCCAAGAAAGAAGAAGCGCACTTCGGATGGCACCAACAGCTCCAGCACGACCACAAAATCGAAGAGCAACGCACCCGACGGTAGCGAAAGACAGAAGCACTCCAGTCACGGTGGTAACCCCACTGGAGTTTCAGATCGTCGCTATGTAAACGCTGGCACTACGGCAAGCGTGTCAATATCGCCGACTAGCGCGATCTCTCCAAACCCGGCGAATCCGTTCAAGAAACAAGGCCCCCCTGAGTTCGTCCCTATCCCTTCGCGGCACTCGTCTCAAGGTCCTCGCCCCGAGTACTGTGATGCTGCCGTTCAGACAGACCCAGTAGATGGAGAGTGGTTCACCAATTCCAGGCAGTCCCCGAAGCCGAGAAGACGAGTTGTCTCGTTGTCGAAACGCTTACTCGAGAGTCGACATCGCCTGCGAGCTGAAGAAGAGCAGCGACGGAGGACCTTGACTGCTTCTCCATCGTCTGTAGCAACGTCTGTAGCAACTGCTCTGGTGAAGATGGACCTGGACTCCCCTACAACAGACTCTCTCAGCCCCAACGCTGCAACGCCGAAGCCAGGGATGGAGGCTGCTGAGATGTTTACAACGGCACAACCGGTGGACGCACCCATGTCTGAGGGCCCGTCAATATCACCTACAGCCAACAAAGTTTCCCCGGTCGCGCTCTTGTCGGTTGCTGGCGGTGCCAAGATCAAGTCACCCGAACTGCTTGTACAGCTACCTCCTGTTCCAGCCTTCAACAGCTCGACTTCAGCTACCTCAACGACGACGCCGCTCTCGGCATCTGGAAACCTCGTCCAATCTCCCTTTTCGGCGAATAATCTTCCTAGTCCGTTTGTACCAGGGCCTGTCAGTGGTGCTGCCGTCCATCCTAGTCCGGTGAAGAAGAAGTTGAGTCTGAGCGACTACACCAGGAGCAGGATGAACAAAGCAGCAGCCGCAAAGCCAGCAACGTCGCTGAAGCCGCCAGTTGCCATCATGGAAGAGGCCAAATCCCCAACGAATCCCGATGCCATGATCCTCGACTCTCCTGTTGTTGACAAGACCCCCGAGTCTTGAGTCGCTGTGCTTCAGAACCCATCCCAACACTTCCGTGTATTTTCGGGACATTTTCGCAACTGTGGCAGGCAGCCGGACTACATTTACCGAGGGCAGCTTCTGCCAGCCGCGACGACGAGTACGGCGACTTCGGCTCTGGACCACGCTATCAGGAGATTAGATTTCCTATGCCTGACCTCCCTTTTCATCCAGTGCGATGCAGCCTTGCTAGCAGGGCCCTCACACAATGCACAAACGACCGACGACGAATGAACCTTCATATCACTCCGACGCCCCGTCGGATGAGGACACCAAATCCTTTCACCAAGCTTTCTTTGTACTATATAATGTGAGACTTTGTGCCAATGTGTTTCCAGCACGCTCAGCTGTTGCTTCACCGGTGCTGTATGCTAGGACAACAAGCGGAAAATCGACAAGGTCATACTCCGAGAGAACATGAACCTGGCCATGTCAGAGAAGCATACAGCAACGTCCATGGTATTCTCCTATACTCCGGAAGATGAGCAGGCCATCGATGATCAAGGCCACACTGTCCTCCACTTCGCGGCCTCTTCCGACAACAAGACCCTGGTCGCTCAAATCCTGGGCACCTGGAGAGAAGACATCAATACGTTGACCAATGATGGCGAAACTGCCCTATACATGGCTGCGTCTTATCCCCAGACGCTTGGATGATACTGTACTTACAGCAATACAGTTGCACACAGTAACTTGCAATAACGACGGCAACACTCGCGCACCAGTCGATACCAATTCTCATGGTTATTACCATCCTGGGAACGACCGTGTGGACGACCCCAATGCGTGCGCCGGCCACAGTACAGACATGTAGGATCTTGAGAAGCACATGGCCAAGGTCGACATACACATCGGAGGAGCTCCCGCGAGTAAGACACTGCCAGTAACCACAACACTGGCACTGATAGCCATGGCACTACTGGTAGTGACAATGAGCCTTCCGACCGGCATACGCTCGTTCGACATCGCCCAAGCCGCAATGATGGTGCACGAGGGGGGGGAGCACTGGTATGTCCGCCTTGGCACACGAGGGTGGTTTCTTGGGTGTCAGAGTCAACACACAACCACCGATCGACTTCGACAGCAGCAACAATACCGAGTCGGAGGATGACTGGACACTGGTTTCCCATAAACAGACCCATGCGCACGGGAAAAGATTCCCATCTGGAAGGCCTGAACTTGGTTCCTGGTTGGCGTTCTTCAGCACTTCATAAGGCAAAAGGGTCCTCTTGAACCCGGGGTTGACGGAAGCCGATTCTCGCAAGACCGCGACGCTGGAAATGTCACATCTGCTCGTGACCTCATCCTACATGCAGAGGCGGCTCGAGGGGTACTTACCTGCCAGGCCACTCCCGAAAGGAAGACAGCCACACATCAACAGCATGTTCTTGAAAGCCGTCTCTAACAGCGTCGGGCCTAGACCTTCGTGGGTTGAGATCGAGCAGACTGTGTTCTCTGCATTTGGAGTCGACCAGCTATGCTATCGAAGTGTTGCCTCTGCCGAAGGTCTGGCACGTTGGTCAACTTTGGGCGGGTTTGCTGCGTGGTATCATGTTTTTTTCTGCGTCAGGCGTTGGGGATGGTACATACGGCCGCGGTGTTGTAGGTTCAGGGAACATTGTCATGTCATGGGAGTTCAAATCAGGTTTATACCACACTGCGTCGGTCCTTGCCGGTGCGCTTTTCATATACCCTTGCGCGCACGACCCTATACACCGCCTGGCTTTCTCTAGCTCCGACTTGCTTGGATGTCGTCGACGAAGGAGGCGCTCGATCGCAGGTTATCTTGGCCGTTTGACGCGGATCAGGGCGGCCCGGAGAAGGGGTTGACCGGCGAGTTCTGTCCAAAAGGCAGAGAGAAGCCTCGTATACTGTTATGTACTACTAGAGACCGACGCGCAAGCCTCGGGTGTAAGGGATGCAATGTCCTCGACCACGAAAAGCAATTGTATGCCAGCTCAGCCTTGCGCGCTGCAGCTTGTACAGCCAGCCTCGTCGAAGGGCACTGGCCGTGAATGAGAAAAAAATGATTCAACAATAGGACTCGTGGACCTTGTCTGTGTGGTGTATAATTTCTCCGAATCTTTCTGGTAAGCGTGTGTCTGACAGTGGCATCCCCTCGAGGTGACGTTGGGAGGCTGTACCACTCACCATTGCTGCTAGTGTGGAGGCATCACGACTTGTCGGATTGGACCTACGGGTAAAGGGAAGTCAAGGTGTTTCGATGGAACCACTCTCTATGACCGGTTGAGCAGCCAGTAAGCACAGAGCAAGTAACTAGCAGAACACAGAAAGCACACCTGGGTTCCAAAACATCCGACGGAGACTCGTCTTGACGCCCTCACACCATGGTCTCGCTGACGTAGGTAGATGGTGTGCGCCGTACGTAGATTGCTATTTGGGCTAGTGACGTCCGCCCTTGGTTGTTTTTTGTGCGGATTCTGGAGACTGGATTAGCTGGGTTCGCGGTAGGTTAGGTAGGGGTGAGCAGGGTCTGTACCTATGTTTGAGGATGATGGGTGCTTCGGGTTGGCTGGCTGTGGTCGGTGTGGCTTGCTTTGGAGTGGGTGGTAGGATGAGGGGAGGAGGGCAGGGGACGGAGTCGCGGTTCTATGAGCCGCCTGGTAGGTAGGTAGGTGGTGTGAGCGTGGGTTGGTCGAGCAGCGGGCGGTGGGACTTGGGAGGTAACTGGTTGGCTTAGGTAGGTGGATAGGTAAGTAAGTGAGATGGGAGAAGGTCGAGGCCATTACATTCGTGGGAGCATAGTTGCGGAGGATATGGGCATTGACGTGGGTGGGCGTCGGGGGGGACGAAGGCGGAATAGAATCTGCGATGGGATTGGGGTTCTGGAATAGAGGTAAGTAAGATGGAGGGAGGCAGTGAGGGCCCAAGAGGAAATGTGCCTGTTTTGTTCGACAGGGAGGAAAGAGATCGGCTGCCGAACCTGATGACTGGAAAGGTTGGGCTCACATGCTATTCGGTAGGATAAAGAGAAGTTGCGTCTTGTCTGGCGGAGTCGAGAATTGTTTCGACCTGTTGGTGTTGGTGTTGGTGTTGGTGTTGGTGGTGGTGGTGGTGGTGTTACTGGTTGGTGTCACCCTCGGTCGTTTACGGGAACTTGAGAATAAAGAATGAGTTCGCGTGACCCGCCGAAGGTACCATGTTGGTCACCAACACTGTTGGACGGTTCATCTGGACCTCGATTGCTTTGGAGGATAAGAAAGGGGGTGCTGGTCTCGCTCTCCCTCTCTCGAATTGCATCGGACATGGCCTCTTCTTGCTCCTGGCTGCACCACAGATACGACAAAACTGTACGAAACCAGCGGCACAGTATGACGACCACTATATTCGATGATCTCCTCGATGGACTGAATCCCAAGATCCAGAAAGAATACACCGAAGCCAAAGTGGCTCTCAAGATCGCGCTCGACTACTCACCTCGCCGGCCTCTCTGCGGATTCGTTATAAACGTCCTCAAGGCTCTAAATCAGACGAATCAGCTGAAAGGGATGCCATTCGAGGCCTTACTCAACACCGCGGAAATTCCCTCCATCAGACTCCGTTCCACTAGTGATCCACCCTCCATCATCGCCGAGAAAGTCCTGCACGAGCTAGAGTTGAAGTTGTCCGAAATCTCGAGGTCCAGGTCGAGTGTTCCGGGGGAACTACGCTGGCAGTCGTTCCTGGGAGAGAAGTGTAAGGGGTCCGTCTGGATTGAGTACGGTGGAAACCTGGACTTGAGCCACATACCGGGTCGCGTGATTATCAAGAAAGGGGTAGCCTGAGGCTCTCAGAGAATGGAGATGGATGGAAGGGTTCATGTGGCGGTGTTCTGGCTCAAGCCTAGAATGTCTGTCACCTGCAGCCAGTACACTTAACATGCCTATATAAGAAGTGTTAAAGGGGTAAGCGACCGTCCTGTTGTCTTAGATACCTGTGATTACCTGGGCTATGATGATTTTGGACAAGTGATGAGATCGTGTATTGGTATTCCGCTGGTTGTAACGCAGATGGTTGTGTCGCTGGCCGGCCATCAGAATAGGGGTAACGAACCCACTCATACCCCAAGACCTACGCGTCGGAATGCATCCGGAGCCATATGTATCAGACGAGGCGATTGTAAGATGTCGTGTTAAAGCTCGCATATACGATCTGATCATTTGGGCGCAGTGACTGCCAGCACGCGAATTGTTATCTCTGCTGCATCACTTGACCTTCCCGAGCCGACGAGGAGTATATTTACACTACACTCCACTACATCGGTAGCTCAGTGCGCCGAAGAAGAAAATGGAATGAATTGACTAACACGTTGACATCAGCGGATCGCCTCGCTGTCATCCCCTTGCCGCTCACTCGCTCGCTCGCGCTCCTGCCAGCGACGCGAAGGCGTGCCCTCGAGCTTACGTCTCGCATCGTTCAAGCCAAAAGGGCAGCGGCAGCCCTCCTGCATCGACAGATCGATGCTACAGATATAGCATATGTGTATCGACATGGCGCATCCAGCTTCATCTGCAGAGCCTCGGCGCACCCCGAGCATGGCCGAAACATCTACCTTGGGGTATCCAGAATGTGGCAGCAGGGCAGGGCGCCAAGGGCGGCATTCTCTGTGGCACTCATGTGCTGGATGCGCTAACGGCGGCTCGTTCGGCTGGATGAGAGGCTGCCCGACTAGAAGGTAGTGTTGAGCGAGCGGTAAATCATGGCGACTATCGAGGCCAAAGTGGGCACTGTTTGGTGAAGCTGGGATGGCCTCGAGGGAGACTCGAGGGGAAAGAGTATTTTATGGGTCACTCCGCTCACCATACGGTGGTCAGAGGCCTAGCGATAGTCATGTAAGAGAGTGATATCTGTCTGGGTCATCGTCAAATGTGGAATCGGTGAATGTTAGAGCCAACAGGTACGGGAATGTGTCGCATTTAGATTGTTGGTGCAGGGCCCGAGTCTCATCAGCAGGTTAAAGTAGGGATACACGGAAACAGATTGCTGCTTGGCATGACAAAGGGATTTTGTGTACTTTAGAGGTCGACGACCTCATGATCAACGTGTGTGGAGGCTGTGTATGACAGATGCGGAGCACATGTTGGTGGTGTGAAGAAAGACCAGAACCAACATTCCTCGAGGTCATCAGTTAGTATCACGATGTGGTTCAAGCGTTACACTGTTGGTGGTCGAGGACAAAGGGACCCGTCTGTTGGCAGGAAGTGCGGCACGTCGGCTACAACGCTCGATCCCACGAACAAAGACTCGAACGACAGGTGACGGGCAATGTTGTAAACATGAAACCCCAACGCCCCATACGCGAAAGAAGCCGCGCAAGTGCCAGGGGAAATGGTAGAGTGTCACGAGGCTCTCACCTCCAGAAAAATGGTGTATAAGAACCACCAGGCGGTCTCCCATCGACCTCGCATGCATGATTCATCGCAGCGTCCTACTCTGTGTTTTCTGACCACACCACGCAAGTAATCGATTCAAATCCTCAAACCCGTCTTTACCTCCAGCTTGTAGGAGACCAATTTGTTCCAAATCCATTGTACTTCAGCTGTCATGGCAACTCTGACGAAGAAGCTTCTCATACGAAAAGGGGCAGAGGACCCGGAGGTGGCTTTGGCGCGTGCTCGAGAGGCAATCGACAAATTGCCGAGCCCTATCAAGAGTGGCAATACCCTGTATCCTGCGTGGAAGAACTTCATCATAGCCGTGGTGCTCCGCATTGGAAAGGAAAAACAACTCGACGGAGTCAGCTTCGAACTTTCGCTGAAATACCTAGAACGATTTACATTAGGAGAAACGAGGCCGACCGTACACATCAAGATTCTATCGCCCAGGCCCCCTATCGAGAACGAGCCGAGGATCATATTGTTGCATGTCCGAAATGAGATCTACGAGTCACGAGCCAATACCAAGTTACCTAAGCTTCTCTCCTGGATCTGGGAACGGACCTGGGGACCGGGAAGCATACAGCAGGATGATTTCTATACAGAGAGAATTGAGGCGGGCTTTGAATTGGCAAATTTGTTGGATTCTGGGCTATGTTAGCCCATCCATAGTCATCCTTCAGGATCACCATCCCCATTTGTGACTCTGTCACATACGTGGCCAATATAAGGCCACGTATCCTTTCCTTTAATATCTTGGATATATATAGGGCCACTCTGGCCGCTCCAGAGTAGCTGGAATTCCTCTCCTTAATAGAACACTTTGAAATCTCACAAAATTGTCTGGATAAGGCCGATGATAAAAGGATACCACTGGGCCAATTCTCTCCTGAGGATAAGGCTTAAGATGCATACCTTGAATCTGGAGAAGGATGGGCATGACTCTTAGCGTTTTGTTTTCGGGGTGGGCGTGGCCATTGGTATAGCGGACACAGATCAGATGACTGTCGGGCAAAGCTTAATAGATTTCACCTTATTTCCCCCTTAGCTCCAGCCGGTATGCATTTTTGGCAGCTCAGAGTTTTGATCCGTACTGGCCTACGTAATACCGGGAGGATGGAAGGGAGCAATGTGGTAACAATGGTGTGAGATTTTGCGTTGTAGTTCGCGCAAAACAAATAGGCAGAGCAACAAGACTGGTAAGATGGCCATGTTTAGCGTTGCCAAATGCTATAGCATCAACTACGCTTGGAGTCTTTAGTATGAATCGGCAAGCAAATCATAGGGTATTTAATCAAGCCATTTTTAGATATTGATGGAGATAAATTACTAACCATGGTCGTCCAGTGGTGGTGAATGGTAGTAGAGTACCCATACATCTTCATGTATCGCGCAAGCTATGCGATGGGTGGCTGTCTCGCATCACGTGCATGGTCACGAAACGAAGAGTGGCGATATAGGACGGGACTTGGCGTGTAGTCCTCTAGGACAGATCTGGGACGGATAGGGCCGCCCGAGGGCTACTTATTGGTTGGATTGTTTCCAATACCAGTGCTCGAGGACAATGAAGTTGGTGTTTCAGGGGTCGTTCATACTCGTTGGCACTGCGGACAAGCTCCCGTAACCAACCATAAAGGGGCAAAGCGGGAATGATCACGAGGCAGTATCAGAACCACCCCAGACTTGAGGTTGGTATAACTGTTTCAGATTCAGTCACGGGCTATGTCAGTGTACAAGAACGCCCAACAAGGACCTCGGGTATATATTCGAAGCCAGCATTGCCCGTGCTGGGTGCAGTCCCAAAACCTCTACTTCATCTACACCAATACTACCCGGACTCTTCACCCTGGTTTTGTGCATTTCTTCTGCACCAAAACACACCAACAGCAATCCAGTATGCCCTCGTTACGACCTACCTCTCAACAACGCGGAAACCCGAAAGGCAAAACCAAGGATCCTTCGAAGCGAAACCTCCACTCGATACCATAGTTGAAAGCGAAGTGACCGACAACTTCTCAGTCGCGTTTACCAAGGAACAGCCTGACGAGATGGCCGAGATGGCTACGATCAAAGCGGATGAGGCGTGGCAGTCCATGAACACCGACAGAGTATCAAGTCACACCCTGTACCAGTTCCGCAATTTCATCGAATGCCTCGCATATGCCATCTACAGTGATGGGCTGTTCCAAGGCTGCACCGGCGAGGTAGCGATTATCGTAGAACCCAAGGGTCTCAAGCGCCCTGGGATCGTGTTCTATATGTCGAGCACCCACGGTCCGCCCGATGAAAAGAAATTCCTTGAGGCTATATACAAGTTTTGGAAACAAGTATTCCGCGCGGGCCGAAAAAAGTATGGAGACGAAGCAATTCTAAACAGCGTGGTTTTGGTGTTGAGGGAAACGGACGCGGCCAAGGTGGTCGAGGATAAAAAATACCTCGGGAAACTCGACTTGAGCATGTGCCTTGCTGGCCAGACAGGTCGTAGGGTTAGTTTAGGAGAGTTAGCAGTTGGTACTGGGGAGCAGTCCGCGCCGGTGGTTGGGTCGTAAGTTAGAGAACGCGGTGGAGGCGCACGTCTCGGGGATCATCACTGGGACCTAATTTGAGTATGAATTCCAGACCTTGTTTCATTCCCATGCCTGATAGTGATGGGTGAATCCGAGACGACTACCAGTCTAGACCCCCTACATCATCCATCAGTGACATTAACAGCTTGGATCCGCCACCGCGTGCGACTGCCACAGCGATTCTTGTCCCGCCACATCGATATAAGAAGGTAGCTGGAGTGTAGTTCTCTGGGGCAAGATGTTGCAACCGATGATTCGTCGCAGGTGACCGATGTGTCTGTGTATTGCACATTGCTGGAGCTTGTTGGTCGGCGAGGACAAAGAAACTGGCTTTCGGGCTCTAGCGAGCACCACCAACGTGAAACACCATCTCCAACATCCACCACTGGTGACGAACGGACAAAGAACCAGTGAATTAAGCGAGCTCTGGTGACTCGGTCAAGTGATGTTATCACGAGCCAACTTGGTAGTTGGTGGTACTCATAGCCAGTTGGCTATGCCCTACCGAAGAGCATAAGTACGACCGCCTCCGCACCTTGGGTCTTCTTTGGCCTGCCAGATCTTCCATGCACCAGGTTCCTTTCGCTTCCCGCCACGCCTCATTGGAACTTACCACACATCATATCCATCTGTTCCACCTTCAAAACCCACGACAATTCCCTTGCATACACGCAACATGTCAGAAGCTCCCCTTGGTCAGGAGTCCCTCAGCTCGGACCCGAGTTACTACGAGAGCACAATCATCATGGCCGAGTTCCAGGCAATGCTACTGTCATGCTTCATGAAACTCAGAAAACAGGATAAGAGCATTTGGAAGGGCTGCAAAGTCGTCGCGAAACGTGCCAAAGACGATCAACGGACACCGATGATCATCATATACAGCAAAGAAGTACCCACAGACAAAGTCAAGACATGGGTTTTGAATGAACTGGAAAACCAACTCATGAATTACCCCAAGAAACGTGCAAAATCTACCCCGATCGTGCTGGGTTGGGACTGGAAGGCGTATGGAGAGGAACTGGGAGAGCAGGTGATGAAGAATTCGGCATGCAAGGGACAATTCGACCTAGGGCGGAAGATAGATGAGCCTAAGAAAGACGGGGGCTTCCAGGCGGTCTCCGCTACGAACCTTGCGGCTCTTAAGTTTCTTAATATAATCGACGATCTTTGGGGGGCGCTGAAGGGAGAAAGATGTCGGTCGGAGAATCAGTGATTGTCAGGACTTTGATGGGATACTTAGGCTCCTATGAACTCATGTAACTAGAACTGATGGGCGTAGAATCCACTGGTATCAAACCATGCAATCTCAATGCAAGTCAGAGGATCGCTTGTTTGCTGATTGCAAGTTTGCCTCATGCTGGTTAGACCTCGGGAACAAAGAGAACGGTGTATCAGGGGCTCACTCACTGCTCATGCTTCTTTCGTCTCAATGCACAAACCAAACATGCTGCTCGAGCTCGAAAGCAAACATCAATATCCCAGTGGAACTTACCTAGAGCAACAGGCAGACCGCTCAAAGTAAACAAAGGACTTGATCCGGTGAAACACTCAGACAAGCTCCGAGAGGGCATTTGTCATAGTCACGGCGGTGTTTGGCAGTGATCCATGCTCATGCTGTTTGCTATGATAGGGATGAAAACATGACCAGGTTTCGCCGGTACATGCCGTCGATAGCCAATCTACGACCGGAAGGTTTTAGTATATATGTCTGCCATGAGCTTCCCAGATACATCACTCTCACATCCACCACATATCCTCATTATTCGGCCATCACCAGAACTAATCTCCAAACCTACATACCCATCAGACAGCACTCCCACCCACCTCCAACATCCGCTTCAAGGACTATCCAAACCAGCCTCTTCCACTCTACACGATGATGATGATGAAGTCCCTCCTCCTGCAGGCCATGGCCGTCCTGGCAACTCAGCCCTTCCTCGCCCGAGCCCAAGAAGACGAAGGTGGAATCACAGATTCACCCGAGGACTACAACAACGTATGTCTGGGTCGCGCCGACAAATACATGTGCAACCTTGACTACACCACCATAATCGAGTGCCGCAACCAGGAAACCGTCCTCATCTTCGACTGCGCCCCGTCGGGCTTGGTGTGCAGTATGCTCGTCGACACCCATCACCCCCCCTATTGCGTCGCTGCTCCAGCTTAGGTGCTGCCTCTCTTCAAGTATGTACTGCGTCGAGTCGGGGGTCTTGGGTTGATGATGTTACTGTTATTGCTTTGGGGCATTTGCTGACATGTTACACTGCCGCGCGTAACAGCAGCCGGAGCTACGACATGAGATCATCTCTTGCTTATGGTATTGTCGGACGTCCTGGTCGGATAGCGGGAGGGAGCTGGGGATACACGGAGCATTGCTTCAGGATGCATTTGTTACTGAATGTGGGAGGCGATTGCTATCCGGATACAGAGAGGCAGGCTTTTTTGGGGGATGCATACGGTAGCTACCACTCGTTCAGTGCTAACCGCACCCGACACACGAAGAATGGAGTGAACGTGCTTTCAAGCTACATAGATACAATGTACGTTCTGCTCTTGGATTCCACCGTCTGCCTCCGCGTGAGAAAAGCTTTAGCCCTGACTAGAACGGCTTGATTCTGCAAATGTCCCTTGTGAGCCCAACTACGTGTCTTCCATCACGACGAGAGCCCTCGTGGCTTCAGCCACACGCACATATCTAAATCAACGAAGAAGACCCACGTAAGATGGATTATAATGATAATCTACTTTAGGCGGCATGGATAACAGACGTTATGGCAAATCACACCCAAGCGTGACGCGTGGAGTGTCAGCCACCCGTCTGGAGCTCTTTTGTTATCCAGTAGTAACACTAGTCCACCAGCCGGAGTAGCCATACCAAGTCCCGTCACATCATACCAACTCACGCATGACCCTGCAGATCAAGATACCCCGGATTCAGGCCCGAGTCAACGCGCTTGCCCCAACGGCTGTACTGCCACTGCCGCTTCGCGCCGTCCCAGACCCAGTGATCGACCTCCCCTTTCCTCAGTTCCCAGGTTTTCCTCCGGCCGGCACGTATCGCGCGCAGGTCCTTCCAGGTGACGCGGATGTCCTCGAAGAAGAAGCTCACGCGGTCGACGATGGTGTTCCAGAACCCCGTGGGGCGGGATCCCGGGCACTACCTGCGGCTGCTTGACCATGATGAACTCGATGCCGTCCAGAGCCGGGTTTTTCCGCACGGCTTCTTCGTCGACATCGTAGCGGTCCCAGCGGACGGGGTAGTGTCTGCCGCTTTTGTGGCGCGGCTGTCCCTGCCCGAGGTTGGTTCCAGAGTTGCTGGAGCTGGCGTCTTGCGGGTTTGTGTTTGCGGCGCTCGGGGCGGAGGTATCGCTGATTGTTGCTTTTGCCATCGTGGCTAATGTGTTCGTGTTCGTGTGCGAGTGTGTGCGTGTGCGTGTGCGTGTGCGAGGGTGTAAAATAGGATTGGTGAATGCAGCAGAGAAGGAAGAAGGACAAGGCTGGGGCATGCCTTTAAATATCAGATTTGTGAGCCAGAACTGGCCGCGAAGTAAACCTGAACGTGAAAGTTCCACGATTGGATTAAAATAACTGGCCTTGTGAATTTAGATCTTATCAAGCCTTTTTGTCTGTGGGCACCACGCCACAAAGGTTGAGCAGAATTACAAAGTTTTTCGTTCTCGTCGCTGTCCCGGATATGGAAATAAGCTCAAACTCTCGCGCCCGTCTCCAAAGTCGCACCCATACAGGCTGAGAAATTTCTCCATAACTGTCTCGAACCTTTCAGACAATCATCCTTGAAAGGGTGATAATAACGCTTTGATCTGCGAGGAAGATTGAATATGCGTAGGAAAATTGGGTAGTCAGTCATATTGATGAGGCCTCTATCCTCTGTGATGCTTCCTAACACTTGTTTCTCATCCATATTTCTCCTACCTCGTGCAAACCGATTGAATATCAAGGCGACACCCCAAGACGCGCTTGCAAAGCTCGGATCCGGCGAAATGCAGCAGCAGCTCGTGAAAGGGGCGAGCCCCTTTCCCCTCTCATCTCAAACACACGGTCCCCATAAGAAACCGGCGTAGACCGTAGGGATCTCGTCTCCAGCAAGTGAAAGCCCCTGCGCAATGTTTGTGATGTCGAGCAGACTGAATTACAACGGAATAGATCGGACCAAAGTTTCGGCAGTCAGAGTCGCCTGGCAGGAGGTGACAAGAGTGAACCATGGAAGAGGGGGAAACCAGAGTGGTGCCTCTTGGAGGCTTGTTGAAATCACAACCATCGTGGTAAGGCCTGGGGCTACCATCAGTTGAAGACCTCGTAGGCGCCAGGGACATCGTGCTTGAAAGTCAGCGTCGAACAGCGCTTTCTTGCCAGTGGTCGACACGATAACCTAGCGAAGGTACCGGTCCTCGGGGGATAATGTCATCAAGGACAACATCAACGTCGATGCCGCGTTTGCAGTTCCAAGGGATGAACGAGCGGGCGACTCATTGAATCTCGTGGAAGTGTGGCAGAAGCATATCTCGACGCCGCTTAGGCAGTCGACGCTGGTGATCGCGCTCGAACAGCTGTGCAAGACCGTCAGACGCAAGCGGCACGAACTGGTATTCATCTCTCGGTATGTCGGCGAGGCGATCCCCAAGACCGGATGTCACCCTCACCAATCTCCCCGAGTGTTCAGCAAATATCGTATCGTCAAAGGGTACTACGATGAGAACGCGACGTAGGGACTCGAACTGCGGCCCCAAGCTCCTAAGGGTAGATCGGAGGTAAGTGGTCTCGTGCTCTGTCACGCCACGGCCAACGAGGTGGCCCGGTCCCATTGTTATGGCAATTTGCCTACCATACTTCATTCACTCCGGGCGCCAGGAGGGCGGGGCGTGAGACGCATCGTATAGGGGGTTTGAGCTTTCTCTGAAGAAGAAAAGATCCTTTTCCCAGTCGACAAAAGCGCCTGCCCACCAGCGTCCTTGCCAGCGGCCACCAGGGTGAAAACACTCCGTCGCATGGAAAACTCCGGCCTTGATGCATTGTCGCTTCTTCAGGACTGCATCTCTCGCCTCTCGGCTGACCTGCATGAGAGTCCGGGTAGCGGGGATGAGAGCTGATTCTATGAGGTACGCCGACTGCATCCGATGGTCATCGAATTGGTGGACGGCGGGCTCGCTAGACAGTGAAAAGTATCCCCAGACGGCGAGGCGTAACTCCGGTGGCAACTGTGAGAAGCGATGGAAAACTAGGGGGTTCGCCATGCTCGAAGAAGGGCGCTCGGCTGGAAGGGCGTCCTCGTTTAGACCCGTGTGCTTGGCTGGAAGGATATCCATGGCTAGGTTGCGATGGTCGACTTCGATAGACGACTGATCTGAGTCTGGTTGAGGTGGTGGTGTAAGTTGCTCGCAGTCCGTAGGGTATCTCACGATAAGCCACGTACGTCCGGGGCACTGTCGCAGTTCGATGTACCAGGGAATGACCTTCACAGATCAGCCTACTAAGAGATCTCTGTGATTGTGTTTAGGTGTCAGCGGGATCTTTAAATCGATGATGAGCAGGAATAATCAAAGTTTTGTTACCTGTGAAAGCCGAGCAGATCATCCAGGCATCAAGCATGTGTTCTCGTTTGCCCAAGACGGCGTCTCTGGGTATACCGGAAGAAGGCGGCCACAGAGATTTATTGATCTTTGTTCCGAGCGCTCGAATGACAAAATGCCCAGGCTAGCCTGATCAGAGTGCCCCTACAAGCCTGAATGGGCGTCGACTTGTGCCCGAAACCTCAAGAATCAGCTAGAAGTGGTCCCCGAGAAGAGTATTGCACTGTGGACTGCCCGAGGCTGCTGCCCTTCATTCAGGCCGGCGTGGTAGTAGCCGATGACGTTGCGGACTGCCGAGCTGGTCACAGTTTCGGCCCGGAATCTGGTGAAGATGTGGTTGAATCGATTGGTTGTGGTAAGGAAGCTGGAGAACCGATTTCTCCAGGTCTGCAGTGGAGTTGTGATACTGTGAATTCCTATAGGTACGGTTGCGTAGCACCTGCCCAACATAGGTACCTAGGTACCTTAGGCAGTCGAGACTTCCGTCGGCTGCGAAGACACGTTTGGGGTAGACTAAGGCAGGCACGGGAGCCCAGACTTGGTCTTTCGGGTAGCCCCTACCTTAGGTACCTAAGGTAATGAGCTAGTTCTTCTCGTAGGGGGGGAGGAGGGAATGGCATCGACGCGTATCATGACACGGCATCAAAACGCGGGTCACACGTGACACGCGTGGTAGCAATCATACCGGCACCACTGGTCATCATGACAAGCTACCGCCGCCAAATATAACCAAGAGCGTCCAGCCGCATACCAATAGAAACGAAGTTTTGAGCAGATTGAACCAACTCCACCAGCAAGGCCAATGGAGGTTCCCTCGGTCATGGCTGCACTGCCACCGTCCACAACTTACAAGTTCGAGTCCAGCATCACGGTATGATGAACAGCATTGATTACCTCTTCCGCATGACCTGAGAACTTCGGCGTGCTGTCAGCACCGCCTCAGCACGGAGTTAAGGGAGATAGGGACGAATTTAGCATGCCGATATTTGGAAGCCCGGGATTCCCTCTGACACGGTAATCTAGATAGTACCTGTATTGGCGACTGCAACTGCAACCCGCACCATCACCATCCATCATGGAGATGTACAGTCCTGACGTTACTGTAAGCAAGCTTCTAGTCCTCGCCAGTGTTTACCTTGCTGGATGGAATCAGGGCTTGTCGACCTACTGACCCCTATAATCATGCTCGAGTCGCCACGAAACCGAGACCAAATACCAATAAACGTCAGTTCGGTTTACAAACCCAGATACTGGCTAACACATGATTGTGTCTTCGTCAGTCAATGGTGTATGAAGGCAAGAAGCGGATAGTCGAGTATCCATTCCCATATTATGAGATGGACGGGTAATCTTTGGAATTCATTCTCGCATGCATTATTCCGAAGCTGTCCTGTTTTTACATGAATCTAGCTCGACATGCGGAAGCCAGTTTGCATCTATATACTGTACAAGTAAGTAGCAAAGGGTATCTCGTGTATCCAGATCTAAGTCTAGACGGGACTTTTGATGCTCAGATTGTCTTCGCGGAAGATCAGAAGAGCCAACTTGTGTCTCACAAAGAGACCGAACAGACCGACCAGGATTTGCATGGTTGTGATCTCCACGGCCAATCTGTCCTCCCTCATCGGTCCTCGCCAGACAAGCCACAGGTTGAGGATGGTGAAGTTACTCGTCTCTTCGATTCGACCTTCTTCATCTTCTTTGATGCGCAAGAGCTTGAATTTGGCCAGGAGACGCAGACCTTGGGCGATAATGGGGCGCGGCTGCTTGTCCTTCTCCCACTTTGTCACACTCGGTTCGAGTAGTCCTGACCTGGCGCTGAAGTGTGGCAGACGGTGACGTGGGCATGGGAGCACATGGGAAAGCTGGGGCAAGCTGTAGATAAAATTGAAGATCTGCGGGACCAGCAGCAGAATCAATGTCTTCGAGAAGTGACCCAGGATACTAACCACCACGAACACCATACCAGCAAAGTAGCAGTACGTGTCTCCAACGAAAACACGGGCAGGATACCAGTTGTGGAAGAGAAGGGCGAAGCTCACGCCCAAGAATGGCAGGAGGAAGTACAGAGAGAACAGATGGGAGTCGGTGGCCGGGTGAGGGTATGGTGTGAGGAGGTATAGGGCGTCATTGAGCACCAAAAGGAGTGCAATGACGATGCTCTGACTGACCTCGATGCCGTTGATGCCCGCCAGGATGTTGATGCTGTTGGGACTGAAGATGGAGAAGGCTGCCATGTAGCCATAGTAGAGTATGCCGAGGTCGAGCAGCTCGCGGCCGATGTAGGGTTGGAGAAAGGTTGGCAGAACGATCGAGGTGACACCAAAATCGACGAAGTAGATGACGAGGAGAGGAATCGAGGCGAAGGCCGGGATGAAGAACTTGTGTCGCCAGCGGATATCGAAGAGATCGTCGCCAATGCCGAGAAGGGTTATGGACTGTAGAGAGATGATTGCAGACAAGAACGAGGCCAGCTGTGGCATTGAAGCTGTCAGCATGATGATTACGTGGGAGGAGGTAGGCTCGTACCTTGCTATGCGGGAACTTGTGAAGCAATCTCCCCTGCTGAACGAATTCAACATTCATGACCACATCCCGATTTCCACCGCCACTAGTCGCGACAACGATGTCTTTGTAGAAAGGAAAGGGTATGAAGATGATGATGGTCAGGAGGTAGACCACAGCGCATATGGCTCCCATGCACTCAGGTATGTAGTGGCTGTTGTTGACTTTGGACATGTCGCGGCCCTTCAAGCCGGCCTTGAGGAAGGTCGGACCCAGCCATCTGATCATGGCATAGCTGGCAGCGAAGGCAAGACCACTCAGAGCCAAGGATGCGACCAGCGGCTCGCCTTCTCCGTCGAAGGTGCGGATGAGGGTGGCGACGCATACTACGGCGACCCCACTGAGGGCGACAGATTCAGTGCTCGAGAGCGCCGTTGGTGATGTTGTGCTTGGCATCGTGGCAGGACACGCATCGTATGCGTTCGACTCGAGGTGAGGATGTCGGCATGGAATGAAGGAGTGGTGATGAGGAGGTCAGCGGTCGTGGGTTCACAAAAATGAGGGAGTGTTTGTGGGGTTGTGTGGTATCGCCGGCGCAAACTCGCAATGCGTCGTGGCCTCAAGAGGCAAAGCGACTTCGAGGCTGAAGCAAAGCCTGACAGCCTGATCAGTGAGGACGTGTTAATGTGTGTGGATTCTCACCTGATTGGCAGGGCCGTCTGTACTCATTACCTAATCTGAAATCACATGCCAGAACCCCACCTTCCGCTCTTAACGGTAACAATGACGAGCACCGGGCACGGGCCACATAGAGCCGGAAGGCAAGCTGCAGATCCAACCCGAAAACATTGAAGCTTAGAAGTCAGCACAGGTATCATCCTTGACCCCTTTTTGCTGTGAACTGACTTCAGCTTGTGTTTGTCTACCTAGACAAATAAGACATATTGAGTTGGTTGGCTGATAAATGTGTTGAAAGAGTCTACCGCACCTGCGCCCGCGACATCATCTTGCAATTCAAACAAACAATGGCTTTCTGTATTTGTCTTACGCCTCGTCAGCAGCTCCTATGGCGATCAGTTCAGACAGTTCGTCAAGTAGGACATGGGACAGTTTCCGTGGTGAAATCCATTGCAAGGTCCTATCGGCTACCACCTCAGTCTGATTATCTATCTACACTCCGACAGGTTGGTTCGTACCCCCGACTTGGAAGAGCCTCGTATGTCCGAGACATGGATCGCAGATTCGCACCACAACCTGGTTGCAAGACGATGGCATTGCCAGGTTCCATCACCCCAGGAGAGAGATGCCTGCCGAGCCTGCTCTACCTATGGCTTGAGAAAGCGGATAATGTCCACTTCTCAACACAGTCAGCTGAGCGGAAACCCCACACGAGTCTATGGGATGAGCAGCTCTCTAGCCTGATGGGCGACGCCATGGGGGAATCCTTGTCGTGTCAGGCGTGCTTGAGGCCGGTGACACTCGACCAGCCCGGACCTTGTGGTTCGTGGTTCAATCGTCCCGTCGTTGAAAAATGCCGCCCGGTAGGTGTGCCTGCTGTGTACAGGCGACCTCATTGACGGGGCACTGCCGTCGTCCATTTTATCTCTGGATACGATAAGATACTCTGCCTTGCTGTTTCGAAAGAAGAAATCAGAAGTATTTCTCGCAGTTTTCATCATTCTGGTACTTGACAGGGCTCCCTGTCGAAACCGGCGCACTGTTCATTCTCGTTCAGTTCTTTGGTCTGCTGTGCCACATTCGAAAATGGTAACCACCTACTACCCTTTTGGGATTCATCTACTACCCTTTCGGGATTTTCAAGTGGTCGGTTGATCTACATTCACCATTGACTCGGGACTACCTCTTGGTAGCTGCTGTTATGGTCAAGTATTCCGGACCTTGGATTTTCGTGACTCAGACCAAGTCATACCTACTGTCTCGCTCTGCTTGTCTTTCAACCAAGCACACGGCAAGGCAACAACTTACAATCCCGCAATACTCACATCGTTTGAAGTCATTTCTGCGCCTTCTTAACACGCCTCTAGCGACATTCCATCATGTCACCAGATCCCGATATCAAGCATGATGAAAAGGGTCATCGCCCGGAGTCAGACGAGGAACGGGGCGTTTCAGAAAACGAGATCGAAGTACCCAATGCCGTGAGTTGCTTCGCTTCTTTGCCCACCAGCATGTCACACCCACACCAGCCCAGGATGAAATCCGAAAAGTCGACTCGTCCCGCAGCCGGGTCAGTAAGCGGAGCAAAGTATGAAGAATCATCAGCAGGGCGAGCAGGTCCAGCCAGAAGAAGGATAATGTCGCTCCCACAATTTGCCGGTTTCCGACCTCAGTTAGGGCATCGTCGGCTGGGAGAGCCAAGACGACCCAGCAATGCCCCTGAACTTCACTTCGGCCCGCAAATGGGTGATAGTCTCGTCTCTCACCCTCATCACGTTCATGTCACTACTATCGTCCAGTATGCTAGCACCTGCCATTGCTGATATCAACGCCGAGTTCCACAACGTTAACATCACCAAAGGCGCGTTCCCTGTCAGCATCTTCCTTCTAGGCTACGCGGTTGGGCCATTATTCCTGTGTCCTCTCTCATAGGTACACGGTCGAGCGCCCGTCTTGACCGCTGCGAATATCTTCCTCTGTCTGTGGCACATCGGCTGCGCTCTGGCTCCAAGCCTCGATGTTCTCGTCGCCTTTCATTTTCTTTCGGGGGTAGACGGGAGCGGCTGTTTGACGCTGAGAGGGGCTGTGATAGGTGACCTCTTCCCTGTGGTCGAGCGCGGCAAAGCTCTCTCGCTATGGACCTTGGGACCGTTGATCGGCCCGACCTTAGGGCCTCTCCTCGGGGCATTCTTCACGGCGTCGTTCGGATGGCGGTGGGCCCCCTGGATCGTATTCATTCCCTCAGTAATTGTTACATTAGTGCTCGCGATATTCCTCCCGGAAACTAACCACAAGGTTCTCGTCGGCCACAAAGTCAAGCGCGTGAGCAAGGAACTCGATCGGAACGACCTAGTTAGCTGCTACGAGAAATTCGACTCGGCCCAACTATCCCAGACCGCTATACTGAAGACCGGATTCTCGCGCCCCCTGAAGATGCTCGCCTTCGCGCCCATTCTCTCCGTACTGTCTATCTACAAGTCGTTCATATACGGAACCATGTACTTGATGTATAACTCGATCTCGCCCACGTTCGAAGACCATTACGGCTTCTCGACCGGTATCACCGGTGTCGTCTACCTGTCCATGGGCCTCGGATACATGGTGGGTCTCTACAGCTTCTCGGTGTTATTCGACAAGACGGCCATCCGACTGACCAAGGCCAATAACGGCGTCTACGAGCCGGAAATCGCGCCTCAACCTAATCGTCTACTACGCCTGCATATGGCCGATCACCTTCTTTTGGTACGGGTGGACGGCCGAGAAGCAGGTCCATTGGATCGTGCCCATCATAGCGCTCTTTCCCCTCGGCCTGGGCATCATCGGCGTGTTTCTGCCCACGCAGGCCTACATCATCGACGCCTACCCCACGTACTTGGCGTCGGGACTCGCAGCCTTCACGGTGCTGCGCAGCGTTACTGCTGCTTTTCTGCCATTGGCAGGGCCGTCATTATTCTCGTCCCTGGGACTGGGCTGGGGAAACTCGGTGCTTGGGTTTATTGCCATCGCTTTTATCCCGGTCCCGATACTTGTGTATAGATTCGGTACAGGGCTGAGGAAGAGGTACCCACTGGAATTATGAGGGCCATAATATGCGGCAGAGCCCTGCTTGGAGAGCAAGGCTTGGCTGGTGTATCAGACTGATGAGATCTATGGTTGCGCTTAATGGAGGAGCTGGGCCGTAGGGGCTTCGCACGAAAAGTCTTCTACACATAATTGGGATTTAATATGATAGAATTAATATAGCTACTCCAGATTGGTTTAGTATCAACTTCTGTAAGATCATTTAGTGCTTTATTTCGTGAAGAACGGCTCCTAAGTCGCAGGCCGGTCGGCGGTCGAGGTAATCGATTTACATTCTTGAAAGACGCAACAAACCCTGACGAATTATATACGAGATGTTCAACGTTTGCAGAGACATATATTCGTAGTCGCCAGCACTGCGGAAGCAGAGTCCTGAATTTGACCCCAACCCACTTTCTGCCATCTCGGTTCAAATGCTGCTCATTTCAGCTTAGAGGGGTACACCAAGACCACACCATCATGTTCGCAAATAGCTCGAACGCAACGGCAGCTTCTCTTCACACTCGCAATCGAGCAAACACTAGACACAACGATATCCAGTTGAAACGGATTGTCGATTGCATCGCGAAAGGCAACTTCATGGATAAAGTAACGAATTGGTGGCAGATGGACTTACACAGCCACTGTCAAGTGAAGAGCATCGCGAGCTTTTTCGATGCTAAAGCTTGCTCCTTGCTGTGGCAAGTGATTATGTGCGCCCTTGACGCTATATGATTCGAATCTTGTATGCAGATACACAAGTTGCGATGGCATGGTTACCGCTAACCGACCTGACGGAGGCGTCCTAAGTCTTCCATTGTGGGTGGTCTGTATATCATCGTTAGGTAGTTCCATGCATGTCGCTAGGGCAATGGCCATGTCACAGTTTGACTGCTGGTGGTTCCTGAAATGACTATGTTAATGTACGTGAAGAAGAAAGAAAACTATGAAGCTAGGTAGGAGACATGGTACTGGTATATAAAGGTTGACCCTGACACTGTGGGGCTATGTTCAAGTGCCGTGACAAACCGCGACGAGAGCATCATCAGACCTATTGTAGCCTTAAGATCGGTGATACCGAGTCCTATATTAACAGCTAACTAGCGAAGAATGCACACGACAAGATGTGGCGGTTTATCTCGTGATTAAGCTCTTCGACCGCAAGGGAAGAGTCAAACCCAAATGCCCTAAAATACAACAAAAAGCAAAGACCACATGCTGTACGCTAAATTTAACAGAATAAAACGCCGCAAACCCCAATAGCAGAGGAGATGGTTGATGGGGAATGGTAGTAGAAGTGCTGCAGCTACTGTATACGCAGTTCATCCTGATGCTCATGAAGTGTACCTTATCCAAGCTCGCATGGTGTTCCTCGACCATTCGCCTTGGGAGTTTCAGTATATAGCTGGGCAGGAGGACTTTCGGTAGCCAGCTGGTGGGCAGGAGGATAGCCGTACTGCGAGTCGCTGTTGTATAGATACCCCTGACTCGTTGACTGCATGTTTACCCCGTGACTGGGGTACGGTCCCGGCGCTGGATAGGCTGGTGGATAGGCTGGTGGTTGTGTGGCCGCCCGCTGCATACAGCAGCGCCAGCCAACCAAAGCAGCGAGGAGTAGCAACACTGGAATGCCAATTCCAATACCGACACCGAGTCCAACTTTGGCTTGCGTGTCCAGCCCACTAGTCGATGAGGCAGCGGAGGAGGTCGGTGTGGCGACGGATGTGTTGGTAGAGGCAGATGATGTGCTGGGAGAGGCAGATGTCGACAATGAGGTGCTTGTCTGGGTACTTGCTGATGTGATTGACGAGGTGCTTGTAGACGAGGTGTCGCTTGCTGAGACATTGAAATAGTGAGAAATAGCGTCGGCTTGTGTACTTCTATTCACAAACAATTCGAAGAAAAATACGTTCGAGACTGTAAGTTCCTTGGACGTGGCGACCGTCCAGAGCCAAGATTGGGGACCAGCGACTGAGTCCTCTGTTGATGCTCTTGAGTCAGACCATACCTAATAGTTGAGGAAGGTATCGCGTAGGGAGGGGTCTTACGAATTATGATTTCCTGAGTTGAGTCGCTGGAGGTGGAACTGATTGTTTGCTGTAACAAAACCAACGTGATGGGGACGTCTTGTTCGGCGCCGGAAAATCTAATGGTCATCTGTTGGTTCAGCGACCACACATCATCGTTATCGTATACGCTGTCTGGTCCGGATGGTGGAGGGTACTCGAAAGTAACCTGATCCTGAGAGACTGCTGTTCTCATAAGCAGCCCGAGGGTGGCAAGGAACTGCGAGGTGAACATCATACAGAGGAGAAATTCGGAATTCGAAGGTAAACATAGATTCAAGGTGACGACTCAAGAGAAGGATGGAAGAAATTCCTATGTGTTCTAGAGAGCACTAGTGTGTTCATTGAGATGCAGTTCCCGCGAAGGCACCTACAGAAACGCTGTGCCACTGTGTTGGTACCGGAACCAAAGAGTGCGGCGGTAATGGTTTGATCCTCGCCTGGGAGCTGAACCAGAGAGGTGATGTGGTACCTGCAGTCCGCAGGCGGGTATGAGTTCAATGCCGGTTGATACAAGGACCGAAGAGTGCGGCGCCGATGATTGGATCTTTGCCAAGACCAAAGAGGTGGTGTGATATCTATAGCATGCGGCTGGGATGAGTTGGTTGGTAACTTGGTACCAGAACCAAAAAGTGAGACGCTCAATGATAGGTCAACCCTGGTCCTGCCACGTACCCCTAGATGCCCTCGACTCTCGAGGCTATGCAGTAGGTATGCACCAACATCTCATTGCACCCCTGCCTGTCTGGCCTCTAAGCTTCCCCATATATCTGGGACAGCGGCTAGTCCCTACCAATGATACCCACCCGATAAGCAACGGTCGGCTAGCCTTGCCTTACCCCCTGCCTTGCCGCCTGCCGCCTTCCCGATCCGCGGTTCTCGGCCCGGACAGCACTAGCGACCTAGCTCAGAGCATGAACCAACTGCGGCCCGGGGTGGATCTGCGGAGACACTCCCAGAAGCATTGGTCGAGGGCCACTGGGGGCGACAAGGGGGAAGCGCCTATCACCATTTGTTGCAATTGCCTGACCAATCCCACAGGGGACATGGTGGACATGGCTCTTCCAGCCTTGGGTCAGCATGGGAAAACACCGTATCTACGAGCTGACATTCTCACCCCGATTGGTTGGTCGTGGTCTTCGGCCTCATACCTTGTCCCATATCACATTGCTGCATCGCCCCATGCTGGTGTTGGTTGTAAAATATGCATCGTTGGCGTTTCGCCGTCTCGGTGATGCCTGTCATCCACCCAACGATATATTTCTCCGTGGCATTCTGCCCCTCCATCTTCTTGTCCCAGCTCTATGGTATCGGCGCCTAGGCTCTGGTTTTCCTATTCACGTCGACTTTTGAGTGCAGCTTTCCCTCGGGCGTTAGGAGGCTTCTTTCTTTTGTAGACTTGGAATTAAGTGTCTAGTCAGTGAGAGCTATATCACGCTTCCTTACCCCCAAGCCGGGCCCATCACTCCCAGCGGCCTACTGCTGGAGCGATGCTGCGAACTATGAAGTTCTCGAACAATCTACCCTTTGTGGCCTTTTTCATAATAATTCTCCTACTTCTCACGCTTAAAACCTTCTTTGGGCATTCACAATATTACCAAGATGGACTACAGCCGCCGATTGACAAGACTATCCCCCGCAAGATATGGTACAAACTCGGCCCTCGAGGTCTCAGCGCAGATGCAAAGGAATGGGCCGACAGCTGCACGACAAAGAACCCCGGCTACGCGACCGAGTACATCAGTGACGATTACGCCGACGAGTGGGTTGCAAGGAATTTCTCTCATCGCCCAGATGTCGTGGGAAGCTATCTGAATACCACCATTCCCATTCTGAAGGCCGACTTGCTCCGCTACCTACTCCTCTATCAGGATGGCGGTGCCTATTTTGACCTTGACGTCGAATGTGGACATGGCGGGATCGACGACTGGATCCCACCACATCTTCGGCACAACACGAGTCTAGTCGTTGGGTGGGAGATGGATGCCGGCCTGACTGGGGACGTTTCCCACCAGCTTGCGAGCTGGACCATCATGGCCCGGAAGGGAACACCGTATATGATGGCGGCAATCGACGACATCTCACGAGCGATCCACGACGAGTCCAACGAGCACAGCGTGCCAGTTTCGGACCTGAAGCTATGGATGCTTCCCGATGTCGTCGACTTCACCGGGCCGGCTAGGCTGACACGAAGCGTCTTCAAGGGCCTGGAGCAGACCCTCGGTAGGGATGTCGACCGCCGCCTTGTCCAGGGTATCCTGGAGCCGACCCAGATGGGAGATGTATTGTTCATGCCTGGTTGGGCGTTCGCTGCCGGACAGGGCCAGTATCCTGAGGAGGACCGTGACAAAATCGGCCCGCGGTTGGTGATACATCATTAGTAAGTATCCTTCTCAACCCCCAGCCTTTGGTTTACGATGTGTCGATGGAAGGCTTGTTTCAGACACCATCAGAGTCGCGGTTTAGGTTATAGAACCCAGACGGCTAACTAAACCCGTGTTAGTGCTGGTTCATGGAAGAATGGGAATGGTGGTGAGTAGCCTTGATGACGGTGTGAATGGCCCCCGCAATGTATAGAGTATATCGGCCTATAAATGAGGGTGACGCTCAAATTTGCCACCCCTATCCAATAGGCTGAAGGAACCCAGAATAGGGATCTTTTAGTCTGCGTCGCTCTGTCGAGACGGCTGGAACTGTCATCTAGACGAGATCGAGAAGAAGAAGGTTGCCGCTGATCTGGAGTCGCAGGGCCAAGAGGAACCCGTATCGAGCATCTTTAGGGGGCTAGTCGCGGGGATGCTATGACTCTAATGAGACTGGGTCGTTTGTGTAAGAATATGATTGATTGATTGATTGTATTTATCGTGGGTGCAGTCCCTCCATAGGGCAAACCACGCCTCCCAGGGCCATTGCATCGCAAGGTGTCAGTCTAGATACATTCAGATCCGCGCACGAGCCTATCTTCGCTGTAGCGGTACCAACCTGGAGTGACCAGATGGTTTTAGTCAATACCCAAACACGATTCCGTCAGAAAAACCTCCTGTCCAGTGACTAAGCGACCCAGTGAACCTCAGTCCTCTGGTGTACACATCGTTCCAGTAGCCGTTCGATATATGTCGCATTGGTGGGTGAAGTAGGTGTTTGTTATCTGCTGGCAAGGGAAACCACAAGGGGAAAAACCTCACAGGAGTGGGTATTATAGAGACAAGCTGTTTGGCTATCAGGTTCTGCGATAATAGGCCTCTCCACTGTCGTGTGCTGGTTATTGACTCGCACAAGCCGGGTCAGAAGGGGGCCATAGCAGGATGCGAACCCACTTGTTCTCGTCGCCCACCGCACAAACGAGAACACAACCAGGCGCATTTGACCATTGCGCCATACGGCCTTGTGTAAGAATATGATACCATGTCGCACAACAGACACTAGGAACTCCCACCATCAGTTCTGAATCAAGTGGATGTAATTGATATCTGTGTCGAATCACATCATCTACCAGCAATATGTCTTGCCAGGACGTAATCTATCCGTATTTATACCTAGCTACGCGTGACATAAGTTGGTCTACTTAATACATATAAAAAGGCTACCAGGTATGGTCTTACATGCCACAACTCCACGTCAGTACCAAGACAATGCATAGAATATAAGACTTAAACGCAGTCGTTTCTTTCATATTAAGTCTTTCTTAAAAAATTAATAACGCCACGATTTTGCCAACTAATGAAACAATAAAATTCGCCTCGCTTAAATCAGCCTTTTTCTTTGTAGTTTGTTAATTTCTACGTGTAATTTACCGACTTGAGTTCTTTAAACCGTATTGTTTTCATATATATCGTTTTTAAAAGTATTCTTATTCTTATTATTGTTACCATTCGAAATATTAGTTGTAAGTAATAATTTTAAGCTGTACGTAATATTATAGTTAACGCTATAGTTAAAAAGCTTAAAAAGTTATCTTGTTAACATGGATGACAAGCGAATGGCAACTTTTCACCAACCTTCTAACCAACCTGTCAAATAACTCGACCACAACGTATTTAATCCAATCTAATCAATTGGATTCTTTTTCTTTAGACGTTTCTATCTCTATTGTACAAGTTCGCGCATTATGGCCAGTGTTGCCGCAAATACCACAACGTCGCTCACGCGCTGCTGCCCTCCTTGGACGACGACTACCTTTACCCATTTCCTGTCTTGCCAGCTCATTACTATCCTTTATAGCCTAGAGACCTACTGCATCTTCAACAGAAAGTATTCCTCCTTTTACTAGACATTTCTTTTTTGTCCTCCAGCGTTTATTTAGTAGGTGATTGGCCTCCTCTAGCTCGCGGACCCGGGAATCAACCAAAGCAACCTTATGCATAAGATCGTATATAGTCTTTGAAAATGAGCTCAACGCATCAACTATTGATGTAGGTGAGCTTCCCTGGTAGTTTCTAACTTGATTTTGGATATAAACTGACTGGTTTACCGCTTCATTGATGGTGGTAGGCGTCTTCGAAGTCCAAGTAGTGGGTGGCAGATTGGGGTCTGGCGACGGTGTTCGTAGGACAGCAACAGCATCCAGCTTCAAAATGACATTTTCTGGGTCAAAAGGAACAAGCCCAATGGCACTGAAACCTGCTTGAATGTTTCCTGGCGTCATAGCAGCGGTGTATGCTTCACAAAATGCTGTAAGGAAGTCCTCCTTCGAAACGTGGGTTATATGATGCTGGATGAAATCCTTAATCATGCAACTGTACGCTCGTTTGAGCGGGCTAAAACAACTGACATCTAAAGGCTGAAGCCTGTGTGACGAGTGGGCAGGCATACAAGGGGTAATAATGCTGTTGTTCTGGCAATAATCCTCAGAGATCTGGGAATGGTGGCTTTTGTGACCATTTAGGATGAGGAGGCGTTTACTGGCAGTCATACGCGGTCTGGTATACTTGTCGAAATGCCGAATCCATTCCAACCCAATCTCGTTCGTAGTCCAACCATTATCGGACACAGCCACCTTTCAATCGCGTGGTAATGTTGTGTTGGGATACCATGACGCGAGGTGAGTTTTACCCTATAGAATGATGAGCGGCGGGACCACCCAACTATCAGCATTGACAGCAGAAATTGCTGTAGACCATTCCCTGTTGCCTTGCTGAGCTTGTCTAGGCCTACCACGTCTTTTGGCACTTGTAACGATCATGCCGGACCCAATGATGCCCATCATAAACCCAGTCTCGTTGAAGTTATAAATATCCGCGTCTTAGATACCATGTTACGCGATTACTGCTACAACTTGGCAAAATCATGCGCAATACACGTCTGGATCTTCGTTTAAGACCCTCTGGTAGTCCATCCTCTGATAAAAACGCGTCCGGAGGCCTGGTGTGCGTTTAATGAAGTTCCACGTCCAGTTCTTTTCAACGCATCCATCCCCACGTGCTGCTAACAATTGATTCGCCATATCTTTAACATAACTGTGCTGGGGTGGAAATACTCGCGCATCCAGGTCAAGAATGAAGGAAAGAATGACATTCTCTTCAGAAACCGTAAGTTTCAAAGTATTGGGTATGCTATTGCGTCGTGATGGTCGGCTGGCAATTCTAGCCTTCAAGGTATTATATAGGATATGGAAAGTCTTAGAAAACTTGCCAATAGTAATATGAGGATCGCGTCGGTTAGCTTGGACAGCAAGCTGTAAGTCTGATTTGCTATAACGCAATGACATTATTGTTAGTTGATCAATTAGGAGCCTTGATTGAAAGGTTAGGTGGCTGGTGAAAAGTTACCGTTCGCTTATAATTGCCGCTCGCTTGTCATCCACGTTACGTCATTCTTTTTAAACCCCTTTTTTTAACGGTAATAAAGTCGCTTATAACGTTGCGTACTGCTAGCTAGGTATAACTAGATTAAAAAGTTATAGATAGATAAAAATACCCTAAATTAAGTGTATTTTAAATATAATAGCAAGTATTATCGTTGTGCGGTCCCCCCCCCCCCCCTTTAAAAGTGGTTTAATAATAATAATAAAGCCGTAAAAGTAACGTCGTTTATTGCTAGCTAGGTATAGTTAAACTAACTACTTATACGTTGTTACAAACCAACAAATACCACGGCCTGTTAGGTGGCCAAGGGGAATACACCAAGAACCAATAGAATCAGAAGCCAAGAACAGAACAATGGGTATTACAGATTACATAACAAAGGTCACGTGACAGATCACTGGATCAGGGAGTGAGCCAGTGAGCATCACTCTGGGACAAGGTGATCCTACTCCATCAGTAAAAGAGAGATTGGATATATAAGAACAGACATTTCCCAACTAGATAAATAGACAGTCTCTACCTCAGTGATCAATCTAAGCTTTTTAGCCAACCCTAAAGTGGGAGAAATCTCCTGACAACTCGACTACGCAATGAACCCAGTTCAGACCAAGACCCAGCATCTGAGTGTCTTCGAGTTGACAGAAGCCTCCCTCGTCTTTTGTGTTGACTTACCTCAAAAGATAAACCCTATAGAACCCTTTAGGCTTATAGGTTAGACGGCTTGTCACACTAATTATAACTTATATAACATAATTTAAGCTTATTTTAATTTAAAACAAACCTTTTTATTATATATCAAACTTTATTATCTACTTTGCTTTTACTTATAACGTGCTTTGGTATCTTATTTGTTATAAATATAATAAACATACCCGATTATAATACAGTCAATTTACTTAACTTTTAAACGAATTAAATAAACGTAAGTTTAAACATTTTCAAATAAATTAAAAAAGGAAGTAAAAGTATTAAATATCAATTTACCGCTTTATCTACGTTAAAACTAAAATGAAATAATTTTGACTATAATTCAACCGAAGTAAAATAAAAAGTAACCAAAACACAAAGAAAAGCATTAAAAATTTACAAAAAAGTAATCAAAGTACGATATAAACTCGAAAAATAATAAACGCCCAAAAAGGTAAAAAATAAAATAAGATAAGAATAAGAAAAGATTAAACAGTTATGAAAAGCAGTTAAAAAGGTATAAAAAAAACTATAAAAATCAACAGTATAAAGTTAATGAAGCCTAAAATTAGTTTAGAAGCAACTTATAAAGCTTAAAACTTTAAAAAATAAAATATAAGAAAATTATAAGAAAAAAAGTTTTAAACCACTTTAAGTACCATATATTAATCTTCGTTCGATTAGGGTTTTATTTTGGCTTAATATAATTAGTTAGCTTATTAATAAATTAATCTTTTTAACCCCGGTTAAACGCTTTACGATGTTTTTTAACCGACATTTCGCCGAAAAGCTGAACGAACCGACTTTTTCTGTATTAATTTTAACGACATCTAATTATAATATAACCGGTTATAATCGTTAATTTATTACGTTTTCTTATCTCTTTATAATCCACTTTAACCGTTATTATGTATATGAAACATAATTAACTTATTTCTAGAATCATTTAGTATGAAAACAACACGTTAAGTAATCCCCGGTATAATTTTAATAACGCCGGTACGTGAAATAGCGTTAAGCCAAAACGTATTACCGCGGGTATATTCATAATCCGCGCAGCTGTTTAAAGCCTCGTTTAAAGCGTTTATAAATAGCTAGATATATTAGCTCTTATTATATATTAATTACTTATCAGATTAAAAGTATTAATTATTACCGGTATTATCATTTATATTTATTTTAATTACTTTGCGAGCTGTAGAGATATGTTACTGGTTATATTTCTAAAAATGACTTAGTGTTTACTTTTAAACCTCTTACTGTTATCGTTTAACTATTTATAACTAATTAAAATACATAAAAAACTGTTAATATTACATATCATATAAGATTTAAACGACCATATAGCGGTATGTTAAAGGCTCATCGATAATATACTTAATAAAAAAGCTTTTAGACTTATAATTTTGATATTTCAAAGGTTATAAACTATGGGTACTACGCTTATTTGAACGTATTTTCGTTTTATTTATAACTATATAAAGATTTCTTTAATGAATCTTAATTAAATAGTAAATATATAAATAAAAATTGCCGATATAAAGTAATATAATTATTGTTAGATCCATGTGATTCCACAGTGAAACCATATGTATGATTAGATAAGAGATTAGATACCGGATTGTGAGGTCACTTAGCTAGACCTGCAGGTCCAGCTAGACTTCCCAATCCAACCATCATCAACATCATGACTTTGACCCTATACTCGAGTATTATAAATGATCGTTCAAGCCTGTTCCTACAGTTTTATTATTATTCTTATATTAGTTACATTATTAAAAGTAAAATAACCCATTCTATCTTAAATGTTGTATTCCTAAAAATATATAAATAACATTTTTAATATTCTCGCTAGTGTGTTTTTCGAAAACTTTTAACATGTTAATAATTAACTTATAGAGCTTATTATATTCGTTTTTAAAAAAGCACGTAACTTTATATAACTTATAACGGTTAAAAAAACCACTATTGATTAAACGAAATATAAAAAAAGTTAAGCGCTTTTTCAAAAACTTTTTGATCTTTTTAATACTTAACGAACGCTTTTCATATTTTTATTTAAATCGTATTATTAGTAAAATTAACTTTTATATTAATAACGTTAAGCTGTATATTTGGCTGTTGTAAAAAGGTTATTTCTTATACTCTACTTTAACAAAAGCTGTGAAAAGTATATTTTTAATTTATTAATAAAATAAAGCGCAATTTGTTAAATTTTAAGCCATTAATATTTGAATTATATTATTCTGTAAAAATAAATATATTTAACTTCATAAAAGGCTTTTTTTCGTCTTTAGATTAAACTTTAAATTTCGCTTTTTTAATAGTGCTAGTATTTTGTATTTATTATGTAAATATCAGTAATTACGTAAGAATTTAACTTTATTATATTATATTTAATATACGCGTGGCAAACCTATTTACGAACCGAAGGTTTTTTAATATTACATTTAAAGGCTTACTGCTAGGTAAATATATCTTTAGCTTTTTTAAAAAAGTTTTAGCTTACATAGGCCTTTTAAAACTTTAGCTTGTCTTTTTTTCTAATAACGTCTAAGGCTAAAATTAATGTTAATATTAAGTTCATAAAAACGGAAGCGGTCGGGGCTAAAATAATAGATTTAGATTAATTTGAAATCTGGTTAAATATAAAGATACTTATTTTGAAAAGCTCTATAAAAAAACAACGATATCGTATTTAGTCAGTAGGCGCAGTCGTATTTTACTATTAAATAATTAAATAATACTTTATAATAAAAATAAAGTTAAACATATTATTAAATAACTATTAATACGCCTTTATAAGAATTTTATAATATATTAAGTCCGTTTTAATTAAAAGACATTATTTAATCGAAGTAAGTTTAATTTAGCTAATTAAATAATAACATTAGTAAAACAAATAACGATAAAGTTATTAGTTTAAAGGGGCTTGTATTATTAACTATAAAAATATGTTAAGTTTATAACCGATAAACTTATTTATAATAAAACATCATAAATCTAATAAATTTAAATTTATAAAAATCTTCGTTTCGTTAACAATGTTTAATTAATATATATAAAAGTATATTATAAAATGTTAATCGCGTCGAAATATATAACAATTTAACCTAAAAATTATAGCATATTTAAAAGTATATAAACTATCGTAATTATACGGAGAAAAAAAATCGATAATATTTTCGCAAGATAACGGAAATATTATCTAACTTGAAATAATTAAGAACTTATAAAAAAATCTTATAATATTATTTATCAAGTTTTAGCTTTAAAGATAGTTAACTTGTTAGTGAGTTGTTATTTATTTCAAAGTAGCATTATTTACTTGTTATATTAACTTTTTAACTACTTAATATCATTACTATCAAACTACTATATTACTGTTAATATTAACGTAGATGACAAGCGAGCGGCAATTACAAGTGAACGGCAACTTTTCACCAACCATCTAACCTTTTCATCAAGGCTTCTAATTGATCAACCAACAATAATAGCATTGTATTATAACGAATCAGACTTACAGCTTGCTGTCCAAGCTAAACAATGCGACCCTTATATTACTATTAGCAAGCTTTCTAAGACTTTCTATATCCCATATAATACCTTAAAGGCTAGAATCGCCGGCCGATCATCACGACGCGATAGTATACCCAATACTTTGAAACATATGGTTTTTGAAGAGAATGCTATTTGTTCTTTTATACTTGACCTGGATATGTGAGCATTTCCGCCCCAGTACACTTATATTAAAAACATGGCAGATCAATTGTTGGCAGCACATGGGACTGGACACGTCAGGAAGAACTAGACGGCAAACTTCATCAAACGCACATCAGGCCTCCGGACGCGTTTTTATCAAAAGATGGACTACTAGAGGGTCTTGAACAAAGATCCAGACGCGTATCGCGCATGGTTTTGCTCAGCTGAGGCAGCAGTCGCAAAACATGGTATCCAAGATATGAACACTGTTGCCAGACCCCAATCTGTCACCCATTACTTGGACTTCAAAGATGCCTATCACTATTAATGAAGCGGTAAACCAATCAATTTATATCCAAAATTAAGTTAGAAACTACCAGAGAAGCTCACCTACATCAATAATTGATGTATTGAGCTAATTTTCAAAAGCTATATACGGTCTTATGCACAAGGTCGCTTTGATTAATTCCTGGGTCCGTGAGCCAGAAAAGACTAATCACTTACTAAATAAATGCCAGAAAACCCAAAAAAAATTCTAATAAAAAAGAAATTTTTTCTTATTAAAGATACAATAGATCTTTAGGCTACAAAGCATAATACTGATCTGGCAAGACAAGAAATAGGTGAAAATAGTCGCCGTACAAGGAGAATGGCAGCGCGTGAGCAACGGTATGACGTTTGCAGCAACACTGGCCATAATGCGCAAACTTGTACAATATGGATAGAAACGTCTGAGGAAAAGCAATCCGCTTGATTGAATTGAATTAAATGCGTTGTGATTAAGTTATTTGACATCACAGTTGGGAGGTTGGTAAGAAGTTGCCGTTCGCTTGTAATTGCCGCTCGCTTGTCATTTACGTTAAGGTAATAGTTTACTATATATTTACGATATTTACGTTAATATTAACTTACGATAGCCTTATCGTTAAGTTAATTGTTAAAGCTGTAGGGGTATTCGTGAATTAAGTTGGTGTAGATATCTACGTTTATATTAATCCACCGTGGATATCCGTTAAGTTGTTCGGGACCTTGCTGGCAACCGTCAATAACCCTGAAGCACCTCTAACGCCACCGCGATTCCCAGGAAGATCGCAATTCATCCATTGCCGACCATACCGCCCTTGCACTTAGTAATACTCCCACTTGATGAACACAGCCATGTAGTAGCGATATTTCTTTCCGCGAGACTGCGTAGAGCCTGATCGGAAGCAGAGGAGGCCGGACTGGTGGGAGTAGTGGAACCACGCATGGATCTGCCGTCAGGACGGAGTGGAGCTTCTCGTTTAGCTTTCAAATCGGGTTTGGGCGTCTCGGGGAGGTAAATGCCGCAGACGACTCTGTCAATTCTGGGGCTGCGGTCTCTCTCTTCGCCGTTCAGCTCGGTGCCGTACTCCTCTAGCAACTTGACGATGCCTTGGATGAACGGATTCTGCTCTTTGCCATTGAGGGCTTGCCAGGCCTCGTTGTTCGCGTCTGTCTATTGGAAGCTAGGATGTAGTCGTTAGCTAGAGGAACAGGCTCTTGATGTGCCAGGGCTGCCGGTGGTCCAGTGACCACGGATGCCGTTGTAGGAGGTATCGTGGTACATACTAAGAGCAGGTCAGCATCTCAAGTCTGACGTGTTGGGAAGTCAGGGAGGAAGAGTCAGGCATGAGGAGACGTCACAAAGGGGTTCGAGACGTACCACTTCAAAAGTCTTGTAACGCGTTGTCTCGTTTGGGAGAACTCCACCGGCATATCGGCGTGCATTCTCAATGCACTTCTGGGTGCGGCTGTGGTCGATGCTGTTAATCTCAATGACCTTCAACGTTCTGTCACCTCCATTAGCCGCTATCACGGCATCCTTCCAGTTGTCGAACATGATGTCGCGGTACTTCATGTGAGTCATGTCGACTCCTATCGCCTCGACGACGGTGGTAATATAGGCCCCTTCTCTCGGCGATCTCCTCGCAAATTAGAATCAGTAATTACTCCTTTAAGATGTTTGGCCGAAACAAGGAGCCGTAATAATGCATGTCTCGGGAATAAGGCTCTTGACACGGGCTAGAAGAGGAAATCCGCGCCCAGGACATGGTCATATGGAGCAATGAGAGACTCGAAAATGTACATACACCGAGTATTGGCATACCAGGTTGCCACCTAGTGTCGTCTTGACCATGTTGTGCTGCCACATCTCATTCTCTGGGTTGAGCTTCATGAGGTCTTGCCTCCTTTTCATGTCGGCCGGTGCTGGTACTATGAATCTGCGCATATCACAATGCCCAATCTCGGCACGATAGCCTTGAAGCTTCTTTCCGCGTCCGGCCGGGGGAGAACGGCCGAACACGATTCAAGTAGGTATCGGCTGCTGGATAGTGGATTGGCTCGCGAGTGTTGATGGCTTATCGACTAGGAGAGGACTATAGTGATCTTGTGTGTGTTGGCGAAGTACCACGATGTCTCTGACTCCTGATAGTAGTTTACGACATACTGTAGGCCATTTGCTCTCGAGATATACAATGGTTTGCATCTCATCCCATACTCGACTGTTTGTCCCCTGATAGCGTCCCCTCAGAGAGATTCAACAATCTGACACATGCTATTATCAGTCCGTGACTACGAAACCCCAGACAAACTCGATCAGGTCCATGTCGTACGTCACAGAGGTTCCAGAGGTGCCAGAGAGAACAAAGGATCTGGAACAGCAAGCCAATTTTGCGATCCATCTCATGTTGTGATCTAGTTACAGGAATAAAACAAACAAACTCGTTTCATTTCGGTTCGGTTCACTCATATACGACTGCCAGATCATCACCGGAGTGTGAATCATCCTCTGAATATGTTTGCCATTGATGTGATGGTCCAATCTCACGGTGGCTAGCCCAGTGAATGGCCACGAATTGGAAGAGAGCACATTTATCCCGATAGTCGTGATTCACCGCAAAATGGGAGTAGTGCCACCTTCACCCTTGAGAGCATGCTGCCCGAGACACGACGTTATGTAAGGCTTCTGATTGGGGAACTCGTGCGACGACAAGGAGCAATCAATTGAGTTGCAGCTGAAGGTGCCAGAATAAGTTTCTACTGGTAACGGCACTCTCCAGACATGCTACTTTAAGCTATACATTTTGTTTCTCGCTGGTCTGAGCAGGTTGCCAGACGTCGCGAAGCATTTCTTTCCTCTATGGAGAGTAATTACAACAAGGGGCACTTCGTTGAACTCTAGTCGAGGGAACGCATCATATCACCGTTTCCAAGACTCTCAATAATATCGGTATGTTGCTTTACGGCCACGTACATATCTCCTTCCTTTGTTGTTCGCTTGTGCGAAACATAAGTACACAGTGATGCAAAGCCCCGCTCCATTCTCCACCCCCTTTTTCCCTCGCGAAATCTGAGAAGTACCAACATCACCCCAGATACGTGTCGCTACTCTAGGACTTCGCATAATCCTCAAGCCGTAATACTCCCAATGAGCTTATCCCCCAGATCCTCAATACTAGCCTCGAAGTCATCGTAGTTTTTCGCCGCCCAATCCGCTCCATCGGCGCCGGCCACCGCATCAAAGCCGGCAAAGGCGATGAACAGCACGTCGTTCTCATCGTGGCCGCTGTTACCGTTGATGTTGTCCTTGACGTAGCACGCCGTCGCCAGCGAAATGGACGCCTCGCCCACGACCGACTTGTCGCCATCGACTCCGTTCTCGTCGCCCCAGACGCCGTAGATCTATCAGTCGCTCAGTCATCTGCTTGTCAACTCCTGGGAGTTGATGAGAACTTACCAGCTTGTCGCCGCACACGACCGCCATCACGCTCAGCGGCTCGATACCATGCTCCGCGGGATCGAAGCCCGTGAACCCGTCCTTGCCGCCGACATTGCCGAACACGACGTAAGGGTGAATGTTGGCGTCCAAGTCTTTGATGCCCTTATTGTAGATTCCTCCATGGAGACGGCGGGGCGTTTCAGGAGGCTGGATTCAGACCCCCGGATTTCAACGGCTGCTGGCGCCTTGGCAGGGCTGGTGAATGATTGGCGTACAGTTACTGACCCCTACCCGCCTCATTCCCAATTTCCCATTGCCGGGTAGGATCAATGGTTCATATGAGAGGGATCGCCATGAGGGGCTGCTTATTACCAGCCTGCCGGCGAATTGATTACATATCATTCGACTGACACTCGGGAATGGCACCATTGAGCAAACATCATCGACACCGACTGGGTGGTAATCAATGATGAGCCCGTCAACGGGGGTGGACTTCAACATCAGACGACGCCGGTAGCACCACACCATACCACGTGGAAGGAAGTGGCACAGAGCCGAAGTTCCAACAACCGTCGTATTTGCTCACCGTCCAAGGATGTTGGTCGGTTCCGCAGTGGCGGGACCCTCTCTCAATCAAAGAGGACAGGACGCACAATGAGTCAAAATGAGACAAAGTTCTTTGTCCACCCCCGGCAGGCCAACGTCCAAATAGCGACAATAGGATTCACAGCTGAATAAAGGGCCTGTGACTCTACCATTGAACCGCGCCGCAGCACCAAGACAACGTTCTCTACCTCACACTAGAGCCATCTCAGTTCTACATAAGGGCCTGGACTCTTCGCTCCTCCTGCGTCTACGCTGCTGCCGCATTTCTCACCCACCAATCCAACGCGAAACCACCCGTTTGCGCCAGCCCAGCCATGGCGAAAGCAACACTCGCGATAATATGCCTGCTGGCAGGTAACGTTATTGCCGCTGCCACCACCTCACCACCCGACGGAGGAGACGACAACGTCGCAGCAAGAAAGGCGCAAAACTACGAGATGATCGCCATCATCGTATCGGCAGCCGTGGGCGTCATGGTCGGCGGAACCATGCTGTTGTTGTTTCTGTGGTTCTTGGTGTACAAGTTCCCTGGATGGGTGTCCGATATGAGGAAGGGGAAGGGCAGCGATGAACGTTTACTCCCAACTAGCATGAGGCATTGAGCGGACCATCCCAAGAGGAGGAGAAGGGGAAGGAAGGACGCCGCGCTCCAACGACTTACGATCATCTGTCTTGCGGCCCTTTTCGACGACACGGTCTGTACTGTCTGTGAGACCGTCAACGACCACATCAATAATGTCAACATGTCCAACCGCGCTCATCGAGCACCGAAACCTTGGCTACACATTTTTACAACATCTACTATACCCATGCGCCTACCGTCTACCGATAACAACGTGCTAGCTGCGACTTCGCACAATAGCCCTACTGACACACAAGTCCCGAGTCTGTGGGACTGCGGACACGGACCGCTGCCGGCTGGCAGCATGACGACTATCATCGCGTGGCCCTCTCCCCACAACCCAAGGCGACAGTTGTTTTCGGGTCGTTGTCTCAAATGCGACCCGGGTTCGTGATGCGGAAGCCCCAGAGGCGGCGCATTTGACGCGAATTACTGGGCATATGCCTGCCTGTGGCAGTATCACTCAGCGACCTGAATATGATGTGTAGCATTTGCGGAATAGCGTTGAAATTCCGCCGGGGTTCTGTGGGTCATCGTCGGGTGTTGTTACGGTGTGATACAAGGGGATACCATGACTGTCGAACCTCGATAGGGTAATAGAGATTACAATGAATTATAATGTTCCAATGACTCGTCCCTTCTCCTGCGATGATGGCGTGTTTGATTAACATGAGCAATTTTTGATATCTTGACCTGGATCATGTTGTAATGCTAACCTAATAGACGACAAGCTGGAGCATGACCTCCAAGAAGTCCTCAGTCGTCTCTCCTATGTCTTGATATACCATTGGTTACATATATCTGAACACTCTCTATCAAGAACACAGCTCAACAAGATCCCCATCTCCCCATTTCGCATCTCCCCCATCATCCTCTCCCCCATCATCCTCACCCTCCCAATCCCCCACCCCACCCAACCACTCCCCCAGCCCCCCAACCCACCGCCCAACCGCCACCGTATCCCCATGCCTCGGCCCCAACCTCCGCCTCCTCACCGCACAAACCCCCCTTGCAACCCCCAGCGCCTCCGCCCACCTGCCCCTCCGATGCAGCACCGTCGCCAGATTCATCTGCGCATTCAACGTCTCGTAATGCTCGCGTCCAAACACGCTCTCGTACCACTCCACCCCCTCGCGCCATATTGCTTCTGCCGCGGCTAGGTAGACGCTGGCGCTGGCGCTGGCGGGGCCTCCGAGCTCTTGCAGTATGCGCGCTGTGTTGGTAAGACTGCCGATGGTTTCTGGGTGCGACGGGCCCAGGGCGGCGCGCCGCCAGGACAGGACGACGGTGTGGTGCTGCCAGGCTGCTTCGAGGCGGCGTTGGAGGAGGAGGACGGTGCCGAGGTTGGAGAGTGTGGTGTAGTAGTCTCTGTCTCTGTCTCTGTCTTCTATCTCTGTATCAGTTTCTGTATCTCGATCTGTGTCTGTTTCTGTTTCTATATCCATATCATGCCCCCCGCCCCGCTGGCCTCGTTTCGCGGCCAGCACGGCCCGGAAGTGCGCTTCCGCCTCAACGTACCGCGCCGGGCCCTGGCTCTGCACCGCGATAGCGAGGTTCTGCCTCGTCGCGAGCGTGTGCACGTGGCCCGCGCCAAGGACCGTCTGCTGCGCGTTCCAGACCTGGACGTACAGACGCTCTGCTTCGGCATGGTCACGGAGCCCGCACTTGATGGTCGCGAGCTGGTTCATGGCGCTGATGGTGGCGGTGTGGTGCGGGCCCTGTACGCGCTGCTGGGCCGCGGCTACGACCTGCATTTCGCGATCGGCTTCGAGGAGCTGGCCGGTTTGGTAGAGGCTCCGCGCGAGGTCGGAGCGAGCGGCTATGGTAAGGGGGTGTTCTGTCCCGAAGGTGGTGGAGAGGAGTGCTTGTGCGGTTTTCGAGTAGGTGAGGGCTTCGGAGTAGGAGCCTTGGGACTGGAGGTGCCAGATGAGCTTTGAGGATAGGGCGGCTAGGGAGTCGTCGCGCGCGAGGTGGGCATGGGCTGTGTAGATATTGAGGACGGACATGGCGTGTTGGGTGCAGGGGTTCGCTTGCTGGATGGCAGCTTCAAGGGCCTGCCTCTCTGGTAGTATTGCGAGGACTGCGTTCTTTGCTAGTTCTAGATAATGCTGCAAGGCGGGTGTAAAGACGAGTCGATGCCGCACGATGGTATGTACTACACTGTTTATGCTGATAGCCTCATCTTCGCACCGGTCAATGAGACCGTGTCGGTGCAGGACTCCTACCGCGGTGGTCAAGTCCACTCTTTCCACCCCTTTTCCGGCAGCTGAGTATAGAACGCGAGGGACCTTGGTATTATCGAAGCAAGCAGTTAAGTTGAGGACTTGGTAGGCCAAGGTGTTCTCCTCGTGGATTGAATGGCTAAGATCGAGTAGCGATTGGACAAGAGATCGCCGAGTCTCTTCGGGTCCGTCCCTGATCTTGTGTTGTAGCAGCCGGTAGGGCTCAGCGTCCAGTAGTTCGAGATATGCGGGAAGACTGATGCTGCTTTGTTCCGTGAAGGACCTGGCTTGGGCGATAGTCAAGGGCCAACTATTCAACCTGGCTGCCAGTTGTTCCGCGGCTTGGCGGTCGGGTTCAGAGTCAGTTGAATCTTCGAGCAACATCTGCTGGCTTTCCGCTTGAGACAGCGGTCCCAGACTGATCGTACAGTTTTTGGAAACAAAGCCAGAGACTTGAAGTTTATCACGGGCTGTGAATAGTATTGTGATTGAGGGGTTATCTGGTAACAAGTCTGTCAACCGGGTCCCTTCGTAGGTGATATTGGCATCTTGGACGTCGTCCACAATCAAAAACAATGGATTGCCCGATTTTACGTTGAGTCGTTCAAGGACGCAAGTGACGCTGGGTTTCCGCCTGTCCTGGGAATGCATTGGATTCAGGGTCAACGCCAGCTCTTGGAGGCTCTCTCCAAGTCGTGTCTCGTTGGTGGCACAAATTCGAAGTATGAATGGCTCTCGAGATAAAACTTGAGCAGTACGAACGTATTCGAAAACCAGCCGCGTCTTCCTGTGGTTCTTTAGTAACCAAGATGAACTGATGAAACCAGCTGATAAGATGCGATTTCAGAACACGTACCCTATGCCAGGAAGTCCTATCACGGCAGCCCTTGGCTGTTTCAGAGAGGCCTCCAGCATCTGCTGTAACATATGTAGCTCATCACTCCGACCGTAAAAACTGTTTCTCCAGAGGGGCATCTTGTTTTCGAAAGTGTGGTAAGATGGTGGCAATGATACCTGACTTGTAGCAGGGGCAGTTACTAGCTGCGGTTCGAATTGGCCTGGGACCTTGAACTGCATCAGCACCAACTGCAAGAACTCACGTTGTTTGGCAGCTCACATCCATGTCGTAGAATGTCTTGAATCCAGCTCCAAGGGGTTTGTTCATGTGGCTCTCGAGATAAGTCAGGATGAGCCAGGGCACGCGCTCTTCAATAGCTCGGTGTAAGCGATCAAGCTTTCCCTCTTTACGCACAAAGTTCCATCGTAACCGCAGCCTGTCACGCCATGATTCCAGAGTTTGTGGTGTTTGACCTGCGATAGCTGGACCGGCAAGAGCTGGGTAGTCAATCAAGCCCACAAGCTTCCTAGCTTCTGCCAATGCCTGGTCCGTCAATGTAGCGAGCACCTCAGTCGACGAGCCGTTAGCTTTGAGCTTTTCCAGCAGCGAGACCTTGTTGAGAACATCTTCGAGCTGTGCTGCCAGGTGCCGTGGAGCCTTGCGCACCCGCTTGAAGCGTTGATACCCCTTGTTGCCACACTCGACCAGCTGGACAGCGGCGGCGATGGAACCGAGGACTTCGGCCATTTTCGCGGGCCCTGGCGAAGCTATCCACTGCGGTTCGTTCGTTGGTCTGGGTTGGACGGAGCACGATGGGAACACAGCGGTGCGGGGACCTACGCCCTCATAAGCACTCGAGACTTGGCTGGCCTACATGTCCGCTCGGTCCTGATTGGCGATGCGTGCAGCGTGGCTGCATGGGAGCTGTGGGCTATGTCAGCTCAATCTGCCTGCCAGTCTGCCTCGGCTGCTCCGAAGACAGGAGAAGGCTGTAGGCAACTGCAGAGCAATGAACCTGCGGGTGTAATATGTCGGCGTCAGACCCGGAAGCCTATATTAAGCATGTTTGCCCATGATAGAGCACACTACAAGGCGGACACGGCAGAAATTACATTGGTACGCCAACAAATGACTCTTGAGGTGCTAGTGAGTGTGAGTAGGTACGAAGGGTAACATGAATCCTGACAACAAAGAAAAGCCCAAGTAACCGATTATAGGAAAATTCAACGTCCTGCCAATCTAAATAAGCCCGACTATATCCCGTTCGTCCGCAAGAAATGACTCTGCCACACATATTATCCATCGTGGAAAGAAATGTTGACCCCGTAAGAGAAGGCCCACGTGTATGTATCAAATGTGGTACCAGATAGGTTCCGGTCGTGGAGGAGGCGGCGGAGGCGGTGGAGGCCTCGGCTTCCGACCACGCATTTGCGAGTAATAAATCCCTTCTCTAGTTAGTAGTCCCGTAGTAGGACCCAAATATGAAAGCACTCGTCGTAGTCGGGACGTCAATGCCCCGTGCTGGCCGAAAGAAGGCACCCTGGCGACCGCGTTCTGGGCAGATTGCATGATTGAGATCGAATGCAATCCGTGGTTCCCAGAACTAAGCGGCCTCCAGGTGTTGCCAACCAGTCTCGTATTGTCGCGCTTCTCTCCATATCTCATAGCCTGAAATATGTGTAGTCGTCGGTTCAGGTTGCTGATGCCGATATGGACAGCAGGAGGTGACGAAAACCCCCACAGGTACTGCACTGCATCAATAAAATAAGGCGCGAGGGCACCGCAAGTCGATCCGATAGTCAAAGAATGTCTTTCGTGATCGTTCGTCGTTATCCAATTCGGCGGGCGGGTATAGAAAACCGAGTGTTGTGTGGGTACGTTGCCCCTGGACCTCGCAAGTAGAAGGGCGAGACCAAACGGATGAAAAGAGAAATAGCGGATGCTGAATTGCTCAAAGGAGTTGATGATTACAAACAAAAGTGAGAGAACCGAGTGAGCAATGGTCATGGCAGCAACTGAAGTCCTGGAACGAGTGACACCCATGGCCTTAATGATTACAGAGGCAACGGAAACGATGTGTGTTATGACTGACTGGAGGAAGAAATCCCCGGCGGGGGAGAGTATTGTTGTCATGGACGTGGATGGGGTAAGGTATTATTCCTTGACTGGGCAGCTACCGGAGATGCTCAGATGATGGAGTCCTGTGTTTGTTGTTTGATGAAGCCCTCATGTCCCAGATAGGAGTCGTACGTGATCAAAGTTTCGGCTCTGCTGATATTATTCGACGAGTTCTTTAATTCGACAGTCGAGGCGCAAAGGGAACAAAACAGATTAGCGAGGTCGTGTGGGTATTTGAGAGGTTGTAACAATAAGAGGAAAACGGGAGTAAATCTCAGACTCGCAAGAGGATAAGAGATAAAGGAGGAACGAAGAGATTGTCAAAGGCCTGTCGTAGTGTTCATATCCATTTCGAATGATATGTTGATGGTGGCGTAACCTATAAGCAGGTTTGGTTAGCTAGCTATCTTACAGATTGCGCCTGGACAGGGAACAATCGGATAGTGACAGACAATGAACTGTTGAGTACCTAATGCTAAGAGCAGAGAAGGTCGACGAGAGAGCGATGAGATTGAGTGCGGTGGCCAAGGTAGAGAGGAAAGTTGGTTGAGAAGGAAGGAAGAAGGGAGAGGAGGGGGGTGGGCACTGGGCAGACGGGGGCTTAAGAAGCAGGTGCGTAAGCGAGGCAAGTCATTCGTCCCGTGTGTCAGCATCAGCATTGATGCCCAAGCTTTCAAGTTTCCAGCTCTGCGAAAGGCGTCCGAGGCGTTCTTCACGAAGTCTGATTGGCAGGACTGATCTGCGGAGGGATGGGGGCAGGGGCCCCGGGGAGCCGGTGAGGCGGAGCGACGGGAGGTCGAACATGACATAAGCACAAAAGCCATGGCGAAAGGTGGTCCAAGCTCAAGACGTGGGAGTTCCTCCTGCAAAACACATGGCCTGCTGAGCCTCTCTGCCCGACCATGCATACCAGGACTCATGCTGCCCTGTCAGGCCTCATGTCAGCTTTAGGACACATCAGTGTATCGAACTTACGGGCGACTCGATTAGAGGCCCCGTCATACCTCACTCCTGGATTACAGACTCAATCAAATGCCGGCTCGATGGAATTCATGGGGTAGCTACCTACCATGCCAGGGCTGAAGTGACCGTCCATATGTCCGACAGTCAACATAGTCTATCGCATGTCTACGACCTTCTATCCCGCCAACGGAACCAGGCCAGTCCACATTGGTTGTACTTATACAGGTCAATATGAGCCACCGTTTGGGACGCAGGCCCTCGGTCACTTTTGCAACTGACGGCAGTAATGACTCCGGCAGTGAACGTGGCCAACATCCAGTCTTGCACGGTCTGCGCCACGAGCTCCTTGGTCTTCAAGAAGCGTTAGGTCAGGCGAACGTTCAGGTGGAGCGGTGGAGAGAGAAATGTCTCCAGATGGACATGGAGCTATCTAGGGCTCACAAGGAACGGAAGGAGGTCGAGGCACGCTGGCGAGCTCAATGCGATAGGAATGACCAGCTCGAGAGCGAGGTCGAGCAGCAGAGGAGGAGAATCCATACGGATCAGTCACAGGTTGATGACCTCCAGCGGAGACTCGGCGATGCCTTGATGTCGTCGCCATCATCCAGGCATGAACCCGACGAGATGCCACGGCCTCGACGCAGAACTTCAAATGGACATATCACCATACATACTGGTGGATCAGCATCCGTAAGGGACAAGCCACGAATCTACAATACTAGCAAACCGCTTGTTGTTGTTGAGAACGACAGGTCGAAGCCGACTGTGCCTGACTATTCGATGGCCAATGGGGGCCGACGAGACCCAAGTGTTCAAACCACTATGGTCTCGACACCACATTCCCTTCATCGAAGGTCCTCGCGCGACCGTATAGCCAGCTACGAAACTAGCTACTATCAACAGAGGCCACCTCCTTTGTATCCGCCGCCGGGTGCTCCATTTCCTGCGCCCCCTTACTATGCGCCGTACCCGAGTCTCGATCAGGTTGAGCTGTACCGCCATCCCGATCCGGTTTATAACATGCCCCAGAGCGCTCATCGCCCGACAGTGAATCCACTTATGTCTGAAGCTTACAATGCCTCCCCGAAGGCGCCACCTACTAGGAGAGACTCGCGCGCAGCGGTGTCCAAGAAACATCTGGATCCTGGTGAGTTCCACCGAAGGGTCACACTCATTGTGACGGAGTGAACTAGTCAATCTGACATATGAGCCAGGTTTTCGTGTTGTCGACCCAGGGAAGCGTCGCACATCTTTCAAGAGGGGTGGCGTTTTCAAGATTCTGTGGCCTCAACCTGCACCGGCATCTACGGTTTCTGATGACGCACTGGTCGATATTGCTGGCTGGTCAGAAAAGATTCACGTCAAAGTCAGCTGGTTTATAGTGGTTCAAACGTACAAGACCCATTGCCTAGCTGTTCCCGTCCACACCTATGAGGGACAAGCCACTGGTAAAGCAGGGATTAATGGGGAACATCACGCAGCCCTTGTCCTCAAAGGCCAAGGTGTAACCCTCGAAGTCGGAGAAGCCTTGGAAAGAGACCCACTCCATATGATCCTTGAGAAGCAAACAGTCGAACTTCAGCCGACTTCGAGGATCGACTTCTCCAAACTCTACACCATCGAATACAACATCAAGGTCATGAAGGTCGGCAGGATCGTGCCAGAGGAAGTGAATAGCCGGCTGGTGGCATTCACGTGGGCTTCCTTCTCGAAGAACCTATCGCCCTTTACGATCAACATCTCAGGCGGATCGATACAGATACAGACGAGCAGTGGAGCTAGCGACACTGGCGCAGATGATGACTCGGTCATGACGGGCTAGTCTTTGGATACTCAAACAGAACGTGCAGGTTTGGTCTCAGGGTCTCGGGTCGGAGTCTGAGCTTAGACTTTTCGTAAGCTTCAAATAGTGTTCTGTATGAGCCACGAGGTAGAGAGTTAACGTCAGTCTATTGCGGCTATGCGGTCGACCAGAATAGCAAAAGTCTGGGCACGATCTGTTGGGCTGACGAACTGGACACATTGCCCATGAGTTGTAGCTTAACGGGAGAGTCGGCTTTCAGGAACTTCACTAGCCCTCGCGCATACACTACTGGAGCAACTCATTGTGTCATAAAGACACCACTGTCGAAGAGATCGTCTCTTGGACGTCCACGTAACCCGCAACGAGGAATCCCCTGTCCATGCCTGTGATCTGAGACTTGCCTTACCACGGGCCCACGGGGTCCTGTTCCAGGCCATTGCTTGATAAAGGACTCCTCAAAACAACTCGCGGGTTGTACAAGAAGGTCGGCATGCCAAGGGAAGAAAGAAAGTGAGAGCGTCGAATGCCTCTTTCGATTTTCCTGCGTGGGACTGGAATCAATCAGGCAATCTGTCCTTGTCCGCATTGTTTACGAGAAGTTAATATAAGCCCATCACATCAGCCTACTGCGGTTTGGGATTATCCAGACCAACTTTTCTCTAATTTCGCTGAAGCTTTCTGGGAAAAACGAAAGGTAAGATGTCGAGCTACATCCAGATGCACAAGACGGCGTCGAAAGGAACCGGTGTTTTCACAGTGCGAGACACTCCAGCCGGCACGACTCTCCTCCGCAAGAAACCCATCATCACAGGTACCGCGGGACCGTCGCCGGACACGACAGTCTACAGCGCCAAGATTCTCAGAGTATTCGACGCGCTGAGCAGCAGCTAGCAGGCCGAGGTCATGCAGCTGCACGAGTACCGCCGGACTGACTGCGAAACCACCTTCAAAGCGATCGCATATCAATACGTGGCCAAAAACCCGGCAGTAAAGTTCTCGTCCGGGCACTACCTGAGCGTCCCGTACAAATATGCCACCAACGGCTGGGGCTCGATGCTCTGTCTTACGATCAGCCGCTTCAACCACTCGTGCGCGAACAACGCTGATATGGTAAGCTCTTCCGATCCCAAGCACCCCGCGCGCGTCGTGGCGGCCCGCGACATCAGGAACGGGGACGAGATCACGGTCACGTACATTGAGGTGTGTATGGCGGACCGGGCGGCGAAGCTCGCGCACGTGTGGGGATTTGCGTGTCAGTGTCCCGTGTCCCGTGTGCAACACCGCTGACACGTCCATGGACGCGGCCGCGCGGCCGAGTGCGAGCGCATGTTCTAGATGGCTCGCACGTGGGACGAGGATGCGTTTGCGGACCGGAGGGATGCCAGTAGCAAACCATCGTCTGGACGGATCGGCAAAAGCTGAAGCGCCATGAGCTGCGGTTGGAGGCTCTTCGGTTCTTTGGGCTCTCCATTGACCTTTTCCGAGAACTTTGCTACGGGGTTGAGATCCATCGCGACATGTGGAACTTTCCAATGTTTTTAAATGCGGTGCGGGAAGCCGAGTTGCTGAAAGAAATATTGAACATAGGGGGAGTGACTGGAGGCTGGGCTGGAAAGCAGGTTACGTATTGCATACGAGAGAGAACATGATCCGGGAAAACAAATCTATTTTATTCGACAAACCTATCGTACACGACTATTTGACACCATGCGAAATCAGATCTAAACATCGTGCCCGCCCACAACGCCCTCTAGATAGTTCCTCGGAACCTGATATATAGAACACAGAACACCAATTGGCAATTGGGTGAACAGCTGTCTTCCCCCCTCAGTCTTGCTCTGTTCCCCGCGTGCCTCTTTGTAGACCAAATTCAGTCAGAATTAGAACCGTAAGCATTGTCCGGCTCAGCCTTCTTAGCGATATTTTTGTCGTCGAGAATCGTGTTCTGCATTATGTTGTAGTCGTCGTCAGGGATGTCTTGGACGGCCAAGTCCAGCTCCTCACGAGTCGGCTTGGCCGTGGGAAACAGGGTCATGTAATTCACCGAGGTTTTGCTGTTGATGATGCCGTAGCCGATAGCGGCAGCCAGCATTGCGTTTCTCCTTTCATAATACTTCTTATACTTTTCGAATGTTCCTCGCATCCTCGTAGACAGCCAGTCCACGGCCAGCATGGGCAAGAGTGTAGATCTGGCCCGGCCCATCTAGGGCTACCCGGTCTCCCTGCCAAACGTATGGTTGATAATACAATGACTAGAGCTAAATCTATTCCAGTATGTCCACTTTATGACGACATCGACTGGCTAAGGTACCTATAATAGACAACGCTGACATACACGTCCTGTTGATCTACGACAACAGCAGACAATGTGCGTCATTAGTGATCTGCAATATTGCCATCGCCTAGGAAGGAACCAACCTAGCAATACACTCGGTGGCGCTATAATGTGTGAACAGCGCGCATCGGGCCTCCCTTGACGTGGACTACCCAAAGTTTAGACAACCTCGAGTCGCTTACCCCCGAGTCTATGGGCTTGCGCCGCGAAGATGAGCTCACATAGGAATACGAGTCCTGGGAAATAAGTCATGATCCAAGTGGTTCGGTTCCGTGACTCGTTGTGCGGTGGACGACCACTTGACAATGCAATTAGTAGCAGGAGCGTCGTCACTTCAGACCAGCAGCCTCTTCTGCCATCATACAATGGGACTCGCCACGGATAATGCGCATAAGCCAAGGGTGTTCTACTATTAGATATATAGTCGTGGAGACAACTTTAGGTATCTAAAAGAGTATATTTTATCACCTTGGTGCCCGACACCGTCTCGTGCGGCTCATCCCACAGCCCGATGAGTGATATATCTCGTGTATGATGCGTAGCAAGGCACGCTCAAGATGGCCACCGGTTGAAGTGCCTGATAGGGGACAGCGATGGACAACCACCATATTCCCTGATTACCAGATGTACACACACTCCGGACACCTCCAGGTGTCCCGTTGCCGCATACGATTCAGCCCGCTGCCGGGAACGTTGGGCCATGAGGTAGCTTATCGAAAGCAAGGGGCCGGACCACGGCGGAGCCGCATTGGCACGTTACCTTCTGGACGGTCTCGGGGGTAACCGCTCAAGTAAGAAAGAATGCAGGATTCAAGTCCAGAGAACGATTGAACAATTTTCAGCACGGTGGATGAATAAACATTATCAATTGTGTCTTAATCGGCAACATGAAGGGTGTCGTGGCAAGGTCTATATCATAGCTGGATCATCAAATTGACGTTTCTTCCCCCTCCAGGTGTTCCAGGACGACATCCCGAGCAGCATATCTGATCTTTGTCTTGGGATGAGGAGCCATGATTCACTGGCTGCTTATTCGGTGACCCCAAAATCACGCCACAGTACCTACACCTGTCGGAGATGTCCCTTCCCTACGACAGAGTCGTGGTGCTGACTTAGCACAGGCACACCGTCCATATGCCTCAACACAGGTAGCTTGGTAGACCTGATTAGGTGTGACACGCACGCCATACTCGAGAACGACGGCCGAGAAGTGACCGAAATCAGCTCTTCGACCATACCTCGAAGCGGATTGAGTGGAGGTGGTTACAATGATATTGACCTTCATCTAAGCCGAAATGAGCGACATGACCGAGGCCCAAAGCGGCTGGAGTCCCACACCATGAAGCTGCTGCGACTTGCAAAGTCGGCCAAGGGCGCCACGAATGCTCGAGCATCAAGCGAAGGCCAACAAGGAATAGATGTCCTTGGTGAGGGGAAAAGCCCAACCCAATGACTCGCCATCCCAAAACAGAAACAGCGCCGTGTGTCAGGCATCAAGAGATCGTGATTGATGTTAGACGCCAAGCGGTCTATCCTTGGATTGTCGATTGATGGGGTATCATCTAACAGATTGTTGACCGGAGCAGCCAATTCCAAGTCCCTTCCGCAACATTGGATCAGGTTGGTTGAACAGATCCCGTTCATACGGGGGCAGTCATCTTTGTCTTCATCATGCCAAGCTCGGAGCTCTTCGCCCACGATCCACTGGGAGTCTGGCGGTAGCACATGAGCTTCCCTTCGTCTCCAACACTGCCCAAGATTTGGCCGTCGTCATCAAAGCCGACCCTCCAGACAGGAGATCTATGGCAGTCAAGCTTTGACAGCTCGATGACTGTGTGCTCGACTTGACCGGGCTGGCCTGCCGAGGTCCTCTCGCCGTGGGTTCCAGATTTGTCTATCTCGGCTCGTATACCAGATGGCGCTTGCGACTGCCGCCGAGCGTGGATGCCTTTGGAGGCGATAGTGTGGTCGTCTGTCTTGCCATTCCCCGTGACGTCTGCCACTGACCAGGTCTTGCCGTCGTCATTGGAGAATGGCGTGTCGATACGAAAGACCCTCACAAAGCCATCTTGACACGCAGTTGCAATCATGTCGTACCCTCTGTAGTTGCCTGGCGCCCAGGCAACATCGCGCACTAGATGCTGATGCGCGGTGATCTCGATAGCCAGGTAGAACTCTCGTGCCCGCGTTGCTGCACCGAAAGAACTCGCGACGGTATCCCGCGTCCTGAAGATCTTCACAGCCTGAATTCCAGACACCACCAGACTGAGGGCGTCTTGCGGCACGCCGGCCCTCAAAGCGGTATAACACGGTTCGGGATTCGGGTCGAAGCGGACCTTGAAGCACGTCTCGTCCCCACGGGTCGGCTTGGTGCAAGCCTGGAAGTCATCGATCTTGGTGTAGTCGGTCAGGGTCTCGGGCTCTTCGCTTTCGTATACGGACAGGTGTCCATCGGCGGCGAGGAGCGCAAAGTAGGTACACCTCGACACTTCGTCGTGCTTGACGGAGAAGGATCGGAAGGGATGTCGACCGGATCGAATCTCCGAAATCGCCCTGCCGTTACCCGCGCGCGAGCTGAATCGCTTTCCGGGCGCCGCAGAAGGGTCTTCGGCCCATAGCTTGAATTTGCCTTCGATACCGAGGGAGGCAAGGAGGTTCGGGTAGATGGTGGGTGGGAGCCATTGGAGCTGCAGAAGCGGTAAGTACACGCAGTATGGTGGGTTATTTGATGGGGCATCACCTCTAATATCTCGCCTCCATGTGCCGCCCAGTTGTCGCATAGTCGCCAGATACCATCTCTATGCCTGTTGAACACGCGGATCTTGCCGTCGACACCTCCGGTCGCGCATCTGTCTCCATAGGCGTTGAAGGCGATCGCTTGGACGAGGTCCTTGTGGCCGTGTTGGATGATCTCGATTGCGCTGCTTCCTTCGCTTGGGGTGGACTCGCTCAGTGGAGGAGCCATGTTCGTGCTTGTTGGATTATCATGGTGTACTGGCCATTGTACAGTCTGACAGTGTTGCAATCTGAAGGAAGCTCTCCAAGCTCTGGCTTCAAGGTTGGTGTGGTGGGGTTAGATGGGATTGAGCTTCCGCACAGACCATCACGGACTACATGTACCTTTCATACCTCATGTCACGTTGTGATTAGCCTCACTTCATGTTTAAATAAGTCCAACATTTGCTCTACATTCCATGCAAAGATGGACCTTTCCGTTTCTTCGCACGCCAGGGCCCAGTTCGCGACGTACGGGGTCCTCCGAAGTTGTGCACTGACGACCCTTCAGACAACGAGTGTTACCTGCCGGACTCTTGAGGTTGTGGGTTGTTGGTTATTACACCAGGCTGGGATCTCGTTCTCGCCGCATTTGGAAACATCGACGTTTTCTGCAAGTACCAACTGCCAACTACCAACGACCAACACGAAGCACAAAGGGCTCAGTGAGCTCAAACCTCATAAGATGGGAGGGCAACTCGATCGCTTTGGCTCAGAGTTGAGCATCTTCAAGTACGGCAAGGCCAGCACAGCGACTCGACAGCAGAACCGGGTTAAGAAGCCATGAAGAAGAAGACGTTGACAGCTCACTCTCAGATCTACAACCTCGAATGGCAAGCATGGTTTGGGACATCCTCAACAGGGACTACTTCAGAATAGAGCGCAAGCAAGCCAGGGCCATTGCTTTCCTGGTCGAGCCCGAGTACAAGGGCATGGTTCTGGTCTTCCGGCACGACGATGCATGCCTAGATTTCGACGACCTCTTCACACAGATCAGGAAGCTAGCCTTGCTCGACTCTAGCTCGTCGAAGTTTCCAGAAATCATCTTTGATCTCGGGAGTACGTTTGACTTCCGCGACTACGTCTTCAAGTACATTGACCGTCGGTATGGCCGCTCTTTTGCGCTGCTCTGTGTTCATTGCTCGCGGTGTACAGCGCCCACCATTGAGCTCTGGCCCGAAGAGCTGGAGAAGTGTGCGCGCCTCGTCGTGCCGACGAGTGAGTATCTGGGGATGAAGTTGGACTGTTCCCCTGCTGGGGTCGATGAGTGGTATAGAATGCACCAGTGTGTGATCCTGCAATGCTCATCACACTGTGCCCCAGGGTAGGCTATCGCGTAGCTGTCTTCATGGGTCAGCGCTATCGGAGCCGCCTTTCATGGTCTAGAGAGGCAGTCTGCTAATCCTTGACTCTCGTACAGCGGATATACCTATGGCAAGAAAAGCACGACGAATGAGGTGGTGCACATTGCGAGGAAATCTCAGCCAGGCTTCAGGAGTGTCTTTGTGAAGGATCGTTTTCGTTCCTAGACTTCGATATCGTACTGCAGTGGCAGCGCAGACAATGAACTTGCCTCCAGCTCTGGGCGCCAAAATATTTTCGCTCTGTTGTAGCCTAACTAACAGAACTCGGTGAGACCATCTCACAGTAGTGAGGCCAAAGGCCAGCCTTATTTTCGGAGGATCTACAAATCCCAATGGCTTGGTCCGCATATTGGTGTGTTGCCTGTTGGGCACTCGTGAAGTTTCAGGTGCCCACAGGCTAGGTACCCATGACATGCAGACGTCTGATTTAGGCAACGAACGTGCAACTTGTACCTGCATATATAATAGCAGGTACGACCTTGAAGTGAGCTGATCTCGTTTCTTGCGCAGTTCAATCTCAACTAATACTCACATTCGGCAGTATAACCCCCGAAACCCCGCAAATCAACGAGCACTCTTGCTTCCATCACATGTCAATTGCGCACTAGTTATACTGACACCACCACCACCGCACGAAGTCTCAAAGCCCCAAAGCCAAAGAGCGTCCTCGATCTACTCATGGCAGGCATTTACCACACCTTGTTCAAATGCGGGTCCCTCCACAAACGTAATTCGAGAATCGCCAGGGCCATCTTGGAAGTAAAGAAATCCGCGCGAAAACACGATGTCCCATTCCTGATGCTCCTGGTCAACACCACGCCGGGGCTCATCTATGGCGAGGGCGGCGACCTGAAGGCTATGAAGAAATGGGTTGAGCTCATGGGCACCGTGCAGCATGGAGTGTACCGATGCGTTGTCCCGCCGGAGGCGATAGAGCTGAAAGAGGCTCGGCCGCTGACGCTGCATGGTGAACGTGTTATTGAGGTCGATTCAATGACGAGATGGCCCGAAGAGGTCTCGTTGAATGGTGGCACGCAAGAGGGGCTTTCAGCCAGGAGAGATATAACATGAAGTACGAGCCACATTCCCAGCCTTATCACCAACCTTTCGTTCCATTAACATGATTGATATGGCAGAAATTGAGATCGGGTTTGTCTGTTTGGTACAACAGGCCGCAAGCCAATGCTCACTCCCAAACACTTCAACTCGGGGGATTCTTATCATTTGGCTTTGTATGAGGATCCAGAGCCACCTCGGTCTTTCGTTGCAATTGGAAGCAGCCAGTTTGCCAGTTCGACGCCCCCTCTATTTCGATAATTGGAATAACGTCCACTGGCGTCACCACTACCCCACAGACCCCCACAGCGACTCCATCTGGGGATCGCGACGCCAACGTCATGAGTCGATTCGACTTCATTGCCCCTCCAACCCCTCTCATCAACCCATCTCATCCCACTTGACCATCATAAGGTAAACAGAACTTCCAGCAGAAATTTCCAAACCAACGTCGGCTCCGCAAATAACAAACTCGACAGATTGTCCCATACACGACAGGAATCATGGCTACCAAAGCACCCACCCTGAAGTTGGCCTCTGGCTATGTATGGAATTCATTTAGCACTTACGGTATCGACATGCTAACAGGTGTAGGACATGCCACTCGTCGGCTTCGGTATCTGGAAGGTGCCCCGCGAGACGTGCGCCGACCAAGGTATGCATCCCAGTAATTCGTCAGTAGTTGGGTACTGATCAGGAGAATTCAAGTGTACAACGCCATCAAGCTCGGCTACAGACACATCGACGGTGCATGGGACTACACGAACAGCGCCGAGGCGGGCGAGGGCGTCCGCCGCGCCATCAAGGAGGGCATTGTCAAGCGTGAGGACATGTTCATCACCTCCAAGCTGTGGAACAACTACCACGCGCGCGAGCACGCATTCGAGATGGCCAAGCTCGAGAACGAGGCCTGGGGTCTGGACTATCTTGACCTGTTCCTCATCCACTTCCCCATCTCCCTCGAGTTCATCCCCTTCGACAAGATGCGCTATCCCTGCTTCTGGACCGACAAAGAGCAGACGAAGCCCACCCCTCTGGCCAAGGTGCCCATCTCCGAGACATGGAAGGCGCTCGAGGACATGGTGCAGACCAAGGACAACCCGAAGGGCTTCATCAAGAGCATCGGCGTCTCCAACTTCCATACCCAGCTGCTCTACGACCTCCTGTCATACGCGAAGATCCAGCCCTCCGTTCTCCAGATCGAGCACCACCCCTACCTGACACAACCCGAGCTCGTCAAGATGGCCCAAGAAAACAACATCGCCGTCACCGGCTACTCGACTTTCGGCCCGCAGTCTTTCTTAGAACTGGACAACCCCCAAGCCAAGGAGGTCAAGCCGTTGTTTGTGGTCGACGCAGTGAAGAGCATCGCTGCGAAGCACGGCAAATCACCCAGTCAGGTCCTATTGCGCTGGTGCACCCAGCGGAACGTCATCGTCATCCCCAAGTCGAACAGCGTCGACCGGCTGAAGCAGAACCTGGAGTGCTGCACCTTCGACCTCAGCGAGGATGAGCTCAAGCAGATCTCGGACCTGAACATGAACTTGCGCTTCAACAGCCCTTCGAGCATTTCGTCGTCTTTCCGCATCTTCACCTAAGGGGAGTTGAGAAGGGATCTGGAGGGACTGTCGGCGCAAGGTATACACACGCCATGCACAGGGGAATGATCCCACGTAGGTCCCCCGTTTGAGGCAATCTCCCCAGCTTCATTCTAAATAGAGAATAGAGTAGAGGACGACTCCTCTTTTGCTCATATTAGTGTATATGTGACAACTGTTCTTGTGAGTAGTTTCTTCACGCACGCCCAAGCAGTTTGTACTCATCTGGGTCTAATGTCGACTTCGCACTAGGCAACCCAGGTTAGTCAGCCTGCCCGCCTTGTCAACATTGAAAACACCTCGGTCGTCCGTGACCTCCTCCGTGCGCCCATAGTTCATCGGAAAGGTGATATCGTATCCCACATTAGTCAAGTCAAGGTGGGCAGCCCATGCTTGCGTGTAATGTGCCCTGAAACTATACCAGGGATGCTCGAGCGCCAGGAGCAGGCCGCAGCCGGGGCACTCGCCGCGTGGGATGCCAGATGGATTGTAACATTGCAGCAACAGTGTTTGGCCCTCGGTGGTCCGCCGGTCTGCAATGAAGATGGTGTCGTGAACAACCGGTTCGGTGTAGCAGTCTACGGAACCTGCGAGAGCCTTTCTCGATACTCTCCGGGAGATTTTGCTGGTACTGCCAAGGCGTGTCGCAGATCTTGATAGAGCGCCTCGCTTGTTGCACCTATTAGGGACGGGAAGTTGGGTAGGTTAATGGAAGTTCTCGCGAACTTGTGCCGTTTAAAGACTGCATTCCATAGACTCTGAGGACACAGGTCTAAGGGAGTGTCATTAAGCTAAGATTTTCGGGTGGTAATCAGCACAGAGGACACGACTCTGGGCCGTGATCGTGTGTTCTAAACCGACTTTATAGGGATCTTCAAAAATAGAGTAGATTCACGGACTGAGACCTAGAACAGACTAGGTCAGTTAGTTTTCGGCAACATACTTTCAATGTGTCCCCAACCGGGAGGCAATACAACGGAAGTTTCTCTCGAGTCTCGAGTCTGGATTTCAAACAACTTGAACTGAGACACGGTACTTCCTGTTGAAATTGACTACAGAGTATGGCTACTAGCAGTTGATATTTTGGTATTGAACTCAGTCTCAGTCAATTGTGAGGCTACGTTAAAATGAGTGGTGACAGTGACAATTGCGACGCCCGCGGCGAGTGGTGGAATAGGGGGGACGCCGGTAAAGCCACACTTGGCACAGCCACAGCACCCTTCCACTCCGGACCGCAGTCGCGCCACGGCCAGCTCTTCGCGTCTCCTCGACAGCTCCAATTCCACACTCAGATCCCCAGATCCGTCAATTGAACCACCAATGGCTCTCCCACTACCGACAGGCCTGGTGCCGACCGAGGTAGCCTTCCTCTGCGAAATGGAAATGGTCACAATCGTCCCGCGGCAACGGCTCGAGTCCATAACACTCCTCAGTGTAAGGAGACCCTTACCCCACCACCCCGCCATGCGACACCATGCGATGCGCTCGCGCCCATACTCCGTGCACTCCCTTTCAGAATCCAAGGACTAAAACATCTCGTACCCGCAGGGCAAAACGCCAGCTCTCCGCCCACCGCACCGTGCCGAACTCCCCCTCTGGCTCGCGCTCCTCCTCAAGAAGCAACGCCGCGCCAACATCGTCCCGCCGCCGTGGCTGCTCCCGGCCTCGCTGCAAGACCTCGTGAACCAAGAAACCAATATCGACCCCGAAGCCTTCAGCCCGCCGCCGCCGCCGCCGATGCGGTCGGACGGGTACGGCGCCGCGCACTCCTACACACAACACTCAACGAATCCCGCCGACGTCGTGCTAGCGCCCCCGTTCCTTCCGTCCTGCACGCAGGGGGCGCCCTCGGGCTACCTGCCGTACCACTGGCTCGAGATGGCCGAGACGCTGCTCGCGCACGCGGCGGACGACATCCCCGGCGCGGCCGACGCGCGCGCGCTGCTGCGCGACCTGCAGGAGGTGCGCGCCGCCAAGATGCGCGGCAGCACGCGGCACCTCGAGGGCGGCGGCGGCGTGCTCAACCTGCGCGGTGTGGGCGCCATGGAGCTGGCCGAGAGCAGGGGTTTCGTGCTGGGCATCGTGGATGGGGTGCGGAAGCTGGGGGCGAGCGTGGAGGCGAGCAGGCGTGAGGAGGAGGAGGAGGAGAGGGAGGGTGGGGGCGGGGGCGGGGATAGTGATGATGAGATGGAGTTTTGAGGGCCGGTGTAGGTTGTGCTGGTGGTTATGGATGGAGACTTGCTGGCAAGCATGCTTGAGGGAAGCTGTGAGATCTCATGGTGATGAGGGTATATAGTATATGGACGAACTTCGGCATGGAAAGGGAGGCATGATATCAAATGGCGTCCACTGTCACCGCCACTTGCGTAATGACGGCTTGAACTATGTGGTTACAATGAGTTCACCTGTACTCGACAGTTCTATCAACTCGATGTCACAAACCCCTTTGAGGCAGATGACTGACCAATTCGAACCAAGCAAGGCTACCTTCTGTGCACTGAGGGTGAACTTAATCGGGAAAACAGGTACTATTATCCTTGTTCCTCCTAGTAATGCTCTAGAAGTAACAGCAGACTTGCTGTTCACAGCATATACACCACGACTAGTAGTTCGTAACCTATATAAAAGGGGTAAAAAGTTTGGAAGAAAAAAAGAAAAAAAAAAGCGCTCCAAGTCAGAGTTGAACCCTACACCTAATACAGGTATGCAAAAAGAGTTCAGACTAAACCTACATCTTTAATGCGCCTCCCCTGTTTCGAAGTAACTGAGCCAATTCACACCCCATCAGCTGAGATCGGGTCAGCCTCATTTGGCGAGAATTTTTCGTTCTGTTTTGCCCTATAAGCCTTGCACGAACCCCCCGTCGTCTTAGCTGTTCCATGGTATCCAAATGCATAAATGTTTCAACTCCCCAAGTAGGAAGTATTCTTATCACATGCTCGTTTCTATGGAGCTTGGGTGAATGTTCACTCGAACCAACAATAATGAGATGATCATTCGTATACGACAAGGTAGCGTTCGGCTATTGCGAACCCAAAGAGGCAAGCTTCCTTGAAGTTGACTATGAACACACTATTGAATCAGCATCCGAATGGCCTGAACGCCGACCTGTCTCCTGGTCTCTTCCTCTCATCTCCTTGCCAAAGCTCTATAAACCACATTTATACACATGTGTCCATCATGCAAGACCTCGCAAGTGCTTGCCGGTACACGTTCGAGGTATATCAAGCATGCTTCAAGCCAACCGTATGCAATCCAGGTATTGTACAATCCAAAATCCAACGCGCCAGAACAGGATTATCACCCGGTCATCTGAGTGATGCCGTTGGCGGCAGTTTCGACAACCTGGAAACCAGCAGCGTTGCCGGCGCCACGAGCGGCGCGTTCGAACGCCTCATCACTCCTGCAAAGTGATGTTAGTGGGGTGTTCCAGGCGTGGCGAGGGAAAGTATCGTACCTGTCGCATAGAACATCCAGATCTTCGTCGCTAAAGATCTGGTCTCCCCCAGTGTGTTTGTACACTTCCCCATCCTTCAACAACAGGGCCTGAAGAGTTTCCTTGTCCATATCCTCGCCATTGTCGAGCTTCTGTCCCATCGTCTTGAAGCCTCCTTTCTTGATGACGAGCTTTTCCAGTCTGCGCTTCGCATCCGCGCTCATCAGCAGTGATTCTTCTACCGTGCCTTTGGTGGCAAGCCGATAGACTACGACGGGTCGCGTTTGGCCAATTCGGTGGCATCTATCCTGCGCCTGGAGGTCCTGTTGTGGATTCCAATCGCTGAAAGCACATGTTAGAAAACGATGGTATGCCAGTCAGGATGGTACTTACGAATCGAAGAGAACCACAGTGTCTGCACTGGCAAGATTGATACCCTGCCCTCCGGCTCGCGTCGACAGCAAGAAAATCTTGAAGTCTGGATTCTCGTTGAATTCCTTAATCTGCTGCCGTCTGTCGTCTTGGGCAACGCTTCCATCGATGCGACAGACGTTCCACCCTCGTAATTCGGCACAGTAGTCGTGTAATATGTCAAGTTGAGTCGTGAACTGAGTAAATATCAAGACCTTGTGACCACGCCGGAATAATTCTGGGAGTAAGCGGTCCAGCAGAAGCATCTTGCCAGAGGCCGTCACGATACTCTCGTTGACAGGTTCAGTTTCGCTGTAAGTCCACGGATTGTAAAAATTGTGTGGGCTATTACAAACGAGTCTCAGCTGCATCAAGGGATTGCCGAGCTTCTTCTCGGCGATTTGCATTTCTGATACGAGTCAGATCAGCACTGGGTTATATTATTGATATGATATGGATGGTGTTAATGGACTTACTGGCAAGGTCAAGCGACGCAGCCCGCTCGACATCCTCGGGGTCTTGGTTCAGCTCATCAGAGTCGTATCGATTTGCTTCGAGCTCTTTCGCCAACTTTGCTTCAAACTCTTCGTCGTCGAGATCATCGTCATCACTATCGTCCGGTACCTTGTAGGAAGCAAGGCTCTTTCTAGGTCGCCCGCGGCTCCTGGTACTCGTACTCGTGGCTGGCGTCGACTGCCGGCTTGACTTGTTGCTTTTAGAAGCTGAGGCCTCACTTGTGGGGGACACCTTTCTCTTCGTACTTCTGGTCGGCGTCTTGGGGGAGGCTGTCTTGGAGACCGTCTTCGACCGAGAGCTTCCATTTTTGCCCATCATCAGGGCAAACGCGCTCTTCGCTGGTGATGCCGCTCCAGTCAGCTGTGCGCTAGGAGCACGTGACGACTGACGACTGGAACGGAGGGACCCATTGGGGCTGTTGGTGGCTCCAGTCAATCGTTCAACGGCCTTGTTCTCGAGGTAAGCCCTCGTGTCCGTCTTTTTGTCACTAATAACATGATACAGGTCCGTCTGCTCCTTCGTCATTGGTGCATATAGGACGTATTCACGCTTCTTTGGCAGATAATTGGCGACATCTGCCTTTATTCTGCGTAGCAACAGTGGCTGAAGGACTTTGTGAATCTTGGCCACAAGGTCCTGATTACTTTTGTCCTCAATGAACTGATGCGTCCCCTCCTCATCCTGAAGGTCGCTGAAGTCGAACCAAACCTCGAAAGCTTCCCAGTCGAGAAACGTTTCGGGCATGAGGAAGTGAAGCAGGGACCACAACTCCTTGAGGTTGTTTTGAAGTGGTGTTCCGGTGATCAAAAGGCGAGTTGCCGACTTGAATTGCTGAAGCTCCCGGAAGAGTTTCGCGTCCGCATTCTTCATGCGATGTCCCTCATCCTATATAACGTTAACACCTGAAGGTCTGGCGCAGCAGTACAATACTTACGACAACAATGAAGGCCCAGTCGATCTTGGAGAGCGCTGCATGGTCTCTCAGAACCATCTCGTAGCTGGTAACAACCACGGGGAACCGCTGACTGGGACGACCCTTCTGATAGTTTCTCATGATCTTATCACGAAAGATTTGTTGTCTCTCCGGCGGTGTGCCATGGTAAAGCACGAAGGGTATCGATGGGGTCCACTTCTTGAATTCATCCTGCCAATTCGATAATGTGCTAAGAGGAGCCATGATGAGGTGTGGCCCATAGTACTGTTCTTGTTCGCGAAGCAAGGCAACCAAGGAAATGACCTGGATGGTTTTGCCTGCAGGTCACGTTAGTCAGGACGCGAGCAGGTGCAGAGGTTGGTAAACTGACCCAAGCCCATCTCATCGGCCAAGATACCACTGAGGCCCTGCAAACATATCTCGTACATCCATGTGAGACCCTCCAATTGGTAGTCCCGCATGGTGCCATTGATCATGATTTTGGGCTGCTGCTTCAATTCGAGGCCGGCATCCACCAAGGCCTGGTTGTCGAAATCACGACCAACTCTACCAAGTGCTTTCGTCTTCTGGGTCAGGATGTCACTGAAGACTTTACTCTTGTGAAGGAGCTCGTCCAGTTCCTTAGCCTTGCGAGCTCTCTCCTCAGGCGAAAGTTGCACCTTCTTGCGCTTGTTACGTGCTTGGGCGAGGCGTTTGGCTTCATTTCGGGTGTTCTCGGCTCTTGCCTTCTTCTCCTCTGTGAGCATCTGCTGATCACTGAAAGTCGAAGTGGTTGCCATGTCGCCGTCGTTGTCGGGCTTTTTGTCCTCGGGTGGCGATGTGGGAGCGCTGGTAACTGCGGTGGACGGACGCGATCGCGAGCTGCGAGAATCTGCATCGGAAGCTGTTGAATGGGGTGCCATCGCGCAGTCGATGAATCAAATCAAAGGGGGAAAACAGCTGCAGCGCAATGCACGTAAAACCTAGAATAAAAAGCAAGCACCGCGCTCAGGAACGAAATTGGAATTGGTTGCTGGGCAGGGACTAAAGAAGTGATGACTTCACATGTCACTTCTAGCGCGTCTCCCCCTGAGGCAGCGACGCGAAACCCGGGCGAAGTCACGCGTAAATTGGTTTCTGAAAGCGGGCTCGCCGAGCTGAAAGCGTTCATTGTTCACGCACAGGCCACAGATATCCAATTCAAGCATTTTCAGCCACGATTCCCCAGATCGCCTCATAGGAGTGGGTTTGAGGTACGTACCTTGAACCTTCCCGCTCCACCCACCCCTCCTCCTACCTTGCCCCACCCCTTGCTGACACATCCATGCGACCGCATCCTTCAAGTGCCTTACCTGCCGACAGTCACATCAGCGAAACCTTGCCTTCTACAACGACATCTTTCAACTCTGGCAAGCATCACGTATCTGCGCTACATCGCCATCAACGACTGCTATCGACTTCGAATATACCGCATCTTCGAGTAGCAGGTATCCGACGTGCAGGAAGCCGGCAAAATGGCGGCCGCGGGGCAGAACTTCTACGAGCTGTACCGACGGAGCAGGTATAGCATCATATTCTGATTGCTGCTGTGCCTGCGCATACTGACCATAGCCTCCGCCTCGCAGCATCGGTGCCGCTCTGACCGATACCCTCGATGACCTGATCACATCGAACCATCTCGATCCCCAGCTTGCCATGAAGATTCTGGCCAACTTCGACCGCGCTATAACAGAGGTCCTGCAGGAAAAAGTTCGGTCGCGTCTGTCGTTTAAGGTAGGCCACATCAGAAAGACTGCGCTGCGAACTGTGGTGCACCTGCGCTCCTGCATATTGGGGATATACGGGCTAATGTTGCATGTGCGATCCTGCAGGGGAGCCTACACACCTACCGCTTTTGCGACGAAGTTTGGACCTTTCAACTCAAGAACATCACCTTCAAGATGGAGAACGGTGGTCAGGTTGTCTCGGCCAACAAGGTGAAGATTGTGGCCTGCACTGCGAAGCCCACTGGTACCACCTAGAGTCGTCGTACCGGAAAGAAGAAAGCAGGTGCTTGGCTACCAAAGGTTCCACGCCGTTGAACTTCGGCGGTCCGGGGGAGCATTGTCCAGCTGCCGGAACCTCTACAGATCACCAGAATTCAGTGATCATGGATGCGAGAATACTGGTAAAAGGAGGTCTCGACTCTAGTCAGACTGCGCGCGACCAGCTCAACAACATCCCATGCCCTACGGGCACCTTTTCTCAGCACCGTCTTGCCAGTTTGGTTTATGCTCGCTTTCATGGGTATCATGCGACACAGATTAGGCGTATGGCTACACCAGCTCTAGACTGACTGAGACGGGGCATCGTATCGCGGGCTACGACAAAGTCGCACAACTCGGAATGCAACGACGGCCCTACTCTATAGGGCAGAATGAGGTCCCAAGGGTTTCGTGCTATATGGTCTCTCCTTCATTTGGACAGGCTAGTAGATGATATGACGGATTCAACTTTGTTGGAATACCCCACCAATGACTTTTTTTAGAGCTTGCTGCATTGCTATGTGTTATGTGACCGATCGTCTTCTCCTTGAATGTAGACTGGTCGTTAAACGCGAGATCACAGTAGCAGGACTACTGCCACGAAGTCACGGCATGAAATTGCACAAGACTTGTATGCTCAACTGCGTCGTTTTCCGAACACAAGTTTTGACTGCTCGGGAACCCCATTTCTAGGTATCCAGTATTCAAGTTTCAATCGGATATAGCTCTCACCAAAGCAGGAAACCACCACGACGTAATTCAAATCCCCAGATAACCTCCTATACAGAGATCACCGCTCACTCGGCGCATCGAGGTCCCCAAGCAAAGCCACATCCTCATCCTCCTCATCCTTCTCCACCGGCAACAAGCCCCCAGGCCGCAGCGGAATAGTCCCATCGCCCTCTAGCCCCTCGCCACTCTCAGCTGCCGTCACAGCATCACCACCATCGTCAACCTCATCAACCTCGTCTTGGTAAGCAGCAGAAGGGGAGACGGGGTCTTCCTCAACTGCGGTAACCGTCTCATCCTTGCGCCCGATGATGACGTTGCCCGCGACGAGCAGGGCGGCGCCGGCCCACCACAGCGGCGGCAGCGACTCGGCGAAGATGGCGAAGCCCAGGACCGCGGTGATCATGAAGTTGGTCGATGTGTTCATGATGGACACTTGGGTGGTGGAGGTGCCCTTGGCCAGGGCTTGGGTGAAGAGGGTCCACATCTGCGGGTTTTGCGTGTCAGAGGAAGAGAGAGGGCTTGGAGTGTTTGGGTTTGGGGTTTGGGGAGTGTTGACTCACTATGCCGTTGAATACTAGGTTTAGACCGAAGCAGATCTGTGTTGCATGGAAGTCAGTCTGGAAAGTCCCTTTGATATCAATGGCTTGGCGTCCTGATATGAGACCCTGCGTAGTTATCCACAAGTGCAAAGAGAGCGAGCCAGCTCGTCCCCTCTCCATAGGCAAGCCTCTGAAAGGAGTAGACAACTCAAGCCATATCCAACAGCACGAGGCAGTTTTCAGCATCGCCGGGCGGCACTCACGCAACGGACAACAACCTCAAGAATCTTCTCAAAGTTCCCAAGTCCAAAGAATACCGAGACCGCCTGCGAGATATCGGTCGTCAAGCCATTCGTAGTTCTGCGTCGATATTAGCTAACCTGGCGCATATGCAAAACAATCTCGAAGCCATGTGGATAAAGGGGGTCTGCGGACTGTGATGCCATTTGATGAGATATGAGACTGAATTGGTAGAGGATACGGCATCCAAAACCCCTGACCAGAGACAGTGTGGAGGACAAGAACGAAGCACCCCAGACTCACAACTTCGCAAACACGCCGTTGAACGCCGCACAGGCACCGCTCGCAATCGCGAGCACAACCCACTGGTTGCGCGCCGCCCACGACATCGTCAATGCCTCCTCGGCTTCGGCCTCGGTAGGGCCTTCGGGTAGAGAATTAGAACCTCCAGTCGCCTTCTTCGTCCCCTTGAGAGCAGTAAGGGGAGCTTTCCTCTGTCTCGTGGACGCGGACCCAGAGGCGGAGCCGGCGGAAGCAGTGCTTGAAGAGGAAGAAGTAGAGTATGTCGTCTGGCCGGCTCGGGGCATGGTGGACACACCGACGCAAATTTCTCGGGTGCAAGACGGACAAAGGGGACGGGAAGGGGGGTGGTTGATGCAGGTACCGGTGTTGTATGTTTAGCGTCGAGTAGGGGATCGCTGTGCTACGGCGATACCGTTCGATTCACCGTTTCCGCTGCCCGTTTCAAACGCGCCGCGTCCCACGTCCTGGCGCGCTAGTTCAAGCACTTTGGGGTGGGAATTGCAGCAGGGGTCTTCACATCTCGAGCTTCCGGACCTGCCCACAGCTGGCCAGATAAATGGGAGTCGTAAAAGAATAGCTTTTTGAAGGCGCCTATCAGAGACCTTAAGGTCTTACAAGACTTGCATGCGATGCTGGCCTCGTCTCTTGTCAAAATAGCCGGTTCAGCACAAGAGCTTTATCGCTCCCTAAAGTTCGAGAATCTCACCTTGTGGGATTTACATAAGAGTGTACCTCTACTCTTGTGGGTTGCACAGTTGTTTAGAACGACCTTTGCTGAGTAAAGATGGTCAGTGCTACATATATCTGAACTTGACTGTATCCCAAGCCTTCTATACGCTCAACAGCTAGCTATCTATTCTCTAGTTCAACACCATCATCACCAATCTCCTCATCACCGTCTAGAATCTGGCCATGCCCGCCCCTGATAAGAGAAGCCCTTTCCTCGCTTGCACTCGCAAGCCTAATGCGACCGCCACTAGCGCTTGATACTTTCTCCGAGACCCAGCCGGCCACGATCTTCATGGCACCCCAGAGCCTCTCGTGGCCCTTGACTATGTCGTGGTCCTCGCGAGGGTTCTCGGCCGCCTCGACCTTGAACTGGTACTTGAGGCAGTCCTTGACCGTCACCAGGCCTCTGAGGCGGCCGTGGTGCTCGATGAGGATAACGCGAGGGCCAATCTTGCGGAACATGTCCATCACTGTCTCGAGTGGCAGACGAGGGTGGACGGTAACTGGCGTCGCGTCGACGTACCGGCTGAAATCGATTGAGGCTGATGACGTGCCGTAGTCCATGTTGCTGATTGTGACCCTGGGCGTGATGGGTGTGATAGCGCTGAGTTCAGGGGGCGAGAAGGTGCATTTGGCTTGCGGACTTATTGTGATGTTTTGATCACGCCGCATGCGGTCGATCGCGTATCGCAGTTCTGTGCATCCCACATAGCCGACGAGGATTCTCGTCGTGATATCCTCGACGATCGGGAAGCCCTGATACTTGGGCTGCCTCAGCAGATCCTCTATTGATTCGAGCGTCATCCCGCTCACGGGTATGGCAACCACATCGTTGGTCATCACGGCAGACACGGGTACGCCAAAGTTGTGCTCTTCTTTGTTGTCGAGGAAGGGGAAGCCGCTGAACCAGATCATGCGGTCGGCGATGCCGCCTTTACCAAATAGCTCTGAAACAGCCTTGGTGACGCCGACCACGATCATAGTCGGCAAGATGTACGTGAGAGCTCCGGTGAGCTCGAACATGATAACAACGACTGAAACTGTAATGTGCATGATGCCACTGAGCGCGGCTGCTGCTCCGAGGAAAGCGTAGGTTCCAGGGGTAATACACGGTTCATCTGGGAGACATTGTGAGAAAAATACGCTGTTCGGATGAGCGTGGTGAATGGCCTGCATGATGATTCCGACCGCTCGACCGAAGGATGCTCCAATGGCCATGGACGGCACAAATATTCCGGCTGGCACCTTGCAGCCATATGAGATAATGACCAGGAAGACCCTAATCACGGTTGCCAGGGCCAGGGATATGATGTTTCCCCAACGCTTGTCGTCGTCGCACAGGCCGTGGTAGTCCTCCGTTCCTTCGCATTCCAAGAACAGAATCTCCATGCTCTCGGTCATGTCGATGCGCAAGAACACATTGGGGTAGCAGATGATAGCTGTTCCAGCTGCCAGCAGTGTTGCCTCTAGAACAGCCCAGTTCGTTAGATATTTCTTCCGAAATGCTTGCGCTCGAAGGTTCCACTTGATAACGAATGCGCCGTACAAGCCACCAAAGATGCCGATGATGATGTATGGCACAGTTTCGAAAAAGTGCCACGACCGATCGTATTTGACCTGGAACATGACAAGTTGCCCAGTCCGGAAAGGGTTCATGGCCGCAAGGACTGCGGTAGCAACGAGAGCACAGAAATAGCTTCGCCACATGGTCTTCAGGGGAAAGTAACTCGACATCTCCTCCAACGAGAACAAAACACCGCCGATGGGGCTGCCGAAAGCAACGCCCACACCAGCCGCAGCGCAAGCACTGAGAATCTCGCGGGTTTTCGAAGCATTCTGCCTATATTTGGCAAACTGCCTCGATATCACATTGCCCGTGCAGACAGCATAGTGTACGCTGGGGCCTTCCTTCCCGACGGAGAGACCAGAGGCGATGGCGAGTGGAAGTGCGACTGACTTGATGACGAGGGTTCGGAGACCCAGAAACCCCTTCATGACGAAGCCAGCGATAATGACTTTGATCTCGGAGATGCCAGAGCCGGCAGCATACGGGGCAAAAGACTTGACCAGGATGGCAGCTGTGAGCGCAAACATGGTCTACCCTACGTCAGCGCAAAGCAACCCACCAAGACGACAGCTTCTGACTTACTGCAAACATGATATACAGCGCATAGTTGGCCGGTTCGAATCCCGTCCATCGATGCCAGTGTGGGCAGCCATTATCTTCGCCCCAGCAGCAGAAGTTCTCGTTCAGATAGAACGCTGTCGTGCAGTAGCCCATCTTGATATCGGAAAGCCATTCGGTTATGATATTGAGGAAGGCCGCGTTCAGACCGATGGCGGCGCCTATCAGGGTCACGACAATCCATCCTTGCGCTGCGTCGTAGGACTCCCATAGCTTGTACCTCCACGAGACTTTGCCATTGTCGAAGCGACCGGCGGTCTTCCTCCGTCTCGCTCTTCGGCGCAACCATTCCTGCTCTGCATCCTGAACCCAGTCTATTCGGTACGTCTTAGTTGTTTCGTCTGTAGATCGGCCGGGACATCGACGCGCATACCTATCGTTGTGAAGTCCTAGCAGCAGACACATCACATTAGCTTGGGCTCGAGATGATAACTGTGTCTGGGATCTGGAGCCTACCTCGTATCTCTTGATCTCGGCTATCTCCTCCTCAATCTGCTGTTCCGCAGGCGCATGGCCGCCCTCGCCCTGTTCGGCGGTCGATACGGCGAAGGATAATCTCGAGCTAACAGAGGATCGTTGGGTGAGGTGTGGGCGGCTGGCAGAGTAGGAGGTAGATCGGGAATTCATCGCCCCAGCTTTGCGACCATGGTCAATGGGCCATGAGTTAAAAGACAACAGGATTAATCAATCGTGTGATACCCAAAAGACTGGGACGTATTCTTCCTTGCTTGTGCTCCGATCGCAGTGTTTAATGCGGGACAGGACTCAGGGAGCCAGCACCTGCAGAGGGCCTCACAGGGACGACCCGCGCCGCTGAGCTACGTAATCACCGTAACGCCGTGGACCGCGGTATTAGGTAGTACGTACTGTACGGAGCCATACCATACCACCTGCCGTTTTGGACTTTGATAGAATCGCGTCTACCCAGAGCCTCACGCGTTTGACCTCGACTTTTCCATTTCCATGAATCTAACCTACATGTAATACCATCCTCGACTTTGGCGTATCGACGCATCACATTCCCGACATTTGGAAGAAAGAAGGTGAGCCATGACTGTTTTCTTGCCCTTTCGGGCAAGGCTTTTCTACAAGTCACCTTTCGGGCGTCTCCCTCGTAGCCCCTCGAGCTTGAACTGGGACTCTCCTGCATAAGCTGCTGAACAACAAAAAGTGGTGGGAGATGTCTTGACCCCAGGCCGTCATAGAAACCACCTCGCAACCCTTTTCCCCATCTTTGGCGACAAGCTCCTGCTTATCGCCTACCGGTTGCTTAGTGGTCCATGTTCTGACTGAACAAACTCCTTACAGCAAACAAACTGCACTCCACTGCTTATTGTGTTGATTTTGCTTTGCCGTCCATCTCGCCGCACAATCTTATTTCACACCAGAGTCCAGGACTCGCTCTTTGGACCGGCCAACCTCTCAGAAAGCAAATCCGAACAACCATCGGCTGACAACTGGTTCCCGTGTCGTCCAGCTTTCGGCACCAGAGGCGTGGAAGTTACTTTGTGGGCCAATTACTTCATTCTTCGCAACGCCCCGACAACCATTGGGCTGAATCGCGAATTCATATCCTCACTGCAACACCTTCAGAAAATACTACGATCATCGTTCAACCAGTCCAGCCATGCCGTACAACACCACAGCGATTCCCCCCAGAAAGGAGGTCACCGGCCAGACCCAGCTGCCGTGTAAGTGAATCCCATCCTGCTATGCGCAGCAGCCCATACTCACCAGTGCCTGCCAGTATCCAGAGTGAAGAAGATCATCGCGCAAGACCAAGATGTAGGCATCTGCTCCAACAACGCCGCCTTCGTCATCTGCCTAGCCACCGTAAGCCCACCCGCCCACCAATCCTTCCGTCGGTAGGCGACCTCTCACTGACCCAACTATCAGGAGATGTTCGTCCAGTACATAGCAAGCGAGGGTCTGGGCATGGCCAAACTGGAGCGCAAGCCGCGCCGAAACATCCAGTACAAGGACCTAGGTAGCTCCCCTCTCCTCCCATACATCCGTCCATCCCTCCAGCCCCCTCCCTACCTTGTCCTCTAACGCACCCACAGCGAACGCAGTACACCACCAAGACAACCTGGAGTTCCTAGTGGACATCGTGCCCAGAACCCAGCCCTACAACAAAATCAAAGCACAAGCAGCAGCGAAGCGCGCCGCCCTCAGCGGCGGCATAGGGGCCGCTGAGAGGGCCGCCGCCGAGGCTGCGCACGCCGCAGCAGCAGCGGCCGACGAAGACGACGCCATGCCCGGAGATAATGGGACCCCGACGCAGTCACTCTCGCCGCAGCAGCCGAAGCGGCGATCCCTGCCGAACGGCAGGAAGCACAAGGACGCCAGCAGCGGCCGATCGAGCCTGAACGGCAACGGCAACAGCATCGCCAACTTCGTCAGCACCAACAATGGTGCGCGGATCGTGAGCGAGGAGGCGGCGGACCCCAACGACCAGCTGCAGAGCGAGATGCGCCAGGCCAGAGGCGACGGCGATGTCGACATGACCGGATAGGATGCGGTCGGACAGCAGCCGGAGGGCGAGCATGGCTTGGTGGATTTGGAGGAGCAGGAGCGACCGCAGAGACGCGAACGTCGCAAGAGGGCCAAGAAGTCGCATGTCTAACCTTGGGCGCCAAGTGCGTGTGAGCTCACTATATGAGCGAGCAACCTGTGCACCAACTCCAGCGAGTACCATGCCAATGAACAACAATCAATATGGACTTTTAGAGGCCGGCTTTATGGTATCATTTTCATTGGCTTTGGTGGGCAGGGCGGTGTGGCGGATGGGCAAATCACGATCACAAGACTGGGCAGCGACTTTCGAGGCAGAGGCAGATATATCAAAGCCTTCCTGGTACGAGAACCCGAGGCACCTCGAGCTTCCTTCTCCCAACATCTTGTACCTCGATTCCCAACGAAGGGGGGGCATTCATATCTCACGACGGCGACGCAGCTCTGAGTGTAGGAAGACCAGCGATAGTAGCATTGCCTTTATTCATGGGTATATCCCGAACTTTTGCGTGCTCACATAGCAGTGACATACATGACTGCCTGAAGCCCTATGCCATCCAACCTCAACTCTGAAGGGGCCCTGATACTTAGACAAGCATCATCCCCTACTCCTCCATCTCGCCGCCCCAATGTCTAGACACGCATCATCCCTCCCCTATTCCTCCATCTCGTCGCCCAGATGCACACCAGCCGGCATCCTGCCCTCCCGCAGCATCGTCTCCAGCTTGGTGATCTCGTCCAGACTCGTCGCCCGCTTGATCAGGTCCTGCAGACGCTTCTTCTCCTTGTCGGTGAGCTTGATGCGCGACATGCGCGTCGGCAGGCCGCCAGACGAGGCGCCGTTGGCCGCGGTCGTCGCGTCGAACGTCTTCGACTTGATGCCCATCAGCTTCGACGCCAGCTCCGTCGGCTCCTCGGCCGTGCCGAATAGGTCCCGCGCCTGCTTGCGCTCCGCGTCCTTGACCTTGTGGTAGTCGAGGTAGCGCACCGCCGGGCAGCGCCAGAGGACCCAGTATCGGTAGTGCTGCGAAACGAACCGCCCTCGTCAGTCCATTGTTCCCGTTTGTTCTTCTCTCGCTCTCGCTCTCCTTTGTCCGATGCAGAAGAGACGAAAAAGGGGGCCTCGACTCACCTCCTTCTTTGTGACGGGGTTATCCCTCAGTACCAGGTGCGTCAGCCGCGCAAAGGAGCCCAGCGGGTCCAGATCAGCCAGCTCGCTCAGGTTGTTGGATTCGAGCTGCAGGTTCGTGAGGTTCGGGATCGAGTTCGCCAGCGTCGGCTGTATCGTAGCGACGCGGTTGCGCGCCAGCAGCAGGGTCTGTATCCGCGGCGACAGGGGGAAGTTGCCCAGCACCTGGATGTCGTTGTCGACGAAGTCTATGGCATCTTGGGGCTGCGCGCATGCGGAGTACTGTCAGCTCGTCTCGCCCTTCGCAAACAGAAGCGCAAACGGTTCACGCCCCAAGAATGCAACCCTCGGGCAACATGGAAAAGCGTGACGAAGGAAAGAAAAGGACGTGGACTTACACCTGCTACACCCAGGTTCTCAATGGCGGGAATGCGATGTCCTGTTCACGCCGGCGAGGGCTCGCTATCAACTCTGCTCATTCATGCTCTGCTCTTCGGTTGCGACTGATTGACACATTTGACTAGATCAAAAAGACTGGAAGAAGAAGTGTAGTACCTGCTCTTTTCTGACGTACCTCGGAGGTCGAGCTCGCGCTCCTTCAGCGCGTTGAGCCACGACGGTGAGTTCTGCAGCAGTTCGGCCGTGAGCCTCATCTTGGGCGGCGCGCGGCGGAGCCTTCTTGCTGTGGTGGGGGTGGATTACCGTGGTTCTGGTCCTCGCCCTGTTCGTTGTAGGTGCGCACAAGGTGATAGGTAAGTAATGAGTGTTGCCGTCACATGGAGGGGCTCTTCTCTGGTGCGGGCGTGTTCGCAATTGTAATGTTTTGCTTGTAGGTCGGGCAAGGCTGAGCTTCTTCCCACCAAACGAAAATTCGGTGGATCCACTGGCAGCCTCGATTTCACGGTGTGGGGGTGGGGCGTCACCATCGCTATATCAATAACCTCGATTCATGCAAGTATCACTAGTATATTTTTTCTATATATTGTCCCGTTGCCTCACGCCTTTTCTCGTTTTCTCTTTGGATACACCTTGAAAACATACAAATTTTGATGGTGAGTAGAATGTGCCCGATCCCCACTGAGAAGATAACAGGCTCTGTCAGGATACTCATATAAATGTCTACACTGCTCAAACATTGATGGCGAAGCTGAATATTCCTAGCGAGATGGCCAAATATTCCATCGTGAAACCCCTGCACACTCGAGCGTTCGAAGACCGAATACGGCAGTGCTGTTCGGACAGTACCTTCATCATGGATCTAAACTGTGCTGGACCTGTCGACAGCCCTCGGCCGACTTCTCCGGTGACGGCGCTTTTCCTTCTATCTCGATATCGTTTGCTGAGAAGGAGAACCTGAGTTCTGCTGGTTGATGCGTCCGTGTGATGCCTGCTTCTGGACTGGCGCTCGGTGTCGCGATCTTGAGGACTGCACCAGATGCTTGGCCTTCAACACTCCCGTGCTGTCGTCTGCCATATCTCTCTTCTCCACTCGATGGCTTTGCGCTAGGAGCTGTACTGCGCAGATACTGGATCATCTGGACCGGGGCGTAGGATCCCATGAACTTGACTGTCGTCTTGACCGTGCTTCTCTAGCACAACCCAGAACTTGTTGCTCGATGGATCGCTCCATCCCAGCTGCGTGGGGACTCTGGAATACTTCTCACTCCTGTTCATTCTGATAGCCTTGAGCGCTGAGAACTCCTTGTCTGACATCAGGTGCCAGAGCTGCTCATCGAGGGTTTTTACATCTTCGTTGTCACATAGTAGTATCCTCAAGGTTTCAATGCTATGAGGCAGCGTACTTGCCAGAAACGAGGGAGGCATGTCTGAGTCCTCGCCATCTTCGTCGTCCAGCGTGTTCTCGCCCAGCAGTGCCGCCTGGGGGACAGTCAGGGAGCGCAGCGAAGTCAATGATGTGAGGTCGCCCAACGGCGCATCGTGTTCCTCCCCAGAGAACTCTTCGGCATCCTTGGGATCCAGACGGAGCTTCCTGAGAGCAGTGCCATGATCTCGTAGTGCGGCGCCTATCTCGTCAAACTTGATCTCGGATTCGCCGACACTGGCTCCTCCCCACTCCACGGTGAGCGAGGTAAGCTGTGGACAGGCAGAGAGAAGGTTGCTAAATCCAGAAGCATCAAAAACGCTCCACTGGAGAGAGACTTGCTTCAAGTTTGATGTTGGGAGTGGCTCGGATTCCTCCCCCAAGCTTAGCATGTTTCCATGCAGCGTTTCCAAGGCTGGGAGCTGGAGAAAGCCGCTCAAGTCAGCCAGATCTGTCGAGTCTTCGGTGTCCCAATGATCCACGTGTAACTCGTGGATGCGCCGTAGAGGTGGGTTGTACCTTGTAGTGTCATTCGCTTGCGTCGATGCTGCTCGCACTACTTCTGCTGTCAAAGTAGACGGCAAATCAAAAACGGCGGAAAACTGCAGGAACTCTACATTCCAGCATGACGCCAGCAGCAAGGCGAATTCGGCATCTTCCAGGCCGTCTCGCAAGCCAACGAGAAGCCTGTCCTGCAGTGGAGTCGAGAAAGCAATCGCTTCTACGAGCTGAGAAAACTCGGATGCGAGCGCGGGCTCCGGCGGACTTGTCGTTGGACCTTCGTTATCAACATCCTCTTGTGTGGCCCACGATTCAATGTAGACTTTACGGACGCAGGCGGCAAGCTCTCGACGGTGGGCGATGGAAGTGAGTAGACGTCTAGGTGAACCATAGTAGCGGAGGTCCAGCGTATGGTATAATTCAGGCTGGGCCACACGGAGAAAAGTCTTGCTGACGAGACAGGCAGAGGCAAGAGTCTTTGGTCCTACTCTGTCGATTTGGCCACGTTTGTTGGGTGCAGACGTTGAGACGCGGAGGTGGGAGAAGATCAGCTGCACGAGTTCCTCTGATAATTGGGGCATCATCGTGGCAATCTACCGCAATCTTCACTGGCGGTGTCCGAGTGGAGGAAGCTACGTCGTATGTTATTGCTGCTGTACAGGCTGACAGTGAAATGGTTGGTGTTGGTATTGGTAAGGAATATGGAGGGGGACGACTCTCCAGGGCTGTTGCCAGAGGTTCCAACAACAGGTTCAATGTTGGCAGTTGGTGCGACTTCAGCTGCAAGGGAGGCATAGATGTGATCACGTGGCTCGCTACAGTGCAAGCGCCGTTTCAATCACGTGTCAGCTTTCAGGTCCCGGTCTCACTGACTCTTTCATCTTTCATCTTTCATCTGCAGACGACCATGCGACGATGACCGCGACCGCAAGTTCGACTGCGCTGTTCATGCTTGACGGAGCGGGATGGAAGAGAGTCGGGATGAGCAATTTGATATCAGCGCATGGAACTCTTCTTCATGTCCATGCAGCTTTTGGGGGTGATGACCCGGTATACCCGGTACAGATGTGATCTTTCCACAACTGGTGCTTTCCGCAAGTAGGTTCGGTCTGAGCGAGATCCAGGCCACCGGTCATGTCGCTTGCCTCGAGATCTAGAAGGTCCACAAGTCTTCGTTCGGGTGAAATGAAGAGTTTGGCCTTTGTCCTCGGTGTCTATTCTCGAACTATGGACATACAAAGGACGATTGCTTCACAACAGGGGATAAGGGCATTGTTCATGAACAGCCTTGTCCTTGTGGCATATATTGGTGGCGCGATTGCCACCTACCCCGGATTCTCGGAAGCAAGACCACCACGCAGACCCAAGCAACCATAACATTACCCCTATTACCCCACAGGTATGGAATATAGGTACATAACTTCGAAAAACGGCTCTATACTCGGAAGGATCCCCGTCGGCACCATATCATCAATGCCCTCAATGAGCGAGCAGCGCGCCCTCGATCGTGCGTGCCGCGAGGGTAGCAGTCGAAGCAGCAGATTCACACGGACAGCAGCCTCGATTCGCCCTATCCCTCGAGCTTCGGCTAGCGCTGATAGTGTGATGTCCTCGGCTTCCCGAACAAGGCAACAGGAGGGCATCAGTGAATGGCGGGAGAGAACCGCTCGGATCGCTCGTACTGCGAGTCATGAGGCGCGGAGCCATCACGAGCAACAAGAACAACCGTCTGAGCAGCGCCGTGGGCATCGTGAGGAGCGGCCGCAAGTGCGACGGCCTCGTGTACACCACCAGGAACACCGTGTGCACCAGCCCAGCTTCGAGTCTCTGCGTAGCATCTCGAGCTCTGACGAGGGCAAAACCAAGTCAAGCTCGAAAAGGGACCGGTCCGGGGCGCAGTCTAGTCTGAAGTACTTGGTCCGGGGCTTCCTGAAGGCATGTCGGGGCACGAAAGACGAGGGGCGCAAGGCCAGCGCGGACGGCGATCCATTCTTCCCCTCGCCACAGGTGACCTTCCTCATCGACCAACTTGATAACCTGGTCTGCCAGATCTGTGTAGTGACACCGCTGAAGATGGCGATCAGTGCTGAGGATGAGACCGAAACGATCCCGGCATGCTTGCCGTGTGGTCATCTAGCGTATCAAGGCTGTATGAGCTCTTGGCTAGACTTGCACAGGAACTGTCCCTTCTGCAGAGAGAAGATGGTCTACGGCGGATGTGGACATGGTGTGAAGCCTACCCTCATCGCCCACGACACCATCCACTCGCTGCCGCGGACTCTGGCCCCAGGGGGTACAATTGGTAACAAGTGCCACCCTTGCCGCGACAAGGATCGTCGAGAGTCTGCACTCAAGAAGTGGCAGTCGTATGCCGAGACTTTCAAGGCTGCTCGTGCTGAATTCGAGCGTCTCGCCACCGATGAAGCGAAGGAGGCCATGGAGGTCGCTCTTAAGCGGCTTGAGCGTGCTCCGAAAGATGTCGCGTATGACACCCTCGCTTCTAGTCACGCCACGTGGTAAGCGGTAGTCTCTCCTTGCCATTTCTCCTTTCTCCATTCCTACGTGAGCCTTGCTCGACACTCTCTTGGTACTTTTCTCCTATATATATATTTACTCTCCTGCCTACTGCGTAGGTATCGCACAACCGAATAGACATAACGAGCTGGACTCAATGTTATATACTTCCACCTAATCGTAACTTATACCGTGGTGTCTCATAGGAGTGCTTGTACGACTTCGAAGTGAGTTTGCCCAGGCAGCCATGTTGAGATGCCCCGTGCGAGACCACCCTATTTGAGTTGCACCCCATTTAGCTGCTCACATCACCTGCATCACTCCGGTGTCATTCGTCGGCTCCTCAGCGTCGATGCCACGGAACTCAAAGTACCTATTAAACTCAGGATCGCTGATCAGGCTGTCCACAGCCTCCTTCTCGAAGCCGACGAGGAACTCGAACCCCTCGTCCTCGCCCGCCGGACCGCCGTTGGCCCGCGCGGGGAAGATGATGATGTAGCCCGGGGTCACGGTGTCGAAGGGGTGACGGAGCGCGCACGGCCTGCCGAACCCGAAGTCGGCCTCGAACGGCGCCGAGTCGCGCCAGTCGGTCGTGATGTTGCTCAGGGGCGGGAAGCTGTCCATGCGGAGGAACAGCGTGGTCTTGTTGCGGACGGCGGCCACGGCGGACAGCGTGGTTTGGAGGTTTTCTTCCGTTGACAGGTTGGTTAGTTGGCGGTTGAACCTGTACAGAAATTGAGGTAAGCAGGTATGAAGCCATCACGGCAATAACACAAGGGGAAGATTAACCAGGGCAACCTACCAAGCCAGCTTGGTCAGGGGCGCCTCCGAGATGACTTCGGCCGCCGTGAGCTGCGGCACACCAGCCGTCGCACTCATGGCCACACTGACGACGTTCCCCTGGATGCGTTTTGGCAGTGGTGTGCCATTGAAACGAGTACGCATATTGACAGCCTCACCCCACAGCAGGTGTTGCGTAAGGTCCTGGTCGAATACCTTAGCCCTATGCTTCGACAGCATGCGCCAGAGGTACGCCGAGTATGCGTCGTGGCTCGAGATCCAGTAGCTCCCGTCCTCGGGGCTCGCCATCTTCTTCAGCTCGGCCATTTTTCTCTTGGGCAGGTGAAGCAGGAGCCACTGGCCCGTCTTGTGGCCGGGGTGCTTCGTTGGCCGAGGTGGCCCGTCGACACGCTGGTCTTCTGGGGGGTCCGGCCTGCGCACCCGCGTGTAGTCCAGGCAGGCCGGATCCCACGGCGGCAGCGACGGGCTGTCTGGGGATCTCCACACGGCGGCGCAGTTCTCGGCCAACTGGTGCATCTCGCCGGCCCACCCCATGATATCGTTGCAGTAGTGGTGGTGGTGCATCATGAACACCATGCCGCCACGGATGAAGGTCGCTTTGAAGGCGGCCACCTTCGGGTTACTCGTCGGCCGGGCAGCCGGCCTCTCTCCGTATGTCATCGGCGCAACACACCACGTATCCAAGTCCCCCAGGGACTGGGTCGTGAAATGGCGTTTCTCCAGCTCATCGAGAGTTGGGTACTTGCCCTCGCCCTCGGGGCCGTCCAGCCATTGAACGTGGAACTCGACGACGCTATCCCTCTTCTTGTGGAAGCAGAGCCCGCCGTCGGGGTGCTCCTCGATTATACCGCACAGCTGGCGGCATTGACTCAGCAGGACTTGGAGCCCGCGTGTGAGCACGGGGATGACCTTGGGCTTTTCGGCGTCCGAGAGCTTGAAGAATAGAGCGTAGTTGGTGTATACCTGACCCACGCAATAGTCGAGTGTGCCAAGTTTCAGCAACTCGTCTGCCGGGTCGTTCTCCCAGCCCGTAGGGTGCAGCTCTATTACTTTTCGCTTAGGCATTTTTACTATGGTGCATGCTGCTGCGTGTCAGGAACATCTGAGGGGATAGAGTCGCCTGCCGAACGGTACCAGTAGCCCTTTAAAAGGGGGACTGGGCGCACTGAGAATGAGCTTCATTGGGCAATAAACGCTCCGATGGAGCGGTGAACTTTGCATTGCAGTTGGAGGGTGTTGCCAACACTGGGCGAGTCGCCGTCTCACCTCCATACTGCGGAGTCCGCAGTACGGCCACATTAAACTTATCAATGACAGGGGGTTACCTATACAGGGTATATTGCGCGAGAGGGTGTACTGCTTACACAATAACAGCCGCTAGCCAACCAAGACTTCTCTGCTAACAGCAAAGGCACATGATAAGGGATTCCCTTTCTCCAGCAAAGATTTACTTGTACTCACACCTCATAACCTCCAACAGCACCATTTCAAAATGGGCCCGGTCAACGACACCACCAGCATCGCCGTGAGCAGGCCTGATGCCGCGAACGGCCACGACCAAGCGCCCATGGTGGAGGCTCAGCATCTCGAGGCGGGCAGACCAACACAGATGCTAAATCCAGCTGCCACAGATGATTCCGATGCCCACCAGTTCGATGATCAGGCACAACGGTTGCCTTTCGCTCGGATGACGGCTGCTTACATCTGTCTGTGTTTTTGTTACTTCATCTCCTACCTCGACATGAATTCCATAACGACGTCGACAGCAGTCATATCGGATGCCTTGGAGGCCGGCCCGTCCATTACCTGGGTTGGCACTGCGTACCTCCTTGGTCAAACTTCTTGCCAGCCCCTCTACGGTCGGGTTTCTGACATCGTCGGCCGCAAACCCGTGCTCCTGTTTTCCGTCGGGTGCATCGCGTTCGGAGGTCTGTTGGGTGGATTCGCGCAGAACCCGCAGTGGCTCTACCTGTGCCGTGCCATCAGCGGCACCGGCAGCGGCGGCATCAGTTCTTCAGTTGCCATAATTGTCAGCGACCTGGTCAGCCTTAAATCGCGAGGGAAATACCAGGGCTTGATAAGCCTTGCCATCGGCATCGGAGCATCCACAGGACCATTCGTGGCTGCGGGATTGCTAGCAACGGGGCCAGATGGCTGGAGGTGGGCGTTTAGGGTACCCTCTATCGGAGCCGCGGGATGTTGCTGTCTCCTTATTTTCTTTCTACCCCAGAAGCCAGTCTATGGAGACTGGAGGGCAAAGGTCAGCAAGGTCGACTGGCTAGGTGTCGTGACCTCTGTCGCTGGCCTTGTTCTATTGCTGGTGGGCACCCCCGCTCCGTAATGTGACCAACGATTGGGAGCTGACGGTCATGTGTTCAGATACCAATAAATTCGGGTGGGAGCCTTTGGTCCTGGACCAACGTCAAAACCATCTCGACGATTACCGTGGGCGCCGTTTTGCTCATCACATTTGTCGCTGTTGAGGCGTACATGGCCAGAACCCCCATTATTCCACTCCAGCTCTTTCGCAGGAGGTCGCCAGCCATCTTGTTCATCACTGGAATACTTTACGATTTTGTGTGGCAAACAACACAATACTTTGTTCCGCTCTATTTCCAGACGGTTCGTGGATATACGCCGCTGCAGAGCGCCACTCTCATCTTGCCGTTCCTCCTGGCCCAGGGTCTGGCTGGTGCTGCTTCCGGGCCTGTCATGGCCAGACTCGCTAGGTCAGTAGGCCATGTTCCAACTTCAAATTCTTGCGGATCAAGAATCCCTACTGAAATGATGTTGTAGATACACAAACGTTTTGCGCATAGGCTTCCTCCTCTGGACACTGGGTGCCGGCCTCAAGCTTCTTTTCAACCAGGGAACATCCACCGCCGTGTGTGCGGTGGTCTTGGCCATCGAGGGAGCAGGGGTAGGTTGGGTTCACCAGCCAGGTCTGTGATTCCTCTTCCAGTTGCTTTCGGCGTGGATATGCATAATGCTAACGATGGCGGTATAGGCCTCGTGGCACAACAAGCGAACTCCAGAGACCAAGACCGCGCTGTTGTGACGAGCACCCGCAACGTTCTCCGCTCGCTAGGCGGCGTGCTTGGTGTTGCAGTATCGACCGCTGCCTACTATGCCGTCCTAGATAGAAATCTACGGGGTAAGGTTCCTGACTCGTTGCGGACACAAGTTCTCAGCGGCACGTGGCGCCTCGGCGACAGGACTACGGAAGTTTACCAGCCAGCAATATTGGACGCACGAATGAACGGGTTCAAATTCGTCTTTGCCATTTCGGTACCACTCATGGCGCTTTGTCTGCTGGCCGTCTTCTTTGTCGATGACCTGGAGCTGCAGGGCGATGCGAAACCCGAACCCCAGCCTGGCACCCAACCCGAACCCCAACCGGATGCCCCGCAGCACCGGGAAAAGGTTCAAGCATGAATTTTTCAGCCAAGGCTTCTGGCCTGTGCAATTGTGCCGTTGGGTGGTATGTGACAGACCTTCGGGGGAGACCCCCCTACCGTAGATACTGTGTACCTAGGTAGCAAAAGCGTCTCGTGTGTTAGGCCTTTAAGCACCAGACACGAGACATCTGACTACTGAGCGACCGAATATGCGGAGCTGGAGTGCATCTCGTCAGGGGTGTTGATATGGAATGAGGATCGCGGTACTTCAGATGGTTAAGGGCCAAGGCTCTTGGGGACGGCCACGACGGAACCAACCTAAGTATCTGTAATACCGTGACCTATGTTAACTCATCAACAGCAGATTTTCGTGTAGGCTGACTCTCGTGTCACCGCCCTGTCCCGTAGGACTCTAGGAGCCGCAGGTCTCTCTTGCGTATAGCCGGGGGTTTGAAAGGTGACCTCGTCTAGAACTTTAGAAGCGTAGTTCGCGATCCGATGACCCAGATCCTCGCCAGGGACCCCATCGCCGTCAGCCTCTGGCACTTCAACGTGACGATTCAGTACTACAGCCGCGCGGCGCGGATCCCGCGGGTCACGGTCCGGGCGCAGGAGCAGAAAGCCCACGAGGACGTGAATCATATGGAGTTGCGGCTGCTGCAATTCGCGCTGGACAGCCTGAACCAGGACCAGATCCAGATGAGCTTCTTGCTAGACACGATCAGCCGCATCAGGACTCAGCACCGGCTGCTTTACTCGCTGCTGAAGGACGCGGATCCGCACCGGGTGTGACTCGCACACCGCGTCGGAGAAGAGCTGGATCGGTACGAGTATCACCTGCAGTACTTCAGGGCCTTGGTGGAGGATGTGGCCAAGAAGAGCCAGCGCCTACTCGACTCGTTCTGGCCCCAAGCTCGTAGCATACCATCCAAGGAAAGGATGTGCTGATGATGAGGCACAGGTAACGGAATCTGTTTGATATAGCTGTCACCAGTATGTTCCTCAAGGAGTACAGGCAAGTCCCTGGAACGGCACTCCCCCGCCCGACGAGATACCCCCAATACCCCCTTGTTGAAACATGAAAACCAAGTATCCGATCGTCTTCATAGCCATGACGTATTCGCCCTGTTAGTACTTAACCAACCCACCGCACATGCTTTAAGGGGTAGACCGCTCAGTGCTTATTAACACCCCTGCTTTATCAAATACGCTGGGGCAGGTACTGGCACGGATCAGATAGAAGGATTGGGGTTCTGGAAAGATGATATGATTCACCCCTGAAGATACCTCTGGGGCTTGTTTTGGAGCCTGGCATTCACCTGGTCCCGTGCTCAATAAACAGGGGTACAGGAGCGAATGCCGCGCACCGCACAACGCAAACCAGTCAGCAAGTTCCAGGGTGAAAAAATAATCAACGGAAGGATTCTCAATTCGGCACCGAACAGGATCTCAGATCACCGCTCCACGAGGCAAATGTTTCGCGAAACACCAACCACAGCCCCAATCGCATTTCAGCTCCTCGGCGAAGGATGGTCTCCCCCTGTCGCCTATCCCCACTGCCCCAGAGCGAAACCGCCAAGACAGTCAGCAGCTGAGCTGCCCAATCGCCAACCTGCCCGGCTAGGCAGCCGCCAGGCGAAGCTGACTCCTCTGCTCCTGTGAGCGAGCAGCAGCAGCAGCAGCAGGCAGGATCGGCGCTCTGACGGACCTCTCGAGTCTCCGGAGTCCGATCTAGCCATGGATCATAGTTTCACGAGATTCAGGGTCCCCCCATTAGATCACTTATACTTTACTCATCCGCGTGGTACGAGACTAGCCGCTTTTCTCGACCGTCGTTGGCTTGTGGGTTGACCGTCCGCCGCGCACATGTTTTCTCGACGTGATCGAAATACCTATCAAAAGCATGTCGTGAACCGCGAGGACTAAGACTGACGACTGACGACTGACGACGAACAAATCCCATGCCGTACGAAACAGGACGGTTGGCTCAAGAAAGAGGAGGATATCAAACCGTCATGGGCTCATCACACCCGCACTCGAGGAGGTCCCGGCCGTGGCCGCTTTCGGGGTGGCGACTCGCCGCCGTGGTCAACACGGCTCTGGTCTTCCTGTTCACGGTGTTCATCACGGCCCTGCTAATATGGAGCAGCGCGCGGTCGGGCGGCACGAGCACGAACACAATGTTCTTCACGGGCGACTGTGCGAAGAGCCGGACCATGAACTTCTGGCTGCACCTGCTGCTGAACGTCTTCAGCACGGGTGTGTTGGCCTCGTCCAGCTTCTTCTGCCAAACTCTGAGCTCGCCCTCGCGGAGCGAGGTGGACGCCTCGCACGCGAGAGAGCAGCCGATGTCGATCGGCGTCCCGTCGGTGCGGAATCTGTTCAAGGTGCAGCGGTTCAAGGGGATCTCGTGGGCCTTGTTCTTTCTCAGCTCCATCCCGCTGCACCTGTTCTTCAACTCGGCAATCTTCCAGACCGAGTACCAGGGCGGCCATTGGAACCTCGCCTTGGCGTCTGAGGCCTTTGCCGAAGGGGCACAGTACTTCAATCCCGGGGCTATCCTCATGCCGACCGGATCCAGCTACGGGGATCGTATTCCGTATGAGGATTATTTCGACAGCGAGTCAGAGATCTCGAAGCAGATCACCTCGACCGCCAGTTCAGTCGGCAAGTGGAAGCGCATCGAGGTGCCAGAGTGCCGGTCTCAGTACGAGTACTGCAACGCGCGGACCAAATACGGCGACGTGGTGATGGTGGTCAAGTCGCAGGACCCCGACCGCTTCATGTTCCACGACACGAGTAGCCTCGGGTGGACGAGGGACAGCGTCATTGGACCTCTGGACAACCTCGACGAGAAATACTGGGATCCGCACGTCCCCGCCAACGAGAGCAACTCGCTCTGGTTCTTCGCCAACTGCAACACCACGGCCGACCTCTCGCCCCAGACCCACCAGGCTGAAGGATGTTTCTCGACGTGCAACGAGGCGTATGGCAGGAAGGAGTTCGGGAACGGGTACCTCTCCGCGGACCAGATCGACCCGACTTACAACTTCGACTTCATCACGGACAGATTGAGCGATATCGCTCAGGCCAACGAGCACTGGCCCGGCCTGGCCGATCCGAGCGCTTCTCAGCTCGAGCTGGAGTATTGCCTCGTCCAGGAGATGGAACCAGTCTGCAAAGTCGGGCTTTCCAACGAGCTGTTGCTGGTTGTTGTCATCTGTCTAATAATCAAGTCATCGCTCTGCCTAATGGTGACCATCGTCCTTCCCCGCGACGAGCCGCTCGTCGTGCCGGGTGATGCCATCGTGTCGTTCATGAACCGCCCCGACGTGCGCACCGTATACAACTGCAACTTGGACCGATCTCTATGGAAGAGGGAGACAGAAAGCGATGATGAATCCAAGCTCGACCGGCATCGACCGCGCCAATGGCATCTGGAGGAACCTCGGAGATGGCGGCGCGCCATACCCATCTCAGCGTGGCTAAGGAGCTACTTCCTCTTCGGCGCTGTGATCGTCTTTCTTGGCTTCATGTTTGGCATTGCGCAGAAAACAAATCCTTACAATGATGGGTCAGTGCCAACCCTAAAGAACAAGTCTATCAGCATCGCGCTGGGGGGCTTTCGATTGTAATTTCGTACATCGACTGACGCCTTGATAGATCTCAGTCGATCGCACATAGTGCCACAAATGGCATCCTCAACATCAGGGGCTCGGGCGGAGGCGATTTGATCCGCAGTGTCCTGACGGCTAACTTGCCGCAACTGCTTCTGTCGTTCTCCTACTACGCGTATAACTCGCTGTACACGATGCTCTGCGTTGAGAAAGAGTGGAATGCGTATAGTACCGATTACCGCCCTCTGCGCGTCACCAGTCCCAAGGGCCAGCAGGTGTCGGCGTACCGCTTGCAGCTGCCATATCGATACAGTGTAAGTCATTTCGTGATCGTTCTCTTGTGGCAGATTGCTGATTCAAGCTGAGCATAGATCCCCCTGATCGTGATCAGCGCCCTCCTTCACTTCTTGGTCTCGAACACCCTCTACGTGTTCATCCTTGAAGGCGGTAAGCAAATCCCACCCCACTTCTTGCCCCCAAACCATCTCCTAATCCCATATCTCCCAGGCTACTACATGATCAACGCCCCCATCAGCTACTCGGACCAAGGCTCAGTTCCCTCACCCGTGCCCGGCAGTGGACTTAGCGATGACGCATTTATCGGGATCGGTTATTCGACTGTGGCCATTCTCATCGTGCTCATAGTATATAACGTTCTGGCCCTAATCCCGCTGGTACTGTGCTGGTTTCGGATGAAGGGGCCCATGGTCCTTGGCGGGTTCAACTCCCTGGTCATCTCGGCCGCCTGTCACTTCTCCCCCGTGCCCGCGGAGGCACTCGGCACGACAGCGTCGGCGTCGGCATCTGCGGCGCCTGCGACAGCGAGGAAGCCACGGAGGGGCACGAGTTTCAGGAGGCCGCAGAAGCCGGCCCCAGCGCCGGTGCCGGACGCAATTACGCAGATCCCGGCGCAAGACGGGACCATGGTGTACTACCAGGAGGGTGCGCTTCCGAGCTACGCGGGGCCGCTGGAGATGCAAATCTGCCTCGACGCCGACACCTCGTACGAAGCGGGCGTGTCGCGATCGCATTTAAAGAAGAAGATCATCCCGGACGAGACCGAGGCCGACGAGCTCGAGATCAACGGAGATGCCGTAGTCGATGTATCGCGGGGCCTGGTGCGCTGGGGCGCGCTGAAGGTCCCGCTTCGCGAGCGGGATGGCTTGAATGCCCTGGGCGGTGATGTGGGACACATCGGGTTCGGCTCCGAGGGACATGAGGTTGAGACCCCTATTGAGGGTCATTGGTACATGTAGGCGGGGCTTGTCGTTGTGGCAAACTGAAGAAAAGAGATAGACATAGATATGATACCCCGTTTTTTTGAAAATCGAGAACATGCTATACCGAAAAGTGGCTTCGCGTCAGTGGTGTCCCGTCTGTTAGAGAAGGTCGTGGCGTGTGCATTGTTCGCTGCCCTTGGCTGTAACGGACTACGTTAAGAGAATGTCTGGGCGGTGGTTTCGAATCAAGAGGTGGTGTCTTGACAATTGGGTGAGATCGGTCTCGATGCAAGCATCAAACTCATCGATAATTTTAGGATCACCGTAGACCCTTTGCCCATCCGTCCAGTACCTCCCCCCCTCCAACCCCAACCCACGAGGTAATGGTCAGCCAGCAGATTCCACTCCTCGACCTCGTCAAGACCCTCTAAACTGTCGACTCGTTCCTTTTCTTCCCTTGGGACCCATTGCTCCCAGATTTTCTGTATTGTCGAGGACTTGGCAGATTCAAAGCCTGCATCCTTCAGACGAGTCTCCTGTTTCTTGATATCCGTGTACTGCTCCAGGGTAGGCATTCGTATCTTTCGTGCGGCCAAGTTGGATACCATCTGCTTGCCAAACGGATCCATCGGATTCGTTGGTTCGTAGATGACAAGAGAGAGGCTGGGTATCCTGTTGACGAAATACTCGATGATCTTGTCCGCATCTGGAACCTCCAAATAACACAAGCAACATTCTGAAATGAGCAGCGTCGGCACGTCTGTTCGAACACCACGCAATGACTTCACGTCATCTTTCAGCAGATCTCTTAGATCCAGACCATGGCACCAATACTGGCAACCATTAGGCAGATGCTGGTTGCTCCAGGTATCACCCGTCAACTCTGCGTTGGGGACGATGGTTCTGAGAGGTGGAATAGAGCTGACAAGCTGGCGCTTCTTATTGCTGACGGCCGGGAAGTCAATCTCGTGATAGATGAGGCCAGCTTGCAGGGGCTGCGAGAGCAGCTTGAAACACCTCGTATCCGTTCCGGCCCCGAGTGAGATGATTTGCCGCTCTTGACCCTCGCATCCAGACAAGAAGGCCGCTATCAGCCTATCGAGGGCGGCGGTCCGAGTGTAAGTACCTGGGTCCAGCCTTAGCACTCGCCAGGGCATTGAGGCTCACGACACGACTCACCTCGATTGATAATGGGTAGCCTCCTCACGATGTCCCCGACGGTAGGCACCTGCACAAAGAATTGCGCAAAGGGGTCGTCCAGGTAGCCGATGTCGACGGCACTCATGCGGGATACGGCAGCATCGGTGTCTGTACCCTGGATGGTGGCATCGTGGCTAGGAGACGGTGTCGAGGATGAGTGGCCACGTCGTCCTCGTGAACGGCCTCGAGCTCCCCCTCTCGAACCTCGAAGCCTCTCGGAGAGGAGGTCTTGAATGGATGGGGGTGACATGTGGGAGATGCGGACGAATCAATATGCCGATGTTGATGATTTGACAGTCCCAAAAGAAACAACGTTCTTGAGGTCTGGAGGAAAGGGCAGTGTGATTACCTGGTAGGCCTACACTGTTTGTCAGAGTATCGGATGTACACCTGCATCTGACCAAGCTCTGCCACGGAATACCGATACCGATTCCAGCTGTCAGCTCCGGTTTGGACATCTGCGGATGCGCGGCACAGGCCATGTGCTGACAGGGTTCCAGTGTGGCAGTGCAGCGGTTGCCTGAAAGCGCGGCGCGGCGGCTACCTGGGCAGTTGACACCATCTGCACTAGCCCGACCGACAGCGCAGGGATAGCCACAGTGGTCTTCCAGGCACCAAAGCTCCCGAAGGCAGCGCAAATGGGCACCAGCTGAGTACTTAGGTTGTGACACTAACAATAGCGGCCCCTAGGTAGTGGCCAGTCAACGGCCCCACCGTTCCACCCATAATCTGTCATCCGGGCTGTCGGTTCCCTTTTTGACGTAGGACTTCGCTCGCTGGCAGGCTGGTGGGCTGACAATCATTCCCTCGCGCCGCTTTGTCTGTCCTCTTTCCCATTCTCTCCCCCATTTCGCCTCACTCCTTATCATTAGCTTAACTACTACAGTAGCCCATCAACTGCCCCTTGGGTGTTTTCCTTTAACTTTCAAACTCGATCTCTCATTTCCTCTGTCTCTCTACACATTACGATACTGAGCGCAAACTACAACCACCTAACATGTATCGCGACATTGTTCACGCCGTCTACAAGCGGGGCGAGGCCTCGATGGGCGAGTACCAGATGCCAGGCTGGGCCTGGGCTATCTTCTTCGCCGACATGCTCGTCTTCCTGCCTCTGTTCTTGCTGGTACGTAACACGCTCCGTGCTGCTTTCACCCTTCCACAGATGACTAACACGATGCTTCAGGTAAGCTACTCATTGCAGCACATCTTCCCGACGCTCGCCATCATCGAAGACCCATCGCCAGCCTACGAGCCTGTCTCCCTCAACGAGGACAACCAATCTTTCTCCGAGGACAATGCCCCCGTTGCCGATGAAGCGACGGGCTCCGATGCTCCCGCTGTTACCTCGTCATTCCGCGGCACCTACCGTACCCTCACTGCCGTCAGTGGTTGGCGATCCATGTTCCGGGGTCTCGGCTGCTGGGTCGCCCTGAGCTTCGCCACCATGTTCGTCTACAGCATCTTCACCTCCGTCTGGGTCCCGGCTCTCGTTGCCGCTCCCCTCTCTGCCATCACTCTGGTGCAGTTCTACACTGCCTGGACCCACATCGTCATCTCGGCCCCGAGCCCTAAGCGTTTCTGGCAGCGACTGCCTCCGTTCAAGAAGGCCTTCCAGGCCACCGCACTGCCCATCTGCCTATACCTCTTTGCCGTCGAGCTTTCCTCCTTCCTCCCGAAGGGCCTGGCCTACCTGATGGGCATGAACATGTGGGACCCTAAGTCGCCCAACACTCTGCCCGAGGCTGATGCCAACGATGCTTGGAAGGGGGTTCTGGTTCTCCTTACCACCCTTGTCTTGCACATCTTCCTGGTCATCCCCACCCAGGTTGTCCTCACCCGTGTTCAAGCGTCGCTTCTCCCCGAGGAGGACGACACGATCGTGCCGTTCGACCGCTCGTTCCAGGGCAAGGTCGAGCCCGCTATCGTTGGTGGCAAGGGCTTCGTTTCGATTATGGACGCGTGGAAGACCTTCTCTCGCGCCTCCTGGATGCGCCTTGTCAAGCTCTACGTCAAGATCTTCGCTGTTGGTGTGGCTATGTCGCTCCTCTGGATGGCTGTTCTGGTTCCTGAGATCCTCCTCATTTGGAAGCACAGCCAGAAGGTTGAGTAAGAGGCGTATCTTGCTCCAGGAGCCCGACACCTTCAGGTGTTATGACTAGTAGTCGCTGATACCGCGGCTTCCTCAAGTTCATTCCGGCTAAATGGTGATGAATATCATAGGGCTGCTGGTGTGTTTCAAGGAATCCTTGGAACAGACCTCCAAACGCTATAGGGAAATTGTATAACTATAGCGATCTGGCGGGAGGTGGTTTGGTTATCCGCCGATAAAGTAGATTGATAGCTTTTTGTGACACATCAGTGTTTGGCTATCAAGACCACATTTATAGAGAAATGGGATATGAAACAGAATGTGTACTACTTCTTTCCCGCGTACCGCCGATTGACAGTAGCACACGATATCACTATGTCTGATTGTCAACCTTGAGAAAAGATATGTCGTAAAGCCAGTACGTCCATACACTGAACCTCCAAAAGTCTCCGCACTTCCATCGTTCAGCAGCGAGGAATATGTTTTGACGCCTCCGCTCCGACCATTTCCTGAGCTTGACACGGTAGACAAACATGGCCTGCCTGTGGTTCTCCCGATTCAGTTGTTGACAGAATGAGGCTATCACGAGCTCTCGAGTGTTAAGAGGGTGGTCCATCCGTCTTCAATGGCGGGAAGGGCCTCTTCAAGATTAAATCCCCCGCGTGATGACGTCGTCTTCGCACCCATGTTAATGGGATGTTCCTCCTCTGCGGCGAGTCTGCATGTACCCGCGGCCCTTGTCGGCCTCCTGCAGTGTTATGGTGTATGGTCGCTCATCTGGTGGTGGGGTACGCTGTATGACCGCCAGGCCGTTGAAACGGTCATTTTCCATCGGGAGAAGCGCGGTTCGGGGTTAGGCCGCTCAATCATCCCGAAAACAATCGTATATGGCGATGCGAATGACTACCCCAATCAATTGTCGGCTGGGCTCGCGGATCCAAGCGATTTGTGACGCCGGAGCTATGTGGAGTGGCCCATGATGAAGGGCTGCGATCGGTAAGTAGTCAACTAGAAGAACCTGATGTTGCTATGTTGCCGCAGCTGCGTTCCATTCAGCATAGCCCGCGCCTTCTTCGGCTTTGCCTGGAGTCTGCGGAAGGCCTCCTGAACGTGGCGGGCCTCGATGGGCGTCTTGCCCTCGCCGGGCAGGTCGAACAGGCCCCCCTGCGCGAGCTTGCGCTTCTTGGTGCCGGCGTTCTCGCCGCCGGTGCGCTCCCTCCACATGTCCTCCTGCTCCTTGATCTTGAGCGCCTCCTCCGTGAGCGTCTGGACCATCTCGAACGTCAGGAAGCCGAGGATGTCGACGATGTCGTCCGACGGCTTGCTGTCCGTGACGATGCCGAACCCGGCCCACTCCCTGAACCGCTTGCCCTTGCGGTACGTGAACGAGGCCTGCCTGTATTCGGACCACGTGACGTACTCCTCTCGGGTCATGGCGTTGGTGCGCTCATCGGCCTTGCGGAGCCGTTGGAGCGTGATGTGGTTCATCTCCTCCTCCTCTTCGTCCTCCTCGTCGTCGCGCTCGGGCACCTCCTGGCTGTAGAACGAGGAGGGCTCCCACGGGAGCTTGACCTTGGCCTTCTTGTTCTTCTTGGCGGCGGCGTCCAGGACCGAGGGACCGCCGGACATGGCGCCTCCGGCCGGGTCGTCGCCGACGCCTAGGTCGGCCTCGCCGCCCTTCTCGTCCGAGTCCTTGGCGCTCTTGCGAACGTCCTTCCAGGACAGAAAGGTCCTGAGGCGGGATACCTTGGGTGCGTCGTCGCGTATCTGGAATATGACGTCGTTGATGGTGATGGCGCGAGCGCCGCGGCGTGCGGCGAGCTCGGTGCAGTTCCTGAGCATCTCTACGACCTGCTGCCGGACGATCTCTTCGATCATGGAGGTGGTCTCAGTAGATGGTTCTCCATTCTCGCCAGAGACGTACATCATCTGCTGGATCTCCTGCCGGTACTTGTGGTGCTTGCTGCTGTCCCCCATCTTGACTGGTGACGTATTGATGATCCTTGGAGTGGCTTTTGGTGTTGATGATTATCGGAGTGTTGTTTTGTAGTGATAGAGAAATGGAGAGAAGTGACGGACGCGTAGACGCGTACGCTAGCTCAACCTTCGGTGGATGACTGGATTGCCAATAAAACGTTATAAGGTTCTGGCTACGATCCTTCTCCTTCATTCCATTCTTTCATTCTTTCGTGGAATCGCGCTTTCCCATTCACAAACATACGTTGAGTACCAACAGGAGTTAAGCTTTGGCTCGAGCCAGCTTGAGACAAGCGGACATGAGACAAACGCTTAGCCACAGCTCCCCAGAATGTGGCGGTGCAAAGTACGTTTACGGTTTTGGATCCGGCCGCTGTCGGTGTGGCTGGGTGGATCACTCAACCGATTCCAATCAAATCCAAAAACGCCCCCCTGGAGTCAGAGTCAGGACAGTGACGTCGACCTGGGCAGTCCCGACTTATTAGTGCAGGTGAATCGCTTCACCTCACTTCATTCCTCACTCAAAATTCCCTCATAGATTTCTCGTAGATTTAGGTATGGAGTCTTGAATACCTCGCAGGTCATATTTCTTACCTTTTATACAATACAAGACGTTCTCACTACAAAATGGCCCCCAACTCGCGTATCATCCTCACCCGCCACGCCCAGGCCGAGCACAACGTCGACCTCGACTACAGCAGTATGTCATCATAATGGGACTTTGGACGACCTCGAGGAACCACAACTGACCCAACGACCACAAAAGTCCCCGATGCGCCGCTCACGCCCCTGGGTAAGAAGCAGGCCGCCTCGCTGTCGCGTCAGATGTCCGACCTGCAGAAGGAAGCCGACCTGATCGTCTCCTCGCCCCTGCGGCGCACCCTGCAGACCACATATATGGGCTGGGCGCCGGCAGTAGAGCGTCTCGGCGGCCTGAAGAAGGTCGTCTGCCTGCCCCAGGCCCAAGAATGCAACGACCACCCATGCGACACGGGCTCGCCGCGGGAGAAGTTGGAGGCGGACCCGGAGTTCGCGTCCTTCAACCTCGAGCCGCTGACCCCGGACTGGACGAGCAAGCGCGGGTTCTGGGCCGCGGACGAGGCTTCCCTCAATGCTCGCGCGAACTGGGTGCGCAAGTTCCTGCGCGATCGCCCCGAGAAGAACATCGTGCTCGTTGCTCACGGCGATATCTTGCGTCGCATCACGGCGACCCCGAAGGGCAACAGTGGGTACAATTGGAAGAACGCTGAGGTGCGCATCTTTGAATTCGACCCCAAATCTGTCGAGTCGGAGGAATGCTGGCTGTACCAGAAGGAAGATGTTGCAGCTGCCGGCGGGTACGGACCCACGAGTACGGAATTGGACATTGAGGAGGCAGCCGGGAAGCTCTGAGCTGGCTGCATCAAAAGGGGCGGATAGACCGATCGACCTATAGACACTTCACTGGTTACATAGACGATAGAACCTTTTGACAACTTTCAAACAGTTTCACTCGTTTTCGGTCATGAGAGGCTAGAGGTCTCAGTCTCAACGCATCGTATTCGTTATCAGGGCGATCTCCGTATGCCGTCTCGCTTCTCAAGTGTCAAGAGTTTATGGGCTGGCGATGGAACACATTTGCTTACCTCCTGACCTGCTCGCATGTCTAGCACCAACCACCAACCACCAACCACCGACCTGCGAACAACGAGGATCTGTAACGCACTGTCCCTTGTTGGAGCAACTGGCACACGGGGCTCACTGACTCACTGACTCAAGGCCCTGATTGCAATATGTTTCTAATGCTGTCAGCACCTTGCAATGGATATAAATCCCGTTAGGGGAAGTAAAGTTTTCAATCTAAGGAGAGTCTGAGGACGTCCTTACCGATTTCTGCGAACCATATCCATTATCAAGGTCGCTAGCAATGACTTCAAACTCGCCTTTCTCGCCCCCAGTTACCTATGCTGATGTCTACACGTATGACGGCAACCCTGATTACCAACCAGTACGATTGCATCTTCACGACGAGTCGGGCCAATGCGCAACAGCCGTCCATGCCACGAGCGGGTGCTCCATAGATGTCGGTGACCGCGTCTACTGCCTGGCGCCAGAGGCCACATCACCGATCCCAGACGAGCTCCGGCGCCGCTTCAAAGAGAAATGTCAGCGTGCTGGCAAGATTGTGTTCGTTGATCCTGCGCATCGATGGCTATGGATGACCTCTGATAACAGGCTCTCGAAAGGCTTGTCTAAACAGCCGGAGGATCTCCAGAGGTACGGAAACAGATTGGTCGATGACATTTACACGTTCAGTCGGAAGCACCACGAGCCACTTCACACATCAGTGACTCGGCAGTACATCCTCACCCCACGTGACTTGCCTCTCGTCGAGTGCGGCGACATCCGCCATTTCTTTGCAGCAATATGGCCAAGCAAAACACCACAGGATTCCTTGCGCCTGGCTGTGGCAAGTTTCAATCACAGGTCTAGCGCGGGAGTTTCGGAGGCCGACCTGAAGGGATGCCACATAATGAGTCGGCGTATACTTTTCCAGGGCATGACTTGGTGTGAATCGCACGGTCGCGTGGTCGAGGCACATGATGGTAATAGGGTGATTGAAAGTACGCTGTTCCATGAGGTTGACGCCTTGGGGAGCCCCATCACGAGAGTGCATGATCCTGCGCGCTGGATTGGTGAGATCCGGGACATAGTGGACGAACTGGAGATAGATGACGAAAGGGATGCTAGGAAGTTTGTCTTCTCGGATGGCACGGGCGTGGAGACAACCATTCACGTGTGGAAGAGAGAGGTTATACAAATTATACGGCGATAACTTACCTGCCACCCATAGCAACATCCAGCAGCCCTGAAAACCTGAAGATAGATCGCAGTATCTCTACCACTTGACACTGATGCACCTTCCCGTGGGATCTTACTCACTGCTGGTGCAGATGGCAATGCATCCTGTCACGCACCGGGGGGCGTGGCGGAATCCGGTGGGACGAGAAGACGGAAACGACACCTGCATGCATGTTGGGTAGGGATGAGAGCTTTATTGTTCACTCAAACCTCTCAGTTGCTGGTGATGTGGTCTCGTTTGGCACTGGTCAGGAATGTGTTTGTTGGTTGTGCGGCCCGACATTCACCAACCGAGCATTACTCATCCCTAACGGGCAACACAACCACCACCAACACAAAACAGACAAAGAGGTTGGAACATGACTGACGCGAAGCTCGCCTGTTCTGAGTATCAGTTGGTAGTACTCAGAACCAGCTCTCTAACCAACGCCAGCGAACCAGCCGTGTATAATAAGCAACACCCGAGGCCCGCCCCTCGAGCTGAAGAGCAATGGGTTTCTCGGCAGACATCGCTCCAATACGCAAGCTTACTATTCTTATTCACGAGCAAGCAAGATGCCCCCCTACCAAACGGACCCACGCGATTTCTGGAACAAACCATGGATCTCTCGGAAATGTTTGTTTGTTTGTTTGTTTTGTATTTAACGTGGGGGTAGCTCCTCAGTAGTGCAAACCACGCCTCCCAGAGCCTCTGCATCGCAGGGTTGTGGAGGTCTCAAGATAATAAGTACAGTCAGTCCCGCTCACGGGCCCATCCCCGTTGTTGCGGCGGTATGACCTTGGGGTCATCCATCTGGTCCTTCAAGGAAGGCTATCTATCGGGGGCAGATTGTTGAAAAGAACTTGCTCTTCTCCACGAATTTTGCCCATTCTGTGCTCCTCTCCCCTAAGTATTGTAAACAAGCTGCCCTAGGCGAATGCCTAGGCAGTAGCCGATTTTTCCCCAGCCTCTTACAAAAGAAAATGTGTTGTGGTGTTTTCTTCTCACCACAGCTGCAGTGATCATTTGAATCTGTGTGCCCAAAGCGTTCATGGTATCTGGCAAAGTCGCCATGTCCAGATCTGGCCGCTAGAAGTCTGTGTAAAGTACTCCTCTTAAAAGATATAAGGTCTCTTTCAGTTACTGCATGTGAGTATACTTCTTGATACCTAGATTCTGATTGGTCTTTCCACCATTGGTTGAACTCTTTCTTGCCCTGTCTTTTGAGATCTCTCTTGACCCAAGAGATTGTAGGAAGATTTGTTGTGTCTGTTTCCAGCATGGCACCCTCTTTTGCTAGTGTGTCGGCAGCTTCGTTGCCATCAATATCTCTGTGTCCAGGAATCCATTTGACGGTCACTCCAGGAGTGTGTGCTGTGGCAAGTTCTTGAAATCGTAGAAAAATGTTTTGTGATGTCTCGGGTGGAGTCCCATTGAGCCCATCTACCACTGACGTGTTGTCCAGGCAGACATATAGCTGTTTTCCGTGTCCAATTGCCCTGGCTGCTGCAAGACCTTGGAGAGCACCATGGACTTCAGCATCTACTACTTCTGCTTGTAGAAGTCTGCCCCTTCCCCGGTATACTTCTTGTGTAGTGCCGCCTTTCCTGATGGTATAACCCCATCCAGTGCGGATTGTGCCTTGGTCATCCAACTGTGATCCATCTGAGTAGATGACAAGGTCAGTGTTCACGTTTCTCTCTTGTAACCATTGCTTGAAGAGCTCTGTTTCTTTGTCTTTGTCTTTGCGGATTGGGCGCTTCCTCCATGATGGCCTGGTAAGTATTGGTCTCTGGAAGTCAGGGACTAGCTGGAAGCTTCTTTGTAGCCTTGTTGGATCCTTGCGAGCTTGTATTTGGAGCCTGCCAACCAGAGGGTGTCTCTGATCTATTCGTCCTAGTCGGAGGCCGTGACGTCGTCTTATTGACTCTGCAAGAACTCCTGCTGGGGGAATCTGCGATTCAAAGTGTAAGATATGTCCAGGGTGTGTTTTCCAGACTGGCAAGATAGCCCTGATCGCCGTTCGTAGTACGGCATCTATTGTTCCAAGAAGCCCCTTAATGCGACATGCTGATGTCTCACCTAAGCTCCCAGTTTTCTCGATTCCTGGGTACCAGGCCTCCAGGCCATGTGTGAGAATAGGAATAACACAAGCTTTCACAGCCCTCTTGGTTGACTTTACTGGAAGTCCTTTGACTGTGTTGCATAGTCCTCGAAGGTGATTTGCTACCCTACTAGCTTTCTTGGCCCAGTGAGAAACATGGTCTTTGAAGTTTAGTTTCCTATCCAGAAGGACACCTAGCCATCGCATGGAATGCTTAGCTGTTTTGTTCATTGTTCCGTGGCAAACTGGGGGATTGTCTGAGTTCTTTTTCCGTGAGAAGTGCATAATCTCGGTTTTGTCGGGATCAAATTCAATAGCATTGTTATGTCCCCATTGGTTGAGCAAATGAAGGTTTTCAGAAGCCTCTGCAGCTGTTTCTTTAAGGTTCTTTCCAATGCAGAGTGTTGCTAGATCATCTGCATATCCAAAGCGTCTTCTTTTCATGCCAAGTCGGGCACAGATTGGCTCTGTATACAGCATGTAGAGGATTGGAGAGACTGGTGAGCCTTGTGGGAGCCCACAAGTGAGAGCTTTTATATCGGTCACAGTACCTTCAAACCGAACTCTTGCGGACCGCTCGGACATGAACGACTGGACCCATCTTATGAGAAAGCCTGGCCAGCCCTGTTCTCTCATGCGAACCACCAGCCGTCCCATTAGGGCAGCATCAAAGGCCCCTTTCACATCTGATGTGACTACCGTTGCAACGAGGCCTTGGTCAAGGGCCTGCTCAATATCGTGTATGAGTGCAGCTACCAGGTCAGTGGCAGAGCGCTTTGGTAGAGCTCCAAAATGTTGTGGGGCTAGAATTCCAAGTTTGACAACAAACCAGGTAATTCTTTTCGCAATGAGTCGTTCTAGGCCCTTGCCAAGACATGACAGTAGCGATATTGGTCTGTAGGCCCTGGGATTGGAGTAGTCTTTCTTTCCTGGTTTTGGGATCATCACCACCTCAGCTACTTTGAATGGTTTAGGGTGGTGTCCAATCAGTAGGCAGGTCTGGAAAAGGGCTCTGATATGTTCACCAATGACTGGCCAGCAAGCTTTCAGAATCCGTACTGTGAGGGTATCTACTCCCGGGGAGTTGCTCTTGGTTCCTAAAGTGCACCCTTCAGCCTCTTCCAGTCCGACGTGGTATTCAAGGGGGATGTGTGGCTTGGGTTGTACGATCTGAGCGGACCAGGGGTCGATGATATCGTTGTCTGAGGTACTTCGTTCAAGCGTGGCTGAGCGTAATGCATTTGCCTTGCTCTCTTGTGACTCGAATATTTGGTCTCCTATGATGATTGGAGGGGAACGCAATCCTGCTGATAACTTGTGCCAAGAGACGATTCTGTATAGGTCCTTTGGCTCAGTTGCTGAATTGATTAGAGTCTGCCAGTACTCTCTCCTAGCTTTCCGAACCACGCCGCGAAATTCTCGTCGGGCTGAATTCCGTCCTTCTTGGCTTGTAGTCTGTTTGGAAAGGGCCCTGTATGTCTGAACAGCTGCTTTGCAGTCATCATTCCACCAAGCAGTGGGCCTAGATTGACGGGGCCTCTTGCCCACTGTCCTGATACAGCCTTGGATCATGTTGATCAGGCTTTGTGTAAAGGTGTCCACCTGGCCAGGGGATACACCCAGCCGGGGGAGTTCATGAATCCTGGTTTGGACATTATCTGCCAGCTCCTGTAGTTTATCGTCCGGTACTATCCAATGATTGGCCTTGGGTACTCGGTCCAGATCTCCCTGGATTGGAATGACTATTCGTAATGTCTCATGATCTGAGGTGCACTGAAGTGCATCATTGACTGAGGCTTCAGCCATGGGGACATCAGAGAACACCAGATCTAGTACATTTCCGTCATCATGTGTCGGGACATCTGGTTCAGAAATCAGATCCAGTCCGTGGTCTGCCATAGTTTGTGCAAGTATAGTACCACCATGATATCCTGGATTGCTTGAGTCCCAGGATGTGTCGCCAGCATTGAAATCTCCAGCTATAACGCAGCCAAAAGGTGGAGTCCATACTTCCAGAATATCATCCACTTCCTGTGGGTTGTCACATGGCCGGTAGACACTGGCAAATGTGATGCCATGTACCTTGACCCAGGTGATGTCTCGTGTAGCATAGGGCCGAAATTGATCCACTTAAAGGTGTTTTCTCACATAGATGAGAGATCTGGGCTGTGTACTGTCGCTGTCCCAGGAATCCACTGGGGAGTATATATTATAATTGGGGTGTGTCTTTACTCCCATTCTCCTGCCTAGTAGTATGCCAACCCAGGGCTCTTGCATCAGAATGATGTCTGCTTGTTCTCCTTTGTAGTCAGCCAGGTTGATGGCTAACTCTGTAGGGCCTGCACTCTTTTGTCCCCCTGCTGTATTCACAGAATGGATGACTAGATGCCCGTGTCGATGTGTTTCGTTTGATGTACCTAACATTGACTGACAACAATGGTATCGGCATCTCTGGGATGAGTTGTATCTGTTGTGTCGATTTGCATTGTGGTGTCTTTGTTATTATTGCTAGGTGTTGACCTAGCTTGGTTTCTGCCTGCTTCGTTGAAGGCCTTGGATCTGGCTCTTTCTCCGGCTAGCCTTATTTCCTGGATTTGCTCCCATGTGTGCTTATGGATGGTACCTTTCACAACCTTGGGGCGGGCAGGGCATTTGTCGAAGTTGGCAGCATGAGGTCCTTTGCAGTTGACACACTTTGGGATTGGTTTTTTGCACTCTCCCTGGTGTACTGTGTTGGCGCAGTGTGCACATACTTGCTTTTCGCATCGGTAATTCCTACCATGGTATCTGAAGCAGCTTGCACACTGGTGAACCTTGGGGGTGTGTTGAATATGCCTTGAGGTCATTGAGTGGGCAAAAAGCGTGAATGGTTTCCTTGCTGCACTGGGCAGAGAGATTATCCATGTAGTTTCTGGATCAGAATCAATCGTGTTCTTTGAGAGTATGCACCTCAGAGGTCTGTCGCCTGTTTGGGCTTCAACTTCATCGGCAACAACAGTGTCAGTAATATCGATTGTGAACCCTTCTGCACTGATGACCTTTCTTGGGCATCCATTGACCTTGTAATGATGCCAGACTGTGTGGGTCTCAATCTTTTGTGCCTTGAGAATGTCGGCAATTTCTTCTTGGAAAGCCAGAAGCTTAGCCTGAGTTGGCTTGTCCCTTGGGTGTAAGGTAAAACCAGAAGGACATCGTGTCACTTCTCTAAGCTCCTGAGGGTGGAGCTTAAGTCTTCTGTTCAGTGTAGACTTGATTCCATAAGGCTCTAGGTGGCTATTATCCATGCGGACAAAGACCCGGAGATCATCCTGCTTCTTCTTCAGTTGGTTGGCAGTGATGAGGGCGCCAGGCTGTGTTTTCTTCATGGTAGTGTTGACTGTCCATGGATGCTGTCGTTGGCCAGAGGAGACAGCTTGGGCGAAGGTCATGGTGGGCTTCCCTATCCCTATCCCGCCAGGAGTGGTCTTTCTTTTGGGCAGATCTCGGGTTTCCAGCCACTCGTTCAGGCATTTGGAGAAGAAAGCGCTGAACTCCTTGGCATGAGAGTATAGTTCGGTTCCAGCTTTTTCCAGTGTCTTATCGACTGCTGCAGCACACTCTTGAAACATTGTCATCCTGGCTTCATAGAGATGCTTGTCTTTAGCCAGTATTTTGGCTACTTGGTCCTGGCACTTTGAGGAAGAGACCTTGTTCCCTGTATCGCCTCCAATGGCTTGGTCTGTAGAGATTTCGTTTGATTGAGGTACTTCCATATCAATGATGCTGCTAGTATTAATATTTCGGGATTTTCCTTTCAGAGGGGAAACAATGGTGAAGTCAGCCTCAGAGACTTGTGACGGGCTGCTGTTGATGTCGTCGAGCAGTGCCTGGCGGAGCTTGCTTGGGGTTGCCGGGCCATATGTTCTTTTAGGGACCGGGGATTTGAGCACGCCGCCAGTAGTCGTCTTTGGGACGGCCACTGGCGTATTTGGGGGCCTATCGTGAAGGGGTGCCATCCAGCTTGTGAGAAAAATTTTCTGCGCCTTGGCAAGGATAGTCAGGTACTGAAATAAATGCCTGTTTTAGTGCAGATATAGAGGTTGCGCCCTAACAGCGGGGCGCCAAGAAAAATAGTTGTTTTTGGTAAGAGTGTGTGTGTGTGTGTGTATTCTGTGGAATGCGACAATATGCAGACAATCAAGCTGGTAAACTCTGAAATTGCCCTCTTAAAAACTAAGTTGCGACATGTGGATATACACAACCATTAGCTTCGACAAGAAGTGGAACGAGGAATTATTAGCATCAAGTACACACCATCAGCACAGATAAAAGCGGATGGATTGACCAAAGCCTTGCCGGCTTAACAGTGGGCAGGATTTCTGGATCAGTTGGGATTGGTGGACATTCAGGCGAGACAGGTTGATTTAAGGTCACAAGAGGGAGCCATTAAGAAGAGAGAAGAGATTCTTAGTCAAGACTCTGAAGTAATTTATTCCATAGACTAGTTCAGCCAGAGCCGTTGCCTGCCTGGCTAAGAGGGTATGTTGGATTAAAGGTACGCCTAGAAAGCACCTTGACAGGTAGACAACGGAACCTGTCACAATGCCTGCGGCGTTGTGTGGGAATATGGTGTTGTATTCCGAAAATAACAAGGTGAGGAAGGAAAGGGAAGCCAGGTGTGTGGCAGCCGAATGGCTGCAGCACATATGGTGGTCCCGATCCTTATCTAATCTACACGTGACCTGATCAACCAGGTGGATACAGTTGTACACCGCCACAGAACCTAGTTGTTCCGTCCCGATTCAGCCCCCTCTGGCACAAAACTGCCACAGTCGCACAAGGACACTCTTGACAGAGAGAATACACACACACACTTCACTCTGACAATTGGCTCAAATCTGACAGTTCGGGGAGTAGTTTGGTCTCCTGTATGATAGGATCAACGGTTTTGAGAGTCCACTTGGTGAGTTCGGATATGGAGGCCTTGGTTCGCTGATAGATCTTGTCTTCGTGCTCGAATAGGGCAATGTTCATCTTGAAGTCAGCTGCTGCTTCTGTTATAAGGCGTGAAGTAAGGACTCGTCCCTCCTCCACTGCTGTTTGAGTGGTTCTGGTAGGCTTTTTTGAATACTCTTCTGATAGGATATCCGGAGGCATTGGTGCTGTTGGCCATGGAGTAGTTACCCCTGGCTCGATATGTTGCCAGACGCCGAGTGCTTCCGCCCTTTTTTAGAATTGGAGTCCCCAGCTGACGAAGTCCTTTTGAGACCAATAGTACACAGTTGCGTTCTGGGTTGGAACTGTGATATTCATCTTGAAATAGTTGTACCATTCGTGTATTCAAAATATGGATGCCGGTTGCGTAGATTCAATGAGACTCTTGATTGTTGAATACACAGATGTTGATTGATTCTATTGATTGTGTTCTTCTTCTGCGTGCAGAGATTGATCATCTGTCTTCTTGGTGGCCCAGATACCTGTGCGTCTCTGCCCCACTAGAGATCTTCCGGTGTCTATTCTCCGGCTCCCATTCAACACCACTGGCCTTGTTCCTTTCGACCCAGAAAGTGTCATTTTAAAGCTGGATGCTGTCGCTGTTGTACGAACACCGTTGCCAGACCCCAATCTGCCACCCACTACTTGGACTTCAAAAGACGCCTACCACTATTAACAAAGCGGTAAACCAATCGGTTTATATCCAAAATTGAGTCAGAATCCACCAGGGAAGCTCACATATATCAATAATTGATGTATTAAGCTCGTTTTTAAAGGCTATATACGGTCTTATGCATAAGGTCGCTTTGGTTGATTCCTGGGTCTGCGACCCTGAAATGTAACACCCAGCAGACGGAGCCACCCAACCAGGTAAATGCTTAACACCATAATGCGAACAATACAAAGCAAAACCACCCCGCAATGCACCTCTAAACCAGCATCAGCCCCCCTCAGGATCATCCAAATACAATGCACCACGACGCCTACCCCATCCAAGTCCTCGCACCTCGAAGAGCCCGCTTCCCCTTCGGGTCCTCAGTATGGCGCCTACCCAGCCTCTCGAGCTCCCGGCCCTCAATCCGCCTCGACATGACGCGCTGGAGGCTCATAGGCAAGTCATCCACGACCGCGTCCTCCCTCTCCCCGTCGTCCCCGCTATCCATAGCGGCGTCGCCGGTCCTCGCACCCGCCGTCTGACGCCGACGCAGAGTGCCGCCCAGCACGCCTTCGCTGCCGATACCGGTAGCGCCCACAGACGGCCGCCTCCCGAACGAGAAGCCGCGCCGCTTACGACCGGAGCCGCTGGCCTTGCTCCTGACCTTCTCGACCGGCTGCTCCGTCTCCGCCGCCGTAGCGGCAGCTAGCGCCGTCTGCCGGGCCCTGATCTTGGCGGCGTACTCATGAAACTTCGGCCGCTCCAGCATTCCAGTGCGGAAGGCGTTGACGCCGACGAGGAGCTTGGCGAGGTCGACAAGCTCCTCGAGGTACTCGATGATCTCCATGGTGCCGGCGGACGCGGCGTTCCACGCGAGGAAGTTCTGGCGCGTCATCGACTTAAGGGCATGGCCTTGGAGCGGGATGGAGCCATGGCGCGAGCCGGTCGTGGCCGGGGTCTGGACGCCGCTCTGGAGGGCGGATGCTGCAGCTTGTTCGACGAGGAGTTCGCGCACTCGGCTGACGTAGCGGAGTTGGGCTACGCGGCTGGATGGCAGGAACTGCGGGAGTGGCAGCCGGGTGGTGAGGGCTTCGTGAACGGCGAAGAGGGTGAGTGTGATGCTGGCTGCTACATTCCGACGATATGGCAGAACGGCATGGTGCATCTCTTCGAGCACGCTGCTGCCATAGGCTTTGCGGGCGTGCAGCATGTTGTCCATGCGGTCGATGATCTGGAACAGCACGTAAATCATCTCGCTGTATCTAGTGTATGAAAATGTCCCTAGTTAGTTAACGTACCCTGTGTTTCTAGAATCGCCCAGCAGAATGACTTACTGCCGAGAAGTTAGCAGAAGGTTCACGTGCATTCCAGAACCGGGGACATGGGGCCTAGAATAGGGATGTTTTTATACATGCCATAAGTGCTTGCCCTTTGAAACTACCCTTGAGCCGCGGTTCAGTCAGGGTAAACGGCAAAAAGGTTCGAGCTGCAGAGAGCGCTTGTTCAGCCTTTCCCTTGGCGCGGGTGAAGCTCTGGTTAAGAGCTTGTGACTTGAAGTTGATGTTCTTCGGCGAATCGACTCCGGCAGCAACGGACGCTTCCATGTTTGAGATTTGCTGGATACTGGAAGCTAACGATTCAACCAGCATGTCTCTCGCACGTACGGGGAATAGCGTCATCTCAATCACGAGGGCTACAGCACCGCCGACTAAGAAACACACAAGGCGTTTCACGTAGATCTCCCATGCCTCATCATTGTTAGTTGTGACAACCGTTGCTATTGCCAGATGAGCTGCCCAGAACTCGACACTGATGAAGGAGTGATGCTTACCAAGGCCAACGACAGACATGGACGTAATCGAGATAATGCCTGTCTTGACGTAGGGTGTACCTAGGTGAAAGTACGTCGATGGGATGATGCCGAGGACCAAGATGATGACCAATGCAACTCGATTCCCATGGCCAATCTCATAAGCGACGAAACCTACTGTGCAACCAAACACGACACCGAAAGCTCTGAGGAAGAACCCCTGGAACGATGTTCCCACCGAGACCTCGAAAACGAGGATCAGCTGAAGGGATGCCCACGACCCTCGGATAGATCCGTACCATGCATTGAGAGACGGTACAAATGCGGGCCATGTGACGATGAATGCAGCAACACACATCTTCAGGGCAAAAGCCAGGTCGTCCGAGTCAGCAAAGAGTTCAAAAGCATCAGCAGCCAAACCACGCAGCCACGTGACGTTAGTGACATTGGGCTTTTGCGGTCCCTTGCGACGCGGTATCTTGCCTTTTTCGGGGTATGTCGGCTGTCTCGTGACAGCTGCTCCGGTTTCTTCATCAGTCTTCTCTCTCACGAGTGTCTCACTGCTGTTGTTCGCTTCGTCGTCATCCTTTCCTCTCTTGTCTTCTCTCAACCCGTGGCCAGCCCGTGCTTCCTTCCTGGCATTCTCTGGTAGAGCCATCCCGTCACGTTCACCTCCTGTGGTGAGCCATTTCTTCCAACTGATTTGTGGCCAATATAGCCGTCGGTGGTTGTGCCTTGCTTGTCTTCTTTCTACCAAAGTTCTGGACTCCTTCAGCATATCCATGACCTGGGAAGCGGCTTGACGAAAGCTAATGAGGAAAGACGAAACTAGGTGTGTTTCCATCCTAGGCGTTATATCTCCCTGTGGACGTGTCAGCTATACAACAAGGACTCATGTGGGAGTGTGCAGTTGCTGATGAATGAGCAGTTGCAGATAACTGCACTACTCTGCCTGGTATCAAGAAATCAAATATTGAGCAAGTCATACCTGTGAGTCTTTTCCATACGCCATGGCAGCAGCATTTTCCAGTGCTATTGCAGAGTCCAGGTCAAATTGTGATAATGCATTGGTAAAGATATTCACCCGGAGGTCAATCTCCTCTAGGATGATTCCATCAGGGGTCGGTGAGCCAGATGGGAGAGTATGTACGTCGTAGCAGTACGCCAATGAAGACGTAACGACATGCACGGCGTCTTGGATCTGGACCAGTAATACTTTCGCTGGTACTCTGACCTGGGACATGATATGTTCCAGGAGATCAATGTCGCCAGATGCGATCTCACGGACCGGCTTGACCAATTCCAGATTTCGCCGATGTCTAGACTTCCGGGGATGCTTACTCCCATGCTGTGATTCTGCATCGTCACTTTCCTCCGAGGACTCGCTGCTTGAACCAGAACCAGAATCAGTGTCGGAGTCGTCGCTGTCCGCGTCTTTGTCTTTGGTTTCCTCTAGCCGATCTTCGTCATGGCCGTATCCTGCGAGTGCGTATTTTGACTCGCAAGCATTGATGAGGCAGATGGTGACTTGCACGAGACGAGACATCAAAGTCATACTGATAGGCTTCAGGGACCGAGGTGGCAGAACTGCAAACACCAGCTCGAAGTTGCATTCAGCTTGGACTGCCTTGGAACTCCCAAGCTTGGTCCTCAACTTTGTCTTTTGGTCAGTCAAAGCCACAAGCCTGGTGCGTAATTGCGTTGACAGCGTCTCTTCGGTTGCCTCACCGGAAAGCTCCTTGGTATTGGACATGAACCAATCACCAGCTTCCTGGAAACAAGACATCGTTTCGGCTAACGTTTCGATCGTAGATGTGCCCAGGAAAGCGCTCGAGAATTCCGGGAAGATGGTGACGTTCACCAGAATGATGACCATAATTGCTGTCAGGATTGGATAAATTATCTGTGTCACCAAGGCAGTCGAGATCGACGTCGCTTTGCTAGTGAGGATGGTCAGGTTGACAAGCAGGAACCAAAAGACAAACATGAACAGCCTGGGAGTCGACGAACGAAGGACGCCATGGAGTAGCAGAGCCAGTGTGAAAAAGACAGCTCGTATTGCCCAAGCTGCCTCCACATTGGTGTCGTAGACGAGGCTGGAAAGGTGCAGCCCCAGGAGGCCCCAACCCATACCCACGAAGGTGCCGAGCGTGATGAGGAAGAGCACTTCAGTCATCTGGCCAAAGCGTTGCCCTGGATGGCCAAAGACGGACGCCATGGGCCCCAGGTACGTCGCACGGCCATAGACAGCTACGACAGCTGGGATGATGCCGAGAATGAGTGTGATAGTCGTGCATATGGTATTCTTGAGCATTCGCTGCCAGAGATGGTTTCTCTTCAGCTTCAGACACATGTCGGTGAGCCATTGTTGACCATTGCGCTGAAGCTTCTTCTTCAGTCGCGTGACACCCATGACTGTAGCGGTCCCGTCAAGATGATATCCAACCGTGAGCGATGTTCTAGTCGAGTCATGGTCATAGTAGACGAGTTTGGCCGTCGTGTGAGCCAGCTGTAGAAAGACCACCCGAGGCCGGCGATATATCAATCGGAAGGGACGCCTCAATGTCCAAAACACAAACAAAATCTGAGAAATGAGGTAGTTACGATGCACGTGCTGCCTCATCAAAAGCCAGTTGGAACACGAAAGTATACTTCCCACGCGGTAATTGGGGCATGCAGCTCAGTCAATAGGGGTGCAGGTGGTTGTTGCTGGAGATGGTACATGCAGGTACATGTAGTCCACGGAGTCACCGCCTTTACAGGTATATATGTCTTGCAGATCTAGATCCGACCGTGTCACCGCGGAGTGACTATTTGTGGGTACACGACGCTATTATTAGCGTCAAAAATGATTCCCTCGTCAACCCCCCAGTTCATCAAAATCCACATCCATGTCAGGTTCAGCGCAAAGCAACCAAGGACATTCTCAACCAACATCATGACAAAATACAAACAATAAGCGAGACAACCGTCAGTTTCAGGCACGCATCGATTCGGCGAATGAAGTACTGGGAACTTGTGCTTCCATGCTGTCCAATCACACGACGAGCGCATTAACCCCACGTGTGGCACGTCCAATGGCGGCGGGGTCGGCGGGGTGTCGGGGAAATGACAACATCACTGCTAGTCTAGCTAGGGGCCGCCTCACGAACCGAACGTCCTCCTCCCACATTCGCGCACTCGCGTGGTCACCTACTACCTAAGTAGTAACCCACATTGGGCCCCTTTCGTCTTCAAAATGCCTCCCTCGGCGACCCTTGTCGTAAGTCAATCCGCCTGACTGCTCCCAGATTGTCCATTGGCATATCCCGCACTGGCAGCTCGCTAACCGGGCCCTCTACCCACCAGGCAAGACTCAAGGTTCAGCTGAAGCTGTCGATTGCACGACTACGGATGGTACAGAGTCGCGATGAGGCCATGGGGAAGACCCAGAGAAGGGCAATGGCTCAGCTTCTGGAAGCCGGCAAGATCGACTCCGCCAAGATAAAAACCGAGAACATCATCCGATCCGACATCACCACCGAGCTCCACGAGATCCTCGAGCTGTACTGCGAACTCCTCCTGGCCCGAGCCGGATTGCTGGACAGCCCAACATGCGATCCAGGCTTGGAGGAAGCCGTCAAGAGCATCATATACGCTGCGCCAAAAACCGAGATCAAGGAGCTGCAGCAGGTTCGGGCTCTGTTCGCCGAGAAGTACGGCAAGGAGTTCGTGCTGTCTGCCATGGAGAACTCGGGCGGCCACGTCTCCGAAAAGGTTGTCAAGAAACTGAGCGTCACCCCGCCTACAGACGAGCTGGTTCAAGGCTATCTTGAGGTGATTGCAAAAGCGTACGGTGTCGAATGGCCCAAGAGGTCCCAAGATCTGGGGGAGCCGCCCCAGTATGTGGACAATGTGGACGATGACGTCGGTGCTGGTAGCAACGACAACGATGATGGTGATGAGGATCCAAGCGGCGGTCAAAGACAGAATGACTCAGGGGCTGCCTTGCCAGCCGATAGTAAGGCGGCCAAGGAGAGGGAAGACTTGAGTCGTGCCACGCCGCCGCGGTCTCTTGGGCCAAATAGCCCCCTGCACGTGAATCTGCCCAGTCCGTCAACGGAGAAGCCTCGTCCGAAGGTCACACTGAACTCGACCGAGTTGAAGCCTAATAAGAAAATGCTCGACTCGGGCATTGCGAAGAAGGCTGAAGAGAGGAAGGGTAGTGGAACCGGGGACGGTTTACCAGATCTCAATGAATTAGCAGCCCGGTTTGCTGCGTTGAAGCGGTGATCCGACCAATGGAGCTGCTTGGGGTTATCAGGCTTCCCAATGGCGTTTATACGTATGGCTGATGGCTTTGTGGCTACTAGAAACTAGGCCTGTGAATGCATCCTTTCAAGTATAATCATGCCACGCCTTACTTACTGTGTCGACATTCATATCGATGATGAGAAGTCTTGGCTGTTATAAACCATATAGTGACCGGTAGTTTTCTAATCGACTTTTCCCTTCTCCCTGCTCTGCGTTTGTAAACCCGCGGTTACTCGCACACGAAAAGAGACAGTCAATCGTGCACCTCGCAGTATGTTGAAGTGTCAAGGAGCTCGATCTGCACCCTCCGGCCAGTCCGCAGCCAGCTCATGCACATCTGCCATCGTATTGCTGGGAGACAACAAACGTCTCTTTACGGCTAACGTAAAATAGATACCGGACTACTGCGTGTTCATTGACGATTTCGTGATCCCACAGTGTGGTCTACGGAAATATTTAGGGGCAGGGCTTCCAGTAAAGACACGAATTTGGGGGGAGCATGCAAGAGGTACATGTACATTGGTAGCAGACGGGCAGTTCCTTCCTCGGGCAGCTACCCTCCTCGCCCTTTCCTCGCAGTGTTTACCTCCACCTGCCCACCGACACCTTTGCCTTTCCGCCTCTTCGCATCTTCACACTCTCACAAATTCACACCTCAGATCCGTCCTGCCGCCACTGATCCGTTTCTTCAAGCCCCTGCGCACGACTGGGTTGTGAATTAAATCAAGAAGTGGTATGGCAGTTCCAAGCTGCGGTTGATCCGACCTCGATTACTGCACAATCCAACGTTCTACACCTCGCGGTCTTTCGGTGTGGCCGTTTCAGGTACAACATCCATTGGAACTGCTCGAGCAGCCATTCCTCTTTCTTCCTGCACTTTGCGTCATCACCAGATGATGCCATCGTGGCATGCGAATCTGGATATTATTTGGTCCATATTTCCCCGTTTTCCGTCATTGACTCCTGCAGTGTGCCAATCTGGTACGTCGGTGGCCTCCTTGTCGGTTGCATCGAGGTTAGCCTACTTCGTGCCAACCCTGGCGGTCAAACAACCACAGCGGTCATCATCGCGAGATCACCCCCGACGTCCACATTTTCGTGGTCAAATTATCGTGCCGTGCGGCCAACGAACCCGATTATATCTTCAGCGCCTCCGGACTTCCTATTTGTCTGCCTGATCTCTCTTCGATTTCATCATGAGCGTCAGCGTTGATCTAGACGGGCCGCCTGGCGTCCCAAGTCTAGAGATGCTGACCCTGGGGGACTTGGAGGACAAGGTCCAAGATGCCAAGCGAACTCAGATATCCCAGTATTCGCCACTGAGAGTATTGATGGGTTGGCTTCGGGAGCAGATCAAGGCAGACGTTGTTACGCAGCAAGAATCTCTGCTACCTGATTTCGTTGGCCTACTGCTGCGCAAAGACATGGGAACTGCTTCGTCTTCTGAAGAAGAGACCAATCGAATCTTCCAAGAATGGCAAGATACAGATGCCCCAAACCGTCGCCGCTACCTCATGGCCCAGATTGATATGAACAAACTTTTGAAGAAAGCTAAAGGGATTCCCGAATTGGAGGCCACGACGCCTTCAATGACATCCCCAGGTGGATCCCAGAAGAAGTGGCGCATCGGAATGTCACGCCAGAAAGCTGGTTCCAAGCGTGCAGCCGAAACTGACAACAATGGGTCTGAAAGCCATAGGTTCAGCTTGGGGCAACGGAAGACGGGTTCCAACAAGATCCCCCTTGGAACAAAAAGGGCTAAAGGCATCGCGAACAAACAAGATGTCATTGAGATTGCGGACGATGATGATGATGAACACGAAGCGTTGACCGAACCCCTAGCTGCCAACCTCAACCACCATCAGCGTGTTGATATCGCTGCTTCCAAGGACTCAGACCAGGATGAGGTAATCGTCACCCGCGAAACAATCTTGCTGCACTCATCGCCTGAGACCATGACCAAGTACCACGAGCGCAGTAGAGGATCTTCCTCCCTTCGAGAGCATCACCAAGGCCGGCCATCTTATCCCGGCTCGCAGCCTCCCAGCCACTATCTTTGCAATCGCTGCAAACAGCCAGGCAAGATGACCCTGCCGTATCTTGCAAGAGCAATCGCTGATTTCGAATACAGGGCATTATCTTCAAATATGTCCGACAAACCTAGATCCGAGATTTGACGTGTCTCCTGGAGCTGGTTATTTCTGCAAGATATGCAACAGAGAGGGTGACCATTTCATAACCTTGTGTCCTCGAAACGAGAATAGCGAGTCCTTGACGCAACAGCGTAAACGGTTTTCAGCTCGAGCCCAAACACACACACAAAGCCTCGATCGCCATTATCGAGACCGGCGATCACCCAGTGTGCTCGGGCGACGACAACCCAGCTCCCGCTCCCGCAGCCCAGTCAGTCGCCGACGTGATGTATCTGACAACTATAGACCGGGTTCCAGCCTCCAAGGTCGGTACGATGTTCCATACAGACAGAGACGACAAATTCCAGATGATCCGGATGTCTCGCCCTACACGGCACGTGCAGGGCTCACGCGACGGACAGATCAGGACTGGGGGCGCAGATCCCCTCGACCCTATAGTCCTGATTATTACCGACCACGAGACGATTCTCCTACTCCTCGCGACCGTCGGACCCGAGCAGAGTCTCCCCGCAGAAACGAGCGTTCGCGGAGAGATCCCGACAGAGTAAAAGGCGATGACCAAGAGGGTAGATTGGCATATGACGATGATTTCAACGTATTCATGGGCTCCGATGGATCAAGCCGCTCTTCCCAGCTGAAGTACTCCCCGGAGCATGCTCAGCACAGCCCAAGCCATAGGGATAAAATCATGGAAGATGCGGCCGTGCTGATAGAGAATACACCGGATGACATCGAGAAAGCTAGACGAGCCGCGGACGCTTTCCTCGAGGAACTGGCAGCGGAAATCATGTCTGCCTGCGCAGTGGCCGAGGGAGGCGAGCAAAGTGCCGCTCTAAAGATTATTGAAGGGGATGATGAGATGCTTGTCTCTGAAGGTCAGGTGAATGTCGACGATTCTGGCACCGAGGACAGCGATTCTGACCTTGTTCCACAGCCTGATCCGGCGATCGTCCAAAAGCCTGACGGAACCCTGCTGAGACTGGTCCGGGAACCTCAATTTGGACCCGTCGTTGTCTCTCTCTTCAAGTATCGGGAGAACGCTATCGTCAACCATCGAGCCAACCGAAAGACTACTTCCCAGTTGATGAGAGAGTCTCGTGTGCCGTAGCTATTGCCCGAAGGGGCGCAGTCGCTACCCGACTGACCAAACATAAGCCGTTAGTTCCCCGGCTATTTGGGAGTGCTATGAGAAGGCAGGTATCTTTCAGACCTTGCCATTCCCCTTAAGTACCTGCAATATCAGAGCACGAAGGCTGGAGGGACATCCTCCAGCTGGCTTGGTGCCCAGACGCATCTCTGTTGAATTGTTCAGCCGTGTAAGTACTGGGGAGAGGACATAACACTCCGGAGTCGACCTATTCTCACTCCTCCGGAAATCGTGTGTTCGGGGAAGGGGAATTGGAAACCTTGGGTACATACCCCAACTCGTTCTTTCAACGTCACTGCTGACCAAGTATCAAGAAGTCTTCCACCACAGCTGGTCTGATCATCTTTAATGGCGAATATGGGACGGAACATTGGAGGTGATCGTCTCGGATCTATTGAAGATCGAAATAGACGTTGGAAGCAAATAAACGTCTGTTTACAGTGGATTTGGTCCATGGCTCTCTGCCTTGCAGGAGACACATACCTTATGCAGACAACGGATCAGATGCGACTTGGCTGCTCGTGTGTATCAATATTTCCCTTAAAGGCACGTTGCTGCTCTTGCAGGCATAATACGCACCAACGGAGTAGCAAAGTGCTTGCTCGTAAGCTCGTAACAGAAAATGGTTATTAGCCATCTACCGCATGAGTTTGCGGTCGAGAAAACGGATTTATACCTATGCCACTTTTGTTCTTGAACGCCGTACGCCACCGCCTGGAAATGCCAAGATGCTTGAGCCTCCCTCCTGACTTATAAGTTGGGCCGCACACATCGACTCGTCAATGGTGCATGAAGGCTGCTCGCCAACCACAGCGTCTCATCGGCGCCGCGCCCTCAACTTGTCTTTACCTCTTTATCCACATCTCCCACTCTGCTCCATGCCCTCTCCATATCTCTTTCCCACTCGGCCACAGACAGACAGACAAACACATAGCCTCCAGACCACTTCCCCCTTTCCCCGTGTCCCTCTCACTATCACTCCAGCTTGTCCAAATGCTCGAGGCGCGTGAGCACGACCTGCTTGCTAGTCTCCTCGATCTCGCCAGCAAGGAAGACCTCGTCGAGAATGGCGTAAACCTTGTAGAAGTTGAAGACCAAATCGAGCTCGCACACGTTGCCAAAGAAGGCGTCGAGCACCTCGACAAAGAAGTGGATGGCCTCGAGGTAGGCCAGCTCGTTGTCGTTGGTGTCGACGCAGGCGCAGAAGAACAGGCCCGCGTAGCGCCGGTACACGATCTTGTGGTTGCGGAACTCGACGAAGTTGGACTGGTACTTTTGGTCTCTGGGGGCTACCAGGCGGTGTACCTGTTTTGGGGGGTGCTGGGGTTAGTGGTATTTGGTGTTTGGGGTGCAGTGTGTGGTTCGCGGTCGGAGGTTCATTTTGGGGTTGGGTTCGGGTTCGGGTTCGGGTCGGAGTCTGTGTCTGGGTTTCGCTGCTCACCTCGCCCTTCAGCCGGATCTTGTCGTCGTCGTCGTACGGGACGTACCACTTTGCCAACCGCGTCTTGCCTCTGTCGCAGCGCCATGGTCAGCCCGTCCGTCGCAAACAATTCCGCAACACCTCCCACACAGATGCGCATTCAGGAAGTCAGGGTCTTTTTACTTACTGCCGGTTCTGGATCAATATGAACGACAACATCTTTTGCGATTCTTGGCGGTGGGTGAATCGCAATGGTGGCGCTTCCTCTCGCGCGATGGTCGAGTGAGGTTCGCGAAGTTCGCCGCATGCTTCAGGGGTCCTGGCCCCATGGCGGGGCTGTTTGTGGCTGGTAGGTACCTACTGCGTGCTCGGATTGGCGGTTCGCACAGTACGTCTGAGGCCCCTATCTCGAGCAAGGTGACACCAACAAACAGGCAATCAGTCGAAGGTTCGCTGATGTCGCGCTCCGGCGAGCTGTTGGTAAGGTATGCCTATCCTGCTTGTGTGAACCCTTCTTCGTGTTTCGTGGCATATCAAGTGGCCAGGTGTTCTACCAGAACGAGGACATCGAAGTCTCTATATGCCAACTGTTCTTCCTGTATTTGGCAAGCGTGCATCCTATAGCATTTCTACTTCTTCAAAACCAGTTCTTGATACTTGATTTGCTTGTGGCTTCAGATACGCGATTGCATATGTCCATCTATCCTGTCCCCCTTTTCTCTCATTCGGAGTAGGCACGGCCAACGCTCTGATCTGTGGCACAGTCCCAGCCACCGCCACGATAGCTCACCAGAGTTCCAGTCAATCGGTAGGTACCTCAGGCGACAACTTAATTCAGTGTTCATCTTGTGTCAACCGGCGCGTCCATTCTTTCATTTTAACTCGGCTATACCCTGTCAACCGTCACAAAGGGTGTCTGGGCCCATGATGTCGCCTTTTTGAGTCTTTACGGATACCATTCAGGTGCGTTCAAGTTCCGAGTGCCAGTTCACATACTAAGACTTCCCACAGACGTTTCGAGAGCCTATGCCCGCCCCTCGGTGCTTGGAATCAGGCCAGACAGACAGCCCACCTGGACAGGAGGAGCTGCAACGGCTGTACGCTTGACACAAGGTGCGATAGGTGCCATACCCCTTGTGAGGGGCATTATCGTGCATCTCAGCCGCGAGGGGTTGAATTCTGTGGCTGCTAGTCCCCAGAGCACGCATTGAGCTGCGAGGGCTGCGGGAGACACCTCCACCAGCTGCGTGCGGCTTGGTCATTCAGTCAGCAGGCCCAGGGGAACGTCGAGCTGGTGATCGACGCGGCAACCCAAAATTGTTGGATCTGTTTACTGCTGCTGCCTCTTACTCATTCCCTCCTCATCCAACCTCTCCTCGTCTACATTGGCATCAAATCACGACACCCTCTCTCTGCGTGCGAGATACAGCAACAGACACGATGGCGGCGAATCAGCAGGGCTATCTGCCCACATTCGAATTTGCCTTCGCCCGCAGTGATGGAGTCGAGCACCCGAGTCTTCCATATGAGGCTTTGCCCCAAGACCATGTCAAGTACGCGGAGATGGGCAATAAGATTGCCATGATTATCGGAAACGAGTTGCTTCCAGCAAAAAGAGGTTAGTAGTATGCATCAGGCGAATGCATCAACTTGCTGACCAGCTTTAGGCCAACAAGCTTACACCATGAAATTCCCGGCAAACTACACCATCCGGAAGTACGAGGGCATGACGAACGGCAAGAAGGTCACCCACTACTACATCTTCGGATACCCTGAGCTCACCTCCACCAACAAGCCCCGCCTCTTCCGCTCCCCGAACGAGTTCATCCCCCATCTCATGTGGCTGCTCAGTGACAGCACGGAGCCAAAGAATGACTGCACGTGCCACCACTGCCGTCCCGCCCCCGAGTCCAAGCAGGGAGGCAAGAAGCCCGTGTCCGTACCAGCCGAGGACCCCGCTCCATCATCAACCTCGACGGCTGCCAAAGGCTCTGGCGCTACTACGGGAATCCTGGGAAAGAAGAAGCCTTCTGCCGCATTAGCATCGAACCAAGCCGCAAAGAAACCTGCGACCCAGTCCAAGCAGGCGGTAACCACTGGTGCTTCTATTTCCTCTGTCCCTGTTACTGCCGCTGATCCCTCAGTCCGTCCATCTGCGACTCCGACGGTCAGGCCGTCTGCCGGACCGTCCGTTGGTCCGTCTGTCACTCAGTCTGCCGGTCCGTCTGTCGCTCAGTCCAGTGGTCCATCTTCTATCTTCCGAAAGGGAGAAGTGGTCTGGTTCCAGAATTCGACCACCTGGAGAATCGGCATCATCTGCGCGATCGGCTCGGCTGATGGCAAAACAGCCTGTGCCATCGTACCCTTCCAGCATCCAGCTTACCGCATCGAGCGTGTCACGAAAGCCGAAGCAGACCTACGCCCCTTCCTCGCCTTCAGCGTGCCCATGGTTAACCACTATGTCGAGCATCTCAAAGGAAAATGGATCGCCGAGGTCGACTGGACCACCCTCCAACAGCAACTCGCGAACGGGGACAGCAAGAAGATGGACGTCCTCGCCCTCGAGGCCTCCAAGCTAGCAGCACTTCTCATCGACCATTCCTTCTCGACTTTCAGCCCTGTTGCCGCGGCGCCCAACCAGCCGATCTACCGCGGCGTATTCCTCGGTGCCGAGAAGATTGTCGTGGGTGAACCCATCCGTGTCCGCCACGAGGGCCAGCCGGAGAACAGCCCCGTCGTAATGGTCGTCCTCAACATCTGGATCGACCAGGAGAACGCCTTGGTTTTCTCCGGGCGCGTCTGGCGCATCGAGCACGCCAGCAACGGCAGCAGCGTGCAGCAACAGCAACGACAGCAAATCCAGCACCAACTCCCTCAAGCCATGCTCCGAGAGAAGGCGTACAGAGACCGGTGCCTCGGGCGTTTCAGCATGAGCGCCAACTGGGTGCCCGTGGGCAACGACGCAGTCGCCAAGAAGGCCCCGGCCGTGCGCGGCCGCTTCTACGAGACCGAGCAGCTCGCCGACATCCTCAAGCCCCCCGGTTTCCAGCAGGAACTGCAGCAGGGACGCGTGAGAGAGCTGCAGGCTATGCTCAACAACTGCGGAGACTCCAACTTGGAAGTTAGCAAGGGCCGTGTGGCCAACCGAGCGGCTGCTGTGGCGGGAGCGATCCCGGAGGAGTTCGTTGATAGTCTGGAGTAGGGAGATACACATTTGCAAATCATGGATGAATAAGAATTGCCCCGTTTTCGAGGGAAATGGTATAATCATGGTGTAATATGTACTTCGTGTTCTTGTGATGTTTTAATTGCTGACTATGCCGCTGATTATTCCAGTAGTTCCTTGCACGATGACAATGATGTAGGGCCCCTGTTGCCTTGATTGACAGCACCTTGTAGAAAGCATCCACTAGCATTGTGGTCTCATTTTGAAACGGGATAACTACCCGGATGATGACCACTGCTCGCGGTCACGACATCAACGACAATGGTTTGTGGATGATGGAAGACCTCACGATGCTGCAAATGATCAAGTATATCGATGACGTCGAGCACAAGGACGATGACAAGGGCAAGGACGATGGCAAGGGCAAGGACGATGACAAGGACAAGTACAAGGGGATAGACACCGACATGTTGTCAGATTTGAGCCAATCGTGAGAGTGAAGTGTGTGTGTGTATTCTCTCTGTCTGGAGTGTCCTTGTGCGACCGTGGCAGTTTTGTGCCAGAGGGGGCTGGATCGGGACGGAACAACTAGGCTCCGGTGTCTACCTATCAAGGTGCCCTCTGGGCTCACCTTTAATCCAACAATTTAGCTGTAGATTAGCCCTGCCGAGCATACTTCAGAATGACAACAACATTTGCAGCGACCGCTTACACCCCCAAGGCTTGTGACCCTTCGGGAATCTCACACTTTTTTTATAACTTGAAATTAAGCTGCTTTGCTTAAATGTTTATTAATCTTAACTAATGTAAAAACCTTACTTACTATTAAGCCGGTTAAACTTTAGTTAATTTATTTGCTTTTATTTATATTAAAAGAGTATATTTAATGTTAACGGTTTTTTGTTTTACTTTCTATTAAAGCTAATTATTGCGTTGTGCAATGGGTGTCTATTGATGTGTGAGGCGGGGTTAGGTTGTAAGGACTAAGATGGGAAAGATTGCAGCTACTTAAGGTAACTGCAATCCCTATCTTAGTGCAACCCTTATCTAACTAGTCTAGCCCTAGCTATCCAGGTCCGCACACACAATGTGTAACCCACACACATACCAGTGGCTGTGTTAATGACTGTGGCTGTGCCAGCCACACTGACTACTCCCCCTGATGACGCGTATCACTAATAGTTATTATATATACTTACATGTCGCAATTTGGGTTTTAAAAGGCGATTTTGACGGTTACTAGCTTAGTTCTTTATATATTATCGCATTTTATTCTAATTTTCCTATGTTTAAATTAAATACTAACCTTTATAACTAGCTAGCTGATATATAAACTCTTTTTGATTATTTAAACTAGTATAAATACTACTTCTTTTATAAGAATATAATAACCGTATCATACTTATTAGCCTTTTAACCGATTAATTGAAAAAAATATTTATAGCAAAAGTATGATGGTATGGTTACCCGTATGTTCACCCATACCACCAGATCTCTAAGCGACTCACGTGCATTGGTCACGTGAGCGGAGCGACTGTTGATCCGCCTGCCACTAGGGCAACGGATAGTGGGGCGGGCACACAGATCATATCCCCCACCAGAATTGGCTGGTGGGCTTGATCTCTTCTTCCCTCCTCACCAAGAGATCTTCATACGTCGATAGTGTATACAGGGCTCTTACGTCCTATCTCATCTCTGGAACGTGACAAAAAGCTTAAAAGCTTTCTTTATCGAAAAAATTATTGGCAAAAAAAGCATTACTAGCTACTATTAAATCGGTTTTTTTTGGATTTTAAAAAAGTAGTATTTTATTTCATATAGGTTTGACATAATTTGATTAGCTGTATTTCAATAAATGTAACTTAAGTTTATATGAAATCTTATAAAGCGTAATATTACGAAAGTTCTATTCAATTATATAAAAACGAAAACAAATAAAGCAAAATAAATCTTGCCTTAATATTTTCCATTTTTGTAAAGAGCGGCGTAATCTTACCGGAACAATAATTCTTTTATACTTATTGAAACCTTGAAAGGTTTATGGGTTATCTCAACTAGTTTAGTTACTTTTTTAATATAAAAGGTTTAAATTAATTAAATCTTTTATCAAAACCGGGTTTAAATGATTTTTATTTTAAAGAGCTATTAAACATGCTTGCTTTTAATAAGCTCGTATTTTCGTTAAAATTAATAAACACGTTTTCAATATCTTTTTATACGTGTTCTTTATATGCGATAATTACATTATTTACGTAAAAGAATATTTTTTCTCCATATAATAGTACGGCTTATATAAAATTAAGTTGAATTTTAAGCGAATTAAGGTTTTTAAAAATTCTTTTTATTATAACAATAAAGAAACTTTTAGTCTATAAAGTACCTTGTTTAAAAAGTTAATTTTATTTACGATAATTATATGAAATTCATATAAAATCTTCTTATTAATAATCGCATATATAAAAACGTTAATAATATTATATTAAATTATCTTAAAATTAAACTTAGCGGTTAAAGTTATTAGAGTTTTGAACGATTTTTAATAGAAGTAGCTATATACGTTTGCTTTAAATGCAGCTCTTTCTATTGATTTTTTAACTATAAAACCTGCTTTGTACTTAATAAACCCTTTATACTTATTAAACATGTCATTATATACAATTTATAACTTTATACTATTATAACGTTTTAAGTAATCTTCTTTAGCTATGTCGAATAAATGCTTTATTAAATAGGTTGTTGTAAGCAGTCGGGTGGCTCACAGGTGTGCTGTAGCACGCTTCTAGGGGTGACAAGGCTGACAAGGCTGACAGCAGCACTGAAAGGAAGAAACAGCCTGGAAGCGGGCTTTGAGCCTTAGTGTATCTGGGACAAGGGATCTTTACCCTCCGGATCAAAGGCTGGGCATTGCTTTGAAGTTGGTATGTGTATTTAGTACCTGAACAGGTCCCAAGACCCAAGGGTAGATCCGCACCCAGAATGTAAGCAACATGATGACCTGAACCACTGAACCGATCTTTTCCTTAGTTGTTGATTTATTATACTGTTGTAGCGCTTTTTAAAAAGTTATTTATACAGTTGAAATCTTTTGTATAAGGCTTTTTGTGACAAGCCGTCTAACCTATAAGCCTAAAGGGTTCTATAGGGTTTATCTTCTGAGGTAAGTCAACACAAAGGACGATAGAGGCTTCTGTCAACTAGAAGACACTCAGATGCTGGGGCTTGGTCTGAACTGGGTTCACTGTGTAGTCGAGTCGTCAGGAGATTTCTTCCACCTTAGAGTTGGCTAAGATGCTTAGATTGATCACTGAGGTAGAGACTGTCTATCTATCTAGCTGGGAAATGTCCGTCTTTATATATCCAATCTCTCCCTCACTGATGGAGTAGGATCACCTTGTCCCAGAGTGATGCTTATTGGCTCACCCCTTGATCCTGTGATCCGTTACGTGACCTTTTGTTATGTGGTGTTTGTTGGTTTGTAACAGGTGTTTTAACTTAATCGTTTTATAAGTAAAGCTTTAAAACTTGTTAAAAACACTGCTTTTTAAAGCTTAAGCTGTTTTCGTTCCAAGTTTTAAAAAGATTTTTAAGTTATTTGTTTCCTTTTTAAGTATTATAATATAATAAAGCGGATAAAAAACTAAGCGGTAATAAAAGTAATAAAGCCAACTTTATTATAATATATAAGTACTTATTTTTAATATTTTATTTTTATTTTATTTTTATTTTTTCAAACTTCTATCCCTGTTCAGACTATTAAGCTTCTCGCACTTTTATTGTTTACTCTCGTTAAAAAAAGATATTAATTTACTGGTAATTTATGAGCATTTCTATGGGGTTTAAACTTAGTCGTTAAATTTAAACAAAGTATACTTATTAACTATAACTTATTTATTTGTAATAGTTGCCGTTTTTAAGTTGTCTTAAAACCGCTTTTTATTTTTATTAAATACTTCGTTCTTATTAAAAGCAAAGTTTTGCGTAATAATCACTTTATTTAAATAAGGCACTTATATACGGTATATATTAAAGGACAAATATTTAATTATATATTTAGTTTATGCTTTAAAACTAAGTTTATTTAACTTTTAGCAACTTAACTTTATATCGGTTATTATTCTGTAAGCCTTATAGTTATATACTCGGAAATATATTTAGTTAAAGCGCTTATTTAAAGCTATTAGTCGACTTGTTTTTCTTATAATTGCTTTGAAAAGATCGAAAGGTGGGTTTTACTTACTTTTTTTTATTAATATTTAATTGTATAGATATAGCTGCTTTGTGTATTTCTAGCTATAAGAAGGTCGGTAATTTAGTCTTAATTTACATTACGTGCGCTTTCATTTTTAATATACCTTTTAAGCGCTTAACAGTTTTATTTTAAGCTTACATATTAAAAGTTAAGAGCTTTGTTTTAATCGCGAGGGTTTTCAATTATCTCTTTATATCTAGTTTATTAATATATATCTTATTAATTATTTTAATTATGTTAACTTTAATGTTATATTAGCGTCCTAGCTATGAAAAGTATATTGATACTATACGAATAATTATTTATATAGTTGATTTTTAAAAGCATAGTTTTATAAGATATTAAAGTTTTTGCATATAAAGACTATACAAAATGACTTATTTAATAGTAATTTCTTATAACTATAAAAGTTAAACGCCAACTTCTTTTTTAAATCTTTATAATTAAATTATAATGTTTTTATATATGCTATTTAGCCTTAAACGTTCCGTATAACTTGCATTTTACTCCCGTTAGCTTTTAAATAACCACTTTTTAAAATGCGCGTATTAAGTGTTTTAAAGCTTTTAAACTATGATATCTTAACTATTAATGCTATAATTATCCGTTTTTAATAAAGAAAGGTTTTTTGAATTATAAGTTATATAAATGCTATTTACCTAGTTATATATTATATAACATAACGTTTAAGCTGTTTAATTAAGAATTAATAGCATATTAGCTGTATTTTTTTAATATAACTAATTAATATTGTTTGTCACGGCGAGCGTACTGAGGAGCTGGGAAA